GTCACTTGTATAACTGCTGCCTAAAGTATTAGGGTAACGGTTGAGTGCTTGAACTAGTCTTCTTTTCCCTTCAAAACCTGCATTTATATAAGATAGGCAATGTGCCAAACATGGATGATTATCTCAGCACAAATATTTTGAATTCTCATCTGAAGGTGTGTTTATTGAGTCCACATTTTTAGATCTGTTGTTTTTATTCTGGGAAGGATACTTTTCGATGATGGATGTTTGTTTTCTTGCAGTACCATCAGGGAATTTCGTCATGTTAGACGCTACAACTTTTGTATCTGCTCTAGGGGAAATATAGAATCGGTTTTCGATAGCTCCTATAATATGCGTTATTGTTTCACCTAGTTAGTGCGATAATGACAGTTCTATATAAATATTGGAAGTTGGTACCATCAAACTTTTCGGATAGGTCAATTCTTTTATTCCTTAGACAATCAATTTTTGTGGCAAATTTATACGTTGTAGAATCGATTTAGTTTGTTTATTAATAGTAAATGATGTTATCTTCTTTGTTTTGAAAAATTTTCAAAATTTGAATGTTCGAAGTTCCGCCATCTTGTTCTTTGACCGTTGGAATATGTTTCATCTCTTGTATTTATATAGATGCAGATGAATTACGTGATTCGTTGGTAAGATTCGTTTGGTTAGAATCTGGGCGGTTATTTCTATCAACCTTTCCTCAAATTTATCTCTTTGCTCTACCAATTTATCATCAAGGGTTTACGATTCGGTCGTTTTGACCATTTGAGATGTGATTTTCAATTTATCTGGACGGTTGACTCCATTGGCCATTTGGATGTTAGAAAGGTAAAGTTAAGCATAAATATAACGTAATGTTGGATATATTTTAAACCTTGGCAACGCCCCAAGTCTAGTTGTTATGACCATCGACTACATACATACACTACACGTACACAGTCGCGATATTAAGTAATTGTTACAAGGGTAAAAATTTCTAAAAATCTAAATATTATTGATTTACAAATTAACTCTAGAATATTTTCTTCTATAGGATAGATGACTAGGGAAACATGAGGGCAAATTGTAGAAATATATTTATGTTTTATTCAGGAATTTATCGCTATGAATTTTGATCGCTATTAAGTAATTGTACACCATCACTATGACCTAATGAGTTGTGTCATCGAAAATATAATTGGCCTATAAAATTGTTCTCTTGTTCTAGCAGGAATTTAGAATATGCGGTTTCTCTTGTATTTATTTAAATATTCATCATTTATCCGAAGAAGTCCGAATTGATATTCTCAATCATTTAGCAAGACCAAAACTGAACATTCAGAACATTGCAAAAATCTTTAACATAAAAAACAAGTTCAAAGAATTTAAAACTGTAAAAGATTTACATATGTCTGGTAGACATATTGGAAACAACTTAAAAAAAGATTACAGTTTTGCAACCCAAAGCTCAAATGGAGCTTTAATAGGTGGGAGCAAGTAAATTTTAGCGATAAGAGCAAAATTGAACATCCTCGTCGAAGGGAATATGTAAGGAGGCTGATAGCTACAAGGAATGATCCTAATTACATCACTAAAATGGTAAAGTTTGGTGGCGGAAGAAGCATCATGGCTTTTGAATATATCAAATCAGATGTACTTAATAGCGATTGAGAATACGATAGAGTTTTCCAAATGTTGGATCAGAGGTGGAAATAGTTAATTTTGGCCATCCCTATCGATACATAAATAATTGGAATTCGGTCATTATTGCTTCAGCCGTCATTGACGTATTTGGAGCTATCTGTATTGCTCTTTATCATAAGCAGGTTAAACACGGCAAATAGGACCCATAAAGTCAACGGCACAATTTTGAAATGGACTAACGAATTCTGCTGTATGGGAATCTGGTAGACTGACCATTCGTAGGACTGTTCTCTTGTAGTTTCTTGCAAGACATATTTTACACCTATTTAGGACCTTTAATCCCAGCTGCAGCGCATATAAGACGAAGTGTTTAAGCCAGTTTTATCCATATTACCCGAAGTGAAGCATGTTAATTACCGTAATGGATATGTTCAATACTTTTAATAATAATCGGATGGCGAGCATCTACGATAATTTTCTGTAATCTGTCCAGCACAGGGTAGATGCCGTCCTTCGCTGTAAGTAATGTGTTTGACAGTCTCTCTATCTTCATTGTGCTTTGTACTATTTTAAATCTAAAGCGTTTAGCAAGTTCCAGATCGATCAATGGCTGATAGACGGGAATCATTAATGAATTTTAAGATCCAAGCCATACTTTCATTTTAGCTCAATTTCTTCTTGTCAAATCTGCCATTGTGAAGTTAACTGTGGCTCTTTCACGATTCCTTTCCATGGATATGTCTCTAAATAGTAACTATTTATCTTTCATTCTTCTCCTAATCTTCCTCGGATAATCTTCAATATTATTTTTATATCATATGTAACACCATTCGGCCTTTGGTTCTGTGAGTACTAGTGATTTAACTACATGGCGAACAAATTTTGATAGCTTTGGATCCCCGTTAGCCAAAAAGCTCAAGACGATTCTGCTGTCCACAAATACTCTAATAAGAGTGTTGGGAAGATGCTATTGAAGGGCTTGATAAAGTTTTGCGGGTCGCAACGCTGCTGCCAATTCTACTCGAGGGATTTAATTCCAAGGAGACGAAAAAATACGGAAAGGGCTAGACAAAAGATTACTACAACTACCTGATACGGCATAAGGGCGTAGAGATACATCAGAATAGTAAATAGGTACCTGATATTTCCGAGGTTATCTTTTTAATATGGGTTGGGTCATCGGCTTCATCACCAGGAAGGCCACGAAATACAGAAATTGTAAGTTTAGCTTGTAGTTTTCTTGGTTCTATAAATCCCATTATATCATAAATGCAAGCCAAGTAAGAGTAAAATTTTACTGTTTAGTGACATATTTTGTCAATGGTAGATCCTTTGCAGATAATTCGTAATGTAATCGATAAGCGAGCTTTTCTAATTCTATTTCGTTATTACTGATTAGGATTAGATCATCCATGTAATAGGAAGAAGTTACCAATAGCTTTTCTGGAGCAGACAGTAATGATGCTTGTCTTATACAGTAGTAGCATTTAATGCGGTACATGCTATAACGGGTGAACTTGGTGCTCTAAAGATATGTCTCATCTTTGCCGCTGACAGTATATTATAGTATTAGTATTAATATTTATGTGGACCTTTGTAGAGAAAACCAAAGTATTGTTGGTCGGGAGTAGCTACTCAAATATTCACACATTGATCGGATATCAGTTTAGATAAAATATGGACGAGTTCTCCATAGTTTAAGAAGACGAGTTTGATTTGAGAGAAGGTCCAAATAGGAGAAAATTATTTAGGGAGTTACCGTGATACTTAGCTGCACGATCGAAAAGATACGAATTGACTTCTTGCAACTGGTAACTCCGTGATGAGGGAGATAAAATTTACCCTGATCATGTGGGACAGGTTGAGCGTAATCATTATTGAATAGGGTTTGAATACCTTTGGCGTAGTCGTCGTTATAAATGGATTACTGTAGACGGACTCTGGACTGATTGATTATTTTTCAACACATTGGGATCACATTTGATCAAAGGTCCAAAAATCGTTAGAAGGTTGTTTAAAATTTACCAGCAGTTCAATAGCGTGGATATCAATAGGAGAGAGCGGTGGATCCAAGTTGAAATTACCTATTTTGGGCAACTGATTAACTGGAACGAACCGATGAGCATTATAGCCTGTTTCTGTATAAGTCATGCTGTTATTTACTATGTTTGAGTGTTTGGCTACATTGGAAGTAGTACAGGGTAGTGGGGTTCGATACCAACCAAGTGGGAATCTATTATAATTGTTCTTGTTGTCTCGGAACGTTTCCAGGACTCCATGATGGGGACTACATTGTCCAATAAGAATTACTACACTGTCAAGGAAGCCAACAGTTGATGAACAGTGGATGTTCCTGTTGCTGGAACTTGTGTTGAGGCAGTATAGACGATCACTCGTTCCTTATTAACATTAGCTTATACGATCGCTACGTAAACAGTTAGAACAACAGTTAAGTAGCTGAACAAGTGTCTTTTTTCTTTTGAGATTGGTATTTATGAGTGGATAGTAGACCAAACTTGAGTGGTTGTTCGGACATGAACATATTGAATTCTCATCCAGTAGCTGATTTATTGAATCCACGTTTTTGCTCTACTGGTTTTATTATGAGAAGAATGCTTGTCGTCAAATTCCTTATATCGACTTCCTGAATGTTGATTTTTGTGTAATATCGTGAAGAATTTTCTTTATTATATTAGACGCTACGACTATTGTATTCGTTGAATGAGAAACATAAAGTAAATTTTCAATGGCGTTAATAATTCTCACTATGGATTGTCCTAATTTTGTTGTAATTGAGCTAAAGTCATCAGGATATTCAAAAAGGAGATGATCAACTTCCATTCGAATGTACGACCTCTGCTTTTAGGTAGATTTAGAAGTGCAAGGAGGGCATTGAATTCAATCCAGTCTCAAATTATATTGGATTGGAAGGGTAGAGTTCTGTCGAGGATTCGTCCTAAGGCAGGTCCTCCGGATAATGAAGCATCACCATAAACAAAATTCAAAGTCTTGACTAGAGTTGTGAACTCTCATTGTCATCGTGTGGTAAAATTCGCGACTGTATACATCGTCTGTTATCCAGCGCTTTGCAATTAGACAGTTCTCAGAATCTTCAATATTGGCTTCCATCAGGGGGTATTTACTGTTTTGTATAAATTTAGATAGTTCCATCGAACGTTTCGGATGAGGTGATCGTTTTATATCTTAAAGAGTCGATTCGGGTAGCAAAGCCGTCCATTAAAGGACCAGCATTGGTCGTCTATTAATGGTAGTTGGAATTCTGTCATCTTCTTTGTGAAGATTTCGAATGTTCAGAATTCCACCATTTTGTTCTTTAACCGTTGAGATATGTTCCATTTCTTGCGTTTAAATAGGTACAGGTCGGTTGCCTAATTCATTGACAGGATTTGTTTATTAGGATCCATCATTTGAATAATATGCTCCATTTGAGTAGCTAGTCTTGTCTCCATTACATTAATATCTCCTTTGTTCCGGGCAGTTATCTCTGTTAGTCTTTCCTTAAACCTATTTCTTAGCGCTTCCAGTTTACCATCTATGGTTGACGACTCGGTTGCGACTACCCTTTGGAGGATTGGTTCTGAATCCAATAGACTTGGATGGTTGGCACCGGTAGCCATTTGAATTCTATTCTTCTTCGGCTTATTTGATTTACTGATACCTTAAATTATTGTTGTCGATTGACGCAACAATTGCAAATAAATATGTTCAGTTACTTTATAGTTTATATATAATAGTTGAAAAATATCTATGTTTGGCATGAATGAAAATAGAGGGAAAGCAACATTTTCAAATATTAGAAACGTAAAGTTAAAGATTAAAATAATGTAATGGATAAAATATCGGAAACATTGGCGCCATACCAATATCTAGGCTTCAAAGTCAACGTCGACATATACTATATAAATTTACATGTAGTCGATGGTCATAGCGATCAGATTTGACACGCTGGCAAGCTCACAATGTGTCATCATTATATTTAAGTCATATTATTTAAACTTAAACTAAGACTAAGTTATATTTTCATTAGTGTTATGATATTCATTCCTACTATATCCATTTCAAGCTAATAGCGATTATTTTAAATAATCATCTTTACTTGATAAAATTGTCTGTAACGACAACATTAGTATAAAATAGTACTAAATTGAATAAAATAATGCCGAGAAAGAGTAAAATTCTAATGGCCAACCTTCCTAGTCAAACGGAAACCATAAATCAAATGGTTAATACGTCCAAATCATTGGAAAAGCAAAGAAACAATTTCAAAGAAAGAATCGTTGAATTAACTGCTCAGAAATGAAAGCCCAGATGAAACGTACCATCCAAATGATCAGTTATAATCAAACTGACCTTACCAACGAATCACGTCATTTATCTGCTGCAACAGTCAAAGAACGAGATGGCGGAATTTAGAATATTCAAATTTCTCAAGATTTTTCAAACAGAGAAGAGACGTCATCTATGACTCATAATCAAATTAAAACATCCCACGAATCGACTTTCTAAGAAATAAAAGGATTGATCCATCTGAAAAGTTCGATGAGACCAACTGTCAACATTTCCACAAAACGATCATTTCTCCATTAACGGAAGCTTAACTGGACGATTTATATAAATGTTTGATCGTAAACCGTTGGATGTCGGAAGATGTAAGCACTCGCAAATTCTGCGACTTGAACAGTAATAATACCGATAAAAATAGTTCTCAAGACTTAGTCAATGATCTAAAATACGTCTATGATTATACTTCACTAGTTGAGGAATATCATCAGAACGAATTTTTGATAGAAATACGACCTCATCACACTACCTTACATCACAAGGATCCAATAACATCCAAATCAACTTTTTCTGTAAACACAAATCAGTTCAACACCAACAACGAAAGGATGTCTATGAATGCTGCAAAGGTTCAAGTTCCAGCTTCAGGTACTTCTATAACTCATAGAATGCTATCAATTGATACCGGTACATCAATATCAATAATAAGTCGCCAATTTTTACAAGACATGTCCTCTCAACCAAATTCCAATGAACAATGTCACATTGATATTTCATGTGCGAATAATGATTTTCAAGCCATTCACACTGAGAAGGTAAAGGTTATCTTTCCTCAATTGGGTAAAAACTATGATGTCATGGATATGTAGTAGACTCTACACCTCCAATGGCAAGTCAACCAGCTATACATTAATTCACATTATACCGAAAAAGGTTTTATTTATTGGACAAGTTGATCTACTCATCGGTCTCACAAGAACTCTACTTTTATTGAATTTATAATAAAGATTGCTATAGAAGATTTCGACACCGAACCCCCAAACTCTCTCAACGATATTCACGCCGTTGATATACTGGCAAATTATACTTAACCATCGAACTATTACTGGACCTTTCCTCTACCTTTCAAATGCAACCCTAAAATTTTACAAAACAACCGCTCTATGGCCAGATGTTGATTACAAGCTACATATATGCAGTATAGGCAAAAAGTCAGGATTTAGGTCAGGACTCAGGGCTGGCCAGTCTTGCTAGTGCCTTATGTTCTTTTCATTTTAGGTACCTTAAGCTACTCCTAGATGTATGGCAGGGAGCACCATACCTCTGCTGGCATCACTTTTTATAAAACCCCGTATATTTAGGGAACCATTTGCCTCTTTAAAAGTTTTTATGGCATATTTTGCCTTATATCTATTAGCTGGATAGGTTGATAGGGATATGACTGATGCTAGTTTAGAGGCTGACAAAACTTTTTTTGCTCCCCAGAAAGGATTTCTGCTTGATATAAGGCATATAATATTCTCTCATCTCGCTCACTTAATTTGACTGGTCTGCCACATCTGGGTAAATCTCTAATTGTATGATGCAATTGAAACTTTTTCCAGATATTTTGGGCGCTGAATCTAGAAATTTCAAACATTTTGGCAATTTTGTTCAATGATAACTCTTCTTGGTGTTTTTCAACAACCAAACGACGAATTCCATTATCAATGACCACCATTTTTTTGAATAACCAAAGATGTAATTATAATAAGATAATTTCGTGTTTGATTTATGCAACTTAGTCCCCTAGTTTTTGATTAAATAACGACGAATATATGAGACGAATACAAACTTTGTTTTACAACAATTACGCTCGATCTGTATCACATGACGAAGTAAATACTACCTCATTAAAGTCGTCCCGCATTGTATTAGATGGTGCTGCAAAGTATCGGGGCTATTCTCTCAATGATGTTCTATTACCGGGACTTCCATTATTGGCAAATCAGATACAACTTCTTACACTACAACCATGCTTCATCCTTGCAGACATTAAATCAATGTTTATGAACATTAGAGTAGATACTCCGCATTAATTCTACTTTGGCTTCCTCTACGAGGACCCTAATCAGAAGGGTAACATTTTATCCACCGTAATGACTCGGCGTATTTTTGGCGTTTCACACTTCATAGCGTATACTGCCCTAAACTCATCTATTAAACAAGCTATCGATCTATCTACCCGAGAAAAGGCTATGATATCATCATCCTTCTTTATGGACGACCTCATTTTAGTAGGTAATAATAAAAAAGATTTAGAAAATCTTGAAAACAGCTACATCAAGAACTTGCTGCTAATGACCTACATCTTACTAAATATACTACTAATAATATAAGATGCAATTCAAGTCGACCTTCCACAGTGCGGCGTTCAGTGACGAAACGTCATTTCTACTCATACTTAACCCTAATCTACGATATCATGGCCTTATATTGAACCGAATAAACTTCAGATTAATTCCGATTTCATGGGCTCCATTGAAATGAAAAGGTTGATGAAACGTGTATCCTAAACACAATCTCTGAGTCAGCCGGAATCTATTCAATTTCGAGGAAAATCCCTACTCCTGATGCAATCCACATCTATTCAGATGATATATGATATCGCTTATGGAGCTGCTATTAAAGACAATCAGGGCTATCTCTTATCCTCATCTTCTCGCCTTTTCTCTTCTCCCCGAGCATCAATCCCTCGAGCAGGATTGAGCAATAGTTCGAGCAGAAAACTTTATAAAACCCTACAAAACTATCTTTTCTGATTCCCCTATTAGAGTTTTCATCGAAGTAAGATTGTTTTAAGTTATCTAAAAAATGGGGATCTGAAACTATTCAAATCAATCCGATAAGCAGTCTAGTCGTTAATAGCAACCGAAACGAAGGCGGAATGGTGCTATGTTAAATCAGAGAATAACGATGCAGACTACCTGACGAAAACAAGGAGAAATATGAGGGAGAAATGGACACTCTCTAAGACTAAAAACCCTGAGATAAGTCATATAAAAGCGACAATAAACTTTGTCATAGCAGACTTCACATATGCTATAAAGAGATTCTGGCGAAAATGCGCCGTACCATGACTTGAATCCTGAGATTTAAGTCTAATTCTCATTTACCTACTGATGTTCGTCTAAAGGATCCGAAGATAACAACCATTGAACTAGACTTGGCACAACGATATCTATTTAAAATCGTTCAAGGTTCTATGCGTATAGAAAGATTATCAAAGATATACTCATTATTCAAGGAGGAGGATGAAATTTACATAATGTTAGGTAGGTCAGATAAATTAAATGAGACAAAGAAGACCATTGTGTATGCTCTATTATCACTAAATTTATCGAACACACACGTTATGTCAACAAATCAGGCGTCTCTCCGAGTAAAATGGATGAGGTTCGCCGAAAGTCTACACCCCCTATACGTGACAACAGAGATAAAGAAAGTCCTAAAATACATGTTAGGCAATAGCTTGCCATCCCTGTGAGCCGATACAATATCGTTATAACATTGTAGCATCTCGTGGACCATGAGTTTCCTAAAGTAACCTTGTTGCATGCCCATCATGGTTAATAATCCTTAGTTGGTTCCAGCAGCCCAGAGAACTGACGACAATGGCAAAACAATAGTCCTGATAATGCGCTCTCAGTCTCGTTTGATGAAGACCGTATTGGCCACATATTCGGCCGCCATCGCTTCATACGCTAGCAACCGCGATTTACATTTAAAAGACTTATATGCTGCTTTTCCGAGGTTGATGAACGCACTTTTTTGTATGGTAAAAAGTCCAGTCCCCCCATCGGACCTAAGGACGTCGTATATATCAAAGACCGGATCACTGGGTGCCGTAGTCTTTTCTTCTTTGCCTTCTTCTCTTTGGTCCTCCCAATCTAGTTTGATACCTTTAAAGATATCTGTTATGCAATAAAAACCAAAAGTGTGAATTATATTAGTTTACGAGTGGAAGAGTGTTAACAGTTTGGCTTACATTATTTTCTTTATGTTCAAAGAAACATTTGAGATGTTTACCTGAGCGCAAAAGCTTCAGTTGAAAAAAGAAAAGGAAGCAAGAAGGACTGAGGAAGAAACAAATGGCAAAAGAATACGGCACCCAGATGATTTTCCATCCAAGTACAGAGTTCGGTGTTCGGACGAGAACCGATGCGTGAACATTGTATACAATGGTGTGGCTTATCTTGCAATACTCAAAAGGAATTTGTGATCATTTATTTTTCGTCAACAAGTCTCTTGCGTTCGATTTCACCCTTGTAACAAGAGATTTTATCATATGAAATGGAGCTGGACAATAATCTCTTTTAGCAACAATACGGCATAATTACAAAAGTGACGCTTGAACAATGTAATTGTGCGACTATGCTACGGGAAAGAGGTTGCAGTCGGAATAGATTTAAAGTTCTCAATCTGCATTAGCTGATGATGAATCACAGACTTGTCTTTGGTTAGTCTATTTTCACCGTTAATATTATATAGAGTAAAGAAGTTCTTTATAAGCGACCCTTTTCCTTTTGGATAGTATTTCTCTACGGTAGTGGTAGAAGAACATATATATATATATAGTATATACAGTATGTATTACTTTTTATTTATGACCAGGGATAAAAGAGTAATTTTCCAAGTTTTATCTTCTTAAGTGATACATACCAGAGTTTAATTAATAATTCATTACGTTTTATAACTGTAAACTTGATATGAAACCGTTAATTATATAATTTAATTTCATTTTACATGTTGTTTATATGTGTCTAGGTCAGAGCTGACTACTCTGACATAGAAAATGGACATAATAACATCCATCTTAAATTTGATAATAGAATTGAGTAAATAGTTAATTATTAATGTTTTATTTAAGTACATATACACATACAGATAACACGTATGAATATGCCGAATATATACAGCAATATGAAAGTATCGTTAATGAATTATGGGTAATCTTTTTTATGTTTTATTCTCGAAAACACATCTCACTGGCCATGAGAATGAACGATTCGCGAGTCAATTGGCACGGTATTTTTTCTCTCAGAATAGTGTTGCGCTCCAGTCCTTCTATAAACGTTTATCAATTAATAAAGACAATAATCATTCATCAAAATTATATACATACTTTGACATACAGCGTATATTTCCAAATTCTCCAAAACTAGATGGCCGTCAAGGGTAAACTTGACGCTGCTTTCGTAAGAATTTCTATAAGGGGTAATAAACTCTTTTATTTTTGCGCTGAATATCGAATCCCAGCATTCTTTCACAATACTGTAGCCGTCTGGCCCGTCTATTTCTTGAAATCTCGTAATCTATGGGAGACGTGAACATTTTTTTATGTATTAAAGTTACCAGTCTTATCTTGAAACTTACGAATTCTTGACGAAGTTTTTCACTCTTTTCCACACTCTTTTCCACCTCCTCTAGTAGGGGGAACGTATCAATGGGAATAAGGTAGTCACATGACCTTAACTGGACCATTTCGAGTATACTTAGTGTGCACACAAAAAGAGGGGATTTGAAAAGCTTTGAGTATTATATATACTAAATTTAAAACAGAAAACTGGTAGGAAATTCTTACCGTTTAGCTTCTTATTTTTTTAAGGAGAGTTATCGCGGGAAATTTCAAATGAGAAAATATTATTTTTAAGTAAATTAAATAGAAAATATCCTAATGCCGACTTTTTCAAATATTAATTTCATATTTTATTATTTTATTCATGCCTTTAAAGATAGAAAAAAAGGTTTACGCAAAGTAGAATTCATGCGAACGATCGTCAGAAAAAAAATACTTATAAACATGTTCAACTCGAGCACTGAGTTTTTGGAATATCGTTTATAAACATTATCTTTTCATTTAAGGCCGTATGACTAAATTATTAAGTTTAAATATAGGTGACTATTATATCATTTCTATTCCAGATAGATGTGGACGATAATCTAATGTATTCGGGTTCATTATAAATGAATACCCTTCCTTAATTCTTATTGGTCGTAAGATATTTTGATAACCTCAAAATTAGAATGAAGAAGCTAACCGGATTTAGATGGCCAGTTTCGTATGGTTTAGATTATTTTGTACTATAAATTTCCGAGTAATCGTTGTACTTTTTAATAGTTAAATAATATTTGTAAAGCAAAAATATTTATTACCAAACCGTCTCCAAAAAAACTGCAAACATATAACATAGATGACGGGCAATGCAAATATAAGGATAAATTTTGGAATTACAAGGAATACTGCAAAAGAAGAACCTTTTCTCTGCACTGAGGTGTAACAATAAAGAATGTGACCACCTCTTTAGTAGCGCTACATTCGATAAAGCCATGAATTCCAAACACTTTAACTGTCTCATAAGCCTTGCTTTCATATGTACGTGGATGAACGATATACATGTATTTTCCAGTCGACAGAAAATGAAAACCATCTCCCAACTTTAAAAGTATATCTCGCAGAAAAGAAAATTTCGATCTATCAGTGCTATAAATCGTTACTTGCCTTTTTCTCAAACGTTTAAAATCGCGATCAGTCACTAGGAGAGTGTGGTCAGGGCCAAGATAGAAATAATCATTGTCAATTGCTTTGACGAATTTTCCGTTCAACTCTCTAGTACGCATCTCAGGCTTCTTTGCTTTTTGCTTTCTGTAAATATTGTCTCCACTTACCAAAGAGAAGCTCATTTCATGACATACAATTCTCAGAGGTTCTTTTATCTTAATTTGAAATGCAACGCTATCAACAACATTACCACTAGCAGTGCTAACCGTATCCGTTCTTATGCGAGGATAGCATTCTTTTTTGTCTGTGCTTATCACCATGATCTTGTCGTTTCTCTTCGCTATACCCATATTCAATAGACCATCCTTAGCTATTATCATATCAGGTTCAATATGACTTTCATATGGGAGTTGATACACAGACCCAACACTCGTTGAACTGCAAGTCAGAACGAAAAACTTTCTTGCCATAGGATATAGGCCTTTTATCTGATCTCGGAATTGGAAAAAAAACTTGTTTTGAGGCTGCACCGGACCATCATGCAAGCCCTCAAGAACCTCCAGTCGATACATATATAAAGATCTTTTCCACATCATTATACCAAGCAGATTTTGACTAATAACTATCTTAAGCCTTCGTCTCATAGCTTCGATTGAATCTTGGAATGGATAACCATCCCATAATTCAACCTCTTCCGCCACACCTTTCAGCTGATTTATTTTCGCAAAGTAGCCGTTATCAATTTGTTTTCTGAGTTCACGGTTGTGATACTCCATATCTGGATCAACAGGACGTGTCATCAAGTACTCTATTTTCAAAATTTTCTCCTCGATCAGATTGTTATATTGTAGGAGTAATTGTTGTCTCAAATAGTTGAGACTGTTTAACTCTGGAACCTTCTTAAAAGCATCCAAACCTTTTGATGGCCATCTTATAAGTTCTCGACAAACTGGACATCTAAAGTTTTTATTTGTTCTTGGCGGTAAACAAACATTGATCGAACAGAGGCATTTTCTACATAGTCTATGCACAGGGGAGCAAGCCAAAGTATATGAGTTTTCGTAGAAAAGCATATCGTCGCAGACACAGCAAATAATTGGAGAAGGCATCTTCAAACGTGTCCTTAATTCTTTGATAATACCTAGAATTTTTCAACTTTCAATAATTTTTATCAAATATAAGAACTCCAAAATAAACTAATAAAGAGACAAAGCAATAATACTCTAGTACAAATGTCATAATGTTTCTGTGGCTTAATCTATGAAATGCCTATGTACTAATATAACCAAAAAATGAGTCTAGAGCATTTTAATTAAGATAAACATTACTTTTATATTCTTTTAAAAGTCGAAAAATGTACAAAAAAGTTGAAAATTTATTTATATTGTGTTTTCAAATAAAATATGTCTTAAAAACTTACCAAATTATTCTAAATAAGCTCTTATTTTTGAAATTATTCTAGTAGTCGCGCTTCATTAACTCCCAAAAACGAAAAGAATTAAAGATGGCGATTATGAAACATACTCAACTTTGAATGTACTCTGTTACCACTGAATATTTTGTACTTGTCTATAATTTGCTTTTAAAATATAGGGTGAAAACTGGCGCTGTATGTCATACTTTCCATAACTTTTCATATAAAAAGTCCGCCATTTTTTTTTATATTTAAACTGAACCTTATGAACTTCCACCGGAAAAAAAGAAAGTATTCAGAATTAAAGAAGTGAAAGGAATGGAGGAATTGTGAAGGTCTCGAAATACTTAATCATTATTAGGAAATAAAATTAACGGTATGACTTTTAAAACATTTTAAAGCATTTGAAAAAGTTAATGTTCTAACATTCCATAAGAATGTTATTTAATTTAATTAAATTCGTAGGAGTATAATAATGGCTCTTTTTTAAGAAATTCCCAAAGCCCATGTATTTATTAAAAGATCTGTGGTCAGTTATTTATAATATTATGTGATAAATTGATAGATCGGCAAGAATTTTTATCGTATTTAAAAAAATTCGACAAAAAAAGAGTTCGTTCTAAACATACAGATAGTTTCCAGACGATTATTGTAGATATTAAAATTTTATGACAAGTCACATTAGTGATTCGACTGGTCTTGTATGTTTTATTTTTGTTTTGGAAACCAAAAAATTATCAAATAGTGTCGTGGTCGTAGGAAATTAACCATATATGTTGGTTTTCAAATAGCAATGAGAAATTGAATTAGAAATATAATAAATGATTAAGTAAATTAGACCTCAATAACTTTTAAACCGATTAAAGATTCTACTAAAAGAACCAGAATATTATTTAATTCGTTCTTTGGCTATAGATCTAAATATTCCCGCTAAAAAAAATGCCAGACTTTGGAAACATTTCAACTCGAGATTATTTAAAATTTTAATAAAACAAATTCAATACAAAGAGCGAAGATTCTTTAAAAAATGTTTCAAAAAATGTTTAGCGCCTTTACTTAGCTGAAACTTTGTTGATAAGAGAACATTTGGCCTAAGAAACGCTTAACATTTATTTTTATGAATGCTTACGATCTGTTCAAGATCTCTTGAAAATTCTTATTTGATCTGCTTATCGAATTGTTTTTAAAAACAGATATAATAGTGTGCTATCAAAGCATTTTTAATCAGAAGATGGCGCTCAGATATTAAATAATAGCGTTTAAAAATTCAGTAAAGTTTATTGTATCAGATAAAATTAACAAAGTGAGTACAACAGACGACAATACTTGTACAACTCTTTTTTTATAGTTTTCCCAATGTTCCTAAAAGTTTACTTTTCCAGAATTTGTAGGTATTTAAATTTTTTTAACTTGATTTGTTGGAAGAAATATTTGATTTAAACAGCTATCATCTCTAAGGATTGTTGCGTTCACTAATAGTCAGTCTGTACCAGAAGTCTGTAAACAACAATGCCAGATCGCACAATAGCCAGTTTGACATCTTTGGTAAAGAAAGAATAAGGAAGTACATCTATTTGATCCACATCAAGGACTCGGTTCAGATTACTGTTCCCTGTTCCAACATTTCTGGTATCGCTAAGTCAATCTGTACTCTTCACGTTTTCTCAGTCGTGTCAGATTTTGCAGGAAGTCAGTCATCCTTTCTTGGAGTCGCAAAATTTGAAAGGAAAATTGAACGAAACTGTTCTGTAAAGATTCGGCGGGTGACCCCTTATGTCGTCAAGTTGTAGTCTGCAGAAACCAAATTGTTTGCAAACCAAATGCACATTTGAAAATGATCATTAAAAGTTCGGCAATATGAAGAACTTGGTGATCAAAAATCAATTATCAGTATTGCAATAAACTTATTTGTTGGAATTAGTCTTCGAAATACATCAATCGAATAATTTCTCACCAAAATATCTTAATTAATAGACAGAACTTTGCAATTTTTTCGGTCACTAGTGAACGCCTCTAGTCATCCTGCACTCATAAAGCATTCGAAACCGATGACCCGAATTGCAAAAACCAGTTTTATCGTTTCAGATAATGAACTGATGTCTGTTATTGCCCTAGATCTTGCTAATAAACTTAATGAATTTTTTCATTTAAGAACTGAGCCTCCATCATCTGTTCGAGTAATGGAAGATTACCTGAAATTTGTAGAAATAAAAGATTAGTCAGTTGAATTTCTCTACAATTTAAACAATATACATTTTCGCATCAATTACTTAAGGATTGGGCGGAGAATACTAAAGTTTTTACTGCTAAATAATAAGCTATGTCTATCACTGTATTCATGTTGTTTAATCTTTTAAAAATTTAACTAGTCATTTCTTCATTTAAAAAGTTGGGATTGTAATATATTATAATTTTATACTTCTAAATAAGTAATTTCCTCAAAAGGACTGTTTACAGACCTATGCACAATATCACGTGGAAACGTAAATTCTAGTACCTTAAGTACTAACTAATTAGTTACTTTCACTTTTGCTATATCTATATAATATGTATCTTTTAAAGAAGATATATCTTACATTTCTTGAAGTTCCAGTGTAGATGGCGAGGCTAGGCACTGCCACGTGTCTTCTGGAATTGCGACTTCTCGCCCTATTAAAAGTTAGAATTAGTAATATAATATACTAAGCTTAAATAGTAACTGTGTTTCTTACCTTTACAATGTCCCTTGAGGGTAAAAATCTTTTAGAGAAAAGAAGTGACCCTCTCGGGGCACGGTCCAGGTGAAAAGTGACACGAGGTGTTCGGACACTGAGCATGCGTTGTTAGTCAAAATCTCGTTTTCAGTTGCCGCCAAAATTTTTATTCGACTAATTAATATAAAAGTTGAGCAGTTGTTACTTCTTTCTCTTTCGATATCGAAACGTGAACGCGTATTATCGGCCGAACGAAAGTAGTTCCGACTTAGTGAAATTATTATACTTTTTTCTCCAATTTGCAAATTAAAAACGGTATTTATGATAGTTTATTAAGACTAAATTTTATACTATTACTTAAACTATTACTTTAAACTGTTTCAATCTAAAAAAAATCAAGTTAAATATCAAAATTTTTACTTAATTTTTAAAACTTTTTTGGAACATGAAAATTCCCAAATCTTCACATGGATTTTAATTAGTTGCACTTATTAATAGGTTAATGAAATTAGATAAATATTACTTAAATATTGCACTTTAATTTTACTTTCAAGGAGTGTTAAAAAAGTTTTAAACACGCGAATATTTTCCATGCCGCTTGTTCAGTGAAGTATTTGTGCTTTGATGGAGAATTTTATTGGCTCGTAAGCAAGCCTTATTAAAACTTTTATTCTTATGTTGTTTAATATGAATATTGTTATTTTTTTAAATACTTCAATCGGGTAAAGTTACTAATTGTAATGTATTTATTAAAATGTTCTAGGAACTATATTCTTCGTATTCTTGTAAACAATTTTTAACGAATTATTTGTTTTCAGCTTAATTAAAAAGTAATGGCTGCAAAATTGCTGACTCGAGTATGCGGTATCTGTCATGATACTTTGTTATATGATACATCTGTCACTTTAACGTGTGGTTTATCCCACTTGTTTTGTCGTAATTGCGTCGACTGCCTCTTGGTTTCCTTCCCACCCGAACAAGCTATGGATTTCGCTTGCCCACTTTGTGAAGGAGAAGTGAACTGGCCTTCAGGTGGAATTGACGATTTTCCGAGAGTCTCCTTATTACAAGATGCTGGGTACTTGAAACACCAACTTGAAATAGAGCATGCAAACTTAAAAAGAGAGCTTAGCTGGAAACTAGAGACCATTGACAAGCGAAAGTCCGATCCTAGAATAAATATCCTGAAACAGAAAGTTAAATTTGGCTACGAAAAACATCTGGGCCTATTGTTGAAATCTGCTATAGCAATAAATAAGTTAGAAACTAGAATTATACCTCTTAGGAGACAAGAAATAAACGAACATGTTTATAATTATATTGGTAATAATTTGAAAACTATTTACGAATGGAAAAATTCCCCAGAAATGTATGACTTTGAAGTATGTGAGGGACTATCATCGACTGTTCTCAGGCCTCAGCGCAAATATTTTTATCAATTTTCAGCTCCTATAAAAAGTATTCACATGCAAAATGATCGATGCTATCTATTGACTGTAGATAGCGATGAAACTGGTTCTATTTATCAAGTAAACTACGAAAAGGATTCTAAACCTCGCTTGATAGCAGTGAAACAAGAAGTGGTCTGTATGGACGTTTGCAATGAAAGAAATGAATTTATTGTACTATTACATCGCTGGGAAAATCGAGCTTTCAGAGTAAGAATAGAAAAATTTGACCAATTTCATGGATCTTTTTCGAAATTTAATCATCACAATTTGAAATGCCTTCTTAATACTAGAATATTTAGCGTTGATGATACTTACGTATTGATCAATAACAATTCAGTTTTGAAGAAAGAATCAACCTCCAATCGCTTAAAACATGTTTTTAAAAAGATTGACGGAACCTTTTCGCGATTTATCAACAATACTGCATATTTTATTGGAACAAACCGACGCGTGACAATCACGGATACTGAAGACAGAAGATATTACAACATGATTGTTCCTATAAATACGGAATATACCTCATTCAAATCTGAAATTATCGACAGGCTGACAAAAGGTCATATTTTGCTGTCAGATACTCGGTACATATATTTATTACAACCTCAAACAAAGAAAGGTTTCGCTTTTGCTTCTGAACCGCTCTTTGGTGTATCTGGTATAGTTGATTACGTTATGACAAAAAAACAAGTGATATTTTCTGTTCACGTGACAGAAAAAGTAGAAAGAGTCTTTCTACTGCATTTTGATCTCTAAAAATATGAGCATATATTTCGACTTTCAACAAAATTTATTCTTACATTTTCGATTATCATTTTTTCATTGAATAGATACAATACTCCTTAAATAGTTGGAATTTCAATGTTAAGTTGAACAAATTCCTGAAATATACATATTATTGAAGGTCAAAATTCTTTCATAGGTATATAAATTTATATAATGCATATAATAGGTAGATATATTTAAAAACATAGCCTTCATTCTATATATTCTCATATCATTTGAAAAAAAAGTGAAATGCATTGACTAATTTTATGGAGACATTTCACATTAGAATGAAAATTAATTAATTAAAAATTACTAACAACTATGAATAGCGTAATGTTTACATTTTGAATTCTAACCTTAGCTAATATTGTTCGTTTATAAAGCTTCACAAACAGATAGCAGAATAGAGACTAGTGAGTCCAAACGTCGAAGTTTTTTTAATAGACTTCTTTTTTAAATTGTAAATGTCTTTTATAGTAACTTTGATTTTTGGATAGATTTTTACAGCTAAGAATACTAACTTACTTATATATTGTGTCTGCAAAGTCCTTACAACATGTACGACTTTATTGGTAACTCTTAAATAAACTGGAACTATTTTTTACAGAAATTACAAACTTTTTAATAGTAATATAAGTTTTGGAAGAATGATTATATGATAGATAGGAATTGTCACTATCGAGAATATAATTATTGCCCTTAATGAAAATTGTCTTTGGGCATAGAAGCGGCCATGTCCAAATCGAACATAAAAGTTAGCTAATTAAAATCTGTGTGAAAATAATTTCTTGAATGTATCGATGAGAAAGAACGATGACAGTAGAAACTTACTAAACTTTAGGAGAATGAGCTAAAAATATTTTAAAACTAAAGGTAAAGAGAGGATATTGAACTCATAATAGGAAATTGTTAAATACCCAAATAGAGGTGAAAAAAAATGCTAAGAAGTATTAATTTAACTTTGACTGATCGGTTAGCGTCACTAACCATAGTGACGAAATAAAATCGACAATCATAATCTATTCTATCTAGCGTAGAAACTAAACATTAACGACGATGATATACCGTATAAGGTATAGAGATTTGAAGTCAATCAAGTCGTATCAATATGTGATATAACACACAGAATATATTATGAAAAATAACGTAACGCAGTATATATAAAGCTAAAACGATCTACACTAATAAATAATATATTAATATTAATAACTTCTACGTGAAGAGTAAAGTTATATTGGCGCTACAAGTCACTTACCTTTCATACGAAATTCTTATTTATCCGATATGTTAAAATACCTAAGAGTTTTTCTAATTAACTTAAGACTGATTGAACTAATCGGATTATGATATAAATTGTAATCATAAATATATATCTTATTATATATACACAGCAGATGATATATACAATATATATATACTATGTATATAAGCCTAACATCCAATAAAATTTGTTTATTTAATGAATGAAATAAAATTAAAGATGATAATGTTAATAAGCAGAATGAAATGAGTTAATTTGTTATAAAAATAATAAAGTTCGTATAGTAAAAATGATAAATAAATGTAGTTGCCATAAATAAAAACTAATTTACGAAAGATAGTTTTTAAACTAATCAATTAAATCTTAATTATATTTTTGTTTAAAACTTGAGGATTTATCTATAATCATATTAGTCTATTCATTTAATTAACCCTTTTTTAAATCATCTCTGGGATTAATGAGCATCATTATATAAAGGCCACCTAACTCATACAAGACGCTTTTCATAATCAGTCGATTGTTCGAAGCACAATGACTGAAAGAGCTGAAAAAGACTACACAATTGAAGTTCCTGCGAATGCTTGTATTAACTGTGAATTTTATGTCAACGTTTCAAGGGCAAAGGAGTTCAAGTGTGGTGCCAAACATATTCTTTGTTCCAGTTGCTACGAAGGTTATCTCAGCTTTTGTCGAAAGCGCGGAGAAAGGATTGACGAAGAGTGCCCTCGTTGCGAAGGTAGAGCGATTGATTTGAGAGAACATATTAGGATGGAGAAATGTAAGTATGCGTTAATATGTGCCCACGTTAGGGCTTTATTTTACCAAAAAAATTTTAGGCAAGGGTATGAGGCAAATCAAACTCCTTGATAATGAATATTACGTTCTATTTCGTAATGAAGATGGAAGGGACGACATTTATAAGCAAGAATACGGAGATGATGGTTCACGAAATTTGATATTTTCGGATAGCGGTATCACTTGCTTTGATTTGGTTTGCAACAATAAGGTTTTGGTTTATTCAAAGTATGAGAAGGGAACTGGGCTTCGTCTACAGGGTAAATTATTGGACCCGAGCGATAGAAAAGCTAGAAAAAAAGCAAAGATTAACATTCACTTTGTCCGAGGAAGCCCAGATATGAGATTTTTTCGTTGGGAGAAGAGATACATTCTAGTGGAGGAGGGACAGCTATTTAGACTTCGTAAAAATTTGGACATCAAGTATCAAACAAGATGCAACATGGAGCCGATTTCTTCAAAACTCGTCGATCATGTTCTTTACTATTTCACCCCGAAAGAGATTTGTCCTAAAACGTTCAACTTTATTTCTGGATTTTTCAAGGTGCCAACTTACTTCCCCGAGGTGAAGCACAAGAATTTGCGCGAAAGCGTCATTGATCCATTACGAAAGGGAGGAGTCTTAGTTTCCAGCGAGACGATGACTTACATAGCTGATTTACAAAACAACAAAAGCTATGGCTACCCAACTGAGGAACTTTTCCACGTCAGTGGAAGGGTTGACTATCATATCAAGGACACGGAGATCATTTTCAGCATTTATAACTTAGCCCAGAAGAGGATCATCATCAAGCGCTATGACTTGTAAGGGATCATAGTCGAAAGAAATTTTTATAATCTTTTCTGTCTCTTTGTGCGCTCCCCCCTCCTTCGCCTCTTCTTTATCAATAATTTTACCCTATTGTACTCTTGTTGTCTTATAAAAACAACTCATCTTCGCAATGTTCATGGATTATAAAATACAATGAAATTCTCATTCAAAGAATCGAATGTTGTCATTAAAATGTAAAAACTCCAAATATGTTAATGTACAATATAATATTTATGAAGGTATTCGTCTAATAAAGAAAAGATAATTAATTAATCTTTATCCTGTTTTTAGGAATGCTATTAATGATACAACTGAGAGAAAAAAAGGTCAATCAACTGGCACCCTACATGCTTTTTCTATTCGTGTTGTCTTTCCAATTCAGGTAAATTTAAAAATCTACGTTTCAGATAAAAAAGAACTTGACGAATTTAAAAAACAATAATTGTTGCTTTAGATCAAAAAGTTAAAAAAAAATTAAAGAGATTTCATGATAAGATGATGATAAAGACTATTATAATTAATTAAGACAGGTGCAAATTGCCTTTTGAAATAATATCATAGTATAATTAAAGGGTTTTTTTTCTTCAATGAATATTTATAAAATTGGCAACAAAAAAAAAAGAGAAGGTGAATAAAAAAAAAAAAAGAAGTATATTAATTTTGGTTGATTTTATAAAAAAAAGGAGACTTTTCAGTTTCGGGGAACTAATTAAGAGGTAAACTAATCCAATCTTCATTAAAATTTATTAATATCATACTTATTTTAAGTTGTTTGTCTGACGTTAACGAATCGATTGTCTGTCCTTATTGTTTTCATTATATACTAGCGGCGTATATATCGCAGACCGAAACAGTATCTAATAAATTTGTTGTGCTAATTCCATCATATAACCATTTAAGATAGATTAATTTACAAAATGAAGTTTGGCAATCGCAATTATACAAACAATTGCCATTAGTTTCAATAAGATTACATCTTTTAAAGTCACCACTCCATATATCTTTATCATTAAAATATTGATTGTATCCTCGCACGTAGACAACCAGATAGGGATCTGTATTTGAGTTTGAACATTGAAAATTTGTTCCGGTAACCTTTACTTCAGCTTTGGTTGTTGTCGGGTTGAAAATTTCATATAAAAACTTTTGACTTCGCCTATTAGCTAAAGTGCTACATGTGGAATATCTTTGCGGTTCTGTTAATCCACCATATTTGCAAACGTTATCAACAAGATAATGAGAATTGAACCCGAATGAATCTCCTTCTTCGAAAATCACTGTAAAATTTCTCGGATTATAATTTGATAGAAAATGATGTATAATATTACAGGGAAGTTTGGAAACTGCAACGGTTAAATCGTTAAAGTTGATGTCAAATAAAGACATATCAGCATTTGGTCCAATAGTATATTTAGTCTGCGAATTTTTACATGTTTCGTTCTGCTGTTCACTGTAGATAGTCCACGAATAGCGACCTAAAAAAACAAAATAGAATTCTTTGTAACATATTGAAAATCCTAAAGAGAACTATTGGTTTTATATCCTTACCATGGACTTTTATGTGTGATGCCCCACGACTTACATCTTTATAAAATTGCGTTGAAGTTATATAGTCAGACTGGGCAGAGTGCCAGTATAAAAAAACTTCTCCTGTTTTTCATTGCTTAGATAAAAAAATGGTACATTTATTAAAAAGCAAAAATTATTTACCTCCAGGAAGGAAACATTCAATACTAGCAGATTCCGAATAACAGCAGCCAAGATTTTCACAATTTATACTATTAATATTTGAATAGCCACATTCAATTCTCTCTGCTTCGGGATGATTGCAGACCAGACCATAGATTGTACATAGAATGTTTGTTAAGGTTAAGAAGTGATAGTACATGATGATTCTTCATTCGCAAATGTCCCGTGCTAATAAGTTTTATTACTGTCTAATCTATTATTAATAGATATCTTTGAAGAAATTTTTATATATTCAATAAAAAGTCTATATACAACGCATTTTACATTATTTAGATATTCAGTAAGGAAAACAATCGAAACTTTTAATTCTGGATCTATCTCAAAGAGTTTAATCTTATTCATTTCAAGCAAAATTCATTCATTAAATATTATTATGATAAATTATAATTAATCATACTTTTTCCGGTCAGCCATTATTATTGTCAATTATCAACTTGAGTTACAGGGTTAAAAGAGCGATAAAAGATGAAAAAGACTATTTGAAACTACTCAAAAAAGGCGTGTTTAGTATAACAAAGGTAAACGTGTTTTTAGAATTATGATAATTTTTGTAATAATTATGTTTATTTTTTTAAATAATTATATTAATTTATTAATAAGATTTTTATTTTTATATTTTTAACCAATGAAAGAAACTTTTAATTTACAAGCAATTCCTTAGGCCAATTAGAATCTTTCTTTTATTATTCCAATGGAAGATTGTATGAGCATTGGCGGCATCACCATTTGTAAAAATTGAAGTTTACAATTTTTTATTTATTCATTCAAATAGGTTTATGTCAAGCAAAATTGTCTTTAGGGAAAAGGATGGTAAAATGTGACGTGTTTGACTGGGAGTTCCCCATCCAAAGCGAAGCTCTTTTCAAGTATATTGAAGATAATTTGAGCGAAGATACTCGACTACGAAAAGAAATGGTAAGAAATTTGTGTATAGAGCGAATAGCTAAAATTACTTTGAAAAATGTACTTTAGGAAGAGAAACTAAAGGGAATTGAAGGTTCACAAGGATGCGACGTAATGCTGAAATGCATGAAAGCCATTTTTGGTGAAGCCTTGCGCTTTTTCATTGTTCCTGCCCGGACCCACGCCGAAAAAAGCCTTAAAGTAGCAGACGACGGACTTCTTATACTGCAAAGCCAGTATTTGTATAAGCTATTCTGCTGTAAGCTATTAATATCTAGTTTTTATTATGAGAATATTATGATAAAAATTTTTATATTTCAATTTCACAGCTTTGGTAGTGGAGAATCAATCGCTAAAAACTTATATTCCTTGCCTGGAAACTCGTAAAAAGTACGTTGATATGACCTGCGATTTTTGGTTTTTTATGTACTAGAATTATATGATTAGGACAGAAAATGTTACTTGATTAAAAAACATAGCATTTATTATTTGACGTTCATAATCAAGTTTTAGTCATAATTTAACAAACAATTCGATTTTAACTTGAAAGTAAATAACTGCAGTTGTTTTATATTATCTATACAAAAGGAGAGAAGGAGGAATACAGACTCTAGGTTAATTAAGAAACATGAGCTGCTTAATGAGGGAAACATAAAATTAAAATCTACAAGAATAGAGAAATGAGTCAACCTATAGTTACTATGTGATTCTCTTTCTTTAATGTGTTCAATAATTCAAGTCTATTCTTCTTTCTTGCTACAAGGTTGGAGTATAGAAATGGACTTTATAGTTATAAGAATAGAAATATTAGTAGCCTTGTCAATGCTGGAAATTTATAATCCTTTCATTCTGCAATCAATCTCACCTCAGTTCCCTATAATCCTTTAGCGCTCTTTTATAAGGATATTTACTCCGGCTGTTGCAAATTTACCCACTGCAAAAGTTAGAAGGGTGAACTTTAATGAGATTGTATTCAAGAAAATATGAATTTTTTGTATTGATGTATTAATAATAAATAGGAGTAAAAGGGAAATGACTAAAATATCTTCAAAGGAGCAACAACATGAAAATTTAACAACAGAGCAAGAGAAATCTTTCCTATAGGTGGCATTCCATTCAATCATTGATATTGGTGAACAAGAGAGAGAGAGAGAGTGAAAGCATCGGTGGACTTTTCATATTATACTTTGAGGCAGATAGTTGTGAACAGAGAATATATGAATTTAGTACACTTTTTACAATGTACTGCCACCTAAAACTAACAAGTGCATACAGATTTGGTCAAAGCTACTTTTCTTTTCGTATATAGTGTGTTTGTAAGCCTTACTCTCTATTCATTATACATTAAAAATATCTTGAATGCCACTCCTTCGGAGAGATCTTCTTATACTTTTACCTACAAATACTTTTATCTTTTCGGTGATTCTTTGTTCCATTTCATATATAATTATTCTTATCTTAGTTTATGATTAATAATTGCAGTTCTTTTTTATCTTTTAACAGTCTTTTGTTTATGTGTTCTATCATAAAATGTTCTGCAAATAGCAAATCACTCATATTTAGTTACATCCGCTTGAGAAATGCCTAACTGATTTTAACTATTACTACTGTATCTAGCAGTAAAAACACACACTGAAAATCTTAATGATTAATCCTGTTTCAACAGGCAATTGCATATTATCACGTGTTCGCATCACCAATTGATTATCATAACAACATATCACTTTCGAATTAGTTAATGTAATAGAACTATTTATCACAGACTATTTTTTCTTTAATAATGACTTTGCATATTCTTTTTTGACACTTTAAAAAATCGATTTTACAATATATTTCCTATCCTTTCCCTCAACAGTCCTTATGAGGACATTGACGCATGTGATAAATTATACTCATTACAATCTTCTTATGGACAATACTCTCTTCGATTCGAGATTATGTAATATTATTGATTTTAAACAAAGGCATCTTATACTCTCCTCTACCGTACATTCACAACTCAGAGTTGTAGTGATATTCTGTTAATTAAGATATACTGGCTCACCAAAGTCTCTTATACAAACAAACAATCAAAGTCATTTCGGTGCATTTTTCAATGCCTATTATGGAATCTCAAAACCAAGCAACAGTCCAAGTAATTAGTTCAAAGGTATAGCAAGAAAAAAATAATGTGGAGGATAGAGGATTAGAAAGGACAAAACAAAAACAAGAAGAGGACAGAAGAAGAAGAAGAAGAAACAATGTAAAAGAATACGGCACCCAGTGTTCCCTGGGTTTATAATCATCACATCAATGGTGACCAAGTTCCAATTATTTTTTGTATCGATAGGGATGGCCAAAATTAATTATATCCACCTCTGATCCAACTTTTGAAAAACTCTTAATCGCCATTATTGCAAATTATCGTCAGTAAAATATCTGATGTGAAAATTCAATTCTCCGTACTTCCTACAAAAGATGGGAATAATAGAACATCTGAATGGACTTGTAAAAACACTACTATCTACATCTTGATTCAAACCAAATTCCCAATGTACCTCGGGATCTATTTGACTCACGGCCTCAGGTATTGAAAGCAACATGAAAAAAGACCTATACGCCTTACAATCAATGATTTATGCGAACCAATGGAAGTGTCACCAGTCAATTTCAATAAATTACTGAAATTACGATGAAGAATGATAAATATGATCCAGCAACGGTTGCGGAAGAACGTTAATAATTGAATAAGAGGTCTTGTATTAAATTATTCAGCGTCGTTCAAAAACGAAGCAAATGGTAGAAATACCAGCATAGACAAAACATACGAATAGACGATATAATACTATATCCAGACCAACAGGCTATGAACAGATTCAAATTTGGATACATAATCCGACAGATATTCGAAAAAGCCTAAAAAATATTTACTGTGTATAGCAGAGTCCAAAAGGACGCTAAAAATACAATATATTTTCTCTTGGGAAAATCTCCATTCGTTCCTTCTCCCCGGGTCGTTGACCATAACACATTATAACGGCCCCAATGATTCCGATATTTTAATCATTACATTATTTTAATCTTTAACTTTACGTTTCTGATATTTGAAAATGTCGCTTTCCCTCTAATTTCATTCATTAAAAAAGGTAACTACACCCATTCAGTTTCATTTATTACGTCAATCGATAACATATATATAGACCATGTACCTTATATACTAATATAATTTATATATACAGTATATGCAATATATATTCTGTCTGCATGGGTGAAGAATACTATATTGATTATATTCTCTCTGTTTAATTCGGTGAAAACACGTTTGTTAAACCATTTTTAATGTTGACAACATTTTCTAAACGAAGAGAAAAAAGTGAAAGAGAAACGGAAAGGAAAAAGAGAAAATATGATTTACGAGAATGAAGAAGAAAAAAAGAAAAAGAATACGGCACCCAGTGTTCCCAGGCGGTCTCCCATCCAAGTACTGACTGGGCCGTACGTCATTTAACTTCGGTGATCGGACGAGAACCGGTGCTTGTAACGTCGTATGGCCGTATACAACAGACTGCTTAACTATGCCCTATTTATACCATTCCTAGTTTTAACATGATTCTATTCAAGTCGTGACCTGTGGCCATACCAACCCGGCCAACAAACATAATTGGTTATTACTTCAACTATCTTGATGACGAATGATGGTAGTTTTAAAAAAATGGTTACATTTGATTATCATTATGATGTGGACCATTGTAAGTGAGTCCTATTATGGAGCGGTTTATGCAGATGGAGATATTTACTGTTTCTTTAAAAGCTGCAGAAGAAACTCAAATGATGGAAGACGAAGATTAAATCTCAATGCATGATTCGTCGTGAACATGGAAGTTACGTTTTCCATTATTATTTAATGATTTTATTCTAAAAAGAGTGAACTTTTTTTGGAATGTTTAGTAATATAGTACATGTCGTATAAATAGCGCAAATCTAAGTAGACTATTGTATACGGCCATACGACGTTACAAGCACCGGTTCTCGTCCGATCACCGAAGTTAAATGACGTACGGCCCAGTCAGTACTTGGATGGGAGACCGCCTGGGAACACTGGGTGCCGTATTCTTTTTTCCCTTTTTTTCTTCTTTAATCCTTCTTCTATGTTCTTCTCTCAGCTTTTTTCGTCGTTTCCAATCCTCTGTTCAGCAAAGCATTAGACATTTTTGGAGGAGAAGAGAAATTACTGTTAAGTGAATACTTGAAGGAGAGTCTTCTTTCGATTTGTCCTCTTGTACACTTTTTGGCTTTTTCTCAAACATATTTCTCTTTGAACAAAAAGAGTTTGAATCTCTGAAATATTCAGTAAAGAAATCATAACTCCGATCCCATTTAATAAAAATGTTACCGTCCTCTATACAATCAGAACAACGCAAGTATTTACGTGATGCTGTCTGGTGCAAAATCGTTTTCTCGACGAGTACAAATCTGCTCTTCCATTTTGTAGATTATTGCTCATGAATTTATTAAATGAGACTTTCAGTTTGACAGAGATATTCCTCGAAGCAACATCATTGAAAAAAGTGATAGGGGAAACGGAAAGGAAAAAGCGATGAACGTAGGAGATTTGATATATGAGTTTGAGGGAGAAAAAAAGAGAAAAAAGAATACGGCACCCAGTGTTCCCAGGCGGTCTCCCATCCAAGTACTGACTGGGCCGTACGTCATTTAACTTCGGTGATCGGACGAGAACCGGTGCTTGTAACGTCGTATGGCCGTATACAACAGTCTGCTTAACTATGCGCTATTTATACAACACCTATATCTAACCTTTTTTCTTCATGTTTTTTCAGAACATTGACACAATAAATAATAGCAGAGTGTCCTTTCTATCACTGACGTATAAAGGTATTTTTTTTAATTTTAACTACTTGCAATTGTTATATTAGAAAGTATTGACAAACCAATTCTACTGCCTTTTTGCAACGTAACATATTTTCCTTATCTAGTTAGTATTATAAAAATTTTCATTTTTACTAAAGAAAAATTGCTCTCTTATTGAGTGATCTGTTGAGTACTAAATAGTGTCAAAAAGAGGCTTTTTAAGACAAGAACGTAAGCATTTCTTACGTACAATTAAGAAAATATAATCAAGAATTTAAGAGTGGCTTTTAATTTGCTTGGCTTAGTGTTGGAATGTCTTTTTCTTATTCTATTGTCAACCCACACATCTTTGCGACTCTATAGGAATTCCTCGATGATATTCCAATTCTTTTCTATCTTTTTCCTCGTCACATCTTCAAAAAAATACGGATATCGTTCTTAACGAAATAGTTGATGATGGTGATAAGTCGTATGATGTTTCTCCTTGTGTAAATAGAAAAATAACAGTCCTGATAATGCAATCCCTGCACATTTTAATATAGACGATATTTGTCGAGCATAGGGTTACACTTTCGGCAGTTTCCCTTAGTCTGGAAGAGTAATATATATATTCATAAGAAAAAGAGTGTAATATTTTTGTGGTAGATCTCAAATGGCTTATAGTTGTTTGTTTGTTGAGCTTCAATAGTTGGATACGAGCCGGGATTGTCAATAGTTTGACAGGCATTGGATTCGTAAAGACAACGTAATGACTAGAAGAGAGCAGAAGGAAAAAAAATGTTATGAAAAATGAAATGAAAATCATCATTGGTTGAACGGATTAAGTTTATGAGTTTTGTACTGAAATCTAGAATAACATTTTTGAGAGGCAAAGAGGACGAAATTAGAAAGAAAACAGTCGAAAAAAAGATAAAAAGAATACGGCACCCAGTGTTCCCAGGCGGTCTCCCATCCAAGTACTGACTGGGCCGTACGTCATTTAACTTCGGTGATCGGACGAGAACCGGTGCTTGTAACGTCGTATGGCCGTATACAATTGACTACTTAACTATGCGCTATTTATACAGCACCTATATCTAACCTTTTTTCTTCATATTCTTAAAAGAATATCGACTTCGTTAAAATACTCAAAAAAGCCGAAAAATGACTTAAAAACTAAAGATGGTATTACTACGCTCTAAAAAAGGCGCATTCTTTGAGGGAACTTTTATTGACGTCCAACAATATCTTTCACCTTAGTTATCAATCAGATATTACTCTTTTTCTTTCCATAAAAACGACGGAAAGAAATGTATATAATACAAATCTTTCGCTTGATATCGTTATCACATAGATCGATAAGTTGGAGAAAATCGAGTGAAGTTGGAGTGAGTAAAAGTTTTTTCAGATATGAACGATTGCCTTGATTTGGCTGACAGATATGTTTTCGTTCTTTTATTTAAAGAACATATTACTGAAATATTCATGTTTTTCAAATAATTTTGATAAAGGTACACTTAGTATAAATAGCGGAAAGTTAAGCAGTCAATTGTATACGGCCATACGACGTTACAAGCACCGGTTCTCGTCCGATCACCGAAGTTAAATGACGTACGGCCCAGTCAGTACTTGGATGGGAGACCGCCTGGGAACACTGGGTGCCGTATTCTTTTTATCTTTTTTTCTTCTCTTTGTTCCTCGTAACGTAGTTTTCATAACTAGAAAGTTTTTCTTTTGCCTAAAGTAAAAACCTAAAATATGACAAATGTTATTTCGCAGAGCGTAAACGTGTTATGGTCTGTTTTGTTTCACTTTCTTTGTGACTGTAAGGTTTTTTTTGCGATAATTTTCTGTATTTCAGCGATTTTTAAATCGTTTACTAAGTGACATTTTCGCGATGTGAAAGTTTCTGTTTTCCATGATAAGGCCCTTGATTAATTCAAAGGTTAAAAAGCAAGGTTGATTCATTTTGAACGATAATCACTACCGTTTAAGCTTAAACAATTGGCTTAAGATGACTTACCTCTATTTATACGTAATACATTTAAAATTGTGATTAGTACAATCGACAATGAAGAAGAGAAAATATGTTCTCCTGGAATGTTAATGTTACGCACATAGTTGAACTTTTTAGAGAAATTTGGGACTCTGTATAGTTAAATATAATTTTCACTCGATCTTCAATATTTCTCTCTTCCTGTCATTTGCGTTTCTAGAAATTCTCATAAAACGGGTGAATGTGTTAAGAGAAGAATCTACGTTTAAATAGGGCATAGTTAAGCAGTCTGTTGTATACGGCCATACGACGTTACAAGCACCGGTTCTCGTCCGATCACCGAAGTTAAATGACGTACGGCCCAGTCAGTACTTGGATGGGAGACCGCCTGGGAACACTGGGTGCCGTATTCTTTTTTTCTTTTTTTTTCTTCCCCAAACTCATATATCAAATATCCGCTTCTTACTTTTTCCTGTTTGGGCTTGGCCTGATTTTTTCTCCGTTAAGAAAGTGGTGTGTTTAATTCTACAGACAAAAGAAGGCGTTACCCTTAATAGATAAACGCATAAAAAAATGTTTGTTGGATTGCTTTTTTACTGATGCTAAAAAATAATTTTTGACACTGTTTAAAGAAAAGAGTTTTTTTTAGTTATATTGCTCACTCGTTTGAAATAAACGACCATTTTTGATTGGTTTTTTGATCTATTTGGTTGAAAGAATTGAAATTATGGCGCGTAGCGGTGGAAACACTAACGAAATGCCAAGTGAAAATAAATTGGACGTTTTGTACCGAATGCTACAAAATCCTAAGACGTCACCAGCCTCCATAGCTTATCATTTTTCGGAAATATGGAACAGCAGATATGAAGTGTGGGCAGACCTTGCCATTAGAGAGTTGAAACATTTCCTCAATGGGTCAGCTTTACCCGTCAAGAGGAACCATTCAATAGCGAACAATTCAGGAGAGGACGAAGCTGTATATACAACTTTAACGGATGCCTATGTAGCCGACAGTACGGGCTATCGTTTTCCTTCTCCAGTTGACCGTCTAGCTCATTCTCTAGGTCTAACTCAAAGCCATTTTTTAAATGTTCCCTTTCCTCCGGCTTTGATTCAGAGTCGAAACGAGCTTATAGACCTTTCCAATACTTCTGCTGAAGAAACAGCTTCAATTTCACTTATAGGAGGTAGACTATACAGCACGGAGGCGTGTAAAGTGCTGAGTCAAACTATTTCATTTTTCGAGGATAGGGAAAAGGATAGAATGCTGCTGAATAGGAATAATTGTCGTAATTATATACCTTAAAAAGAAAAATAGGCTGATGGAACGTTAAAAGTTTTTTTTTTGTTCTGTTATGTCTATTGTAACGACGATAGTTGAAAAAAAAATCTGATTAGCTGAATTGTGAATTTGTTTTTTTTTCTTAAAAAGAATAAAACAAGAAGGAAACACAAAGCTTTTAAAAAATGGATGAATAATATACTAATTAATTTTCCACTCGAAAATAAGACGCGAAGTGTTTATCTTGAATTATGAATTATTTCTTTATTGCTAAGTTCTCTTGTAGGAATTTAGACGTTCGAATAGAAAAATATTAATTTTGTGGACTAAACATTTGCGCCACTTTCGTATCGATAGGAAAAGGTGGTTTTTTTTCCTTGTTATAAGCAGTAGATGCAATTGCAAAATTTTGGTATAAATAGCGCATAGTTAAGTAGTCAATTGTATACGGCCATACGACGTTACAAGCACCGGTTCTCGTCCGATCACCGAAGTTAAATGACGTACGGCCCAGTCAGTACTTGGATGGGAGACCGCCTGGGAACACTGGGTGCCGTATTCTTTTTTCTCTTTTTTTCTTCTTTAATCCTTCTTCTATGTTCTTCTCTCATCTTTTTTCGTCTTTTCCAATTCCCTATCCGTCAAAGCATTAGACATTTTTGGAGGAGAAGAGAAATTACTGTTAAAAGAATACTTGAAGGACAGTCTTTCGATTATTCCATGTCGTAAATACAGATTTTTTTTATCTCGATCGATTACAGTAATTTGTTGCTAACCTACGAACGCGGTTAACACATAGAAGGTGACAGATTCTCTCACGGCATAGTACCTTCAAAAATGTTTATGGTGAGTATATCGCACTCTTAGTTATTGCAAAAGTTGATGGCAAACTTGAATATATTCTCGTAATTAATTTTAATGGGCGGATTAAGTAGTTGGAGGGGGAAGCTTTTAAAAAGTGGAGTTAATATCGTATAAATTACCATCTTTATTGTTTCTTTTTTTTCTATACTCCTATTATCTATTTCGTACAATTATGAACGTTAAACAATAAAGGAATAGAATCTAGATCACGTAACAGTTATTTACTTGGAAGGAAATCTTATAAAAGGAAAGAAGTATTTTACGAAAACAATTGTTTTTTGTTTATTATTATTATAGAAATGAAAGATGGATGAGAGTCGTATGATAATTTAATATGAATATTTTCCTTATACCTTACCAATTGAAAATCAATATTGTTTCTTATTTATAATTGACTCATTCCAACTTCTTTCAAAATTTAACAGGGTCTTTAAAAGTCAATAAGTTTTAATGATAAAAAGTTGCAATTCTTAAAAACGGAAATAGTAATGAAAATTAAGAAGAAGAGAAACCTATAAATATTTTAAATAGTTACAAAAGGTTTTTTTTTCTTTTTTATATTAAAATTGAGTCAGCTTCTTTGTTGTTTTAGAAAAGCATCATTTCCACGAAAGAGGAGAATAATAGAGTTTTCGCTCGTTAAATATTTTAAAAATATTACTCGAAAAGTAATAAAAAGAAACAAAGAGCTGATGACGTCAATAGTTTTTTTCAATAATAGCTAACGGTTTAATTATAATGCAAGTATAGAAAATGATGATAACTTTATTATAAAAGAAACCTTAAAGGCTAGAGAAAAGGTAGTGTCAATGACTTTTTTGAAAGAAATTCAATAAAACTGCTTAATACAAATAGAACCAATCGATTAATGATTATTTATGCCGAGTTGTTGTTGTTGTTGTTTTTCATTAATCTAAAGAGAGAAGTAGAAAGGAATAATTCAAAAAGAGTTTTCCTATACTTTACAAGTGAAGCAAGTAGTTAATTTATTCATATCCTTTATTGGTCGAAAAACAATCCCTTCCTTAATTGCGAGATTGACTGGCAAAATATTGAAAATCGACCTTTTAATTACTTAAATTAGAAATAATATCGTTAAGAAGAACGGTGCAATAGTTCAATATTTTCATCATTTTTTTTTATATCAGATTTTCATCCAATTCCAGTTAAGTATGCTTAGAGTTTTCTATAGGTCCAATAGCAGACATCAGCAAATTGTTAGCGTATTCATTAATCTTATTGTCATATTTGCCGTTGTATTGAAATTTTATTCGATAAATTTTCTTTATTATGACTTTTTAATTATTAACAACTTATTATTAAGGAAAAACGCTTATATTCATGGATTATGCGTAGTATTCTATAAAGTAGACATTCTAAGCAATAGAATTACAATGTTTTCCTTAGATTTATCAACTATTTCCCTATTTAGCCAAGTGCCCATTTTCGTTTAAATAGCACAAAGTTAAGTAGTCAATTGTATACGGCCATACGACGTTACAAGCACCGGTTCTCGTCCGATCACCGAAGTTAAATGACGTACGGCCCAGTCAGTACTTGGATGGGAGACCGCCTGGGAACACTGGGTGCCGTATTCTTTTTCTCTTTTTTTTTTTCTTTTTCTTCCCTTTTTTTATCCCTTTTAATTCTTCATTTATTCGATTAGGAATTGAATATATTTTATTTGTTATAATTAAAGTTAAATAGTTTTTGTTCTATTTTCTATTTAAAGTTATTTTATCGCTACTTTCTTGGGTGAATGAGAGGATTATTTTGCAGTATTGAAGGGATCTTTTGATAATTTTTAGTTTAGTTTAAAGTTGCAGCATTAATTTTACGTTATTTTCGTCTTTTTAAAAGAAATCAAGAGTTATTTGTTGTCGATGTATAAAAAACACGAAACGAAAAGTATTCAACTCTGTTGGCTGTCCTCCTTAAGTCATGTGATAGCTGTTTTTTTTTTACCTAAAATGTCTTAACTCCTTCTAAAGTATCAATATCCGGATTCATTTAAAGTTGTAGATATGATTACTAAATTATCGTTTGTTTAGGTCTGTTATAGTAATTTTTTTTTTAGATATTGACCATTTACTTGTTTTTGAGCGATGATAAGTGAAGATCTTTAAGTATGTCTGATACTCATCTCATAGCATCGGATGATTCTATAACATCCGTAGACATTGGGTATACATTCAGATCTATCAGAACGATTCCTGCAACTGTCATAATTATTATTCTAACCGTAAGATAAAAGATTTTACAAATTATATCTTAGAAACAGACAACTTTGTTTTTTCAGATTTTAAGCGAAGTTGCCGTTTTTGTCACTCCTGTACTGTGTACAGGGACCAATTGCAATTTAAATGCATTCTCAATCCTATTATACGGACATTTGGTGCTTTGGCTTTTATTTCTACTTTTCGATTGCCTTATTAGCTTTCTTCATAAGAGACATAGGAAAGCTGGATATTTATTATTTTATAGACAGTCTCGTATGACCCGTCGCCTCCCCTTAGTCATAATAACAATGGGTATTGTATCAAATAATTAATAATTAAGAAATACGTAAATTATGATAGTAAAAGAAAAATATTATTCATTTTTAGGTTGTGTTATACTTTTATTGACCGTTCAATTGATGATTGACAAATGCAACTATTCGAAAGAGGAAGATAATAAGTGCGGTTTTTTCAAGAATTATCATTTCATTCAAGGAATATTTAGCGTTGAAACAATTCTAATTCTTCCTTCATTGTGCATTTATACACGTTAGTTATATAATAATAATAACAACAGCAATAATTCTATTAATATCTTCCCTAGATTTTTGTCTGCAATTTAATCGAAAAAAATTATTGCCCGATGCTCAAGAGGAACAGCTTTTGCCATCCTACTTACAAGAGGAAGCTCGTAATCAAGAGAATATTGGCATTTTGTAAATTAACCTAATTCAAACATAAAAAGTTTATTAATTTTTCTATTCATATCCATTTTCTTTTTATCATGCAGAGATCACTATTCTGATAGTATTCTTGAGCGACAATGCGATATGATACGTTATTTAAGAAGGCACAATGAAAAATTGTCCAAGCGAATTATCGAGTTAGATACGTTTGTTCGATCTTTCAGGTATTTATATAATACTTATAAATATAAAAAAAAAACATTCTATTTATAATTAGCGTATTAGAAAAACAGAAAAGCTATTAATATCTTTTTCTGCAGAAACTCTCCCTCGTAGAATTTGAACTTTTAAAAAGAGATTTCTTCTTTTATCAATAGGATTTGCAACAGGAACAAAGGACTTGAACTATAATAAACTTGGATTTTTATCTTTCAGTTAATACCTTTCAAGTTTCGCTTGTAAACTGACGATTTTTTTATCTATATACCTCTTTTTTTTATTTTAAATATAACAGTCAATGACATTTTAGACTATAGTCTGTCAAAAAGTTAATCATAATTTTATAAATGAACGCCTCCTTGCTTGGGAATCATATCGGAAGAGAGTCGAATTATTTGCGTTGATAATTCTCCAATATCTTTCTCGGATCCTATGAGCGGCTGCCTTCGGTTGCCGTTGCCTCGTTAAAAGTCCTTTTTTATTACCGTTAACTCTATTGACGGCTGTTTAAATGAATCATAAGTTTTTTTTAAATACAGTATATATAGAAAAAGTAGTGTACTTTATATATTAAAATTAAGATTAAAACTACCATAATCTGTCATAAAGTCGGCAAAATTCCAAACCATTTCACCTACTAGAAACTTTTTCTTCAAATCATCAAAGACTTTATGATAGCTTTCGAGCATCTTTGCCTGATATTCTTCCGAAAAAGGATTAGCCGGCTCCTATAGATTTTGTTTTAATTGTTTTTATAAAAGAAAAATGGGCAAAGATTATAGGGAAAATCGTACAGTATGCAATCCGGAAATAGTATCTGCTCCGTATTCTGTAATGATAACGGGCTTTTTGAATTTGTTATGCCATCCATTTAGATTCTCCGGTAATTGATAGGCGACTACCTCCGTATGACCCATATCGCTATACCATGAATAATAGCGATTAACAAATATAATATCGACGAATTGAGCCTGTGTTAATGATTAATGATTAATTATTCCTAAATCATTAGGTAAATAGTATATTGATCGATGTGTAAAAATGATTATTTACGGCTTTACAAGTATCATAGTTTTGAGCATCTGCAAAGGAAATAGGTCTAGTTGGGTCTAGTTTGCGGGTAAAATCAATAACGGATCTGTAGGGAAAACCAATAATGCTAATGCAAATAAGAATAGATTGTATAGACATTCTTGACAATAAAAGAGTTAGAAAGCAAATAACAAAGGCAGAAAAGGGCATGTACAAACTTGAAATAATCTCTAGCCTCGTCATAATTGCTTTGTGGTTCGTTGGCGACCGACCATATAATAACGGAAGGACGATTTTTATCTCTTCTTACCAATTCTTTCATAACGTCAAGATGGTGTTTAAGATTTTCTGGTCCCATATTAGTCTTACTGACAGTTAGCATAAGAAAATCAAAGGTATATGTTATATTAATATTAAAATGCATAAAATTCTCATACTGTTGCATGATTATAAATACTGTTTAGAAAAGGTTTAAATATGATTGAAACCGATCATAGCCACCGATCCTGCTGTATGATTTACTAATATTTAATATAATTTAACATTTAATAATCCTAAAGCAGATGCTACTTATAAAAAATGTAATATTCCCCAACAGTAAAAAGAGACAAAATATACCTAATGCCAACACCTGGGCTTTCGTCGAAAACAACAACACCTTGGGCGTCGGCTTGATCCATAATTTCTTCGGCGTACGGATAATGAGAAGTTCTAAAGCAATTGGCGCCTAACCAATTCAGCATATTGAAATCCCTAGCTATAAGGGGATAGTCGAGACCTTTTCCCCTAATCTGAAAGAGAGTGCAAGATTTAAAAGAGCAAGAACAAATGCATTTTAATAAAAGAATAAAAAACAATAAATATTTAAAAGATAAAATTTGTATCTGTTTTTTTTTCCTTACGTCGGAATCTTCGTGCTTAGCGACGCCATGACAATAGAACGGTTTGTCATTAATCAACAACTGAGTATCTGTCCAACGAATAGTTCTAATACCGAATTTTTGACGATAAACATCAATTTCTCCATTCATAGAATTTCTTAATTCCACCTAATATATATATATAAATTTATATACTGTATATAAATCGTATATGTAGATTATTGAATTGACTTACTTTAAGTGTATATTGATAACCTGGATTTTTAAGGTCTTCCGAATAAGGCCGCCATAACGTTGGATTAGATATTGTAATAGAGTTAACCAACCTATCGCTTTGAGCAACTATTTCGTCATTTGCGTTTAATATATAGACATTTGAAGAAGTTGAACTTCTACTAGTAGAGGAACTCTTAATTTCGTATTCAATTACAGCTGCCAAAAGAGAGAGAGGACAAAATAGAAAACAAACACTCCTTTAATAAACCATAAATTTCTATACAAAATCTTTAAGTATTATTATTAAATAATTATATTTAATACTATTTATTCGTAATTTTTCTATATATCTATATAAATAAATACCTTTTCTTTCTACAATAAAAAAATTGTAATAAATTTTCTTTAAAAAAAAAAAGAAAGAAAGAAAGAAGGAGAAATTACTTTGTTAATCAAATAGGAATGAAGTGTTATTTCTCTTTCTTACATATAAAAAGTATCAGTTTTTTTTTGTTTACACGTAATCCGTTTCAACTTGAAAGAGAGTGTAAAGATTTTCTACCATTTAAATATATATATATATATTGTATATACAGTATATTTAAAGAAAGAATAAGTATATTTTCTATATATTAATTAAACAATTTAGATAATTTCCTTACGTTTCAATTTCTAAAGATGTGTGGGTCGAAATAGATAAGATTACTCTCTTATCTCTTTTAAAAAGAATGAGATTTCTAATAATATATTATTATTATTCATAACAATCGTAATAATAATAATAATAATAATAATTAATCTAAAAATAGAAACATTTTCAAAGGATAACCCTTATCAAGAAAATTACTGATAACAAGAAATAGTTTTCTTATCAAATGATAAGTAATAGACAGGAGGGAGAGATGTAATATTCTAACCTTGACTCCTAGAAGCATTTTTAGTTATAATTGTAATGTCGTCAACGTAGACTGTTGGGGTTGTGTAGAGTCTTACTGAACGGTGTATACCAGCGTAATTAAAGAAATCAAATTGACCGGTCATTGTAAAATATCCTGGTGGATAGCTAGTAAGGAAAAGCAATAAAAAAATGTGTACAATATTTATAAACAACAGATAGAGAAAGAGAAAGAGAGAGAAACATTATACCTTTTCGGATCATTTGCATAGTGAACCGTACCGGGCGGAAGAGTTAATGGACTTAGAGTATTATTTACAGCAACCGTTAATAAATTAATTTGACCAAATTTCAAAGCATCGTTTACTTTAGCTTCAAACGGTAGGTGACCACCCACGTGACTCATAACTTCTACTCCATTTAACCACTTTAAAAAGGAATAAATAAATTATCAATATTTAATAAATTGTTATTGTTATTATTAGTTTCGTATGTTATATATACTGTATATAATGTTGTTCATAACTTACTACTTGAGTGAAATAGTGTGCGCTATCTATTCTTAAAACAACTCTTTTATTCCTCCAATCGGAGGATGCGTAGACTTCTCTATCGTACCAAACCCAGCCAACATATTCTCGAAGTTTAAAGTCGGTCTATAAGAAATGTAAAAAACTTGAAACTAATCCTAGATCAAGAAATGCAGATATATATATATAAAAAAAGTATTTCTTTACCGTTATATCGTTAAAACTTGAAGGAACAGGCATTGGGATAACATTACCGGTCTGCAAATATTACAAATAGTATTATTACAACAATTAAAATGTTCAAATATTGATAAGAGTTAACCCGGTGACGCCTACTATTTTTATCAATTGGAAGGCAAATAACCAATGCTAGCGCAAGGTAAATAGATACGAAAAAGAAGCAATTTCTTCGTTGCAATTGTTTCTTGTCTTGTATACCTTTTTAAGGGGAAATTTCCACCATTCGTTGGAGAAACCATCATTTCTTCCAGGAGAAAAATCAGCGCGAAAGTTCCACATACCGTTCAGGTCTTGTATTTGTCTTGATTCGGATTCTCTTGGATAAAGCATTCCCCCTGTGATCTCACATGATGCAAGTGGGATTAAAATAATTAGTAGAAATAGATTAAGTCTTGCCATCTGCTCAAAACTCTGTAACGGGATTTAATCTATAACAAGAGTTTTCAAAGTAAACTAGTCACGTGATAAAGGTTGTCACATGACTGAAATTTATTTCGAATTTTTTAGTAAAAGGTTTTTTAAAGTACCATAAAATTAAGAATAATACTAAATGTTGAACTACGAAGAAATAATTTTTTTCAACTCTTACGAAAATAAATGCTAATAGCAGACGAATTTCGCGGTTCACAACGTAAACTTGTTTGGAACTCAGACCAGGGAAGTTCAAAAGATACTTCTCAGAACATCGTGAAAACTTTCAAAGGTAGAAAAAGAAAGAAGGAATTTACAATATAAACTGAATATCTCTTTCCCTAGTTTATATAAAACACGATGTATGGTCCTATAACGACATCTCGAAAGCCCTCGATGCAAGCAACAGGCGTCACACCGCACGATTTGGGTCTCGGTGACGCTGTAAGGAAGGAACCCTATGCTGATGGTGCTCTCAAACTTCTCGAAACTATGTAAGTTCTTAGATATTTAACGGCTATTAGTAAAAATTGTTTACTTTTCTTCTCTAATAATATACACTTTTCCTAAGTAGTCAGTCAATCTTTGTTTGTCCTAATTCTGTGGCACAGGACTTTTTTTCAATAATCTCCTAATTGTTAGTTGTACGGCTGTGTTGTCAATAAAAAATTTCACGCCAATGCGTGGATTTCTTGAAAAAACTTGAAGAAGCGTGATACATTTTTAGGCCTATAGTCAAAGGTTAAAAAAATGACTGACGTCGTAGAACGATTACCAATAAAGGCGCTTTGGTGCTTTTAACATATGAATAGCGATGAATGAAAGTGATAATTAGATTAGATTTGGCCGCTAATCCGTTGTGGTATAGTGTAGCAAAAGAAATGGCTTTTAATTACTTTTCTTTCGTTTGTTTGCAGAACATTGGCTACCGACGCAATGTGTGTACAATTTAATAGAGACGCATCAATACTGGCGGTTGGTTTGGCCAACGGAACTATACAGGTAATACTAGTGTTTATTTTCACATTATAATTACAAATTTATACTAAAATGCTATATAATAATATATACAAATAATACAAGCACTGCAATTGTTGATACAATTACGTCAATAAGGAAGGAATTGATTTCAGATCTACTCCGCTGATGACTATCGGCACCTGTATAGTTTGAGCGATTCCGATGTTCAAAAAAGTCGACTACCGGCAACTACTTTAAGATTCTCTCAAACGGAAAATACCCTTACTGCAACTTGTGAGTGATTGCTTTTTTCTATTTTAGCTTCTCTCTCTCTCTCTCTCTCTTTTAAAAATTAAAACTATTCTGTTGTTATCTTATACAAATAGATGCTTCGGGTTTAATTAAATTTTGGCATATCACTAACGGACAAACTCTACACACTATTAACGAAGGGGAAAAACGTCAAACTTTAGCGTCAGCTTTCAACAACGATGCTTCGTCGTTCATAAGTGCCGGTTCTGATTCGAAGATCGTTCAATACGACGGAAAAACTAAGCAAGTTAAGAACGTTTTACAAGCCACGGACTCGAGAGATGTTATGAATGGCCATCGTATGAGAATATTCGCGTTGCAGTATCATCCTGACGATCCTCACGTATTCGTCTCTGGAGGATGGGACGATACCGTTCACTTTTGGGACGATAGAACGACCCATTCTGTTCGTAAATTATACGGTCCTCATATTTGTGGTGACGCACTCGATATTGATCCGATTCATAATCATATACTTAGTGGATCGTGGCGGAAGAATAACGTTCTTCAGGTAAAAGCTCTCTTGCAGGGTGACTGATGACTCAATCAATGGTCACGTTTTATTTCAACTTTACTATAATCTACTATTATAATTTTATTATTCATTAATTTTTATCACAAATCAATTATATATCTTTTTTTAGATTTGGGATTTCAACAGCGGGGATAAGATTCGGGATATTCCTCAAGATACTTTAGTAGGTACGCAGGTCTATTGCTGTCAGTGGTTGGCTAGAGATTATATCATTTGCGGTGGTTCTGATATGAATACTGCTAGAGTAATTGATAGAGGAACGTTAAATGTAAGTAAAAATAATTTGCATAAATATACGAAAATAGCATGGCAATAATAAAAAATATTATCAAATCACGACAGACCGTCGGACAAATGGTTGAGCTGCCTCAAGCTGTTTATTGTTTAGATAATGATAAGCAGTTAAAGCACCCGAGGATAGCAATCGGCTGTGCTCAAAAGGTTTACATTCTGAAATGCGAAAGGAAAAATTAAATATTAGATAGATTAGACGCAATCTATCAACTATCTCTTATTGAAATATTTTGCTATGCATTATTATTAACATTCAATTTATTCAAATCATAAAAATATTATTGTCTATTTTTTTTCAGCGTCCATTTGTTTGTTTGTTTGTTTGGTTTCTTTTTTTGTAGTTTGTATAAAAATTCCGTCCATTGCTCTGAAAAACAGAATTGTTTATTAATTTTATTATTTTATGGTATATGTTTTCTTCGTATTCTGGAAGACGAAACTTTCTACTTAATCTTCTTTATATCCGCCCGTCTGCCTAAGCAGCATTATGATATTGTATTATGTATATATATATATATATATATATATGCATAGAATTAGCTATGTGATATACCTATGTTTGTGCCAATTTTCTAATTTAAGCTTTTAAATACATTTATAAGATGATTTATAATTCTGAAAAAGCTTTTAGACACTTCTCGTAAAGGTCTATTATATCGCTAAGTGCGCTTTCTTTTTTGAATAGTCATATAATTAGTCATTTCATTAGAATGACCTATTTTTTTTCAATTTTTCCGCTTTTGTATCAAAATTTTCGTAACAACCGTTGAAATAGTTTTATTGATATTATTTAAGTAAAACTCGATTGACCTTAAATTTCATTTCCGGGTTTTGAAAAGTATTCAGAATACTTTATACGAAAACAGCTGTTGCTTAATGTCAAGGTTGAACGGAGCCATCTTGCTATCGCTTCAGAAGATTTATTAAAAATAACCTTTTATTAATTTCCTCCTACATCTTTAGAGGACGATTGTAAGTAATTTAATTTTTCGGATCTAAGTATATACTAAAACCGGTTCAATCAAACAATTGAGAGTATTATCATTTTGTTAAAAAAATAAAACGTCTATTTAATCACAATATTGTTGTTTTTTGTTATAAAAAAGGCGCAGGAAAGATGACGGATTCGAAGTACTTTACAACTACGAAAAAAGGAGAAATCTTTGAACTGAAAGCAGAATTGAATTGCGAGAAGAAAGATAGAAAGAGAGAGGCTGTTAAAAAAGTAATAGCTAGCATGACAGTTGGGAAAGATGTCAGCGCCTTATTTACCGATGTCGTCAACTGCATGCAAACTGATAATTTGGAGCTAAAGAAGCTAGTCTATCTTTATTTAATGAATTATGCTAAAAGTCAACCTGATTTGGCTATTTTAGCTGTAAACACATTTGTTAAGGTTAGGAATATCGAATTTTCAGATAATTGATTAGAATATATTAGATTTCATTATAGGATTGCGATGATTCAAACCCATTGATAAGAGCATTGGCAGTTAGAACTATGGGCTGCATTAGGGTCGATAAAATAACTGAATACTTGTGCGAACCGCTTAGAAAATGCTTGAAGGATGAGGATCCATACGTTAGGAAAACAGCTGCAGTATGCGTTGCAAAACTACATGATATAAATTCACAACTTGTTGAGGATCAAGGATTTTTGGACATGCTTAAGGAATTAGTGTCCGATTCTAATCCAATGGTAGTTGCTAATGCTGTAGCTGCTATTTGCGAAATTCTTGATGTATCGGATTTGGATTCAAGCCACGATACTCTTCGCATAGACTCGCACATTATCAACAAACTATTGACAGCTTTGAATGAATGTACAGAATGGGGACAAATTTTTATTCTAGACGCCATATCTTCCTACAATCCTGAAGATGAGAGGGAAGCGGGAACAATTTGCGATAGAGTAATTCCTAGACTAGCTCACGCCAATAGCGCAGTCGTTCTATCGGCCATAAAAGTGATTATGAAGCTGATTGACATGTTAGATACCAACTCGGACCAGGTTTCGATTCTTATTAAGAAAATGTCTCCACCGCTAGTCACCTTATTATCGGCTGACTCGGAAACTCAATTTGTAGCCTTAAGAAACATTAATTTAATTATTCAAAAGAGGCACGACGTTCTGAAGCATGAAATGAAGGTGTTCTTTGTCAAATATAACGATCCTATTTATGTCAAATTGGAAAAGCTAGACATTATGATAAGATTAACGAACCAATCAAATATTGCGCAAGTTTTGGCTGAACTGAAAGAGTATGCGACCGAAGTAGATGTTGACTTTGTCAGGAAGTCGGTTAGAGCGATTGGACGTTGTGCAATTAAGGTGGAAGTAGCTGCTGAGAGATGTGTTAGCACTTTACTCGAACTTATTCAGACCAAGGTCAACTATGTTGTTCAAGAAGCTATAGTTGTCATTAAAGATATTTTTAGAAAATATCCAAATAAATACGAGAGTATCATATCGACTTTATGCGAAAATCTAGATACTTTAGACGAACCAGAAGCAAGGGCTAGCATGATTTGGATAATAGGAGAATACGCCGAGAGAATAGACAACGCTGACGAACTGTTGGAAGGCTTTCTCGAAGGATTTACTGATGAAAGTGTACAAGTACAATTACAACTATTGACAGCAATTGTTAAATTATTTTTGAAACGACCAACTGAAACACCTAGCGAATTGGTACAGCAAGTACTCTCTTTGGCAACTCACGAATCTGATAATCCGGATTTGCGAGATCGTGGATATATTTATTGGAGATTATTGTCATCCGATCCTCAAGCTGCAAAGGAGGTTGTCCTCTCCGAAAAACCTTTGATTAGTGAAGAAACCGAAATGGTGGAACCATCTCTTTTGGATGAATTAATTTGTCACATATCGACGCTAGCTTCAGTCTTTCATAAACCATCATCTGCTTTTGTTGAAGGTAAAAGTACGGTTATTAAGAAGCTAACAAGATCTGTAACGCCCGTACAAACAACTGATGAACAAATACCAGAGAAAACTAAGCAAGTTAAACAACCTCCCAGTAATGATTTAATAGATGACTTATTACAAATGGACTTCACACCAGCTCCTAAACAACCCGCCCCGTCTAATACTACTAGCTGTGACTTGTTGAATAGCTTAGATTTAATAGGCGACAGCCAACCAGCAGCCTTAACAACAACTCCTGTTCAAGTGTTGGCACCAGTACCTGTTTCTGTACCAATTGCTGCACCACCAAGTAATATTTTAGACGATTTGGATATTCTGGGTGGGATAACAAGCGCACCGTCTCCGATAGTACCTCCTGCTTTCCAAATGCAAGGACAAGCTTCATTATCCGGCAATTCCTTTTCTGCTCATCCGTTTGTATCACCAACGCAAGTTTGGCTACCGATGTCGAAAGGAAAAGGACTAGAGCTTAGCGGCATCTTCAGAAGAAAGGACGGTCAAGTTTATATGGATATTACTTTTTCGAATAAGGGTGTTCAGCCTTTATCGAATTTTGCTATTCAATTTAACAAGAATAGTTTCGGTTTAGTCCCAGGTCAACAAATATCGCAAATTAACACGATTGCGCCGAATACTTCGACAAATTTCTCCTTGCCGGTCAATACAAATGGACCGATTCACAAAACTGAACCATTAACAACATTGCAAGTGGCGATAAAAAACAGTCTCGACATATTTTATTTCACCACTCAGATTCCAATGCACGTTCTTTTCATTGAAGATATTGACGTAAATAAATCGTTCTACTTGAACGCCTGGAAGGAAATACCAGCAGCCAATGAAGCTCAAACTACCCTTTCAAACATTCAATTCAGCACTTTTGATATTTTAGCCAAATTAAATGCTAATAACATATTCACTATTAACAAGCAACGAATTGGAGAGGAGGATATTGTCTATCTTGCTTCAAAATTGACTAATGGTATATTTATCATGATCGAATTGAAGATTCTCCAATGTAATATTACGGTAAATATATAATAAATATACTTATATTTATATATATATATTTTCAATTAAAACTTTTATTTATATATATTCTTTTTTTTCTATTCCCTTTTCATAGATTTCTCTGCGATCTCGTGTCACTCAAGTTTATCCAGACGTAAAGAATGCTGTCTGTGGTATAATTAACTGTGCCTAATATACATTCCACTAAATTGAGAAAATAATATGTGTTTTGAATGTTAAAATATATTTCTATATACAGATTTCTATATATTAGTATATATATATATATATATATTATATACTGTTTATATATATATATTTATTATATATGTACAATATATGACATATTTATAATCAGTTCAAAAAAATAATTTGTTTGTGTACATATATATATATATTTATTTTATGTTAATTTATAATTTATATATAAAACTAAGCTCATAAATATTTGAATGAAGGAGGGATACACTGAATACTCTCTGTTCTTTTTCTACACTTATATATATATATATATATATATATATATATATATATATACTGTCTACAGTATCTATAAAGCAGTATACTTTTGGAGAAATTAATAAAATGTCAGCTATTCTTTGACCTTTGACATTTGACGTGTCTTTGCACTAAGATTGGCAAAGAATATTAAATGTTATGTAATCTTGGTAGTATACAGAATAGGTTCAAGCAAATTTACCTGACTAAATATATTTTGTTTTTGTTGATATGAGAATTTAGAACGGCTTCCTTAAAGCTAAATATTGCCATAGTTACAACTATATCTGGAAGGGGGCGTTTGAAATCAAATACATTTTCACACTGTAAAATATTCCTTAATTTTAACATTGTTGTCTAAATTTGAAGGAAATAATAAAACAATTCTTGGAAGGAGTTGAAGAATAAAATGGTTTTTCAAGTAGACAAAATTAATAATACTATAATATAAATGATATAATAAAGGGGAAAGAATAAGGGTTTCGTAAGTTCGCTTCTTTGTTGATGAGAGAAAAGACTTTGACACTGACCCTTGAGATTTTCTGAATGAATTGAATCAAACAATAAAGAGGAATGAATTGAGAATTTTTACGTAAATGGTGTTTTTTATGTAATCGTGTTACTTTCGACAAGAGAATGCGAAACAAAAAAAAATCAATTCAATTGACGAATGAAATGATTTATCCTGATCTAATTAAATATCAATATTCCAAATATATACGTGTATACAGTATGTACTGTATATACTGTATATATAAACTCTCTGACAAGGTGATAATAATAAAAATTAATAAAACTTGGCAGGGGGTAAAAGGAAGGGTGGCTTAACGTTGTAGTTGTATCATAGGGTGTTATGGATATAGGTAATATCTTTCAGTCCACCTACTCTCCAGTGAATATTTATTAATATCAACTGCGTATTGAGAATTATTAAACAGTTTTATCCTCTTTTATTTTATGTTTGATTGTTTTCTGTAACAGTAGAGAAATTAATTAAGGTTTCTTATTAATAATATTAATTATATTCTTCGTTTAATTAAACACAAAAAAGGAAGAAAATATATATATTTATATGTTTATATATAGATATTTCACTTAAAAACAGATTGATAAAGAAAAAAAAAGAACTTTTGATATTGTAAAGAGTTTACAAGTTAGCCAGGGTTCTAATATTTTTCTTACAGATTTCATTCTATACAAAAATTGTCAGTTGCCAAACACTTCATATTGATACACTATTTTCTATATTTATCAACGTTTCATTAACCCTTCGTACTATAGTTTATTTACTTATTATTATTAAAATTGTATACATTTCCCACACTATTTTCTGTTAGAAAAGAATGAAAGTAAAGATGATAAAAAAGATATAATAACTCTTTCACTTTTTTGAGTCGTAATATTATTTAACAATAAAAATTTCGTTCTCGTATTATATTAAATTGCCAATTATTAATGACGTATTTCAGACTAGACAGAAAAATTATTGCAGAGCAAGCAGAGTCTCTTTTTGAATAATTATATATTCTAATGTTAGCTTAGTTTAGGTGCAATCAACTTCTGTGAAATAGCAGCAACTGTGTACATTTGTAAATTTGTTTTACACAAAGTAAATCATTTTAAATGACTTAACTGAACTTTAAGTGATTGCTTGTAATTTAATTATTTAGAATAGTTCTGTCGCGTTAAGTGAAACTCCTTCCGGATATCAGTCAGCCTAAGAAGATTACTTTCGTTCTTTACTTTATCTTATTCTTTTTTTAAAAATTAAATTTATATTCTATAGTATATCAACCATTGAAAAATAGAATATTCAGCTTCGAATAATATCGTACGAAAACAACAATATAGTTCTACAAGACGCCATTTTGTTCGAACTGTGTGTAAATTCAAGAAGGAGAAAAATATTAGCTACTTGAAAATAATATAAAAGTAACAACTTGAAACAAGCAAGTGTTTAATCAAGTCAAGAGTAGGTATTAACAAAAAGATATTAATTAAACGTTTATTTTGGGAGGATATGAGTCAACGTTAATTATTTGTCATCAATTAAATTTCTTATTCGCAACAGTTATGTACGGTGGTTATAACTACGGTGGCAATAATTATCCATCGAGATGCCCGTACGACCGAAATGCTATATACGGCCTCCTCCAGCATTTAAACAAAGATGAACTAGAAAAACTATCTAAAGATGAGGAAGCATTGGCGAAGCTGGTTGAAGATTTAGAACCGGTAATTAAATTATTGAATAAATAACATACATAAACTTAGGTAACTAAATGTATTGAAAAAGGTGTTGCATTAAAGTTAGCATCAACAAGCCAATAGTAATTTTATGCTGTAGAATAGGCGGGGTTGAAATATGAGAGGGGCTAGAACGCCTTTAATTTAATATTGATTGATTTGTTTTCTAATGTTTTAATTTATTTATAAAATAATGATTTTTCAGGTAAAAAATCGCACAAAAGAGAAAGAGGCTCTCGCAAAAAAACTTAAAAAAATTGCACAAGATAATATGAATCTTCAACCAAAATTGGAAGCTGCCAAAACAAACTTGGCAGCAGTTTATCAAGAATACACGAATTATTTAAAAGAGTTTGACAAAGCAAAACTGAGATTAGGTGTGATATATATCTATAACCAGAAAAATATAATAAAACCCCTAATCTTTACAGTTATTTAATAATAGGCGCTTTATGACTAATAAAATTTTTCTTTTTCAATATTTATAGATACTTTAATTTCGTTAAATTCACCCGATACGTCCTTAAATCTCCTAAAAGCGGAGGCTGCTAAAGTCGAAGAAAGCACTGACGTAAATATTTAATTTTGAATACTCCTTGTTTATTATATTGTTTCTCTACAGAATATTGGAAAAGAATTCTTGGATGGTGCTAAGTCCGTTCAAACGTTTCTGGAAGAATATATACCACAAAGAACAAGAAACCATAGTCTCAGACTGAAGGTTGATAAATTAGAAGAGCAGCTGAGCAATAATTTTGCCCAACCATCTTACACTCCACAAGTTACACAGAACGTCGCTTATCCCGTTTATAATCCAACGCTAATGGGAGGCGCAGGGGGCCAAATGGGCGCTTATGCTGGATACCCCAGCGGCATACCGTTTAGCATGCCCGATCCATCAAAATATTTAAAATCATAAATTTATGGACGAAACTGTAATCATTTACTACTCGTCTCTTTCATACATTAATCATGTTTTCATGAAAAATACATTTCTAATTGCAAGGCTTTAATTATAAGTACATATCGATTTTAGGCAACAAACGTGAAGGAGAACAGCCGAAAAAGGACGGACAAATTCGTAGTTCTGTGATGAATGTCTTCAAGAAGTTAATCTTTTTTTCTTACAATAGGTGTGACCAAAACATAAAGTAGACTAGATGAGATAGAAATGTTCATTTTCACAAAGAATTGAGACATGATATATAGTAATTAAAAAAGCGCTCTTAGAAAGTTCATTGACCCCCGTTGTAGGAATAGTCAGCCTTGTTGTGCATTACCAAACGATCATCAACAAAGTAGAAACTATCGGAACGTGTTTCATATGGACTGGAGACCATTTCGTTAACTGTAATAAACAGTTTTATATTACATAATTAGTATAATGCATATCGAATAACATTAAAGGTAAATAATAAATATGCTACGTTGAATAGAATCTTACTTTGTTCTTGAGTAAGTTGCGGAAATTCGTAGATATGTTCGACAGAATTGCGACTGTTCGGAATGCAAAAACCAAATTCAAAATCAAAACTTTTGAGCAGTTGATCACGAAAATAATGTCTTTCTATCATTCGAAATTTACTAATTGGTTTATCACCAATCGAAAACTCCACAGTTGCACCGACAAGTTTCAACTTCAGAAAAGACGGTGTAAATTGATAACGTATGAAACGACCGCCATTCGGATCTTCGTCCGTGGCGTTACCTTGACTTGAATCTAAATATAAAAATTTCAATTTACATACCTTATACATGGGAATGCGATTAACGTGCAATTTCAATTTTACCTGGTGTCTCCGGTTTGCATACTTCAAATAAGACATTTCCACTGTCGATGTCGCGAAGCTTAAAACGTGTAAAGTCGATATTGTAGATATTTGCTTCTGGCGAACATAAGTACTCTATTAGGGAAGAAAATAATTAGCTGTGCAAAAGTCAGTTATTAGAATAACGCTCACTTTCTGTAATCTTAGTAAGTTGACTAACGTCATCAACAGTTATAAACGGTTTCTTAAGCAATTCATCTTCACTAAGTGGTTTTGCCTTTGCTTTACGCGAAAGGAAACCTTCGTTTTTCTTTTTTCCACTTTTTACACTTCCCAAACTCATTTCAAACTGAAAAATGATAAAGAAATTTCTTATTCAACCAGGTAATTATTTAGTGAAAAATTTATTGAAACAAGCTCTACATTTATAAAACGAACTAATAGAAAATATAAAAATTTCTTACAATCTCAGTCGATAACTAGCAGCTACAAACAACAAATAATTGGTTCAAACAAATTCCGTAAGTCTTTTCTAGAATGAAAAATGGCAGCGGCGGGACTGTCTAAAATATGGTAAGAGTTAACCCGAACTCACCTAATCAACAGTTGTACATTTTTATTTATTTAAAAATTATCTTTTTTAATTAAACAATGTACTCCTTTACATGAAAAAAAAATAACTCCATAAAAATGCGATCTACTAGACTATCTAGACTATTAAATATAATTATATACAGCATATATACATATTATTAAAAATACAAAAAAAAAAATAATAAAATCATAATAATACGAAAGTCTCTAACAGTCAACTGTGTTTTTGTACAACAAAATTTTAATTATAGGAAACTGGTTAGGTTGAAATAATACCATAACATTTTTCACCTTTAGTTAAGGTTGTAAGAAACGTTTTCATTCACCTTTTTATATTTGATGTGATCAAGACTCTCTTCAGTAGCTTTCTATTTCTATCTCAATCGCCGTACGTGTGTTGGATATTAATTAAGAAGGTATTAAATAGAGATACTTTTTTATTGAAAGATTAGTAGCAAAGCTTAATAAGATTAATTAATTTAAAAGATTATAAAAGTGACTTTATTAAACATTGCCTCTATTATAGTTAGTTTTACGGATCAAATATTATGTATTATATTACAATGATTATAAAAATAATGGCAATTTTTATACATATTGTGCTTAAAATTTGAGTTAGGATATGACGAATAATTTCCAAATAAGGATACTATATGGGACACGTGAGGTAGCTTGAGCTTTAGAATTCACCTACCGATAGATGGCGAAAAAACCCGCTGTAAAGGTGTTGTAATTACACCGCTTGATGGCGTCTATCAACGTATCCTTCCGGATATCTATTTCCTAAACTTTCCACAATTTTGTTGAATAATAGGTAAGTCCTTTTAAATTATATTCCATTAAATAATAAAAAATTGATTCTATCAATAATCCGGCGTCAAATCAGGCTCCATAAAGGTATCGTATAGGTAAAATAACCTTGTTCGTGCAGAACACTCTTTGTGCCCTCAATAATCAGAAATAGGAAAGAATTACACCTCAATAAAAGTATTTGTTGAAAGCAATAGGAATGTTGTATGAATTGCATTCTTACTTTTTTTTTTTAAATTACGATCAAATAGTTTTAATAGAAAAATATCACTGGTTACCTACGCCTACCTGGAACTAACGAAACTGTTGTTTTCAATATGGCGGATTGTATACAAAAAAGATCTAACGTCTTCCGTTACATTTAAAGCGTCGGTCGTAGTGATTAAATGAAGTTTTAAGTATATCGAATAGTCTATTGATAAAGCTTATCTGAAATAAGCGCTGTTTTATTCAGTGCATATTCTCTTCTCATTCTCAACTTGTTCGTTTACACTGCGTAATCGTACTTGGCTGTCTTTACAAAAGCAATTCAACAGTAATAGATATAATACTTTTATTGGAAACTTATCAATAGTACTGTTTGCCTTATCGATGATTGATAAGAGTAATTTTCAACGCGTCAGGTTTATGAATCATTGTTAATAAAGTAAGAAATTCTACCTGATACCTGTACATCTGGAACCACTGTAAAACTATGTGATTAAAATAAGACATAACAATTTCGAAATCCTTTCTTACCTTTCCGTGACTTGTCTTACAATTGTTAAAACCTGTTGTTGAATTTTCCTTTTTTAACAGGCCTACAGATATAGTACAGAAGAATTTGAAAGGATTAAAAAATAATAACAACAAATTTTCATATATAACGAGATGCCTGGCGTTTATGACGCCCCTTCTACAGAATACATATCTCAAGACGCCAATCAAAACGACGAGACACAGAAAATTTTACGTTCGGTAAAAGAACAGGTAAGTTTCTTTTTAAGCATTCCATTCTTTCTAACAAAAATAACTAAATAGGCTTAATTAAGGTTAGGAAAAAGGTTTTTTTTTGTTAAATTGTACGGCTTTCAAACTTTTTCCTCCTCCCATTTCCCGTTCTACCTCTAACCTTATACCGCTACCCCCTCTCCTTCCTCCCCGCTGATATTTTACTTTTCTAACGCTGGGCACCCACGCGTGAATTAAGTAAATAGGGTTGGACTGACGTAGCGCGTAAAAAATATAATATAATTTGTTTATGTAGCATTGATCGCATTCACTGCCTTCTCTTAAAAAACGTTATAGTTAAAGGTGCCGCATCGCCTCGTTTACTTTCCTTCTTTAAACTCCTAAGAACATACAATTCTATCTCTTCTTCTATTTATTTAATATTTAAAAGAATAGTGTAAATATTAATATTGTAATTATCTATTTACGTAGCTAACTTCCCAGTTTTTGTATTAAATCAGCTAAATTGCAAACTATATTGTATAATTAAAAAACAAAACAAAAAACAAAAAAGATTTTCTATTTGAGTGAGCTTTTGTGTGAATGATGCATGGTGCAGGAAGAGCAATTTGAACAACTGACGAGAGAACTAGAAGCGGAAAGACAAAGCGTCGCTCAACAGATCGAAAAATGCAAATTGGGATCGGAAACAGCCAGTATGAACAGCATTTCGGAAACGGATGAGAGTTATCCATGGAGAGCGCCTACACATACATCTCATACATCGACATCCGGTCATATAACGAATCAACTTCCACCTCCTATTGCTGAAGAGGAGAGCGACGCTGACAGTAAATTAAGCGGAACACAGCTAGTTGATTCTTATTTGTACGTCTTTTATCTAAATAGTATTTCTTCTCTCTACCATCTATCACTCTTAGTCTTTTCCGTAAATTATCTCTTTTTTGCGTGTGCAGAGACGCAACAAGAGTCTATGAGCACAAAATTCCTCGTGCATGATGATTGTAGTGGCCTAAAGCTTAGAGTTTTATTTTTAAAAGAAAAAAAAAAGCGTGATTTTTAAAGAAGCAGATCTTCAATTCCTTAATTTTTTTCTTTATCATACCAAAGGGTATTATAATTTATAAACACTATCTCATGTTTTTTTTTCTTTTCCTACTAATAGATTTCGCTCACACTTTTCCATGATCCCTTTTAAAACTTTTTGAATTTTAACATGCCTTCGCTCATTTAAACAGAAATTTTATGGAAATTTTTATTTTTTTATAAAAGCTATCATTTTTCATTTCCTTTATTATATGTATCGTTTATATATATATATATATATATATATATATATGACATATACAGTAAAAAGTAAATGTCAATCTCCTTTAGTCTATAAAAAAACCGTAAATTCTCTTTAAAGAGAAAGATTAGTACCACATTTTAACGCTATTTCGTTTTTACTTTAGGAGAGTATTGCATGAGAAAGGCTTATTGAACGAATAGTAAGTAAAAGTTTTGTCCTGTTTTTTATGAAAATATGAAAATATATAGGTTTGTTTGCAATGTATTATTTTACAGTACTCGTAATCGTCAGCCACCTGTGATGAATGACGGATCGAATCCTTATCATGGCCTAGATCAGAAGTGAGTTCTGTTCGCTTTAAGGTTAATGTTAATGACTTATGGTATACTTTAAGGGCATCAAGAGACTACGATCAGTCGGGGCAGTTGTCTAGTCATTATTCAGCTGGCGAAGACGATTCGTACTTGGGCTCCCCTTACGGTCAACCTGATCATCAACGACTTGCCGCTGCGTATAACGATAATGGCAGAGAACACATTGCTGAAGATAGTAGACGTTACGACCCTGAAGACAGCAGGCGCTACGAATCTGAAGATAATAGACGTTACGCAGGTGACGATAGTAGGCGCTATGAAGTTGACGATGGTCGACGTTACGAAACTGATGATGGCAGACGTTTCGAAGTTGACGATGGTAGACGTTACGAAACTGATGATGGCAGACGTTACGAGGCTAATGATAGTGTACGATATGAAGTTGACGAAGGTAGACGTTACGACGACGAGGAAGGTAGACGATTTGAGAGCGAAGAAAGTAGAAGATATGACGTGGATGATCGGCGATATAATACCGATGACAGGCGATATGATGCCGAAAATGCTAGGAGATACAATACTGAAGATAATGCTTATGGAAGGAATAATAAGTACTATTCCCAGGACGTTGATGACAAATATGGGCAATATACTATGCAAGACAGACAGCAAGTATATCCGGAAGAAGACGAGAGACTACGACACGAAGCTTATCGTGGTGGCTTAGAGAATCAATCAAAGAATATGCATTATAATGAAGACGCTCGAAACGGATCGTATGACGAACGGTTACCTGCCTACGGATACGATTCATCCATTGACAGGGCTCAAGCGGTTGCGGTTAGCAATTATTATAAGTCGGAATATGAAGGCGAGGAAAGTCCTTATGGAACCAGAGGGGTAAATGGCCATGATCGTTACGAAGTTGAAGACGAATATCCCACTGGAGCTAAATTAAGCGAAACGTATCCAGAAGAAAATAACTACAGCCTCTCGGCTCGTGATGCCCATCTTAAGAGAGTTCAGCCAGAACGTGACGTATATTTAGCGTCGGGTGGAAGTGGTGGTGGTGGTGAACCACTACCAAACAATTGGGCGGAACCCGAATATAATTCACAGAACTCTCATTGGTCATCAAACACGCCAAATCGATCTGCTCCTAATTTTCCTGGTTTGTATTTCATTATCATTTTACTATACTGACATTGTAATTTTACAAGTACCAGCATGTGGTTGTTATTTGTATATTAGTTGGCATGTTTTTATTTTGGTTTTGTTTTTCTTTCTATTGAATTATAGCTGGAGAAGATAGCCGACTAGATAGATCTGAAGAAGAGACGCCACCGAAAGAAGGTGTTTAAAAATATTAATCTGTTTAGTTTTCCTTTGTCCATAATTCTCTACTAATCTATTCAAGTTTATGTGCAAAAAATCAGTTTCATATTACTGAATTAATGCTTTTATTAGATTTAGATTATTTTAAGTAATTCTTTAAACTCTAAACTAAATTTGTTAAAGACTTCCATATTTAATTATACTTGTTAATCAGTTGCTTTTAATTGTTATTATAAAATAGGCTACCCAAATGAATCGTGGAGGAATCCAGATTTATCTGAAGTTATAAACTTTCTTCGATATCCTTCTGATGTAATAAAAGCTAACGCGGCAGCCTATTTACAACATTTAACATTCAATGACGACGATATGAAAGGAAAGACAAGAAGTTTAGGTGGAATTAAGGCTCTTGTTGAATTAGCTAATAGCAATACAAACGATTTGGTAAGAGCTGCGTGCGGAGCTTTGAGAAATTTATGCTATGGAAGGAAACATGATGAAAATAAACGAGAGATAAAAAAATACGGCGGCCTATCCGTAATGGATAAAATACTACAGAGGTCTGTTTTATTAACTACTTTTAATTTATTTTTTTGCATTATTTTTACAGATAAAAATCCGTAAATAGTCATTTTATTAATTAGATTTTTTCATTTTATTCTATTTATAGGATTGATGATGTTGACATAAGGGAAATGGTCACTGGTATTTTATGGAATATGAGCTCTTGCGATGAAATAAAAAGACCCATCATTGACGAAGTTTTACAAACTTTGGTCGATGAGATAATCGTCCCTCATTCCCCGGATAATAATAATGGTCATTACTCACAAGTCTCTTGGACAACAGTTTTTAGAAATGCATCGGGAACACTGAGGAATATATCGTCTGATGGTATATACGCAAGGACAAGATTAAGAGAATGTGACAATTTGATAATTAGCCTAATAAATATACTGGGAGCAGCCGTAGGCCTGAATGACATAGATAATAAGAACGTTGAGAATTGCGTCTGCATCCTTCGAAATTTATCGTTTGCTTGCCAAGAAGTTGTTGATCCCGAGTATAATAGGAGAAAGAAACAAGCGCCACAAGCACCATCATCGCCTACAGCAACTGGTTGTTTTGGTTCGAAAAAGAAGACGAACAATAATAATTCTAATAATCGACCCCCACCGAACATACCAGTAACAGGTGTTAAAGGAAGCGTTCAATTGTTGTGGCATCCAACAACACTCAGGACACTTTTAAATATGATAAAAGAGTGTACTAATCCAGCTACTCTCGAAGCTGGTGTTGGTGTAATACAAAATTTGGCTGCTTGCCAATGGAGTATAAGCGTTGAGTACAGGACATTAGTAAGATATGAAAGAGGTATGTCAGATATCTATGAGTTATTTGATGTCCAATCGGATGAAGTTATAAGAACGGCGGCATCAGCTTTAAGGAATTTATCTTTCGATACTAAAAACAGAGATTTAGTGGCTATTCATGCTATGTTGAGGCTCATAATGAAATTACCGCCTTGGCAAACTTCTCAATCTATGCCTATCTCTAGCGATACAATAGCAACTATTCTAGCGACCTTGTACGAGATAACTAAAGATCATTCGGCGTTCTCTAGGTTAGTTAATAGATTCATACTTTTACGTCTTTTAGAATGACTTGTACTATAATTATATTATTTTCACTTTCAGACAATTTTTAGAGAAGGGAGGAATGTCTAAGGTGGAACATTTGGCTAAATCACCAAAATATTCCGCTAAGGTTAACAAGTATGCCCTCTGTCTTTGGAATCAGTTATGGAAATTAAAGGAATTACACATGGACTATAAAATGGCTGGTTTTAAAGAAAATTCGGTTAATCAATCAGGTGGTTCCAAGTAAGCGAAATATATAGATTATATATTTTTTATGGAATTCTTAAACACTTCTGTTTTTGTTTATTAGAACTAGTAATCGTTCTGCGCCCGAAATGTCTACTAAGAGTCTACAACGTCCCATAATGGATCAGAGCAGTCACGGAACGACAAATACAATGCCTTTAGTTCAAAGGGGCCCACCACCTACAACCATCACTCAGCAGGAACGTTTTCACGCTCAAGATATGCGATCGCCGTCACCCTACGACACTGTGGATCGAAATTATAGGCCCATGGGAGCGGTACCAATGTTCCCTGGGCTTGACGAACCTGATTCCGTCGTTTCCAGGGAACCTGTTTATGCTCAGGTTCGATCGCAATCCCAATACCCAAATGGGGCACCCTCTAATAATGCTGATTCCTGGGTGTAAAAAGTTTTTCCCCCTATATATAGATATATATATATATACACTGTATATCGTATTGAATATTTTTTTTGTATTCTACACACATCTCTATCTCTGTCATTTCTTTTTTTAGCAACATATCATACGGGCTGCTGTGATGAGATTAGCGAAAATATCTTTTTCAATTAACGTCTGTGATGAAGTTTTCAGCAATAATTTCGCATGTTTAGCATAATAACTATTACAAAAGAAAAGTTTATCTATATACACATATATAGGTGTACTGTATATATTAACGTACACATACGCTAATATAGAGGTATATACAGTATCAACTATAATATAGTATGTAAGCTGAAAAAATGTAGTTTTTCCACAATTTTTAGAAAAAAAAAATCAGAAAAAAATTTTTTATACACAATTATGTAAGAAAAATTTTTGTACACCTTATCAACCTTTTCATTTATTGGATGGGTAATAACAAAACCATGTATGCTCTTTAAAAACTGCTGACTTGTTTTCTTGTGTACAAAGTGTATATATATATAAAATATAATAAATTTATATATATTATATATACATATATATCTATATATAATATATGCAAATATATGAAATTTGTATTGATATACAGTATATATTTTTTATGTTTATTTATATATGCTGTATTGATCAACATAACGGATATATTTTATTTTCTATTTTTCTAAAAAATTTTTGCAATCATTCTCATATTCGTTTGTTCCTGCAATCTCTGCTTTTTATTAAGTACCATACTCGAAAATTTTGTAAAAGCAAATTTAATACCATGTTTTGTTTTTTTTTAAATACACATTATTTACATGGTAAAATATCAATCGACTTCTTCCTGCAATTCACTTGATTTCTTAAGGCCTTCATTATTCATAAAATGTATTATTTTTTCGACACATGCATCTTGATAGTCGTGAATCCATCTAACATGAAAAATTTATAATTAGATATTGAAAGAGAATAAATTGAATGTATGAATATAATTAAACTAATTAAGGAAGAAGAGATTTATAGCAATTACCGTATACTATTAAATGAACAAATTGCCTTCATGTCGGAAGGCAGGCATTCCGGTTGTGGCCATTTGAAATTCTCTTCGATTGGTATGATGTTTCGGCCAGCATCTATGGCAGCCGTAATTTCACGGTGAATCCAATCTTGATTACAGTCGTCTCCTATGCAACGTTCTAAAGCCTCGGGCGTCAGTATAAGTAAAAAGTGTCGAGTACCTCGGACGCTATCCAATAGCTTTTCGTCAAATTTGCCAGCCTGCAATTTTTCAATATCTAAGAAAACTCTATAACCGCGAACTTGTAGGTGAACCTTTAGTAGGCTGTATGAAGAGAAAATAAGTGATAAGTATAATGCAGTTGTAATAATAATAAAATACCTAGCGAGTAGAGAACCTCCCTTCCTTCGATAGCTGATAAACACGTCGTATTTATTCTCTGAATCTTGATTATCGATAGAGAGCATTGAAAATGAGGATCTACGCTTCAAAGAGTCCATTATCTTTAATCGGTCTATACCATTTGTTATATGGCAATCTCGATAAAGGTGCTCGTCAGTTAACATGCATAAAGTCTGCTTATCAACGCCACTTTGGTCCATTTGATAAGCGTAGACAGCTAAATCTTCTGATATACTTTTTAACCATTCTTCTAATAATAAGGCGTTTCCTTCTAATTCATTTCGGATTTTTAAATCTTTGAGAGCTTTTAGAAATTTAATACGAGCGAAACAGCTGTTCATCCCCAGGCCATCTCGCAACATATCGTCGTCTAATCTCAATAATAAATCACCGTCGATCTTTTCCTTCTCGAACAACTCAATAAATTCAGAAAATCCAGTTAATTGTAGCCATTGTACCACGTTGCAAGTACTCCAATAGGCTACCTTATTTGGTAGGAGATTTGGAACATCCCGTACTCCAACCGCTTCGAGGGCTTGGAGAGCAAACTTAGCAGCTAATTTATTACAGCTACCAGCTACTTTTTTTAAGGCAGGTATAGCTCCAATTTTTTCGATAACCTTTATGTCATCACTTTTGCGGACAAGTATAGCTGCTTCTACAGCGAAGTGGAAGGCAGCTAAACTTTGAGCTTCCGGTCGTTGGCAGGTTAATAAGGGAACTAGCTTTCTCATCCATTCATCTGTGTGACCGTGTATGTGAGCAGTATCAGAAAAAGCGAAGCCGGACGGATCGTGCGTCTCTATAAATCCCTGTACGAGTTCTAGCGTACCGGACTCTTTCATAACGGGGGAAAAGGGATGGGATGCAGCTAGGGTTTCAATGGCCAAAAAGGCATAATAGCGGATCGAGTCATCATCGTTAAAAGCCAATGGAAACAACCAGTTGGGTACCCGTAGTTCTATCATCCGATTTTTTATCGAATTATCACCATACATTGCCAGATTAGCGAAGGCTTTAGCGCAATGACGTAGGGTCATTGTATTTGACGTCTTACAAGCGTTTAAAAGTGTGTTTAGACCGCCGCATTGAACCAGTTTTGCGCAGGTTAGCTCTGAATGCTTGAATAAATGCTCCAATATTCCTGTACATGGTGTTTGTAGCAGTGTATCAGTATTTGATGCTGCAGTTAATTCAACAACTGCATTGAGGCCCTCGTCAACTATGACGTCACAGTTTTTAAGAGTCATACTCTGTTCAAGTAGTTTAGCAGCGTGCAAGCGGCTACCGGCCGATTGAGAACAGAGTTTTAATAAAATATGCACTCCGCCTGAAGTCCGAAGGGCATCGCACAGACCGTGGGCAAATTCTTTTCCTACGATTGGTAGTGACCAGGCCTCAACTAGAATATCGTGCATCTCTTCTAAGCACCCTACCCTTTCTGTATCTGACCTAGCATCTCTAACTAGAAGAACATTCTTTTTCCAAATTGGTAATGTATTTCTTAAAACAACTTGTACGTTTGGAGAGGCAGGATTATAATTTGCAAACATGCTGGCTGTTCTTCGAGAAATACAGCCAGATATTTCTTCTTTTTGTTTAATAGTCTGCAAACTGACCTTGAACTTTGGCGGTCCCTCTTCCTCTGACCTCGAAAGGTCCCAGTACACTCTAGAGTGCTGTGAAACATTATCAGTTGACTTAATGTTTTTATTATCCAAATGCAGTTCCGATTGAGATCTTTGCCAAGAATAAGACGTAGTCGATTCTTTTTCTGTGTTCTTCCTTCCCATTTTATTCTCAGAATTTGTTCGGTGAAGCGAAGTCGGCGGTTCGTTCGATTCGTCGTCCATTTCTGCCGCTTCGTCTGCTCACATGCGATCGCAGCGACATCTGTGTTTTGAAACAAATACGTAGATAATAGTAACGCGAAGCCTTTAATACCAGTAAATCGATAATTTATTGGTGTTTACGAGACTTCATTTTTTGTAATAATTTATTCACATATAATCTATTTTATTGACGTTTTTTCAAATTTATCAATAATATTTTTAATTATTACATCATGTCTCCGTTTTGAACTTCTCAACACCGGAGTGCTTCCGGAAGAGTTTGAACTTTGGCTTTCGGTTTCCGCTTCAGACGAAGTGGTTGTTTCTGGAGTATCAGGTGGAGGTTTAGGAAGTCTACGTATACTTCTAGGCGGACGCGGACGAACTGCAATACGTTTCATAAATCCGTACTGCTGTAATCGGTCCTATTAATTGAAATGTTAGTATGATTTTTTTAAAATAATTCCATTAATTATTATATCCTAATCTATTTACTTCAAATTCACTTTCCCACTGGATCGTATTTCGGCTTAGTTCGTCTGTCCAATCAAGTTTCGCAGCCAACTGCGCAACCGTATCAATTAAGTCACCTTTTTTAGTTCAAAAGCCAAATTTTAAGTATAAGAAAATTAGAAAAAAAAAGATTCCTACCACCAACAAATACATCATTCAAGCGTCCTTTTTTAGCAAATGGTCCAACAGCTTTCTTATTAAAAAGACATCTAGGCACGAAAAACTTGGCACGATCAATAATATTCGAGAATGGTTCAACCTGAAAGTTTTCGTAATAAAGAAAATGATATTAGAGAGAAATAGACAAATTATATATATATATATATATATTCGTGCCTGGAGCGAAGTTCCCATGATAAGAACCAAATCTGCGAATTTCATATCCGACACATACGAATAGAATTTGCTTGTTAGGTCCTCTCCAAAAAACACTACATCCGGCTTTACTAATCCCTTTTGAAAACAAATAACATCACTTTAGAAATGAATAAAAATGAAAAAAAGAAATAAACTCATAAATATTTACGTTGCATCGGCGATTGGAACATCTGGGAATCTTATTGCTAAATATACTGTCCTATATAGGAGAAATATTTTAGTTTGAAATTTCATTAATAAAAACTTAAAATAATCGGAAAGAAGTCCTACTTTACCTTGACATCTCCGGGAGATTGGGGAGATCTACAACGAGTACAGCTAGCTGTCTCAAATGTACCGTGAGCTTCGACGAGTTTACTATTTGGTATTCCACTTACTGCAATAGATTAGTTGTAATTATTATGGTAAAATTTTGCATATTTAGTAAGTTGATATTACATTTTTCTAAGCCATCGATATTTTGTGTATAAACACGATGCAATAAATGTTTCTCATGCAGCAAACGAATAAAATAATGAACACTATTTGGTTTATGCTTAACAGACGGATAAAGATCTTTAGCTAATGTGTAGAAAGGTCTAGGATTTGTACGAAAATAGTCCATGTCGAATATAGCTTCCGGATAGGGGATGTTGAATTTTTGCAAATTATAATAAAGTCCTGTCTTAGGTGATCTGTAAAAACAAAAAAAAGGCAAACGATTAAATGACAGGTACTGTAAGCAAATTGATGTAAAAGAAACTCTAGTGAATGTAAAAGGAGCTAATTACCTAAAATCAGGAATTCCAGAAGCCGTACTGACGCCCGCTCCAATAACCACGACGATATTTGTAGCTTGACCACGTGCAATTAGATTGGCAATATCTTCAAAAGTGTTACACTTTACGGTTCTCGGTTTGGAACTACTAAATAAAAAAAAATATCGATTGTATTAGAAGATTCAAAATAAAAAAAAAACAAATCCATATAGAATTGGAAAGAAGAAAAAAAATCAATTTCATTTTACCCAACATCTAAACGGCCAAAGCCGTCTAAAGCGGCACTCTTTCCTTTAGAGGCGGATCTTAAAGTTGCCCATCTATCATTTTGGAGGGTTTCGGAAGACTTAGCACGAATTTTTGCTATATACAGGAAAAACATAAAATTATAACTGGAAATGTGGTGAAAAAATAATAAATTAAACAAAAATTATTTAAATATACTTGTTATTCTAGGCATAACTTTGTGGTCAAAAATACTGTTGGAGTGATGTGAACAAACTGTGTAGATAGTAATATTAATAAATATTAGTGACAGAATCCATTTTTACCAATTAAGGTTTGAATAAATGCTAAAGTTTTTGAACGTTGATTAATTTTGCGAGTTATCAACCCTCCTCCATATTTGTTACGCTTAGCAGCGAAAACTTGCATTTTCACAGAGGTCAGCACCTTATTGGAAATATCGATATCGATATCGATATCGGGTTGTACTAATAAGCGGTTAGAGATAGGTTTTTGCAAACTTTATAATTAGTTGAAAAAGATTAATATTTGTTAATATTTTATTAGTAGGTGTATATTGTTAGTGGTGTTTGGGAGCCTAGAGCATGGGATATGAGAGGAAATTAGCGAATGTAATTGCGAGGTATAATCTGCCATTCCTCGACAAAGTATGAATTAAATACTTTTTTTATACACTAAGTGCATATAATAGCTCGCTTATATATTAATAATACTTACTGAGTTGGTTTTTGACAAAAATGCGGATATTTCTCGACGAAAAGAAGCAATTTTTCTCTGCAAAGTGTTCAATAATTTCACCCGACCATGTGATTTTTCGAAAAGGCCTTATTAGCGATACCCGGCCGGCTTCTTAGCCAATGAACGATGCTTTAACAACGGTCAGGCCTGACCAATCAATTATTGGTTTTATAAAATTATTTCTTCGCAGATAATTTTGAAAATAATACAAATACTAATTTATCAAAAAATGAAACATATTTACATTTTTTTCGATGTAAACATATTATTAAAAAATTGCAAATAATTTAAAGAAACTGTTTACATCAACTTTAGTAAATGTAAGTGAAAAAAAAAATAAACAATAAAAAGTCATAAAAATATTAATGATAAAAATTTCAGAAGATGGATACATAGATTTACAAAAAATAAAACAAAACAAGGAAGATAAATTGAAAGATTATCGTATAGAAAATATACTTAAATCAATCTTTTGAAGTAATAACTGGTAACAAACAGCTAATTATATAGCGCAATTATAACAAGGATAAAACAACAGATGGGGTTGGTTGTTCATATCAAATACCTACTGAAAAAGGACAAATGACGACTGAAACTTCCCTTTAAGTTTCTTATGAAGTATAAATCACTAAATTAATCTAAGTCTTGTATACTGAATAGATTGATAAGAATTTGTTTCTATTCTTTTAAAATTGGATGATCCAATTAAACTCTTACTAGTTCTGTTATATTATTCTCTGATATCCAATTTTCTTCCATCCCTCTCCTTAATCCTACTTACTTTATTTATATGAGTCTAGACAGTTTTACATGAGAAGTTTGAGAGGAAATGTGACAATTATCGGCGGTTTTTTTTTATTATTAATATAAATGCACCATTTTTTTAAAATGCTAACTAAAGGATTTAATAGAAAGAAAGAAAGACTAAGAATTCTTGTTAAGTAAGCGTATGGAGAAATAAAGAACGCTTTATGTAACATTTTTATTATTATTATAAATAAATCTCTTTTTCTCCTTCTCCTACTCCCTTTCTTTCTCTCCCACTCTCTCAGTCAATTCTAATATATCTTTCTTTTTTTTCTTTTTTAAATATAGAGTTTTCTCGTAACTATTCCTTAATAATGATAGAAAAACATATTTTACCTACTAAATTAATACGTTGACATTAGCATTTTAGAATGATACAACAAGATTAAGGAAAAGGTAATTTAAAATGTATGATTAAAAAAAGACTAGATTTTGGACTGAAAACAAAAATATATAAGTGTGAAAAGAAGGAAAAAATCAGTTTTTTTTATTTAATAAAAAAAATAACACCCAACTTTTACTATTAAAACATCTTCTACTGTTCCTCTAGGCAATTCGTATAAGGTAAATGTATAGTTGTATAAGGTAATCCTAGAATAGATGTCGTTATATATATACGAATATATATATACCAACGGGTTACGTGATAAACCTCTCTACATTACTTCACTAACGCTTAACGTTTAATTCAATGTGCAATAATTTCTACCTAAGGGAGAATATAGAATAGACGAAAAAGAGTCTCTTCAAATGAGCGTTTAGGCCTATGGGAACAAAGCATCTTATCAATACAATTAATTATTTCTTTCATCTAACTGGATGTATTTATGACTCAACATCAAAATTTATTCCATATAATTATTATCTTATTTAATAGGCTTTAGGAATCGACTGTTAAATCCAAATTTGCATATAAAGTATAAAACGTATACGTGTATTATTATAAACTAACAAAAAACATATGATATAGACTTAATATTTATTACATTCAAAATGGAAAAGAGAAACAGCTATTGATAAGAATCAATAAGAAACTGAAATAGTAAGTAATTTTTACCGGAAAAGAGCATTTTATACAAGTTCATTACATATTGTTGCTTTATTTAGAATTGTTGCAAGTTATGGTCTATTAAACGTCTATTTATATAACAATAAAAATTTGTATATATTATGGTAAATGCAGTTGTTTATTACAGCTTTTTGTGTACTTTATTTTCAATTCCTAGGGTCGTAGGTTTTCGTATCTTGTTTTTTTTTGTTTTTTAAAAACCAATAGATAACCTCTATCTTGTTTTTATAGAGATAGATTATTTTATTATCATATTCTCTTTTGCATATTCTTTTCTTCTTCTTCTTCTTCTCTTCTTATTCCTTCTCTTTCCTTTCGCTATATATTCTTAATATATTCAATGACGTTTTAGAATGTATTATACATTTATAATAGGGTTTTTATTGCTTTAATATTTTAATAGTTTTAATAGAAACAATTAATAACAGTTACATATTTTTGTCGTTGTCCTTTAATTATGATCAACTTTTTTTATTGACTCGAGTTCTATTAGTATATTACTCGAGAAAAGAATTAAAAAAATACAAACTTTCAACCAATCAGCACTTAGCTCCGGAAAATGGATAAATAGCGCGTCAACTGCAAGTCAGGATTATTTGCTTTGTTAGAACGTCACCGACAAAGGTATCAGCTCGACTATAGTCTTTTTTTCTAAAAGAAAACTTCTACAAAATCTTTTCAATTTGAAGAAATATCGCATCTTTTCAACTCGAATGTAAGTTTTTTAACTATATTTTCATATCCCTATCATATTTTACTATCAATTTAAATAGTTATTTAAAATAGACGCTTTTATTCTATTTCTCCGCTAAATCGTTTTACTCACTCGTCTATTGTATGGCTGAAAATTAATATTTTTTTTTTACCCTGGACCAGAATTATTCTCTTGTTAAAACAAAATTTATTTTTTGTTTTTTTTTTTAAAAAAACAAAAAATAAATTAAATAAAAAAATCATTTTTTATTATCTAAGCGAAAACAATTTTAGAGAAAGATTGTTAATGCAAAAGAGTATTAAACAATATCCAGGCAAGTGTAGACACTTTTCCAAGTTTGTCATATAAAGCTTTTGAAAAGAGAAGATATTTCTTTTTTTTTTTTTTTTGTTTCAAATATCTACTGTTGTATTATATCCCTGGCTGTTTTGTGATAATAACTCTCTCTCTCTCTCTCTCTCTCTCTCTCTCTCTCTCTCTGTCTATCTATCTGCCTGTCTGTCCATTTATCTCCTTTATAACTTTACATTTGTTCACTATGTATCTCTTACTTATTTTCTTATAAATTGTTTTAATTCTTATCTTTTCTTTCTCTTCTCATCTACAGAAATCATGGAAGGAAACAATGAAAAAGTAAATTCAACTGTGAATATGGTAAATTATAAATAAAATAAAAGAATATTGACGTTTATTATAAGTATATATATATTTTAAAATCAACAGTCTCCATTCCAATTACCCGACGCAAGCTATCCAAACACTCCTAGAGAATTTGCTACATTTATGGTAATAAACCTTTTCTCTCTCTCTCTCTCTCTCTCTTCCTCTCTCTCTCTCTCTCTCTCTTTTCTCTATCAATTCTATTCATTAATAGATGGTAAGAAACATTCATCACTAATCATGAATGTTACAAAAAAAATGATCTAAGCAGAAATGTCATACATCTATTTATAGCCTATATAATACATTATACATAGTTTTGTCAGTATATGTATGCATTAATGTTTTTATAATATTGTGGACTTAGAACTCGGGTAATGACGAAATTATTGCTGGACGAAGCATATCTGAATTGGGATTGCACGACGAGAACGAAATAATCAAGGAAGATGATACGGATGTTGAAAGTACGGATAAAGAGTGGCCGGAAGAAAATCATAATGATAGCGACGAAACGAAAGTAAAAAAAAAATATTAATCATTTTTTATACATTTTATATTGATCATTTTCCTTTTTTCCTATGATACTAGGCTAATTCGAGACGCCGTTCCTCATTCATAAATAGAGTAGTATTACTATTCCAATAATATTTCCCTATCCGATAAATATCATGTTTACTATTATTCAATTTCAGATGCCCAGATTCTTTAGGAATATATTCCCCTGCTTAGCCGGAGAGGATTCGGTAAGTTTTTATATATCACTTCCTTTTCTTTCTTATGAACTTGATGAATAGGTCACTTTTTTAATTCTCTCTTTTCTATTTTTTCTTTTTTTATGTCCATCTTCTGTCGAGAATAGAAGGAATCGAAATTTGATTCTGAATCGAAAAATTTTAAATCTACGCAACAATCGAATAGTACTTCAAAACTTTATGATGATGGTGAATCTCAGCTTTGTCCAGATTTAAGACAAAAGGTTATTTTCTTACCGGAGGATGGAAATCAATCGGGAACGGAAAGTGTTCAATCAAATTTTGCAAAGCCGTCCGCTTCCGGCGAGAACGTTCATGATAAATCGGCTGCTGCTGAAGAAAGTTTTATTTGGGATACGAATGAACATAACGATCAGGACACTGATTTGGAAAGTGAGGGGGAAAGTTATAAATGTTAGGGAAATTGCAACTTAAGTTTATAAAATTATATAATAAAATATATTTATTTATTACCAACAGCTGAGGACATGACAATTTCTGATGCTGATTGAGATTGTCTGTCGCCCGGATATGAATGAATCATCAGATAATTGAAAAAAAAAAACAAAAGGTGGGATGGGAAAATTAGGGGTATCAGAAATAGTTGAAGATAAGCAAATATATTAGGAGTGAATGTATATGAGTTAAAGAAGAATGTATTCTAGCTCTCTCTCTCTCTCTTTATATTTCGTTTGTTTTAGCATGTATACGTTAATATTCAAGATTATATATATATATATATATATATATATTGTGTATATGTAATCGTTAATGATAATATGTAATAATTATTGATGTTATTGTATTTATTTGTATTTATATACGTATTAGTATATATATTTATAAGTGCAGGATAATAAGAGTTTGTTACAATTTAAAATGTTTCTTTTTGACGTTTATATGAATGTTAAAGAAAGGAGATTTTTATTATCTAAAAAACGAATAAATTACATTCTATCCCACTGATAAGCTTGTCCTAAACTTTTAATGCTAAATTAATACCTAATTAATTTATTTCTTATATATTTTTCATCTATTTCCATATTCTTCTCTTTTTGTTTCGTTAGGTGAATTTTTTCTATTCGGCTTAATTGTTGTTACATTCTTCAATCTAATTAATCTCATCTATAGGAAGAGGGGATTTATAATGAAACAATAGTTTTAATCAAAAATTAAAAGAAATACCATAGTATTTTGATGGAAGAGATAGAGATGTAGAGAATATTATCATTATTATATAATAACAAATGTTTATTACTAATATTTTATTTATTAATGTAGGTTAGTTAAATTCGATAATTAGCCTAATAGATTGAATGTTATTTTCTTAAAGCTTTGAATAAGGAAAACTATATAAATTAAAGAGCTCAACAGCAGTTGTTAATATTTATTAAGATAGAACAATCTCCCTCCCTTTCCGCTAACTTTTAACAATAAATAGAACAGAATATTTATTTTAAATTGTAAAGGAACAAACAAACCCAAATATCGCTATACAAATCAAAACAAACGCTTTCCTAAGAAGTACATCAAAACGTACTTACACGTTAGAATTGATTAAACGCCGTTATAATATGTAATATACAAAAAAAAAGGAACTTTCTGTAAGTTTATTTATAGATTATTACGAGTTCAATGACTGATAATTGGAAAAAAATAGTACTGTATATTAGATATGTTTAATTAGTATTCATTAAATTTCTGTTGTAATGTAGTTTCTCTTCTTTCTTTCTTGCCGGTCAGTTTGTAGCACATAATGTATGTACAGTTTATAATGTAATACTATATAATAACTGTATATACGCGCCCATCCTTCCTTATAACCGTTTAAAGGGATGTTTTTTTTTTCTTTTTACTCCTGTATAGGATCATATGTCGACTTATCGTCGTCAAGATTGAAAAGTACCTCTCCGTAGATTTTTTCTATGTAACTGTCCATTAAATTTTTCAAGATTTTATTTGCATATCCTTACGGTAACCTTTTCAGGCAGTAGGATAACTCAATATTGAGACTTTCAAACACCGTCAATCTTGTTATTATGTGTAATTTTAAAAAATTATTACAGAAAATGCCCAAAATCACTCTTAAACGCCGGAAAATATTGTGTTTCCAGTTGAAAATGCCATTCCAAAGATCTGGAATAGGAAGACAAGAGTACATAGTTTATGAGAACGGGATAACTTTTCTAGTTATTGAACTTCAAGTTGACTGCAGACACAAAAACGAACTATAAGAGCATAAATCCAGTAAAAAGAACCAATTTAAACTGACAAGGAAAAAAGTTCTCTTCCTTCCTCCACATTTCATATGCAATCAAACTAGTTTGTAATAGATGTCGTATTGCGGAAGATTTAAAATAGTGAACCATCTCTTTTTTGAACAAACTGTATAACTTACCATTGTAAAGTGTGCAGTTGTTAAGACTTATTTGCAGCTTCAACTTAGTTTATACAGTATAATGTTTATAGTATTGTACTCTTTACAGCTGACTTAAAGGAAGAATGCGTGCTAATTTCTCGTTTAACGCTTCTGACACACTATACCACTTTCGAAATCTATCATAATTTTTTTTTAATTCGCGCTATGAACATTTTGTAGAATTATTTAACGTAGAGATGCCTATAAAAATGAATGCTGAATTCTATCTCGTCAAACTTCACTAGGAATCTATGTAAATATGATAATTTCAATCTAATTTAATCAAATCAAAACACTTTTCCGAGTTTTTCCTTTTTTTATTGAACGCAAAAAAACAAAGCTTGCAAAAAAACGAAGATCTAAACAAAATTTTAAATCCCAACACCAAAAAAAATATACCAAGGTTTTTACGATTAAAGTGATTTCTTAAGTCTCATATACGATAAATGTTTAAGCCTCTTGGGCTAACAAAAAAAATATGTCAATGTTAGATTTTTTCAGCGAAAAGAGAGTATGCTCAATAGTTGGTTCGTTTATATTCTTACAGTAGAAGAAATTGGTTTTAAATGCCCATTATCGCGTTTCGCGTCTTTCCAAATAATATTACATAATATTACCATTTGTGAAACAATACAATTTTACCCTGCACCATAGCAAATAAATCCGTCAAAGGTATAAGATAACATATTACAAGATTTTTTTCAAGAAATGATCTAATAGCAGCGAAAAAGATCACAAAAATATTAATGAGCCGCAAAAAAAATAGGAAAAAAAAATACAACTGAGAAAATAAGCCTTTTTTAACGTTGAAAGTTATTCGGTTTCGTTGTTGTACCTTTTGTTGAATAGTTTCCTTAAAAAATTTTTAAAATGAAGATAAAATCTGCACTATTTTTTTTCCAATGTCCGAAAGGGCCAGACGCACCAATCGTATTTCGATATTTAGAAAAAAAACTCATCCCAATCTCGTTTCATGATCATATACATTTGCATTTGATCATACACAAAATGTTAAGTTAACATTTCGTCATACGCAAAGCTGCTATTTAACAATAGCCTTTGCCTTACTCCTCCTAGGTTCCGTTAGCCGTCCTGTCAGGCTCCACCGGGGTCGCCAACCCCCGTTCGTCATTCAGCCAAGACGTTCCCACCCCTGCACCACGATGAGGTGGAACCATGCAGGGGAACTTGCTGTTGCGTATCATTCTCTGGTATTTCTACAGACTAATACTGGGGAAGTTTCAATATCTTCAGATGTTGTTTCCTTCTTCATCGTTTGATATAGGATTTAAGTTTAATGGCTTTTCAAATATCACTAAAAAATTGAAAGATTTAGTTTTAAAAGCCCTTATAAATTATACTACTCTACTTTCAAAGAAAATTCTGACGAGCTCAGTTTTCAAAAAATATATTGGTGTTTTATTTTAATAGTTCCTAGGACTTATATAACTTTGACGGCTTACTACTGTGTTAACCTTAATACTCAATATTGAAAATGAAACTCACCCTTTATTTCACCCAAAATTCAAAATGGCCGAAAGCCTTTCCTCAAACCACGTGGTCCAACCACTTCTGAAATAAAGACAATCGCTACAATAAGTTTTCCACTCTCACCTGAAAGAAGAGAAAGTATACATATAAGTCCATATGAATAATTAAAGATACCTAAAATTTTTGTTTATATATAAGTTTCTGAACTTACCACTTATAACTTCGAAAATATGGCGCTGGGCGTGCGAAAAACACGTGCTTGGCGTATTCTTGGCTGACAAGTTTCTGGCGCTTAAATTGAAATTTCTGCAAAAAGAACGTCAGTGTTTACTTAAAATAACCATGAATTACACTTAGAATCAAGGGGGCAGATTCAAATATGTAGTTAAAAAAAAATTAGTACTTACTTCCAAAAACGTTTCGTAAACTGCTTTGCAGTGTTTCAACACAACCAAATAGAACAACTTTAAGTGCCTCAGTTAAAAAACCTCACTCATTTTCTCTACTCTTTTCTCTTCTCAAGTCACTTTTTCGTTGGTTCCACGTTGACCTCGTTCCAAATGACAGAACCGGGCGTGGAAATTAATAATTTCGCACTTAATACCACCACGATCATTGGATAAGTTTTGGCGCAAATTTTTAAAAATTTGAACTTAATTACCCCCTATTATCACCAGTGTTTTCCGTTTTTTTTTCTAAAAACATTTCTTAGAAATGACTACGTTTTGTTTATTTTCACTTTCCACTAATATATACCACTTCAAATAACAGGCTCTAGTGTTCTATCCACCATTCTTCACACTACTGCTCTGTTTCTCTCCTTGAGCTTCTTGTTATATTATGAACTATCCAAACGGTAAATACAATAATTTACGTTCAGTATATAGCTTCATTTGCAAATTGTTTTAATGACGAAAAGACATGTAAAGCGATAAGATAATATCTAATCAAACAAAAAAGTACGAAGAGAAGGAAAGACAGAAAGACATTAAAGATGAACATTAGTGTTGTGTTCTTTCAATTGTTGTCTTAAGAATAGTAGAGAATTTGTGACTGGAAACGATTACCTTACTAGTTTCGTCCTTCTTTTCATAAAATACTCTATTATTTTGCAGTACAATACATCGTATCGTCTTTTTATTCTTATTAAAAGCTTTATTTAGTATTAGTTGTTTTGTTGGATTAAATACAGAAAACTGACGGTTGGTCTTTATATTTAATAATTTTATAGAAAAATCGCTTTCTCTCTTCGACTACATTCAGTATATCGTCTCATTAAGTTTTCTACTAACCTACTAAAAACAGCACTAATGCTACAATAGCAAATACTATTAATATTACGGCGTCTCTTTTAAGATTCAACGCTTTTATTTTCCTGCTATTGTACATGTCTAGACGTTATAGAATGAGTAAACGAAAAGGCGAATGAACTCGTAAATAGAAGAGTTAGTTGAAAAAAAAAAGAGACGTCTTCGTCCTTCTATACACTCTTTTTGTAGATTTTCAGTGAATTTATCTCTCATAAACCAAACGATGATGTTGAACGTCCTTCGTAAAATTCGTCATTGTACATATTGTAGTATAATTTCTATTCAGGAAAAAAGAGAAACAAACGATAAACGTCGATTTTTTTTTATCAATTAATATTAGATATTTTTAAAGATCTAATTTTATTCTCCTAATCTCCTTCTTTCTTATTCGTTTTACTTAATATGCACTTTGTTTTTAGATTACTTATTAATTCGCTATCAGTTTACATACATTTTTACTTGAATTTCCTCTGAGATACTTTACAAAGTTGTCTTTTCACTGTCTATATCTAGTGAATAGTTGAAAACAAAAAAAGACGGCCGAATACAGGATATCAACCTTTGAACAGGAAATAACTGAAACAATGACACATATGAAGGTATGCCTGTGGAGTAAGGCCGTTTTACGAGCTGATAGGATTTGCGCACATTTGATTTAACTCTAACTAAGCTCTATTCTTAATTGTTAGTGATAGAAAGAAGAATATATAGGAGATATCAGGGAAAGGATCACGAAAACGAATCAGTAAGTTTGTGAGGAAATTCAGTGCTTAAATGTGAGAACCTGGTGAATGTTTATACCATCCTATTTGATTATTAAAAGGAGTAAGATCACTTTCATAGACACATATTTTGTTACAATCGATAAATGATGAACGACCTCGTTTGTATTGTTTATAAATTTTTCTCATTACACCAAGTCTTTGTTACATTTGCAACATTAGTGATATTAGCATTTTGTCGCCTTGCATCTTCGTTTGCTCTTACTCCACAGTCATCCTCTATCTCACTCCAATTGCTTACCTACTTGTTTATGTAGCCTTCGCACATGCAAATATACCGCTAGTGTTACACTTTGAGTGAGCTATCAATATTACACATGACGTATATTTTCTCTATATCTCTTTTACTTAACGGATACCCGCTGCGCAGTTCCTTCTCTGTAACAATTACGTCCATACTTTCTATAATTCTCTATTAATTCTCGTCTAGCACAAACCCTACTGACTCAGCCAACTCAGCTTCCATTTATTGTTATGTATTCATGCATACTTCCATCCTCTTTATTTACTATTAACTATGCACGTAGTTTTCATTAAATTCTATTAATTATAACAAAGAGAGCGGAGAGTTTACATTTACAAATATTCTACTATCTCGATACTCCTCTCCCAAAGGAGAGGGGTCGTCAACGATACGGTCCCTACGTCTTTTGACTTGAAAAAAAAGCAATGATAGAGAGAGAAAGAGAACTGATATAGTTAAAAGCAAGAGTTGAAGGCGAGAAATATTGTTTTTCGGCAGTTTCTCTACTCAATTGATGGTCTATGGCGGGATTTTGAGAGGAAACAAACGTTGTTCTTACCCCTATCGTTAAAGAAAGTCTTGTATGAAGTTCATGTCCCAAATAGTTAAAGGCGTCGACTACTTTCCTTACAAAGTGAAAGATCCTATCTTGTTCGTGTCCTTTTTGGCATCTATCGATATCGAAGAGAGCTTTATCGATAAGTTTGTCGGATTGTTTCATATGTCTAGTAATTTTACAAAAGAGAAAGAATGACATCCTTTCCGTTGATTCAAGTTCTTTTCTTAGATTATCAAATGTATTCCAGTCGTAGTATCTATCTCCTAATTCCATTTTCATACTCCAATCGTGTTGCATGATGCTGATAAGTCGATTAGTTTCCTTGTTGTGTTCTTGATTTTTCGATTATACAATATATTCTAATCCGTCTAATGAATATTTGAATATTGTATGAAAACTCCTTAAAAAGAAGATAGGAAGAGAGATAGATCGATTGAGAAAGGCTTCGACAGAGCAGCAGTTGATATTAACAACTTTGAAACTTTTCCGAATATAAAAGGGGAAACTTAAGTTATGAGGTTTTTATAGTTTTAGATACACGAGGGGTCAATATTTGGAGACAATGTTAACCATAGAAAAAAAGGAAAGTAAAATAAGGTGACTTTTTTATTATTTTGGCCGTTGCCCTCTAATTGTGTCATTAACCTTGAAGACGTTTTTGCTAAGAAAATTTCTTTTTAAGATTAATGACTATAAGTTTGGTTTTGTGAAAAGTTTTTTTCTTACTTTTTCCATTTAAAAGAGATTCTATTTTTTTTTATCTTTTATTAGACCTTTACAATTACATATAAATAGATATCTTTGTAGACTTTCTGCCGCTTCTTTCTTTTATCTTTTTTTAGCTTATTTAGTCTTTTAAATTAAATATTTATATATCATATTATAGTTAAACGTCTATTTTTATACTGTTATATGGTAATTATTTCTCAGCCTTTATACTCTGAAAAGAGTAATTGTTTTTTGTAAGTATTTAATATTGATATTCGTTTCCTTCCGTTTGGTGTTTGAAAGTAAAGAATAAAAACATGGCTTTTTTGAACGATCTCATTCAAAATAGCTCTTCATATTTTTTTCAATGATAGATGGCGATAGTAGTCTATAATAATATAATTATAAAGGAATGTTTCAGTTGCCTAAGTAATTATTTAGGACTTTTGTCTATTTGTCTCTCGATTTCTAAATAAGAAAAGTATTTTACATAATTTACGATTATGCACCACTCCATGTACCATAAAAGTAGTCGATACATGTAATAGTAAGGATGATAGATGGCAGCACATTGGATTATATGATACGACCTTCGCATTGGGTGTTTTGATATTTATGACCATGGAGGAAGATTGCCTTGAAAATGATGTTTTAGTCAGTTTTTCTCGTTATTTAACAATTATTTAATTATAAATATTAGATATAAACGACATTTTAGTTAAGATTCGCTGTACAACATTGATAAATGCAATGATATATGAAAGATTTGTTAGTTTATAGGATAATTATATATTCCAATTGGTGATAAACTTTATAGTTTGATTGTAAATTTTAAAAAATTTACAGTATAAGGAGTACGAATGGATTTTGAAGGAAGAAGTAAAGAATGTTCTCTCCGAAGTGGAAGGTCTACTAAATGTGAGTTTTATTAGTTTTAGCCTAAATCAATAGCTTGCTTTAAAAATTTACTTACTTTTTCCTTATTTGTTTTTTTTTATATGCTTATTTGCTATAACCAGGAATGCTGCCGAAGATTTCCTATACATTTATCAGATGTTGCAGGTGAATATCAATATTTATATTTACAATATATAGAATATAATCAATACGATTTATCGTAATAGAATATTTTCAAGTAATAATTTAAAAATAAAAGAAAACACAATAAATCAGTATAGAAAATATATTATGAGTATAAAAGAACACTAAAGATAGGCTTAAACCTAGATTTAATAACGTTGAGATACATATGCTAGTTTATTCTTTTGTTAGGATGTTATCTATTCGTGATAACCGTGAAACATCATAGGCACTAAGGTAGGCGTTGGGCTAGTGTTGACTAGAGTTAATGTTGTAGCATTAAAGACTGCTAAATAGGAACGTAACCTGATACCATCACTTATAACTGAAAAGAGGAGTCCATCGTCCTCCGCTCTCCTATTCGGATGATGGACAAACCAGGGTTCGGATGGTATATGGCCATTTAATTCCCATATTCTATCTCTTCCTTTTCCGCATATATCGACCTTTATTAATGTTACATTGCTAAATTGAATATTATCCGATTTAAAAGAGATGCCATAAATGAAGCAATAGCTTTTAAATCTGTATAACTCGTTGATTACTGGCATTTCAAGCCCCTGATAAGGTCGTCGATTCGAGAGTAGCTTGTGTTTTACTATACCACTTTTCAGATCAATAGTATAGCGTTTGAGTGACGGCAAATCGGTAATTTTGTTTCGTACAGTAGAATTGCGGAGTGTATCGAGTTGATAATCATGGATTAGGGTAAAACTTTTGTAGGTTGTCGTATCAAATATTATGGCATCGTTGTATTCAAAGGCGTTTACGTGGTGTAGCATAAATTTACCTTCCGTTCTATATTTTCTGTACTGTAGTGTTCGCAAATCGACAACGTAAACGTCACTTTCTCCATTCTCCCGCCATATAATACTTTTACTAGGATTTAGCGTTTCAAACAATTTACTTATGCTAATACTAACTGGATTAGCAACGATTATTGCATAGTTAGACGTCAATGAGAAACTGTGAATGTACGGTGCTTCATCAACCGGAATACTTAGCAAGTTTACGACCTCCCTGGCCGATTTAATTTGTACTAAATGAACGTAATTCAATCCGAAAGGGTTTATTTCCGTGACGATATTGACGCCTTGTATAGGATGCGAGCTGGATAGGAGTGGAATGCGTCTACTTATTATCGATCTATGTAGAAAATCTGGTGACGTTCTGAAAAGCGTTTCGCCTCGATCAATATCGATCACATATTTCGACCAAAAGTCACTTATTGCTAAATAATCATCTCCAAATTTCACAATATTAACATTTACATTGTCTGGACCATTGAATAAACTTCTTAGTCGATCAATAAGCGATTGACGAGGTACTGTATCGTCGAATAACGTATATAGCGGCGATACTGTATTCCTCTTCTCCGAATCAACAAACGTCCTCGTCCTTACGAACTTTGCACTGAATGTTGTCCTGTTCGGTTTTAAATTCCATATATGCATTTTACCGAAACCGTCAAATACATGATGAAATTTCCTATCTCCCATTCCAAAACATCCAGCGCCAATTCTAATCAGTTTTTTATTTAATAACCATGTTGGTAAGGGCTTTTGGAAATGAACGGTAATTTCATCGAATTCTTTAACATTACTTGTAAAAAGTAGGTCAAAAGCTTTATCATATTCTTTAGCCCAAGCTGTAAGGAGTAATAAATAAATAATTTTCACTAACATCTTCATTCCTCAATTCCTAACCTTCGAATAAGCCGTTGATCTTTATATTTCACTTTTTATTTAAAAGTAAAGATTTGAAAGATTGCATCATTCGATCGCACGACTTTTGTCACGTGGTGCACTCATCGATGAACTTGGGCCTAGTTTTTTTTTATTGGATAAATATACAGTATATCTATATAAGTATATTAAATCTAGATATTAAGTGTTTGTTTTTTTTTTTTTTTTGGCTTTTCATTCGATCCCTTATCAATATATTTATTTAAGAGAAATCATAATTGCAGCTGAAGACAATCTAGTCAAACCTGAGAAGTATTTGATGTCAACTAACAAGTAAGACAATACGATTGATTTTATTAATTATTTATAAATAAAAACATATATATATATATATATATATATATAGTATATTTATACTTTAATTTAAAAAATAGCGGATCTGCACAAATTAAATGCGTTGTAACCCTAATGGGCGATCGACTACTAGAAGCTGATCTGGCTTTGAGAATGAATAAACATCAGGCCGTACCACATAAATTTTGTATATATCCAGACGCCCCTTGGTTTCTGCAACAAATCCAAGACGCTGCTAATCATCTCTTGAACGCTAGGTAAAGATTTGTGCTAGAGAGTTTTTGCTTAGATTTTTAATGATTTTATGATTATATTACTTCTTCTTTATGTTTATTTTTTTCACATTATAAAAGGGCCACAGCGCAACGATTCGAACCGGATCACGCATTCAGGGATGCCAAACAGGTTTTGCATGTAAGTAGCCAACCTTGTTTTTTCTTTCTCGCCACTTTTTGATCGTATATCTATTTTCTTTAATGTATTTTTCTATTAAATATTTCATACTAATAGAACTGCATATATTAACTAGATTTTATTGTTTTCAAATGCAAATACAGCTTTTGGACGAGATTATGACGTCAATAAAGAGAGGTAGGACTAGCCTAGCTTTACCTAGGAAGAGAACCCTCGAGGAATTGGTTAATAATCCCACATTGGAAGTTTTCAAGCCGGCTTTGCCCCAAGATGTGGCACTAGTCTTTTATATACAAGCTCAGAAGTTGGTGCTAGCCCTTTATCAACTCTACATAAACGAAGCTCAAAAGATCGATATAAGCGCTAGACATCAAATAGATTGTACTGTACCGTGGTTGAATGATACTCTTGTTTTATTCACATTAGCCCTCCAACAATGTCAAGCACTCAAGGATAAGGTAATAGTTTATTTAATTTGATAAAAAACCCATCATATTTATCATTGGTTACGCCATTTATCATTGTAATTTTTTCTCTTCTCCTCTCTGCCCCCTCCCTCCCTTACAACACCAACGCATAGATTACTGTATTGGAACAATACAAACAACTCGACAAATATTCAACGACTAAGAAGTCTACCGTCGCTTAGCGACTTGGAACAGGGGGCGGCAAAAAGAAAAAAAAGTAATGCACCAGAATAGAAGAATAGAAAGAGAATTTTCAACATGAACAGCCAAGTCAACGTTAAATAGAGTCACTCAAAACAAAACAAAAAAAAAGGATAAAAAAATTATGGAAAATGTGTGTTTTAGTGCCAAAGTTAAGAATAAAATGGAAATTTGTTTCTTTAAAAAAAAAAAAAAATAAAGCAATGGCATCATCAAAATTAATTATTTATGAAATAATTCAGCAATAATCAGTAGCTATCTCTTTTTATTATAAAAAGTTAATGAATACACAATTTTTTCACGTGTTAAAGAATTTTTATTTGTTTTGTTATGTTTTACATTCATAAATATCTATATATATAAATATATATGTTTTTTTTTTCTTTTACAAAATATAATCATTTAAACTATTATTATTAAATCTAAACGAATTATAGGCAGAAAAAAAAAGAAAGTAAACTGGCCAATAATGTGCAGAGAGATTAACTTGAAAAAAGACATAAACAACACTCTCTTTCTTTCACTGTCAAAGCTGATCGAAGAGAGAGGTAGCAAATGATAATAAAAAGTACAACTCTCAGACAAGAAAAAACAGACAAAAAAAAACAAATTTTTTTTTTATTTAGTTTGTTCTCCTCTTCATTTTTTTTCTTTCCTTTAACAAACTTCTTCCCCGAAAACTTATTTTTAATTTTTTTGGACAAGTTTGCCTTTTTTTTTCATAATAAAACGAAAACAAACCCCGTATTTCATAAATTATTTTTTTCCCATGTGCATATAATCTCCTTATACTAAGCATAATAAAGAATATAACAACATACGCAAAAGAATATAAGTTTTTCTTATATTATACATATATTATATATATATACATATATATATATATATATATATATATATACATTATTAGAAAACAATATATAGAATTTTATTCTGGTATCGAAAGCAAGACAAAAAAGAAAAGAGAGGCGACAGCAGCAACGAAAAAAAATAGTGTGATCAATTTTTAAAAATGAAAAAAAGAAAAAAAAAAGAGAAAAAACAAGAACAAACAAACAACAACCCAGTTAAAAAATCTAGATATGTTGTTTCTTCTATTCTTCTCTTTTTCTCTCTTTTTTTTCTTTTTATTTTTTTAAATATTTTATCACCTTTTTTTTTTCATACTCACTTTTTTTCCCTTTCTATTCCCTCTTTCACTCGCTCTCTCTCTCTCTCTCTCTCTCTCGCTCGCTCACTCTCCATTTAACACGTGTAGACATAGACACGCTTTCCTTTCGTTGCAAATAGAATTTTTGACTTTTTCACATAAAATATTCGATCCATTTCTAAGCCAATATCCATACTTGTTAGAAAATCGCCATTTTCATCGTACATATGTAAGTAATGACTTTCAGCCATTAGAATATTATTGTTCATAAAACAAATACAATTCGGCGACATGGAACGTAAGTGAAAGCCAGCTTGTATCCTCTTTTCAATCTTTGTTGTTCTTTCGGTTGACATTATAAACGATTCTGTACTACAGGCAAAAACTGTTTCGTCTCTTATCAATAGACTGACGTAAGTATTGTCAAATTTTGGAAAATCGACAAACGTCTGATCGGGATCATCTTCTAACGAGATTCTAATACAACTTTTTTCATCTTCCAACAATGCTTCAGGGATAACGTATAGCATATCGTTATTCAGTGCAACTTGTTCAATGCATCGGTCTCTTCGGCAGGTAAGCATTTTCGTCAAACTAAACGTCGACGTCAACTTCCAATTATTGTCAATATGCTTCAGAACCTTTACATATCCACGTTCACAGCCAACGGCCAAAGTCGAGCCATTTAATGCAATGCAAGTTGCTTCTCTCAATGTATATAGTGTTCCGATATTTCTACCCTCAAAGTCGTATTCTACAATCGCCGATTGACCATCCATCAAGCGCTCTAAAGTTACAATTCTGTTATCAGCGGCGAAAATTTGTATAATGTTATAACAAGTTTCGAAATAGCCATTATTACAGAAACACAGTGATTCGTACAAAGCTTTTCGAGACGTTTGAGTTGAGGAGGTTGATGCAGAAGTAGACACTGAGGTACAGGTAGAAGATTGTCTTCGTTGGGGGGCTTTCTTCTCAAAATGTGAAACTCGTTTCGTATTATCGAAATAGTAATTCTTCTGAAAACCACCTGCACCTTCCGCTGGCCAAAAAGTTGCTCGTCTGCAAACGGGACAGCAAAATATTTGACCGCGCAGTAAATTTTTTCCACATTCTTCCAAGCACTTAAAACAAAAAGTATGAAAGCAATTCAGAATTCTGGGGTCCCTCTCCAAAAAAGGTTCCAAACAAACGGCACAATTGCAATTTTCCAAAGGGAGTACGACACACTGCATTTCTTCGCCGATTTCTTTTGAAAATAAGAAAAATACTTAAATTCTAAAACAAAACAGATTTGTTTTGTAACTAAAAGTATAATAACTCTCTAGCGCAAGAGGATAGGTAAGTCTATGGTCTGTGGGTGAAAAATCGACGCCTTTTATACGGAACGAGAGTACAAAACAAAACTCATCTCAACTTGTTTAAAACTCAATTTTATTTTTTTACTCAAAAAGCGTTCATATGCATGTCTGCCGATTGAAAAAAACTGTCTATTGAGACAGTGCTTATGTAAATTGAGTCATTCGATGCAGCCAAATCTGCCACCAATTTTTGACAATGATTCAAAATCTCTTCGCCTTGATATTCCAGACCAATGATTATTCCTTTACTTATAAGCTCTTCGTATCTATTATCATCACCAAATACTGCTCTGCATTCCGCCGGTTTCAGACCAATTTCTTTACTCCTTAACAATCGGCAACTAGGCTAAGGGAACAAAAAGAACGGTTAGAATTCTATAAGGAGGAATAAGACAACATTATTGACAAGCAATTATATTATTAAGGGAGGAAGTTGAAGATAGATGGTCTATGCAAAGAGATTCGAATTACTTACGTGTTCGTCATTCATTTTTTTTGTGAAATTAGCGCATATTTCTTTCTGAGTTGGCTGGTGAAAAAAGATGACCAGACAACTATCTTCTTCGCCTTTACATTTTATACCATAGCTTAATGGAATGACACTTTGATTCTTTTCGAAGGATATCTTTCCGTGGACTGTTGAAAACTCTTCTGTATCAGGCGGAAGTGGAATGTATGAGCTGAGATCGTTCGTGTCTTTCGTTGATAGTAGGGTGTAATTGTCTTCTCCAGGAACTGGAGTAAAGTCGTGTATTGAACTCCACTTGTTATTGTAGATACTGAGTCCAGCCTCATCCATTTGTGATTGGAATTCTGGATAGTAGACTTGCATACAGCCGAATCTTACGTTAATGGTTGACTCGATTATTGGTTGTGATGTACAGCACAAAAAGCAATCCATTTTGCTGCAATCCCTTGTTCGGAATTGTTGACAAGCAGCCATTAATTTCATATTCTTACAATCTCGTACAAAAATGCTATAGGTATTTATTTTAAAAAGGAACACTCTTATAAAGATATTTGCACGGCGAGTGCTTAAATTTCTAATTACCTTGTCTTAATCGGACCGATAAAAATTTTACAATCTTCGCAATCATCAACAGTAACCGTATTCATGTGATCAAGAAGATAAACAGTGCAATTCTGTAAGTTAGTTTGCATGATTAGTGTATGCATGAAAAAGAATTGTTGTTAACTTCAACAAACTTTCAGGTTCTTTATAATGAATTGAGAGCCCTTGAGGGAATTTGGTAATTTAACAAGTGTTTCATTTTCGCGATCTTTAAAACTAATATCATCAACGTTTACTTTTGGCCTCTTATCCCTAGGATAAAAATTGAAAAATTACATTGAAACAGATGGAATCAAGACGAATATAAAAATTTGCACGAAACAGGGACAAATGGATAATTTACCAAGAAAATTGCTTTTTTGGCTCGGGTGACAATTCTTCCGGTTTGCCAGATCCACTGCTAAATAAACAACCCATCATTTAGCAAAGATATTTACGTAATTATGGTTGCCGATTTGTATATGATAAGTTTTTTCAATCTCCAAGAATTTCCGAACAAAAATGCAGCCGAAGATGGCGCTGTTTTTCATGTGAAAAGGGCTTCCTGTTCTTTTCGGGAAATTGCAAATGTGTTCTTACAAGTAAATATATTATATCAATACAAATTTTCTATGGAATAATATTTCTATCAAAACAATATGTCACAAACACAAAACAATTATTGATAAAGCTCACTGAAATACTGCAACGCTTTTATTATTAATAAATAATAATTACCTAGTAGAAAGCAGCAGTGAAAAAAGCGTTACAAGAAATAGCCTTTGAGCGTTACATTGCATTCGCACAGATTCTAAGTGCGTATTCCACGACACATACGTTCTTACCAGAAAAGATATCCAATCAATTCGAGAAGCACTTCAAAAAAATATCCTGCAACCGTCTCTGAACCACTGCAATCAAAGACATCTGTCAGAACATGAGAGAAATGATTAGTATATTAGGTTGAATATATATTCTGATCATTACGAAATTTTTGTTTGAGATAAGTTCTCTTCATTTTCCAGATTGCGCCTTTTGACAAACTATAAACATTGCAATAAAAGAGCTAATAAACCGAAAAAAATTATTGTGTCACGACTTCTAGCTCATTTATAATTATCTTTATACAAAAAAGAAGAGGAAAATGTATATTTAAATAAAAACTAGACGCTTATATCTAAAAATAAAAATATTACGGAAGGCACGTAAAGTAGACTGAGGGCAATGACCAAATAAAAAAAATCATCCTATTTTACTTTCATTCTTTCTATAGTTAACATTGTCTCCAAACGTTGACCCTTTGTATAATTTTAACTATAAAAACCAAACAATTAAGGTTTGGTTTTAAATACCAAAAAGTATCACAGTTGCTCCCGTCAACTGCTGCTCTGTCGAAGCCTTTCTCAATCGATCTATCTCTCTTCCTATCTTCTTTTTAAGGAGTTTTCATACAATATTCAAATATTCATTAGACGGATTAGAATATATTGTATAATCGAAAAATCAAGAACACAACAAGGAAACTAATCGACTTATCAGCATCATGCAACACGATTGGAGTATGAAAATGGAATTAGGAGATAGATACTACGACTGGAATACATTTGATAATCTAAGAAAAGAACTTGAATCAACGGAAAGGATGTCATTCTTTCTCTTTTGTAAAATTACTAGACATATGAAACAATCCGACAAACTTATCGATAAAGCTCTCTTCGATATCGATAGATGCCAAAAAGGACACGAACAAGATAGGATCTTTCACTTTGTAAGGAAAGTAGTCGACGCCTTTAACTATTTGGGACATGAACTTCATACAAGACTTTCTTTAACGATAGGGGTAAGAACAACGTTTGTTTCCTCTCAAAATCCCGCCATAGACCATCAATTGAGTAGAGAAACTGCCGAAAAACAATATTTCTCGCCTTCAACTCTTGCTTTTAACTATATCAGTTCTCTTTCTCTCTCTATCATTGCTTTTTTTTCAAGTCAAAATATGTCTCTATGAAAGTGATGTATATCTCTTTATTTAAAAATTAAACAGGATAATATTCTCCATCTTCTCGTCTATAAGCGCAGACTTTTCTCACTAAATTTTTGATCGGCTTTCGTGATTCTTCCCTGGAATTTTCCTATCCTTCTTTCTATTCGTAACAATTAAGAGTAGAGCTTAGAGTTAAATCGAATGTTTAAAAATCCTATAGTGGATTAATAAACATTGTAATAAAAATGTATATTAAATACCGGACACAATAAGAATAAGAAAAAAGATTAGAATTTTAATAATATCTAATGTTAATTGATAAAAAAGGTAAAATACTAATAATCGACGATTACGTTTGTTTTTCTTTTTTCCTGAATAGAAATTATACTACAATATGTACAATGACGAATTTTACGAAGGACGTTCAACATCATCGTTTGGTTTATGAGAGATAAATTCACTGAAAATCTACAAGAAGAGTGTATAGAAGGACGAAGACGTCTCTTTTTTTTTCAACTAACTCTTCTATTTACGAGTTCATTCGCCTTTTCGTTTACTCATTCTATAATGTCTAGACATCTAAAATAGCGGGGGAAAAAATAAAAGCGTTGAATCTTTAAAAAGCAGACGCCGTAACATTAATAGTATTTGCTATTGTAGCATTAGTGCTGTTTTTAGTAGGTTAGTAGAAAACTTAATGAGACGATATACTGAATGTAGTCGAAGAGAGAAAGCGATTTTTCTATAAAATTATTAAATATAAAGACCAACCGTCAGTTTTCTGTATTTAATCCAACAAAACAACTAATACTAAATAAAGCTTTTAATAAGAACAAAGAGACGATACGATGTTGTGTACTGCAAAATAATAGAGTATTTTATGAAAAGAAGGACGAAACTGGTAAGGTAATCGTTTCCAGTCACAATTAAAACTTTACAACTGATATCTTCGCCTATATTACTTACTTCCACAGTTTATCTGTCTACGACGATATCCTATAACTCCCCTCCTATAAAAATAATTATACTCACATTCTGAAGACTACATGTACAATAGGGTTGAAGTTTGAATGAGATAAATATGACAGGCGATGAACCATTCGTCGTCAAAAGTATGTCTGCCGAGACGATAGGGGTGCTAGCTGAAAGTGAAACGTTCAAAATGAGGTATTTCTGAGAAATCTTTAAAAAAAACAAAATATGGAAAGTTTTGGCAGTGTTTTTCACAAACTTTTTGGAATGAATTCAAGCATATAAAGGGAATATACGAACTATCTATCATTCATCCAGAAAATGGTACAATAAATCGCCAAAAAGATGTAAACTATTGACAATACATGATATTCATCGTGTACTCATTATTACTCTACAACATTTACATATAGTAAGTAACAATTTTTTTCTGGATGACGTAATTTAACGTTGATAATAGTAATAATAATAATAATAATAATCATCATCATATGAAGATCGTTTAAACATGGATAACAATAGATGAAAACGTATATTTAGTTTTGCAAGTAGATCATATTTTATTTTTATCTTATTGACATAAACAAGTAATAGAAAAAAATAGAGTAGCTTATTTGAGGGACAACAAAATAAAAAACTTGAATCAATATACTCGGATATTATTTGGAACAAAAACATGTTTTTGAGCGAATGACAAGACAATTTGAGCAATTGCAGTTTTTTTTTTCGTAATTTTTTATTAAGGTTAAAAAACAGAGATGCTAAAAACGTTGTTCCGATTTTAGGGTTAAAGACAAAAGTCCTAGATCTGAAGGATTTCTAGTTGAACTCTCACAAAAGAAAGAGTCATAGATAGATAAGAAAAAGAATACAAGATGTTGGTAAATTATAAAGAGAAGGAAAAACTGTTTCTTACAGATTGCTAATTATGAAGAAAACAGATTTTTTTTTATGCCACTTGCTCGCTTCCTGTTTTCCACTCCCTCTCACAATCTATTTAAAGAGATGCGCTATCTTGGGTAATATGTCAATTGTCTACCTATCAGCATTACAAATTTGTAGTAACAGAAGCTTAACTTTTCTTCTATAAAGACTATTGAACTCTTGACGCTTTTAATTCGTGTATTATAGCTTTAATATTAAAAAAATCTTATTATGTGAAACTATGATAAAATTTAACGTTAATTATTAATGAACTGTTTGTTTTTTAGTTAAATTTTGTGTTTTTCTTTAAAGAATCTTAAAAGAATCACTTATGATATACATATATATATATATAAATTATATATATATCAATCGTTATTTTATTATCATCTCTACTCATACTAGCTGTACAATATGAGTAGCGTCAATTAAAACTACTCTCCATTTGCCACAGACGTCATTCTTCTGGCAGGAGCTGAAACGCGAACACCACTTTATCTGAAGGAAAAAAAAGGTTCTTCCTCTCCCGAAGTGTACAATGTTCTTTGAAAAAAAAAACAGGTATGTAAAACATTTAAAAAAAAAATAAAGAACGTTTTATGGTATGTAAAATTTAAATTTTTTGTTAGGCACTTGTTTGAAGAAAGCCATTTGTAGAATGGATGAGAGGACAAGCGAAAGAATTACAAGAGCACAAATGACCAATTTTTTTCAACGTTTAAGAACGGTGTCGAGACAAAATAAAAGTTTTTCACCTTGAAGTAAGAAGTAACATACTATCTCTCGTATAGAAAATCAAATAGGTTATGTATGTATTATAAGCAATACTTTACCAAAACGAGCAATGACAATTGATTAATGGCTCTTCCTTTACATTTTAGGTTTAGCATTAGCAGATTTTAACTAGAAGTGATTTGGTAAAGATAATTGCTCGTTTCCAATTTCACATAAAGTATACTGGGTGGACAAAGGAAGAAATAAGAGTTTTAAAATTGTCGCCTTGAACATAAAAGCCTATAAGCCACCTTTGAGTTTGTTACATTCTTAGAAAAGCAATTGTAAGACTTTTGTCATAACTGAAAATTGAAAAGTACATGATGGAAATTTTGACATTTTACGGCACTCTTGTTACTTTATGGCAGAAGAAATTTACCTTTGAGAAAAGTATTATTGCTTTAAAAGTAAATCGCTGCTTATAATTATTCTTTAGGATACAAGGAATTGATATAATAGGTAACTGAATGTGTTTCAGGTGAACATTCTGTATATAGAAAGAGAATTTAAGCAAAACTATTTTCTGAGGAATTGAACTCTGGAAGGGTGAATGAAAGTTGATTTCTATACAGGGTATCGCTTATTAAATTAATGGCGAACTTAAATTACTTGAATAGTATCAAATTCGACTGCTTTAAAAACTCAAAAAAAAAGTTGACAACTAAGAAATTCCACGCGTGATTTAAAATTGTCAGTATTTTGAATTGAAGCTCTAATCTATGTAAAATAGCCAATATAAACGAGATTGACTTTTTGTTTTTACTCCCAAGGCAGGCAAAGAAAGAAATACCCTCGAATCAAATTCAATTAGGAGTTTATTGTTTGCTGATTTTGTAGAAGTAATTTACTATTGAAAAGGTTCTTACAACCTTGAAGAATTTGAGAAAAATTTTTAATTGTTTCATTGGATGTGGTTTCTATTGGTGATTTGATACTTTTCTAAACCGCAAACTCATTTGAAACTGGTTTGTCGGTTATCCTTTAATATCATTTCTTAAAAAATCTATTTCATAAACTAGAAAAATTGAATGGAAATTTATTACATAGCCATACCGATAGCATGGTGTATTTGTACATCTACAGGTCGTCTATAGGCTTGGTGTGAACTTTAAACCGACGATTCATTGTTACAAACAAGTTGTCAGTTGGCTAGGCACAGCGAACTTGTCAGAAATTCAATAGAACAAATGATTAAAAGTTTTGTTATCTACAATTGTCATTAGACGAATTCAAATTTACGAATGAATACATATGATGAATATCTGCAATTGGCTATTGGGTGCTGGATTTTTTTGTTCCATATAAATTGCCTATTTGCTTTCGGAAAAAGAATCAAAATTGAGTGCAAGTCCCTTGCATGGTCCCACCTCAACGTGGTGCAGGGGTGATAACGTCCTAATAAAGATCTGACTGGCAACTCTGGCAAGATTAGGACGGCTAACGGGACCAAGGAGTAGTTTGAAGGTAGATGGAGGCCATTCAATAAACTCCTAAAGGATACTAAATAAGAATATAATGATGGAAAGTGTTGATGGTGATGAAATGATAGTCTGTAAACGTAGAGGACATAAAGAAGTAGATATAAGAAATTGATGGAAAGAAGAGGAAAAAAAGAGGCAGTTGACGATAAAGGAGGAGAATAATGATGATGATAAAAGGAGGAGAATAGTGATGATAAAAGGAGGAGGATGTTGATGATATAGGAGGAGAATAATGATCATAAAAAGAGGATGATTTTGATGGTAAAGGAGGAGAATAATGATGATAAAAGAAGAGGAGGATGGTGATGATGCTAAAAAGATGATGAATAGATGTTGAAGAAGTAGATAATATAGAAGTCGAAGAAAAATTGAAGAGAAATTGAGCCATTGTTTCCAATGATGGAAATAATAAATTAAATGTATTTGAAATGTATATGATAATAGTATAAGTTTACATATTGAAAATTGATAGATACAAAACTGAAAATTTTTCAGTGCATTGAAAGGAAATGTGTATGTGGTTTTATATTTGTCGAAAGAGTTTTAAAAAATGGAAAATTGGACAACCCTATCAGAATGATAGATTTTTTTCCTTGATTCGTATAATTTTGCATCCAGTTGATATGGGTCCTTGGAAAAAAAAACAGTGCAGATTTTAATTTTTTTTTAAATTTAAAAACGCGAATAAGCAAAAAAGTTTTATGATAATTTTTGAAAGTGTTTTTTTGCATTTGCGTTGTCTTGAAAAAGGCATTTAGCTTTATTATCATTTGAAAGTATACTAAATTTATAACTCGTATCAGAGAGAAAAAGAGTATCTTGCTTTGTAGAGACTCTTAGTTTAATTATACCTGAAAATCTTTTGTAATGTGTTTTATTTTCTGACGGATGAATTTTGGTGTTGGGCTAATGTTGTTGAACAAATGGTAATTATAAGTTTTATTTTTTTGAAAGACACTTGTAGTGAGAATAAATAGGTTAGTGCTTGACTGCTGGAGAATGATACGGAAATCAACTTTTGACCATTATTATTCCTTAGAGACTTATAATTTTGACTTATTATGCTTTAATTTTTTTTTTGCTACAAAGGGGCTTTTTTCATATTTTGATGCTGAAGAATACCGAAGAAGGAACTCAGTTTTATATATTTTGATCGGTGTTGGGATGCAATGTTCTGCAAACAGCATAGTGTTTTGAATAAAAGAAAAGGAACAAATGTACTGTTTTGCTCTTTTTGTATTTGCTCGCAGCTGTAATATTTTAATCTCTAGCAAATAAGAGATTGTAGGCCTCTGATATCCTCCCTCTCGTAATCTGACATGAACGGGAATCGTATTGCAAAAGTTAGATATTTAAGAATTGGCACACACTTGTAGGGTAAATTTAGGCTATGTTCTTGATAGAATCTATGAAATGAAATATTCCTTGTTCGTTTCATAATGAGGTCCAGAAAGTGGAACAACGATAATTGTATTTTTCCCATGCAGAAATTTTTCGCTAACGATTCTAGGCGACACAAATTTTTTGTTTTATAGATTACACTGCTTTAAACAAACACGGAAAAAGTAATCTATTGGCATATAGCGTATTTTATTTCGTTTTCTGCTATCAGCATCCTTCTAAATTATCGAATAAATACTGTATATTAATGTTTTAATGGTCCTGGTTTCCCTACCTCCCTTACCAAATGGAATCGCTTTCTCATAAGTCATTAATTCCTATTGCTTTTTCCTTTGCTATAATTAACTATTTATTTTGTTGTTGTTTCTGTTGTTATTTCACGATTAACTTCATCTTTTTCTTCTCTCTCTCTCTCTTAATCTGTCAAAAATAATGAGAGATATTCTTACTCTTTTGGGTACGAAATTTAAAGGAGTATACTGAATAGAACAAACACACTATTCGTATAGAAAATAAATGAAGCATTGTTCTATCTTCTCTCTTTTTTAATTTCCATGAACTTGCTAGAATAAAATCATCATACGATATCTTGGTGAAAATTTTTTATAACACTATTGATTTAAGATCTTTATAGGCTATTTGTGAATAAATTGTCATAATCGAATTTTTATGTTAGTATTTACCGTAAGTTGTAAAAGTGCAAAGGTTAAATTCTCGCTTTCTTTAATAGTTGACGTACTCGTTTTTTTTTGATTATTGTGGTGCTTTTCGTCGTTGAATATCATTAAGAGGGAGTACCTACAATGCGAACAGTATATATATATATATATATATATATATATATAGTATATTGTAGTTCTTCTGATAAACATATTAGTATATTGAGAAATGCTACCTTTAATCGACTTAACGTGTTTCGAAGAAATATCTTATAATCATAGACTTTGTGCATGAAACGTAATATGAAGATATAATACATTTCGTATCCGTCTTAAGAGGATAATAAAATTGAAAAAACATGAGTAATTGCTATTAATAATATAATCCAGGGTTGGATCCGGTACCGGTTGCGGAGGCCTTTTGAAAATAAAGGAACATAAATGTTCGTATAGAAAACGAAGACAAAGAGGAATAGAGAGAAAGATCAATCGTAAAATATACTGTCTAATTATAACAGCCAATACGCAGGAAGAAACGAATATTCTTTCTTATTATGTTTCTTTTTGTCATTCTAATTGGGCAGCTTATGAGACAGTAAACCTTTGGCGGATTTTAGATACCGGATAACTTAGCTGTTATCCGATAATTTAATCACTCTGGCTACAAAGATGATATATATTGACGAAAACCTTGGACAGTTTAGGATGATCCGTCGATTGTTACAAATAATAGCTACCCGTATTAAATGTTAATGATTTTCCTATTGTCTATTTTATATTTTAATGGTGGTAATCGTCTTTTTATTGTTGGATAAATGTCTTTATTTTACGGGAATACAATTTGTTTAATTATTACCCGCATCATTTTTGTCGCCCGTTCTTCTCTTCGCTTCGTTCTCCTTATACCTATAGTTCTAATTAAACGTACAAGCCTATGTAATAAAACTATATTTTTTATTCAAATTGCTCTAATCTAAGAGTTGATTATCAATCTTAAACTTTAAAATAGGCTAAATTACGCAAGATAGTTATCAAACGATTGTGTATAGACGTAAATAATACAATTATTCATAATTATATCCTATAGTTGCTCTCTAGAAAATGTCCTTTTCTTTCCCCCCCTACCCCCTTCCTCTCTCTCTCTCTCTCTCTCTCTGTCTAAATGTGCTTAGTATGGGCATTCTGGTCCGTTAATTTAAACTGAATGAAAATAAGTGTATAAAAAGGAAAATAGAAGAGCAAGCGATGATCGTGGGAAAGATTATATATATATATATATAAAGATAGAAGAGTAGAGACTTCTGTTGTTTGTAATAGCTGCTTTTTCAATTGTTTGAACACGTTTTTGCATTAGATTAATAGTTTTTAGGCTATATAATATAAACCAGGTTTTGTTGTTCTATATTAAATAAGCCCCACCTAACGTATAAATCTATTATTTTAAAGAGATACTAATTATTCAAGATTTTCCTAAATTAAACGGAAAAGTCCATTAATTTATTCGGTTTCGTATAATTAATTATTCCTTTGACTAGAAGGTATTCTCTACTTTTGCTTCAATTCGTTACCTCTCCCCGCCTCCTTCCCCTCCCTGCCCCCCGTCCCCCGCCCTATTAAAAACTCGTGTCAGAACAAAAAGAGAGAGCGAGCGAGAGAGCGAATGCGTGTGTGTATGTATTGGGAGGAGAAGAAAGCGAAAACATTCATCCATTGTCAATTGTATTCTTTTTTCCCTGAATTGTTAGATTGTTTGAACAGACCTTTCACATGGGGATTAGATGCGCTATAAAACAATCATCGTTTGCGTATTAATAACATAAAAAACAAACAGTTTTTAAGCAAAAAAAAGCTTTTTATTTTAGAAATATGGCTGATTTTAAAAATTATTCGAAAAAAGGTCAGAAAGACCGTCAAGATGTTGCCTAAATTTATGTTCGGTTGCGTGCACTTTACTGTATATGCAAAACACCTGTTGATGTTTTTATAATCGAAGGAATACGGTATTATGAAACTATCTTTTTGTTTAATAAATGCCATTTTATATTTGCTGAATTTTAATATATTTTCCGCTTGGATATAAAATTGGATCTTGCTTTTAATTTATAGAATTAAAATCTTTTGTTCTATCAAGGTTTTATCATATTGAATAGTAATAGTTTTTGTATGTAATGGAAAAATATGGTATACGGAATCTCTTGAAAGTCTTTGGAAATTTGCTGAATAGGTTTTAGTTTTTTTAGAAGGCTTTTACCGTGTTTACTAAGGTTAAACGAAGAAACTACAGTTGTTCTCAGAAGAATAACACCTAATTGAATTTTGTGGCGCGTAGCAGACGAGAATGAAATTTTGGACACTGCTTTGAATAAATAGAACATAGTTCGATTGCATGCATCGGCAATGAGAGAATGGAGTTTTGATGAAGATTAATTTTCGCCTGGAAGAGAGGTAATATTTAATTTACGCTGTGATCTTTTATATATTCATTTATTACTCATTCATAACTAACATACCATTAGAAAATATTCAAAAGAGATTTTCACCAAACAAGAATTTTGGCTCTTTTCACCCGGGTTCATTGTTATTCACACTAGTCTTATTTCAATATCGCGTATCCGCAGCAACAAAGAGACTTCTATATAAATAAGGAAATACCTAGCTCGCTTAATATAATGTATTTTAATACGATTGTAAACTTTTATATTTGTTATTAGAAGAAATTCATAAGAAATGTATTCTTTTTTCTCAGCAGCAGCCGTGGATAAATCCGAAATTAATTTATGTAGGAGGAAAACGCTACCCTCAATTGAGAGCTAAATCCTTGTAATTCCCCAAATATTTTACGCCTTATCGGAAAGTGAGTTATTAGAGATCATTCTCTTGACTGGATTACAATTAATAATAAAGTGTCTAATTAATAGTTAACATAATCTACAGCAATACAGTTATTTCGCCGAGATGATGCAGTCACAGCAACATTTTCGAACAGTGGTTCCAAGAGTGAGAGGAAGGGATGACGGATGTTGCGGTATATCTTTCCTAAAGGCGGCTTTATACGTTTTTAATTGCTTCTTTTGGGTAAGAATTTACCACTTAATTCGTCTTATTCTGATTCTTTTTCGCCCTCTTCTGAAAGGATAAGAGAAAAGAAGATAAATCCATATATAAATAGTTTTTATATTTTTTAAATCCATTTTTGTTTCTTTTAGTGCTCTGGTTTGACTGTGGGAGCTTTAGGAGTATATACTCTTATAATGAAGTATGATTTCGCCTATATTCTTCCAAACTATTTCTACCACATAATCACTTACTCATTAATCGGGATCTGCGCAGTTATTATGTTAGTTGGTATATTTGGTTGTTGGGCAGCCATGACAGAGCGTCGAAAGTGTCTGTTATTTTATTGTGTATGCCTAGCAATAGTCTTATTCTTGGAGGTAGCTTGTGGCGCTGTCGCCTACTATTACGATACATCAATAGAGAAACAACTAGCGTCTTTCGTAAAGGAGACTATGCAAAAACATTATTTTGACGACGAAAAAGCGAATTCTGCTATAAACAAGATGCAACAGCAGTTTCGTTGCTGTGGTGCTACTGGCTATAAAGACTGGACTGTTTTGTTTAACCAGAAGAAGAATGAGAATCCTAATTTTCATAATTTGGTACCTGACTCGTGTTGCATAACAGTTAGCGACAGTTGTGGCTCTACTCAACATCCATCCAATATTTATCACTTGGTAATAATAATAATAATATTTCATTATTAAAAATAGTCACTTTATTAATTCCATACTTTTATCTTTATTATAGGGTTGTGTCACAGAATTGGGTAGATATGTTAGAGATCATCTATTAATTATAATTGGTATTGGATTAGGAGTAAGTCTCCTCCAACTGGTTGGACTTGTGGTAGCTAGCCTACTAGCTAAAAAACTCAAAAAGCTCCAAGTTAACGGACATACAAACAGCTTTAAAAATCAACCCAACGAATGGATGATGCATTAACGGATGTAGTTCAAATTATATTTTTGTATCTTCTTTATTATTCTTATCATTATTACTATTACTATCATCATTATTATTATTATTATCATATTTCTAATAACTCTCTTTTTTTCCCCTGTCCTCTTATTTTTAAATTTACCTAAAGAGAGATAAAAAAGAAAAAACTCTCGACAAACAGAGCGTGTAAACAAAAAATTATCGAAACATAAGCAGTTTTTCTATTTAAATTTATGTTAATTTAATGAAGAAAAAAAAGAAAAGATATAGAAAAAAAATGTTAACTGGCTAAGTATTATCATTCCTGTTTAGTCGTGAAAATCGTTGTCAAATTTAGTAGTTTGTTAAGATAAGGAAGAGATGAGATTTTTTCGTACGGGTTTTTCGTTTGTCTAACATTTTTCATAACTATTCTTTCTTTGATATATTGTTTCATGTTTTCTTCTTCTTTTTCTTCTTTGTTGTTGTTTTTTTTAATTCTTAACGATTCTATCCTAACGAAGATAGAGAAGGAGAAAAAGAAATTTGGAAGAGTTTATTTTTTTGTTTACTACTACAATTTCTTCGTCTTCTTCCATTGTTCTCTCTTCTTATCAGCTATTTGTTTATACTTTAATTAATTGGAATATTCAATATTTTCTTTATATGTATACATTATAACTTTTTTATATCTAAATACAAAAATCTTTTGATAAAACAACAAAGATGGCGGTGAGAGAACCCCTCGAATTCTAGATAGGTTTATAGACGTAGCTGGCGGTATATGCACGCGCGTAGAAGGTCGAGAATGCAGTCAAATGAGTAATGGTACGAGAATGCTATTGCAGATTTTACAGTAGGCGCGGTGCATAAAGCATAGCATTCAGTTTGGACCAGTCCGCTTTGGTGTGAGGAACACTTGAAAGCCGTAAAAAGTTTGTATAATTTTTCCAATATCATTATTATTCCTAGTTATTTTAAAAATAGACTTTAATATTTATATTAGATTGCAGTAATAGTTTTAACAAAGAACCAAAGGGCGTCATTTTTTTTATTCAATAAAGATTAAGGCCTAGTAATAGAAAATGGAAATAAATTACTTTTATCAAATTGTTAGACACATATGAACAGGTAAGAGATTCACTTGTAATTTATTGCAGTTTTCCAGGAAAAAAACGGGTTTTATTTAAGAAATAAAAGTGAGAGATAGAGATAGAGAGAGAGAGAGAGAGAGAGAGAATCGTATAGGCTGAGATTAGAACTGATTCTATTTATAGCCGTCCCTCATCAGCTTTGTAAATGTACGTTTTTTTTCTCGCTCGTGCGCCCGAAAAAAGAATTAGGAGCCGGTTAATTTTATTTTCGTAATCGGAAACTAAAGTTAATTATTTTTTTTTTAAAAAACAAAAAATAACAAAAATCAGCAGTTTATTGGTGAATGGACGCAAAAGCAGAAAGCAAAAAGGTATTTGTACTTATTTATTGAAATTCTCAATTCTATCTTCCATCTTTGTTCGTACTCACTTGTAGACTGAGAAGAAAAAAGCAGTAGTAGACGACGTAAAAGAGAAATACGAGTCGGGAGAAGAGAAGAAGAGAGAGAAGATAATGAGAGAACCGAAAAAGCTAGATAACAATTGGGAAGAGAAAAATGCCGAACCGTCATCTCCTCTTAAAGATATGAATTTACCAGATGCCGAATTGGTTTTATTGGAGGCCGCTAGTAAGCATAAAGATAAAACTATCTATCAGAATGGAAAATCTGCGAATAAAACTGCTCAGGAACCGGTGAATAGACGTGTAGTTGAAAAGGTGGCTCCACCAGCAATTGCCCAAAACGTACGTAAGATGTTTGAAACGGGAGAGATACCTGACGTTCACGAAGTTCGTAAGACAAAGATTGACCTCAGAGCTAAAGACGGTGGTGTTTTTGAAAACGAACCTTGCGTCCGAAATGACGTAATTAGGGGTAACGATACCAGTATGGATGAACTTAAATCGTTAGAAAAAGGTACAGCCAAGACGTTAAAGAATAAATGGATGAACATTTCCACCGAAGAGAAAGAGTCCAAAGAAAAGAAGAAAAAGGATCCAATAAAGTTATTCAATGAATCTGAGTGTACTCCTATCGTGGCTGAGAATCAACCAGTCGTCAGAGATGATGTGACTAAATCGGATTACGTGCCAGATAATCTGGATTTCGAGAGAGGCAAAATAAAGAACCTCGGAAATTATTTTAAAGAAGCAGCTCAAGAACAAAATACAACTAAAACTGCTGTCAAAAATGGTCCGATTAGAATAGAAAAGTCTCATGAGCCAACCGTTCATGAAAATCAACCGGTTAAACGAGAGGATGTCTTCAGGGAAGACTATTCGCAAGATGATAGAGAAGTTCTCGAGAAAGGTAAAGCTAAGACCTTAGCAAAAACCTTTTTAGAGAGTCAGAAAGACAATAAAGGAGAAAGAAAACAACCTATTGTTATCGATAAAGCGGCGGGTCCAACTGTTTTGGAAAATCAACCCGAGTTTCGGGATGATGTTGTCCGCGAGGACTGTAGCGATTTAGAGGAATTAAGGAAAATCTCCAGTGAGAAGGGCAAGATAAAGAATATGGCGTCGAGTTTCATTTCGAGGAAGGATCAAGAAAAACCGCAGCTTACAAGACCTACCCCACGCTTGAGAGATCATTGGCTTGAAAGTGACGGACAACAAACGACGGATGGACCTCCAACACAGGTTCGTAATTATTGGTTAGTAACTGTGGCAGTCTTGGTCTGTTCAATTGCAGTTGGTGCGCTTTACGCCTCCACGTGAGTTGACTCCCCCGCCCTTGAGAAACGAAGCAGTTCTACAGTCGTACGGACAAATAACGCTCTCATCTAAAGCGTCTTCGCCACCAGTTGCAGACGTCGCTCCAACGATAACTTCTTCCAATCATCTATCGATGAACAACGTTTAGACGCTTAGATCGCATTCATTTGCAGTGACTTTTTCTATCTGTATTTGGAATAAACGCTAGATTTATTCATTCATTCTTTCATTCTTTCATTCTATCATATATTTCTTTTTTATTTTGTTTCTCATCTATCATTCATTAATCCATTCGCTCATCCCGCCACTCTTATCTAAAATAGGGAACGAATGTCCGCTATATTTTGTTTAAATGAGACGCTTTTTTTATTTGTCGAGTACAATTGAAAGAATTGAAAGTGAGGAAGAAATCGAGTTAGCCGGTGACACCCTTCAAATAAATTTGTATGCTAGCGCCATCTGGTCATCTTTAAGGAACTTCCAGCTGGTCTTTGTGGAAAAACACTTGAGAGCTTTATGAAAGCAAATGAGAATATCTTTTGAATGACTCTATCACACCAATCGTCACCTTTATTTTCTATACTGTCAATAGATTCAGAGATGGCACATTGAAAAACCTCTGCATTAAAGATTCCTCTCATTCCTCTTGGGTTTGTATCTTTCTCATATCATTTGATAAAATATCTACCATCTACAATCACCGTTATATTTTATCCTCAAATCGTCACCTATTTATGATAATTTTCTTTTCTCTCGCTCCTTATACCCTGTATCCCTCGTTCCTACACTTATCTCATCAGTCACCTACTCTCCCTTACTTTCTCCCACCACCCACCTCACTCCCCTCCTCCTCCCTGTCTTATCTCCCTTCTCTATATTTCATATTATAAAATGTTGCTGCTTTTGCTTTATCTTGTGGTTTGTCACAGATTTTTTTTGTATCTCTATTCTATTGCGGCCTTATATAAATAGAGAAAAACTAGTTAAGAATTTGAAAGCTTTTCGAAATACAGTAATACTGAAAAGAGTTTGTCATTGTGTGGAAGATGATAATAATCTCTTCATTGATTCTCGTAGTATTTTGATTAAATCGAGATTAATCTAAAAGGGACGAGAGTAAAATTAACCAATTATCATATAAAACAATATAAGGCCTTTATCACTATCACTATACTAATATATATAGCAAGCTTCTCAAACTATCCATTCGCACAGATTTGGAATAGATGATATTTCATGTAGACGTTTAATCCAGTCTCCAATGTCTAATCCGTGTGAAAATATCATAAAGACTTAGCAGTTTATAAATTTATGTATTATCGCTTATTACAAATATAAATATCACTGTCGATATTCTCCGAATGAGTAGTTATTATCTTACTTTATGTTCTTTCACTGTTGATTAACTACTCCAAGATGTTGTTGACAATAATAGATAGGAATTTAATGCGCGCCAATCCGACATTTTTATTGACTTTCACTAGTCATTTGAGAATAGTTAAAAAATCATCTAAATTTCCTAGAATATCAATTCAAACGATTTGGATGTTTCACTATAATATTATAAATTGTCTGAATAAACACTTTTTACCAGTTTCAGTCGTAAAACGTGGAAAGTTTTTCAACACTGTCACGTGTGTTCAACGGACGTTGATGATTGAATTTAAAAAATAAATCGTTTATCAAAATCTTATTATATGTTTTGTTATAATCTATGCTGAATTGTCTATATAGTTCACTAGCTCTGGTGATGTATAGTTGATGCGCTTGAAAGGAAAGAGCTGAAATTTTATCAGCTGAAGGGGAAGACAAATTTTCCACGTCCTTTAGCGTTTCTTTAAATTTGTTTTTGGAAATTAGAAATAATTATTATCTTCTCTTTGCTTTAAGAATTTAAAGAAACTATATTGAAAGATTAAAAAGATGAAAAAAAAAGGAAAAAATTATAAAGACTGGCTTGGTGTTACTTGCACATAATGTTACTAACATTTTTGAAGATAAACTGGAACCAGGTTTTTTTGAAACTATGGCGGCAAAAGTAAAATTGATGGGTCCCCGGAAAACATTAATTATGCACTGGCGCTTTGGACGGAGAACACTATCCCACACTCTGACCAAACCAATCAAATCCATTCGCGCCAGTTGGGCTATTGGTTGTGAACCTTGTGTACCCTTACTCGTCCCAAGTATTTTTTATACTTCATTTGACGGTGTGAAGTTTTTATTTCCTAGGTAAGCAGTCTTTGATCTTATTTTTGGTCATTTTAACTTTATAAATTATCTTCCAAAATTGGGAGTTGTAAGGTTTTTACCCTAAAAAAGCGCCATGTCGTAATGTACAAGCGCCATATTTTTTTGCATAAAAACTTTTTGAATAAATTATCTACTTTCTATTCATTTTGAATTCAAACTAAATCTTTTCCTTATTTCATCAGCTTACGAATTTTGCCTCACTGCAGCCTTTATATATCTAATATATATATATAAATTATGAAGTTTCCATTTGACTCGAAGACACCGGCAGAGGTCAATGACTCTGACTCTGAAAATGAATATGATCAGGAGAATGACCCCGACAGACTTTTATTTCGTCAAGATGACGAATATAATCATAGTAACAGAGGAAATATACCTCAATTCAACGTTCAGCCCAATGTAGGAGATTTCAGCTATCCGCTGCTCCAACCGATATTGAATTTGAATTTCGCCGCCAACGGAATTAGTGAATCCGTTCTTGGCAGAGTTAATGTTCTTGATATTCATTCACCGGCTCCTTTCTTTCCGTATAACGAGAGCGGTGATAGCGATAAGGAAAATTCTGGAGATTCACCAGGGCACCGTACACCATCTACTCCGCGAAGTCCTCTAACGCCAATGCAAGTTGAGGTCACCGAATCGACTGACTCTGAGGATGGTAACAATTTCGTTGTATATCATAAGTGGTTCAGACCAGGTCGTATAACTGTCGATACGGACGATGAATCTGATTATTCAAGTGATGAAGATGACGACGAACCGGAAAGAATGACTCCTATTAGAAGTGATGTAAGTTCATAGATATTACTTTATTACAATTATCTCTACATATTAACAATATTTCTATATTTTCAGCTTATTTATCTCAAGAGAGCCAATTGGTGGAATAGACTAAATCACAATGTTGACGAGGTACCAATCAACAATCAGTATTAATGATGAAGTAATACTTTAATGCAATTAATATACATCTTTCACAGGCAACCAAGTTCCCAGTAATTGCTACGAAGAATCTAGTCTCTTTCCTTAGTAGATATGTTCTTACTTCGATGAAACCAGATGTTCCTCAACATCGCGATTACGACGAATTCGAGGCTCTGTGCAAAGCTCAATCAAAAGCAAAGAAGAAGTAAGAAGCAAATATTTTTAAAGTTACATTTAGAATTAAAAATAATGATGATATGATAACATTCTTATATGTAAAATGAAAAAAACGGTTAATTTTCTCTTATCGTTTCTTATCCGAAAAAAGTCTATTTTGTATTTTTATTACTTAAAAAGAGGTGGGTTTTTTTGATTTTTAGTATTTATTTTTTAATGTCAAAGTCAAAAAAGTTTGTCAAGTTTGCAAAAAAAACCTCCCCTCAATCTAACACGTAAAACTTTATATTATACGATTTTCTATTTTATTGTTTTTTCTATATTTTGTCATTCATGTACGTTTTTCTATCGAAAAAGCAATACATATTTAAAGTTTAGTGATGCGCTGTGCTTTTATATGTAAAAGTACGCTGTTATGGCTTCTATTTTTATTTTGTATTGTACAAAAAGCAAACAATTAGCGATTAAAAAAAAAATCAAATAATAACAAAATCCTTTTTAAATGATGTTTGAAAATGGTTTAAAGAGTGAGGATCTATTGAAGAGGTGGTAGTTTTTCAGGATAGACTTTTGCCTAACAATCGTTTCGCCTTTAAACATTAATAATACCAAGAATCCATTTCAAGTAAGTGTTGACTTTTACAAACACGCTTGGACTTCCAGGCTGGGAACATTTCAAGGAAGACGAGAAGCTAGTCACCCCAGCCAATTCCCACGTGTTGTGCTTACTGGGACACATCAATGGTGAACCGCTATCGCCCTAAATTTAAATGTAAATATATAATATTGTCGTTAAAAGAAAGTTAAACTTACTAAGCAGGAAGAGATTTTTCCAGATTCGTAGCCACCGCAATAGTATAAAGATGAGTTGATAAATCCGTTTTTAGTATAAAATAATTCACACTTTTCATTCATCCAAACGTGCATATGAGCTTCTCTCAGCCTAATAGGTTTACTCGATTTCTCTTCTGCAATTGTCCGACCCCAACCGGCTATAAAGCAATTCTTTCTCCCTTGAAAAACACTATCAATTTTTGGTAAGCAAATTGGCGTAACATTAAGTGGTTTTTCGGATTCTAATAAGGCTAAATCATTAATAGGAAATTTGTTTCTCTCGTAATTCGGATGAACAATAATACGCTTAACACCTGACTTAAAACTATCAGTCCTAAATAATGCTGAATTTCCCAATCGTATTTGTATTTGTTTTGGATCGTTGTTACTAACACAATGGGCGGCCGTTAAAACCCAACGATCTTTAACAACGGTAGCACCACATTTTCTAGTTTTTATTTGCAAATGGGCAGACCAGGGCCAAGCGTTAGTTTCGCTTTCAAAACTTCCAATGATATAGGAGGCAATTTGGTTTTCCTTTGTCGATTTCCTTCCACACGAAGATTGTAAATCTCGTCTGCAGTCTAACGTAATAACTTTATTGTAGGGGCAATATGGCGTTTCTATGAGTATTCCTTGCATATATTTAGTAGATATAGCTGAAAAGTTTTGTACATTGGTACCAGCTAAATACTGTTGAAGCATAAGGAAACGTTTTATTTCTCCTTTATATTCCATAAACTTCATTGATCGATATATTCTAATTGAATAGAGAGATATTATTAAATGAAACTCGCTTAAATTATAGAAATATGTATGATTATTACCCTCCAACTTGAGCGCAGGCAACTTCGCCAAAAGCTGCCGACCATCCTTCCGAGCAAACTGGTAGTGGCTCAGGTTTTTCGTACATTAGTGTATTGTTCCTATCTAATAACGCGCATTCGGATTCGTCCGAACTGTCGTCGCAATCGTCAGTTCCGTCGCATCGTTGCGATATAGCTATACAAAATCCAGTTGAGCATTTCCATTGATATTTATCGCATTCCTTTATTGTACAATTCCTTTCATCGTCTAAGCAATCGTAAAAACCATCGCATCTCTGTTCCAAAGGTATACACTTTCCGTCGGAACAAGTAAATTCATCTTCTCCGCAAGCTATAATATAACAAAAGAATAATTTCATATATTCCAGTCTATTTATTCATCTCCAACTACTTACGACACTTTTCCTCGTCGCTTAAGTCTTTATATCCACAATCGTAATCTCCGTTACAGACAAGTCGCTTATCAATACATTTCATACTATTTTCACATTGATATTCGTTTGGTTGGCAATCTGTAAAAATTAAATTTTTTATGTTTGTTTGTCCAACAAATAAGAAATAATACTAATACAAACAATGGCAAATAGTTCTATTTAGAGATCTTCTTTTGCATTCAATAATTTTATCGTTTAAACTCCAACAAGCCGTTCCATTCTTATAAAATTCATATTTGAAAAGAGAACTAGTAGCCGACTGATAAACGACTAATTCACCAATAATTTTATGCAATTTAAATAAACCCTCAATTGTAACTGGTTCTTTAATTCGTATTGCACTGCAAGCTTTATGAATAGAAAATTAAAATAAAAGTTAATAAAATTTAATGGAATAGAGGTTTAATTATTTTTATTATTACTTACGTGTTTTACAATGATACTCATCACTTTTATCATAACAATTGATAATGGAATCGCATATTTGTTTCCTAGGTATGCATTCGTGAAAATGAGTACATTGCCAGTAGTTGTCAGGACAGGCTTTTTTAACATTTTTACAACTTTTACCAGTATAGACAAAGGTTTCAATTAATTCAATTCTCTTAATTATTCCGAATGAGCCAGCTTCTAATTCGAATCTGTTCTTTTTATCATTTATTTCTATATAGGCGTGATTAATAGCGTTTCCTTTATCTCCTTTAACGCTCCATAGGGTCTTCTTCTCGAAATTGTTTAATTTCAAATAAGCACTTCCGTCTAATAAATAAGTTATTCTTAAACAAGAATTTTTCGATTTAAAATTAAAATAGGGTGACAGCAGATAAGCTTTTTGACCAGAAATTGACCATGCCAACTTTGAATTGACTAATAATTTCTCTAAACCAGTCTCAGGATCAAATTGGGAATTCCATGTAAGAAGACCGGGCTTAGGTACATAACCGCATAAATCTTTATCCGTAAAATCGCACGCTAACGATTCCATTTGCTTTATTGGACAATATCCAGGTAGTAATGAAATTTCATCAATACTAATATCTCCTCTTATTCCATGACCTCTTAGGACGACAAATAATATTCTACATTGATCATTTACTTGGTGAGTAACATTATCCATAAACAATTTCCATTCATTTCCAAAATTACCCGTAATTCTCAATAAAATATTTGTTTTTTTATGGCAATCCAATTTAACTAATAATTTACCAATATGATCACCATAAACGTGATAATTAAATCTTAAACAATAATTCTCTTGTATTGGTTTATAAAAAGAGGATACGAGTTTAGTCTCGTCGTTAAATGAGCCGAGAGACGCTTCTGTATAGACAAAAGGGTCTGGACATTTTAAACTAGATCCAGTAGGAGCACCAGTATGCGATGAGGGAGTACCCACATTCGACCACTTCCAAGTGAATTTATCATTCGATATAATGGTATAACCACAAATGGAAGGTTGATTGAATGAACAGTTAACAGCTGTTGAATATATAGTGAAAGCAATCATAAATGAGAAATACAGTATTATAAAGTTTATAAAATATTCAACACTAACAACTAAATTCTTCAGGAAGAGGTTTACGTTTAGTATAAATATCTTTAACTATTTGAATATCTATAAAGAATAAATGATTATTAAATAATATTATATTGTTATATAAAATAAGGATAATATTACCTTCGCAAACAACTTCGAGATTAATAGTATTCCTCCATTGCTTTTTTATCGAATTATATATAGACCAATTACCCATAACGAGATGAGGATATTTGGCGGAATGTTTTATAACTACACTAGATCTCCTTACTCCTATCTAAAAAAAATAATAATAATATAGACGCCTTAATTCTTAGAATATTCTATAAACAACAAACCTTTTGACCAACGACCCATTTGTTTGGAGATAGATGATAAATAAACCAAGTAGCATTGTGATGTTTATAAGCCGGTCTATGATGAGATGATATAAACGGTATTTTAATATAGAGTCCTTCTCTCTCATTTATTTCATTTTCATTAAATTTTAATGATATTCTTGTACACGGCTGCTCTTCCGCATTTATCGACACATTCTTACCATTTTGAAAAGATATTGTACAGCCTTCAATTTGGAAGTCATGTAGAGTTTTGAAAAATCTCGGTGCTAAAACAATCAACAATAAGATTTATATAAATGAAATCGTTGTCATCAATGATTATCGATATACTTACGATGAAGACGTAGGAGGTAGAAAAAGCTGAGCAGAAAACCAAAACAAATCAATGTGAAAAATGTTTTTAGTAAGCACAAGAGACGGTTTTTTCCTTTTAATAGTATCATAGCATGAGCTTAAAAATCTCTTCCTCCCATCCCAGTTTAATACACTTGATTTACAGGTCTCGATCTCTGTACCACTAAAATCAGCCTTGCTTTTTCTAGCAAAAATAAAAATACCAATATAATAAACAGGTAGGAATGCAATATTCATTTAACCTTGTTAGGAGTGATAAGAAAATTGACAAAGCTAGATTATTTTAGTCGGTTGATAACACGAACCTTTAATTTAAACAATCTGGCTATGCTTTTTTTACCATTTTTTCTCGTAACAGATCTGTAATTTTCAATGATACTATTTTAAATCGAAATTTTACAAGCTATAAATTTTTTATTACTGGAGAGGAGTAAAAACGGGCGGGTTATACCATTGAATGTCAAGGTTTAATTAATAATGTCGGATTTTATACTATCCGCTAACGGTGTCCACGAATGGCGCTATTCCTAAAAGCGTTCGAAATTATTAAAAAAATTATTACTCTTTTTGAGCATTTATTAAACAAATAAAGAAATGTAGAATTCCATTATATGAATATTATTATCATTACAGCAAAAAAAGAGATAAAAAATTAGTTGATAATAAATTATTAAGACTGGAATGTTTATCAACTAATAAATACATATATGTAGATGGTATAGCGTGATCGCTCCTATTGCAGGAGTCTTTCATATACTAATTTCTAATATTTTTGGTTGAAAAATCAAATTTAAGATTTCAAATTCCAATATAATCGATTGATAAAATATAACTGAATCTTAATATGTTTAAATTATCAAGTGTTACTGTTTTAGCTGGCTGGTCGGTCCTACAATGCATAAATTGTGGTGAGTAGAACGGTTTCTTTTTACGTTTCCTGTACAGTTTATTAATTAATCCCTTCAACAGAATATATTAGTATTGTACGCTCAGTAAATATTCCATCTTTCCAAAGGCTAAATAATGCCGAAAAATTATTTCTCAAAATACTAGAAGGATGCGAGAATAGTTCTCTCTTTCTTCGAGTTGTTAGATCGTCTGAAAAATGTCCAGCGGATGATGTCAAATTGTAATCTCTTTTAACGATTATAAGATATCTTAAATTAAACGTTAAAATTTTAATATTATTATCCTACAGTTATTTAAAATGGCGATCTTTTCCTGTAATCAACCCCAAGAATGATAGTACACTCTACCCACCGGAAGTGATTGGTATTAATGAGAATACAGTACAAATAAATTTAAAACCTGGAGGAAATGTAGTACAATATAATTTCCGTCCATCTTCAGGCGACTATTTTGGAATGGTGATGCTTATGAATAAAAGAAACGTGATAAAAAAGGTAAATAACAATATGGACGTTACGATAACGACATCATTTTAACTTTTACATTAAAAACACACAGATAACGAGCATTAAATGCACTTATACACTTTATTTAATGCTTAATATTCATTTAATACCGTCTATTAATCAAATTGGTACAAATACAAAACAATCAATAACGTTAGCACCGAAGACCGATACCATATTTTACAAGTAATATTATTTATTATTGGTTTTTATTTTTACCTTTTATTGCCTTGACCTAAATAGTTATCAATTTATTTTTTCATAGGTTTCACACCGATATAGCAATAGTACAATATACGATTAGTCTATGGAATTGTAAAGTTAATGGTACCCTTGTTAAAAATTGCCCAATTATAATATCAGCAGCGGCAAATCGTATACCATCTCGTTTAGAGGGTAAAAACTGCACAAACTACGACAAATGTACATCAACTATTTATTCACCGTTTGCTAATAGTTGGCATTATGTTGCTTTATCAAAATCTATTACAAACAATTCAACTGTAATAGAAGCTAATGTTCGGATTGAACCTCTAGGTAGTATAATTACATAGAGAATAAAGTATGTTGTCTTTATCGGGTTGTTTTTCTAAATGAGGAAGATTGCTTCGAACCATTACCAAAACCATCGCCAAGCAGTAATTTCCCAATAGATGTTCGTCTTAACGCAACTACTAGTGAAGATGCTCTAGTTTCTAACGAAGCGTTATCAACTTCGAATAGGTCTATTATTAATTATTGTCCGAAATTTGGTAGGAGTTGGAAAAAAAGGAATCACTTCTATATCACTGACGGTCCTATATTAACATTTCTATTGAGTGTAAAACGATATCTACAAGATGGAGGTTATTTATACTTTCGTACAAAATTGATTGAAACAAAGGTAAACAATATAAAAGTTAAAATTTGTAAATAAATATTCATTGGAACGTTTACTCTATACAGCTGATAAATGGAACTGAATCCGTTAATGTTATTCTTTGCGTTCAACCAAACGAGATGCCTATTAAGAATAAAGAAATAAACTGCAAAAAATATAGCTACAATGTAAACGAAACTGAAATCTTTCAAGTTTTGCCCTATCCGCAATACGGTATATGGTATTTTTCCATTTCTATACAATGCTTCGATTCTAACGGCTATAGGTAAGAATTGATATTCTTTATTTATCACTGTCTTGTGTATATTATATATGAATATGAATGACTTATTTGCATATTCATTTTCTTTTTACACAGAGGTGAATGTAACGGAAGTTATGCTGTCCTCGAATTGTCTAAAAAAGCCGAGTATAAGGAATGCTATCAAAATTGTAATAACCATGGAAAATGCCTAAACTTTATTAACGATATACAACAAACAACTCAATGCCAATGCGATTCTGGACGGTTTGGTTATGTTTGTCAAAATGGTCTAAAAACTAAAGATTCTGTTCAAATACTTTATACTTTACTACTTGTATTGACGAATCTTTTCTTTATACCATCTATAATACTAGCCTTAAAATTCCGCTTATTTCCTGCGGCTATTATCTATTTTCTCAACATGTTCTTCTCGGCTTTCTATCATGCGTGCGATATGGATCACTGGTCAAAATATAAATTTTGTTTAATGCAGTACTCTGTATTAAGTTTTGGAGATTTTTATTGTTCTATTTGGTCGTTTTGGATAACTTTAATGAGTGTATCCGAACTGAAGAATAGTATAATATTACCAATTAATTCGGCTGCAGCTATTCTTCTAGCTGTGGGTGTTCAATGGAATATGCACGGTTTCCTAACATACATTATACCAATCTCTCTGGGAGGTATTATTGTTCTTTTAGCATGGGTAAGTTTTTTTTTTTAGACGCCTTCAATTTTCCTAAACCATTGTTGTCTTTTAGATTATCGCCGGATATAGGCAGAAGAAATGCTATCCCGGATGTAAGAGAGGGCTATTTATGCTACCTGGTATAATTCTAGCTGGAGTTGGGTTATGTGTTTATGCATTTGTAGAAACAGACGACAACTATCCGTTTACGCATAGCTCATGGCATGTTTGTATGGCTCTGTCAATTATTTTCCTACTCCCAAGACGTCCTAGGGAAAATACTAATCGGCAAATCGATTGTCTAGATCTGTTTAAATTCCCAAATAAAAGCCACAATTACACCTTCCCTCAAATGGACAATCTAAGTAACGACGTTCCACTGGTAGTCGACACTTAAAAGGATTTCATGTTGAACAATAACAATAGAAACATTGAGAATCAATCAAAGTTTGTGCCATATTAAAGGAGTTTACATAATTTTCTTTATTAATTTCCTATATTACTATTACCGATTGTTCATTTTAAGAAAGTTTATGTCTCAATTATACAATTTTCCTTTAGCTGAGCAGTTATTTATTAGTTGTTACAAGAAGAAGAAAAAAAAGGATGCTTACCTTTATATTTAATAACAGAAATTAATTACGCTTTTGCGACTTCTCTTTCCAATTTTCTAATGAATCCTGATGGATTTTATATTAGATTAAAGTTTCTGTGTTTTGTTGTTCTTTGTTGATTTTTTTTCAAGTTTATATTTGTAGATTTGTTTTAAAATACAAAGAGCACTTAACTTAATGAATCAATAGACATATATCTTTACATCTATTACGATAGATTAAATCAAACTTGTAGTAATTTATTACAATATTTAAATTAGATAGTCAAAATATATACTGTACATTTAATATTATTTATACAATAAAGTTTATATAGATAAAATTGCAAGTAACCTTTATCTAGACGGTCTGTTTTCCAATCTCTCTCTCTCTCTCTGTCTTTTTTTCCATAAAGTATGAAAGAAAGCAACTTACAATTGAAAAGCACAGCGACCACTATCGGACCATGACTTCTTTGTATAAATTAACATGTCTAATTCTTAGTAAAAATGCTCATTTTATCTAATAATTCTGTTTAATTCTTCATTCTTATTGCATAAATACTATACAGAACACGAATAATGTTATTATTAAAATTTTTTCTTAAATGTTTCCTTTCAATTCGAATATAAAAAATATCTTTTATATAAACGTAAATTGATATAGATAACTTATTTTTTTTAAGTGAAAGTCCAAATTTATTGATTAATACATCTTTTTTAATGGATATATTTGATTAGACGGAAAGATAAATGCTATTTTCCATGTTTTTTATGATCTTTAACGTTTACTGAAATTCTTTTTTTTATGGGTGGTTTCCCCCTCCCCTCTCCATTATTGAGTAGTAATCAATTTAATATTGTATTTAAGGAACTAATATCAATACTTCTCTTTGTTTTTTAATGATATTTAGCCTATTGATAGAATCCACTAGATGGCGCTTACTTAAGAATTAAAGTTTTTTGTTTAAATAATGATAGTTTAGTTATCAACGGTCGTAAAACGTTATTTGACTCTAATAAGACATTTTATTACCATAAAGTGGTCATTGTCTAACCTTATTTATAACTAATTCTGCCATTTATACCCATATTCGTTGTCTTTTAAAAATCATTCCACCCTTCTAAATAGCATCTTTAATAGGACATTACAGTTAAAGACATTAAGATATATACGAAAACAAAAAGAACAAAAAACTACCAACTCTCCTATTCCCAATTAAACTTTTAATTCTACAAAATAAACATCATTCTTAAAATTAAATATATAAAAGAAACTATTCGAAATAGAGAGAAAGAGTAGAAAGTATTATTTTAATAAATAACAATAGTCTTGTTATTGTTTATAATCTTTTTCATTAATAGAACAACCTATTAATTATTTTCGATTGGATTATAAAGTTTACATTTTTTTGATTGTTTTTGTTATTCTGTCTTTTAAATATTTACAATAATAAGTTTTTTTTTACATATTTATAAATATAACGTACAAGGCGATAGTATTTAAAAGATTTGAATATTTTGAAAATGATCTTTTGTATTTAACTTTAATGATCTCTATTGTTTTATGGGGTTTTTTCTAGCATTTAATAAGGTCGAATATGTACAATTCAATAACGGTGAATTTGTACACTTTAAATTAGAACGTTTTACACATGTAATTCAGATGGCGCTGTTGTTCCTTATGTATAAAATCTTATCATTATAAGTATTGAATAAAAATGAATAATCAATTTGTTTTATTTTATTAGACTATAGTAATTTTGAACTTATTTATAAAAAGTTGCAATAATTTAAAAAGAGTATTTTCAATATATGCACTCACTGCAGCAGAACTTATGAAGTACTTACTCACCTGCTTGTGAGCGCCATTTTGCCGATGATATATAAAGCGTGACGAGTGCGAACTCTAGTTGTATTTTTAAAAGCCGTTGTTAGTAATCTAAAATCGCTCGGCTTGCACCTGGGTTGTTACGTTTTAATTAATGTCGCAACAAACAACTTCTAGTGCTGGTAAATATGTTTTAATTTTTCCAATTATGTTTAAATGCAATGTATATAATAGGTATTTTGAATTTTTCTTTAAATCGTATAGTCTATGAAGTTAAATCCTTATTTTTTATTAGCATTGGCAGTCAGCTGCCCAGTAATATTTCCTGATTGCAGTGATTTTGCATTTCCTATGCTATTTCGTGCTACCTTTAAAGCTTTATATTGTGTGTTTTTTTCAACAGATTTACAATATCTTCATCAACTTATTGTTGAAGATGAACTGGAAAAGTTATCGGAATTTCTGGAAACCTTGTCGAGCCTTAATATTATGTTCGACGAGGGATGCGAAACGGCTGCACACGTTGGCATGTCACCCCTGGGACTAGCGGCTGCTCTAAATAAAATCCAGATTGTTCAAATTTTACTTGATTACGGGGCTGAGTACGATTTCCCATTCGCTCAACTCAAGACTACCGCCTTAATGACAGCAGCCTATCATGGTTACACCGACATAGTGAGAACTTTTTTAAGAGCTGGTAGTAATATTCACGCAGTTGATTTACAAGATAGCTCGGCTTTGGGGTATGCCTTGGGTGGATCTAGAAATTTCGAAGTTATACAAATGCTAATTAGAGAGGGTATTGATATTAATCAAAAAAATATGTTAGGGATGAACGCTCTATTACTAGTTTCTGGCTATGGAGATCCAACTCTCGTACAAATTTTACTCGACTCTGGAGCAACTCCTGACGTAACCAACGACTTTGGACATTCCGCCTTACATCTTGCAGTAGCCGGTAAAAGAGATCAACTAAAGAAAGCGATGGTCTCTCATGGTGCGGATCACGTACAATTGGACGCCGCCTTTACGAAACGTAATCTAGATACCCTAATGGTTCAATGGGCTCGTTCAAATACTGAAAATCTAATACGCGAAGAGAGCATTCACGGAAATGTCGATTTAATTGTGGAAGCGGCGAAATTGATTAGTGCTATTGGTGAACATGTCGATGATAATACACCGGCGGAAAATGATCAACTAATGCTTCAGCGTCGTTTAGCGGCCGCCTGGAAATATAGGCAACAATTGTTAGAGGAAGCCAGGGAGAATTCAAAGTCGACGTCTATTGGAGCAATTTTAGCTTGTGGGGTCAGCAGAAATAAGAATAGTAATAAATCGTCCAAGTCAGCTCCGTTGGAACCTCCCGGTAACGCTGTACCTTTTGAAATGGAAAGTGAGGTTGTCGTTCATATAAATGATGCTTACGCCTCAATAGTTCGTCTATTGTTGGACGCCGGATGCCCGATAGACGGTATGGAAGAGACATTTGGCATGACTGCTCTAGATATGGCTGTTCTGCACGGCGATATACAAAGCGCAACACAGCTTACTGCTTCGGGAGCACAGCCATTGCATTTGGTTAGATCGTTAGCTTTAAATGATTTGTACTGTGTTCTCCAATCGCCATCGCCAAAGAAAGATGTAAAGCATTTACTATGTCATGACACTCATTTAGATATTAATATGCTCTTGACCAAGTTAAATGTTTCGTCGAAAACTGATAAACTAGATACGAGCTTTGCTTCCAGCATTCCTCCTGATAATACTGAAGCTGATGATGAAGGATTGACAATTATCGCCGTGGCGGCGAGAAAAGGCTTTTTGGATGTGGTTCGCCTCTTTGTAAAATATGGCGCACGACTAGATATAGGTGCTAGAACGCCACTAGTTGAAGCTGTAATCGGAGGTCAGAAAAAGGTAGTCGAATACCTTTTGGATATTGGTGCCAATGTGGAACAAAGGACGGTCGCCTTAGAAGATGCTACTCCGTTGGCAGTAGCCGTTATGTATTTAAGACCGGTCATTGCTCAAACTTTAGTGAAGCATGGTGCAAAAGTAGACGCCGTTTTTGCGCAAGGAATGACACCGTTGTTGAAGGCATTTTCACTTAAAAATTCGAATGTTCTGGCCGTTCTAATGAAAGCTGATTTGAACAAATGTTTTCTGGATAAAAATGGCTGGGATGCGAGAATTGCGCAAATGTATCAGTCTAAGTATCGTGATACCGCTAACATAATGAGCATGGGGGCACAAGCTGTGGCTGATTTTGAGGCCAGAGCTGGTATATCTTGTTCACCGCCTCGAGGCCCATATGTTCAAATGGGCGACCAACTCTCAACATTCAGTCCAGAACGCGAGACACCAATTGGGGTAACTAGCCCAGCTAATCAGGAAAGTTCATTCGTTGCTAGTGTTATGCACGAGGTGAATTCCATCGATCGAATGAACATCTCCGAACGAATAAAGAGAGTAAATGGATCTGGAGAACAACAAGACAAAAGCAGTACGGGTAAAGAGGACACAACACCCACCAACTCTTCTCCACCAAGAAACTCGCAAACTTCTCAGAGTAATGAATCAACACCGACAAGACCGGTTCCAAGACCAAGGCCAAGACCAACTCCAGTTCCAGCTCCGAGATCTACCCCATCGTCGAGTTCGTCGGAATTGAACAAGAGTGACGAAACAAAGAATAGGCCACCGTCGATTGACAAGAACAAGAATTTTCTAGCGGAAAAAAAGCTAAACAAAAGTCATGAAACTACTTTATAATAATAATATTGATAATTAAAAAAAAAAAACAGAAAAAGAATAGAAAAAAAAATTATAAAATAAAGTACGTTTCTCTTTTTTTTATTTTTTATTTCCTTTCTTTTGTCGCATGCTATTTCATTGTTGCTTTTTACTGTTTTTTTTTGTGAATATTTCGCGTCTTAAGTGTATATACACTATGTATATATATATTTCCTATTTTTCTCTCAAATAATGTTTCTTTACGACTATAAAAGATGCGAATTAAATCAAAAAAAACATAAAAACAAAAAATTATAATAACGTTTATTTGAGGTATTTATTTGTCCTTATCTTCCTCGAAACGACCTTTTACGAGGTAGTCTTTTCCAATTCTCATCATAATTAACAGCCAATAAACCTGCATATTATAAAAAAAAGACTCTTTTATAGATTCTATATATATTTGTATTTGTTTGTTTGTTTGTTTGTTTGTTTGTTTTTTTTTGTAGAGTTTTATTTAAAAAATAATTACCTGAAAAAGGAGTAGTGATATACAACCAAAGTTGCATATGTAGGGTATTTTTCGAACGGTTTCGTATAATGTAAAACCGGCATAGTTTGCGTAACGATGATAAATATAGAAGAATATTCCAACTCGAAATATTGCAAAGTTTGCAATTGTAAGTATACTAATGATCAAATACAGTTTAGTGTCTTTCTTACGAAGCTGTTAGGAGGTAGAAAAAAAAATATAGACATATAAGGATTTCATTATATAAAATTATTAAAAGAGAAATTATTTTTAGAACCTTTTGTAAAATAGAGCGAAAGGCTATGAAAATCACCGGAACTTCAAATAAGTAGAGACAGCCTACAAAGAAATCTCCTTTTCCATTTCTATACCACTACAAGTTTTACATCAATAATTTATAAGTCATGCTAAGAATAACTAGGGAAACGTATGTAAACAAATTGATTATGATAGGTATTACCAAAATAAATGGAAGGTATATTAGGGGGCAGATTAAATGATGTAGAGCCATCATTTTGTTCTTGAATAAGAATTTCTTTATTGCTTTTGATCGACTCAGAGTTTCATTTGATGGATCGGCGTACCAAAATGTTGAGTACATAGCGTAGATATCGTAATAGAAATAGGGAAAGCAGAAAACTGCCCAGGACTGAGGTAGCCAATACCTGAGAAAGTGTATGATAACTCATGTATATACATCATTAAGAGTTATATAATTGTTAATACATGTTGTGATAAAATGGGTTAGTTACCTACGTGTCATTTATAATGTCTTGACTGATATTTTTCATAGTTAACAAACCAACGCAACAACTCATCAAAGCTTGCCAGGCGCCAACAAGCCTATAATAGAAAATCAGTTTACAAACTATTATGCTCTTACAATCTTCATTATCGCTCATTACCTTTCTGAAATTGAGCTGACTTGAGCCTTGTTTAGACTTGAATACTTGGACAATGTTTGCGTAGAAAGAATATAGCAGGAGGAGAAAAAAAAAGCTCCACAAATCGGTTTTAAAAACTTACTATACCATTCTAGTGATTCTTCATTGTTTATATTTTGCAAGCCGGACTGCGCCATTTTACCATAGTAATTATGGCGACGCCAGGCGGAACAAGTTTTTCATCATTAACTTACAAGAAAATATTATCATCTATGCAAAACAATAGATTTTTACCAATATTCTAACAACTTTGCAGGGTATGGTAATAAAGATACTTGTCAAATATCCTCCTATCTGAAACAACCTACACTCTAATGACAACTTTCGCCTATTATCACTCAAATAAACAATATAATAAAGCTCTTTAGTTTTAACGTAAATTTTACTTCTGCGCTTTTTGTTTTTACAGAAAAGCAAGTTGATCAAAGAACACTTTTCTATGATGGATTGTAGAAAAGTTTGGACTGAGAATCACCTAGCAACGCATGGGGAACAAACGTCGAACTTAAAAGTGAACAAAAAAACAATAGTTGTAACTTGTCAGAAATCTCAATTGAAAACGCCCCAAAAACGATCAAATACGAATTTTAATAGAGAAGTAAGTTTCAATTAGTATTGTTTTTTATTTTTAAAAAAATGTTAAGCTTATTTAATTCATTTTTAAAGGATGATCATATTAAACGAGCGCTTATCTCTTCTAAAAGAGTACCACCTTCTCTACATAATGGATAATAAGAATTTTTGTAAAGGTGAAGGTTATGCCAACACCTATATACATTTATTTATATATTAATATAGACTAAAGGAGTTAAAGAGGTCTAAAAATTGCATTATTTATTTTAATAGTCAGCCTATTTACACAAAAATGACACTGTACCGTTATAAAAAACGTTTTAATGTTCAAATAAATAATTAAGGAAAGTCAATATGACCCATAAAATTCGTATAATAATTTCTAAGAATTGATAAAACGATGAATATTATAAATTAATTAGCAAAATTTAAAAAATTATAGTCGAAAGAAAGTCTTTGTAAAGGGATATTTTAAACTATCAAAACTAATATTCAACGTTGAATTAAGTGCTAAAATTTTACAAACTTCATAGAATCTTAAATTAAAACTTTCCTATTCCTTTAATTAGTTATTGCAAAAGAGAAAAAAATCGCATATTATACGTTAATTAGGTAAAAAAAAAAAGAAAATAGAATTAGTAACCTTTAAAAAAATAGCACTGTAAATGTGTAAAATACTGCAGAGTTTGCAGTTTATGTATGGAACATATACTGTATATATATATATATATATATATATATATATATATATATATATATTAAAGCATAAAGAAGGCAAACTTAATTAAATAACTTTCATTGTATTCTTTTGAAATATATCACGCTCATATTTAAAGTTACTCTTGGCTACTGCATGAACATTTTCTTTTATGAATTTTCTTCTTTTCCATCTTTTTTTGTGCTTTTGTTAAGGTATATTCGATATATATATATATATATATATAGTACAAATGATAATAAACAAAAAGAACCAATAATTACGACGTCTACTGTAGATGTGACGCGCGATAAATTGCGAGCTAATCGATAGCGATTTGAACGAATGACCAAATTTGAACAAGAGGAAAATGGAACTTGATGAAGGTAGAATCAATATTGTAACATTTTGTAGGAGAATTGTCCTACTTAACCGAATAATAGGACTCTAATTAAACGAAAGTGACAAACAACTACAAATTGATAATAGTCGCTTTAATTTTTTCAAGGGAGTTGATTTTCAAGAAGATTGAATAGATTTTTTTTTTAGTTTTTAACTTGAAGGAATTAACTTCTTTGAACAAAGTCATTGCTACAAGTACATACATATATTAGTATGTATACTGAATATACTGTATATATAATAGAGATAAAAGGGTAAAAAAGCAATAGATGCTTTTTTATATATTCTCTTTTAAGATAGTCTTTTTTTTTATCAGCTTTTAGAGAATATAAAATATACACTATATATACTGTATATTGTACTATAGATTATTCGCTTTTGGTACTTTTAGACGCTAATTCCCTAATTGTACAGAGAAGTAATGCATGGAAATTTACCCTAGATTTTTATGAAATGATTACTAATTGCGATTTGCAAAGGGATAGCTTTAAATCAACCTTTAAACAAAAAACAGTTACATTTCTTTAGTGAGCCCTAGGGGGCGTGGAGCCAGCTTCTTGCTGATTGGTCGTAAAAGTTTTCCGTCATTTTTTTCCCGCCTTTAATAAAATCTAGTTGATCGTTTTCTCATTTATTTTGAGTCAATCGGTTGATTTTTCTAGTTGAGGTAACTCATCATTCGTCATTCTACCTTAGTTATCATTCCGATAATATTTATCGTTTTTCGTATCCTAACAAGCTGATATCGATCACATTAACAAATGGAAACTGCAATAGCCTTATTCATCTTCTTAGCATCCTTTATTATTGGGAATATGATTTTGGCTTTGTCTCTATTTATTCCGCTCAACAAGTACTCGAATACTCAGGAGGAAGCTCTCCACAGGACCATTTTGGCTATGGCTGTTGTAGTTCTTGTCGAGGTAGTTGTATATTACTGAAATTTTCAACTTTTAAGAAACAATTCTCTCTTTCAGGGACTAATATGCCACTGTCCATGCAAAAGTAAATTATGATTTTTAATACTATGAAATTAACTATTCTATATTCTTAATCAGTTTACAACTTTCTTTTTTTTACTCTTTGCACAATCAAAGTTATCAAGTTAGTAAAACGCTTTCTAGGAAGAGAAGAGGGTAAAATTTTAAGTAATAAATAGTAAACCTAACAAAATCATATATATCATTTTGCACTTACAGAAATTGTTATTGAAGCCGACCAGACAGTTGTTCTTACCGGAAAATCGAGCAAAGATGCCCCGGCTACCGTTAATGAAGACCGTCTGTAAATTACAACAAAAGGGTTTTGAATTCTAAAGAAGTCTTATGGTTTAACGTAATATTTTAGTTTAGAATAGACTAGACTCTTTTAATACTTTAAATTGTTATATATAATTATCTACAGTATAAAATTTATACTAATATATGTATATATATATATATACAGTATATTTATATAAAGACATATATATCGTGTGCTGATCGTAGAATATGAGTTACAAAGAAAATACACTTTCTAAAAATTAATTTCCTGTTTTTATCTCTAATCCTATTAAGACTGGATACAATTTTAAATTAAAAACTCTTCTATTTGTTGTATAATTCTAGAGACGGTACTAATTAGTTCTTGGGTGATAGCTGAGTTTTTTTCTATAAAACGAATTTCCATATTTCCATATGTAATGATAGAAAATCTCATCTTTACTCGGGAAACAAATGATTTAGAGTTTAGAACAAAAATTTTGACAGCTCTTATGTCAATTAGCTTTATTATTTTATATATTTGACCCAAACGTTCGTTCTGTATGATTATTCTAAAAGATTTTCTCTCATCATTTTAGTATGTCAGTCCTTGACTTTTCTAATATTTTATTTATGCTATTTCACATACATTAAGAATAAAATTTTCACATCTAATGTACTACATTCCTACAGTTTACAACAAGAACGTTCAATTCCTCTCTAATTACAGATAAATACGTTTTATATATACTGTACGATATTTTTGCATATTGTTTTTTACACAATGGAGATTGATAGTTTTCTCTTTGAAAATAAAAATAAGAAAATTCGTCCTTTCTAACTCCTTTTCATGATCATCGAAACTTCTTCATCCTCGAAGTTATCGACTTCATCGATATAGTCATATTCGTTTTCGTAATCATAATCGTCATCAATTGTGGCTCTCTCCGGTATGTCATTATTTACAGCAATCGAATTCGATTCTGTAATTAGTTAAGAATTTAATAAGTTAATCCGCTTAGGAATCTGATACTTACGATTCTTTGTCTCAATCTCCGTACTCTTAGTGTTCGTGTTAGTTTCTTTGATAAATGAATTTAGATCTTCACGGCGGGGTAGAATATCAAAACTTCTTCGACGATGGATGGAAGTCTCTAAAACTCTTCTCTCTTCAAAGGCCGAATCTATTTTAAGTAAAATTTTGCATTTTTATTGTAAAAACCATTATCAAAGTAACAAAATTTTGCGTTGTAAACAAACCAGTTGTTGCCGAATTTTCTAATTTAACTATTTATATAAAATAAATAAAAAGTAATCAATTAATTAATAAATAAAAAAAATTCTTAACCATTCATATCTGATATTTCTGAATGAAAATCCTCCCACTTTCTTTCGTAACTTTCATCTAAATAGAAGGAATTTATTTATAGTTAGGGAATTGTTTATAGTAGCTATATTTTGTATATTTTACCAGAGAAATCAACTGAATTTAGGCTACCTGGAACGTATTTTTTCATATAATCTACGAAATAAAAATTCAAAATTTCTATTAGTTATGTTTTTTAAAGGGCTTTCATTAAAAAAAAGAAGAAAACCCGTCAATTTCACTCCCAATGCAATTGTTCTTCGGCGTTGTCCTTTTGATACTTTTCCTCCGGAAGTCAAGAGTATTAGTCCTATAGCAGAAAAAAAGATTCGTGTATTTTTTGTCAAAGTTTTTACAAATACTCTATCTCTTTAATAACCAGATGATTTTACGTAGTCGTCGAAGGCCTGGATTTTTTCAAGGATCTTCTCCTCAGTTGGATTCTGCTTTCCGGAAGCCGAAGCTGGAGAATAACGATGAGGAAAAGAATTTTTAACTTTACAAGAATTTCTTATGAACGAACCTTTTGCATTGAATATTTCATGGCCGCTCTCTCTTCCTCCTTTCATTTCTTCATCAGCTCTTCTTTCTAAAAAGAAAAAGAAGTAAAATACGTCATGTCCCAAGAAATGCTATGTTTAGCTAACCGTCTGAAGGTGGCTTATATTCGAGATCACTTCTTCGTGTTGCAACTCTTTGAGCGTTCGTTACCTTTTTTAGAGGGATCGGACCTGTTTATAAAAGATGAAAAAAGTAACTATTTTATCCTTTTTTTCCTTTGCAACTTACAATGTATGATATTTCGTTCTCGAGAGATGTTTAAGGGATTGTTTCTCATAGCTTTTCTCACATTTTTGTCATTCAATCTTCTATTTCCGTCTGAAATATTTGATTTCGGGTTACGATCATGGATGCTTCCGATCATAAATGACGTACCTTCATCAGGAGCAAGTCTTTCTGACATTGCTGTTGCTTTTGTGTAACGTTCCTTATTGTTCCATGAAGCTTTCATTATCTCATTAAAAAATTCCTTGTTGGGCCATACAGTTTCCGCAGAATTTTTGCGGCCGCCTTTCCCGACTGGTGAAAATATATTATATTCTCTAGCATTATTCGAAAGAGCCTGAATCGAAGTAGGGGTCTCGTATCGAGGATCAAAAGCGGATCTGATCGTTGTATTTGTCCTTCTGACAGTTGGATACAGCGAATAATCTTCTCTACCCCTTCTTATAGCTCCATGTCTGCTCGTAAAGAACAGGCTTTAAATTAGGACATCTATAATGAGTTTTAAGTAATTACTCTCGAGCCAACGAAGAGGAAGAAGACGATGTCGATGACAATGACGAAGATGACGATGACAATGATGCAGAAGAAGGTAAGGGAAGAGGTAATTTCTCATCAACTTTTTTCTTTTTCTGTTTTTCCTTAGCTAATAAAATTTACAAGATGAGATTAAGATTAGGGTCGAAAACTGATTATTCTTAATTAACATACGTTTGTCATCTTTTCGAACTTTCAGCATGTAGTGGTAGGCAATCACCTTAAGAAGTTATAACAACATGTAAACCGATTACACGATTGTAATAAAGGATACAAACTTCAAGTGTCAAAGCCAGCAATAAACCCACTATTGTAACAATTTTTGAGCTTGAAGAACTATAGGATACCATATAGAAAATATATATAAGAAAGAAGTGTACGATCAACCATGCCATGACACACATCACTCGCATGATGATTTCCCTAGTATCTGTTTTAAAAAAGAAAAAAAATTAATTAATCGGTTTATCCAAAGTAAAACTTAACTTGATCAACTAATCGATCAACAGAGTCCGAGTTCAATGACGTCTTCTTTTCGAAGATTCTATTCTTATTGTGACTAAAGCATGTTAAGATTATATTGGAGATTATTTAAAATTATATATGAAAAAAATTATTTATCTTACGAATCTGTTTAAGATTGATCTTCACTTTCGAGCCGAGTAGACCTGAATGATATTGTCTTCGCTAATAGTCTTGACAGTTTCTAAGAAGGATAAGACGGAATCAAATTTATGATATTTTCTAAACCAATCACCAATTAGTTTGTAGCGCCACCATTCAACATTAATATTTATATTTTTGCGATATTATTGACAAGTTATAAAGCTATGTTCCCTCTATAATTTTTTAATTTTAAGTAAAATCTTTGTTATTTAGCATTTCCTTCCGATTTCGTTTTCATCCTAGAAAAATACACTTTACTAATTGTTTTTATTATCACTTTTCCTCTTGTCGAATAGTTAATTACCTTAAAACACTAAATATACTTTACACTTTATATGGCTACAGTACTTTTTCTTTCGTAAAGTCAATATTTCTGTAAAACAAAAAGAGACAACTACAATATACACGTATTTATATATACCAATAATATAAAGACTAGCAAACAAGTCAACGTAATTTTTTGCGCGGGAAAAATAATAGAAGAAGAATAGATTTTCTATATTTCGAACATTCTCTTCTCTTTTACTTTTCACCTGACAAACGCTATCATTAACTAGAAAAAAACTTTTTTACAATTTATTAATCTTTATAAAAATATAAATGTTATCAACAATATAGTTTTAAATTAGGAAGAATTATAATCTACAATAAATTTAGCCAATCACAACCGATACTATTTGCACGTGATCAGGAAACTTCTTTATTCGCATAGACGTTTATAAAATGAGAAAATTAATTTTTGAAACAAAATAAGTTTAAAAGAAGAATTTACTTTTTTTTAGAAACTGTAGATATTTCTAAGTTGGAATTGAGAAGATTTAATGATGACACGGAAATTGATATTTATGGAGGTAAGTTTTCAAGAATGTCGGTGACACTGCTCAGAGCCCTGTCATATGTGCATATATATACAGTTGATATAAAATATTCTATCCAATAAAATGACAGATAAAAAATCCCAAGCGGGATGGAATATAAAAGCGACAATAAATGGATTATCGGTGATGTCAAATATCTGTTCACAGGTCAGAGAATCATAGTAAACGTTAATGAATACAAAAATAAGTTTCTAGTATGATTATCATCAAGGTCAAATATAGTAATTCCAGCAATTGTACAAAACAATGCAAATAGTAGATGACTGTGTTATAAGAATCGGTTAGATATAAAATATACAAATAGGATTACAACATATCTTTTGTATATAAGTGAAGAGAGAAAAAATTAAATACGAATATTAGATAATAATTTAATAAGACAATATAGTAACCTTTTTCCTAAAACAAAAAAAAATCATGTTAAATATCAGAAAATTTCATTTGTGTTTATTTAAATACGATTACTTTGTCAAATTATAAATTAGTAGGAATGAATATAAATTATGTTTAATAAAAAAGAGAAAGAGAATAATTGAAGAATAAAAGAATGTTCTTGTTCTTTATATTCTTATTATTAAAAAAAATAATTAATTGTAACACTAGATAGATATTTTTTCAGGTCATATCTAAATCAAATAATTAAGAAAAATTAGCTTTTTGAGATTAATACCACGACTAATCCGATGTCTAATAAAGGAGAACTGTATGGAAAGCGTACAACAGCAATATATGCGTTTATTATACAGTAGTTGTAAACCGTATATAATTTTCTTTAGAATGTTGTTTTATATCAATTGAGTATTTTACTTTGATGAATTATATCAAGATTATTCTTAAACAGATGCTTAGTTATTATAATGTTTCAATAGTACTTGAAGAAAATTAAAAAATCTTTCGCCAATAAAATGTTATATAATTTAACCTTATTTCCCTATTTAAGGGGAGGGGAGGGGAGAGGAAGATGTTTCTCCTTGTTAAAAAGTTTTTCTATTCAATTACTTATTTAAAAAATTATCCTTTATCTTCTTACAATAACAATAATAGATTGTAATAATCCTATTGTAAAGTCATATATATATATTGTCTAAAAATATAAAATATAAAATTTCCGTTTTTAAAGGGGAAAAATATTTTTAAACTATTAAACTTTATAAAAAATTAAATATTTAATAACCATTGATAACTTGTTAAAATTTTCTTTTACTTAAATACTTAATTAAGCCTTATATTCAGCATATATTGATATTTTGCCAAGCCAATACATAGAACTTTAATATTTTTGGAAAAAATTTTCTTTCAGAATAATGGTCTTTTAGTCTATTATATTTTCTATTCTCTTTAAAAGCTAAGCATATCTATTATCCTATTTCCGTATATTACTTACTGCATGCTAAAAAACATGTTTTCATTTACCGTTTCTTTTGTATGCTCACTTTCTATTTTTTTTTACATCATATGACGTATAGTTAGATGTAATTTTATGGGAAAAGAGAAAAAATGACCTTATAGAATTTTAGAAAATTAACTCTTTGGTGTCAAATATGATCACTTTTTGCAATTAGGTTAATTTTCTTACAGTTAATTTTCTTTTGAACTATTAAATTGGTCATGAAACGGCCTAAATATCGAGTAATTCATTTTATTATTTAAAAAAAAGCTTATTCGACTGAAATCTATCAATAGATTTCTGCCAAGTAATCGAATTATGAAAATTATTGATCAAGTTTATGATTTAAACCGACAGATGGAGCATATAGAATAAAAAGATAGTAAAGAGAAAATGAAAATAGGGATGGAAAACAAATAAACAGGTTCTGGTTGGGAGAAGGGAAATAAACGTTAATACAAGTTTTGTTTAGAAGCTATTGTTATAAATAAGGGTATTGTATTACCGATTGATATATTGGAATTCGATGACAACCCGCAGCCCCATCTGCGAGAAGATACAAATCTGTAAAAACGGCTTGTGGTCTAATATTAATTAAAAAACAGCAGCGGTCAATAAGACATTAAATATTTCACAAACAAAGAAAAAACAATATAGGACAAAGAATTTATTGTTTAAAAAATGTAAATTTCAATCTTCTACGATTATTCATTTGATCATTCAAAAAATTATTCTTGACATTTATTTAAATTAAAAAACACAATATACTTATACTGTATATACACTAAAACATATACAGTAGCTCCAATTGGAAATGTTCACGTACAGTGAAATTAATCTTTTTTTAATGTTATTCAGGCCTGAATACGGTATATACAGTATGTTCCTCTCATTTTATGAATTTTAAGTACAATAATAATTACTATTTTTTTTTTATCTTTAAAAGAGTATTTCTAAATTTGTTATTAATTGTTACGAAATTCAAGGAGCTAATAAATTGTACTCATAGATTATAGAGAATAAGGGCAAGGTTGTAATCAGTTTACTCTATAGACTTAACTTCTGAGAAGTGTAAAAGAAAGTTTTTAAAGTTATGATAGCTGATAAAATAATAAATAACTTCGTTTCTGATATGTCTATTACACGACAATCCTTAGAAGTGCATTTGACTAATTGTTTTTCTAAAAATATAATGCGGTATATCCCAGAATCAATTTATGTAATAATGCATATATACTTATCTATATATACAGTATATAAATATATATACTGTTATAAATAGAATTTTTTATAATAATTTTGTGAAATCAACAGTATTTTCAAGATAATAGCGAAAAGCATAAACGCGTGCATTTAAGTGTATATTTTCTGAAGTATTTATTATGTAAGATGTAAAAAAGTAATAATATAACATCTATTGTTTCTTATGAGAGTATTAGATGAAGAGACTTATGTTAGAGGTATAATACGCTGTTGGGGAGGATAAATGTTCTTGTATATTATTTAGCAATTAGCTTTTTTTGTTTATGTACAGAGTCAATAGAGTGGACTATGATATTGCGTCAAATATGATTACGTGTACATATGCTGTGTCCTTAGAATAGATTGCCTTCTTACTATGTTTGAGTTTAGAGCCAAGCCTATACTAGCTCTTATAATTACTCCTATAAAGCATTACCATTGTATGTAAGATAATACAAGAAAGCGTAAAATATCTGCTCTATATCGAGCAAATATATCGTCTGCTTTAGTCTTCTTCGTCTTCTTCTAATATACCTTTTCTATTTTATACTCTTTTTCCATAAAATTTACTCAATCATAGGCCGAATGTTTTTCACATTTATACTTTAGTTTAAAACAAAAAAGGTGACATTAAAGGTAAATAAATTAGAAAATAATAAAAAAGACGAGACAGGAACAAAAAGTTACAAACCAACTTTTAACGACAATCGAACGTGTATATAAGAAAAAGGTGAATTGATTTATTAATTGTTTTTTAGTATACTGTATATAGGTATTTTTTCTCAAGTAAAATGTATGTATCTCTGTGCATACGCATAGAGAGTTGATATAAATATTATTTAAATGGGTACTTTTTCTCTTATGGACGGATAGTGATATATTATATAAAAACATCGGGATGTAATTGATTACGTGCAAAATTTTTGCCTCTTCATAGTCGAATAAAACAAAGAAAAAATATAAAAAAGAAGCATCCTTATGCGGTTTCGAATATCATTCTAATTTATGTTCGAAATAGGAAGTTAACTAATTTATTAGTTTTAATTCTTCGCTGTCTCTCGCCTCGTCCGTACTGATACAAACATCAGTTAAGAACTTGTCAAATTCACTGCGAACACCCTCCGGATCGTTGTTCAAGTCAATAACAGTGCAACGAATCTTATTCATTTTATACGCTGAATATGTTAAAGAATACGTAAGTTAAAAAAATGTATATTTCATGTATACATATATTTTTATATACTGACGTATGTTCGGTTCGATTGTTCGACCATCAATATTATTACCAAAAATAACGCACTGCTTGTCAGCTAAGCCTTGCTTGTCGGCGAAATTATTGTACCTGTTAAAAAACAACTTGACAGATAATAAATCGTATTATTTGTCTTAAACAAACCATCCTTCCATCTCCTTGGCATTTAAATTAGTGTCGGTTCTATACACAAACACTATGCCTGATGTGTCCTTGGCTATTGCCGGCCATCCACCGCTGAATCTGGAAAAGATAACATTAATCACAATAAAAACAGATATATATTTTTTTAAAACACTTAAATAAAAACAGCTACGCTACCTAGGATCACCGCTGACATCCCACATTTCTACTTCGCAACTAACTTTCCGACCACTTTTCAACTTTAGGTCCTTCACCTCAAATTCTACAATACTATTAGAGATAAAATTATACATTTCTATATATAAATTATATATAAAGTATTTAGTGAAGTTAAATATAATATTTAGAGTATTTTTAAGAGCTTTAATTAATATTTTTAATTAATTAGCATTACCGGCACCCTTGAGTCGGTTTATACGTCTTAGGTTGACCAGTTTCAGCGACAGTTTCTGATAAAAAATTGGCGAGTGTTGATTTTCCTTGCTGTTTGGTAAATTTTAAAATTAAATTTATTATGAATATTATTATACCATTTTAATAAAAAAATTAACCTCGCATTCTCCTAATAAGAGTAGCTTTGTCTTGATCATCCTGATCGAAGTAGATTATCCTAAGTTTAATCTCTTAAATAGTTGAATCTACTGGATTTGAAAAAAATATTTTAAAATCATAATTATTTTAGTTTTGTTTCAAAAAACTTGAGTTTTTATATTGTATCCTCTATTACATTTATTTTCTTGTATAATTTTGAGTCAGTCAATTGCCCAATTTGTCAAATTTAGTTCAAAAAGCTCAAGCCGAAAAAATGTTCCCTCTTTCGTCTGGCATGCGGATGTATTGATCTAAAGTTACTTTCGTATATTTCAACTATGTGGAATTTTTTTAAAAATTTCACAGATGTTTTTGAAAAAAATTATAATTAATTTAATTCATAAAAATTATCCTTTATAATATGAGATTTCTTGTCTGCTATAGTCTTGTGCGCATGCGCAATTGGCTAATAGACTGTAATCGAAGATAGACGTTTTATCTTCCTATTTATTTCCTCTGATTTTAATACTTTTAAAAAGAGGTGTTTAGTGAAATTTCAAACTGGAGCGCCTACCAGAATACTTTCGGGACACGATGGATTGGTTTATGGGGTGAGTAGGGTGTTTAGTTGATATCGCCAAATTATACAAGTCTCTTGTTTACATTTCAACGCTCATGTAACAGATGAAATTCAGGGCAGAATGAGAGCATGAAATGATAATATACAGTAAATAGTATAGTTTGTTATCATTTTCGTATTTGCTTTTCGAGCTGTTATCAAGTCCTTAAACAATAATCTATTTTGGAATGGCATCTGATATAAAAAGGGCCGAACTAGCTTCCAGTCAGTTAGAAAGCCTGTTTGTCACATGTGCACATCTAGGCCAATCGACAAAGCAGCGTTGCTCTTACATATACGCACAAGTGGTGCGCAAGTGCATCGTAGTAGAAATAACAAAGGAAAACTTTCTTCTTTTTGTTTTATTCAAATGTTCTCTTGGTATAATCGATTACGGTCGAGGATATCTTCGTCGTTTGAGTTAGAAAGGTTAGTAAGTTAAGAACTTTTAGAGAAGCACGTGTTAGAGTTGAAACTTTTGTATAAGAATATTTTTTTTACCGAGACTTCTAAAATATTATTAAAAACACCTAAAAGTTGTTCGGCTAAGGGTAATGATTACGTACCGGAGTAATCATAATGAAATCCTATAATTATCGATTTAACGAGGCCTCGATCGTCGCCTTGAGCACCGACGCGTTATACGTCAGCCACCAATCAGTCAGATTAGAAATTAGATTGAACATGGCAGATTTGCGAGAGGCTTTACTATTCACAGCGAAAATAGCTGAAGGAGCTGAGCGGTTTGATGATATGTTGACTTTTATGGAGTCAATTGTAGACTTGGGTAATGATTTAACAGATGAAGAGCGAGGTTTACTTTCCTTGGCCTGTAGTGAGAAAACAATGTCTCCTATACGTTCGTGGAGAATTATTAAAGCTATACTTTCATTTGAATCTGAAGAGTCGCATGCTACTCTTGCTAACAACTATCTCAATGAACTGGCGGACGAGATTCGCAATTTAACATCACAGACTATTTCAATGATCTGTAATAAGTTATTACCCAATGCCACGACAGCTGAGAATAAGGCTTTCTACTATAAGATGGCGGCAGATTATAACCGCTATAGGGCGGAGATAGAGAAACCTAATAGCCAAGAGAGAAAGGAAGTGGGGGAAAAATGCTTAGCAGGTTATGCAATGGCTTCGGAAGCCGCTAAGAACCTACCGGCATACGATCCGGTGCGATTGGGAATAAATTTAAATTTATCGGTTTTGTATTCTGATATTCTTGACGATGAAAAAAGAGCGTGTGAAATAGGCAGAGAAGCGCTTCGGAGCTCTTCAGCCGAATTAGAAAACGCCAATGAGGTCCATTACTCTTTGGCTTTACCAATAATGAGTATACTCCGGGAAAATCTTGTGAAATGGGAATAGTTTTTTACAATCGAAGATCTGGAATAGCACTATTCACAAGACGTGCCATCTACTGGCCGTAGAGTTCTTTTTTGTTATTATTTTTTTTGTCCTTGTAGTGTTCTCCCTTAATCTCATAATACAGTATTTGCTATAGGCAGGTGGTAGGCCTATATTTTAGCGTGACTCACTTGAAATAAGAAGGCTTCGAAGGCCTAAATAGCCAATTGAGCTAAAGCGATCTAAGCAACAAACAGCTGATGGTAGATAGTCGCATTTGGTATTTTGCTTTTCGTTGATTGGCCATCTAAAAAGCGCGCGGTCATCAGTGATAGTTTGACTATGTGATTCAGTACATCGAATGGATAGGTTATCGTCACCAGCAGCGGTAACGATGGGTGTAGAATGCCACCCGATTACATTTCAACCCGTTTCAGTTGTTCAAAGCACAACGAAGAAGAAATCGTTCAGACGAACCCCCTCTGTTCTTGCCAAGGTCTTTTCCACTGCTAGGTAGTATGTTATTATTGCGTATTTTTGTTTTGATACATTTAACGAACATAGCACAAAACAAAAACAAGAGAAAGGGGAAATTATATATTTGTGTATATCAAGAGAATGAAGGTAATACTTCTTAGAAAGTGACGAAATTCGATTTGTATATTACGAAACATGGCTAAATCATTTTTTATATATATATTTAATTAATTGATTTTTTTTAATTAGTATTTTGTATTACGTTTTTTATTTTTATTTTAGGAAAGGTAAAAAGAAAGAAAAGGACGGTCTAAATGAGCGTGAACAGCCTCCATATTTGGAAAGTGATTGGGCAACGCAAAAGTTGATTGACGTCAACATGAAGAACTTTGTTTACAGGCCAGAAGGTATCGATGTAAACGAATGGCTTGCAACACATAGTAAGAATTTTTTCTTTTAAAAAAATTATTAATTTTTTAATTCCAATCATGGATATGTTAGTCCTATTTCAATCTTTTAACTGTGTCTGTTTACTTTGCGGCTAGAAGACGTAGCAGATGTTCTTAAACTCTTCCACTCTGAGAGATAAAGTTTAGTGAGCAAATAAAAAAAATACAATACGTTAAAATTTTATGTTTTTCAATACTTGATAAGATAGAAAATAATAATAGATAAGACAACTTAATAAGATAATATATTTCTATTCACAGCCATTCATTTCTTCGAACATGTCAATGTTTTCTACGGTCTTGTTGCTGAATATTGTACTCCAACTGATTGCCCATCCATGACTGGCCCGTCGAATATGAATTATCAATGGGTTGACGATAAATCAAAGAAGAATAAATGCTCTGCTCCACAATATGTTGAATATGTAATGACTTCTATTCAGAGGACGATAACGGATGAAACGCTCTTCCCAACTAAATACGGACAACCTTTCCCGCAGACTTTTGATACAATCATTCGCAGACTCTTCCGTTTGTTGTTCCATGTTCTTGCACATATATATGCCGCCCATTTCCAACATGTCGCTCAATTTGGCATGCATTCACATCTAAATACCCTCTTCCTCCATTTAATGAGTTTCGACAAGCTTTTTAAGATAGTTGATGAGAAAGAAACAGATATATTAACAGAGCTCTACATCAAACTGCAAGGCGACAGGCGCCCATCATCAAATGAGGATAATCAATCCCAATCGCCAAATAACTCTCAGTCATTCCAAGAAGACACTAAAAACTCTGAAGTTTCAAAAGTGCCGAAATCAACTGCAGACTCTACAGATACAAATACTTTAGCTGTTCAATCGCAAAATATGTGCCAAAATTAATCCCCAATAGCAGAAGAAATCAGCTTATAAACAAAAGGTTCTTTTTGGAAATTATCGACATTATTCAAATATAGATCTAGTCAAACAAATGTTCACAACAAGTCTAATAATTATCGTTTTAAAATGTGTGTTTTCAAACAGTTTTACTCCTTTATTTAACCCATTCAAAATTAACTGTACAAATTTATTATAGAAAAAATATGAGAAACTTGTTTCAATCGAATTGGCGATTGGTAACCGTCATTCGTAAAACACTTAATACGAGTATTTAGGTAATGAAATTACAAAGAAAGGCATATAAATACAAAATGAATACATAAATTGAAAAATGTTTTAAAGTCTATATAGAATTTCTATATTTAGAGAGAAGTTGAGTTCTTCTAACTAATCTCTATCTGTTCTCTTAATTAGGATGAAAAATATCCCTCATCCTCTTCCTCTGGCGCAGGGTTTATGGGATTGCCAAAGCGTTGTAGGATCATATTGATGAAAGCAGCTGAAATAATGATTAATTATTATATTATAAGACAGATGCAAACTTTCAAAGGAATTTTATTCTAAGTAAAACAGTTTATAGGTTTTTTTTTTAATTAGTGAAGCTCTTAAATCTAATTCTATTACGGACTTGGTGCAATATGATCAATTAACAAAAAAATGATGGGAACCTGAAGAGAAATGTCCATCAAGTTAAAACTACACTATCGTTTAAAGACTATTTAATATGAAATATTACCCAAGCACAAAAAAGGCAATCGTCAATACCAGGAATACCTCCTTTACCCGCTGCAGCCACAATGAACATTGATAGGAAGAAGGGAACTTTTTCAATGAAAAATAGCATTATCGTCTTGGGATTCATTCTTTAATTCTCCTCTCGTATTAACAATCTGTTGTTTTTTATTAAAAAAAAAACAAAAAAACAAAACAAAAATGAAGCTTTTAGTAGAGTATTTTTTTTTGTTTTCATACTAAATATAGAATAACAATCAAAAGTTATATAAAACAATAAAATAGCTAGAAAAATTAGATCATAGTATTCGTTTAATATTTCCCTATGAAATATGCTTTGGAATTATCTTAAATCTGATATTCTTTACTAAATCAAGCTGAGTATTCTTCACAGTCGAATATCTAAATTTCAAAAGAAAAGAACGAAAAATAACATGGCGACATTTCACTTCCGGTAAATTGACTTTTATTTTTTTTTTGCGCTAAAAGTAAGTTGAAAATATGTTTTTTTCTATTGTTAAACTCCGTTATTAGTAAATCTGGTAAAATATAATTTAAAGAGGCTAATTAAAGGCGCTACAATTTCGCACAAGTAAAATTTACAGATATTTATTTGTGTGTAACTAGTTTCTTTAACAAAATAATCCAGGATCTCAGAATTGTTTTTGTACTGCAACTGTTTTCTACTATATTTAGATATGTTAAATAGTGCTGAATTGATAAATTCATTGTAAATTTAAGCTTTATTCACAACATTTTTTCCCGATTCGTTTATTTTTATCTAGTTTTTATTTAAAGTTAAAAAAGTGCATTTTTTCGTAGATAAAGAAAAATTTAAATTAAGAATAAAAAGTGTCATTAGGCTCAGGGTCACATTTTTATTCATTTATCAGATAATAGAATTGAACTTGAGATAAAGACTCTAATTGAATATTTTAAGTATTCCATTTTTATCCTTTAAAAAGTGAAAATATGAAGGGAATAATAATATTTAAAAAAAAACATTCCCTACTTAAAAAGGTTTTACCATGGCAACATGGTGTTGTTAATTACTACCAGGTAAAGAAGTTGCATAGCATTTCGTCCTGTAATAAGAATTATATCTATAAGCGCAACCTTAAGGGTAAATATAGAAGAATATCAGAAACTTAAGCAAATTAATCATTTAAATTAGGTTAATTAATAGAAAAACGAACGCTAAAATTGGTTTACAGCATATTTTTCCATTTCATATCAAATTTCCCATTTTCCTTGACGAGTGAAGGTCTGTTTATAGAAGTTTTCCTATTCTCTTTTTTCTCTCTTTCACTCTTAGACTTCAATTATAAATGTAAATAATTATTTTACTGTTTAATAAAGGCGTCAGCAATTATTTTACAACTGTGAAAATGACTAAATTATAAATATACATATATATATATATATATATACAGTATATATAGTGTATATATAAATATAATTCGTTATTAATTAATAACTCAAGTTTCAGGATCATTATTAAGTCTAGAGTTAAAATGAGAAACACTCTATGTATATACAGTATGAGCATTTATTGTATATCGGGTTCCTCTTTCCTTCCTTTATATAAGGCGGACGTGTGGAGATAATTCCCAGTTTAATTTCTAAGATTAGATTACAAGGGCAGTAAAGTTTGCCAAATTTATTAAAGACGGCTCTCCTTCCCGTATCGTAAGTGATACTATAATTATAAGTATTTTATCTATTTTTAAATATCCTACTATCTTTTTTTGACACAGCTATTTGTACTCTAATAATAAAAATTTAAAAAGCTGACGGAAAGAAATGCAAGATTCTGCTGTGAGATCTTTATTACAGTGAAAATAGATACATAAAATCCTTTAGTAAATTCCATACAAGATAAATATTTAATTATCATTTTTTCTATTATCTACAAATTTGGTACTTAATTTTTCTTTGAGCTGTCAAAATCATATGGAATTTTTGCATGTGTAGTATACCTTCGAGGGTAGCGTATTCTATAAAATCATAGATTATAGATAAAAGAATAGACTCTTCTCTCTAGGAAAATGACCTAGTATTTTTCCATCTTTTTCAATAACTAGACGAGAGCGTGGCAGTATTCCAGCATAGAATTTATTCTGCTTCCCTCTCCAGAGAGATGATAAAATAATTTGACAACTGAAATATTTCGTTTAGAATTCTTTTCCGATCAAATAGAGGAGCAAAAGAAAGCTGTTTACCCATTGTAAAATGATAGAAAGAGGAAAAAAAAGAGTTTGATTAGAATAAATCATAAGAAATAGCGAATATAGGATTATTTGATCAAACTTTTATTTTTCTCAAATATGAATCTCCTAATCCGATTAAATACTCTCTAAGACAATTCTATGTACAAAGGTAAGAAATTAACAGACTTTCTACCCATAGAGTTTTTGATTAGACTGTGTTTGCCAAACAATGAAAGTAATTAAGATGAATGTAGCAAACGATTTTTCTATACTTGAGCTACAAACAAGTTGAAATAATCAGTGAGAATAGGACTACTTTTATAACATTTAAAAAGGTTTCTATATTGTATTTATATGGATTTTTAGAATGGGTCGAGTACTTTCTAGAGTTCTTCCTATTTAAAACTGCTTATGTATTATAAGATAAGTACATCAGTTAAATTTTGCGAATGTAATAAGACTTAAATATTTTTATTAATTTTATTCTTCCTCTTATCCACTCTTCTCAATATTCCGCCCCTTTCACTCATTCTCTTTACAAAAGATGTAAAAAAAAATCAAATTAAACGCCTTAATTTAGTTATTCTCTATCCTTTTCTTTCAAAGATTCAACTATTTTTATATTAAACTTGATTAAGCGTGGAGAAGTTTACAAAACTAATCGAATATGGCCACATAAATTTCTCTCTCTGTCTCTCTATCTATCTGTCTCGCTGTCCGATATAAAGTAGCCATTAAACATTTGTAAACAGAACGTTAAAGTTTCGTAGGACTGTTAAAACTAACTGTATTTATCAGAAATCTTATAGGGTTTATGTCAGATCTGTCTCTTGAAATGTGAATTAGTAAACAAATAAGGAAGGAAGTTTTATTCTCAAACAGAGTACATAGATGCGTGCGTGTAAAATCTTTCTCTTTATCAATCATCTGTCTCTCTTATTTCTTTCCTTTTCTGATTATACAAAAGAAAACCCAAGAATAAACAAATGAAAAGAATATAAGAAGTTGATTGTTGTAACTCATTTTTTTTTATCTTTTAATCACTTTTCTTTGAACCATTGTTATATATAATATTCTTTTTTGTCAATATATATATATATATATTTATATAACTAAAGTATATGTATGTAATTTATTCACAAATATTTTCATCTGACTTCATTTTAGTGTATCTTAGACTCTTTTCAAACAATTCTTAAGCCATTTGAAATAACATAAGTATCCAAACCAACGCCCATAGAACTTAAGAATAAATATATGGCCAAGTTGATAGATAAGAATGATTAATATATCTATTAATTATTAATCCATCACTTTTACTTCCTATCATACTGACTATTTACATATCTATGCTTCTTAACACATATTTTATTAGACTTGGAAAATACTTGCAATACTTTATTTTTCCTTTTCCTTTTCTTCATGTTTTCTAGTTGTTTAACTTAGTTTTCAAATATTTTTTAATTAAAATTATAAATTGCTTAGTGACAATAATTATTTTTGGTTTAATATAACATTGCAGTCAGTTTTTCCAGATTATATTCGGTTATCAGTTTCTCTCGACATTTTTTTTTTGATGTAGTTATACAAGAAAAAACGTTTTCGGAATTGATTTATTTTAGAGTTTTTGTATTAATCGATAATATATGCTATTTTAGCGAATTTCCTTTTTTAAAAATATTACGCTTTATTAGCGGTTGACAGGTATTTTTTCTACAAAGAGGGCTATACTTTAGTCTAGAGCTACTAGATGGCGCTTTCTTTTTCCGGACTGTTTTTATATTTCGTTTGGCGCCGCTTTTAATTTTACAACAAGGTAATTTTAATAATACATCATAAAAATATAGCCTAAATATATTAGATAAATACTTATTGAACCATATTTGCTACTTTTAGAGGAAATAATTGGAAAGTCTTTTGCCTGGAGCTCACCACCTCTTCCGGTATCAAGGAGATTTTCTGATTGAATTTAATGGCTAGTAACAAAACCTTTGCTAAAAGATTTTAAAAGTGTTATTTAAGGAAGAATGATAAAAAAATCGAGTAGGATTAAAATAGAAAGAATTGCGGCCCCTGCGAAAAGTTTGTTTGGATAGATTAGAAATGACCTCTTATCCACTATATATATTATTATTTTGTTTACAATACAATTACATAAGTATTTATTTACTTTTAAAGTATAATTTGCAATATAAAAACAATTAATTTATCTTAAGAGGTGTATTCCCGAAAGAAGTAAAGAGAAGAGAAGGGAACAAAGGTCTATAGTTATCACTTTTCCCCCTCCTTCTTTCTCTCTCTCTCTCTCTATCTCTCTCTCTCCACGAAAGATGTTTAATTTTTGCACTCCGCCCCCGAGATATTTTTACGAAGGAACAAGAAATTCCGGGAGCAGCCGTTTGCAGTCTCTACTGCCTGACCTACTTTTAACTGTGTAGATTATTTTGTACTTCTCAGTAGCACTGCAAAAATGGCTGATGGTAAGATGGATCTATCAAATCTAAACGAAATTGAAGATGAGGAAAAATTGCATAAAATGGTATTGCACAAAAAATATTGTCCTTTTATAAAAAGTTCACGATTCGAACTTAAAGGAAAATTATTAATTATTCTAATAGATTAATGACACAAGCGATTTTGATGAGAGGAAGAAGATTAGAGGAAGACTGAAGGAACTTCGAGAGAAGAGATCAGGTTCTATTTTAGTGTAGAGTATATTAAATTTATTAACAAAACTAACTTTTCTTTCCCTTTATCGTTAAATTCTTTTGTTACCTCTGACCAAAAAACAAACATACTACGACCAATTGCAAACAACTTTTAGTCGAGTTTGAAAAACGACGCAAAGCTGCTGAAGAGGCCCGTGAGAACGCTATTAAAGAAAGGCAGAGGTTAGCGAACGAGGAGAAGGAGAGGAAATTAAAGGAATATAAAGAAAAAGCCCAACAACCTAGGATAGAAAGCAACTATGTTGAAGATTCTATTCGCAAAAGACAAAAGGAGGCAGACGAGCAAAAAGCCAAGAAACTTGCATCCTATTCCTCCCCTTCCACTACAGGTTTTTTTTCTAATTATCCTACTCTTCCTTCCGATCTAACAGAGAGAAAATTCTCTATTTAAACTCTCTAGTCTAATGTTAGACGGGAAATTTATTATTTATAAAAACTTGTCAGATAAAAAAGTTAGCGAAGAAACAGTCTCAAGGTCATCGAAGAGTGAAACAACAACCGATGGTAAAAAGAGAACAACTACAGTTACAACAACTACTACTCGTATCAAAGGTTACCTTCTTCCGCAAATAATTAATCGATGAGCTAATTTACTTATATGTTACGTAATTCTTTGTTTGTACAGGTGAAAATAATACTGTAACGAAGCAAACCAAACAAATAACTCAAGTGGGTGGAGTAGGTGGTACTGGATATAAAATGACAAAAGTCCAATCTCCAGGTTAGATTCTAACTAAAGAAAGAATAAAATTTATAAAAGAAAATTCTACCATTTTATTTTCATCTTTCCTTTATTAACCTCTGCGTATGTTTGGTGTGATACTGACGTAGACGATGTTTTGGAGAAAATTACGAATAAGCTGGAAGAACATTCACTTCCCGGAACGCACGGAAGAGCCACGGTCCGGACAGAGCATTGGAATTGTCGTAAGGGGACAACCGTAAAGGATGAGAAGACGAAAATGTGGACAGGTGCATGTTCCTCCAGAAGAGAGATATACGATGTCCATGTTATTCTCTTTTTTTCTCTCTCTCTCTTTCTGTCTTTATTTTATTTTTATTAGTTATATTCTTTTTGTTCTTTTTAAAAATCTTCACCAGGTATCTGTATTAAAATTTCCTTCCTTTCTTTCCAATCACCCCTACAGCGAAATTAAACGATGGACAGGATGGCGCAGCAGGAGCGGCTGGTGGACCTGTAGTTCAAAGATCAGCCAGTACCATAAAACAAGTGATGCTTGAATGGTGTAAATCAATGACAAAGGATTATGAACATGTCGATATAAGAAACTTTTCTAATAGTTGGAATGACGGAATGGCTTTTTGCGCTTTAATCCATCATTTCTATCCAAGAACGTTTGATTTTAAAAGATTGAATCCAAAAGCCAGACGAGCAAATTTTACATTGGCCTTTACAGTTGCCGAAAAGGAGGCAGACATCGCTCCATTGCTGGATGTAGACGATATGGTCAGAATGAAAAATCCAGACTGGAAATGTGTGTTTACCTACGTTCAAAGTTTTTATAGGCGTTTTAGAAATTGGGATGAGGAAAGCGAGAAGAAGAAGAGAGAAGAGGCGGAAAAGAAGAAGGAAGAGAAAAAAAAACAGGAAGAAAAGAAAGTAGAAGAAACCGATAAGAAAGAAGAGAATGAACAATAGACTATGTCTCTTTTGTAAATATATAAATATATGCATATGTGTATACATAAGGAAAGCAATAAGCAAATTCAATTCGGCTACATATAGAGTATAATCCCTTTTAAAACAATGAAAAGGCCTAGTATTTACATTTATAGTCAAATATTTAATAAAATAATGAATAAGCGTATAGTAAAGAGTAGCATTTATTAAATTGTTCCCAAACAATACAATAAAACTCTACTGAAATTATTTATACTCTTCCCCGACTATATGGTTTATAAAAACGGCGTCGATTTCTCCCCTAACCTTCCCCCCCCCCAGTCACATGACTGCATTATTTATCTAACCAGATCGAAATAGGCTTAAATAGGAAAATGAAGAATATTTATACAAACATGTGTTTACAGTCGTACCAAACCTAGTTTGTCTGAATAATGGAGTAGATAAAAAAAAATAAGAGATTTTTATATAAATAAATCGAGATTTTTATTTTTCATTCATATAAATAAAACATTATGATTATTGTGTTTCTATTTTTAAACTTTCCAGATTATTTGAGTTCTATTTTTAAATTAAAAAAAAAACATTCTCTTCTTTAGTTCCATTCCTATTTTTCCAAGTATAAATATCGAAATCCATTTATCCATTTGTCCATTTTCATTTGATCCCGTTGTTGATTCCACGTCTAAACTATACAGGGGATATGACGTCTATCGACACCAAGCCATTTTGCCAGTCTTGCAGTCCTGCTCTTAAAGTCGTTCTCTTCCAGTTGTACTGTGGAAGAAAGAAAGAAATTGTATTAGTTTCGTATATATATATAAAAAGTTAAATTTTCTTTAGTCCTCTTCCTTAACTCTAGATCTGTTCCCAACCGATTCGGCGACAAACAGCGGCAACTCCACAGTAAAGTGCAAATAGGGACTGAAAAAGATATACAAAAGGAGCATTAGTTAGGCTTAATGATTTATTTATTTTGCACCAACTAGAAGGAAGATAGGCCATAAAAACTTTCCAACGGGCCAATGTCCAAAAGTATAATTGGTCAGTGGAAGCACGAGGCAGACAGCAATTCCCATGACTTTGGGTCACAAGAGGTCAAATGAGGACAAACTATGTTAGCTTATTTGGGAAAAACCATCCAAGATGGCTGCCATCCTCATTTGATCTCTAGATGGGGATACTTACTACAAGAATACATAGACAGCCTGCAAATTTAATAAAAATTTTTCTAATAATCTTATACACCACTCTTTAGAGATCATTATTTTTTACATGATTTGACCATTTCAGTCCTATAAACTGCGTTTTAAGACCGAAAAAGAATTCGAACCGATAACAAAAATTCAAATTTTCCCTTACTGGCTACAAGAAATAGCACTTTTTTGTCATTTAAAGCTCGAATTCTAAAACTTTTTTGGCATATTTTAGAAAAATTTTTATTACTCTTCCAAGACGCCCATTTTGTCGTATGGGTAAGGTGTGATTGCTTCCGCAAATCTCCTAACTCTGCCTATTTCTAGAAATGGTCTGGTGGTCATTCTGACGTGCCAAAAAATGGTTGCCTAGGTGACTGGCATCTCTAAATTAGAGATAGAGTTGTAAATAGAGAACTGTATTGTCAGTCGATACCTTCAGTATAAAATTTCAGTATAAATATAACTAAAAGGTGGCTAAAATACCAAATTTTAACACATATAACAAATATATCTATAAGTATATTCTATTCGAAAGCTCATTAAACTTGTTTTAAAGTATAAATAAAGTCATTTCGCCAAATATTGTACACCCATCCGGAAATTAGCTATATTCAAAACACAACTGTTACTAGACAGTTTTGCCAATAGCAGACGAAATGGCGCTTGTTTACAAATTTAAACTTACAACTAGCTTATTAAATTATTATCTGCAAATAAAAATGACTACAAAACGTATATTAAATATTAGTATGACTTTAATCAAAATATTTTACTATTTAAAATTTATTTTAAGTCTTTGAGAAATGATTTATCAAGTACCTTAAGAAATCGTCTGCTACATGATATAAACAAATATATCTGTATTGTATTATCTCTTATTTTCAAAACTAAATGACCGATTGAGTGTATCCAACTAATAAAAAAATAATAACATTGTCTGTAGAAGTTGTAATAAAGATCGGCTATATAAATAAATAAAGGATATACTCTAAAATAACAATGGTACAAACTGTATTTGTAACATATGATTGATCATAATTAAAAAAAAAGGTAATAATAAATGTAAAAATAAAGAAATATAAGATTGCATCTTCTATTAACAAAAGGTATAAAGTAGTGTAGAAATATCATGTAGTAGTTATTTTCTCCTTTGTCATATAATAATCCAAATATTCTGCAGCACCATAACGAACGAATACTTAACAAAAAGAGATTATTATGCAATAGTAATATTAATTAAGAATACGAAAAGAAATGAAAAAGAAAGGAAGAAAAGAAGGAGAAGAATTAAGATACGCACATATCACAATTTGTTCAAATAGCAAGCGTGCAATAAAAGCATTGTTTTTGTTTTGGGTTGGAAAAAATTTTCCATACGGTGCTATTTTTTCATACCCACACCTCTACTCGAATATTTTGGCATTTAAAAAGAAGTCCAAATATAAAATAGAGTTGAAGAAAAGAGAATAAAGGACTAAATAATAAATGGACGAATTGAATTATTTTTTTTGAAGCCCCTATTGTGCCCAAGCGCCATCGTATAATACATGAATATCAACGCCGGAATCGTAACGCCGAAGCTCGAAGTGCATTGGCATAGGAATTTTCGTCTTACCGGGACGGTCGTCCTTTCTTGGCTTAATTCTTGGATCTGGTGATTTAACAACGGCTAATTTTTCGCTTCTGCAGACTGACTGGGATCTTTGCCTTTGATAATTTATTGGTGGATTAACCGTATTAGACTGGGCCAGATCAAATCTATTTTGACTTTGACTACGATTGAATGCTGGTTTTCTCGTTTGCCTTTCAGAAGTTCTTGAAGGTCGTTCATTCTGTTCAGGTTCTTTTGGCAAGGTTCTAGGTCTGGATGATCTGCCAACCACTGGGGTGATTGGTCGGGATTTAGGCTGGGTAAAGCTGCTCTGAGACGTAGCAACTGGCGTTGTGGATCGATTTCGAACTGGTGTCGAAGGTCTATTATGAACTGGTGTCGAAGGTCGATTGCGTACAGGTGTAGAAGGTCTAGTAGTTTGAACCTTAGCGGCCGAGTTTATTGCAACAGGTTTCGATTGAGGGTTTTGACTATGGTTTACTGGTGTTGAAGGTCTAGATGGAAGATTTTTTACCCCATTCGTTATATTTCTATTAGCCGAAGTGTTCAAAGGAGTTGACGACCTATTTCTTGTATTTTGTGTGGAATTAACTGGAGTCGACGGTCTATTCCTTGAACTCTGTACAGAATTGACCGGAGTTGATGGCCGACTTCTAGCTGAAGTTGTATTATTAACTGGAGTTGAGGGTCGGCTTGTTCTTGTTGGAGTTGCATTCGCAGAGAAGACAGGAGTCGACGGCCGACTCCGAACTGAATTGGAAGCGTGAACTGAAGTAGTTGACCTATTAAGGGCTGGAGAGGATGGGCGAGCCTTTGCGGGTGCTGTAGAAGACAATGACTTTTGGCTCAGTATTTCCGGTGTGGATGTTCGTCGTGTACGATCTGCGCTAGCCGATCTCTCTCTTCTTCGCGACTTTAGATCTTCCGAAGAAGATTGACTCGATAGTCTCGATCTACTTCTGTCGCTTGACCTACTTGAAGAAACCGGTGACGGTGACATTAATCTTCCATTAACATCACCCATAGCTGAATTGGGCCTAATAGGTTGTCGTTGCATATATGCAGTTCTAGCTCCAACATCGGTTGCCCTAATAGGATTCGCAAGAGCGGAACTAGGCCTGTTTCCAATTTTATTTGGATTGATAGCTTCCTTTATTTTGTCAGCAATTTTAGATGTGTGTATCCCATTGATCTTTGGGTTACTTTTAATCTTAGGTTCATGTTTAGATGGTTCTTGGTTAATTTCCGAGTTAGACGACTTAAGACTCTCTCTATATTCCATAAAACATTTATTCATTTCATCGTTAATCTTCTCTAATTCTTCATCATTATCAACAAATTCGTCCATAGTTGCAACTGGTGTCAACAGAGGTCTAGGCTTGACGGTTTTAGCCGTCTTAGACGTCGTTGTTGAATCGATAATGGCGTGCTTACCAGACGAATCGCGGTTAATAGTAAACACATCTGGAGAAGAGGACTTGAGACTTCTCGATCTTACATCAGAATTCCTCATGCTTTGTATAGCCCCCTCAGAGCGTTTTCTTACAGGTTTATAACCTTCCATTCCCGTTTTATTACTCCTATCAAATGGTCATTTTATTACTTGATTATTGTCAATTATTTATTAGAAAAATATCTCACTTTTGAGAGTACGGGGAAACGTAATTCGATGTATCCGGTTTCCGATAAGCAGGATTTGTCACCGGTTTGGAACGGTGGGCTGTTGGATATTAAAAAAATTAATCCGATTACAGAAGACATAGACTTTTTAATACAATCTCGCCCTTTTTGTTCTCTCTCTCTCTCTCTCTGTCTGTCAAGAGGAGATAGTTGGGCGATATCGAGAGAGAGAGAGAAGACTAAGAAAACGAGGTGGAAAAAAAAAAAAAAGATTAAACGTGCCCAATCAAGTTCTTTAAATAAAAAAAAACTATATAATAATAATAAAAAAACGCCATCTGTAATGTAACTATGTTATTAATTAAGGGGAAAAGAGATGTATTAGAAACCTGAATCACGGAAGGATTCGTCTGGTATAGAGTTCGATCGGGAATCGATCGGATCCCTCCTGGCGTTGTTTAATTCGTGCTTACGTATAAAATTTACGACATCCATACTTGTATATTTTTCCCATAGTTCCTTCCAATCTGGTATACCACCCTCCATAGCCCTTATTCAAGCAATCTTCTCCTACTATTTTACTAAGCTGCTCCTACCCTTACTTCTCCTTCTTGTGCAAGATGGCTCTCTCCTTAACTAGTATACAATACAATAGGCAAACTTAAACTTACCACCGTCTAAAGCGTTTAATGAACGACACCTGCAGAAGCATTCTAACTTCATTATCTCTCGTACAAAAAAGCGAAATAACTAAACGTTCGGTACAGAATGCTTTAATCGATCCAACTGCCGGCGTCTAGTAGTTACAAACCGTCTATTGAATATTCAATTCGCTTTAAACGATGGTTCTCGAACGTTCTTTTATCGTTAATTTAAATCCGTTGTTAGTTTTTGTTTTCAATTTAATTCTTAAGCATATTGATTGTATACTGGAGAGTCTGCAATACAACTAAACAAGCACACTGCAAAGGAAGGAGAAGAAGGCGGCTCTCTCTCTCTCTCTCTCTTTCTCTCTCTCTCTCCCTCTGTCTGTCTGCTAAAATAGATTGCGCCTATATCAGGCGGTATATATTAAAAAATAACCTCAATTCTTCAAGCAAAACCTACCTCTCTATCCTAATTTTACTAGTTTTCCTCTTCCGCCCCATACGTTCCCCGCCTACATTTGCTAATTCCGCCCAAAATTTTAATACGTTTTCTTACCTATCTCAATTAATAAATTGGAAGAGATTTCTCCTTGTTCAAAAAAAAGAAATATCACGAATAAAAGCTACTATCGAAATAGACCGATATTTATCCGATAATATACAAAAAACACTTGGTACGACAAAGACATGCTATACCATTCAAGTTTAAACTCGTTCAACATATCGTAAATATCATAATAAAACACTAACGTTAAGAAAATGAAAGCTATTTAAGAATTATGCATATATACAAAATACAGTATACTTACTTCCAGATATACAACGACAAGGATCGTGCTTATCCAAATAATGCTCAAGAGTATCCCAACCACCTCCAACTCTTACCATTACGCAATTATATAGAATCTATTCATAAACAAGACAAAACAATTTATACATTTGTATATATTATTCACTTCTTTAATATTTTCATATGTTAATTAGATGCATACTCTTATGAATATTAATGAGTGTGAATTGCCAATTCTATACTTTCCATCAGATACCTTAATCATTTCAAACTGATCTGGACAAGTGCATCTTGCAACCATATGACGAACCTGGAAAATGATGAAAAGATAAGAATCTACAAAATAAAAAAATTGTGTTTGTATGCTTGTAAGTGTTAAAGGAAGAGAATAGTAAGAAAAGGCGGATAGTTGGTTAGCTAGAAGGAAGAGAGGGGAGAGAGATTAATTATATAACCAGCTTTCAATTTGGCCTACACGATTCTTGGATTATCTCTTAGATAAGAGAAAGAAATTAAAGGCTTATAAAAGATTATAAAGAGAAAGGAAGAATGAAAGAGATAAGAAAAAGGGAGTGAGGAGGGTGAGGGGAGAGAGAGAGTAAAGATAAGTTAAAAGTAAATCTATTTATCAAAATAAATATAGCACATTTTCATTCGTATAGGCCTTCATTAAAGGAAAATGTATAAATAACATATAGAAACGAGAGGATAATGGGAAAAAAGTTATATTTAAACAAGATATTTACTATCTACTTAATTTTTAGCTGTAAAGGAGGATAAGTAAACTATTACTACTGTATGTAACATTCCTTAGAAAGGAGAGAAAAAATCACTTGTCAATAGGCCTAATATGAGACTTTATATATAATATTTCTGTCATCTATCAACAAGATACGTGTTTAGATTACGAATTAAAAAAATAATTCTTTAAATGATAAATAATTCATAAAATGGACTATAGATGGCACTCGAATAGCTTTTTTTTCTTTTTTGTTTGTAACTGTTTAAACAATGAAAACACAATGGGGAGAGGAATTGAATTTTTAAATTAGCGGACAGGAAATTCCCTTACATACTACTCAATTTATTACTAATTACCCTTTGACAATAAGTAGGAAGCTTTACGGAGGCTAATTGATAAAATTATATAGGGACGAAAAAATAAATTAGAGAGAAAAGGGGGCGGAAAAGAGGGTGGGACGGAAAAAGCGAATATTTTCCGTTACGTCTTCTTCCGCCCCCCTAGGAAAGGGAAAAAATTGACACGGATCAACTCCAGAACGTTATGATTGAATTATCGACGCGTTAAAGTCACCACGTGTCGTTCAGCTGCGACGTTTCTTACAGCTGTTTCAGATCTTGGAATCGATAAAGTAATTAAGGAGAGAATATATCAAAGAGTTCATAAAAAGTTCACAAAACGTCATTTTTCTGACGCTTTTAAAAATTTTAAGCCTATATACTATATATATATATAAACTGTGTAAATAGACTTAGAAATGGTAATAAATAACCTATCACGTAGAGAAGAGTATGACAATTAGAATAGAAATAAAATAATACTCTACTATATATAATTGTAAAATGCGCAAAGTAGATTAAAGGAACAAGAGTATAAGAGAGGAAGAGAGATCAATTAGCAATCCGTTTAGAGCATTCCAATGACGTAATTAAAGTACGATATTTCCCACACTTTTTCTCTTCTTCCCTTCTAGCGTGCCTATGTTGTATACGTATTCTTTTGTATTTCGAATATACAGTATATTCTGTATATCCAGTATTACACACGACCCTCCCACACTTCTCCGCCCCCTAACAACCCGCCTATCTCGTTTTATAATTTTTGTCAACTAGGCCATAGCTCCTGCCTCTACCCTCTCTCTCTCTCTCTCTCTCTCTCTCTTTATCTATCATCGAGTTCAAGTTGTCCCCAAAAAAGTCTATTTTGAACGATATATTTTCGCTATTCGTTAATAAATACATGACCTTACGCAGTTGTATCAAAAAAGAAAAAGAAGGTATCTTAAAGCATTCTTTAAAGATCAATAGTTTTTTACTAGTTTAGCTCCTAATCTTATCTTAAACGTGTTTTAGTTGAGGAAATATGTTCGTTATTGTTTCTTTTTGTTTTTAATATTATCTTTTTCAATTATTTTTTTTATACTTACGATTTCGTCTAATCCTCTTAAATCCGCTTTCTTTCTTCTTGATTGCTGTTTAGGTTGTTCTATAACTGGTTCATTTAGGTCTTTTTCCAAATATTCAATACTATTATTAGATTCGCTTTCGTAATAACTGTCAATATCGTTATTATTTTCATTTTGAGCTAGGTTATTGTCGTTTTCATCTTCGTCAGAGTCTTCTAGTTCTCTATCAATTTCTTCCTCAAATTCAATAAGCTTTGGAGCTAACATACCGAATTTGGAACCTCTTCTTGCTACCTCTAATAGGCATAATATAACTAAACGTTCGGAATGTTCCTTATTTCTTTCAACAAGGTCATTTGTTTCGAACAAAACGACATCGTTAATTCCTAAATCCCTGCAGAATTGTATAAAATTCGTTACATTATCTCTAGCTTGAAAGGATTTCCGTTCGACGTTTTCCCGGTACTTTAAATTATTATCGGGTAATGAGACGATCGGAAGTTTCTTGAGCCTACTCCACGGTATGAAAGCATCCGGGCTGTCGGCAACTTTTATTATATATTTCCTTAATTCATTGGCATGTTTACAAAGTACAACACCAGTTTCTAGTGCCTGGAAAAAGTTTTCTTCCGTCATTCCTATCTGATAGAGAGTATTGAACCAATTGACAAGATCCTTTTTCATAGCGTACATGTACTCATTCTTCGTACGGAATGGTTGAACAGATTTATGTTCAATGGAAATAATTTCGTTCTCCATCGTCCTTCCTATCCTTTCTCTCTTTTTCAACTAGTTGAAGATCGATTTGAACGTTAAGAGCCTGCTTCTGAACATACTTAGCGGGCAAACGCCACCTATCGGAAGAGAAGCTGTAACATTAATATTATTAGTTTTATTAATACATTTATATCCAATTGAGTTAATAATAAAAAAATCTCTATAAATTTGGATAATACATGGAGAGATAGTATGTATGTATATATGTATGTGATAGATAGATAGAGAGAGAGAGAGAGAGAGAGAGAGAGAAAGAAATAGAGAAAGATTAAAGTATTCTCAAAATTGTACCTCTTTTTTTTTTACATAAATAACATTCGTCATAACTTTTCTATGACTAAAAAAGTCTATAAAACAATGGTAAAATTATGTACTAATTACCGCTATCTTATTAACTTAATCAGTTATATATTTAGGTCAATCAATTACATTCTTATTAATATTACAATAATAAATAAGTCATATATGGTATATACATGAAAAAAAATTCAAAGAGGAGTTATTACTTATTAGACTGTTTCTCTCTCTCTCTCTCTCTCTCTCTTCTTTAAAAGAATGAAGTAGAAGAAGAAGAAAAAAATTCAAAAGTTTCATATACATAGAGTATAAACACCGCAATTTCTTACTATAATTTTCTAAAAAAAAGAATTCATTAACTATTGCGAATAAACAGACCAATTTAATCCTTTAACAATGCTTTTATACATTCATAATTGATCAAAAAAAAAGTCGGGAAAAAAATTACTGTTCAATTTATGCGACGAATGAAAATAGTAATATTCTCTTTAAAGAGTAAAATAGTAATTGTATTAGTAGATGAAAGAGAGAGAGAGAGAGAGAGAGAGAGAGAGAGAGAGAAAGAGAAAAATAAAGCGATAAAAATCATAGATTCTTTCTATCTTCAAGTTTAACTTACTTAGTGGAAAATCACTTTGCGAAATCTGTCGCATTGACCTTCCTAACGGTCGGGAAAGAGGGGGGTTGGAAGAGAGTTTTTTAGAACGATATAGAGCAGAATATCCCTGTTTTGATGAGTGAACTTGTTATTCTACTCAAAGGTAAAGAAGAACAAAATTCATTTATGCCGAATTAATGCGATCAGTACAATCAAAACCTCTTCAAATGCCAAAATGAGCGAATATAACAATAAATGCACACAAATCAGAAATATCAATAATAATACAATAGGCTCTAGTAAAAAAAATCTTTCCATTACTTTTTTAACGCCTTATTAGTTTAACCATTGAATACTAATTATCATTATATATATATATTTATATATCGTATTTAGCTACATTGTAAAAAAAAAAAGGTCTCTCTCTCACCTAACTTAAACTTTCTTCTTATAGGCTAAATTTCTGTTTATAAACAAGGTTTATAATTCATGTAATAGTCTAAACATATAAAGTATACAGTATAGAAAGATTTTTCACTTTAGATAACTCTGCACCGTATCGAATGAATAGGCCGAGAACATTAATCATAAGAATTTTCACAGGTTCTGCTATAAAAAGGACAGCTAGACCGTTTCGTTACAATATTATACGGTAGTTTCATGTTATTAGAATACTACCGGAGTATTAAATATGGATATTGATACTTAATTGACAAACCTCGTCCGTCTTGGGCTACATGTGTAATTCATCCACTGTTGACATTTTTCCAATTCATCTATTAATCGATGTTCCCCGCTTTTCCCCTTATATTCTAGTCATATTTTCCAGCTATAGAGCCATCCTAATCACTTCTATCACATTTCGGGCCTATATGTGTCCAATTGGTAAAAACATATATACACATCATATTTGTTTCCAACTCGTCTGCTTCTTACCGGAAATCCGGTTAATTCGTGACATATGCGATAGGGGGAAGCACTATAAGTTGCCAACTAGTCCTAACTGCTTGAATAATTAAACCTACTAAACGCCTATATAAACAAGAAAACAACTTTCTTTGCCACGTTTCTTGTTTGTGGCGAATTTTTTAAGTAGTGTTAATTTTTTTGTATGTTTAAAAAGTTCTAATTTATCTAAAAGGTGTGAAAATTACGATTTTGAACTACTCATAAACAACTCGAATTGAGAACAACGAATGGTATAAAAAGGGCGTCAAATTCTTGAAAAGTTAAGTAGTCGGCAGAAGACCGAGCTTGCTGGCGGAATTTTTCCTGCTACTTGTACGGACTGATTAGCGACTTTAAATACTTCAACTACAGTTCATTTCAAGATTTACAGAGATGAAGGCAGTAATATTCAGGAAGGACTTGGTCGTTTTCCTCTGTTTTGGGCTATTCGGTGAGCTTACCAACATTTGCATAGTAGTAAAGCGAATTCTATTTATTAATTACTTTTTCTCTCTATCCGTCCACGTCTCTCATCCTCTTCTCTCCTGTTAATCGTATATAGCCTTAGGCAAGAGTTTAGAAGCGATGACAGCTATCTTACCAGATAAAGACTTATTTGCAAGTTTGTCCTTCAACTTTGCGGCAAAGCTTGCCCACAGACTTTGTAGGTATATTATTACTTGACAGAACGTGGTTACTTGACAATTTGATCATCTATGACTGTTAGATCAACTACAAACGCTACTAAGACCGAAACCGATGCCCATTGCCTATCTTTTCACAAAAAATTACTGTTTAACGGGCCGTTAAATTCTTTTGATGTTGCCAATCAGTACAACTTGACAAAGAACGAATTTCTGGAGGATTTCGAAAGATTTAGCCTTATCGTCAGTTGTAATAGGAATGCGAATACACTGATTGGCATTGTCAATATTATTGACAACGATGAACTTGAATTTTTCCAATTTCCTAACGATGTATCATCATCATTATCATCATCATCACCGTCGTCGTCATCATCATCATCATCATCGTCATCGTCATCGTCATTACCAATTGAGGAGATGAGGGTAGTCAAATTGTCCTATTATCTTGATCTTAGAAACAATGGTATAGAAATGGATAACTTATGTCAGTGAGTAGAGTAAACACTTGAACTAGTTAAAAATGGACGAAATTCATACTTGTCTTTCGAACAGCATCTCAACCCATAATGATAAGAATATCATATTTAATATTTCATCGGTTGCTTCATCTATAAAGTTAGCAAATGCAAATCATTACAGTAGATCACTTTTCAGTCTAAGAGGTAATGATGATTGGTTTGCTCAACCCAGATTAGCGAAAGTGTTCAAGTCTTCTTTAATTGAAAAGCCTTGTCTGGACGAAATAAGGGGCTCCTCTTTAAATATTACGAATGGAACACTACGACTTCTTCGAACTTTGACCGACGTTGTAACTGCTAAACGGCAATCAATTTGTTTCGTTATGCCGGCGGATAGGAACATGATTGTTGAAATCCTTACGGACCGCAAATTGAATCTAAAAATCATTGGCTATTTGGAAAATGGGCTTATGACACGTTTTCTATTCTTTAGAAAGAATAAGGAAATATCCAGGATAGATACTAATAGTATTTTTTGCGGAGGTACCAAATTTGATTTCACCGGCAAGGAATTTTTATTCTTAGAACGAGATGATTTCAAAGCTTCAGCCGAAGATGGTACAGTTTACATAGTTTTAAAGGATTTGGGTCGAAAAGTACAAATAAAAATTGTCCGATTGATAAACAGTAGCGGGATTGGCTTTAGCTTTGAGCTTATGAACATCGGTGGCGACTGGAGTTCGGACTGTTTAACTGGCGGACTAATGGGAACGATTGCAAACTTTTCAATCTACGAACAATCAGAATTGGTCACAGAGATGGAAGATATAAATAGAAGGGCAGTTGTTAACATTAATAATAAACCGACTGCCGCCTATCTAGCAGATGAGTCGGCGAGTTGTTGGCTATTGATGGATAACGATTTTCACTTTTCCAACCTCTTTGCTAATTTTGTTCACCTTTAAACTGTTCGTTCATATATTCTTGCATTTACTTTCAATATTTTAGGTAAATAGGTGGGAATTGCAATAATACATTGTGTTGAAAAATGAACATTTGTAAGATTTCACTTGAAATTATAGACCAGCAATTGGGGACGCTAGGTACATCTGATAGAAAGGGATAATTTACCCTGAAAATGTTTAGACTAAATAAAACTTCGAAATTGAAGGATGGAATAAACTTTTGATATTTTTACGGCCAGACATGGATAATGCTATAACCAACTATCAAAGCAAACAGTTTTCTGAAGCAACAATCAATTTCAGTTCAGAATCTCGCTTTATAATTTACATCGTGTAGATTTGTACGGATTAATTTAGGATTCATTTAAGCTTTCTTTCAATGATTCTCTCTTGCGTTTTGAAACAGTAATAGTTTTTTATCTAAAAAAAAAGCAGTAAGACTATTGCAAAATATAATCAAACGCTTATTTAGCAGCTTTTCCATACGGAAAATCCTTTTTGTATTTTCCATTTTCTAAAGCATGTTCATAATCAATACATAAATATAACGTTACAAAAGACAAACTCAACAATGTTTCAACAAAATTCAGTTGAGATCGTATAAAATTAATAAAGCAAAGAATCAAAAAAATTAAGCTCTCTCTCTATTCGCAAAAAAGGAAAACCAATCAACCAACGTAGTGCGTTCGACCATTCGACCAAATTTTAAATATAAAATGTAACAAACTAAAGATACGTTTCTAAATTTATCGTATAAAAATGCAGCGGTAGCTAAATGATAACTTAGTGATAGCATTTATGAAATTAGCAAGGAAATCAAATAGATTAGAAATATAATCATTCGACTCCTAAATGCAAGCGCAACCATATACATAAACGTTAATCATCAAGATATTTTAAACACTATTATGCATATTATAATCGGCCATTTGATGAAATGGTCTAATTACACGTTGGGCGTCTGGTGTCTCCAAATCCAGATACTGAGAAGCTAACGATTGGGTTCCTATTCTAGATGCCATGGTCATATCAAGCTTTGCTAAATTAGCCTGTCGCCAACTCTTCTTCTTTCGCTTCATCGGACCAATTGATTTCATACGGCCAATATGCTCTGGTCTCTCCTCCAATATCGCTGCAAAAGAAACATGAAATTAGTAATACTTGCTTAAATGTTTAAAGTCAGTATTACAAACCTGATAACATGTGCTGTTCTTCAGTAGGCTCTTCTTCCTCACTAGTTTCCATTTCTTCTATGTCCGTAGGCTCCTTCAGCTCTGTCTTCTCCTCAAAAATATCCTCTTCAGTTAATTCCATTCCTTCTTCACGAGCCTCTTCACATATTTCCATTTCACTTTCACAGTGACAGTGGCAATTGCAATTATTGTTATCAGCGATATCTTCGGATTCCCCCAACATTTCTTCTTCATCAAGTGGCTTATCGTTTTCAATTCCTTCCATTGGTCCATCATGAGCATCGCTATCGTATACTTCAACCTCAACTCCCTCCTCATCGACATACTGCGAGTCCACATCAACGTTAGCTATAGTTAAAAAAAATGATCTTATAAATACTGTATTTCAAGTTATTGAACTACTTACACTCAATAAAAGATTCAAACTTCTTACCACCTGAAATGATAGAACGTAAATTTTAATATTAACATCTAATTAAATGTCTTTTGTTGTTTTTTTTTGTTTTACTTACAGCACGATCTTAGAATGATATGAGCATTTACTGAACAAACGAGAAAGGGCTGCAATAAAAAACGTTAATTGAAATTAAAAAAAATTTACCGGGAAAATAAACATTTTACTACTTACGGTTAAGAGTAAGCACATTAAGCCCCATCGTCCACCTCCTACAGACCAAACAAGAATACAAAGAATGGATGATAGTGTAGCAACAACTAATGCAAAATAGAGTTGTAATCTGGTCTTAACTTTCATTTTTAAAGGATATTCTAAAGAAAAGAAATATATTTTACTATTTAGCTTTTAACAATTAGTAATGTACATATATATATATATATTAATTAAATATCGTCTTCGTGTCCATAATCTATGACATTTATATATCACGGTCACGTGGCAAAAATTTTTTTCAAAGAATCGTGCGCTATTCTCTCATTTTGGAAAGAATTAAAAAGTATTTTCTTCAATTTAATAGAATATAATTGTCTTAAATATAAAGTGTTCCACATGACAAGCTAGTTATCGTTGGTATCTAGGTTGGAAAAAGAAAAACAACGAACTTCTCAACTTTATTTCACTTGCAAAGAAAAGTTTTAAGTATTAACAAACGTCTTTAGGTTATTTATTATCTGTCATTTTGAAAAGGTATAAATGATAAGCTAATTAAATAAGGAAAAGCAAACGTTCTAAAACTTACATCCGTCTTCAAAATTGTGGCTCTTATTGAGTACTTCTTACTTTAGCTTCTCGGCGCAAAAGGAAGAACCAAGATATATGCCAGTGTCACGTGGTCACCAAGTGGAGAGCCCACGACTTTAAAACGAGGCTAAACAAGAATTTTTCATAAAAGTTAAAACTTAAAAATCTTTAGCTAAAACTTTAAAATTTGAGAATAATCTTGAATTGAATATTTATTTCATAGAAATAATTAACGCCCTCTTAAGGTAAAAGTTGAGTAGTGTTAAAAAAATTAATGTAAAGTTATTGCTAATTGGATAGAGCCATCTTTGAAATTACACTGATATTATAGAAAGTTTTAGCAGCAATTGATATAAAGAAAAACAGTTAATTTTAAATAAAATACTGTTTATATACAATTCTATGGGGAATTTGCAACAAGTAGAAGATCCTGTTTACAGCTCAAACATCTGTATTACTAAAATGCTACTTGTTCCGATAAAATTGGAAGAGTCGTTGATGGATATGAAACCTGATTAAATACAATGTAAAATTGTTTTTTCTTTTTTTTTTTTTAAAATAAATCTATTCCATTTATCATCAATTTAAGTCTATTTATAAATTTATCATCTGTAAAAATTGTTACTCTAACCATAAGAATTTGTTGAATTGAAAGATATCAGAATGGAAAACCAGTTGGGTTCTTATCGAACTTTAAATAAATACTTGATAAAAAGATTAAAATTTAATTTTTTATGTGTTTCGAAAGGTAATATACTAAACTAAAATGCTACTATTGATTAGATTAGAAATGTTATTTTCATCTTAAACTTACTTGAAGATTATCATCTTCTGTTAGAAACAAAGATGAGTGAATTGATTAAACGAACAAAACAACTGTAATAGTTCAATATATCTGAATTTATTTTATTTTTACAGATTAAAAAAAGACCAAGAAAATTTTCTTCCGATTCTATCTATCCATCTATCTATCTTCCTTCCTATCCATCTACTCTATTCGATTTCTTTTATATATATTTTACAGACAGAGAGTCAATAATCAAATTAAACTATAATTATAACATAAAGTATAAATAGCTCGCCTGTACGACTACGCTTACCGGTAGAAAAATATATAAAAAGATAACAAAAATCCAAAGGATTGTGTTACCATTTTTTCCTACTCATTTCAAAGGTTTTTAGCTAGTATTTTCCAACAAAAGAACGAAAAAATTTGCAGTTTAAGTATGAATTTCATAAAATTATTAATAGTTTTTCTATTGATAGATTTCTAGCAAAGGTGGGTCAAATACACTAGTTTTAGTATAAAATAATATATTTAGAATAGGGAAAAGAGTGAGAGAGAGTGAGTGACTGGGATAAGAAAGGGTGGAACCTTCTTGAATCGACCTACATTTTTTTCATTGTGGACTACAACCGTTTTAAAATAGCAAATATACATAATTTTTCTTATGAAACAAAAGAATAATATCTCTTAACTGCTGGCTGTTAAACGAAACTCGTAGGTTTTAGCCTTCAAGGTCACGCTTTTTCTCATGTGTAGATTAAGTATATAGGTTCCTTTTTTTTTGTTATATTGGCTTTTTTTCTCATCTCGAAACCTTCCCCTCATTAGTTAAAGTTTGTATACTAGGTTACGCGATAAAACAAACAATTACCAAATGTTGTGTAATCAATCATAAAATAATGTTGTTTTGGATAGAAATGATCAAAACTAAATTAAAAGGAAAAAGGGAAAAATATGTATTAATTATCATCATCATTATTATCATCATTATAGTCATTTTTACGATATTTAAATAGAAATTATATATATATATAAATATATATATATATTACGAAAATTTGCATTTTAATCATAAAATAAATAAGAAAAAACACAAAATGAATTATAATTTATGTAAAATTCTTAAAATTTATTCAACCTTCAATTTGCCACGAGTCGAAAAAAGCGAGCTGAAGCTAAACAGTTATAATCGTTACCAACACACTCCTATAGAGCAGAGTTTTTAAGAACTTATTTACATATAGACGTGCGTTAACAGAACTATACGAAAGCAATGAGGAATGCAGGGGATACTGTATTTCTAGAACGATATTTTTTTTGTGCATTTGAGTTGATTTGTTGACACTGAGATTACATACATCTTGAGCAATATACATTATGGACAGGATCACACCTATTGCTACTTTCCGATTATCCAGAATTTTTTAGGGGAACAGCGACACACCTTTTTTCTTTACTTTTCCTTCATTGGATCTTCGGCGATGCCGGCTGTGCATTTGACAGACAACGTTTAATTAAACGTCAATTTTTTTAAGTGTGTTGATAGAAAAGGTTGAGGTAAAATTATACCTTAGAAACAACGGGTAGACAACACATTTAAAATGCACATGCAACTAAATCTTCCGGCAATATATCAATTTGCGTAAGATGTTGGATCCATCAACATATATTAGTATTTGGATCAGGTAGCAACTATTGATTTTAAGTATTTTTTGAACAAGAGGCATATATCTATCTTATTAGTTTTAAAAGCAGGGAAGGATCTTGATAGTTTTTTTTTTGCTATTTAATATAAAATTGCTTATATATGATGTGAAAGAAAAAAAACAAATGCTCTTTTTCGTTTGCCATCAGATTAATGTTATATGCATTAAATTTTTAAAAAAATATCTAAAAATTTTGTTTTTGGCATCTAAGCTAACTTTTTTTTAATGGCTAGCTAAATATGTTCACATATTGACTTTTTAAAGACAAGACATTCTTTAAAGAGCAAAGTACCAAAATGCAAAACAAGTTGACTGTGTCAGATTACAACGATTGTCAAATAAACGGACGCCTTGCATAGAAAAGTTTGCTATTAAAAGATGAAATTTTTTTTTATCCGGCGTGTGGTAGAGAGCATCTAGAGACTGAGTATATATATAGATTGTTTAGAAAAAAAAACCTGTTTTAGTTTGACTCCGGGGTTTCAGCTAAGGTAACACAGTAAAATCAAAGTTAAAAAAGACATCAATCTTTACAAATATATTCAAATTCAACAAAATGGCAAAGATATTAGAAATATTCATAATTTTAAATAAATAAGTATATACACATTCGCGTACTATATACTTATTTCCTACAATGACATATATAAATATATATATATAAGCATGTATATATATATATATATATATATATATATAAATATATATGTATTAGATATACAAGTATAATTATATATACATATTCGGATTATTATATATTAAAGACTATAAGTAAAGTGAATAACATTTTTTCTTAGTTACAAAAAACTCTATGCCAAAAAGAAAACATTTAAGTTCAGAAGGGCGCATTCAATATTAGTCCAATGTAAATGACCCACACAGCAATCATCCAGTAAAATTGAGTTAAAGGATTTTTACCATCTGTAAACTTCCTAGCTACAAATTTCAGCGTTTCATCCAAAATAACGACGGGCAACGAAATTTTTAATACCGCCATCCACTCTTCCAGATTTAGCGGAGTAATTTGGAAGACGGCCTAAAATTGTGGGTAAGGTATTTTCAAGAGTAAAGTGGGAAGGAAAAAACGGACAACGTTGTACTTACCGATAGAAAATCAACTTCTAAGATGAGAAAGTGTAATGACATCGAAAGAGCGATGGCACCAAGTAACCATTTATTTGACCAAGGAGGCATAAGCGTTAGCGACTGGTTCTCGGAAATGCTGTAATCATTAGTAAGGGATGTTATAAATTTAATTTCAATTAAGCCATGTTATTACTAATTAAGTAGCAGAAACACCGTTTGGAAATAGTAATTTAAAATAATAATAATATAATAATATATAAAAGAAAGAACCAAAACAAAATTGCAAAATTGAAATTTCTAGGCATTCCTTTGGCATGCATAGTTGCGATTAGGAAAAATAAAAAGCCACTCAACCAGATGAGAAGGGCGAATTTTGCCAAAGCCCACACCTGATCGTAGAAGTCAACAGCTAACTTGCAACGAAATTATTATATAAATAATAAAAAAGATGATAAACGCTTTGTCTTAAAAAAAAATTAGGAAGTCAACAGCTTCGACGACTACTTTTCATCAGGTGTGGGATTGTGTAGAATATATTGGCAATGAAGTTAGCTGTTGACATTCCGCTACGAATTGCAGAGTGGGGGCCACAGCATAAATTGCATCCCGCTCACCTGTTCACCGCGTTCAACATTTCGATAATGACGAGAGTAGATAGGGCCATCGATGGCGGCTTGGGATTATCGAAAATGTCGCAATCGATGCCTTTAAATCTTTCGTCCTGCACTAAACATTGAGACTGGTGCGTCTAAAAAAGCCAAACACCAGCATTCAAGTAGTACAAAGCATTCAGAGAAGAAAATTAAAGGTAACAAAGAATAGACAAATTGAATCGACAAGAGAAAAAAAAGAAAAGAGTAGAGATTGAAAATTAAAAATGAAATAAAACGCGCGAATCCCACTTCCTCCAAAGCCCGACAACACAATAAAAGCAGACAAGCGATTTGTTCTTTCTTTCTCGAAAGGTTTTTTTTACCTGTTTATCGCGTTCAACATTTCAATCGTTACTAGTACGGATAGAGCCATTGTCATTGGCTTTGGATGGTTGAAGATGCTACAATCGATACTCGGGAACATACGAGGTTCGGCCGGGCATTGCATATGATGAGTCTGAAAAAGTATTTAACAAAAAAATTTTGGGGGGAAAATTGATACTTTTGACTCCAGGCTTGCGGTAAAAATCAAATTCGTTTGATTGTTCTTCTAGAGTTCTTGTCTCGAAAAAATAAAAAAAGAGGGTAAACCGCGTCTAGGTTGCATACTAACCAATTGATAATAGTTGAGCTGAGGCCCCTTATCGTAAACAACAAACCACCAAGCTGCGGCTCCAACTGTAGCGCATCCAACGTATCCTCCAATTGCCATATACCTGAAGAATAACCAACCGGAAATCAGTGGTTCTTGAGCAGATCTGGGAGGCTTCGTCATAATGTCTAAGTCTGGTGGGTTGAAGCCAAGTGCTGTAGCTGGTAAACCGTCAGTAACCAAGTTAACCCATAGAAGCTGAACTGGAATCAAAGCTTCTGGCATGCCAAGAGCTGCTGTTAAGAAGATGCAAACAACCTCGCCAATGTTGGAGGAAATTAAGTATCTGATAAACTGTTTCATGTTGTTATAAATAGCACGTCCTTCTTCGACAGCCGAAACGATAGATGTAAAGTTATCATCTGCTAAAACCATTTCTGATGCAGACTTTGCTACAGCAGTACCAGATCCCATAGCAATACCGATTTCTGCTTTTTTGAGAGCTGGAGCATCGTTTACACCATCTCCTGTCATAGCCGAAACCTCTCCATCAGCTTGTAAATATTCAATAATTTTTTGTTTGTGAGCCGGCTCTACACGAGCAAATAGTCTAGCTTGTCTACAGGCCTTGGCCTGATCATCAATCGATAAGTCATCAAATTCTCTTCCTGTGAAAGCTCTGTTTTCAGTGGATTCGTTTTCTCCGAAGACACCGATACGGCGGCAAATAGCTTCAGCTGTGGCCTTGTTGTCACCTGTAATAACGATAACGCGGATTCCAGCTCTACGGCATTGCTTGATAGCATCCATAACTTCGTAACGTGGAGGATCCAACATACCAACAACACCGACAAAGGTACAATTTGTTTCGTATTTAATAAATTTTTTAGAATCTTCAAGATCCATATCTTCTTTCTTGACTGGTGAATCAATAGTAGCTAGGGCCAAACAACGTAAAGTATCTCTACCAGTTCCGTAATATTTAACATGCTTCATAATTTCTGCTTTGACAGCTGGTGTCATAGGCACTTTGGAAGTTCCAACGCGAACATGTGAACAACGGTCTAATACACCTTCGGGAGCACCTTTAACGAACATCTTAGGTCCGGTACCTAATTTAGTTTGTTTAGTGGGGACGGCATAGCATGACATACTCTTTCTATCTCTAGAGAACTCTAGAGTGAAATCTTTCTTCCATTGATTTAAAATTGAATGATTGACAGCAGTACCCAATTCTTTCTTTTTCATTCCGGATTTCTCAACATTGGCTACATTCATTTTTTCAACGAGTACAGTCAGGGCAGTTTCAGTGGCTTCTCCTACTTTTTCATAAACGCCTTTGGCTTCGTTATAATCTACCGATGAATCATTGCACATAGCGCAGATGGTTGATAATTCAATCAGGCCATCGAACTCGCTGCAACGAACTGGCTTTCCACCTTGGTACCTGGAGAGAAAGAGAGAATGATTGAGAGAAATTACATCAGTTCGAATACATAAATAAAACGTGTGCAGTTAATAAATACATAAGGAATTTCTTTTTTATTAAAATACCTCTCCGAGAAAAAAATGAGGCAACATTCCGGAAAGTTCCTCTTTTACTTCTTTTTGTATACTTAATATATGCAAACACAATATTATATTGAGTTAAATACTCTTTTATATACTGTATATATATATATAAACAGTATATTTATAGCATATATCAAGCATATAGAAGTATTTAGCAGGGTTTGGTTAAACAGTTTACACTCTTTGTAAGTTTTAACTTGAAAATTTTTTAAACAGCAGACTGTCAAAACACAACACTTACACTTCACCCTCAGGGGCGTAAGTTGAACCAGTTATTTCGAACTGGTTTGTACTGATTGCGCCTTCGGAAATTTTGTCAAAGATGAACATCTGACGGAATATTCAATAAGAAAAGTAGAAAATAATGACAGAATTTAGAGTTGTTACAATTCAAGGTGTTAGTTTTAGAATTGAAAATAAAGCGAGAGTATTAGATTTTTCCACGCTATGATTAGGGTAAAAAAACTGATAAACTGAACCAAAAATTGGTGAGACGCTTCCATCGATGGAGCGAAAGAAAGTTACTACGACCAGATTTTTTATTGCTTTTTTTTTGAAACTTACACGACGCCAACTGGTTCGTATGTTGTTCCGTCTACTTCAAATTCGTCGAAGATCGGTTTCTCTTCCGATGAATTCTTGTTCAGTGTTAAAACCTGTGGATATCAAATGGGGTTTATACTACAAAGTGGGGGCAGCATGCAATCTTGACGATTATTAGCTAAATGGAAATTGTAAATGTAATTTCTGCCAAAAACCTGCACAGCATTACCAGGTCAAGGTAGCGTATGGAGGTATTTATCATACCGGGTGCTATATGTTATTAACTTACCCGACAGACGGACATTTGATTAGTTGTTAAGGTACCAGTTTTGTCAGAGCAGATAACAGAAGTACAACCGAGCGTTTCTACAGAAGGTAGACTTCTAACAATTGCGTTCTTCTTAGCCATTCTTCTTGTTCCTAAAGCTAAGCAGGTAGTGATAACGGCGGGAAGGCCTTCCGGGATAGCAGCTACAGCCAAAGCAACAGCTATCTTGAAGTAATAAATAGCTCCCTTCATCCATGATCCGCCGTGAGCGGGATCGTTGAAATGTCCAATATTTATTGCCCATACTGCAACGCATACAATTGAAATAACCTTAGATAATTGTTGTCCGAATTCGTCGAGTTTCTGTTGCAATGGTGTTTTCTCTGCCTCAGTTTCGGTCATAGAAGTTCGAATTTTGCCTGCAAAAACAATGTTTCCGTTTTTATTTTCCCCTCCTTTTTTTTAACCAACCACCCGCCAAAAAGAAAGCATAACGCAAACGCGAAAGCAAATTGCAGAAAGATAAAAAATCAGCCTACATTTGTACGAAGAACTTTATTCTTGGCTCAGCGGCTCTGTTTACCCAAGTGCGCCGACCGTACAGTCGTTTTTTTGCGCGGAGGTTTATTTCTATACGTTCTATACTAGAAATACTGTCCTAGTTTTACTAGATTCAACGCTAAGCAGGTGCGCTGCTCTCTAAAAAAAACGGGAGCAGGGTAGATTGAAAAACTTGTAACAGAAAAAAGCGAAAAGCTTAAATGACGTATGTAACTAATATACTTAATTTAAAAAAAACTACTCGAACTCTACTTTAGGTACAAAGCGGTCAGATGCTGCATTTTTTTTCAGCAAATCACCCCGCTAAGTTGAACTTTTCCCTACTCTTGATAAGAATCAAGCAAATTTAGCCTTTTCCTTTTTCACAAAAATTAAGTTGCATAACTTAAAAAAAATTTTTCACCTATTTCTGTATTCAATCCAGTACCAACTACAATGCCTCTCGCTTTTCCAGCGGCAATGTTGGTTCCCTGAAAAAATAAACACCATTAAGGAGAAGATTAGAAGTAGACGGTAGAAATGACCTTTCGACGCAAAAAAATTGTTTTAGTTTTTATCGAAAGCTATGCGCCTTTTCTAACATTAAATCTTGGAATTAAATATTATTATATAAATAAATTATGTAAGCTTCTTAAAAAAAGATTAAAGATAGTTACCGAGAATAGAACATTTTTCTTGTCTTGATTTACAGCTCTTGGATCGGGTATAGAATCGGTGTGCTTAAGTACAGAAACCGATTCTCCTGTGAGGATAGCCTGATCGACTCTTAGAGTTGTTGAGAAGATCTTTGTTAGCCGAATATCAGAAGGTACTTTATCTCCGACTGAGACATCAACTATATCTCCAGGTACCAATTCACGAGCTTTAATCCTTTGAACTCCTCGATGATTTTTTCGAATAACCTTAGCTATCTCAGGTTCATATTCTTTCAAAGCTTCAATGGCGCTCTCTGCATTCCTTTCCTGTAAAAATTGTTGATTTAGTAATTCCACTACATCGATTTGCGAGGGTTACACTTCATCGCATGATATTCACCTGCCATACTCCTACCACAGCATTCGCAATAAGAATAAGCAATATAACAAATGGTTCAACAAAAGCTGTAACTTGTTCTTCTGATTCTTCAAACCAGGCCAAAACCTGAGGAAAAACAATTAATATAATATTACCCGCCTTCTTAGTACGCTTACACGTAGGGCGTACACACTGTTTTAATATCGATATTGAGGGTAAGAGGAGATGAAAAAAATTATGCATAACTCCTTTTATTATTGTTTAAAATTAGAAAATTTTTCTTTTTTAAAACAATTTTTTTTTCACGCTGTTAAAGTCTTTATTATATAAAAGAAAATATTTTCAGACACATAATCTCAAAATCTGCATATTAATATTTGACAACGCCCTGAACTGCAAATTATATTCTACACGTGTGGGATTTAAAATTGTTCTACCCTTGGTCAATCACTTTTTTAATAATGAAAATTCTGTACTATAAAATACTCATTTAACATTACAAATCTCAAAGATTTATCAAGAGATTACCTTATCTAAAAAGTCGATACTCTATTCTACATTATCTTACTAACATTGAAGCTCAGAAGGGATAGAATAATTAAGACTTACGAAAGATATGATAGCAGCAAGCAACAATATTTTGACTAGGAGATCATCGAATTGTTCCAAAATCAATTCCCACAGCGTTTTACCTTTTAGATGAATCAACAATGAAAGGTATTTCCCTGGAAAAAATATTACTTACCCTCTTCTGCAGGTAACTCTGTAGTGGAAAATATCAACGAATAAGTCAATTATCAAACTTTACACAAGCACATATTGTTATCTTTACTTTAAAGATAAAAGCTTATATTTCAAATTGCCGTCTTGTGTCTTTAGATTATGAGTACTGTTACATCTTTTCTTTATAATAGCATTGCTCACAACATGCGTATTAGGCAATCATTAATAGAACTTACCATTAGGACCATATTTCTTCTGATATTGTTCTATTTGGTCATCACTAAGACCAGTGTTTTCGTCAGTCTTGAAGTGAAGTAGAACTTCTTCGGTAGCTTTTGTATGAGAATCCTCCATATTCTAACGAGCTCTCTTTTCGGCAACGATCACAAATTGGACGATTATGCTAAACAAGCCCACAAAATAAACTTCGTCTCTTTCGATCTCTCTCTATCTTTTTCTTCTCTTCTCTTTTACTCGATCGCAAGCTAAAAAAAATGCCGATTCATTAGTATAGAGTAAAAACGTTGAGATCTGTCCATGCTGCATATTTATTATAAGTAATCAGACTCATAAAAAAAAGAACTAAATAGTACAAAAATCGTAATAAAGTTTAAAACAACCCTAAGATTATAGAATAGAAAAAGAAAAGAAAAATCGACCAGAAACAGTGCTCCTGGTCTCAAAAAATTACATGAAGTTCTGCTGCGAGAGCTTCTACTTCAATGATTTATCGATGTGGAGTCCACACATAGTAGCGTATCGTATCGAAGGAGATATGACTAACGATTCATTATCGGTAATATACGATCATAAAACTGATACTTGGTTATTCTTGTACCTCATCATTAAAAAATTTTATAACTAATTTGCATATTATGACTTTTATAAATTAAAGAGATAATTATCAAATCATTTAATTGGATTTTAATTTAAATTTTATTTTGGTGCAAAATTTCATATATCGAATAAAAAATCGAATTTAACGATAAGCGCATTTTCAAACAGAACACTCTATCGATTTAATTTTTTGACGATTCGATGAGCATTACGGAAGGGATGGCGGCTTCACTCTTACAGCATGTGGGGGTGGCAAGTTTTTTAGCAGACGAATTTTTAACAGAATTTAAAAAAACATGATTTTTATTAACTATAAATGTAATATTTTTTATATATACAATCTTTATTGATTTATTAGAGAATGTTGGTTTCGATGCAATATCTACAAACGACTTCTTCTAGAAAATTTTGTGAAAAAACTTTAAAAAATCTAAAATATTTCCTCTGCATAAAATCAACTCATCCGAGATGTGGCCATTTTCGTCGTGTGTTTGTAGTTGATTGGTCGCAAGAAAGTCACGTGACAAGAGCAATCCCGATTTGGTCATCTAAAATATTTTCTAGGCCTCTAAGCTCGACGTAAATAGTTATTGGTGCTGTAATACTGAATATTCACCTCAGTACGCATTTCAACTTTTATATTTTACAAAGTTTTCTTACTTTTTTTTTATTTCACCAACTTATTACAATCTTAAGTAAGTGACTATCCGGTTATTTGAATTGGGAAAATTGGAAATTTGCACTCTATTTTCAGCCTGTAATAAGTTCAATGACTTTCAACTTCGTTATTTTTAAATGGCTGAAATGTTCTAAAAGAAGTAACACTTCCTTTCTATTTCTTTTAAACAAAGAAAATTAACTTGGAGCCAACTTTAGTGGCTTTTCAATGGTTAAAACATTTGTTGTATAGCATTTCCGATCATCTATAAACAAAGATAAGGTCATTAATCATCCTGGAACTTCAGAAAATATCAATAACCTTGTTCCAAGCCAACTTACATATTAAGTTTCAGGATAAAATTTAGTTCAAATTGTTTTAAAGAAAAATCAAGTATATTAACGAAATTATAGGAAAGAACTAGTTCATCTTCTCTATCTTCCTATTTTTAAACTGAGAAGAAAGCATTTCTTTATTAACATTTTCTATATACATTGTAAACTAATATCTCTAATCGCCTAAACATATATAATTTATATACCTAATTAAAATTATTGCAAAATTAAATGACATAGAAAATGGGTACTGCGGGCGGAGTTATTCCTCCCGAAACGTTTTGCGGACGGTGTTCTTAACCTATAAGAGAATGACCTGACTTCTCTACTCAGTACTTGGCAAAGATGTATGTATTATTTAAGGTTCAGCTGGTAAAATAAATAAATGCGCAAAGAGCTAAATATAACTAAACGGCAATCGAATTTACGAACCCATAAAAATTTTTAGGTACCACGAATTCTATTTAAATACTTTATTCAAACGGAATACCACAAATAAAGAGAGACCTCTAAATAGAAGCACTACATTCCCTTACATTCCTTTGCATAAACTTTTGGATATAGCTATAGGTTTTATAAATAATATAACAGATTTGAACTCAGACAAGTTGGCGCCATTTAATCGTGACGGTAATATCGCTCAAATGGCAATGGGAAGGTCTCTTGGTACGACTTTTGTCGTATTAGCTATCTTTGGTGTTCTTCTTTCCTTATATTTCGACCAAAATCTAGTGTCTGAAATTCTTAGTAAGTTCAGCGTGTCACTATTAGTTGTTCAAAGTCCTGCAACTCGAGTTTTTACTATAGAAGAGTTAAGGTGTGTAAAACTTTTTTGTAAAATAGAATAATTAATTCATTTTACCCGTAGTAAATATGATGGAAGTGAAAATAGTTTGGGCCTATACTTATCCATTATGGGTGAAGTATTTGATGTAAGTAAAGGTGCCAAATTTTACGGACCAGGGGGCGGTTATCACTTTTTTTCAGGTTAATTAAATACCCTATAATGAGTATTTTTTCTAAAAATATAATCAATTTACTAGGAAGAGATGCTTCTAAAGCTTTTATTACTGGAAAATTTGAAGATGGTCTGACAGATAATGTCGATGAACTATCGCCAACGGATTTAGTAGCGCTAGTGGATTGGAAAGACTTTTATCATAAGGAGTACAAATATGTCGGAAAGCTTGATGGATGGTTTTTTAATTCTGACGGCCAGCCGACCGAAAATTACAAAATGGTGAACGAAAAACTAGAAATAGCAAAATTGGAAAAACACAGTGATAAACTTGATGAACAGATGTTTCCCCCTTGTAACTCCGAGTGGTCTCAAGCTGATGGTGGCTTTGTTTGGTGTTCAAAATCGTCTGGTGGAATTGAAAGAAATTGGGTAGGAGTTCCGAGAAGATATTTCAGATCTGGAAAAACTGAACCTCGTTGCGCGTGCGTCAGAACAACAGGTCCACCCTCTGACAATAGAGCAAGCAAATCAAACAACGGAGATTTGGACAACCCCAACCTTAGGGAATATCAAAATTGTGATAGACTATCTGAGAGATGTAGAGTTATGTAGACTTTAAGATTTGACTATCTTTTTCATTCAGCATTTCAATCATTCCAATTAATTTCTTTATTCTTTATCAAGTTCTGAATGCATTTTCATGATAATATTTAAGCATAAATCATCTTCTAGTATAGCTCCAGACTCTTTATGGAATACTAACGAGTGTGATTGTTTCTTTGCCAAATCGATGTCTAATAAACAAAGAGTATTGGCATAAAATGCTTAATAAATAATCATAATTAAGGAAGATATATATTTGGAATATATTACCGTTGTAGCATTCAATATGTGTAGTTTGTGGAAGTTCTAAATATTGTTCCAGTTTTTCTTTAGTCTTTTTTGATTCACTGTCATTAGAAAACACAAAGAGGAAGGGTAGATGATTGTGCCTTAGCAGGAAATAAGAGCCAGATGACTAAGAGGATTAAAAAGTTTATTAAAAAGTGTTTGTCGTGGTAAATTAACATCAGACATTGTTCATATTGATTCCTGACACAAATTGTGCTACTGCTAATGACTGCTGTTTGCTCATATTTCTACCATACAAAAACTTTATGGACGGTTTTAGGATTAAGGTAGATAAAACTTGTTGTAATATGGATCCGTTGTTATTCCAATCAGTGTAGAATTTCGAAATTTTTACTTGTCTATAGCGTAAATCATAGTAAGTTTTGATTTATTGCAGCAATAAATTTACCTATCATCGAAAGAAAATATATTTGGTGGTAAAATGGATGTAAATTGTTTTAATCGCATTGAATTCCTAATTTGAGTTGCAAGTGTTAAACCAGCTGCTATTGCATTTCCATGACAAACAATGGAATCTATCCTGAAGAGTTTATAAAAGAAATATAGTTTAAACATTGAATTTAAATTCTCTTTATTTTGAGCTCACCTATCAATGGATATATTGTTCAGAAAATTTAACACGTATAGTGCTAGTTCTTCGGTTTCAAAGTTGAAAAATTTCCTATCTATTCTACTTTCTATCCGTGACCCTCCGAACACTATTAGTGGATAATTACTCAAAAACAGAATCGAAAGATATATTTGGAGACATACAAGGCCAATCTGGGATAATAACTCTGCAGTGATTTTCATGAAACTTTTCTGCCAACCTTCTTAAATCCGATTTATCACCGGGGATGTTTGGAAGGAGGAGCACATTTGGGTGTTTCAATTTAACCCCGACTGGCAGTTCATGGCCAGTGTCGATATATTTTGCGTTAATTTTTATAGGATTGGGTCTCTCCTGCCACATATCATTATTGGTAAGTAAATGTACATTTAACTCCTTCCAGCAAGACCCGCTATAAGAAGTTTTCAAAATATTATAGATTTTCTTAGCATGTCGATTTATAATGAGTGATCGAGTTAATTGGTGAATCATAATTTCCAGATTAAATTTGTACTATCGTAAAGTTATCTACATTTTATGAATAATTACAGCATTCACGAAGTTTTTGTTGGAAGTTACACTTTCAAAACAGACCAACACGTGTTCCGGTTTCAAACTTCCGGTGAAAAAATGGTTCTCAATAGATTAATATATATAGTTTAATTAAAAAGTATATTATACAATAAGAGATATTTTAAATACACTTTTAAAGCGTTCCAATGTACTTTTATAGAACAACGAATATGAAAAAGTCTTAATTAGATGTGACAGGATGTAGAATCATCTGAAATTTTCTCGCGCCTGCGCAAAGTGCGGTAACAAGGCTGCGAAATATTAAAATTTTATTGATTATTGCTTATTTTAGTATGATTTCGCTATCTTGGTATATCCTTGATTTAAACTAAACACAAATCACGGATTTCTTACGTATTTTCAATATATGAACCTTAAAATACAAGATGAAGGATCGTTTACAAGCAATTAAAGCTGTAAGTACAATATCGCTCCCCTACTGAATGTTTCTTTTAAATAAGTCGTTTAAGAGCTGATCCGTAGTAATGAATTAACATGACTTATACCGAACTATAATAACCTTTGTCAGTACTGTAAATTATTTTATTATCTTTTTTAATCAGAATAATTAACGAATTAGAGAAATAGCTTTTTTGTCATTTGTGGGCGTTTGAGGTAATTGAAGATCTATATTTGGCCCGTTATCTCTTTGGATTACTAATAACGACGCTGACAAATGAGCGTTTTAACAATGTAAAGAGGTTTATCGAGCATAATTGTTGCTCTCCATCATTATGGAAAATTATTGTAAAGAAATTAAGCAGAGTTGTAACTTTGTAACGATACACGGTGCACTTTGTCTTAATATAAAAAAAGCTATTTTATTCTTTTCACGACAGTCAAACTGTAATTGTCCTTAATTATATACTATCGAATTGACAAAAATGAATAACTTTTGTTTCTTATAGGTCCAAAGTGATGATGACGATGCACAAGATGAAACAACCGTACACGCAGATAACCGAAATGGTTTCATGGATGAATTTTTCGAACAGGTAAACTTTTGTAGGCGTTAATTCTGTTAATCAATTACTTCTATAAAATTTGTCGAAAGCATTCAGAGAATCAATAGGTATAATTCATATATAAATGATTCATCTTTGAATCATTTATAAATGCGTCAACGATGAACGATTGAGTAACAGCAACACGATATAACAATTTTTTCATTTTAGGCCAAAAAATAAACTGAATATTCGATAATAAATGTAATGGTGATTACAGATGTCAATCTATTTAAGGCTGGTCTCTCTGATGTTATCCTCTTTTAAGTACTAATAAGATCATAGACTAAATTGGTGGAAATTAGCGTTGAAAAAAAAATAGTGCCGTTTTTGTGTTCCTTAAACCCATCTGAAATGTAAAATTAACGTATAATTGTTCTCCAGTTGTTCATTAATTGCAACGCTCTATTGATCTGATACTGTGCGTTGTTTGTCGAAGCGCTCTGAAAACGACAATGTTTCACTCATTCCTTTTTACCGCGTTTTTTTTAGAGCTTTACATATGAAAATTACGTCAATAAGTTGGCAATTGATTACCTACTGAATTTTTATTGTTTGTAGGTTGATGACATTAGGCAGATGATTGAAAGAATACAAGCAAATGTAGATAATGTAAAGAAAATGCACAGCGATATACTTGCAGCACCTAACAATGATGAGTCTTGTAGTAAGTAATTTTTTCTTTAATGATAAATTAAGGGTATTAATTTACGAATGCCTGTGCAGAGATGAAGACCGAATTAGATGAATACATGGCAGATATAAAGAAAAATGCAAACAAAGTCCGAAATAAGCTAAAAAGTAAGTATATATGTAATGTTTTAAAAGCTAATAATATTATTTTCCTGTTTGAAGTCAATACTTTGTGTGTGGTGCAGGAAACGTAAGCGAATACGATATAATTTGCTATATTGAATAGATATTTACGTCCCAGGTATCATACAAGCGCACAGAGAGACATTCTAATAATTTTTTCCATCTATACAATATAAATCGTAAATCTTTAATCAGTTATTACAGAAAAGGATACAATAACACTGGCGAATAAAGCCTTGATTAGCGTTATAAGTTTATACGATCAATTATAGTGTCTAGAATGAAAATCATTTAGACCCTTACTTTGAATGATATTAACTTTGTCCAATGATTCTCTTCCTTACAGCCATAGAGCACAATATAGAACATGATCAGCAAAGTACAACTCAATCAGCCGACTTGCGGATACGGAAGACTCAGGTATGCTCATATTTTGTTTCGAATGGGCTTAGGTTTCACCGACTACACTATTTTCTCGGATATCACTTCTTGTATTAATATAGATTCTCTTATATGTAAGCTTAGAACAATAATTTGCCTGCTAAATTGAACTAATAGACTCGTGTATTTTAGTTTAGTTAATTTTTGATCTTTCATCACGACTTTTCAATATCTTAGATTTATTATTATTCAATTGAATCTAGATTACTTTAGTCAATAGGTACTATTATATTCTTAAACATCTAATTTCTTTAAACTTTTTCTACTTTTTTCTTCATCAACAACCTGGTGATTGATTTATACTTTGTTATCTAAGAAGAAGAAACTTTAATTAATTCATTTCGTCTAAATGTTTCAATTGTTACATTAATTTTGTACTTTTTTTTTATTATTTTTTTTGAATTTAAAAAAAAAAAGAAAAAAGAACATTTTGAAACTAAACCAACCTTTCAAATTAAATTATTATAATATTTAATTTGCATATGCAAATATATTTATATATATGTATATATATATATATATATGTATTTGTATAATATTATTACATATTATTAATAAGTTGAAGAAATTTTTTCAATTTTATTTTTGAAAAGAAGAGGAAAATTTTGTCTTTTTTGAACTTTTATTTGGTTGAAAATTTTTTCTTGAGTTAATTCTTTATTTATTGATTATTCTAATTTAAGTTATTATTTATCTATTAAAATATCATCTATAATAGCTAAATGCATGTAGTGAATAATTATTTGGCACTTTGATACGTTTTTTTTTATATTACCTCTACCCCTATCCTTTCCCCCGCTACTCCCTACGCATGCAATTTTAATATAAATATATAAATTTATACAAATATATAAATAATCGGGAGTTTATTTAATATTTATATGTTTATATTTATATACCCACTTAAACAAATATACATATATGTATATACTGCAAGATATATATATATATATTTATATATATATATATATTTATATATATATATATATTTTAGTATATATATATATTGTTGCGAATGAATCTAGCTAGTAATTGAAGAGAAAATGCTAATTGTTAAAGATCACGCAAAATATTTTAAGAAAGCGTATTTGGGAAGTATTTGTCATTTCATGTTGTTCTCTAGTACTCGACGATTTCTCGTAAGTTCATAGAAGTGATGAACGACTACAATAAGGCGCAAATCGAATACAGAGAAGGGTGTAAAAAAAGAATTCAGCGTCAAATGGAAATTAGTAAGAAAATTATTTATTACTTTTTTATAACTTTTTGCTTCTTTTTTTTACTTTGATTTGAATTTTTTTTATCTTTTTTTTTTAAAAAAAAAAAAGTTGATTTAAATTGCCTCTTACCTTGTACACGCCATCGGTTTACGACTATTAACTCATGCGAAAAATATAATGGTGACATATGTAGAATAATAAATATCTAATATTTTATGTATATCCTTGACTATTATATTACTTAACTACTATATATTTAAATTTTAATCGTTGGGTGAATGCGTATATGATTATGAAAAAGAAACACGTTGTAAAATAAGCTGTAGCATGACGATCGTTGTTTGAAATATTATGCGTGAATTTAGCTCTCGGTATAAGTATAAGGAAATGTGCCCTCTTCAAGAAAACCCAATCCAATTAAGGGTAATAAAATTTGCAAAATTATTACTAAGAAGTACTAAGTTGAAATACGAATATGAAAAGAATATTAACAGAAAATACAATAAGGAATAAATAAATTTAGGATTGATTCATTGATTCAAATTGTGTCTACCACCAGGTTGTTATGATAGAGATGCTTCTCTTATGAATATTTATTATAGCAAGTTTCATTAATTCCAGAGTTACCAATATTGTTTATTGAAACAATACTTTCATATATATACAAATTTGTTTGTATATATGCCAAATTTACTTAAAATACATATATATATATATTTATATATGTTGATTCGAAGGATAACTTTGCAGCATGCCACATTGTCCCGTAAATTCGTGGAAGTGATGAATGACTACAATGCGTGCCAGATTGAATACAGGCAAAAGTGCAAAAAGCGTATTCAACGTCAGCTCGAGATTAGTAAGGACAACGTTTACATATTGCTAAGCATTTCACAAAAAATACTGTTGTTGTTAGCTGGTGAAAGATGCTTTCTTTTGAGTACAGCCCGTACTATTTATATATGCTTATAGCCCTTAAATATTTATCATCCACCATCTAGCAACTAAGGTGGTTTGTAAAAAAAACCGCGTTGCTCGTTGGATATCAATGTATTTGTTGTACAACGCGATTTTTGATTACTAACAAGAACGGATGAAGATTTCAGTAGTTTTTAATTCCTCGTACATATCATTCGATGGTTTTAACTTAAAAGGCTTTGTTTGGGGCGTGTTGTGAACGCTTTGAAAAATTATGTTGTGTGACTGAGTCGGAGTATTTTGGAAATCGCATGACAAGCGCGTCCTATGACTCCGTTGAGCCGTAGATGTATGTTTCCCTAAAACTTTAAATCATCTCTTTTTTTCTCTCTCTTTCTTTCTCTCTCTCTCTCTTTCTCTTTATCTTTTTCTCTTTTTCTCTCGCTATCTACAAAAACTTTTTTTAAATTTTATTTTAAAAGTCGGCTGAACGGTTTCTTCGGACTAATCTAGGTGGCGTGTCATTGATATTGTGTTGCCTAAATATCATTATATTATTATTATTATTTTCATTATTATTTCTCTTTTTTTTTCCTAACACCGATTAAGTGAAATTTTGTAAAAGTGTTGTTCTAAAATATAGCCGGAAAGGCAACGACGAACGAAGAGCTAGAAGACATGTTAGAATCTGGAAATCCAACTATATTTTCCCAAGGCATAATTATGGAGACGCAACAAGCTAAACAATCTTTGAAAGACATCGAAGCTAGACATAACGATATTATTAAATTAGAAAACAGTATTAAGGAATTACACGATATGTTTATGGACATGGCCATGTTGGTTGAAAGTCAGGTGCTGTCAATAACGGATTTTAATTTAATTAATATCCATTATCACATTCCTTTTTCATATCAACTTTTTAGGGAGAAATGATTGACAGGATAGAGTATAATGTGGATCAATCTGTCGACTACATAGAGACGGCCAAAAAAGATACCAAAAAGGCTGTCAAGTATCAGAGTAAAGCAAGACGGGTACGTATTATTTTCTATATAGATATTCTTTAAATTTTGTCCTGCAAGAATATTACTATTAGATATGCATTGCAAAAACTTTCTATTAGATAAACAGATAATGTTGTAAATATTTTTCTTTTTTTTTTTAAATTCAATTTTTATTCCAAATTTTTTTTTTTTAAATAACTTTAGTATTAAAATTCTTTATTTTTTTTTATTACCCACTCTGTTATATTTTATACATATCCTCCTTCATTAGATGAAGATATGTATTATAATTACTGTTTTGGTTGTTCTTGCCATAATCGCACTTATTATTGGTCTTTCTGTGAGAAAAAGAAAATAACAATATTAACCATATAATAAGGTATTAACAGTGTATAAACGCTTTAAAACATAATTTTTGCTAATTTTGATCATAAATTAATTTCGTTTTTAAATAATTATGTTGATCAGTATCGAAGAGAATAATTGATTTTGTTTCATAAAAAAGAAATCAGAAATAACTGTTTCTTTTCGCTTTAAAATGCCTAGAAAGAAAGAAAAAAAACAAATTTATTAAAACATTAAAAACAAAAAGTAATCACTTAGCTAAGCTAAAGTAGATTTTTTGTTTTGATAGAAAAAGGAAAATTCTTAATTGAGAAAGTTATTTTTTTATTTCAATATTCTTTTTATTTCTTTTTCAGAAGCTGATTTGTATTATCGTCTTAGTTATTGTCATATTAGCTATAATAGCAATTATTCTGGCCGTCTCACTATCATAAATCTCTTCCCCCCCCTCACTATTGGTCAAGAGACAGTTATAGGAAGAGTTTTTTTCTCTATTTTGTATTGTATTATCATGCGTTTCCCGCGCGTGATTGACAGCCAATTTTTTAATATCCTATTTACCTTTTCTATTCGTATCTTATTTCCTTATGCTGTTAAAATATACACTTGCCTGTGTTTGTCAAAAGAGGCCTATAAAGCAACAATGCCTCTTTAAAAAAAAAGCGACTCTCTATGCGTTCTTAATTCAATTGACTGCACTATTTTTTTTACTTTTCTTAAAGTTATGTTGTCTGCCAGCTTTAAACTACTGCATCATATATGCATATATATATATATATATATATGTATGTATGTTTAAAAGCGTATTGTGAGATTGCCAAGTGTAAACTTTAAAGCTTTATATGCTTAAAATAATATGGATTATTATTTATAATTATTTTTTATAGGTTATCAATTTTGTAATGTTCATATAGGTTGTCAAAGGTTATTAATACCATTGTAGGCTAGAGGTTGTTTGACAGTGCCATGACTTTTTCTCGGCTATTAATAGTTAAAGAATTTTTAGTAATATATACATATAACGAAACCAAAAATCTACTATTTACTTAGTATTCTTTGTAACTACTTAAAGAATTTCTCTTTTCTTTTTCTATGAAATGTAGATAATAGATAAAAAAATTTAATTATGCAAATTTATGCGAAAGAAAGAAAAAGCTAATAACAGTAAATTGTAGTTTTTTCTAAAAGTAAAAAAAAAAGGAAGGTTTTGGTTACTGCTTGAAAAGTGCGTGATACTTAATATACTTGGCTTCTACAATACGTATTAGTAATTTTTGTGTATATATATATATATATATATGTATATATGTATATATATATGTATATATATATATCGACCGACCTTTATAAAAATGTGAATTATTATATACTATATATTTAAATATTTATTTGGATTGCCTGGAGCTTTCGTTGTTTTTTTTTTTTTTTTGGTATAATTAAGAACGTGTGTTAAGTTATTTTCGAATGCCAAATTCACGTATTGTGCACATGTATACATTCCCTGAAAAAAAAAATTTAGCAGGAAACTGTATAGCCTAGGAAATTTTTTATAGTCGGAGCGCTTTGTTTTATATTCAATATATATATATATATATATATATATATGTATATATATATAACCGTATTTTATAAACGAATACGGCATTTAACCGTTAATATTTGTTGATTTGTTTACTGAATAAACTATTATTATATGGTCACAATATATTCAATTTTTTTTATATAGATGTTTCAATCATTTTTTGTTTTGTTGTTATTATTTTTTTCGCATGACGAATGCATCATCGTATTTTAGAAACTTACTGTCTTCACTTTTCCCTTTTTGAGGTAAAATTTGAATTAAATGTTTTACGGGTTTTTCATTAACTTTACTAACAAACGTTTTGTTTATTATTTGTCTTTTTACAGAAGAAAATTTTGATTTTAATCTGCTTAGCGGTGTTGGTTGTAGTAATTTGTGCTACATTCGGAGGTGTCTTCGGAGGCTAGAAGATCTCAAGTGCTTGCATGGACATTGCGCTCAAAACTAAGTGAATCTTCTTTCCTGTATTCTGTTCACTATAAATGCACAAAAATGTTTCTCTCTTGCTCGAAACTTAAACGGGGGCAGTATTATAAAGGAAAACGTTCTTTTTAACGTGCCTTCGTTTTTATCATGTCTCCTACAATTATTCGAGCAAGATTGAAAAAAGACTTTAGGAATTTGGTAGTAGTTTGAGCAATTCAAAGTAGCAAATTTTTTCTGTGAACCAGTCATCGATTTAATTTTTTCTTTTTATAGAGCAATTTCTGCCTACAACATGCAATGCTGTAGCAATACTTAACCTTCTTAGGATTTTACTTGTACATACTATTGTGTGCTGTTTGAATGTAAATAAGTTTCTAATTAATGTATTAACTGTACTTAGCTGTGTATAACTTTTCTAGAACTTGCGAATTAGATATTTAACGGATTTAAATTTAAAAACAAATAACAAAAAAAACGAGTGAAAGCTAATAAATTTTACTTATTAGCTTTGACTGTCTGAAGCACACTTCTTAGGTCTTAGCTTCTGCAAATATGCTAAACAGAAAAAGAATTGTACATACATTTGTTAATGTCATATGCACTAAAGTTAGATACCTCATTTTTACCTTATACTTTTAATTAATAATTTGAAATTAAGTAAAGATTAGAGAAAATTAGAATAAGAAATCCATTGTCAAAAAAAAAAAACAAAAACACTAAAAAGATGAAAAGTATAATATTACATATTCATAGAAATCTTGGAAAATAACTTAATTTGTTCTTTTCTTTTTATGTTTTGCTTCATAAAGATATTATTCATTTGTTATGTACCATAGATACTTCAAGTTAAAGAAATTATTCAGTTTTTAACCAGTATATCTGTGGTATATTTATTTTCAAAGTCTGTGATAGAGCGGTTTATTTTGTTATTAAAGATGTATCAGTTTAATCAAATGTATTCCAAAACCTGTATACTATTATACAATTTCATGCATACTAAAAACTTTGATCTGTTTTATGATTTCTTTTTGTTTGTTTGTTTGTTTATCAATCTATCAAATCAAAATCTATCTCGTTATGAAGTGTAAAAAGTGAAAAAAGAGTGTTTTTATTTTTTTTCTTTTTTAGTGTCAAAGTATTCTTTTTTAACGATTCTGCTTTGTTTATTCGTTCGCTAGCTAATCTGTTTATTTGTTTGTTTCCTTTTACTCTGCAAAGATGCTTTCAGTTCGGGCAAAAACCTTTGTTTTTTTTTTATTTTTTGGATTCCTTTTTACTTCAAACTTATAACCGAAAGAAAATAATGCACACAAAACACAGTAATATATACACATAAAAAGGGAAGAAAAGCTATTTTCTTCCTTTTTTAAGTCAGAATACATGGTCATAAGCTAAAAATCTCTTATCTATCTTTAATGAAAGGTTTTAGCTATCTGAACTGGTTTATCGTTTCTCCAAAAAAAAAAAAAATAATGGTCAATAACCGTGTTTATTATCCACGTTTTATTCTTACTATGATTATTATTATTTTTATTATTATCTCTTTTTGTATATTGTGTGGGGGACAAGTAGAAATTTAGCAGTTCAACGTATTCCCTATGCCTTTAACTTTCAAATAAAGGAAATCTAGAATACGCAGCTTTGAAAAAGAAAATTACTAAACGTTTATTATTTTTATTTAGCATTTAATATATTCAATAATACGAAAGTTGAATAGGTGAAACTATATACTATGGAATGTAAATCTCTGTTAATCATTACGTGACGGATTGCGAATTGATTATATTTTGACAGCCTATATTTTCTGATGCAATTCCTCTGGACGGAACCTTTTTTTATATTATTACGACGAGGAATTTATTTATCTAATAAATTGACTATAATAACTTAAATAATTTTTTCCCAATTATTATAAATTATTAAATGTATATAATGGTCGAGTTTTCCCCATATTTTGCTGAATATAAGTTAGAACTATTTTTCGGAATTCCGGAAGTACGTCATAATAACCTTTCATGAGTCATTTTCAAGAATGAACGTAGAAGGAAAAGGACATGTTACATTAAAATCATCTGATATGGCTTTGTTTGGTGAAGAAATAGCAAAATATATATTAGTTAATCCTGATTGTACAACAAATAAACCTTATTTTGAAGAATTAATCGAAAAATTTGCCGAGGATCCTGATTTCGTCCAAAATCAAATACGTCATCAGCTTGGTTGGTTTTAATATGACTACATTTATAACGACTTTGTTTTCGAAGATGTCTTTTAATTCTGCCAATTCTTTGTTACCTATGAATTCAAAATCACGAAAGTTTCGGAGCTACGACAGACTCGATAGCTCGGGAATGGAAATTGAAAATAAACATAAAAACGTATTGCGAAAAACAACTTCCGATTCAGGTGCCAGCTTTATCTCTTTTCAGCATGGTAATAGCGTTATGGCTAACAAAGCTCCTGAAAAATTACACAAATCATCCCTTCACCCATCAACATCCTGCCCATCGTTTACGTTGGTTTGTAACGTCAATGTGAACTCTTCTTCGCCCGATAGCGAAGACCCAGAAGTTGATACCCTGAATCATCAAAATATAACTTTCACCAAGAAAAAACGTAAAAAACGTCCCAGTAAACGAAAGAGATTAAAATTGAGACTGACTAAACTGAGAGAAAATAGTATAAAAAAGTGTCCAACGAAAGATAAATTTTGTTCGGAAAGTATGAATAAACTTGTTCATGATTTTTGCGTCAGGGCTGGGGATGATTGCAACGATGACGAAGACTGGAGTGAATTTGAAGATGGCGAAGCCTTCGATGAATTAAACGATGACGATGACCTAGACAGTTCGGAATTTAATCAAATTCCAACTAAAACAAGAAGAGTTAGATTCCCCTCCGGTGATAAAATTCATGTTATCCACGAAATTGAAGATTTCAGTGACAAATTTAACTGGCACTTTGTGGATAAACAACGTTTCAAAAATAGAATTGAGTCTTGTACTCCTATAATAAGTCCCTGTCTAGCTATTGAGCACAGGAGAAAAATGTATAAAAAGTTATTTGGTGCAGATTTAAAGTAAAAGTTTTGTATTGTATTCTAACTTATTACTAATATTATTATTACTGCTATTATTAATAAAATTAATGTAAAAACGTTAACAGTTTTCTTGTTTCAAGATGAATCTATTATCTATTTTAAAAAAATTTATTGCTCTTTTGTTTTATCAGTGACTGTTCACGTTACGACAACGTGATGTTCATTGGTGACACTTGGCGACTTAGTTAATTGGCGTTCTATTTTTCGAGCGGCCTCTCTTTTCTTTATCTTTTTCAACGTTGAAACGAGAAGTGGAACCGATGCATTCATACTCAGACGACGCCACTTTTCTAAACATTTGACTGTTAGAATCTTGAATCCACCATCTAAACGCCTATTACTTAGGTCAATCACCTCTAGATCTTGTGATCTTGATCTATAATCTCTAGGCGGTGCGAATGGTAGCTTATGATAAAGCCAAACCCAATCTTTACCAACATCTTCCGATGCCAATTTAAATGCCTCTTCCAATTCGTCCTTTTCGTGAGTCAGCATGCCTGGCGTGTATCCATAGTGATAGATCTTTTTTACTGTGTCCGAATGTAATTTTAATTCTCGAATACGCTTTAGGATGGTTACTCTATTAGAGTGTAATTGAATATCTGCGAGAACCAATTCCATATCCTGATTTTGTCTTTCTAACTGTCCAGCGGCTATTTCCTGAGATTTAAAAGCGGTATCTAGTTCTGATCTTAATCTTAAAATATCCCTATCAATTCTATCTTGTTCCGCTTGAAGAGTTGTTATTTGAGTATCAATAACTTCACCTTTTCCGTCTAATCTTCTGATTTCATCTTTTAAATTTTCCGTTGTAGAAGATAAATAATTAAAAACTGTCGGCGAATTTTCTTTTCTCGTTTGCATTTTATGGCGACATTTCTCCAAATCTCTCCATTTATTATCCCTGTCGCGAGCCACATTATTCCTGTGTTCTCGAGCATCTAATTCCCTCCTCTTAAAGTAACGTTTCTCGTCCCTAGCTTCTGTTAGAAATCTCTCAACTTTAGACGCCTGCAGCGACTTCCTTTTCGATTTCAGCTCCAGACGATCTCGTTCAGCTTCAAGAGCTTTTAGGACATCTCTCAACTCCAATTTCTTTTTATTATACATGTTTATTTCTTGTTGAATTTTCCTCGTATAAGTCGCATCCGAGGTGACCCATCTTTTCATTGGTTCGCAAACCCTTCTTAAGCGTTCGACTATTTCCTTCATTAGATCATAAACTCGATCATAGTTATTGATATATTTCGTAATGGGACCAGGAGCACCATATGTATCCATCTCATCAAGTGTAGAATCGAGTTCTTGGAATCTTTCTCTTATATCACTATCCCATTGAGAAATTTTTCTTTCTTGTTCGTCTATAGGCTTTAGGTCATAGCCCTCTGCTTCTTGATAAAAGCTTAAACAGTAAGGTTTCAATTGGTGAGTGTAGGCGTCGTATAAGTCATTTTTCAGCGAAAAACTAATATATTCATATACCCTCCCCCTCTCGCACATAGTTCGTAATTGACCATACTCTTTTGTTTCAACCCTTGATTTTGATTGTAACGGTTCGAAGTCTTTATAGTCTTCTAACTCTGATAGTTTCTTTCCTGAATTTGATGCAATCTTCTCCATACTATCCAGCCATTTTTCGGTATCAGGCGGTGGCCCACTTAAATATCTTTCCGAAAATATATGGCACTCCTTTTCAACATTATAAATAGCTCTCATTATCCTAGCTCGAACTACCTCCAGGGAAACAGGTATATATTCGGCCCTCCTCCGTCTACTTGTATTGGGAGAATCCAATGACGATGAGCTCATCTTGAATTTCGATCTGCGAATGAAGCGGCGATGAGTGAAAACAGAATTTAGTGATCGGCATTGTTTTGAATTCATGCTGTCTCTCTATCTAGATAGCTTAAGTGAGTGACGAAAATTATTGAATAGATCAACAGGGCAACGTGCAATATTCGTTTATATTCTAGTCCGTTCAATACCCGAAAGAATGTATTTATTTTCTATTTATTACCATAATTCAACATTATGTTCTATAAGGGCGTTTCATCGAAACTGAATGAATCTTCATAAATGTTTTCTTCCGATTCAAAGACTTTAAATGGCCTTAAGAAAACGGCAGGTACTAATCCCTTTTGACCGTTGCAACTGACCATCCACCACCCGTCGTTGCAAATATAATTGACTTTCACTATTACCCCTTTCTCAAAGCTTAGCTCGTCCTCTCGATTTTTGTTATAGTTTTCGATTGTGATACAAGTCAAATCCGTTATTATTGGATTGCTTTTGGAAGTACTGTCATAAGTCGGTTGTAAATAGGACGCGGGAACCCAAGCTGGTTTGTCGTCACTTTCATCGATAATTTGAACAAGCCACCACCCATTACTACTTTTCTGTACCACATCTACTATCTGACCACACTTTAGGGTCTTCTCGTCTTTAGATTCCTTAGTATAATCAGCTATTACTTCGTACGACGAACAATGAATTGGCGGCGATACGGACAAGTAAACACCGTCTCTATTATGTTGTCTACCATTTAAAAGCGATAGTAAACTAAAAGACTTTTTTTTCTTTTGCAGAACTCTTTCTCCATTGAAAAACTTAAGGTCTTTGGCATTTATTGTGAAAAATTTTGATACTTGGTCGTTAATTTCTAAGAGTCTTAAATCCATTAGATTTTTAGAATATTTTTCCAACTTTTTACTTCTCTCTTCCGCAAACTTTCTTGTTTCCATTCTTCTAAATAATTTTTTACCTTTTAAGAAAAAAAAAACTATAAATTTTAAAGCCAGAGTGATTGATGTAAAAACAGTTTTTGTTCCATGAATAATTGAGAACGTTCTTTTTTGTAACCTGGTAAGAATGGAAGTGTACGTTGTCCTTTTTTAGGGAAAAGCACTTTCAGATTTAACTGTATTATAGAAGAAAACGTGATTTTAAAAAGTTATTAACGAACAGTATTTTTAATTTTATTTGAAGGAAATAAAAAGTTTTTAATAATATTACTTACGTGGAAATTTAAAAAGTCTTTATAAGTTCTGTAAACAACATATTTTGTCTTATCCGACCAACCAATAGAGAACAAAAATATCTGTTGTTAATAAAAGAATTAATAAATTTTTACTTTAGCGAATTCATTGATCATAATAGGTCTTTTTACGTAGTGTTTCTTTGGCTCGTATTCTTTTTCGAATCCAACGGATGTGATATCTTCAATGAATCGACTCATTTTCGTCAAATGAAAATATCTATAATCTTTCTACTGCTTAAAATCTAAATGATTCACATTTGACATTTTCATAAAATGTAGTATAAACAAAGTGTATAAATAAGATATTTAGCTTAATTTATTACACGTCAACTTTGGCTTGGTCGACCAATTGACCCTAATGAATGTTTGTACTTGAAAGGATATTCCGTTTTATGATATCTTTCGCTAGATATACTATTTACTGTGTTTACATACTCTTTAAATGTGATGGCTAGGGGAATAAATACGGAACAGAATAAAAAGAACAAACTTTAATCAAAAAGAGTAAACAGTTGGAAGATATTTGAAGTAACCGCCTCATTTATTTTACTAAAATTTAGAATTTAGAATCATGGATACGAATTAAAATAATGATGTAAAAATTTAAGGGAAAAAGTTTGGTTTGTAAAAAAAATAGAAAAAATACGAAAACAAGTGTTATAATTTTACAGGAAGTCAAAACTATACACATCCGGTTCGGCATCAAAACAATTGATATATGTTGTTTTTTTAATAATAACATTCAATAAAAAGTCAATCTGACACTTTAGAGTAGTCATGAACTAATAATCATGTTTAACTCTACATCAACACCGCGAACGGAACTCAAAGAAGCTGTTGATGCTGTTGTAAATAGTTTTGCAAAGCATACCCAAGCATTCGGACGAGGTTATTTAACGATAAAACTTTTAAATGTTAAACCTTTCAGCTTTTTAATAAATTGCAGTGAATGTTGTGGAAGCGCTACAAGAATTTTGGCAGATGAAACATGATCGGGGTGCCAACTTGAAAAACGGAGCAGTTGTTGTTTACGAGTGTATCAATACGCCCGCTCCACCATACGTTTGCTATGTAAAAAGAGCCTTTATAGCTTGCGTTCGATTTATTCTAAACACGTTTTAATATACTAGGTTACATTACCGGGAGGATCGTCCTTCGGAAGTCTACATGACTGTCCAACCAAAGCTGAGGCTAGAAGAAGCGCTGCAAAAATTGCTTTAATGAATTCCGTTTTCAATGAACATCCATCAAGGCTCATCTCCGATGATTTTATCGATAGAGCCGTTCAACAAGCGCAAGGATCCTTCAGAGTAAACAACTTTTTAAAATTATTTACCTTTTAATTATTAATCTTAACACAATATCCTCCCCTCTGTAGTGCACAACCGAAGATAGTCATAGGCCAGATACAGCTATAGGAGCATTCCGTTTTATGTTAGAACAAAATAGAGGAAGGTCAATGTTGGAGTTTCAGGAATTGATGACTGTTTTCCAGTTACTTCATTGGAATGGTTCGCTAAGGGCGATGAAAGAACGCCACTGCTCAAGGCAAGAGGTCGTCGATCATTATTCTCATCGCGCTTTAGATGACGACATGCGATCACAGATGGCTTTGGACTGGATAGCAAGGGAACACGATGCTCCCGAAACAATATCAAATCATTTACATAAAGCTTTGGATGAATTAAACTCTGCAAGGAAAGCTGGTAAAGAATTAAGATTTCCCAAAGAGAAACGAGATATTTTACAATTGGCTCTCAGTCAACTGCCACAAAGCCATTCTTTTAATGGAAATTATGAAGATATCAGTACAGCGTAGTCTATCTGAATGGCTTCCCTTTCCCTCTAACTATATACACACAGCAACAGACGTTGCTCAATACTCCTAGTAAATAGCTACTATGTGATACTCAATTTCAATCTCCACTTTCTTTTTTCCTCTCCACTTGCATTAGTGCACCTCTAACTTGTTGCATCTATTTTGTTACCTATATCAACGAAAATTTACAATAAAAGAATAAACAAAACTATTTATTTCGTACAAAATTTCAACTTGATTATTTTGAGAATTCCATATGGTATTTCATATGATAAATATATATATATATAAAAAGTAATAAAAAAAAACTCCCACAGGAATGACAATACGTAAAAAAACATTTTTATACTATCAAACTATATTCCTAACTAGGCAGATTGTATTGCTTATAAAATATTTATATTCTTCAAATTGCTAAAAGATGTAAAGGATAAGAAATTTCACTAGAAAACAAACTATAACAAAACAATTAATATATCAAATAAAAATTAATACAGCAGCATCTTTCTTTTCATTTCCTAAATATGAAGAAAATAGGCCAAATGAATGCTGTTATTTTCTTCGTTAACTCTTTTATTATTATTATTATTATTTATAACAGTGTAAATCTATGGGAAAAAAATCCGTTTGAAGTCTATAGAAACCTTAGAACGCTCTTTCTTGTCCTTTCAAGATTAGCGCTTCTTTTTACCGGGTAAGTTAACAACATAGCGTTGTCCAACTTGTAATGGAGGAGAGAATCCTTCTGGATAGGAATCGTCTTCAAATTGTAATTGATAATTGTCGGTTGCCTGTAGGTAAGGAAAGATGATAAAATGATAACCTTTTTAGTTTAGTTGGGAAGAAAAATCGTTTGCTTATACCCTTTCTGGACGTTTATGAACAATAGCGTGGTAGAAGCAAGTTGTCTGAGGATACAAGGCCAGTACGTCCTAATTGGGAAATAAATATCCAGTTAAAAATAGATACAGTCTGGTTATTTTGTATGAACTACAGACATCTCCGACTTGAAAGAGTGCATCTGGATCAGTTTCCGGGTTAGCTTTATAGATTGGTAGCGGAAGAACTTTCGAACGGGCTATACGATATTTTTCGTTTCCTTCATCAACGTCCTCCACTTCGAAACGATTAGTAGAAGGCCAATGATTTGTTATTGTTGCTAGAATCCAATTTTCTTCGCCATCATTGTTCTTTACCCTAGCAGCTATCTAGAATTTCACAAAAGAGGTAGAAAATCGTTTGAGAATTTAGTCAAATGATATAATTAATAAAAATTACTACAGGTAAATAAAGGTTATCTGAGGAAACCTTAGAACAACAAGCATTTTCTCTTTTTTTGCGAAAAAGTGGTGTTATAAACTCGCTTGGAAACCAGAATAATCTTTTTACTTACCTTATCTCCAACCTGTGGAATATAATCCGTCGGAGCCGGTTTTGATCCACTCAATGGAGGGCTTTCCTCGCCCAACTCTCCAACCCACAAAGGCAAACTATTAGCACTTTGTTGTAGTATTGAGAGTAGAACGCCTCTTCGTAATTTTTCTTTAGGTTGGGATAATTGAACTGCAATAAGGATGGATATAGTTTATTTTACAAAAGACTGTTAAAGTAGCATTTAGCTAACCTCTTTGAGATAGGAACTGTTTTATATCAGTAATTCTCCTAAGGGCATCCCTAATGGCAGTGGTTTCGGCTTGAGCGTCTTGCATAGCAGTACAATAGAGTCCTTTCAGCTTTTGTCTTAAATACGATGACACTACAATTGAGAAAAACATTAGCGTATAAGTTGAATAAAATATAAAATATACGTACTACTTTTGTTTTCTTGTATAAAGTGTTCGTGTGTTTTTGTAATATTACTTAAAGTATGCTCGCTATGAGATCTTTCTTCTTGAACTTTAAATATAGACTTTCTCAGATCGCCTAACATTAAATGCATCTTTTCCACAGCTTCATTTTTCTGATTATGGTGATTATGCTTGTGAATTCCATTCGTTTGCTTGCTCCTACCCATTTTCAATTAACAAAGAAGAGTAGATGCTGACCTGTTTCGATAAAAATAATGAAATTAATATATTATAAACTGATAAAACACACTAAACTAACGAAAGAAAAGTTACTTTAAGTCAATTTGAACCATTTATTTGTCAGATCGCATTTATAATTATGCCTATATTATTAAAAATCACCGGTTTTTTCTTCCAAAATAGTGTAAAATATACAAGAAATATCATTAAACTGGTTACCAGTATTTTGACACGTGATCAGTCACGTGTTATGACGTCATTTTTTTGTTGACGTTCTCATTGATTCGCCATTTTGGTTTTACGCTCATGGATTAGGTGGTATTGAAATTATTAGAACATCAAATTTTCAGCATACCTAGGTGCCAGAAAGCGCTTTTGAAATTGTTCACTTTCAGGTAATATATAAATTTTTCTAACATGCAGAAGCATGATCAATTTTGGCAATCTACATCTTATTAAAATGAATCGATTTCATCTTGTTTTCGGTTTCCCAACCACCCATTGGTTATTGTGTATTGAACAATTATAGAGAATATTAGATATATAGCGAAATGTAGCATTTGAACAATAAGAATAGCAGAGAAAAACTGAAATCTTGAAATGTATTCGATTCTACGCCTTTAGCCTTGACACTCAGCTAGTTTGTTATCAAATAAACGATGTTTTTAAGACTTATAGTTTTATGTGTATGGAAAATAATTTGGAAATTTGAGATATACGAATTATACTTTACCATAAAACAGCTTGAATTTTTGTTATTTTGCTATTTCCCATCGATTATTGTCCAGTAACTAATCAGATCTTATCTTATCGTTAGATTGCATCATTTAATTTTTTCATTAATGTATTTATGTTGAAATTGTCTTTATTTTGATAATTTTTTTTAACAGGGAAGCACTGAAATAATTTTCCCTCATCGTCAGTGTATAATTTCAGTAAGTATACATTCTTTTTTTATATATATATATCCGCCGATTCTTAAAACAAACTTTGGAATTTGGCTAAATTCTTTTTAAAAAGGCCTTTCCTCTACATGTTTTTGATTCCACGAAAGATTTTTTTTTGTAAAAAAAATCAATGAAGCCAGGCTCAATTTTAGTTTATATCAATATGAATCTAGCCTATTACCTATATCACTTTTTTGGTGATGATTAGAATTGATAAAGAAACAATGACCTGGTTTTCAGATTCCTTCTTTCAATTTACTTAATCTAAATATATGTTATTATTATTATGTCTACCATTCTCATTCTTTATGTCACCTTGAGAATGTTTAAACAGACAAAAATAATCGAGTAAAGCGTGATTATTTTTCCTATATAAATGGGACTATTGACTGATTTGTTCAAACAGATCGGGCTCACTATGAACGATGGTGCTTTGAACGGATGCGAAAAATCAGATACCAACATGTCGCAAACAGGAAATGGTTTGGACGACAAGAGTTACGATCCCTTACTAACCGAATTATCTGGAGAAGTAATTCGTGAGCGAGATAAATGCTCAAATGGAACTATTGTTCTAACTTCATTTCGCCTATTGGTTCAGCGAAAAAATCTATCTGATATCAATGTTCCTGTAATGACAATTGATAGTGTTGAATGTAGAGATTTGTTTACGTTAACTTTGCTCTGTAAAAACGCTGGAGTTATCAGGTGACTATCATTATATAATCGTACGATAAAGTATGGTACGATAGCTATTTTAAGTATATTTTCTTTAGGCTATTTTTACTCTTATATACAATCAATAGTCATTTGATATAGGATTTTTTCTTCTATAGAATATCGTTCGATACGAACGAAATTTGTACGCGATGGCAAAATTTCATTTCGGATGCTATAAAACCTCCTACAAACACAAGAGATTTGTTTGCATTTAAATTTAAAGAAGCAGAAGATAGTTCTCTGGCAAACGCGTCAAACGGTTCAGACGAATCGAAAGGCACACAAGCCGAGGAGCTAGACTCTGAACTAGAATTATACTACGCTGATACAGAACGTTTTAAACACGAAGCCAAACGTCTTGGTTTCATTGGCGATGAAAATACCGATTCACCATGGGCGATAACCGATTGCAATAATGAATTTCGAATTTGTGAAAGTTACCCGCCACAGCACATAATACCAAAGGAAATAACCGATGAACAACTCAAGACCGTGGCTAACTTTCGTTCGTCAAACCGTTTTCCCAGCGTTGTCTGGAGGAATAAGAAGAACGGTGCAGTGATCTTAAGATCGAGTCAACCTCAAGTTGGCCTTTTAGGTTGGAGATGTGAAGAAGATGAGAATCTGCTTTCGGCTGTGTGTAGAGCGTGCGCACAGTATAATTTCGACGATGAAAATGAGGATGAATGTTCAAAGAGACGACAACCCAATAAAGATACCAATGGTAGGCATTCATTTAAAAACAAAAAACAATTTTAATTGACAAATATCGTATTGAATATGCTATCAATATTTAAAAAATGTCTATTTATCTTTTAAATTTATTCATTCATTATTCAGTTTTATTTATTTAATGTTTATACTATTGATTATCTAGGTAACATGCAGAAGATGCTTATTCTTGATCTGCGATCGTATGCTTCTGCGATTGCGAATAGAGCAAAGGGTGGAGGAAGCGAATACACGGAGTATTATAATTGCGAAATCCAATACTTGAATCTAGTAAATATCCATGAAATAAGGAAGAGTTTTTGCGCCTTGCGTCAAAATTGCTGCGCTTCCTCTCCGGATAATACTCTCTGGTGGAGTGGCGTCGAAAATTCAAAATGGCTTCATTACATTTCAGCTCTATTAAGGAGCGCTATTATCTGTGTGGATGCTGTAAAAGACGGTCGACCAGTGTTAGTACACTGTTCAGATGGTTGGGATAGAACACCACAAGTAACTGCTCTCGCAGAATTAATGATGGATTCCCATTATCGTACCATTGATGGTTTTCGTTATTTAGTTGAACGAGAGTGGTTAGATTTTGGTCATAAATTTGGTGATAGATGCGGTCACGGCAGTAATGCTATTAACGGTAATGAAAGATCACCAGCTTTTCTACAGTGGCTAGATTGTGTCTTTCAAATGGTTAACCAGTTCCCAATTGCTTTTGAATTCAACCAGTCATTTCTTTGTAAACTTGTTCAACATACCTATTCCACCCTATTTGGAACGTTTTTATGTAATAGTGTCAATGAGAGACGATGCGAGAATATAGGCCAGTTTACAGAATCGATATGGCGTAAATTGTTGAACAGTACCAATTATAAAGTGAGAAACTTTTTGTATAGTCGAACTGATAAAATTCTCAAGCCTTCCTATCATATGAGACGTTTGGAGGTTTGGAAAAGTGTTTATCTAGCATATCAAGACGACGAAGTAACCAATGATCATATACAAGATACAGTGGCTACTACCACTGTAAACATAGCATCTGAAAGAGAGGCTCCGGTGAAGATATTAAGAACTAGATCAGTAGACGACCTCATTGTTGCTGAAAGTGACCATATACAGTGTTCAAATAATTTGTTGGATGAAAGGAGTAGACGGCTCAGTGATCCCAACTTGCATGAAGCTATAACTAAACCAACTGTTCATTTCGACATTCTTACTAATTCGACCAGCAGTAATAATAGTGCTCCGGTCGTAAATGTAGTTGAAGATACGAAAATACTGCAGAATTCTACAGACACGATTAAAGAAGAGAACGGTCATCACTTGAAAGAAAGGACAGTTAGCACATCAACAACTGATTTGGCAAGAACGGATATTGTCAATGCCATTAACTCGTTTAAAAGTTTAAAAACTTTGCAGTCCAGTTGCCCTCCAACGCCAGGAGCGGATTCGAAGGTGAATGACAAATTTATATTTTTTATTGAAAAATTTATAGTATACATATATATATATATATATATATATATATATATATGTACATATACACTGTTACACTGTAAGCAATTAATAATTCAAAATTCAGTCGCTTTCTTCGACTTCTTCCGCTTCCTCCACTGGATTCGACTGGGATGGCCTGTCAACATATATGGATCCAGCCACTAGGAGATTAGTAAATCTCTGCCTCGAGCAGAAACGTCAAGTGGAAGCCTTCAAACAACAAGTCAGCGGGCTTACGGAACAACTTGTAGTAAAAACGTTAGAAATTCAGCGTATAGAATCAATGGTAACGGCGGGTGAAGACAGCTCTTCTATTCTTATGGCTGAACCGAATCAGGTAATAAAATTTTATTTTAGCTTTGGTTGATTGAGGGAGATTTTTTTTTCAATCGCCTTTAACTTACTAAAGCGATCATACCCGATTGACATTTCAAGAAGGACCGAGGAGAGCAGTCCGACGGTGAATGGAAGTTTGGGAAGTACAGCGGGAGGAGGTTCAATGAGTGGAGCTAGTGACAACAGTTTTGAATATGTCGATGAGAAGGAAATATGCCCTAACGGTCATTGGATCCCTGATCATGCCTCTAATAAGTGCCATGAATGTCAACAAGAATTCAGTGTGACCATTCGAAGACACCATTGCCGTAATTGCGGTAAAATCTTTTGTAACTCATGTTCCAGTTATAAATCAAGGGTGCCGAATCAACAATTGCATGATCTTCAAAGAGTATGTGGATATTGTTATGACATAATTAACAATCAATTTAGATTGTCGCCTGTCACACAAGCTACAAAGGTTAAGTAAACGATGAACTGTTAATTTTTCGAAAATCTTCCAATCCGATATAGAGAATAACACTTAACGGTTCAGAAGTTGCTTATTGCTCAATTATTGGAATAACAATATAAAGCAGCCGCCTCAGCTAAGGGAATTCTCCTCTCGTCATATATTATATACAATTTATTATTATTACAAATGATAATAATAATACCTTCTCTTTTCAACTATCCTACTCTCCTCCCGCGGCCCTTTACACCATCTCTCTGTGATAACGTCGGAAAACTTTTAATTGTTCTACGTAGGAGCATCAATATACTCCTACAAATGTTCTGTTTTTTTCGACTGCAATATCGAAAGTAGTATTACGTTTTAACTGTAGGTTAATTTCGCTTTAATCGATTCAGTCATTGCCGAATAGCATGGGATTAGCAACAACAAAATATGATGTGCATTCTTAATTTTTTTTTTTTTTTGAATGAGAATCTGGCTATCAATTCTGTAATGGCTACTACTATCCTATAAAAAATAATATATCATGATTTTACATTGCACAAACCTGAATAAATATATCAATAGTTGTAAAAACAAAACGGAAAATTTTGCATGGTTTGAGTTGATTATTATTTTTCTCTCATTTTCTGGCTTGACTGAATATATATCTTTATATGCATATATTCATCTTTGCAGGATAAAGCAACTATTAGGGAGCATTTTATAATTTTTCGCTTTTTTTAACTTGAAAGCTTCAGCTCGGTGATATTGATTTATAATATTATATATATAGTTTATATTTTCATTATATAATCATAAATTATTGTAACAATCGAAAGTAGAAAACGTGTTGTGTGTAAATATGTTGACCACATGTAAGCTGATCATGAAATTGTATACTCTTAATGAGGAGACATATGAAAGACGGCAGCAATTTGTTTGTCCAGTTAGTTTCTCTCCGGCTAGACTCAAGCAAAATGCCATTTTATGTTCTAGAATATCTTGGTTGTTAACATTCTCATTCTGATCTAAATAGTATGAATGAAGAACAATCCTAACATAACTAATATCTTAGCACAAAATATTTATTATAAAAGCTTAATTATTAATTTTTTCTTCACTGTACAAATGTAAAACTGCAATATAAGTTTAGTTTTATTTTTTTCTATTCTTTTTTTTTTTTTGTAGAAGGATTTAACATTAAAAGTGTTACAATAGAAAGATTTTCGATAAATGCCTAGTTGAACTGACTAGCTGAAAAAAAGCTCTCTAATAAAAGTAACTAAAAAAAGATTTTAGTACAATTGAAAAGTACAAATATAAAAAGTCACTTGTCCAAATAAACATTTCGAGTTTATAACAGGAAAATGTAACATTTATTTAGGTCTTCTTTAAACATTCTCTTCCTATTCATCTCATTAAATCTAATTGTGTCATATATTTTATAATATAAAATTTGCAATATTTAACAAGGAATTGTTTAATTGCTACACTTATTAAGAAAATTACTAGCAAATAATGAGTTCAACATGTACTATTCATATTGAATAGGCTATTCTACTTAATGTGCACATGATTGCCAATGATTCGATTATCAATCTTTATACTAAGATTCTAATCTGCTAATAGCTTAAAAATCTATTTAAAAGCCAGTAGTTAAACAGAGCTTATGCAAAACAAAAGTACACTGATATAGGAGAATCAAAGGAAGAGACGGTGTTCTTCGCTCTTTCCTCTTTTTCTTGTTTTGTTTATATCCATCTGATGAAAAATGATTAATAAATATTAATATTTTGAAAGATATTTCTTTTTCTTTACACAGTATTAGTCTGATTTTTTTTAAAAAAAAGAGGAGAAAGTGAAAGAGAGAGAGAGATAAAGAGAAATAGATGGAAAAAAGGATTAAGTAAACTTTTTTAAAAATTCACGAAGCCATTAAAAAAAGGGAATTAAAAGGTTTATTGTAGACTTTTGAAATAAATAGAAATCTCTGTTGCCTTTGTTATTTTCCAGGAAATTAGGAAAAAGGTTAAAAGTAACTGGATATAAAAATTACGAAGTTGTATAGAACAAAGAAAATTTCGTGGAGATTAATCAATATTTAATCTAGGTTCTTTTACAAAATTAAAGAAATCCTTTAAAAATATAAATTACATCTGAGAAAATTGACATTCTCTATCCTTTTCTGTCTGTACTTCTGATCATATCTACTATATTTACGTCTTCTTTGTTCACCCCTCCTTCCCTCTCTCTCTCTCTCTTTTCTGTTTTTTTGCACATGTCCATCTTATTTCTTACATTACGAATTGATGCTTTCTTCCTTTCGCATGCAGCCGTTGAATAGAGCATAAAACGTTAAAAGAAAAATACCTTTGAACTTTGCACTTTTTAGCAAAAAAAAAGTAAACAATTAGTTAAAAAGACCAAAATAAATGTACATCCTGAAGAGACGACTGATTTTGTCATCTGCATTGTTCTCATAGTTACATTTTCTATTGATGAGTTAAATTAAAATACAAAAAAGAAACAAAAAGAAACAAAAACCATAAACAAAGTTGTCGATTCTTTGAAAGAGAAGAAACGAAGGATGAGAATTTTTTTTCCTTATGAAAATTAAGAAGAAAAGGAAGATAATAATAATGATGATGGTGATGATTAAAGAGACTCTTATTTATAATTATTATTAATTTTCTATGTATCTTGACAATTTCATCTTAGTTTAATAGATTAATAATACAAAATACAAGATGTGCACTTAAATAAAAAGTCCTTTTGTTTTGAAAGAAGTTTAAACGGAAGGGCGGTATGTTCCATCTATCAATCCTATTTCGTTCCTTTTTCCATAGATTAAATTTCTTAGAACTCCTTAGTATAAATTTACAGAAGTTTAACTATTCACCACATCTAAAAATTTTCTTCTTCTTAGGATAAAAAGACTTAATTACATGTTCTTTATAAAGGAAATACTGTATATGCAAGAATTACTAACCAATTAAATTAATGATCTCCTAGCTATTGTTATTGTGGCTGATCTTACGAAAAAATGATGTATGTAAAGAGGATCTCTATGCCTACTTTATCTTTTTCTATTCAGGATATCTCTCTTTTAGTTAATAATTTTGAAAGAATAATTACTACGTAAAAGATCTTTACGAACGAGCTTTTCTTCAAGGATTAACAATAAAAAAGGTTAATGATCAGGTCCTTGGAAACCTTGAAAGAAATCTATAACAGTATGAAGCATGATAGAGTAACAGACACTTGTTACATTTTATACAGAGAAATAGTAAATTGCTTTTCTCATTATCCTTTTTTTGGCCTAGCCTACTTTTTTTCCTTCTTCTGTATACAATATACAGTATACTGTATAAAAAGGTATTTCCTACCTACCTCTCTCTCTCTCTCTCTCTCCCTCCCTTTCTTTCCCTTTAAAGAGTAAACAACTTTAGATACTCAATATTGAAAATTAATGATGATAAAATGAATATTTCATATGTTACCTTATCTACTAATATCTAATTACTTAAAAGACTTGGAGTTCTCCATCTGTATGTATATATTTATATGTATGTATGTATGTATGTATGTATGTATGTATGTATGTGTGTGCATGTGCGTGCGTGTGTGTGTGTGCGTGTGTATGTGTACATCGTACAGTATGTACAAACCGCCCACTTCCCCCCCCCCCCCGTCCCTCCTATTCTTCTCTCCAACATGAATATCAAAATAACAGTTTGAAATACAAAAATCAACTTATCTATCTCTTCATCCCATGGCACAACAAATGTTAATGATTTAATGAGTTCAAGCACATCTGTAAATAAATAAAAAAAATCATTAATTTTCCATTGATAACAAAAACGATAAATTAAAAAAAAAATTAGAAATGAGATAGGATAGAATTGAAAATAAGATGATAGGATTTTGATAGTTCTCCTATATATTAGTAAATATACTGTATTATATCACTATATTCGTTTATTCTCTTTAATAAATACACACTTACACAAAATACAAGCAATAAATTTATAGTTTGTCAACATGATTATCTTACAAACAATTGACTTAATGATGTTTATTAGAAAACAACTATTATTTATATTATCCCTATATAGAATTATAATTATTGCTTTTCTCCCTTAGTTAACTCTTTTCATAGCTTGTAAAGAAAAACTATATACAAACAAGCTCTAAAATTGTTATTTCTTTTACCTAATAGGCCTATAATTAATTATTACATATTAAATATGATACAAGACATTTTTTGTTTAATATTTAAATAAATAACTGAGTTGGGTTGACGAGATAAGAAAAAGTTCAAGGCTTTGAAAATTCCTTGATAATATTATTATTATTATTATTTCTTTACTATAATTGAACTATATACAGAATTGCTCTCATTGATTGTAAAATATCTTCAAATGTCTTACAATTCAGCTAATTTATAAAGAAAAATCCCTTTAAGAACATTTATTTTCTTTTTCATTCTTTATTAACAGTTCTAGAATATGGCTTTTCTTCCTTTCGTCATCTCTTTTAGGTAGGAAGATTTGACTTTTGTTGAACTTTTAACCTTTTCTTCTTGTTTTGCTAGTAGCTTTAAAGAAGAAACAGCTAAAGAAACCCTGAAAGTGATTATAATGATCTTATTTTATAGTTACAAAATTATGATGTATCAAATCAGGATAAACATTTCGTTTGTAATAATAATAATAATAATATAACAAAGCTCAAGTTGTTGGTGTTTAGTATTGGCTTGTTTTTCAAAGTGACTTTTTTTATTGCTTTTAAGAAGAATTATTAGTTATTTCTGTTTGATAAATTATTAATAGTACGGCATTTAATTTACATTCGCCGCGTAGTATTTGGAACCTTTAATAAAATAGTATTTCCGTTTCCTGTTTCCATTTTCCTGCGGCAAAATAGTCAGCTTACGGTGTGTAAAAACTATTTCTATTTTACAGCAAACAATTATTTCTTAACTTTAATACCATCAAAAATAAAAAGGTAAGTAGTTTCATTTTATTATAAATTTTGATTTGCGATCGCATCATACAAAAACCTCGTTTTGACTGAGCGTCTAACATTTGTTTTTTATTTTCCAATCCTCTCTATGCGTGACATTTACAACAACCTATTAAGACTGTGGATAAAACGAATAATTATTTATGACTAACGATATCCATTGCAAGTATTGTAATGTCTGTTGGATTGTTTTTTTTTTTTTAAAAAGATCCTTTTGCGAAACAGAATATAATGTAGGGCATTGGTTTACAAGATTATGTTTAGTTGAGTAAACCTAGTCCATATTATTATGAACATTTCATACGAATTCCTTACAAATTTAAATATTTTTAACTGCAAAGTGGATTTACATATTTTTGGCAGGAAATGAATGAAAATAGAAATGGTGAATCCTCTGAAAGGTTGGTAATTCATCAATTGAAGACATGACCAAGTTTTTTATAATATATATCTTTTCAGAGAGACAGAGGAAAACGAACGTGAGCAGATATCCAGAGAAAAAATTGCCTGTAGCAAACAAGCTAGAAGTGTTAGCATTCCTGAAAAGTTTATAATCTTTTTTTCAAATAAATATTATTTCCTTCAGGATTCATCAGACTCCAAGTCTGAACACGAACATGCAAAGTCTCATAGGGAAGGTCGAAGGAATAGGGATGATTCAAAAAAGGAAAAAGATCGTAGACGTCATCATCGCAGAAGACGATCTCGATCCCACTCTCGGCATCGTCACAAGGTTGTAGTCTAATCGTTTGTAAGCACTTTGTCAAATTATGATCGTCTTTTATTAGAGATCAAGACATCATGGTTCACATAAATCGAAGTATAGACATCACCGAGAGTCGTCTTCTCGCCACTCAACTTCAAAACACCGACGCCGGAGGTCAAGATCAAAGACAAGATCTAGATCTAGATCGAGAACTCCAAGTCCTCCAAGAATGATTGAAAGAAGAGAGGAATCTCCTAGAATAAAACGAGAACCTCTACGGATTAAAGCTATGGAAGAAAGAATGAAAATGCTGAGAGAGCAGGTAAATCCTTTTTTGTTAATCTGTTATTTTCTTTTCGAGAAAGCCTTATAACCATGTAGAATTAATATCTATTTCAGGCGGAACAAATAACTGGCGTTGAAGTACCAAAGTATTATAATCCAACGGCAGTGAATCCTCTCAAAGTAGCTGAAATTGAAAAAAAGAAGAAACTTCTATGGGGTAAAAAAGAAAAGGTACCCGAAACAAAGATAGCAGAGCCTGAAGCAATTCAGGCTCATGGAGAATCAGTTTGGGCTTCCGCTCAATTCTCTGATAATTCTTGTCAAGAGAAGTTTAGAAAATTAATGGGTATGAAAGGAGAAATGCAAACGCCCAAGAGCGAGACCTCTAATAAACAAACGGAATTATTCAATAATTTGGATAAGGAATATGCCTTGGCGAGAATGAGTACTCATACTCATCGTGGAGTTGGTTTAGGATTTGCATCCTATGCATGCGACAGTTCTAAAAAAGATGACTGAATAATTAATTTAAAGAAAAACGATTTTGTTTATTTAATACTAAATTTATACTTTAGTTTTTTTTCGCGTGTTCTCTTAAAATTCACGCAGGATTATTCCATTACACGACCTATTCTAAAGAGAAAGCAGTGCGACATCTTACACATTTAAATCATTTATTGTTCTTTTCGTTTACATTTTATACTGTTTTTCTTTCATTAAATTTATCAAGTGTTAATACTGTAACATAAGTTGAACGTTTGTTAAATAAACTGAGAATTATGGAAACAATACAAATGCAAGAAGAGAACTATTACCCAAGTAACAGTAATATATTGAGTAAGATGCTCTTTTTTGTATCCACAAAAAGAGCCTGTTGATTAATGTTTCAAAAAAACCATTCTGTTTTTCTTCTGTATTTACTGGTGGAAAGAGTAAAAAAAAGTTTTTTTTATACCTTTTCTTGTAGATAATAGACAGAATTAAGTAACCTCTTAGATCAAGCAGAGACCCAGAGTATACCCTTTTTTTATACTAGTAATAAATAGATTTATATTTCAGGTCAATTGCACAAGCCATCATAAAACCCTTATTCCCGTATCCTCTTTAAAGTTCTAATTTGAATTCAAGTCTTTCAAGTATCGTCGTAAGGTCACCTCGAGTATAAAAAAATTGCCATTAATTATATTTTCTGTCTATTTTAGTTACCTTTAAAATTTATGAGTTCAATTTTATACTAATTTCCATTCTAAAAAAGACTATATGCGGTAAAAATCACCATAATTTGTTAAAGGATTCAAGTATAACTGAACTGTTAATAGAGCCTGAATAGATAAATAAAAGTAGAATATTTTACTTATTAAAGAGGCTATTTGACTCAACATAAGTATAGGTATATTTGAAACTGTTTCTAAGTTTCCTTCAATATCATCTTGTTGCTCTAAAGTGGAAGATTTTTGAATATTTATAGAATATTTTACCTCCTTCTTACATGTTTTCTATTATTTTTAATAAATTTAATAAAAGTAAATTCGGGAAAGCTAAGTATAATATTAAGAAACTTTTTTCATAGAGAGTATATATGTATATCGTTATCATGATTTGTCTGTCTGTCTGTCTCTCTCTCTCTCTCTTCCCTTTCTTTTTCTCGCGTTTCCTACAATAAAAACGTTACAAATTTTTCCTTTTTTCCATAATATTTCCCCTTATTATATATCTGTATTTGTTAATCTCCAACAACAGCAAATAATGATTTTTTTCACAACATCAACTTACAACATTTCAATACAAGTCACATTTCCCTTACATAAGAGAGTTATAATACAAAAAATGCATTTTCGAATCCTGCTCTAATTGTAACTATACATTTATTGGCACATAGATGACAGTTAAATAAAATTGTTTAAAAAACAAAAGTTCACAACACTTACATGCAATGAAAACATTTAGAAAAGTCGTAAAAAGTAACATCTCGATATAAAGATTTATGAAATGTTTCTTTAGGCTATTTTAAGAATTTAATATAAATGAAATGAAAAGAAAAATAATAAGTCAATAATTGAAGTATAAAAATTAAAAACTTAAATTAATCAAGACAAAATAAAAATATAAGTAAGATAGCGCGTAATGTAATTTGAATGAAAATGATTTGAGAGAAATTGTACCGTACCTGCATTCATTTTTGTTATTTTTTATATAATTTCTATAACATATCTATACATAAATTTTATACTTTGTTTTTTATATGTATGTATATAAAGAGCAAAGGCAGATAATGGATATTTAAAAGAAGAACAGGATTAGAGTACGCATCAGGCACAGTTGGCGAATGCTTAAGTCGAAAGACATAAAGTAAAGCAAGTGTAGTATCAAAATAAATTATACAAATAAGTCACAGACAGGCTGTTCTTAATATACAAGATATATATATATTCGATAATTTGACATTGTTCCTCCGATTGAAAATATACGTAAAGTATACATTAAGTTTAAATATAGTGTTCATGCAAGTATCAATATTGTTAACTAAAACAAAACTACTCTTATTAGTTGATAAAATGGTGCAAAAAAACTTAATTAGTGAGTAAATGATCTATTCTAAGTGAACCAGTGATGTACTCATCATCATTTTTTCAATTATTTACAGTGTCCAAAGAAGTAATTTCATGATAAAAATACAAAAAGGTGAAGTAAATAAAAAAAAAGTGCTTAAATAGTCGAAATTTCATTCGAATAAGTGCGATAAGTGCAAGTGTAGCAGTACTAAGGTTTTATCAGTTTTTACTAATAATCTTTAATTATGTCAAATAATAGAATTTCTAATTCTAATTAATAAAGAAAAATAATCAATTTTCTCTTGGTTTCCTTTATGTGCATTCTTATTTTACCGAAGGCTACTTTCTCATAATTAAATTCTTACCGTTCTCTTTTTATAAACAAGACCACAAAAAAAGTGATAAACTAAAAGGAGAGTTTGGAAATAAAATTAGACTATTTTCTTCATTATTTCCAGTTATATAATATATATTGTTTAATTCTTACAATAAATAAACCATGTCAAATATTTTTGTTCATTAAATATTCTCATAATATTTTGATTTGGATCAACAAAAAATGACTTACGGTAATTAAATACCGCTAAATGAACGTAGTATTCAGTTACTATCCATCAGTATACAATAAGTCTATTGCGTCTAAAAGCTTATCTCATAGGCGTTAATTACTTTTTACGACTTTCTGAATACGACAAATTTTTATACATTACAACATAATTACATGATTTTTTTTCTTTCACCATCAAAAATACAATATAAATTTTAAACTTTATATTTACAAAAGCCCCTTCTAATCGTCTACAAAGTTGATAACCAAGAATAGGTTCATTTTCTGTCGGTAAGAAAATTACGTCAGAATATTTATTGGTTTCTTTTCTTTCCCGCTCTTTCTATAGTATTATCTTTATTCATTTTAAATACAAATGAAAATGCTTACCGAGAACTATATACATTGATTATATACGAAAAGAAGCTCTTTTCGTTCTCTTCCTCCTCTTTAAAGTCTTCTGTCGGTTCATTGATTGTTGCTACAATTAATTCTGCCATTGATCGCTCTCATTCAAACATATCTCTGGACGAAATCTCCTTCCATTCAAAGTATCTGTGGAGGGTAAATTAAATTAAAAAGAGAACTATAAAAAAAATAGAAAAATAGAACAATAGAATTTTTGAAACTTTCGAACATTCTTTTATTCTATTTTAAAAAATATTTTTTCCAAAAATCGAAACTTACAATGTTTTCAAAGTTTATTTTCTGACCAATAAAGAAAGTTTTCGCAGAAGACTGAAAAAGTTTGTCCTGACACCAAGAACTGGCGTTTACGGACTGAGAAACTTTCTGTTCAGCGCCTGCGTATAAACGTTCTTCTTTTATCGAACGTTGTTCTTAGTGTTTGGAATGTTTAACATTGTCCATAATTTTCCCCGCACATTATATTTTCTAAAGTAAGAATCATGGAGAATTTTTGAATAAATTAAGGGAACGTTCTCTATTCTATTGATTATCATTCTTTCACTCTGGTATAATATTATTAGAGAAAAAAACCTAGAATATTAATTAATTATTACAATAATAATGAATTAGAAAGAAAAAGCGAAAAAAAATTATTTTTAGGCTTACTTTTAAAGGAAAAGAACACTCCAATAGCTTTTTTTTTCCAAGTGCGTTTCTAACTGAGGGATGCAGTCTTATTTACAATAGGAATCTAATTAATATCTTTTTACCATACAGATAACTCGATTAGATAGCTTCGAAGAATTTGCAAGTATAAGAGGGAATTTTGAATGGAAGAATTGGCTAAGTACAATTTCTGACTTTGGGAAAAATGATCTATTTTGGCCTATAATTATATTTTTCTATTGAAGTGTATAATCGTAAATGTTTCCTGTACCTTGCGAATGATATCTAAATAATAATCCTTATTTAAGAAGGTTTAATTATTAGCTACTAAGAGATGATAGGGAAATCCTTCTTTTATCCTATTATCAAATTGACATACTTAGCGCGCCATCTGGCAGTTAAAGTATACTAAAAAGATTTTAAAATTAATAAAAAAGGATTTAATTTGTTGTAATTTTTCATAAACCGCATAACAAATTCTTATTATTATCAATAAGAAATATACCCTACTTTCACAGATGATATTTTACAATAATATATGACGATATTAGCAGCATAAATAAATTGGACGAAATTTTTTAACTACGAAGAATTATCATGTTTTCTAGTAGTTCTTAAGAGACATACTTGATCGCCCGAATGATTAATTATCACTCCACACATGGTATTCATTATTAGGTAAATATTATTAAGCAAATAATACTTTTTTCGAAGTTGGTTCAACCATAAGAAGAGCTGGTTTTTCTATGGCAGTTTGAAAGGCTTGCATGAAACTCTGAGCAATATCGTCGCTAACAGCTCTGTTATCGTATGAGAGTTGACTCATCATTGAATTAATTGTTGTTTCGTCTTCTTGAAAAACTTTTCTTGATCCCCCTAAGGCTAAAATTCCAACTTGTGGGGGATTAATAACGGCTGAAAAGAAATCAATTCCGAACATTCCGAGATTAGAAATGGTAAAGGTGCCCCCTTGAAATTCATGAAGTTGTAGCTTCCCATCTCTCGCTTTATGAGCTAAACTATTTACAGTTTCTGATACTTGTTTGACGTTTAGTGTCGATGCGTTAAATACAATTGGGGTAATCAAGCCTTCAGCGGTTGATACGGCAACTGAAATATCAATACTCCTAAAGACTCTAACGCCTTGATCATCACCTAAATAATGGGCATTCAACTCAGGTACAGTTCCAAGAGCGAATGCTGTTGCCTTAATGATAAGATCATTAACTGACACTTTAATGCCCTCCGCTTTTAGTTCCTGCCTCAAACGAAGTAGAGAAGTCATATTGCAATCGGCAATAGCATAGCTATGAGGAATAGAACTTTTCGATTCTGTAAGACGCTTAGCAATAGTTCTACGCATATTTGTGAGAGGAATATCTACATAGTCTCCCGTCTGAGAAGGTGTTGTAACCGGAGTAGCTATAAAGAAAAAGAAAAAAACGATTTTTTTTTTTTTAATAAACAAATTTATTCTTGCTTACCCTTTTTCGTAGGCTTTAAATTTTTCTTTTCAGTTTTTGATTGAGGCTTTAAATTCTTATTATTTATATAATCCAAAACATCTCTGTATGGGCAATAGCAAAAAAAAGATTTATATCTCTTCTTTTTTTTTTTTAATTTAAATATGTAAATTAACAAATTATTTTTTTAAAAAACTAATAATTACCCTTTCAGAACCATTCCGTTATGTCCGGTACCGGCTATATTATTAGCATCTAGTCCATATGCTTCTAAAATTAATCGAACAGCCGGACCGATTGGCATACTATAATAATTTTTTATTAGTAAAAATTAATACGGTTTAAATTACAACATACTTTCTATTGTTCGATTTTTGTGGACCAGTTTGCTCTTTTTTGGATTGATTAGACTCTGCAGTAGGTTTTATCTCTTCTGTTGTGGCATCTTTAGGAATTTCAACATTTTGCCAATCATCTCCCTCATCTACAACTAGACCGATTAGAGTTCCAACTTTGATATCTTTAGCATTTTCCTCTTTCTACCAATCAAAATTATCATTTTGATTAATCAATCCTTCGTTAATTATTCTGTAAATTTAAAAAGAACTTACAATAATCTTTGCTAATATGCCTTCATCCTCTAAATCAAAAGAAACGACTGCTTTATCGGTCTGTATTTCGCAAATAGCATCTCCAGCTTGAATAGCGTCTCCTGGAAAAATTTAGAAATGAAAATTCTGCAGCAAACATTTTCCTGCAAACCTTCTTTCTTTAACCACCTAACAATCGTTCCAGTTTCCATTGTGGGAGACAGAGATGGCATTTTAATTTTCGTTGTTGCTGATCAGTTGGAAAAATGTGTAAAATTATGATTTTAATGCATTGATTATAACCTATTTGCAACGCACCATGATTTATATTTTGAGTGTGAATTTTTTTACAATAAAGTGAGGCATTTACTGATGCAGAAATATTAAAACTCTTAAAAGCTGACAAAGGTCGATGCAATCTCAAACATCGAGCCGCCATTTTCGCATCGTCTGCTTAAAAGTCGGGCGTGCTTAATATAGGATGGGATTGAACATTGGAACTTGGATCTAAATTTAGCAATCACTCATGACAAATAGACAACAACTAATTAAAATTCATCAGCAGACAGGACAAACAGCTGGAAAATAAATGTATATATATAATTATATATTTAAATATATACGTATAAAATCTAATTAAAAATTCTTCCTTACAAAAATTAATCTATTTTTAAAATTTTCGAATAGTTTGTAAGAGTTTATAAACTAAGTTATTTTTCATTAAAAAGATCCTTATCATATAGATCTGTTAGTAGAATGATAAAATAAAACTTATCTATTAGTTTCATCTCTTTAAAGAGTAACATTAATCTGACATTAAAAAGTTTACTATTTACTGAATAACTTCTGAACCATTAAAGATATTATTGTTGCTAAACAAATATTTAAACTATTTAACTGTTTTATATAAAAATTTATTGGTTTTTGTGTATTAAGTAAAAATAAATATTACTTTTTTCTCTTAAAAAGCATTTGGAATAAGTTTTTGAACAAAAAGAGAAATGTAGAAAAAAGAGAGAGAGAGAGAGAGAAATTTTTAAAAAATGTCTATTTATTGTCAATAGTTGCTCTATCTAACCATTTGGAAACAGTAACATTTATAAGATGAAGTCGATCTATTGGACCAGGATGGCATTCGATCAAAAGTTTATGATTCATTAAGGCCGCTGTAAAGTTAATAAGGTTTTTAAATTATGAAAGAGATTTTTTTCTATTTAAATGGTTTTTGTACTAACGAAATACTCCAAAAAGGAAAAAATGTAGACTTTGTAACCGAAATCTCTTTTTATCATCCAAAATACTACAAGTATCACATAACTTTTCATCAAAAACGAAATAACGTGCAACATCGGTTGAAAATAATTTATTCATAACGTTATTTATTAAATGGCTACCAGTTTCTCCACTTTTCCTTGAGATAATTTTATGCTTATTAAATAATAATTATCTAATTAAAGCATTTACTTGAATTATATTAAAAGTATACGAACTAAAACAAATATTGAATCTTGTTGATTGTTATCCAACAATGCGGACGATAGACCATTTAAATCTTTAATTGGATAAACTGAATCAAATAATTGTTGTTCTTCATCTTTTATTTCATCTTCCTTCGACATTAAACATATCCCATAAACCCCATTACGATAAGAAGTAACTTTATATAAAGATGAAAACTTTGTTGTTAGTTCATCTAAGACAAGCAACAAAAAGTTTTTAATATAATTATCTTCTTTTCAAAGTATCAATTACAAGCAATCTTTCATTGTACATATTGTTCTCCCCTTAGTTAGTTCCCCCTCCCCTATTGTATTGTAAAAGTTCATAGAGTGCATGGATATTTAGGCAGCTATATGTATATATATACAATTTTCAAACTATTATTTTAAGACTTACGACATATTGCTGAAATTTTATCTTCATCGCAGAGAAATTCAACTCTTCTAGTTCTGTTTAAATTAATTATATAGAATATTAATTCACCCTTTTGCTTTTTAACTTTCATCCACAAAGTCTTTAACTTCACCTCAAAACTTGGTCGAAAGTTTCTTCCTTGTTCACTACATTTGAAATTATATCCTTACAATAATAAGTATTATACTAATTGAAACAAACAAACCTAAGGAGTTTGTCTTATTTATCATTGTCATTTTATCAACTTCGATAAAACAATCGCGCATAAAAGGGTTCACCATTATGTCGTTAATTTTTATAAGACAAGGTCCAATTAAGCCTAAATTTTTTGGAAAGTTTGAAGTATAAGTCGGACTTTCGAAAGCGGTCCATCTCTCTGAGGTATTTTCGTCTTTGATGTAAGTGTCTAAATCGTCTAATCTTTCAGACCAATCTGTGAAGATAAGTTTCTTTTAGGATTATCACCATTATTAAGCAATACTACAGAGATCGATAGAGAAAGAGAGAGAAAGGGTGAAGGAAGAAAGAAACAGAGAGAAGGGAGGAAGAATAGAGATATAAAAAGATATAGATAGATAGAGAAGAGAAAGATATTCTTACAATTCTCCGATCTCATTCTCGTTCGGTCATCATCTAGAAATATTTTTACGCTACGCTGTAAAAGTTTTTGTAAAATGACGTTTATTTTTTGCCATTCTATATCGAATTCTTCCATATCTTCATTGCAATTAGTAATGATACAATCTTCGAGATCATTCGTTAAAAGAAGTGGAGATTGATCCATTGCAATCGGTATATCTTCGAAAGGAAAGAAGAAATCAACTTCTTTCAGAAAATCATCATTATCATCAACAACTTCATTTTCATTCAGGATTGATTCTTCTGCAAAAAAAGAAATAATACTGTAATTAACTGACAAACAAACAGTTACAAGTGTTGCACAATGCAAAGAACAATAATAACAGACTTCGCAACTTTTAGTTACGATATAGAAAGAATTTCTTCTAATTAACATGAACATTCTTACGTACTCATCATCCTTAAACAATAAAGAATCTTTGCATAGATAATTAGCTGATATTCTAGAAGTTTTTTTTCAAAAAAGAAACGAAAGAAATCTATTGTTTGCTCTTATCTCTTACAAACTAAAATAAAACTTTTGTACTCGTTTATAACTTACTATACAAACTAGCTAATTTGCATAGCCGGTCGAATAACCAAAAAAAAAAGAAAAAAAACTCTGTACATGCCTTAGGACATTAATAACCGATATAGGTTTATAAAGTTCTTAAGTTACGTAAGCTGAGAGATACAAGGTTTTTCGGATGCTCCACTTCTATTACAATAAACAATAAAGGATGAGAGAGACGGGAGAAAGCAGAAAATGAACAATAAGAATAATAATATAATAATATCAAACTAAACATGACAATTATATTCCTATTCTATATCGTAACCTTTTGTAAACCTAATAAAAAGTATTTAAACAATTATAAATGATTATCTTATTTAAATATTTATCTTGAATAAATCAACTCCTAATTAACTATGGAATTAGGTCGGATTTTATTATATAGTATATTCATAAAGAAAGACTAAAAACTTTCTTCAAAAGGATTAGGTAAACACTTGAAGTTTGATTTTTTTACGCATTTGTTTGTTAAGAAAACTAACCTTTTTGTGGAGGAAAAATTTGTTAAGTATACTTTAATTTAGGGTTGTTTTTGTCAATTTTCAAAGGGACCATAGATATAAAATGCACTTGGTAGACCCACATAAAAAAGACACGCATGTGTACTTTTTTTTTTTTTACATAAACTTACAACACGGACATATCAATAAGAAAACAAACGATTTCGTTCTAAAATGAAGATCTATGAAGAGAGAGAAGAAAGTATAGTATTGAATAAGAATAAATAGCTGAAACTGGCTTGATAGACGGATAGCTTGTTAGTTCGAAAGTTATTGGATTAAAAGCATCAATGATGAGACATTAATAATAAAGGTAAAATTACCGAACGGAAGTAGGATTATTTATCTTATAATAGTATAAAGGCCTATATTTATATATATATATTATTTATTTACTGATTGACTAAGTATACATTAAAAAATATATTAAAATAAAATAACTTTTATAATTAAAGTTCTTCTTTTAAATAACTATTCAACATTACTTTAACTTTTTAGGCCTATATCTCATACTTGAATAGCTGAAAGATGTCATTCTACTAAATATCATTTTATCAGCCTATATTCATAAATAGATTAATGAATATTTATCAGTGTGATTTGTTTTTAATTAAATAATCATTTTTTTAGTCATTTTTTAATATTTTTATTATAAATATCATTTGAAAAAAAAAAGAATAAAAGAACATTTTTATTGAAGCAGTCTTTTAATAGTTGAAGGATATAAAATTATTAAGGTCAATATTCTGAAGTCTTCCGCCGACGCTTGAGATAAGTATACGTCGGTATTCGATGAATAATATCCTATAAAGAGTTGACATAAAAAAAAGTTCGTTATCTCTTAAAAGCAGAGGACGCTCGCTTCAGTCATCTTATCAGTCTCACCTGAACAATAGCAGCGTCCGAAGACTGAAAAAATGAGGAAAACTCTAGGATTATACCTGCTTTCTTTCATATTCTTTACATGTTTTTCAACATGTTTATCAGGTAAAAGTTATAGAAATCAGTATTCTTGATAGTTTTGTTGAAAACGACAAGCGGAAATTATGAAATGTTTTTAAAACTTCCATATTTGCTACAAAACATTTATATTTGCAAGTATTATGCTAGAAAAAATGAATAGTAATCTCTTAAAGATGTACTGGTATGGAGCCTAAAATTACTGTTTTGGAGTTTTAGCGCCAAAAGTTCTTTATTGAAAATCTACTATATCTCGCCAAAAAAAAATCTTTAATAAATTCTATTTACATTTTCAGTACGATTTCTGTCGTCTCCACCTAATTTGATAGGAAAAGTTGGAGAAAGTTTAGAAATGGGGTATTCATTTGACGGTAAAATTTTATATTAAACAATTATAATATCGCTCAGTCACGCTTTTATATTTAAATCAGAGACTACTAATATGGGTCTTTTTGGAGATAGACCTGTAGTCCCTGACCGAATATATCAAACTCCGACACTCTTCGCTACCACTTGGTCAGTAACACCAGCTGGAATATCTGATCGCTATAACTTTACTATTAGAAGCCTAACAAAAGTAAGAAATAGTGAACTGGAAACTAATAGTTTATTAATAAATAATTTCAATTTAAGGATGTTCGAAAAAGAATTACCGCTGAACTTTTGACCACCGGTCAACCAATATACCGTAATCACAGCATCACAGTGTACGGTAAGTACTGTACACAGTTATATTTATTGAAATTTTCACCAACGATTTTGATCCTCTAACCACAGATTCGAATCCAGTCCTTACTCGAAATCCGCAAAATAATCTTAAAGATGGCGATAAATTCGAGCTGACTTGTACATTTGGAAAATGGGGCCACGGAATCTTTACTGGTGACTTCTACGTAGACAACGAAACGATTTCTGGTGGCAGTGCAGACTTTAAAGTAGAGAGTGATAAGATTATTTTTTCTGCAAATTTTACTGCTGACTATAAGGTTGATAGAAAAGACATCACTTGCAGAGTATTTTCTAAAGATCAGGGGTTCCCAAATTATATTGCAAGCAACACAATACGATTTGAAGTTGAACGTAATAAATAGAACATAAGTTGTTAAAATATTTCTTACAGAATGTATATATTACAGATAAAGTAACACAAATAAAGATTTCACCTGATCCATCTCAATCGGATATTACAGTGAAATCAGGTGATACCATCAACTGCACGGCATCTGGAAATCCTCCTCCTGATTTTGAGTGGAGAAGAGTAAGTACTAAGAGTATGAATTTATATCAGTATTCATAAAAAATTATATTTCTAGAAAGACGAATCCGAAAGTCCTAAACAGGGAAAAACACTTACAGTTGCTAGCAATTGGGAAAATGGTGAACGAACATATATTTGTACCGCCAAAAACGTAATTAATCAACAGCTTTATACACAAAATGCTTCTATTACTTTTAAAATTGGTAAGCTGTTTAAAATAACTAATATTTAAATATGTATTAAATGATTTAATTTAAATTAACAGATAATGCTGGAACATCGTCAGGAAGTAAATCTGGAACCGGTATGTTGAACTTGATGCTTATATCTTTAGCATATTACCTTTATTAACTTCACCCTGGCTATTTTCATCCGAATAATAATCACCTTGAATTACTTCATGTCTTTAGATAACACACGCTTTTTTAATCAAACATATATATTTACCATTTGATCTGGCTTCTTTTTAAAAATAAAACACGCTTTAAACTTATGAGGTGCCCAAAGAAATGTTTCAAAACCCGATGCTTTTTCCTTAGAGAGTCATTTTTTAGGGCAATCAGCACCCTATTTTTATTAAACAATTTAACTAGATTGTAAGTCTAGTTTTATGTTGTATTCAAAATAAGCTAGACTTTTTAGATAGTCTCTATTTTATCTTATAAAATTAAACAGAGGCTTGGAAGATTGCTGTTGCAACTGTTGGTGCTATTTTGGGAGTAGCCCTAATTGTCGGAATAATCGTAATAGTCCTCGTATTAAGGAAGAGAGGACGTAAGCATATTTCTTCCAATTTATCTCTTTCGAAATCGAAACAAGCATTTTCTCTTACAGAACAACCAAAGCCGCCAATACGGTCTGATGCAAGTAGATCCCAAAATAACGGTAATTATTAGGCCAAAAGTCTTTTTTATACCCACTCAGATGTATCATAAATCTTAACTAATCAATATATTTTTTTCTATACAATTTCTTTTATAACTTTAATCAGCTAATGATAACAACGAACTTCCAACTCAAAGGTAATTTATTCATTTTTTTATTGCATACTTAAAACTGTTATAAAATAATTCTTCTAAAAGAATCAAATGATCAATATATTGTCTAGTAATTTTTACTTTTTATTCTTTGTGTTAATTTAATCTGCTCTTTTCCTTTTAAATTAACAAAACAACTAACAATTTCGTTTCTAACCAAAAAAAATAACTGTGAACATGATTGTAATTTTAAAAAAAAGTACAAAAATGGTTGACACATGTCTGGACCTTACAAATATTGGTCATTTGTCTATAGACCTAGTACGCTGCATGAATATTAATTAAATATCATTTGTTAAAGAAAACCTGATAATAGAGTCCCAGCTGACATACCTCGTAGTGTAGGTCCATCTGTGGGTCCTCCAGACAGCACGCCCTTGTACAGTGAGCTACAAAGGTAGTTTGAGACATTGGCGTTTAGCATTTTTGTACGAATTGGTATATTAATTTCTAATTATATTTATTCATGAAGACCGAAAAGACCGTCAGCCTACGACAACCTTCCACCATCAGCTTATCAAACACATAATGTACCATCCTCCAGAGCTCCTTACATGCAAGGTGATTTCGACGATTCTTTGACTAGCTCTAATGGTCCTCCACCAGAATTATCGCAGGCGCCAAGATATGTAAGTTCTCTAGTTTTTAATTTTTAACCTAAATTAGAATGTTATCCCTTTAAAAATTTAGATTATGCCATCTGGGCCACAGCCCAGACCCTCTAGACCTTTAAGACCGAATTCAGGCACAGGACCAACAACAATGGCACCAGGCTACAATAATTATTCTCCCGATACCCAAGTTTAGGTGTTTTTTTTTTTCATTTTTAATTTTTGCAAAACGAATGTTAAACAAAATTTTAATGTAAAAAGGAAAATTGAGTTTTATAGACAAAATGTTTGTTATTTTTAACGTAAAGTAAATGATTTGTTAATTATATGAAAAAAAAGAAAAAGAAAGAAAGAAGATTGGAAAAGAAAGAGGGAGAACTTTTTTTTTTATCATCTTGCCATTTATAATATTTATATATTTTACATTTTTATTTTGTGATCGATATTGAAACTAGCTTATTTTAGACTTAGTTATTCTATATATCATCAGATAATTATCATTTGAAGAGAGGAAAACAACATTTAAAATGATTTTGTGTATCAGTCTTAAAATATGAAAACCATTTATCTAAAACCATTTTGAATATGAATTGTCTTTTTGCAAAAGTATTTATATAATGTATACGTAAAATTTTGCCTTTCACATCAGGCCTACCTAACTAGCTAATTGCATTGCCTATCATATTCTTTTTTTGTTGTTATTTTTATTACATTCATTCAAATAGCTCGTGGTTTCTATATTTTTAATCAATATAGTCGTCAAGAGCGTAGATCGTGTTTAAACAAAGCAAGAGGTGGATAGATAACAGATAGAGGTTCATACACAAATATATATATATATATATATATATATGTATATACATATATCAAAATATCAGCAATATCTCTGATTGTTAATGATAACAAAAGTTTTATTTCTTCCTTCTTCTTACATTTTCCTAAAAAGTAAAGATAAACTCTTTGACTATGTTTTCTGTTCTTTTATACATTTCTCTTCAAAACTGACAAGTAGATATAGCAAAAAAATGTATCCTTATCGTTTTGCTTCTTATCGCATTTCCTCTCCTAAATTAGCTAAATTTTTTATTATCTATCATATGAAACGATATAAGCTTTTTTATTTATTGCTCTAACTGTTCGTTAGTTAGACTTCTATAAGTATCGTTTATATCAAAAAGAAAACAAAACTGCAGCTGTATAAAGTTGGACTTTAATATTTTCTTCTTTACATTTAAAAGCAGTAAAGCTTTCTGATTTTAGTAAACAAAAGATAAGAGAAAGACTACAATAGATTTCAACCTAGATCTAGAATAAAACAAATCAATAAGCAACGCTATCTTTTTCTAGAGATTACGGTAAATTGATGAAATACCTTAAGGGAATTTTACCTTCTATTATTCATTTGTTTTTTTGCTTATTATGTCATATTGTTGCGTTATTAAATAAATTCCACTTTTATCAAAATGGAATAACTTCCTCATCTTTTTTTTGAACTATTAAATTCTCTTTATAGCATTTTCGCTCTTTTTTATTGATAACGTTTAGTACTGATTAATTTACGTTGTATCTCGAGAAAAATCGTCAATAATCAAAATTACTTTAATATATAGTAGTTAAAAGTTTTCAATGGTACTCTCATACTCGGTATTTAGCAACAACCACTTTCTTCTTATAACCTTTCAATATCACTTTAGAACGGCTTGTAAAATGACGCCATCTATCGAGTAAGTAAGCTTGTCCGTACAACCGTTAAAGAAACGGGAAAAAAAAAAGAAAAATCCAACAAAATAGTCCTTAGTTACGCGTACAACACCTGGATACTCTACAAATTTAGCTATCTTTGATATTTATTTATATATCTAAAATAGTCAAGTACTAAAATAAAGTTGGAACAAAGACTTAAAACGCAGAATATAACAATCCCCTTTTCGCTTTCCCTTTCTAAATTTTTCTTATAACAAATCCATCACATCAAATATAAAAGGGAAAAAGGGAACTATATTCTTTAATCAAATGAATTTTTCTATACTTAATGTCCTTTCCTGAGTCATTCTTACAGACAGAAAAAGAGAGCTTTTTATACCCCTATTCATAATTCTATTTATATCTTTATATATTTAAAAGGCAAATGTATCGATCGTGTTCGCTAAAAATACAATGGAAATCAAAATGAAAAGATCTTATAGATAATACTAGTCACTGTAAAAAAAAAGGCACTTTATAGCCTTCATTTGTAAGGATTTATGCTAATCCCTGTCGAATATTTATCCAGCATGAATAAATCGTATAGGACTCACTAAACAAACATTTTCTAAAAAATCAACAGGAAAAAATAACACGCTAACGACTTCCGACTTAGATTTAAAAACTTTACTGCTTTTTTATTATTTATACTATCCAACCTTCCTACCTTTTTTGCTTTTAGAACTTATAAATTAGTAGATAATTTACTATATAGATGGCGCTACTATACAAAATAATTTTGGAATTGCAGACGAAGCAGCAAAGTACCCTGTTCTGTGGTTTTTTTGTTGTTGTAATTGTTGTCTGCAAGAGTCGATTTTTCCTATTTGAAAAGAATAGGTGAAAGTCTTCCTATGAGACTCTCAAAGAGACGTCATATTACTAACGTACTTTTGACTGTTTTCTGCATCTTTATACTCTATACGCTTATACCAAAGAGGCCGATTAAGAGACTAGTGAGCTATCTGACCGGCTATCATGCTATAAACAAATGTAACCCCTTAGTAAGCCCCGTGAAGAGCAAACATCCAGTAATCGGTTTGTCTTATAGAGGAAATTAAATAATTTTATAGCCAATCTTATTTCAACCCTCAACAGCTCTGCTAGGATCAGATGAGTCTGGTGTAGAAGTCCTCCGTTTCCTTATAGAACAACTAAGCGGTTTCTATACTGGAAGCGTAAGAGAGGCAAATAGTGATATTTTTGACTTAGACGGCCATACAGGGCCAGAGGTTCGTTAATTATTCATTACTCCCTCATCTCAAAATTATATCTATATACAATCCAGGTGATTGCCATTCAAGCGGAAGAGCTTTCAGATTTAGGTCATGTAAATGGTTTGGTAGTTGTCTATAGGAAATTAGAAGATATTGTAAGAGCACAATTCTCGAAGAAGGTTGGGAAAGGAGTTTTCGCAGAAGCGCCTTTAAGAGCTTACTACGGCCCTAATTGGAAGAGTTTTGCAATTAATCATGGCAATAGATGGGAGACGCTCTACCGAAGTTATTTTGCAGTTAAAAAACTCCCAACATTGATAATACATTACGAAATGCTTTTAAATCGGGAAGATATGAGATCTGAATTAAATAAAGTAGCCAATTTCTTTCATTTTCCAGTCTGGTCGACAATAGAGGATTGTGTTGTCAGCGGTAATTTAGACGAAACCCTGAAACTTCTATATCCAAAAAAATTAAAACCAGGATTTAAGCCATTCTCATTTCTACCTAAATATCATATGGATCGTTTTCGAAAGGTACAAAGTGAAATTGATGATATAGTTAAAATGAAAGAGGAAAAATATGTTCCTTTGACATTAGCTGCTCAAGAGAAGGTTTAACCTTCCCCTTTTTGTTTCTCTATCAATGAACAAAGAACGTACAGTCACATCTTCATTTATACTTTGAATATATTCTTCGTATTCCTAAATTTTTTCAATAAAATCAATAATATTTACTTTTAATGTTCTTGTTCTTCTTTGGCCCTTTTTTAACTATGTTCTTACTTGGAACATTTGAACAAGAAGAACAATCACAAAGCATTCTAACCAATAGCATCATTGGTATTATAAAGTAAATGGCATAGATTCCAGTTAAATAGACTAAATCCTCCATGTTCTGAGGAGAATTTGGAACGTTCGTAAAATCGGTTACCCATATATGAACAAGTATTGACCAAACGGTTGTAGCAACGTGAGCGGAGTACACGATACTTGGAAGTCTTAGCCAGGGACAATTCATCGATCCTTTATAAAAACCATAACAAGCAAAGAAGAAGAAAGGTAGCTGAAGGGCAGCTTCACAATAAATGAACGATTGGAACCAACCAGGTGGTTTATCCATAAAGGGATCCTTGAAAGTTTCCACATGGTATTTTACAAGATTAAGAGCCTGGAAATTGTGTATTAAATTAGTATTGATGGGATAAAAATGAAAGAGAATGGTTTTTTTACCCATTCTGGATAAAAATAGGTCGGCAAAATCGCCTGCAAATCTATTATGAGCGTTATTGGAATATGCGTTGAGAAATAGGCGAAAAATAACCAATCTAAACATCTAATCATCTTTAAAGTCCCTTAGACGTGGCAATCTGGACAGAAAGTGAACCTTGATACCGGCTTCTTTGCAATCAAATTAGTCAATTATCAATACAGAAAAATTCTTTGGTTAACATAAAATAGATGGCGTTACTATATTTCTCTATAATTTTATCATTTTTATCTTGCGTTTTATCATTGTTAGTCCACCAATTAAAAAAGAAGATGGACTGATAATATTAATATTGATTGATTATAAAAAAAAATGTTCAAATCAGATATAATCAGTTAGAAAGTGAAAGATTATCTTTCTCGCACCTCTTATATAGTAGTTTACAGATGGTGTTTAAATAGTAATAAAAAAAACAACAAAAAGGATAGAAGTAAGATATTTCTAACCTATCTTTAACACTGTTATTTAGTCTCGATAAAGAGTGCAATTATGAAAAGGTAGGCTTTTTAAATGGCGTCAAGTTCTTTTACCTACTTCCTATACTGTATAGGCTGACATAGGTTGATGACGTGCACATTAAAAATAATACTCCTCATTAATAGGACAACTATTAAGTTGTTTGGATAATTTATTCCTTTATTCAATCAATTAATTAATAGTTGTTCAATAACTAATATTTACTATCATATATATATCATACTATTCGTTATTCTCTAAGGAAGAAATAACAAAAAATGAACTAAAAGCCTTCGAAAGTCTATTATAGTTGCTCTTTACCACTTATATTTTATTGTCTCTATTATATTCTAAAAGATATTGAGCAAAAGAAAAATTGGATAAAGAATAATATTAGTAATAAGCGGGCGTCTTCGATTGTTGACCAATTGACTTATAAATATCCATTTCCGCTTGGTAGTCTTCATCGTCTACTTTAGTAAACTTTCTTATACCATATTCGGCAAACAATTTAGAATAATTCGGCAAAGTAGGCAATGATAGGAGAGCATCGGCCAGCTCCTCTTTAATTTCGGTTGGCAAGCTTGATCTAACAACAATTGGTTGAACTGGTAATGGCCCCAATGAACTAATCGCAATAAAGTCGTCATGAGCATGAGGGTAAGACTTTAGATAAAACTTAAGCGCATTCGAATCGACCGAAGCACATTCCACTCTTTGTTCACGAACCATTTTAATAGAATTCAAGTGAGAACCTGTTCAAATAAATTTGTCTTTTTTTTATACAAAAGAAAATCATATTCAACGTACATAATTATGCATAAATATAATATTGCTTACCACTCTCAAGCATATTGCTGAAGAATGATGAATTATATCCCTTCTTTTTCAACTCGAGAAGAGGAAGGATGTAACCGCTTACCGAATCTTGAGTATTATAAGCATATTTACAGCCCTTTAAGTCTTCGAGTTGTTTATACTTTTTTCTGTTAAAACAAGATGGATGTCTTACGATTAAAATAATCCTAAAGCTATTGCAATTCTTCTATTGTTTTTATAAAAACAGTACAATACTATACTTACGCTGTACTTTTATGAATAATCAAATCCGAATAGTAGATTGGAAGTTCATCAGAATTCAATCGGTGTTCGTGAACGGCTCCAACAGGTAATAGTTCCACATTTGCACCTTTCTCCTTTAATTTTAAATAGGATTTTGTGCTCATAAAGCCTATTTCGATTTAGAAGGTATCGTTTAAGAATAATTTCTGTTTGCTGCAAACAAACACTTACCGATATCAAAAACGCTAGCTGATATGGATTCAGCATCTGACGTGGAAGTCTGTTCACATAATGATCTACTCTCTACAATCAAAATGGAGCCTTTCGATAACTTTTCCTCGATAAATTTTTGATATACCTGAAATAAACAAGCAATAATTAATTTGTTATTTTTTTCTAATCTCTTTTAATGAGGTCTACTTGGTATAACTCCAAGCTCATGCTAGGCGTTAAAAATGTGGCAATTTTCAAATAGCTGTCCATTTTTTAGTGCTCCCTTAAAATATTATGAAATTGATACAGCCTTTCTTCCCAAAGTCAAACAAAGCTGTAGAAGACAAAAAGAGAGGCTTATGTAAATCAATCTTTTCAATTTATGGATACTGTAACAATTTTAAGTGAATAAAATTCGACACTGACAAAAAATAGCGGCAAAATTTGAAAATAACACTTCAAAAACAAAACTTGCTTGTATTTATTGTATTTATTTTTAACAGAAACACAGCCGACATGTTATTATAAGGCTAATAATCGGCAATTTAAATACACCAAACAAATCAATTAAATATTATAAACAAGACGTTACTGTTGAAATCCTTCAATATAATTCTTGCCATTTCATTGTATCTGACTCACAAAAAGGAAAAATTTCTGCATGAATTTTCCTTTCTTAGATTAACAAATAACATTGCAAACACCTTAAAGACTTCTTTTAAAACAGTACAGCGTCATAGTATAGATGACTAGTACCGAGATAGAATAAAATAAGCAAAATTGACAAAGAAACTCATGAACAATGAATAGTGCGGAAAAAAATATAATTGATAAATCAAAGATGATTGGACGAAGGTGGTCTTTTAACAATTGGTTTGGACGGAAGAGATGGTATATTTGAATTCTGTCTTAGTCTGGAAAGGGTACTTGTTTCCGGACTGGACGGACTGGTGAATACTGATTTCTTTCCATCTAAAGACGAAGATGTCTGGAGGGGACGCAATCTAAAAAAACAAGTTGATTACGTGATCTGTTTATTATTTTTGCTAATTTATTCAGACTCACTTAAATTTTCGACGAGACTGTATTGAAAAGGAGATGGAATTATTTTTAGGCGGAGTAACTGGTGGCTTAGGCTCTTCTATAGACTCTTCGTCATTAGATTCAACAGTATCGCTTGACAATACTTCTGCTTCTTCATCAAGTCCTCTATCTTCAATGCGAAGTATCTGAGGAGCACTGGCTTCCTCAATCAATTGCATTCTCCTATAAAACAGTAACAAGTTATTGACAACCATGAGAAATAGCTAAAAGCTATTATTTACTTTTTATGCTCTATTCTCCAACTGTCTATCTCTTCAGATAGCTGATCTGCTTCGGCATTCGACTCTGAATTAGGTGTAGATCTTTCGGGGGCACTCTACAAAACAAATTTCATTGAAAGTGACCATGACTTTTAGTTTAATTACAAAGACAGTAACTCAAGTTCTTACAGAGAAATTTAGAGGCTTCTTCTTCATATCTTGCAAAGCCTTAGATCGACGGCGAAGTGCAGTAGATAAGTTTCCATAAACTAGAGCTCCCTTTGTTAAATCACTATGATAATCGTCAGCTACTTCTTCTAAATCGAAACGGGAAGCCGTCGAAGGCCGACTAGCAGTCTTTGGACGGGTTTGAGGAGTGGACGGTTTCAGTGCAGATCCAGGCCTATATGACGTATTTAAACGACCAGAACTTGGTAGAGAGGAGGAAGGTCTTGAAGTATCTGTTAAATTACTTTCGGATTCTTCGGATGTAAATCCTTCTTCCTTTAATTGATTAATATATTCCCAATCAGCTTCAAACACGTTTGTTGGCACATTTTTACTCGAAGGATAGTCTTTTAAGCTTTTGCCATCTAATACTTTTAATTGAGTTATACATTGGATAATTCTAGCGCGATAATCGTAATTGACCTATATAAAATAATTAATCATACAATCATAAATACAATTTTACCAAGCTAATTTATCAAATACAAACTGATTTTTCATTTGGTGCTGGCTCTTTACAAACCGGGTTGTTATCCAAAGTGAGTGTTTCTAAATTTGGGCATATTCCTAAATGCTCCACTTGATACAAACAATCAACGTTATTGCTATTAGAAAAATTATTATCTTTTTGTTTACTCTGCAAACTATCATAAATTATCAACATACCCTTCCAAATCTAAAAGGTTGAGATTTTCCAACATACTAAAAGGTCCTAATTCGCTTATTTCATTATAAGCAAGATACATTTCGGTAATATTTATCATTGTTGAAACGCCGTCGACATCCCAAAGCCAACTTCTATTCATCCATAGCACCTTCACATTATTTAATGAGGAGCCTAAATCCCTTCAATAGGAAAAAATAAGAAATACCTATTAGAGAATATCGATAATATATCATAACAATTTACCGAATCTGTTCCACATGGCTATCATTCAGGTGTAAATACTGTAAGTTTGGAAGGTGGGCACCGAAATTACCCAGACTCCCCTCTCTGGAATCAACCTTAGCTTCAAAACTGATTATATCTTCAAGATCGTCCTTTCCAGTAAGATCTCTCTGTTAAATTGAAGGAAAATTGAATCAATTCTGAACATAATTAGACTAATAAAACATTTAACGAACCAGTCTCCTTGGAGAAAGATATTGAATCATCATCAATTGATTATCATCAGTAATAATGGGATCAGGATTCAACAAACTTCCCTGATTCTCAGGATATTCCATTAAATGTACATGGGGTCGTACTTGAAAGTTATTAGCAGTTATCTGAACGGGATTCATTGTTTTGTTTTGCTATTTTGTTTTCGTTGTTAGATTCAAGCTTTCAAGCAATTCGTCGAAGAATTGTAATAAGGTCAATCTGAGAGGGCAAAAATTAGAGAAGAATGAGAATGACAAGTGTTAATAACGGTTAAGTAAGTTTCATAGGAGATAGTATAACATTGCTTATGATATTCTTTAGTTATTGAAAAAAATCTTCTAACTATTTTCTTTGTTAAGTAGGTTACTGAAATAATTTGAAGTTGAAATCTTACTATAATCAAAATTCAACATTGGAAGGCAGTCTGTAACGGTTTTATGTAGACATTCAATAGGCTAGACTGCCATGACTCGAGAGGTTAATAAACAAATATAAACTTACGTATTAGATCCGCTCAGCCAAATTTCCTTGCAATTTCTCATAGATACTTGCAAATCTGTTTAGAAATTTATCAAAAATTCTTTAAAAATTCTAAAGTTTTTTCGATTTGAAGAAAAATTTATATCAGTGAATAAAGAATATGCTTTTTTAAAAAAATAAAATTATATGGTGATTTATTATTGCAGTTGAAAGATAAGCTAAAAAATATTGCCATAAATGAATTACAAACCTTCCATTCAGACTTTCTTATTTTAAAATTTACTGTAGCAACGACACTGTGCCGCCATCTTAACATAGGAATACAACTAGTTCCGTCTATTGGTAAAAATTTGATAATCGATCATTACGATAATACAGTATTTTACCGATAATTTGTAATGATGTATAATATCCGATATGTATCGTCAAGAATTTAAACGATTAATTACGTCATAAAAGGAATTGCCAGATTGGACATGCGCAATTAGAGTAGGAAAACCCCTATTATCGAAGTGTCTAATTCGGCAGTTTGAACATCGGTGACGAAAACATGCCGCATGTCTTATCCGAATTGCAGTTGAAAAGATTAACGGAGCACAAATATAGTGCTACCGGCAGTTCGATTTTAGAGCCTCTTATGCAAAAGTTTTGGCGATGGATTGTTGAGCAAATTCCGTTGTGGTGGGCCCCGAACGCGATAACACTTACCGGGTTATTCTGCAATGTCGCCACGACGATAATCTTATGCTACTACAGTCCAGATATACAGGGAAAGGTGAGTTTATTATGAAATAGTTGTCATACTGCCAGCGGTTTGACGGTGTATATATTTACACGTAAAAAATACCGCTATAAATTACTATTGTTTTCTTTATAAATATAGCAAATCGGTAACAAGTCTATATTCGGTATTCATATAGCCTCCAGCCTGGGCGTTTTTACTATGTGCCAGTGGTTTGTTCATGTACCAAGTCCTTGACGCCATTGACGGTAAACAAGCTAGGCGGACAAACTCTTCTTCTCCATTAGGCGAGCTCTTCGACCACGGTTGTGACTCGGTGTCAACAGGTACACTATGCTTTCTTAAATTATAAGTTTTCAATAGTTAAGATCTTATCATAATCTTTATCTGATACGTCATTCTGATGGTTAATGAACTTTGACATTGCAGTATTCGTGGTGTTAGGCTGCTGTATTGCTGTACAATTAGGAAAACATCCGTCTTTCGTGTTTATTGAAGTTTTCACTACCATCTTCCTCTTTTATGCTGCTCATTGGCAAACCTACGTTACGGGTACAATGAAATTCGGGAAACTAGACGTCACTGAAGCGCAAATTTCCATCATAACTATCCATATATTAACGGCAATATTTGGGATTGAGATATGGGATACGCCAGTACCGGTTATCGGAGAACTTAGGTTTGCTCCCGTGTACTTTAGCATATTTACTGCCATATTGGCCTCAAGGCTCTACTTTGGTACTATCTTCATCCAAGGAGGAGCAGGAAAAAATGGATCTACTATAGCAGTTAGTAAATCAATTTTTAAATGTCCTTATTTTTTATTTGTAAACCTTGACCTTTATGTTATCATATATTTTTCTTAAACTGAAGCTTTTGTTTATTTAATAGAATTATCTCAGAATTTGTACCCTAAAGCAGTGTACGAATTAAGAGGACACTCGTTATGTCTTTTTTTAGTGCTTTATTCTGCTTCCTTAAAATTTTGCATCATTTCTTTTTTATTTCTTATCGACGTCGATAATAATATGTGTAATACTATAATTTTTAGGGAACATCCACTCTATTTCCGGCATTACCTATTGCAACAGTTGTTATTTTGGCCTTAATTATCTCCTATAAATCAGCATCTAACTTGTTCGAAACTCATACTACTCTATACTGCGTTAGTTTTGGAATTGTAGCTGCAAAGGTAAGAAAAATACAGGATTATATTACGGATTAATGAATTTGATATTTGTTAAAGGTGATCAACAAACTCGTCGTCGCGCATATGACAAAAAGTGAAATGGATTTACTTGATCCCTGCTTAACCGGGCCATCGTTACTGTTCCTTAATCAGTACTTTAATATGCTATTTAATGAGCATATTGTTCTCTGGCTAGCCTGTGTAAGTTTTCCCTTTAGAAATATTTTTGTATTATTATTCAGTTTTTAATATCATCATAGATAATCGCAATTTTGGATCTATTCACATGGTCTCGAAAAGTTTGTCTAGATATTTGCGAATTTTTGGGTATATACTGCTTCAGTATTAGACCACTGCAATCGGGTAATAACGGGTATGAGCCACCAGTAACTCGTTCAAAGACCAAAGAACGCGATCATTGATTTGAACTTGTTTTGAAACGAACAGTACGTGCAACATTTTGTACCATTGGAAGATATTTCTGTTAATTTCAATGTAGCACATAGTCTATTTTGTTTAACCAACACTTGCGTTATATCGAACGAACATATGTAGCGGTACTTTTTTCGTTTAAGCTATCTAAAAATAATTATTTCATATTTTTTGACTCTACTGCATATGTATTCCTATACACAATCTTTTAAACTCTGCCAGCATTTTTGATTGTGTAATATTCAGAGCATTTCAATGAAATATATGCTACCGTGGAGTAGTAAACTTTAAATGAATTAAAGGTTATCTAATTTATTCGGAAAATAGCAATTCGTTCTTTTGATACATTTGTTATTTGATTAAGGTGGAAACAACTTTGAAAGTTAAGTAAATAATTTTTGGCTTATTTTCGAGAGCAAAGTACAGATCGTGAGCATTGTTTTTTCATTAAATACCGCCTGTTACGTAAAAGCATAAGCTTTTAATCTTATCATTCTGAAAGCGATCTATGATCGGGATATTATTTCACGAAAGTTATAGATATGGCAGCGCCATCTACGATCTAATTTTACTTATTATTCCATAAGTGAAATATGAAAGGAGCAAAAGAGAAAAGGTGAAGGGGGGGCAGTGGGGTGCAGGGAGTGAGGAAAGCTAAAGAAAAAGCAATAATCTCCTTGGAATTAGTGATTTTATAACGATTTATGTTTTCAGAAAATCCGTCTTTGAAATGATATCCGCTAAATATATTGGCGGTAAAACTTTTTGATGTAATCTGACGCATATATAATCCTATAAAAAAAATAATCTGAATAATATTTATTTCATTTACGTTTATAAAAACGGCGCCAAAAGATTAATTAATCGGTAAAAAATAACCGGTGACGTCTGAAAAAAAAGAACCGTTTCTAGCATAAAACAAGCGGATCGGTGATAATTTTTGTCTTTTTGCATTTTTCGTTTTATAGAGAATATTAAAAAGTACGAAAAAGGCGGAAGTTGAAATTACTCCGCTTGTGGTGCACTACTTTTCTCTGCGCTGCGGCCATTTTGCCCTGGTAATTTTTCGGGAATATTATATCCGTCGATATCTTGGATTTCAGGCTGTAGATAAAAATGACCGAAAGAGACTATAACGTATATCAAGCCAAGCTGGCCGAACAGGCGGAAAGATATGATGGTACGTATAAAAAATACCTATATTTCAGTGGAATGTTCTCGATTGGTTACCGGTAAGGACAGTTCGGTGGCCCGGCTCAGAAAAATCGCTACAACAAAATTCACTAGCAATCGGGGGTCATCATTAACAAGAAGTAGACTAATTACTAAGCTCCATGTAGTAGATCGTTAATGGTGTGGAGAATTTTAATCCCTAGGCCGCCATGTTGAATTCATTGCTGCAATGATAGTGATTTATATCATTCAGATTATGAATTTTGTTAATTTTCCAAAAAATGTAACTGCCCTTTACTTAATTTGTCACATATGATATTGTCTTACACAAAATTATTACCGGTAGAGGTTAAATTTAATGACAGGTATATGATGACTAATGCTGAGTTGAATTCCGCGGAGGTCTATTGGCGTCGAAAAGACGTCATTTAGAGGGCATTTATTTCAATACTATTTAAATAGGTCACTGGGAATATATAAGACATCTAATGATTTTATAATGTATGAATAGAAATGGTCGAGGCAATGAAGGGAGTCGCCAATCTCGATATAGAATTGACAGTAGAAGAAAGAAATTTATTATCAGTGGCGTATAAAAACGTTATCGGAGCTAGAAGAGCTTCATGGCGGATAATTAGTTCTATCGAAACGAAGGAAGAGCCAAAATCGACAGAAGAGAAAATGAATATGATACGCGGTTACAGGAAAAGCGTTTGTATTTTTCATCTGTAGAATTCCAATAGTTTACATAAAGATTATTATAGGTTGAGAAAGAGCTAAGAGATATCTGCCATGATATTCTTAGTGTTCTCGATGACCATCTGATTCCTTCGGCCACAACCGGTGAATCAAAAGTATTTTACTACAAAATGTGAGTATATTTTCAAAACTCTTTAACCTGATAATTTATTGCAAATGTGATAAAAAGAATGCTTGATACCAATAATTGTAGTTTAAAGTCTTTTTTGTATAAATTGCGTAGGCAGCGAAAGTGTCAGCTTACCAGTATGAGGCTTGCGGAGTTAAGCTGTCGTCTATTAGTAATTCACAACAGATTAAATCGAATAGATGCGTTAATGAGAATATTGACCTTCATTTATTTTTCCTTTATGCAGGAAAGGGGACTATCACCGTTATTTGGCGGAATTTGCGACGGGAACAGATAGGAAAGAGGCGGCTGAAAATTCTCTTGTAGCTTACAAGGCTGCAACTGATATTGCTATGGCAGAATTGGCCCCAACGCATCCAATCCGGTTAGGGCTAGCATTGAACTTCTCTGTTTTCTATTACGAGATCCTAAATTCGCCTGATCGCGCCTGTCGTCTAGCAAAGTCAGCTTTTGATGACGCCATCGCAGAACTGGATACTCTCAGCGAAGAAAGTTACAAAGACTCTACACTGATCATGCAATTATTGCGTGATAATCTGACTCTTTGGACATCCGACATACAGGCAGAGGGTGAGTGAACTTTTATAATGGCACAAGCTCCAACTTGAATACTAAATTTTTCAGCAGATAATGAGCAGAAGGCGGAAGGCGCAGTACAAGATATTGAAAATGAAGAGAATGCAGCATAGACTGAGGCAGCAGGTTTTTTAGTGCTGCTCAACAATATTTTAAAAATGTTTGCCTGAGCGTTTTTGTGAATTTGGAATGTTTGGTGCGCGTTATAAAGGGTTATGTGTGGTTTGTTGTATTGTCTACATTGTCGTGTCTTCTGATACTTTTCTTATTGCTGTTGTCACTATTTTCACCTGCTTCATTCTTTTGAGTTCAAGCATGAGTAATTCACGCTTCGGATTTTGGTCACTTTTTACTAAATCATCTTAATCATTCATTGAACTTTTTATTTCTAATATCCCATGCTGCATAAAATGGTTTCTTAACAAAGATCGCCAGTCGCAAAGATCAAGTTTTAGAGTACAGTAATGATCATGCAGCAATAAAAAACCGAGGACATTATTCACTACAGCGCTCATTCATTACTTTTTAGTGATCATCAAGAGTGGATGTTATTTACACTATCTAGCATGATTATCTATAAAAATACGTACATATATATATTTATATTTATAAAATTATATATTTGTATGTATTTTATACTCTTTTTTTCGGTATATATATATATATATATATGACTGCGTCTATATGAAAATATTTATATACATATATATTTACTTTAATGTATATGTATCTATTTATTCATATATTCAGTATTTATATATATATATATATATATGAATATATATATATACGTAATCTATTCTACATACATATTAAAACAAAGAATTTTCTACGTGCGTTTAGTTCATACAATTTATAACTTGCGTATTGTTATTCATATCGAATGCATGGGAACCTACTACTACTAATTTAGGTGAGCTGTGTCCCATTATTGTAGAAGTTGGTACATGTGCTCAGTTGTTGTTTTTCTATCTGCAAAGGAAACTTCTAAAGGTATGAACTTAATAAAGACCATTTTCGATTTAGCGTTTCGTTTACGTCTAATTGTATTGAATGATGTCTAAAACCCGCTTTATCGTTTGTATTGTGATTGATCACAAATCGTTTGTACTTTATATATCTAAACTAATATCAGATTTAATAACCGATGATAGTGTTTAGGCTACATGTTAAAGCGATGTAATGAAACAATTAGCCTGTATTCTAATAACCGCCGTCAAACATTCCGCGTGAAGATGATACCAAATTTTTTCCAAGAAATAAATACATTTGGGGGATTTCTTTTTCATTTTGTGCTTTTTTTCTGCTCATTCTCTTCATAAATAGTATAATTTATGATGCAGCATGTAACAATATTTCAGTCTTTTTCGTGCTTGTATTTTAAACGGTCTGATATGAAACAATGGAAACAAATACAGCTTTCTCAATAGTAATAAATATGAGTATCGAAAGAAAAAACAAAATGAAGGAAATTTTAGTTTTCCAGTCATCTTAATTACACCTTCGTATCAGAATCACGAGCCAATCTCGTCAGTTCATATTTAATAGACGCTAAAACAGGAGCAGTAGCTCCCCGAGTGACAACTCGTTGAGCTATATCGATTTCGTCGTCACCTTTTTCGGCTCTTCCAATATTATAGTTCTTTGTAGTGAATGTCGCATCCGGACTCCTTGTCTGTACTATGGGAGTTTCAATCATTCCAGGTAGGGCTCTCAATGGACGAAAATCAACTTTATCTTCGGGGGCGTGATCTAAATGTCCATTTGGCTTATGAATGTTTTCGTTATCAGTAGAACTGGCAAGAAAATAAGAGCATCTAATTAATATTCTCTAGTACTAGAAAAGGTATGCTTAGTTTGATAAACTGTCACCTGTTCAACATATTATGTTCCATAGGGCATATCCGTCTTCCGCTAACCGCACAATTATATGTAAATTTTAAGGGATATTTGTCTATACGCAGCATATACATATAAATATATATATATATATATATATATATATATATATTGTTTTGGGTATAGAGTTCATATATAAAAAAAGATGTGTTTCTTTTTAATTAGCAGATCATATCGAATTTATGATAAAATAAAAATATTTAGATTTGAGCGAGGACATAAAAATGTGGGAAAATGCAGGTGAAAAGTATTAGAGGGAACGGCCTCTTTAGAATTTAATCTAATTATTATAAAAATTACGGCAAGCTCTATGCTTTTCATAATGAAGCTATATCGTAAGAATCATTCCCTCGTCGTTTCTTAAGAAAAAAAAAGCTGAAAAAATGGAACACGGCACGTACTTTGTAATAATAGACAAGGCGTTGTCGACCAAACTATGAGCCTTTAGCCAGTCGTTATTCTCCTCGTCCGACTGCAAAAGTTCTTGTTGCTGCATGCAAAAAAAAATGATCGAAAACAAATGACAAACAATCAAAAAAGAATAAAGATAATTGAAAAATCTTGTGATGCCGCTTCGTTTTTTTTATTTAAACGATGTGATTTACGGATAAGGCAAACTGTGATGTATTTCCGTTACGACATGGCAAAATAATAACCTGCTATATCGCAATTTATAACGTGATACCACCATATACGCTTCATCGACTAAATGATGAAGATCGTAGAGCATGTTACTAATTACTTCTGCACTTTTATGATGCGTTCTAAGCGGCTGTAATATTTATATTTACGCTCTTCTTTAAAGAGTTATTTTTAATTTTAAGATTCAAAGGTTAAAAACCTTTCAACTAACCTTGGCCTTTTCGATTGATGGAGCAATAGCTTCAACAGCAGGAAAATTCCTCATATCGTACTCTTCCGAAGTTTTATCTACCTTCTTTTTTCTCTTTCTTTTTGCTTTCGGTTTATTAATCGGTGGCAATTTCTCCTTTGCAAACATCTTTCGCATTCTCTCTTTATTCCTCTCATTCTCCTCTTCAAATCTTTCCTTTAACGACTGGTTAATCTTTTAATTAAAATATTGTAAGGAAGCAAATTATAATTTAAATAATATAATTTGTTTAAGATAATATTAAAATCTTACACTTTCACTATCATCGTCTGGCACATTGTGTTGTTTGATAGCAGATATCTTAATAGGCGTAACGACAGAGTATAATTTAATAGGGCTTAGTCTTTTTTTTTTCTTTTTTCCTCGTTTTTTACTACTTGTATTAGAAATTCCGGCAGTTTCATTATTTTCATCACTAGTGAATACTCCTTCATTTCTTTTACTGTGCGTATTAACTGGTAAACTAAGATCTAGTAGTTGTCTGTTATCCTTTCCCATCGATATCTGATCTTCTTCCGGTGCTTCTTCCGCCTTTTTGTATTGTAAGTGCTTCTTATTCGATTTGTTATCTGTATTGTATATGACATTTGCAAGCTCCTGTTTATTTTCGTTCTCAATTGGAATAATCTTAGTAGGAAAAATCTGCAACGTGTGTAAATCAGTTAATATGAAAAAAAGTTTTTCTCTTTTAGTACCTCGAATTTTTCTGGCCTTCGGTAATGAGCAGCTTCGGGGTCGGGCGGTGGGGGATATCTTATCTTTTTTGGTAATGTTTTACAGCGACAATAGATACAAATAGTAAGCCATACAATGCCTATAAGCCCGAAGAGACCCCCTATTGCTGCGCCAATTATCCATAATTTTTTATCTTCTTCTTTGGGCTTAGATTCCACATAATAGATTCCAGCTTTAACTTCAACTTCATATCCTAACACTAAAGCTATCTCTTGATCTCTTAAATCATGAATTAAGCTGACTGCTAGGGTAGCTTCGACAGGTCTATGCAATCCCCTTTGCAAATAATAGACAAACGTAGTACTTTCTTCATTAACTCCTCTGGTAATATTCAATATCTAAGATGAGAAAAACTCTTTAATTATCCTTTCATTGCATTAAAAAGTGTGCAATATACTTGGAGATTTATAAGTCAATACTTTCATAAATACGACTCGTTAAAAATTTCCTGGCAACAATACTAATACAATGTCGCTATTATTATAAAACACGTTGGAGTATATAATATACTGTGTGTGTGTATAATATACTCACTGTATATATACATAGATAAATAAATTTACGAATGTAAAAAAAGGAGAATTAAGGAAAAGGCATCTATATTTAGGTACATTAGAATTTATCGTCCTATTCGTTGCGCGCGACACTCTTTCACGTGTCACAGATTCCTTAGAAAAAGCAATTCTTTATTCTTAATTATTGGATTAAACTGGTCTCGAATTGATTTAAAACGACAGCCAATGTACGCCCTTTTGGAACAAATCAATCCAGAATGCTATATTGTTAAACTTGGTATATGCTGTATATACAATGGAAATAAATCTTTTGTCTTTTTTTTTTTAAATTGGCAAAGTGTATATTTTTTCACTTCCAAGATCTTTGAAACAAGTTATTGTTTAGGTAAAAATAGTAAAGACATTCTGAGGAGAAACCTTGAAATAAACACTAAAAATAATTCAGCATATAAAAATTAAAAAGCGTATGTAAAAGAAAGGAGTACATATTTTCTAATAGTTTTTCATTTTGTTTCTTTAGAAAAAAAAGCTTAGTAGTTTTTTTTAGGTATGAATAAATTTTAATACATTGACCCTAATATAAATATACAGTATAAATGAGGAAGTCTATGAAAGACGGAAAACAAAGATATAATAGGGAGCTATAAAGGAAAAGATGGATGTAAAGGTCAAAAATTAATTATTTTTCTTTTTACACATTTTTTATCCTTAATTAATAATAAATGACGCTCGTCACGTTTTGGTATGAAAAGGGTTAGGACATATGATAGTAACCTGAAGCGTAATGTTATTGAAGGTCGCAGCTCTTTTCCTACGTCCGTGGCAACTGGTAGTTAAGCCATGGAATCTTCTCTTCCAAGCGCAATCATATAATTTAGCAAACTTTAATTCCATACTAGAGATGAAAGAGCTATTTTCGACATCAACAGTGACAGGTATTTTTAATACTACAAAATAAAAAACCTTTTTAATTTCTATTTTTTTTAATAAAAAAAAAAGAAACAACATGTTTTACCTGTGTAAACCCAGTGATTTTTGAGTGTTTCATTAAAGCTTAGCGTAGGATTTGTGCTGGGAAGTGTTGTCGGTTCAAATGTTGTATTAAATTCTGTTAAAGAATCGCTAATTAATAAATTAGGTGTTGACATAGTGTTTTCAGGTACAACGGAGGATGGTGTTATTGAAGAAAGAGATTCAGGAACGATATTAGTTGAAAGCATAGGGAAAGTGCTACTTTCAGAATTATTATATATTGTGCTTAATATTGTTGTAGTCTCTTCATCGAGTATCGTTGTTACCGTGTAAATTTCAGACATGGTGTCGTTAGCAATAAGCTGCGTACTATTTGCTTCATGGTCAGTATTCAAACTTTCATTTCCTGCTGTCGATCGAAATAGACTAGTTTGGTTCCGGTCTGTATCTATGCCAAATAAGCTGCTTTCTTCAAAAAAGGTTGTCTTTAAAGGTACCAATGAGCTTGTTTCCTCTTTTTCAAACGTGGAGGAGACAATTTCATTCATACTTAACGTACCATTTGTAATGAATTCTGAAGGGTTTGAGTTCTCTTCTATAAAACTTGTTGCATTATTAAAATTGTTTGTGTAAATTGACGTTAAACTCGGACTGTTTCCGGCTAAAATATCTGAATAGACAAGAGAAGAGTTAAATGCGAAATCGGATTGGTAAGAGGGAGATAGCCAAGTTTTATTTTCTTGAGTACTTGATAAAATAGTACTATTGATAATAATTGAACTCTCATTCGGCATCAAACTGGATAAATTTTCTTCTGCTCCGTTAGTGGAAAATTCTGCAACATAGCTGCTATTTATTTCAGATGGTATAGTACTTTCTCCATCCGCTTGAGTAGAATATAATGAATAATTAACACTTGGAGGCTTGTCTGTTATTCCCGTACTAAAACTTGGCTCTATGACAGAGGATTCTTCGAGAATAGAAGTAACGATGTTGTTAGCCGTAGAATTTTGGATGAAAGTGGAATAAATTTCTTTGAGTGTATCAGTATGGGCTGTAGTTATTAGAGTGATATTTTCTTCGTTAGAATTTAAACTTGCAGAAGACTCTTCTGAATGAATAGTGGTAAAAGTCTCATTAGTGCCACCGTTACTAACTTTCGATTGAGTTTCATTTTTTGTCTCTGAATAAGTGGAGATTGAAGTCTCATCTACTTCCAACTTAGTTTCATTGACAGTTAAACTTGAATTAATAGAACTTGGGATAGCGCTACTGCTATCTATAGTACTGTAAGCTGTTGAATCATTGTTGATTGATGTAAAGATCGTACTATTTTCTTGGAAATATGTCGATAACGTTTTCTCATTAATAGAAGATAATGAATTCAGAAAAAATGAAATATTTTCTGAACTTGATTCTGATAATTCATAGTAAGACGCTGTAGCATTAATACCCAAATACGTTGATGAACTGATGTTTAATTCGGGTTTGATAGTTTCTGTTAAATTAACATTTGATAGATCTGTCTCTCCGGCAAAAACAGTAGTCGAGAAATAATTGTCCGAATCATTTGTGGAAGTTTTAAGGTTATCAGTCTGTCCTAAGTATGTCGAATTGAATATAGTATTATTAAAATCAGACATCAGGTTTGTAGGTACTATTGTAATGTCATCCGATTTACTTTTCTCATCATGTGAAATAGAGGAAATACCCTCTTCCTTTGTCAATGTCTGAGTAAGTTCCAAAGTTTCATTACTACTAACCTGAGGTATTTGGGAACTTTCTGCACTATTTGTAAATGTTGATGTTAATGAGACAGTTGTTTCAGTTGACAAAATATTGAGAGTGAAATTTCTATTAGTCTCTGATCTAGGTACATCTGAAAATGAATTCTCCAAGGAAGTTGACAGAACAGCGCTGGTCTCTTTGGGACTATCCAAACTCAAATTCTTTTCTTCACTTGACTCTGATGTCATAAAAGATGTATGACTATCCAGGGTCTTAAAGCTTTCTAACGTAGTTTCAATTTCCGTAGAGTTAAGGGTCGAATAATTTGCGTCGTCTGTTTCAGCATGAGTAAAAGTCGGGTTGGACCTTTCGAAATTATTCTCGTCTTGGGATACAGTTGATTTTATATCTTCTTGATTGGAAGAGCTTTCTAAAACCGTTGTTGATTCAACAACAGAAAAAGTATTAGTCAAAAAAGAATGGACGGATTTCGAAAGAGATAATGGCTGATCAAGTGATGCTGAAGTAGATGAAAATTCCTTAGAGCCTTTTCCAAAAGTGACACTGTCAATTTCCGTTGAAGGATTAATTGTATTGTCGAATTGAGATTCGCTTATTAAGTTAGTTGCATTGAATGCTTCTAAAGGTAAGAAAATAGGGGAAAAGGAAAAACAATAAGAGTCAAATTATTAAAGCTAACACATTCTGAAAGTAAAGAAGGCAAAACAACAAACATGTCTAGAGCTGCTCGTAAAAGATGTCAGTCTTAATTTAGAAAATGTAAATTGAACATCTGCCGTCCAGTTTATATGCTCTTCTAATGCGAAGAAACTAGTTAACGTATTACCATGAGACTAGACCAATGAATCGTTTTGATGATCAATAAAAAAGCTATTGGGCCGCAAATGCTATACTATTATTATTTTAGTGCGGTAAGTAGTGTATACCCTAAAAATATGTCATCTTTTTCTTGGGATTTATAATATTTATGCTAGCCATACTTAATGTTTCTATCTTTTCATTAACAATTTTTTATAAAGTGCTCTTTAAGGAGATTATCACGACAAATATCAACGTTTCCAATTTCTAATCTCCTGTCTAATTAGACAGTGATACACTCACTCATTACGTCAATTTTTTTTACGACTCAGCAATGACGGGTACTTAACGCCAGCTGTTGTCGAATTCTTTTTTAATAAAAAAATATTCGATTTGTTCTTTTTCAAAATGGAACAAATACAAAATTGCTTATTTTACGTAATAGTATATTTATATATTTGTATTTTTTTCATTATCTTCTTTTAATTATCAGGATTGTTTTAGAATAAAAATGACTTATTTATTTAGTTTTAGGGACATAATTAATATATCGCGTGCTTTACTCGCGAGCCCAAATATTTTACTAATTAATAGACCCAGAGGAATAGATTCACCTTGATTATTCTCTATGGTATAAAGCTCTAATCTAAGTTACGGATAGAATATTAAATGTCAATTGTTTCGTGTTCAAGTTTTTAGAATTATTCCGAGTTTTTTATATAAGCAGCTCTTTTCGGGGTTAGTAAATTAGCTTGTTCAAAATCTATTGGCAAAGTTTACATACCAACTGTAGTTCCATCATTCGTCGACAACACATATAAAATTGAGCACCAAAATATTAAGAATTTCATATTTCTGAATAAAGGCACCGAACGAAATTTGGGGCAAATTCATACAAAAACAAACTTATTCTGTAAAAATGACAAATTGTTATCAATAAATCAAACATCTTAATCAATTTTACTTCATATCCTCACGAGGACTTATTTTCAGTCGAATAACCTACTCTTCATAACTGACTTGAACTTTAAGCGTTTCCAAGGCACGTCTGAACAACTTTCGAATTCAAACTATTAAAACCCACCAGATGACGCTACCTACATTCAGTATTCTAATCTGGCATTCTATTATTCTACAAATTGTAAAAACTGCTGAATTTTATAATTATAAGCTACTGAAAAATAGTTTGTTAAAGTTAGTTGCTATATTTGTGAGGGAGATGATGATTCTTTTTAAAATAAATATGTTTTTTAATCAATATCAATATCTTTGTAATTTTTTAAAGCAATATTCTTATAGTTCTTTTTTTAGAACAATTGAAAATTATTCTTCGAACGAAAATATTCTCTTTTTCATTTAGAATTATTAATGAGAATGTTCGAAAGACGTAAATAACGCTTTACTTAATAAAGAACAATCTGAAATAGAAATAAAACAAACAATTTAGGCTGGGTAACAAATTATTCTTAATTATATGCTCTATTTGAAAAACAATTATGATTAAATGTCTGTCGCACCGAATAATTTAGTTTCTCCGTTGTATGAAAAACAAAATGTATGTCGAAGGAAAGATATAAAACTAAGAGGAAAACGTTTTGTATCTATCTATAGTGTAATTAAATATGTTAGAATACAGTGCAAATAATATTTCTTTGTATTTGAAAAATCAATTATTTTTAATATACACAGACTTAAAAATTTCGATTAAATTACGTCATATTTTTTTGTGAAAATAAAATAAAATTAAAAAAATATCCTTGGCTTAATAAGAAAATTTTATCTTATCAAAAAAAAAATAAGTGTTTCTTGTCGATTTATCATTCATTAACTTCGTTATCTTTAGACCTAGTGTTTTACTCGCATATACACTAAATATAAACTAAATATCTGCTTTAGACATATATTTTATACATATCCATGTTAATTAGATAGTTTCAGATAGTTCCATTGAGTAAGATTTAAAGGTTGATTCATTATCATCTCGGCTTGACATGTCCATTTGTTTCCATCACGTAGCTAAGGACTTTAAACAGGATTGCTATTAATTAGTGGTTTTTAACAGTAGATTCCTATTTCCTGTTTAGAAGATTTTTAATTTTTAACTAGTACCATATATACAGTATTTGTATAGAGATGATAGAAAATTTTCAATCTTGCTGAAATTCCCACGAAAGTATTCATTTTTATCGTATAAGTAGTCCCCTTGCAATTCTTTTCCTTACGATTATGTAATAAGAGTTAAAGGGTGCCCTCTCAATATGGACTAGAAACCCGACGATGAAAGGTTGACTACCCGATGATTACACCATGGTTAGTCAAGCATAAAATTGAAAGAAAAATTTTCAACTACCGCTTTGTTATTCAATTATGTAATTCTAAATATAAAAAGGATAAGAACAGTTAATGAATAAATTAAATTCTTAATTTGTATATATTGAAAAGCATTGTTCAAATATATTTCGGTATAAATCATAAATGTTGTAAAAATATATTTAATGTACATAAGACATGAAAGGAATGAAAAATTGTTCGCACAGTATTCCTATTCATTCATAAACAAATTTGATCTCAAACATAAATATTTCTGAAGAAATGTTTGAAAATTCAATACTATAATTTTTGTATTCGAACTAGCATTATTCATTAGAAACAATAAAATAAAATTGACAATAGCACGTATGGACAAAAAAATTAAGAATAAAGTTCACTCTTCAGGCTACTCAAGACGGATAGAAGGAAAGGTATAAAGCACATTTGCATAAGATGACTACAAAACAGTAATCAGATCTTGACTATCATAGAAAAAAAGAACAAAAAGTGAAATAGAATGGATATGAAGAGAACTTTCAGAAAACAAAAATTGTAATATAAGGAAAGAAAATTTACAATAATTGTCTAGCTCCCAGAAAAAGCCTATTTATTTATTTTTTTTGTAATACCACAGCACGTATTTGGGTGACAATATTGGTCGGGACCACACTCAAGATTACATTGGCGAGAGGTTTCAAAGTCTGCACTAGTTGAAGAACTAGCTTTAATTGGCTTTAAGATAAAAAAAAGATCATTATAATTAATTATTTGTGAGTTAGAAATTCGCATACCATATTAAACTCAGGCTGCACAGTTGTGGAATGAATTCCTTCGTTGTGGAAGAATTTTTTAACTTTTTCAGAAATAATTGCATAATCATTCATGTTCTGGCATCGTATGTGAGCCGTGGCAATAATACGACTTCCTGTTAGCTGCCAAACATGAAATTCATGAATGCTTTCAATTCCTTCAACTTCTTCCTTCAACCTCTTTTCTAAATCGTCAATGCATATGTTTGTTGGAACTGTTTGTAAGAGAATATGACTACTTTCCTTCAATAAAGGCAGAGTTGTAACAAAGAGAATTACAACAAGGAGAATACTGTAACAAAAATAATGAAAAAGTTTGATGTTAAGATTAAAGAAACATTAACTGACCTCATGGCCGGATCGACTTTGTGCCTCCACTCGCTCTTGACGAACTTCACTATTAAGGCGGAAATAACAACGATTACTGATCCTAAGGCATCCCCAAGAATATGTAGAAAGACCCCCTTCATGTTTAATTGGGAACTGGATTGTACCTTTTTCTTGGTACAGTTTTTTCCATTTTCAATTTTGACCTCTATATTTGCATCTCCATTTTGAATACTAGATATAGCTGTTGTGTTATGTTCTTCCGTCTTTTCGTCAATCTCGTCGTCTAATTTTTTATCGGTTTCATTTATTTCAGTCAATAAAGCAACATTTTCCGCATGTCCTCCATGAGAATGGGCATGACCATGAAATAAAAAAAGGCCTATGAGATTAACTGCTAAACCTATACTACCAACGATAAGCAAGAGCGTAGGATTCTCAATCTCTTCAGATTTAAATAAACGTTGACAGGCTTCCACTAATATTGTAAAGCACAAAGCCAGCAAAAAAACCGAGTTGACGAGGGCACCAAGTACTTCGGCACGAACCCAACCGTAAGTATTCTTCTTAGTTTTCTTCTTCGATATCTAAAATAATAAAAAAATAACACTACTATTATTACGTTTCCATTGGCTTTATTGATATTTTATAACTTTCAAAAAATATAAATTTTTTACAATAGTTGACCCATTTTATTGGAATATTTTCTGTTTTCTACTTTCACGTCAAATATGTCCAAATGGACTTTGAAGGGTGAGGAAGTGCTAGCTTCATTAATATTCATTACACTAATGTTAATTTTATACACCTTAAGACATTTTTTAACGGCCTTGAAAATTGTGACATTTAAATTAGAAAATACTAAATTATTCTGCAATTCAAAATTTTATAAGAAAATTAGAGGTTCAAAGGAAAGTTTCCGGTTCCGCCTCCCAAATAAAAACATAAAAAACACGAAAAATGATTAAAAAGATGTTAGTGTCTTTCAATTTTGAAATCTATTTTCATTTATTTTATCTTAACCTTTGATAACCTAAATACATTTATTTAACTTCTGTTCCACTCTTTAAAATTCTGATATTGCAACAAACCTTCTCAATGCTTTCCTATATCCCATAAGTAAATAGTTATTTCTTAAATGAAATTATGTAAAAATAGAGTTTAAAAATTAATAATACAAAAAGTTTAACATAGTGAAAAGTATTGTTAAGAATTCAAGAAAGGTTTCATTCGATAATTCAATACTGAAAGAATTGCTTTACGGAGTCTTTTATTGAATTCGCTTTGCACAAATTCTATAACATTTTAAAATTGTCCTTTAGTTTCAGTTGAGATAATTTTTATCTAGCGGATTCACATTTTATTCCCCTAATCGCTAAATGATAAGAAATCAGTCTGTAATAAATATTTAACAACTCATTTGCAATCCTATATAAGCGTTACGCAGGGATCTAATAGTTTCAGCCTAGAAAATCCTAGTTTTATTGTGACAATAGTTGTGTATATATTTTTGCATATAAGCTAAAACTTCACAAGTGTGCTAACCTTCACAGCTGCAAATCCAACTAACAATGCCACAATATCAGAGAGCATATGATATGCATCGCCGACCAAAGCGAGAGAGTGAGTCAAATAGCCAACAATTATTTCGACGAAGAAGAACGTTGATGTAAGGCACAACATACAAAGAAATTTACACGCTTTTCCATTATATCGTCCCATAGTTGTAGTCTTCTTTAATTTCAAGTTCTCGCTCTAAATTGAATACAGATATATGGTATCGATAAGATTTTAGATAGTAAATTGATTTTACTAAACCTGATACCAGGTTACGTACCCCTCTAGAAGGAATACTTAAGTTTGATTTTTAATGCTTAAAGCAGTACGTGAATAAGAATTTTTGGAATTAATAATTAGCACTTGCTATTCTTTAAAACATTGTTTATTGCTTGAATTATATTCTCACCTAGTTCTCCGATGCTCTAGAATTGATTTACCAATGCCGATTTTGCAAGTTTAGTTTAATTTTAAAAAAATATTATATTTTGAAAGCCATGTTCTTCGCACGACGACTGGCGCCGTGTGCAATACTATTGGCTCAGTATTCCCGCTCGAAAATAACGCACTACATTCCACAACTGGCCACTAGCATTGTTACAAAGAAGTACTCAATAAGGGAGTTTTCACTAAACAAGTATGCTTGTCTTTTTTAATGCACTCCCTGATGAATTTAAATACCGTTTTTATGAATTTTTTAAATTATATTCTTAACTTAAAACATCAAAATATTCAATAAATCATTTAAAGAAATATTATAAGCTTTTTTCTTATTGAAATTTTATATCTTTTTAGAGAAAGAAATTATTTATCTTTATTCCTCTTATATCTATTATCTCTGATATCCCATAATTCCCAAAACGCAACCTTTCTACTTCCTTTTGCTCTTTTCCGTTAAGCGTGGTGTTGCTTTTACATAAAATCTTGCAAAAATGCCGCCCAAATTCGACCCAAACGAAGTAAAGATTGGTAAGTTTCAAATCAAATATATTAAAGATTACCTGTAGAAATTTTCATGGGAATATAACGAAAATATGTCCTTAAAAAATAATTTATCCGCTGCCATTTGACTTTCTTCGCTGGTGAAGAAATGGAGATTATAATCAGTGTAACTCTTATAACATCCTAACATACTTCACAAAAAGTATTTTATTTTTTAAAATCCAGTGATTGTTTACTTCCTAAACGCTTTTAGCAGGAAAATATTCCTCGCTGATCAAATGCAGTCCAGATTACATAGACTTTATGCAATATTACCTATTAAAAACATATCAGATTAAATATTCCCTTTGTATTTTACAGTTTGTCTTAGAGCTGTTGGTGGCCAGGTCGGTGCTACTGCCTCTTTGGCCCCTAAAATTGGTCCCTTGGGATTGGTAAGGTCTAGTGAAATTGGCTATTTAAACTGTACTCACTTTTTCTTATTAAAATAGTCTCCAAAAAAAGTTGGTGACGATATCGCTAAAGCTACCCAAGATTGGTTAGGATTGAAAATCACCGTTCAACTAACAATCCAGAACAGACAAGCTAAAGTCAGCGTTGTTCCAACTGCCTCCTCATTGCTCATTAGAGCTTTGAAAGAACCACCAAGAGACAGAAAGAAGGTGAAGAACGTCAAGCACAGCGGAAACCTTTCCTTTGAGGAGGTTGTTAACGTTGCCCGTACCATGAGACCTAGGTCACTCGCCAGAGACTTGGCTGGAACCTGCAGGGAAATTTTGGGAACGGCTCAAAGCGTTGGATGTACGGTTGATGGACAACATCCTCACACCGTGATCGAAAAAATCAAGGCCGGAGAATATGATGTACCAGAAGAGTAAAGTTATTCTATTTGAATACATTCTCTGAAAGCTAAAGAATTTTTGCTTTTTTTCGTTGCTATCAGTTTTCGATACCTAATATGCGCTCTTTGTGGTGACCCTATTTTAAGAAAGACATTTAGCACTATAGTTAAAAATCTCTTTACTGAGGGTATCTAAAGATTTTTCCATAGCAATTTGTCTATTAGCATTGTATATAGGCTTAAATGAAAAAAGCACAATGGGAAGTTTTCAATAAAATATTGTTCCCATAAGCTCAGCTTAAACCATCTATGTCTCAAATTTTAAATCCCAAAGTTTAAAAACAAATATCAAAACGGCATGTTTATTGGACAAAAGATATAACATAAAAACTATGACCACATTTTCCTGTCAAAACATGAGAATTTAAAGTATTTACGAGTATACGACCAAGGAAACAATTAGGTATAATTCAAGACCAAGGCTACCTTAATTTAAAGACTTTTCCAACAGATTTTAATAAAACTAATTTCACTTACTAACAACAACTACAAAATCACTGCTATATGGAGACAGTATACTAGACCGGCATTTGCAATAAATTACACAATATAGTTACCGATTCAATTAGGTATTCTCTGAAAATGAGAAGAGATACTATTTAAACATTTTCACAACATGCCATATCCAAAATAGCTCAAAAATTCCTCCATTACCAATTAACATGATATTGCAAACAAAAAGGAATTTCTTCGATACTCTTATTAAAATTGAGACGAACTTCAAAATAGCTGATAACAGTCCTTTTACGAAAATGATGCACAATGCATACAATGAATACAGTAAATTTCGGTAGAACTTTACGAAGGAACGCTTTAACGCTGTTCATTACCGCAAAAAGCTCTGGCTTTTTTATGCGGCTAAAAAGTAGTTACTGAGTAAATTTGCTCCCCACTCGACTAATATCACAATTATGTTTATATACTGACTATGTACTAATTACGCTTTTTGTTTCAAAGTCTACAAATATGAATCCAGCCAAATTTGCGTATTCAATATATAAAAAAAGTTATTACTATTCTGTTTGAATAAGCGTAAATTAAGAATATATTGGAAATAAAAGTATGAAGTCATGTAAAAATTGATTATTTCTATTTTTACTCTTTATCTCTACAATTTCCTTTCTCTTCTTAAATCTTTATTTCTCCCACATTCTCATCCTTTTGTTCACCTACAACATCTTTATATTATTTTCCTTTTCAAATAATATTCCCAAGTCAAAGGTTAATATGAAGAATAACCTTCTTCTTCAGTCAAAGAATAGGAAGATAATTAAATTTTTTCCATCCATTCTAGATGATTTACAATTTTTTTCTCATCCAAAAGATAAGCAGTACTGGTTAAATAAGACTATATGACATCTTAACAGTTACTCAGCTTCCGGAGCAAAAAAAAGGAAAAGTAATTCACTAGAACATCCTAAACTTACATTGTTTTTCTTTGTAGAACAAAAACGTTGTATAAAGGGAATATAAAACAAAAAGAATAGAAGGTTTTAGTTATTAATAATTTAACTCTTAAATATAATTTTCAGGTAAATTTTCTCCATTTTAAAACTAACGTCGCCATATTAGTTAATATTTTGTTCTTTTATTATATATTCTTTTTTTTTATTACTTCTATAATAATAGTAAAATCAATTTTTTACTAATGTTTTGCTGTAATCTTCATTTTAAAACTGATTTAAAGTGGTCTCCTTCTATTCATTTACCATATTCCTTTTATTGTTCTCAAAATAGAATATTAGAACAAAGAAGCGAACGCAAGGTTTTCCTGTTTATTTATTATATCATTATTTACAATTATCCTATATAATGTATTAATATTTACTGCATCTATTTAGAATGAAGATAATAAATGTTTCTTGGAGCCCAACGACCTTTCAGTCTTTAATAGAACAATTGGATCTGGAAATAAATAAAATGACGTAGGCCTACGATTAATGGAAGTATCTTCCCGAATACGAAGCGAAGAGGCAGTTTACGTCATCTTAAATTATTAAATAGTTAAGAAAAAGTTCAGCATCTTTAATCATTCATTCATAATGATAATAATAAAGATTTGTATATCTTTAAGCGTTCATTCTCCCAAAGGAAGGAGAAAAAGAAGAGGAAGAAGAAGAAGAAGTAGAAGCAGAATAAGATAAAAAAGGATTATAAAAGAATATTTATTATAGATAAAATTTTCTCTGAACAACGATAATAATAATAACATATTAGTGATTATGTTTTGGAGAGGTATACTCTTCTCAACTCTTCGTCTTAAAACTGCTGGCGTTGTTCTTGTATCTTGATACCACTTCGCTTAGTTCCGTCATAAATGATAGCTTTTTAATTTGTTCTGTAAAACAAACAAACAAGAATTAAAGATAAAATATAATAGAAAAATGACTACTGACCGTCGGGTGGAGCAAAACTATCGACATCTGCGTATAAATGCTCTTCGGTATTAGTTGATTCATCAATAATTGTATCTCTATGGGAATACCCAGTCTTCCTTTGATATATAGATTCGATAAAGTCGTTATAATAGGTTAATTGATTAAATTCTGATTCGTTGAAGCTAAATGCCAAACGCGCATTTATTCTACTAGCCAAGAGTTTATGTGATACTTCCAAATTCGTACAATACTGGCAAGATTTGTGCATAGCATGCACTAATAGTAAAGTAGAAGAATCTCTCTTCCGAAAAGATTTTCTTTCAATAATCTCATTTAGGAATGTTAAGGGATAGATATGATGGGCGTTAATTGAAAATATTATTCCATCGAATTGTTCTTCTTTTGTTAATGGAGCAAAGTTGTGTAAAGCAGCTATAACTATTTCGACAGATATTATCTTGTTATTATTCATTCTACATTGTACCCTCAGTGTTGTTTGGTTGTCATTGCTATAGTAGAACAGGGACTGGTGTTGCAGGAAAGATTTTAACGTATCAAGGCCAATATCTATACCGCAATCGAGCACCATCATTAAGGTTAAATCTGGTTCGAACGAAGGAGCCATATGGAATGGGCATAGGAACGTTCTTCTAATTTCTATAGAATTTAATATAACTTGTGGTATCGAATTTATCGACTCCGATGTAAATATGCATTGTAAATTTGAGGCCATTCTTTCACCCTCCTGCCTCAAGCTTGGCTCGGAACAATAAACAACAGATGGCGCTCCGCGAAAAGGCGCAGCATCCGATTGAATTAGACTGAGTATGAGTGACTTTACGTATGATAAAGATGTCGAATCGCAGAAATGCAATAAAACCGAGTGAAAATCCAAGTTTGTCTTCTCCATAGTACTATAATATTCAAGCTGCTTGTCTTCGTAGAGAACCGGTAAACGAGTTAATAAATCAGTTTGGGTAGAAATGACTAGGATCCGAACCGATTTTTCGGCTTTCTCTAAAGTAAACTTTGAAAATGGTTTAACAAATTCTTCGGGAGATGGAGCCAGTATTGCCGACGTCAAACAACAACTATGAATAAATAGGCAACGATTAACCGGTAAAATTATACAAAGGCGAGTTGTATCAACGAAACATTCTATGATCTTTCTTCTATCTTCTTCTAATGCTGCTAGATCCGTATATCGCGGATCGTAGGAGATCATTTCACAAAATTCTTTTATTTTTATTGTCTTCCTCGCAGTTTCACAGGCCAAATCGACTAGATTTCTTAATAATGACTTTGTAATACGTTTCTGACACGTAAGGTATAGCTTCTCCTTAATCTGATCATTCAACTGATGAAAACATTCTCGACTTTTTATATAAATACTGATTTGGTTTAAATTCAAGCCCGGCTTGCAAAGATTCGGATTTTCGTCAAATATCGCCAGGAAATCTGCTTCGTTACGCTGTAGATCGGCTTCCTGTTTTTTATTTTCGATGAATTGGTGATAAGCTTCTTCAGCCTGACTAGAGTATAGGAATTCAGAGGGAATTTTCGTTAGAGTCAAATCACCATTAGACGAATCTTTAATTAAAAAGTGAGCATCACTAGAAAAATGGAATGAATATTGAGGTTTGCAAAGTAGAGTTTGTCTGGTAGCTTTCCAATTATTATAAAATAACTCTTCTTCAGATATACACTTTAATTTGTCAATGACTAATTTACTATAAATTTTTGATCTTTCTTCAGCGAAATCCGAACCGAGTTTCGATTGAACCTTCTTAAATATTTCTTTAGCTTTAGTAATACCGCATTCATGAATCATCATCTTATAAGTTGGACGCTCTTTTATATGATTATCAACCTCTATCCAAGAATCTCGATGATTTTTTACCTGCTTTTGTAGCATTGTTTCAAATGATAGACTTATTTGAGACAGATATTCCTCTCTTCTCTTCAATGCCTCCTCGTAACTGCAAATGGTAATTGGAGTTGATTTTCTGCTTTTATACTTCTTCCATAAGATTTCGAACACGTGTTGTATGTTAACATTCTTCAATGCAGAGGTATGTACCAAAGGAATAGAATAGTTCTTAAAAGGTTTACCAGATAAAAGATACTGAACGTCCTGCAATACCGCCAAAGATTGACAATCGTTCTTTGTAGTAACTAAGACGATTGGTTTATTTGTGCTAATTAGCGATTTTAATAAATCTTTAGAATTGCAAAATTGTTCATCTCTCTTAGCTTCTTGATCTCTTGAGACGTCGTATACGTAAATGAAAGCGTCAACTGAAAATTCATTTGGCATTTCCGCAACTCCATCTGGTTCCAAGCCTAGTTTATCTCTTCCCAAATACTGAGTTTTACCCGATGTATACAACTTTAACGTTTGACATCTTTCTGCGTAGGTTTTGTCAAATTGAAAGGGTTTAAAAGTCATATCATCAAGAAATTGAGTATGTTCAATAATATGAAAGTTAACGCTTGTTTCCTTACAGACTGCATGCTTCTTTGTTCCCCAATAGAGAAAGTGTTTATTGGCGATAGTAGCCGAACTAAAGTCCGTCGAAGAAATCAAGGAGCTATGATTTGTCGAAAATCTATCTTCCGAATGATTAAAAAATCTATCAATCAAGCAGCTTTTACCAATGCCACAGTATGCTTGACTACTACTCAAGCCTACAACGGCTACTTTGAGATTCGGAGAATTCCCACTCATTTTTTAGATGCTGAAACAATCCAATAAGCTGATCAACATAAACGTTTCAAAATTTAAACTGTATATACAGATATTAGATATTGCATTATTATTTTTATATTCTTTTCAATAATATTCATAAAAAATGCAGTAAAAGATACCATATTTCGCGGACATCTCCAATATTTACAACATTTCGAATCTCATCGACAGCCATTTTATGCGACCTTCACCTTTTTTAGATCCATGTTTCAGCGACATCTGCCAGATGTTAAACCAACCGATAGCGTATGATTCATGCCCATATTTCCATGAGGGTAACAATAGCATTATAAACGTGTTACCCAGTCCCTTTATTCTAAAATTTTCAATAATAACATCACGTAAAGGATAAATTACGTCACATTTATACTTTTCCCTTGTTCCTCCCATGATATTCCCTCTATCAGATTAGTTGACCGAAAATAATTTCACTTCCCATTAAGCTTAATTATCGTTAATAACGTCTACAGTCAAGGACTAATTATGTTTTAATTATGCTTCGTTACTGTATGTGTTAGTCATTGTTGCCTTTCACAGAGCTGTCAAAGGATGAGTGTAAAATACTCACGAGTCACAGCAACAACAGTAGGTACTTATGAAAAACACAAGAAAAAAAGAGAAACAACAACTAACTCATAGAATTTTCAAACCAAACTTTATCAACCATCCTTATCCCCTCCCTATCCAACTTGTATTACAATAACTATAAAGCAAAATAGTAACAATAGAATGGGATAGCACATAACATAATAGAATAAATAGGAAACCTTTTCCAAAGAAAAAAAAAAAATCTTTTTCCATTTTTATGTGAAAAATTGCACATTGGAGACGAAATAATTTTTTGCCTTTCTCTTTTATAGGCGCATTTCCAAGCAAAAAGGGAAAAAGAAGTAAACTGCGCAAATATCAAACACAATAAGTATACAGAGAGCAAGAGTATATATATGTAACGGGTTTCCCTATACTTTGCTTTCTCGTAACAACCTCATAAGAAACTATGAGAAAAATAAAAGAGAAAAAATATCACTTTTTTCTTTTCAAAAAATATCATTATGCAAACAGAGAGAATTGATTAGACGCTTTTGGTAAAGTTTCACTTTAAGGCCTCGTTAGAACGCCATAGAAGGTCCTGGATAATAGATTCCATCTAAAAAAGTATTATATAAGTTAATTTCTTTGTAGTAGGTTAAAAAATGGAAATATCTTACTATCAATATTGGAATTCTTCGGGAAAATGTTATCCTCCTTGTTGCGAGATATTCTTGGTGGTTTCATGTTTCTACCTTCTTGCTGGTCCATCTTCTTTATTCTAATTTGTCTCTCTTTTCTTCGTCTAACTTTTTCCTTTTCTTCTTCCTTCCTCCTCTTAGCTTTCTCCTTTTCCTCTGCCTTTCTCTTCGCAGCTTGTTCTTTATCCTTTGCCTTAATGATTCTCAATTCAATTTTTCTCTCTTCCGTTAGTTCTTCTTGCGGTTCTTTTTTGAATGGATTTTTTAATGATGTTACTCGATCCCAAAATCTACGGAAAACACCTCTTTTCTCTAACATATTTAATCGTTTCTCCAAGAATACAATGCGTTCTTCCATATCCTCAGTTCTTTGTTCACTCTGAAGAAGCAAAATATGAACTTCAATCGCCCGCCTAAATAAGGCTAAAAACTGTTCGGGAGTTCGTCTATCAATTTCTCCATTCGGTAACCTATAAGGTTCATTTTGAACAACTTCTTGATCTGTATTTCCTTCAGGATTCATGATAGTTTCATCGTCGCTGCCCTCTTGCCCATCGAGACAAAGAGAGTGAAACTTTCCGCCCTTTTTCAATCTCAAAATGCAGTCATCTTCAGAGTCTTCGCCAAAATCGATGTCTTCGTCAAATTTCGCTCGTCGCCTCTCAGACCTTTTCCTAAATAATTTCCTCCTAATCTTAATTTTCTTCTTTTTCTTATCAACATTGTCTGCTCCTTGAATATAGATGGTCTCATAACCTAAGGTTTGTATTCCCTCGAAATCTTTCATTTTTTCGGCAAACGAAGTATATCGTTTTTCTTTTTCGGCTTCTCTAATACTTTCCCGTAAACTTTCAATAATTTCTCTACGACGTTGCATTTCCTCTTCATCTAATTCAACTTCATCTTCAATATCAAATACTTCGTCGTTTGTATAACAGTAATCGTCGTCGTCACCGTCCTCATCGACAACTTCGTCATATTCGTAATCAGTTTTTTCTTGAAAGTTTACAAGGTCAACTTGTCCATTTTCTACCTCAGTTTCTATTTCAGTTTCTTTTTCTGTCTCTAGCTCGGTCTCACCTTCGATCTCTCGTTCAGTCTCTGTTTCAATCTCTGTTTCAGTCTCTGTTTCAGTCTCCCTTGCCATCTCTTTTTCGGTTTCTACTTCGGGATCTTTCTCTGCTTCAACCTCAGTCTCTACTTCGGTATCTGTTTCAGCCTCTTTTTCAACAACCTTTTCAGCCTCTTTTTCAACAACCTTTTCAGCCTCTTTTTCAACAACCTTTTCAGCCTCTTTTTCAACAACCTTTTCAGTGTCCTTTTCATCCTCCTCTTCGACGTCTATCTTTATCTCCATATCAATTTTTTCATATTCTTTACGGGGTGTATTTTTCTTTTTTTTAATAGTAAAACTATATGGGTCTGGAAAGTAATAAAGAAAGTGCGAGTAAAAAAAAAATGCTGTGTAAAAATTCTTACTGTAAAGTCCAAGATCCATATCGGGGACACAGGCCTCTCTGAACATTTCTTGCTCGTTATACAATTCATTACTTCGAGTTCGACTCCTAAAGCCTTCCTTAAAATCGAAACTGCTGCAAGGTTCGTCGTCATACTTTGGAAGAAAGTTTAATTCTTGACAAGCCTTATCTCTACACTTATCAGCTAAATCGAAACCGCCGCATGCTTGATCTTCATATTCTATTCCAAAATCCATAGTACCAAATACTTCTCTTATTATCTCATTTCTAGATTTCTTTTTAATGGCAATACGAACACCACTAGATTCTAAATCCAATTCACCACAAGCTTGATCGTAACCCTTGTCTTCAAATCCACCACAAGCTTGATCGTAACCCTTATCTTCAAATCCACCGCAAGCTTGATCGTAACCTTCGCTAGCATCGAATCCACCACAAGCCTGGTCGAAACCTTTGTCTTCAAATCCACCACAAGCTCCTTGGGCTTCGCTTAGATCTAGAGAATGGAGAAAATCAATAGTCAATTTATTGTCGTAATTAATATCTTTAAAATTAAAAGACTTTCCTACCTAAATCGACAGCTCCTGTGCATCCTTTGCCGCTTGAACCATCAACGTAACACTCCGCAACGGTTTGCTGTTCAGGAGTAGTAATAGTTGACATATCTGGCTCAGTATCGTTATCGGTCTCTTCGTTCAGCGGTTCAAAATCTGATTTCAATGAGAAAACTAGTGAAAAAAGTTATTTAAGATTTCATTCTTGTACTTACCAGAGGATGGAAAAAGGCAGCTGAGAAGTGAAGATGCGAAATCGTCTGGTTCTTCAATAATACCATATTCTTCTTTGAAAAGTTCAATCAAATCGTTACCGTACAGCATATCTAAGTATTGTTTGGTCATGAATGATTCCTTCTTTAACATCTGTACATTATTTTTCATTTCCTTCACTTGTCTCTTAATTTCTCTCTTGTTCATAATTACAAAGTAGTTAGCTTTATTAACCATGTTTTAACAAGTTTTTTAGATACTTTAAGAGTGCTTGGATGAAAAATAATAACGCTGGCAGATCGATCAGAGCGCCTTATAAAGGCGATCCATGGTTGAGAACCTACTCAATACAAAAAGTTCACAAAAAACCATTTTAGTTCCAATTTTAACCGAATATTATCTTTTTATGCTAATTTTTAGAACACTCACGTTAGGTTAAAAGCGTTTTAATAGGCAAGATTGTATCTTTAAGCTGAAAAATTACTCCTACAGGAGAGTTTATCGTTGTCTTATAATAATTACATTTAATTACAAATACACTTTATACTTTAACATTTCTGATCATATTCTTTCAAAAAATTTCCTTAAAATTGTTTTACAAAGCATATAACTTTCGAAATATTCTTCTATAGAACAATATAACAGTGTCTCTTATTTTTTGTTGAACCACGTGCTTTTTTTTAATTTTATGGTAATTTCATTAAAAAATTTCTTCCATTCTCCTCCTTTGATAGTGAGGAAACATTTTTTCCTATTACAACTAAAATATAATGTGTCATTTATGAGAAAATTTCCGTACCAGATAAAGGACAGTGTATGACTATTTTTTAAAGCTTTCGATAGGCCTATTTTACAGCTACTTCCGGATTTTAATGGGTGAAACTAATTACTGAACACAGAGTGTCATTAAATTAATTCAATAATTTTGAGATTTTTGAACGCATTAAATTATTATTATATTCAAATTTTTTAGAATTATTTTTAGCTCTTCAGCTAAATTAATGTAATATAATATCAGATATTGACTTAGGAGTAGAAATTGACACGCTTGAGGATTTTTTAAAATCTATCACTATGGTATTGAGTAGCGGTTTGCAATACCACTTAATTGTGTGTGACACTTAGAGGTAACAGATGTTAGTCTTTGTGGCCGTATCGTCCTTTCGCGTCGAGCTCTCCTTAAGGTAAGACCTGTGTCTTTATTATATATTAATTTAGTAATAGGTTTATTTGTAAGATTTAGAACTTAGGTTTAGTCTTTAGCAAAGCGCACTAATATATATTTCATTAACAAAATGTAAAAGTTATTGCGAGCTTTTTACAAATATTCTTAGCGTTAGAAAGTTTTAAGGCTTCTTTTCTGACCACGTGCTCTTTACATATTTGCACATTAGACAAAAAAATTAATTTTTTTTTTTGACAGAGGCGACGAGGTAAGCAGGCCTGCAGGGATTGAAAAAGTAGAAGGAGCTGATTCCAAAAATTTGGCCTTGCATTTCAACCTTGATGATAGGTGGTTAATCGATTGCTACGAGGTTAACCGCACTGGTACAATACGACGTCACTTGCAATAGAACATTCCTGTGACAACTCTTTGTTGAATTTTAACTGTTTATCTGAATTGTTACATTTGACTTTGAGAATGTTATTGAATGTTGTTGAATTATACCTTTTACAATAGGTACCATTGCGTTTTTCTCACCTTCCGCGGAAGTAAAATGTGAATTTGCTGTACCAAGTCTGCAGTAGTTTCATTTTTAATTGTTTTTAATATTTCAGACGGGTCCATTTATATGTAACGTAAGAAGTCATGTTGTAAAATTATATACACTGTATAGCTTGCTTCGTGAACTCGACAACTTAGGGCATGATATACAATAAAAGCACTTCAAAAATATTTTCACATATACTTTTGTTCTAAGCGCGAAAATGCTCTATAGCATAAATACTAAGTACCTTTCTATAAATACATTATTAAGTATTTGAGAAACTTACTTAGAAATTCTTCAAAATGCTTATGTTTTTTGATGAGATTGACCTTCAAGTTTGTCTATTTGCCGAACAGAACAACCTTTAAATTTTTAGAATTTGACGATGCATGTAATACAAATAAGTTGTTCCGGAAGATTGTTAGTCTGATAATTTGAAACTGATTGTTTACCTTTCGAAGAGGCTAAAAAACTCTGGGTATTTTCTTACAGGTGAAAAAGGACTCTCTCTAGAGATTCTTGACATTTAGCTAAGAAGACAAATCAATTTCCTTTTTCAGATCAGGGAAATAGTAAAACATTTATCAAAAGAATGAAAAAGGATAGTTTACGTTATCATAGATATTAAAAGGAAATTGCTTTTAAAAAAAAAACAAATAATGAAACTATCATCCATTTGCATTCGAGTAGTACAACCCTAAAAGAAGATTATGAATGTTGCAAGTCAACGAAAAGGATATCGCCGTGATATGGATGGTAAATCCTTAAAATGTAGATTTCGTTTGTCTTTAGAGAACGAGGCTTAATACTAGAAACTTTTAGGGTAAAATTCATTCATTCGTGTGGAAATCTTGAGGAAAACTGATTAGGCAAGTTAAATTGACGAAGCGAAGAAAAAATCAAACTAATTCACTCGACTATAAAAAGTAGTTTGAGTAAGATCTAAGTAAGAATTGGGAAGACTTTGACAAACTATATCCAATCATCTAACAATGCTAATTGGTTAAAGGAAGAAAATAATTTAGAGGAATAATCATTATTAAAAATCCTCAATTTTTAAATAGAATTTATCCGACATCTTTTCTCTTTCCCTATCTCTGTTTATCGATGAAAATTTATGCTTTTTTTTTCTTTTTTAAATTCCAATACTAGGCCTACTCACTTTTTAATTTATCATATCTGATTTGATGTATCTCATTATTATTCAATACTTAATGAAAGTTTGTATAGTCACTAGGTGGCGCCCCTTGCTGATTACTTTAATCATTTTTAGATTAGATGAGCGAATGAAAGTTGTAATGATTTCAAAGGTAATTATGTACTTTATGAATATATTGAATATTTTCATATGATTATTTTTACATAAAGTTCGATTATAAAAATCTTTAGAAATAAAGAGAGAGAGAGAGAGAGAGAGAGAAAGAGTGAGAGAGAGAAAAACAGGGAAAAGAGATAAAGTAGAAAAAATGATAAAGCTTTAATCCGTTGAATAAGTTTTGAAGTTTTATAATATAGTTATGGTGTTTTTAAGTGTATTTTAAGTAAATCTTTGAATATTCTAAAGTATCTTTTATCCTATTTCATTACAGATTAGTTAAAAAATAATCGTCTTCCTTATAAACTGCAATAAATACTGTAAAAAAAATTATCTATATTAAAAAGTACTCAATATTATATAAAATACATTAATTAGCATAATGAAAGAGTTATTATCACAAATTTCCGCTCATATAAATATGTTACCGGTCAATTATTTGAAGGGTATCTGTATGCAACATATTTTTTGCATTAGGCCTAGATGTACATTACATTAATCCATATCTTTTTGTTTTTTCCCCCTTCTCCCCACCTCTTTCCTGATAATAAACAAACTAGATATTCCGAAAAGTTGATAAGCTAAGACCAATAGTTTGCTGCTATTACCATGGCGGAAAAAGTTTCAAGGCTTCCGAATTGGATATTCAATTGACCAAAACTCCAAATCCCAAACCGGATGACAAAAATTTGCCATTTGGTAAGACTTTTTCGGATCATATGCTAAATATAGACTGGGATCCGAAAATGGGATGGTCCAGACCAAAAATTTTACCTTTTCAAAATTTTAGCATGCATCCAGCTAGTAAGGTTTTCCATTATGGAATTGAGGTTTGTTTTGTTTGTTTTTCTCATTTAAGATGTTTCATTCTCTTTATTTTTAGCTCTTCGAAGGATTGAAGGCCTATAGGGGTGCAGACAATGTTATCAGATTATTTAGACCAGATAAGAATATGGAAAGAATGATTGAGACGGCGAATCGGTGCGAATTTCCAGATTTTGATGGTAATGAACTGATCGGTTGTATTAAAAAATTGATAAGCATCGATAGAGATTGGGTACCAAATTCTCAATCATCGACTCTCTATATAAGACCAAGTATGATTGCTACAGAACCATGTATTGGGATAGGTTTTTCGAATCAAACGAAATTGTTCGTGATTACTGGACCAGTTGGAGCCTATTATCAGACTGGACTTAAACCAGTTTCCCTCTTAGCCGATCCTCAATTCGTTAGAGCTTTTGAAGGAGGAACCGGATACTATAAAATGGGATGTAACTACGCGCCAACCATTCAAATTCAATTGAATGCTCTAAACGACCATAATTGCCAACAAGTTTTATGGTTATACGGTCCTGAAAGGGAATTAACGGAAGTAGGGACCATGAATATATTTATCTATTGGATTAATGAAAGCGGCGAAAGGGAACTGATTACTCCATCTTTAGAAAAGAAGATAGTGTTACCTGGTGTTACTAGATTATCTCTACTTGAGCTAACAAGAAAAAAGAAGAAATTTAAGGTAACTGAAGGCAGAATAACAATGAGTCAAATAATAAAAGCCTTGAATGAGAATCGTCTAATAGAAATGTTTGGTTCGGGAACAGCTTGCGTAGTTTGTCCAGTAAATAAAATTCTATACGATAAAGAATGGTATGAAATTCCAACTATGGAACAAAAGGAGCCACTTTGTTTGCAATTATACAGCGAACTAACTGATATCCAATACGGCCGAAAATCATCAGATTGGGTAGAAGAAGTTGTAGAGAGTACCAATGAAAAAGATGTTCTTTCCAACTATAATTTATGATCAGTCATTATTAATTAACAATCCTTTTTATCTCTTTGTTTATTAGACAAACTATATCAGTTTTAATCATAGATTAGACAATTTACGAAAATTAATAATATGAAAAAAAAGAACAATAAAAAACCTATCGTAAATAGTCAATACATTTTCTTTTATCATAAAATGTCATAAGTTTGTCATAGATTTTGAACAAAATCGGAACTTCATTAAATTTCTCCATTCACGATATTCGTTAAAAGATTGATTGTTAAGATTGTTAAATATTAGATGAAAATTGAAGATAGAGAGAAGGACAATATTTTGATTAATTCTTATCAGAAATAATTAAACTTGAAGAAAACTTGTGACAAAGATATAGAAATAAAAAGATAAAAAGTATTAATAAATACAGTTGGGGCACTACTCTTTCCTTTGATTATAGCTGTATTGCATCTGTCGCCTGTACAGCATACTGAACATTCTGTCACTTTTATATTGCCATCCGCTGATTTACATACTTGATTCTTATCGGAGCAAGTCTCATTTACACATCCTCTAGAAATGTGGATAGTTCCATTTTCGAATTTGGTGTGGGACATCTACAATAAGTTTTTAAAAGTATAAATACTGCGTTACTATTCTCGGAGATAGAATTTCAACCTTGCAAGATTTAGTACTTCCCAGGCCGGGACAAACCGTATTTGTTGAATTTGTGTCTAATATTTCTTGAGCACAAGCGGAATCTTCTCCAACTCCGCTACAGGCAAGGCAAGATTCTATAGGAAATTATATTTCTCATTAGATTTTTGTTTGTTTGTTAATTTATCTGTTCTTTACCTGCACAGTTGAAACTATCAGGAGTAAGAAGGAAAGGAGATTTGCATTGAGAACAATAAGGTTTTTTGTCAAAGCAACTGTTACAACCACTTATACCGCAACCTACAAAGTTTTAATTACAGTTAGTTTTTTTAGTTGTTTAATCTAAATGCCGTTCTTTTAATAACTTACTTATGCAGGCGGTACCGTCGTCCTTCAGTACGTAGTCGGCCTTACACGCAGTGCATTTAAATGTGCTTTGTGAGTCCAGGGAGCATTGGGAGCATTGAGGAAAGTTTTCAGAGCAAGCTATTCGTTTTCAAAGAAAAAAGAAAATTATCATTCTTATCTTATCTCTGTTATGTCATTGTTTTGTTTGTTTTACCTTTACATTTTCCATCGGCAGCCTTAAAATGTGTTGATTGGCATTGAGAACATGCGTCGGCTGTTGTACACGAGGCGCAGTTTGCAGGACAATTGGTGCACGCTTTAGCAGCTGCATCGAAGAAAGTACCAGATTGACATGATGAACAGGATTCACCATCCGAGCAGGATAAGCACTTGCTAATGCAGTTCTTACAGACTTTTGCAGTATCGTCAAAGTATGCGCTAGAACTTTGGCATTTATCACAACTGTCCGCTGATGTACAAGTTGCGCAACTGGTCGGACAGGCTGAGCACGATTTTGCAGTGTCGTCCCAAAATTTAGTTGCCGCACATTTACTACAAGATTGCCCATCTGAACATTCCAAACAAGAGGCAACACAAGGTAGACAATTGGTTCCAGTACTATCTTTATAAAACTGTCCCATACAGGTATCGCACTTGGTCTTATCGGAAGAGCAATCGGCACAATTGGCAACGTCGCAAGAGGTGCAGGTTTCCAAGAATTTTGTGTCCATGCAAGTTAAACAGGAAATTGTTCCCCCAGTAGCGTCTTTTTTACAAGTAACGCAGTTTGCGCTACTTGTATGGCATTTCTTTTCAGTTTCGTCCCAACATCTATTACTCAGGCACAACGAACAAGATGTAGCACTTGTACATCGAGCACAACCGTCCATGCAGTCTATCGGAAGAACGATTTTGTTTGAGGAGATAATGATTACAAAAGCTACAACTTACTCTCGCAAGATTTCTTCGCAGCGTCCCAATATCTTTCATTCTTGCAAGTAGTACAAACAGTGCTGCTCGAGCATACATTGCAGTTGTTTGGGCATGCTTTACAGGAATAATTTTGCGATAGTTAGCTAATTTATTTCTGTAATAAATTAATAATAATAATAATATTTACCGGAACAAGATTTCGCACTAACGAAGAAGCCTGATCCACAAGCTGTACAACCTTGATCTGTTTCACAAGTGGAACAGGAAGGATGGCAAGCTGTGCAGACTTTTGCAGTTGTATCGAAATAATGATTAGCGTTACAAGTTTTACAGGTAGTTCCGTCAGCGCATTCGGAGCATTTGGTAACGCAAGCTAAATAATAAAAGAGAAGAGATTGAATGACAATGATCCTATAACGTAAGAGAACAAACCTTTGCATGATGTTGATCCAGAGTCCCAATAAGTTCCGGCAATACATTTATCACAATTATCATTGGCTGTACACTTTAGACAATTTTGAACGCATGAAACGCACTCTGTTCCAGTCCAGTGTCTTCCAATGCTTGCTTGAACATTGCAGATGTTGCACTTTTCCTCCGTATCCAAAGTCATTCCTACAGTACACTGCTTACATTGGAAAGCATCTGGTGCTGCTTCATGGCGATAATATCCATTTGTTGAACATTTAGTACAAGTAGAACTGGAAGGACATTCAACACAGCCTTCTGAACATTTTCGACATTGGGAGGCCGCTGTTTCAAAGTAATTACCCCAGACTGCGGTACCGCATGATTTACATTCAGGTTCAGTTTCAATGAGACAATCTGAAGGAGAACAAAAAAAAAATAAAGGATAATATGTGAATTTTAATTTTAATACTATTCCTTACCTGTGCATGATGATCCTGACCAAATTTTTCCAGTAGTACACATACTGCAAGAAGTTGGAGAAGAGCACGTTTCGCATTCGTTCGGGCAACTCTTACATTCGTTATCGTGCCAAACCTTTCTGGCGCATTGAGCACACTTAGCCGAAGAATCTAGAGTACCAGAAGCACAGTTCATGCATTCTGATCCATCCCAGAACCAACCAGTCTTACATTGAGTACAAGTATCTTCGTCACAAGATGCGCAATTCATATCGCATTCTATAATTAGAAGAGAAAAGCGCAAATTTAAAACGAGTTGAATTGAACGACTAATCAACAGAGAAATAAAAAAAGAGGCAAAAATTTACTATAGCAGACACCGGAAGCCATCGTCCAAGCTTTAGGCTGCATTGTTTTAGTTGCACAACCCATACATCTATCCGCCGAATGAATTCTTCCGGTTGTACAATTCATTGGAGTATCTAATTAAAAATTCATAAAGAGAATCTCGTTATTTGGTTATTTAAACAGACAAAAGAAAAAGATAAAACCTCTGCAAAGAGAAGATGAACTCTCCCAATATTTATCCTCGCATTGATTACATTTTCGTTTAGTATTTAAATTCTGAGCGCAATTTACGACTAAATTGATAATAATGCGTTAAATGATTGTATAGAAGGTAATAAGGAAGATATAGCTGATTGTTTATCGTTACCTTTACAAGTTGTATCGCTCGGATCCCAGTATGTTTTTGGACATCTTTCGCATTTGATTTCATCAAGTGTTGAAGGATCATTCGGACAGACACCAATTTCTAAAGGTTTATAATAAGAAAAATGAATATAAATAACGTAAATAAGGAGGCTTACGTTTGCATTCAGCCAATTTCCAAATTAGTTGTTTGCAACTATTACATTTAGATTTTGTAGTTTTAGTTTCGGCAATTGTGCAATCCTCAGACATCACTGAAAAGAGATAAAGAGGGAAAACAATGATAAATGTTCATAAAGATAATAGAATTCTCTTACAAACGCAAGTGCCATTCTCCCAGAATACACCTTCGAATCTACAGGCATCGCATTCAAGTTGTTTTGTGAAAGTTGCGAAGGTACTACAATCGGCCACAGCTAGAAGAAAGATGAATAATTTATACCCCATTTATATTGAATGCTTGAGTTTACTTACTTTTACAAATGTTACTTTCAAAATAACGTTTGGGACAGGAATTACAAGCAGCTTCAGTTAGAGATGTGGCACCGCAATCGACAGCTGGAAAGAGTTTTTTTAAATTAGTACCGATTAATAACAATATATTTATAACTTGCCTTGGCATTCGTTTGATCCTGTATCCCAATTTTTACCTCTACATTGTTCACATTTAGTTTGATCAAAGGCACCAGAACAAGTGGGAGCAGCACAAGTACCGCTCCATACTTTTCCACAAGCTTCACACTCTAGCTGAGTGGTAGGAGCTGAGCAATCTGATGCCTCAGTGCAGGTGCCATTGAAATAATAGTTGTACCAAGGTGCGCAGGAATTGCATTTATCAGCAGTATCAAGTCCAGCTAGATTAGTACAGTCCACTGTGGAACAGGTACCGCTAAAGTATCGGCCAGGACAAGCGTCACACTCTGCTTGATCACTTACATCGGCAATAGGTCTGGAACAATCGACGACTTGGCATTTATTAGCCATCCAAGCGTGATAAGGGCATCTTGAACATTTCATTTCGCTTCCAGAAAATTCTCCTTGACATCCTTCCGGAAGAGGTATACAAGTATCGGGTTGCCAATAATTCAAATCACAAAGTTCACACTTCTGCTCCGAGTTTAAAAGTGCTAGATTATTGCAATCACTAGCATCTACGGATGAAGGGAAACAATAGATTAGTTGAAATCTTTAATTAATATAATAGCTGTTAAATAAATAACGAACGGAAACAATCGTTGCTAATCCATCCCTTATTTGGGCATGCATTACATTGAGTTTCAGTCAATGAACTCTGACTACAGTCAACATCTAGGATAAGGGTAAAATAGTTCGTTAAAATTGTTTTATTATACAAAGTATATCTTTTTTCGATTTTGAAGAGAGAAAAAACCAACCAGTGCATTGTCCACTCGCCCAGAAGAGAGATCTATCACTTTCGGGGCATTGCCCACATTTTCCAGCGGAATTTTTATCAGCAAATGCTGCTGGGCAAGTCTGGCAAGAAGATTCCCAATATTTATTAGGACAGGCTTGGCATTTAGCCTGAGAATTTAAATTAGCCGCTACGCAAGCTTTTAACAAAATTAATAGTATAATTTCTATATTAACATAATTATTAATCAATTATTTACCTTTGCAAGAGTTCGAATCCCAAACTTTACCATCGATACAACGTTGACAATTATTTGCCGCTGTACACATTAAACAATCCGTTGGACAGTCTAAAAAATAATGTAAAATGATGAATATTCACGAATAAATTACTACGAAATTAAAATAATTACAATCGCATTGATTACTATCCCAAAATCTTCCCAAATTTGTCTTCCTACATTTTGAGCAAGTTGTTGAAGTTAGAGAAGGACAAGCTAATTTTAATAAGAATTTTCATTTTAATTAATCATATATAAAGTTTTCCTTTCATCCTTCTAACCTTCGCAAGCATTATCTGTAGTTAATCTATATTCCTTATCGCACTCTGAACAACCAGTTCCATCTGCGTACTCTGAACAATGACTAGCAGCTATGACAAAACAAATTGGTATAGTTAATTATCATTTGGTTGATTTTTTTATTTGTTTATACATACAATTACACTTAGTTTTATCTGAAGTTAACCAATATCCCAACTCGCATGATTTACAACCTGAGCTTGTTTCGCAATTACCGCAATGATCGATACAATCTGCATATTTAGGCGTATTGGTTAAAAAAAAATAGCTAACTTTTAATACTTTTCTACTGACTTATGCATGTTGAATCTTTGAAATATTTTCCAGTTGCGCACAAGTCGCAAGTACCTGCACTTTTGCATTTAAGGCATAGTAGATTATCGCCAAGACAAGCTTTAAATTAGGAGGACAAATTAGATATAAAGATATATTACAGTTTTTTTTACAGTTGTTTAAATATCTTACCTGCACATTGTTTAGTAGAATCTAAATAAAATCCTTGGTGGCAAACCTCACACATTGACGAAGATTTACACTGAGCACAGTTTGCAGGACAATCGGCGCATTGAATTTCGGATGGTTTATTAAAATAAACGGCCATACATTTTGTACAATCTTTTGTAGATGTACATTCTGCGCAGTTACCAGGACAAGCTGAACATTTTTTATCATCAGTTAAAAAGTAACCAGTTTGACATTGTGTACAAGTTGTCTTATAGTCGTTGGATGGTTGAGTACACGAAAGGCAATTTGAAGGACAACCTGTAGTTTGTTTTTTTTTGGTAAGAAAATATTAATAAGATGAGAGAAATTATGACAAACGAACGCACTTAAACACTTTAATTTGTCTTTTGATAATAGTTTGCCTGCTGAACAATCCATACAAATAGGATCGGGATTAGGGCACGTTTTACAATTAGTTATAGCTGTACAAGCTTCTTCTTCAGCACTAGTTGGTACGTATAAATTGAGAAGAACTATTAAGAGTAAGATCTCAGTCCTGAACTTCTTCATTTCTTCGTTTTGTTTATTGTATGTTTTTTCCTCCTTCAAACTTGATGTTCTTATACCTATTTCTCGTTTGTTCTTACTATCTCGATTCCCTAAAAGTCTGTTCATTCTTCTTGACTTTATATACAAAAATTTTAAAATCTGTTTACGTATCCAAGGTAATACAACAAACAAAAATAATAGAGTAATTGGTAAAGTGATATTTAATTAAATATTGAAACTTATAGCTTACACAGTGAAAGAGGGTAAAAAGGCGAAAGCTGTTTATAAAACATATTTATTAAGATTACACTTAATCTTACGAAATAAAAAAAACAATACAGAAATCTACTCAAAACTTTATTTTACAAACTTTACAAACTTGATAAACATATATCATTTTATGTAAATTTAATTTGTTAACTTAATTAGCCCTAACCTTTGACCTTTTTAACTTATTTAGTGTGCTATATAATATTTGTATTATTCTTTAAAAGCTAGTAATGAAAGAAACAAATCGTTTCTGTTTTTTCTTTTTTTGTCCGTAATAATTATCATCTAATACAAACGAATCAATTTATTATTGAATAATAGGCCTACTAAGTAAATAGTTCACGCATAACATAGAGGCGTTTAGTTTTGTTTTTTTTAAAAAAAAATAATAAGTTTTTAATAGTTAACTTTGAAAAGATGACAAATGGATTGTATATACTTCATAATGCTTATCTTGCCTTGATTGTATTGTTCCCGGCAATTAATAGCAAATTGCCATTTAACCTTTTCATCAGCTTTCTCGATTGAAGGTGTTTCTAGTTTGTCAAGGATTGAATAAGATTTATTTTGTATACTCATAACAACGTCTATAAAATTCCATATATGTGGATTTGGGGTTAGGGTAAAACCTTTTTCTAATTGATAGAGTTGAGCGCAATTTGAAGATCTAGGAACAAACGGTCCCGGTTCATCCGCCCATAAACAAGGTGGAAATTTAGCATTAGGTCCCACAAAATTCTCCCAAACATAATTTATAAATCGATTTAATCTTTTATCATGGATTGGTTGAATTTCGATTAATTTCTGAAATACACCTTGAATTTCATCCGATCGAACGAAAGCCATACCAAAGAAATTAATTAACCAGTTGGAGACGGTCTTATCGTATCTATAGGCCGATAAGAGATCGTATTCGAATATTTTCCAATAGAATTTTCTCGATAAATTGAATCTACAACATTTAATAGTGGATTTTGGGAAAGTTATTTTGAAAGCTTCGATAGCATTACTTTCAAATTCAAGAATTAGATTTTCTGGTTGAAAATCTTGTCCATATTGTAATGCGATACTTTTTAGGCAATTTAATATGTGTATATAATTCTTTAATGTATTTTCTGGTAGGAGAAAATATATAAGTGGCACGTAATGACCATTAACAAATCCATGTAGAGTAAATAGCTGTTCAAAATATTTTGGGCAATAATTTTGGGTTGTATCGCCTAAAAAATAACTAAAATCTGATAGTTTTTGTAGATTAGTATCGCAGGAAAGGCCTATTATTTCATTTTTAGTATCGTTTAGAACAAGGAAACTTTCTTTTCTTGTTGTTTGTAAATTAAAACTTTCGATATTTGCTTGTAAATCTGCCCGACTTTGAGGTAATTTTCCATACTTTAATCTTTTAACGCGATAAACGGCTTCCTGTATTGATTTCTTATCCGAAGAATTCAATAAATATTCCTTGTTTGTAAATTCCTTTTTCATTAATCTAGACGGTTTGGATAAAGGTTGACACTGCTCTTTAGCTATTTTCTTACAGGCATTTCGAATAATATGCCTTTCAACAGATTGGCTAGGTAGGCCTTGATGATTATGTATACCTTTAACATTGACGATATTTTCGCTCTTTGAATCCGTTTCAATAGAACAACTACACATTTTATTCGTACAGTACCAAGAAAACAATTCATTCTTCATCTTCCTCTTGAAAGTGAATTTATAACCATTCAGAATGATGCAGGGTCTACCCTTATTGGACGTGGTAAGGCTAAATTCCATACTACAGATATCTAGAAAAGAATAAAATAAGGAGATGCAAAAGAGCAGCTAACAATAAACCAAAATAGAAAATCTTTAAAGAGTATATCATGAATATTGATAACTTATTATTTATTTTTATTGCAAGGCGTTAAAAAAATATAAAAGATTACCTAACAAACTTATATCTTCGTTCAAATCTTATTTACAAACATGCTCTCCAAATGAGACAAATGGTAAGAGCAAAAGCGGAAGAAATTAGTAAATAGTAATTAAATACTTACAAAAAAAAGATACTTTATGTCTGAAGTTACTTGGCAAACTGACTTTGGCAAACATTAAAAGTATGCCAAGTTAGTCAGAGATTTAATATATATATATATATTTGTTAATATTTAATTATGATTTATTAACAAAAAACTCGTACTTTTATTTATAATCTAAAGTATCGTTATTTCATAACAAGCTGTAGCTATTTCTCTCTCTCTCTCTCTCTTTCGCTTGTCTCTTTCTTTCTCTTCCTTTCCGTTTCAATATCCGATAAGAATTAACTTAACCGATGGAGTGCAAATAACTTTATGGCCTCTTGAAATCTTCTTTTTTTAAGTACAAACAAGTTAATTTAAATAAAAACGACTGTCTTAGTTACAATCTGAAGAGATTTATCTGCAGTTCAAAGTAATTTTTCATTCTATATTATTTATTACTTCCGTCTCGTTGAAAAATGGTTTTAGTCATAAAAAAACAAGTAACAAATGGTAAAAGTTCACTAAAAAGATTAGACTTTTTCCATTTCGAACGATAATTTTCAGCCCAAAAAAACAGCTTGTTTTTCTGTTTGAAACGTTAAAATATGAGTTATTGATTAGGAAACGAATAAGAATATCTATAAATAAAATAGATTATTGCAAAAAACATGATTTATTCTTAATAATATTATCTACTAAACAAGGCGGATAGTTACTATCTTTAATTAAAAGTAGCAATCTAATAAAAATGTTTCTCTTCATTTTTATGACTAATCATAAGAATATGATCTCTTGGCGTTATTATTTCTCGACTTATTTACACTCGACATGTGGTTAATCGAATTAGATCCAAAGCGTCTAATTGGGTTGAGCAAATTTTATATTGACAAACGCTAATCGTTTTAAAGCCACTTGCAGAAAGGCGTTGATAAGTGAAACATGATGCTTTTCTTCATCTTTCTTACCTTTTTGATTAATACTCAACTATCTCTTGGGTATCAGTGTTTGTACAGGGAGATAAGGAATTCAAGTGAATACTGCTTCGTTGATTCTAAAGTTGATTTGAATACTTCGCTAGAAGTTTGCAATTCGCTCGCTTTGAGACTGGCTACCCTTGAAAGTCAAGACGCTCTGGACGAGGTAAAAAGTCTAAACTTTTGGGCAAACTTGAGCATGTGAGGACTTCATTTAAGACTTCATTTACATAAATTATGAATCAACTTACATTTTTTTGTATTTATAACTAGACTGGTCAGCGTTTGGCTACCTTTACATAGTAAGTTGAGTGGATGGCGGTGGGATGACTGTCTACCGGTGACTTTTGATAATTGGAAGAATCCTATTTATAAAGATAAAGAACCTGGCTCTTGTGCGTATATGCACCCGAATAGGGATTGTGTTTGGTACCCAATTTCTTGCTCCTCTACTACTATTTATCCTCTATGTACTAATCGACCTTTAGACTGTCCAGAAGGTAAAGTATACTATTCCATTAGAATTCGTATGGATAATTCTTTAATTTATTTTTAATAAAGAAACTACAATTGCACAAACGACAAGCCGAATCACTTCTGCACCTCCCACTTCTCCTTCAACTATTACTTCAACCTCTATACTACCAACTTCAACTAAAATGCAAACAAAGATACAAACATCACTAGCACCACTATCATCATCATCATCGTCATCATCATCATCATCATCACCAACAACAACAACAACTAGTCATCCTCGATCTTCGCATTATTCAACTAAAATTTTCTTTATCTCTCCCTCAGTTTCTACTTTTCAGACACAAAAAACAACTCAATTAGTCAACGAAAAATCTTCTATTCCAACATCTGTTGAAACAGCTACGCATCCTTCAACAATTTCAACTGAGAAAAACGAATATCAAACAACATCGAACCCGATTGATGAAAATATAAGAAAACTAAATCGTTAGTAATGAATTAAACTCTATTTAATGAATTGATAACAACTTTATACACATCATAAAAAACAGCTATATCTTGCCATAAAAATAGGATTTACGAAGATTCGTTTCATTATAGATGGGTCAAGGGTTACACGATTATAATTATGTGTAAATTAGGTTACGAACTACCAGACGGAACAACCTCTAGGACTTTTATTTGTACGAAAGAACAGCAATGGAAAGATCAGATTTGCAGACGTAATATAAAATATATATTTTATACAATAATGAAAAACCCTGTTCATTGCAGCAAAGAGATGCAACTTGAATGATGGAAACGTCATTAGCTACAATTCGAACACGATAGTAAAATGTCCTATAGAATTTTCTCAACATTGTACTTCTGTTGGAAGATTGTCTACAAATTCTTGCGAAAAGAAGCACATTTCCTGTGGCTTCTTCCCTTATATAACTAATCATTCTACAGTTGAATTGGATAGTACAAAAGATTATCTTATTTTTAAGTGTAACGAAGGCTACAGATTCCCCAAGGGGGAGCGTATCAGAAGATTTTATTGCAAAAATAATAATTGGATACCTGAAACAGATGGTGATAGCCGATGCTTAGGTTTTGCAATTAGTCTTATAAAGTCTACCCTCCTTTCTATAGCAATTAATTGTTTACAGCTCTCACTTGCCCACCAGTACCAAGAGTTGACAACGCCGAACCAAACACAACTTTAAGCATTTTTGACACAGTAGTCGAATACAAATGCCGAGTATCTTTTCACGTTGCCCCATTGATAAATAGCCAAGTGATTCGCTGCATAGATCCAGGAATCTGGAACGGTAGCGTAAGATCTTGTTACGGTAAGATCCAAATACGTTGAGATTTCCCTATTATTAAAAAACAAGTATGATTAAATGTCTTATTTGTGAGAGACGTTTCTTTTTAGAGATTGATTGCGGAGAGCCTAAAGAATTGAAGGGATCGGAGAGATACTTTAATTCTACAACATATAATTCAACTGTTGTTTATCGTTGTCCTAAAGGGCGCAGATTCTCCGATGGAACTACTCAAAAAGTATCAGTTTGTCTAAAAACATCTAAATGGCTTTTAATAGTTGACGATTGCGATATTAATCGTTGCCCACCTCCTCCGCAAATATCAAATGCTTCAATTTTTTTCAAAAATACAAATCTTGGCAGTTTTGCCTACTATGAGTGCCGAAAAGGTCATGAAAAGACAAAAAACATATCTGGGGCAGTTATCTGTTCCGAAAGATTAAGATGGGAGGGTAACTTTCCAGTTTGTTCAAGTGAATTTTGTTAAATAGAACAAACAAAAAAAACAGGAATTTTATTAAAGATCTTGTTTTTTTTTTCTCAATTACAGTTGTTCGTTGCATGAGCTTGAATGTTTCGCAAGATGTTGTTCTCAGTTCTCTTGATTCTCATTATAATTCTATAATAAATATATCCTGTAGGAATGGTTATTATTCAACATTTCCTAGTAATTTTTCACGATGCTCTGATGGAGGAGAATGGACAATAGAAGTTCCTTTCAATGTTTGTCAACGTCAGTTTTTTTTCATCCATAAATTGTACAACTCTAGTTAAAAACTATACGTTTTCTCTTTTTTACCAAAGCAGCCATAAGTTGTTCGGAACCGTTACGTAAAAAGTATTCTTGGTACACTAAGTCAGCAAACTATGTCTTTGGAGATTCTATCGAGTTTCACTGCTTCAATGGTTTTGATTACGGAAAGGGCAAATTCTCATTTCATTCGAATTGTACAGTTTTTGGTTTATGGTCGAACGATAATGATTGTAAAAAAACGGAATGCCCTTTCCTTGGCTTATGGGATGACTACGTTGCAAATAGTTCTGAAAAATTCTTCTCAACAGTTATCAATGTTACTTGCCAAAGTGGTTATTTTTTAAATAATGGTTTTGTCGTAACGCAATGTAATAAAACTGGTGATTGGGAGCCGTCTATTCCAGATTGTATTGGTTCGTTGATTGTAAATTGAAAAATATAGAATAAATAATGAAATTCTGTCAATTTTAGATGGAGAACGTGAAACTAAAGACGTTCCTGTCGAGGCAAAATATTCTTCGAATATTGGAACTGCTGCAATTGTTATTTTAAGTGTAATTCTTTTCTTTATAATTGTATTAGACTTCATTACTATTGCGACTCAATATATGACAAAATCATCTGAAAAATCTGTAATTATTATCTAAAAGTTAAACATAGTAATTTTTTTGTTATCGTATTCTCAAATTTAAGAACAAACATGTCGTAAAAGGAACACTTTTCTTCTTTTATTCTTTGTTCGAAAGAAAAGATTCTATCTATCTATTTTTGTTATTGTTATAACTATGTATACTAATTATATTAAGGAAAAGACTATTTGTCGTACAAATATAATTAAGACTTATTAATAAACAGATTTAGTTTACAAATTAATTATGAATAATCTGCTTACAAGAACATTTTAAATTAGATTCTTAGACGAGTTTTTATCTCAGGTTTAGCACAAAACATTTGTATTGTCTATTATTATCCTTAAAACTCTTTTGCGTACAAAAAAAGAAAGTATTTTTTTGGCGGACGTAGAATAATTCCATATATCGCCATTTCCCGTTTAGTAAAAACTTTTAACAAACAGGCCATCTGGTGATATTTATTGAAATGAGATACGAGTTTATTCCATTGCGTAAAAGGGGTGTAAGGAAGACTAAATATCAACTCTCCCAATAAAATACCTCATGTAAAAATCTCAATCTCACACAAATTAGTAATAAACCCGTCTAATATTTATTGATTAATAAATTTTCAGCTTGACTTTTGATTTCTTTAACGAAACGTTTAGCACAAATACCTTCTTCCCCCACTATAATTGACTATTCCATATTGGAACAACGGAAAGGGAACTTTTCATACTTTTAAAAAGAAGATAATTATTTTCTCTATTATTTGAATAACAAAATATCTAGAGGAGTTGTGGAAGGGGTGGTGGGGGCGAAAAAGAAATAAAATCATATTACAAAAGTATGTCAAATACATGCGAAAAGCTCATAAACTTTAAGCTGAATGAGTTATACAATGCGATGATAGATAAGAAAGAGATTCCCCCTTTCTAACATAGACTTTTCTTTATCTTTGGTAGAGATTGATAGTTGAAGATTTTTATAATACTATCGAGATAATATGTGTATACACGCTCCTTAATTACTATTATAATGACAGAAATTCTAATAAATACCAAATTAATTTCTAATTTTCTTATCATGTAGCTTATTAGTTTTTTTTTTACCATTCTAGTTTGTATGGTTTAGATTTGTACCACTTTAATCTTATAACCTTGAAGGAAATACCTTTGAATTATCTTTTAAAAATGACTTATGAAACATCTGGTAGGATTTGCTTATTTTGAAAAGTTTATTTTTTATTCTTATAGGGGGGGGGGAGGGGGAGAATGAGGATAAGGAGGAGGAGGAAGTCGAGGGGGATGTCGAGTTTGACAAACGTAAGTATCTATTTATAGAATAGTCGTCATTCGCTTTTTTCGATTTCAATTTTCTAAAAATACAGCAACCTACAATAAACTACGTAATTGAAAAATCCATATTAAATTAATGACAAAAATAGCTATTCTTCCGAAATCTTCTTGATAAATGAATACGATGGGAAAAAGTGTCTGCAAAGTAATTATTTTAAAAACAAATAGAATAACCCATTTCAGCATGGACTGGACGCTGGACGAGTTTAATACTGAAATAGAGTTTGCTATTTATTTTTATATCTAAAAACTGTCCTCTTCATTTCGTTGAGTAGTACATTTTAAACTTTTCCGGGTTGGCCTATATCATAATAAACTCGTCCGAATTGGTGAGATCGCGCGATTCTTTGATAATAGATATAAAACGCAATTTTACACATTGAGATAAGAAAAACTCTAATTTACAACAAAAAATCTATGCGGCTTTATCTTTCTCTAATTATTGAATATGTAAACTTGATTTAAAATTCTTATCGCTTAAATAAAGTAGCCATCCGATACCTAGTGATAACAGGAATAGACTCGCCTGGTATGGTTTTGCGAGAAATGCCCGATAAGGAAGTGTTGTAGATTTGAGAGAATTTACTATTAAAAAGAACCTAAAGCAATTTCTTTATCTACTTTTCGATTATAATTAATGAATAAAAGTTTTAATCTGAAAGTTTGAAAAATTTAACTTCCTATCTGTGGTTTTTGAAATGGTTTTCGATAACTGATATCGGCTATCGCTATAATAGACTCGCCTTCCGATTTCGCTAGCTATGGCACATCCCTCCAAGATAAAGATTTAGACTAGTCTAAAATATATACACGGTCACTAGATGTCTCTTTAGCCAAAAAACTTGCTTAATTTCAAGAGAAGTAATTGATACGATGGGAAACGAAAGAAATTCGACATGTCTAAAGAAAACCTTGGAAAGTTCGTTATACTCTATATGACAAAAGTATAAGTGCAAAATATGCTCAAATTAATGGATAAGAGAGATAGATAGATAGATAGAGAGAAAAGAAATATTTGTCCCCTGTCCAATATTTACAATCTCTTCGTTTCCTCAACTTTCCTCCACCTCCTCCCCTCCCATTCTCCCCTCTCCTCAACTCAGTTTGATTTATTCCGGTAAAAAAATCACTGCTTTATTATTCATAGTTTTAATATAAAAAAAACCGTGATAAAACCAAAGGGGAGGGAAGCTTCAAAAGGATAAATCACATCCCTTTTTTCAAACTCCCTGCAATAAGCAATTTGTATAGATTATTATATATTAATATATTACACAGGCTGATGTCTTAGTGAACCTTGACCTAAGACTTTAAAAGTTATAAATTAGGTCTTTAAAAAAGAAATTGAAATGACAGAAATAAATAAGTTGTCTTATAATTTAAACAAGTAACATATTGCTTTGTTACTGATAACGGTTGTCGAAATAATGAAGGATATACTTTCCCGCCCTTGACCTTATTACAATAATATATCTTGGATAAAGTCATAAAAATGAATTTGTAAGAACTTGAGAAGAGAATACGTAATTTGTTTCGTGCGTAGAATAATCTATGCTATATAAATTTTTAAAAGAGAGAATACTATAGGTTATAATTAATTATTACTTATCCTCTCTTTTAAACGATTTAAACCAATTTTTTTCTATTTCTTCTCTTCCCTAATTTATATTCTTTTCCTCTCATTTTTCATAATTATCTTAGTCAGCTTCTCTCAGTTTTATTTATGAATTCAAAAATTTTCTTCCTGAAGATTAGCAGAAGATTCTTAAAGATCTTTTAAAGTTTTATAATCGGCTGTAAAACAGAGGAAAATTTTTTAAAAGTACGTCTCTTAGGCTTTCAAAAACAAATTAATGTTTTTTTCACACGCTTTCCCCGCTATCCTCCCTCTCCATTTTAGTACGTTCCTTCCTATTGCCATCCGTAACCCCCCGCCTATATTATAATATTTGTTTTTTTTCGCCATAGTGGCTTTTAGTAAAAATTTTAATGTCACTAATTGCTTTTGTCACAAATGGAGGCTAAGTACTTTGTTGGAAAAAATGACCCAGAAATTTGTAGGCCTAGTCTCAGTACAGTTTATCTTATGGGGATGTCTGTTTTGCGTAATACACTTATTGTATAGAGAAAATTTACAAGAAATATCTTAATAAAGGTACAAATTTTTACGCGAACCATCCTTTCGAAACAATGAATATTTATGTATAGACCAGAAGCTTTTCTATGGTTGACTAAAAGGGAAATCATATGATAAAACCCCTTGATTTAGTTAGTCAATGCATATCAAATTTATACACTCTCTATTAATGCAACGTCTCCTATAATGAGCTTTCAGACGGAGAAAACTAAATAAAAATTTAAGCTATCACCCCTCCCCCCCTCTCCTCCTCCTTCTAATAACCTTTAAGAAGACACTAGATGTCTCTTATTATTTATATAAAAAAAAACATATAAAGATTGTTAACAAATATTCATTACTTTTTGATCTTTTCAAGGAAAATTTTTCTGATGCTGATTAATTGATAATCAATAACTTTGGAAAAGAGCATAGAGTGTAAAGAAACACACAACTATCAATATAAAAGGTTGGTACTAAAAGAAATTTACAAACAAAACAGCGGTTTTAATTTTATTAAAAGAGAAAACTATATAGAAAGGTTGATTGATAGACAGATAGATAGATGGGGGAGAAGGGGGTAAGAGAAGAAACATTAAATATCTGCAGATGAGAGACATAGGGAAATAATAAGCTTTAAAATATAGACGTATGATTGTATAATCTTGTATATTAACTAGAAAATTGTAATATTATATATAAGCCATTGTATATATTCTTGTATTGTTTTATTACTATAGAAGTTTTGAAGTAGCCTTAAGGCTAAAATCTTTGCTATTATAAAAATATCTCTTATCCTAGTTTAAATATAGAAATATATTGTATTTACTAGTATACTTCGTTACAAGTTAGAGATTTAAAAAAAGTTAATTGTGGACGAGTTTAAAAAATCAGATTAGGCGTGTCCTCTCAATAAATTATAAAAAACGTTTCTTTTTTTATTCAAAAACCATTATTCTTTTGAATTTAAAAAGATATTCTAATATTAATTTCCGTCTGTTCTAACTTTTTATGATTTACAATTGAAAATTGAAAATATATATGTACATATCAATCCTTGTATAAAAAGTTAACACCCCTCATATTACAATTATCATTTAATATACTTTTAATAAGAACAAGCAGAAAGTTTACTGTGGACGGTGATCTTTGTGTAGAATGATACATTCTTCGATTGTTGATGTCAGATAACGATGTGTTGCGTTACTTGAGTGAAATTGTAACAGTCTACACTGTGTATATTCGCTTTTCCTTTTGTAACGAAACATGAAAGAAGTTCGTTTTTAAGTTTCTAGTAGACACTAGATGGCGTATGGAAATATTGAACTTGAATGGCGGAAATACAATCTTTATCAAGTTTTGTATCTTTGGTAGTTCTTAATCGTTTATTGACCTTTCATTAAAGTTTTGTTTTCTGTGCAAGTATTTTTATTGGGAGAAAAAAAGTTACAAAAGTTCTTAAACAAATTATGCTCGAAAAATCATACAATGTTAATGAATGTCAAATAGGAAACAATCGAATAATGAATTTTACTATCTAGCATTCAAGTAAAATTTTATGTAACACAATGGATGCAATACTTAAATGTACGTTTTACTTACATTTCAGGCGTAAAAGTATTGACAACTAAATAATACCTTGAAGCACATTAAATAGTATATATTATTTATATACTTGATTAAACTTATATAAATGACACATCAATGCAACAGGCCCACCACTCGGGTGAAAAGAGTTTTATAACATTCATATATATATATATATATATGTACCTTTTTAATATAAATTTTTTCTTAATAACATACATCATACTTTGACATCTTCTTTCACATCACTCGAAGTAGTAACTTCCTCAGTATTTTCATTTTCATCATCATCTTCATCGTCTACATTTTCGTTTGCTTTGTCTTCTTCCTGATCAGTATTCTCAACCTTGTTCTCTAAATCTTGGCAAGGGTCTTGTAAAGCCAATCCTTGTTGAACCAATATAGTGTTGATGTGTAGATCCTAGAATATAGAATGTTGTGCAAAGAATGTTATTTTTTTTCAATACTTGTGTAAATGCTAGACTTGAATTGAAAATTTAAACACGCGACAAGATAGTGTTTTAAGTAGAAAAAAAGAAATACCGTATCTCCGACAGGAATGTATAAGTCGACCAATGGCTCATCATTGGCGTAACCTCTAACAGAGGCAACCATCTTTTGCGCATGTAGCATAGACTCTACTCTTTGCACAACGTCATCTGGCGCACCTAGAGCAACAAATACCTTGTCAAATATAGTTGATCTAATCGTATAAGGTTAATCTTTTTTATTTTACCAGAGTTAATCTTTAAACCAGCCAGTCTACATTTGACTGCTTGGAAAGGTAGGCTCAAAAAGTCGATTCGTAATTGTCTTAAAGTGAAGCACGATACTCTCTGATAGCCACCATAGTCGACATACTTCACCTCACACTCATCTTCCTCGGGATAATATTTTCGTACAATGGCTCGATACCATCCATTATTTAGAGGAGCAGCACACACAATATTTGGTCGCACAGGACGAGGTAATTGAGGAATTGTGGTATTTGCGTCAGTGTACACAAATTTCATGCATTCAATCAGCCTGCGAAAGTCGCAATAGCTAGGATGTCTAGATAATTGAATAAATAACTCGCAAGGACTGTAAACACTTGAAACGACTACGTCGTGCTTCCCCTCAGTTAAGTTTAAATGAAGATCTCCCCAGTTGTATATTGGACCATCTTGAGTTTGATCAATATCAGACAAATCAACTTCTCGGAAGCGTTTTTTCAATATATTTAATGCTCTTTCAACTGCAGGAGGGCTGCCTGTAAAATTAGAAATATTTTCATCAGAAAATTTGTAACAAATACGAAATTATCGTCGAACCTTTAAGGATACACAATTGATGGTCTTTATCAAATACCTTCGGTTTCATTGACAATTGAACTCCCGTTCTAGCTATTATACTGTCAACATTTTTACCGCTTCGACCAATCAAGAGTCCAACCAATTCTGAAGGAAAGTTAATTGTATGACGTCGTACAGGCTCAGTGCCATCATCGACATCGTTGTTTCCTCCAATACGAATTATAAATTCTCCATCACTGCCACTGGCTCCGTTGCCACTGTCATTTGAGCACTGGAGAGGTTATTTATAGATTAGTTTTGTATAGCAAAAAAAAAGAAAGATCTTTACGTCTTTGAAAGGTGACGCGTTGATATTTACCTCAGCCTCGTCATTGCTACTGCAAGGCTCGTGTTTATTTTCCTTGGAAGCACAAGCCTCGTTTGATAATGTTGATGTTTCTTCACTTTTTGATTCAGTAGTACCTTTTGTCTTTAAAATAACCTTTTTGTGTTTTTTAGGAGCTTTAGCCTCATTTAAATGCTGTTCATTTTCAGTTACTTTTTTGTTTGTGCTCGTACTGTTGCGTTGAAGTTGAAAGTTAACGCGCTTCGACTTTTTTATCTTTGTCTTTTGTTTCATAGGACTAATAAACTCTGAAGATGTGGTATTCTTTCTATATACTTTTACATGAGACGCATCCAAAGGATCATCAGAATGTTCATTTTGAACTTGAGCAATATTTTTCACAGTACCGTCTTTATCTGAGATTGAGGGGGTTTGCGACTCTTTTTCAGTGTCTGAGGTAGGAGTAGCATTGTCAGCTTCATTTTCAAGCACCTCCTCCGATTCAGCCACAGTTTCAGGAAAAGTAGATAGTTCTTGCACACAACTTTTCTTGTTGTCAATTGACTCGAATTTTTCAACTTCTTCTGCCCATGATGACCGACTAGATGTTCTGAGCTTCGGTGAATCATCCGACCCACTCTCGATTTCACTTTGAGGTCTTACCGCTGGCCATTTGAGTTTTTCGTATTCGCCCGATTCGTTTTTTTCATCAAGATGTTCATCATCAGTTTGCTCATCATCTGAATAGGTTTCATATTCTAAATTACGATTTCTTATCAAACCACCCTTATTTGTTGGATTGCTATCATTAGTTGATTTTTGATTCTCAGATGTATTGAAAGTGTGCTTTGAATCAATATCTTCGGGTTTAACTCCCTCTTTTAACGGTTTTTCGCTGTCAGTTAATTTCTTTTCTTCAGAGTTTGACATTATAGCCTTGTCTTTATTAGAGTTATTCTTTTCTTTGAATTTTTTTCTACGAAACCAAATTAATGCTACGATCACTGCACACACGGGAACGGATATAACCAAACAATTCCTAATCGACATATTCTTACTGAAAAATAGTTAATGAAATATTACATTATGTATGCGTTGTCGATAAGCAGTTGTATATATTCAATTATAACCAAAAAAGAGCAAAGATGGTGGCCTTTCAAAAACTAAGGATTAAATGTATCTATTTACCTGACAATTCCAGAAAATCTTAATCGTACTGTTGTACGATAGTTAAATATATCTCTCCGATTACTTGAGAATACGTAAAATACACGCTTCTCTGAGAGTCTAGGAGAAAAATTTACACATATTGACCAACACACGGCACACGTGGTATGAAATAGCGCAGAATCTCGTCTCGACTTCTACGAGACTTACGCAAATTTTCGAAATAACACTTTTAAATATGTAAAAGGATTTTTTGTTTTTTTTTTGCATTAAGGGATACCTTAATAAAATTTATCTTAAAGCTACTCCAATTATTTTTTAGACATATTTATAATATTTATAATAAAATTTCTATACAAAATATAGTACTTATAAAGCAAGGCTCCCGTTCCGCTGGAAACAGGTCATTAAACGAACCAGACCAGACTATTTTGCGCGAAATCCTAAAATGACGTCACAGTTTGTCTATTTTGATCGGCCGCTGTGGCTATTCCATCCATATAACATGTGAAGATTTTCCCCGATAAATAGCGCATTCGATAAGAAGTTACATCATCCCATTAATGAAGGTAAACTTACTGTTTAATGTTCTAAGTTTTAATAATTTCTTTCTAGTGATTTAGTTAATTCTCATAAATAAAATATATCCTAAATAATAAAACTGTAACGTGCCAAAGAAATTTAACATACTAACCCATTTTTAACATTTTAAAAATCAATTCTTTTATTGCCGATTAAATTTACTATTGTCTGGTGTAATATTAAGCTATTACTATACATTAAAATGGATATGAAACAATACGATCTTCACAACTAAAGGATACCTATAAGCAATACTATTGTTGAAAATATTGTTAAGTATTTGCCACTAGAACGTCATTAGAAAAAAACCTTCTATTTATTGTCCGTTTGCGCTGACCTAACAGTTAATATATAATATATTTTTTTCAAAAGCTTGCTAACTATTTGTTTCAACTTAAAAAAACATTTACAGTTTTTGCTAAGTTAAAATAATGATAATAGAAAAGTTAAAACACTTGCCTTTGTTGTGAATTTTTGTGGATAACTGTTAACTTCAAGATTCTGTACGTAATTGAGTGACAAAACACAGTCGTCCTTTATTTGGAGGTGCCTGGTGAGAGTTAGAGCTAAAGATTCTCTTTTTTCTGTTTATTTACTTCGACAGAGTCATGTCATCTACTCATCTAGTTTCTAGCCGTCTATTCTTTACAGCGCATGCGCCTAATAATCTGATTTTGTTCAAATTAAACGACACTCTAAGGTTAAATTAAATACCCTGGCGGATTACTACCAGCCAATATTTATTTCTTTCTTTATTTTTAAAGAAATAAACACTTTTCAAACTTTTAAGAAGTATTTAGTAGTTTAAATATTGTACACTATGAGGAATATTGAAGAATTTTGATTATGTTCTTTTGTTCTTTTTTTTTAACATTAATTTAATCGGTCATCTATAACAAAACCTTAAAAAAATTAAATTATAACCAACTGAAGCTTATCAATAGAAAAAAAAATAAAAAGAGAACTCCTTTTCGAAATGTAGAGTTGAGAAAAACTTATGCTTTTTCACATATATGATAACTTGTCCTTCTTTAAAAGTAACTATAATTTTACATATATCAGTTAAAAGCTTTTTTAAGATTAAATACGTTTATATATATATTATATCGCTGTTCTTAATAAATCTATTTTAAACAGACCTAAAAGCCTCACTGGAGCAAAATTTGTTATTATCGAGAGATTAATAAGAAAAGAAAATTAAAAAAAAAATTAAAAAAAAAAGACCTTCCAAAAAAATGAGTCATAAGAGTCTTCACCGTTCGCTCAAATATCTTTTGAATTTTCAATCCTTCAACAATGGAAATTATATGCTACCTTTAAAAAATGCTCGGTAAATTCCTTTTTTTCAATATTCTCTATTATCTATATATATTAGTAGGTAAATATATGCAAAAATATAATATAATATAAAATATATATTTTTCATTTTAAAGAAACGCTAGTACGATGCATTTTATAAAAAATGAGCTATTAAATATAACTGGAAGAAATCAGCAGAGGGATGATCTTAGAATGTTTCTTAAAGAGGTTTGTTTTATAAATTTAATATATTATGTATTGCTGAATGCAATGTTGAAATTAAAAAAAAAAGAGAGAAAATGATTTAATATCTCTGTTAAAATAGATTGGAACCGATCCAAAAGAAGCTAGGTTTTGGATGAAACAATTTACAGCCGCAGTCGACCCTTTCAAACCATTTGCTATTGTTCAAATCGACAACCATGTATTTACTAACAGAGAATCAGTAAGAAATTATCTTTTTCAGTCTCTTTTTATGGACTATTTAACTATTCATGCAATATAGGTTAAGAAATTGGGATCATATTTATCTTTCCTGCAAAGAAATGGTATGAAAGTGATGATTGTTCACGGATCTAATGGTTTTCCTCACGCTAAACCAACAAATCTTCAGGTATAATTCTCGTTGCTATAAATTATTGAAATAGTATGAAGAATATATTTATTATCTCATATAGACTTATCGTAGAGAAATTACAAATAATACAATGCTACTCGTTAGCATTTTAGAGTCTTTTGGAGCTGAAGCTAGACCAATATTTGGTGGCCATAATGTTTTGCAAGCCGATAGAATAAATTGGTAAATATTTTATCATTTATACTATATATACTGTGTATACATAGTTTTTATCCATTTCCTTTTCTTCATTAGTAATAATTTCTACGGAAGAGTAACTGAAATTAATAGAGACGTTATAAAATGGGCTTTACAATCTGGACATATTCCAGTTATTGAGGTAAATACAATTTTTCTTGTCTTTTCCGCTTGTCCTCCTTATTGTTCTATTTACTTTTTTTTTTCCTTCGTATAACTCTTTTTCTTATGTTTTTTATTGATAATCTATTTATTCAATATCCAGGCAATTGGTGAAACAGCTGATGGCCAATTATTAAATATTGATTTATGGGAGACTGTTGTAAAACTTTCAACTATATTTGTTCCTCAAAAAGTTATTAACGTGAATAAAGTTGGAGGAATTTTTGACGAAAATGGCAGAGTAAATATTATTTTATTATTGTTAACGTTGTTAACTGTTTTTTTGTTTTTTTTTTAGATTATTCCGAATATTAATTTTCCAAATGATTTGGAAAGTTCATTTAGTAAATCATGGTGTACTCCAGAATTAAAGGATAAAATTAGTAATATATCCGAATTATTACAACTACTACCAAATGAGTGTTCAGTTGTTATTACTTCTCCAACAAATATTTTGACTGAACTTTTTACGCATAACGGTAAATAGTTTGTTAAAATTAACTTAATTCAATATCTATGTTAAGTATTATATTATATTTTGTTTGTTTATTTGTTTTTTTATAGGGGCTGGAACAATGCTAAGATCTTCCGATAAGGTTTTAAAACTGGATAGCTTAAAGGCCATTGATGACGGTAAATTAACGACCCTACTCAATAAATCATTTAAGAAGAATCTTAAGAAATCTTATTTAACTTCTATTGAAGAAAGACCACATACAATTTATTTATCTACTAGGTACTATCTCTTATCAGATTTGCCGTACTGTACATCCGTTTAATGGTTTTTCACTTTTATATTTGAATAGTTATTCAGCAGCAGCAATTATAACAATTGATAAGGAAGTTCCAATTCCGTATTTATGTAAATTTGCAATTAGTGAGACGAAACAAGGTGAAGGAGTTAGTGATCTGCTTTGGAAAATGATTAAACAAGACCATTCTAAGTTATTTTGGAGATCTCGATGGGATAATAGGATAAATCCTTGGTAAATATAGTATATTTCTATTTTAAATGGCCAATACTAAAGGTTAATCTATTTTTTTGCTTTTTTTGTACTTTAAGGTATTTTAAACGATGCGAAGGTTCGTGGAGTAATGGAAAATGGACAGTTTTTTGGTATGGTATAAATAATCATCAAGAAAGTAGTGCTCTAATTGAACACGCACTTAGCTTACCAGATTGTTTTAATGTTGAAACATTACACTCTTCGGTATAGAAATTTATAAGATTTTTAACAGAAAAAGATATTGAAATTAGATAACTATTATTTTGTTATCTCGATATTACCATATTATTCGTACTCTTTAATCGTTCTTGTATTATTATCAATAATTATGTGTCTTTTTAACAAAACAAAAACCTCTTACTAACGAACAATGTCATTTCTGAAAGCATTGAATTTTATGTTAAATATGAAAATTTATATATATATATATATATAAATTTATATATTATACATATATATGTTGTATATTTATATATATATACTGTATCATATGTATATTATATATACAGTATATAAATAAAGAATAAACTATAAAATGTTATAATGAATATGCTATATAAATAATTATAAAATTCCTATTTCTCTTTGACAGAGTACCTCTCCTTGATATTGTTTTTTATTAATAATCCCACGTCGCCGTGTTGGTGGAATCTACCCCTGAGATATTACGGATAATCTTTTTTCTGTAGAAGTCTGACTGTTTTCAATCTTTTTTAAGAAGTATTCTTAGGGTATAATCTATTGCTTTATAATCTAAGAAGATTTTAGGGGGAGGATTATAAAGGTTAATTAATAAGCTGCTCTTACGACGTTTGCAATTAGACACCCACCGATATAATAATTAGTATATTTAGTTCGTTAAACGGTCTTGACCTTTAAGTAAGAGTTTCTTAGTAATTATAAAAATAGAAAGAATAATAGGAAAGTGAGGTCATCTAAGACGAAAGTAAAACAATAATGTTCATTTACTTTCTTTAAGATTTAATAGCAATAGGTGCAAATTTTTTTATCAGCTGTGTGAAAAAAAACACTTTAAAAGAATAGCAAAATAATTACGGTTTTGCTTAGAACAATCGTAACTATTTGATAAGATGTAGTAAACTTTTCTCTTTTTATCGTATCTATTTTCTTCATCTCTTTTTTTTCTCCTAGAGTCAACTGTCCAGTTTGATAAAAGAGATGGGTTTTTTTTGTGATAACAAAAATATATCGTTTATTCAAGTTTTTTAACAAATAGTTAATATATTCAAAGAAATAGAACCAATTTCAGTGTTTATAAAAAAAATGGCTTTCAAAGAACAGAATACAAAATAAGTGTTAAACTGTCTTTTTGCTTTGTTTTTTCATAAACGTAGATTGATATTATCTTCGTTTACTATTAAATCCAATTGTATTTTTGAATACTTCGAACAGAGCGAAGAAGTTATCAACACTCTGCTCTCCCATATTTCCCGTATCTCTTATAAATTTTCCAACAGTTGAGAGATCTTTTAAACGCCTATCTAAAAATTTCCAAGTTGCGTTAAAATCTTCAGATGTATCTTGAATCATATAGAATTCACTAGATTTGTAAACTGCTGCTAAAAGACCTCGTTTGGTATACCAGTTAATATCAGTAGATTTATCGCCTGCCTCGTACCATATATCGTCACAAAGTTGGGCTAAAAGTTTTAAAGATTCTGGAGCATTTTGGGGTAGTGCCATTTTTGCCATAGCGTTAGGCCAGTTACCAATAAATGGTGAATTTAATCTTAATCTATATTCGACAGCATCACGAATGAACGATGTCATATTTTTTTGAACGATTTCTTTTTCAGTTTTCAAATGATTTACTAAATCCTGGTTGCAATGAGCATAAAAACCATGAATAAGATCGATGCCTCCTTTCGGAAAGAGGCCATGTGCAGTCGATGGTAGGCCAACAGATTTCGCTCCTATTAGAAATAGTAATTGTTTATCTAGGCTATTGAAAGTTGAAAAGGTCAAACTATACCTTCAGCAAGAGAAGTAGTAGTCCAACCGTGCTGCGGTACGAATTTAAGTGAGGCTAGCAATACACGAGTTCTTACGTCATTGTCGTTTTCCTGATCAGGTGCCTCGGATAAAAATCTTTTTTGTGATAGAGATAAGCGTAAATGCCTTGGAATTATTTGTCTTGACAATTTATACATGTTTAAATACTAAGTCTTAAGCTATCAGTTTGACCTTGACTATTACGAAAATCCAAGAGTTTTTTTCGTACAATTTTATTGTGGGTTAAAGTATATTATTAAAAGAAAGGTTTTTTATATGATATGTTAAGAATATTTAAACTTTGTAAAAATATATTTTCATTTATCTAGAAAATCGTACATTGTCTTTTCTGATTGGTTGTTCTTAAATTGCACACAGATTGAAAATGGCGACCATTGAGCAAAAAAACACAAGCAGTCACAATTGAGAGCACACCTAGAATGCCTACAAGTACAAAACAGAATGGAGGCGGAACAATTCACATCATCGCTTGTAGGACGTGAGGAGGATGATTCCAATTGGGATCGTGATGACAATACGATTCACAGTGGTCATTTTATGGTAAGTCGTGTTCACTCGGGCGAAGAAGAAGAAGGAGAAGAAGATGCCATCAGCCCGAAGAATACTGATCAAAGAGGTTATGACTTTACAAGTGCTGAACTGGATACAAGCAAAATTTATTTGTTTGGAAATAGAAGCACAAATACTTTGACAGTAGAAAAGGAATTAACTACACTATTCGATTGTCTAACTATAGCATACAGGTTCTTATTAATACAAGGACAATTGATTTTAATTGTAATTAACAATTTCTTCTTTCGTTTTTATTAAAGTGCAAAATTAACTTCTCCTAAATGGAAACGTTTTAAAGGTGTAAAACTGCAATTAAAGGACAAAATCCGCCTAAATAATATTATCTGGAGAGAATGGTATATGCAATATATACAGAATCGACATCCTGTTATTTGTCGATTTTCTGCTCCAATTGCTGATGAGACGCATGCTAAACCAGAGGTAAGAAATGCAAGCTCATATTTCGTGTTTTTTTTATAAAAAAAAATCAATACATATTTAAAATATTAAAGGCTGTAGTTTTGGAGGGTAAATATTGGAAACGAAAGCTGGAGAATGTAACGGCGGAGTATAAGAAATGGCGCTCCTATTCTATGCATCAATTAAAGTTTAAAAATAATGACCTTCTTGATATTTTTGCGGTATGTATCTAAAAAAGAAATGGCATTTCTATATCGTTTATATATAGTGTTCATATTACTTTTTTTATACGTCATTAATGTTTTTCACTTTAGCATACCAGAAAGGATTCGCGAGACAGCGATTCATCTCTCCCGCTGTTCAATATAAACTCTAACCTTTCAACTATTATGAATGAGATTATGTTTGATCAGCCGGAGGATATGGATTTCTCCGCCGATACTCTTTTCTCCAGTTTTTCTGTTCTTCCTTTTCCTAATCCGAAGGAAATATGTTAGTAAAAATAATAAATATAACATGATATTCTTATTATATATATTAAACAGTAGAGATATTGTTTTTTCTATTTTTGTAATTAATCTTATCTAATAATATCAATATGTAAACAAAATATCTTTTTTTTACGTTAAGCCAACGCTCCAGTTCCCGCTGACGCTATTCAACCTGGCTTAGTTCAACTACAGCCTAACATTGATGAGTTAATGGAAATTGACGGTAACGGTACCGAAAAAATAAATTAAAATTGCTAATGACTTAATTATTTCAATCGCTTACATATTTCTTTTGTATTCAACCAGATATATTCATAAATGGAAACGTTTCGATGTCGCAATCTCATTCAGTGGCTGAACCTGCAGCACCATCTGTGTCCTATACACCAACGTCTTTCTCATCTAGTCCGTCACTGTTTCGAGTTGCGGCTCCTGCCCAGCAGACTGCACAGAATACATCATTAAACGCTCTCCTGAACGCTTCGTGTATGTTAGGAAATTTTCCGTTATTTATGTGATTAATTAAATGTTTATTTTTTATAGCAGCGAATAGTCAGCAGCAGTTGATACAAACCGTCCAGCCGATAGTAGTTTCCAGCGACTTATTAAATCTAATAGTGCAGCAGTCTTCCGCTCCGGTACAATTGGTAACAAATACGACGCAATCTCAGCCTATCAAAATTGAAGAGACGCCCGTTTCGCCTCCTATACAACCATTTATCAATGATCAATTACGAACATTAGCTAAGAATAATACACCTAAACCACCGCCGGCGGTATCATCAACGTTGACGAGTAAGCCAACTGTGCAGCAACTCTTAGAGATGAAATCCAATCAGACGAAAATTTCTTCGCAAATTCAGGAAACGAGTCATCAATTACCAGCTACGACACCGAATAGCGAATTTAGAATTCCAAGAAATCCTCCGACAATAAGTAATAACACACATTTTCAAAACAACTTACAAAAGAAAAGGGTAGTTATTGTAGAGCCTCAACAGTCTAAGCAAAATCAATCGAAAAATAAGATACTCGCCAATCTATTGACTGGAACTCCAACACAATATCACTTGAACCACGAGCAGGTTAAGAAAGAAAAAAGCTATATACCAATAAAACCAGCAACTAATGCAACTGTTTCATCATCTCAGTCGATAATAAATCAGATATCACCATCTTCGTCTGTTTTAATTAATCGGATATTCACTGAAAGGCAAACAGTCAACGATTTTCAACGTCAAGTTTTGATAAACGCGGCTGGAGATGCGTGTCAACCACCGGTTTTACAACCCCAATCTCCTATTACATCGACTACTGTTCAACAACCTACAAATTATACTAAGGCGCCTATGTCCCCTCCAACAAGTCAAGTTTGCGTAACTGTAGAAAGAGATTCTAATCGCAGAAAGTTAGGTCATAAGAATGCCGAACAAAAGAGAAGAGTTAACATCAAATACGGCTTTGATATGCTGCACGAGTTGGTTCCTTCTCTGAACTCTACTGCAGGTGGTTCGGGCAAAGTCTCTAAGGCTGTAACCTTGACAAAGGGAGCTGAATATGTACGAAAACTTAAAGCAGATAGGCAAAAATGTGACACTGAAATGGAATCTTTGAGAAAGCAAATCGAAGAGTTAAACAACGAAATCAGTAATTGCCAGGCACAATTACCCGCAACTGGCGTACCAGTAACCAGACAACGAGCGGACCATATGAAGAATATGCTCAACGATTACGTAAAGAAGAGAACTCTATCTAATTGGAAGTTTTGGATATTCTCCATTATCATAAAGCCACTTTTTGATACTTTCAGGGATATGGTTTCAACGGCCAGTGAAGCGGAAATGTGCCGTACAGTTTTGGCCTGGCTAGAGCAGCATTGTTCTCTTGTTCAACTTCGACCTGGTGTACTATCTTCCCTAACAGAATTAAGCACAAAAACAGCTATTCTAACAGATCCTTCAAAAGTTCCAGAGCAGGCAACTTTAGCCGTTCAAGCGGTTAAGCATTGACAGTTTTTTTTTCTTTGAAAAAAATTAAGATTTTTTTCGTTTACAAAACAGGAAAGAATTTGATAAAATCTTTTCACTCTGTTTTTAAACAACGCTCAATGATATGTTAATGATAATGACGTTAGTGACTGTTGCGGCGATGTAACCTACTACTACTACTATTACTATTACTACTACTACTACTATGACAATGGTGGTGACGACGACGACGATGAAGACAGTTTCGATAGTGATGACGACGACGACGACGATGATGATGATGATATTGTTGTTGATGACGATGATGACGACAACAACAACAACTAAATGTTGGTGAGAATGAGGATATTGGCGATGTTTTTTGTTTACTATTTCCTTATTGTAAGGCGTACATACTCTTCAAAATTAATGTTATAAAATATCAATGTCAAATGTATGTTAAATTAAGATTATTATCAATTATAATTATCAATTTCTTTTTTTAAATTTCTCCCTTTTTCCGCCATAAGTGAGACAGCGATGAGGCAGCATCAATGCAATTTTCATATATCATTTCATTTCTTGCATAATTATATATACATATATATATATATATATATTTATATATATATATTTAAATAAGATCGATTGTAGTAGTGGAAACATAAAATGACAAAAAAACTTATATATTTACACAAATATATATATATATATATATATATATATATATATTTCTTTTTTTTTAGTAATTTTTGAATCATTCACTACTTTTTCGATTTAAATGAAAAAATAATAAAACAATTGTTTTTGTGAAATATGCTTTTCTTTTGTTTCTTTATATGTCGTTTATATGATGGATGAATATATATATATATATATATATATATATATATTTGTTTATATAATTTATCTAAGCAGTGATGACAAGTATTTGGTAATATTATTTGCAAATATATCAAGCTTTTTTTCTCGTTCTGTTACAATACTGCTTTTCTTTTCTGACAAAAAAAAGAAGATTTTTTCATTTTTGATCATCAATAAGGACAATCTATATAAAACGAAAAACTCTGAATATTTAACAATATGATTTAAACCAAAGGTTAAATTCATGCAATACATTGTATTGATTTTTAGAAACGAAACAACTATTATGGGCGGCTTGGAAAGGGGAGGTAGTACAAAATATGCGATTTAGAAATAACTGGCACAATTCTTAAATGAATTGTATATGAAAGAAAAAAAAAGATTACAATGGAATTTCGATAAGATAATAGTCCTTCTCTTAATCAAAATGAATATTTTAATTATTGTACTATTATTCTTTTTTTTTGTTTTTGAAGTACAGAACAGAAACTAGAACTTAATGTTTCGTTTTGTTTTTTTCATAAACAATTTTTTGCATATGATGAAAAAAATCACATATTTTTATAGATTGTAAACGAAATTAACATAATTAAGTGTAATAAATTTTGTAGTTATAATAGTTTATGCATTTGTTTCCTTTGTTATACAGTATATATGCAGTATATATACTTGAAGATGGAAAAAAAGAGAGAGATATTCATTTATTTTTAGGGAGGATTGGTAAAACTGAATAAAACTTGTTTTGTAATATATTCATGATTTTTCCAATAATTATCGCAGACAGTTTCAACAACTCCTGCTCTAGTATTTTCGTGGCGTGTGAATTTCACCTTTTTCTTCTTTAGGTAAGGAGTTTCTTGATATATAACCTCTTGCTTTCGACCCAAACTCCTTACTGCCTTTTGAATATCAAGAAAGTTCTTGCTAACCTCCGTTAAAGGACCTATCAATTTCATAGCACCCTCAAAGTCTCCGTTTAACCTGCATCGGTGTAAAGTTTCTAAAATATTCTTTACATTTGTATTAATAAACGGAGCCATTTTCTTTCTATCGCATTTTATGTACAAGTCTCCACTTGTCTTATCTGTGTCAAAGTCAAAAGGGCTATTTTCCAAGGACATAGCGTAGCTCAGAAAAAGAAATCTAGCCAAACAGTGGCTATAACACCAGGCCTTAGCTTTATCAATGTATAAAGTAAGGCCTTCAACTCCGTTTAACACGGCATTCATTAGCATAACCCATTGAATATCTTCGAGTTCGTAGTCTTCTCCAATATCAAAAATATCCATAATATCGTCGGCGGTTGTTAAAAATATTGATAAACATTGTCTCCGAAAAGTCTCCACAAGGACCGCCTTATCTCCGAATTTCCTCCTGAAAGAGTTGGGTGGTTCGTACCATTCATCGACTAACTCGCTTGGTAAATGAATTCTTCTATCTCCGCTGATAAAATAGAATTTTCCTCTTCTCTAGATCAACAAATAAAATGTTAAAATACGAGTAAGAAAAGATAAAATCAATTCTATTACAAGACCTCTATAATTTCTCCAGCGGTCCATTCGCCCACAACACTTCTCAAGACCATATCGACCTTATGACAGTACAAACTTCCTATTTCGAATAAATCGTCCTCGTCCTCATCAAAACGAAACACAGCGCGAGACAATTCAATATGTCTATAGGTAAGATCTATCACATTCTCGAAGAAAATCTTCTTCAATCCTTCGGCTTTTGGATCTACGTTATTTATTATTCACAGGCGATAGCTTTTAAATAAAAACGATTGTAAGACAAGTACTCACAAGCATCCTCTATGGTGTAATAGGGTATTCCTGGTCCATACCTGAGCAATCTAACGAATATAATTTCGGTTCCTTTTTCATTTAGATTAAGATTATAATCAATATTACAATTTGGTATCAAATTTGATAGATACCCAACTCTTTTTGTTAGAGAATCCATTCTAGTACCCCATCTATCGCTGCGAATGCCAATAAAAGTTCTAAAAAGTCCCCTTGATCTCGTACGATCCCAATGCCTTTCGATAAATCCGGTTGAAAAGATAATCTTAGATTCGTAGGCCAATTTCCGAGCCTTTTGATGCTCGCTTGCGCTGCCTTTCTTAAAGTATTTCAGATATGCTTTAATCATATCTTTTGGGGCACTGGACATAAGGAGAATCCCCTCCAATTGGTGAACAATCTCATTCAGTATCTGAAAATATGAATCATAAAGGGGTCTAACAATTATTCTCTTTCCGGTTCTCGTCTGATATTCTATAGGCCTACAGGGGACATCTTCTGTCTGACCAATATGAACATCGTAACAATTATCAATAGTTAGATGTTTCTCCATTCTAGTATTTAGGCTGGTTTTTCCTTTCGCTTCCAGGAATTCATTAACATCCATAATATCCTTTAGAGTACAATCGGGCGATATAATTTTCATATCTTCAGTTGTCCAGGAGAATAGGTCAATATATGCTCCCGTAAGATTTTTCCAAGCTGGATCTGATGCTAAAAGATCCGAAGGTGAAATATTCATGGTCATACTGTAAATATTCTCAAAGACGCTAAAAGCCAAATCGAAAGGCAAGTAGAAATTGGCTTGTTCAAAGTAATCGTAGGTACCGTAATTGCTCATAAAGGAAGATGCAAAATCGAGAAACTCTTCATATTCTTCATTGGAGACTATACCCCGATACGCAGCCGATCGAACATCGAACATTCTATTATTTTCAAGCATATGAATTATTCTCCAAAAGAGGAGAAAGGATGCATTCGAACTCTAAATAGATTTTCGTAAAATTAATTAAAATATATTTGATTAAGTTTTTTCGAAGAGAAGTTAAACGAACCTGATACATGCTTATTAACGATCCCATATCACAGATTTTCATCAATTTATAAACATACAATTGTTCACTTTCCGATAACTTTTCCATATCATCTTTGACGTCTAAACGACAAACAATCTTCTCTGATCCGCCGTATGCCATTCTATTTTCAATGAATATTACTTCTAATAAACCACTTACTATCAATGAAATTACAATATTAAATAACAGCTATTCTCTTTTTTGAAATTTTAACATTACGCCAATTTATCACGCATGCGCAAAGCGTCTACAAAGTATTCTCTTTTTAACTAGTACATTCATTCCATTTGTTCGATTTCCAAATAAATAGTTTCGTAGCACAATATAAATATCATTTTATTCATGCTTCAATTACAAACTATGCAAAAGTCAAACAGTTATTTGTTGCTATTAGAATATAAATTGATATGACCGACTTGTAAAGATTTTTCAGACTATCAGTAGTATTATTAATATAAGATAATTATACTTAGATATTTAAAAAAGAGGACTATTTTGTTTGTAACTTTTTCCTTGTTTTCAGCTTCAAAGTAATTTAAACGCTGACAGAAATTTAAATCACTTAAGCGAAGAACTTATAGTTTTTTTTCATTTCCTGGTAGATAATATTATTGATATCACTGTCCGAGAATCGATCCTGCACGCTTTTGATTACTCCTGCGTAATTTTTCTCGTATGACTTCAACTCTACATCTCCTTGTTTGTCAATACTAGTGTGACATTGAAGCATCAGGTGTCTGGGCTTCTTTTTGGCAAGTACGATTTCTCTCCATTTGAGAAAATCGTATTTCATGCCTTCGACTCTTGACAATCCTTCGTATAGCTTCCTTCCTTCTTCAACGTCACCAGTTGATCTATGAATTTGCAATTGAAGTAACAATTGTCCGATCGCCTCTTTGCCAATTTGCATCATAAGATCACGATTTAATGATAAATGGAGATCAAAAACCCCTTCATTTTCGCACATTTCAACTTTAACCAAATCTTCGCAATAATCCATAAGATGCCTAAGAATGACGTATCTGGCTTGCATATGGGCTTGTCTCCACTTCCTGTTTGCTGGTGTATAGAATTCGAGTCCTCTAAGACCAGCATGTAATTCGTTAAGCCAGTTAACATATATAATATTACCAGCTTCCTCTCCCTTAAATCCAAAAATTTCTAATATTTCAGGAATAAAGCACAAAAACATTCCAACACACTCAGCGCGGCACTCTTCGTACGAACTACTTATGTCTTGGAACTTTGAATCATATGATTCGTTTCCTTTATACCATTTATCAACCAATTTTCCTGTTAGAGGATTTATGGTCGAATCTCGATCGAAATTAAATTTTCCTACCGGATTCTAAAGGAAAGTAACAAGGTAAACATTTCAAATAGTTAAGTGCAAATAAATATTTTATCGTTCTACCTCTTTAAACAGTAGACCGCTTCCATGACCCAACAATTCGTGCAGGCCAACTTGCAATTCGAATGCCGGAATTCGATACTTACAAAGGAGGGTGTTGTCTTCTGGCCCTAAGAAGGGAACGTTCGATTCAGAATATGCAGCGGTGAGAACATTTCCCAATGAAACATTTTTGAAGCCGTGCTCCTGTTTGACGTCTTCATAGTTTGGTATGTTGATGCCGGCGGGAATTCCACTTGAACCAAAAGCCAAAACGTCCAACGATGTAAAATCCGGAGTGACAAAATTTTCTCGTTCAAATGTGTTAGGCCAAGGTAGAAGTGGAACAAATTGCTTTTCAGCCGCCGCCACAAGGTTTTGAAATTTCTCAGATAGTGCTTTATTAACAATAGCGGCAAAGCCTTCAAACTCTGCCCTCACGCCGAAAGGATCCCTATAAGATTCAATAAATCCAATATACGTTTCAATAATGGGACTTTTATTCAGTACCCAAATTTTAGATCCTTCTTTATGCTCATCAATCGAACCAGTTTTAAAGGAATTAATATAATGACGAAGCATAACCTTTTCTCTTTCGTTTGCAAAATTCGTTTGTCGAGCTAATTCTAGAAAATTGCACGTTTTTTTAAGAATATCACAATAATCACCTTGGACAATTCGAATATTAATTTTCTGATTAGATTTTGTAGTAAATTCCATAAGTTCAGATTGACTTTCATTTACACTGGCAATGCGAATATCATAAGAGCCATCCTTATTTTTGACTACTCTTGTATTGTAAGGTGAAATCTTTTTAGTTTCAAGAAATTCTTGTAAAATTTCTGCATCTTTCGCATCACAATTCTGCGAATAGTACGTCGTAATACCTTGATCGCCAAAACCAAGTTGTTGATTTTTATCTGTCAAACTACAAATATGATCTTTTACATTTGACCATATTTCATTGGTAATGGACGTTTCTTTTTCATATGCCTTCGATAGTTTAACAATCTTCTCGAATTCAGAAAAGCCAATAGCCGGAATAATCTTTGTATCTCCAAATGACTTGTAATTTCCCATATTACAGAATATGCATGCTGTGTATGCCAAAAAATGCTCGTAGTCAATTTCTGACAAACCGCTATCAAGAACTTTTTGGGCCAGGCTGTTTACACTTTCAGTTTGAAATATTTTCAGCAGCAATAAAAATATACCTGGAGATTCTAATGACGTCTAAAAACAAAAAAGGAAGAAAAAAAAGAACAATTTTAGATGCCCTAATTTAAGGATGAGTAATCAAAATTTTTATCATTTTTTTTTAGGAAGAATTAAATGATAAGGATTTATAGTTATATTTAAGTATTACATCAGTACCTGATAAAGACATACTAAACTACCATAATGGCCAGCTTGAGCCAAATAGTGGGCATACAATTTTTCCTCCTTCGTCAATTTTCCAAAGGCTTCAGAGCAGTCAAGAATAGCCACAGGGGTTTTCATGGTTGCAGTGAACAGATCTCTCTTTAATTCGGTCATTTTCAGTACTTAACAACGTATAAGCAACCGCTTCACTTAAGGAGACCAATAATTTCTTTCAGCCTAACACCGGATGTGAAACGAAGCCGGTTGTCAACTTTTATAGATGACACCACTGTTACAACATGACTAGCGACTTCTATATGATAGATTTAAAAACAGCTTCTTTCGCTCTTTAATGTCTCTTACTACTTTTTCTTTGATCGAATCTATTGTGTTTCGCTTCCTAATTTGCCTTTTAGTTCTTTGATTAAAACATAGCCCAAAGCCCTGTATTGTTACTTCAATATTAGCTCCTACGCCACATTCTACCATCATCTCACCAATGTTAACGAGATTGAAACAACCAATTTGCTCCTCTAGCGAAATAATTAACACCTATTGATACTCCATTTATATATATGATACAGCAAACTGTACACTATGTATTATATATTTATACGCTTTTACAATGCATGTAATTACACATGGGGTATATACATACATATATATATATTTTATATACACATGAATATAAGCAGAATATATTTTACAGTATTATAGTGTATAAATAAACTAGACACGTACGTGTATAGTATATTTATTTATAACAAAAAATACATGGATATGAAACGAATAACTTTTTTTTCAATAGTTTGGCACGGAAGGCGAATAATCAACAAACAAAAGATTATATAATACTAGCAAACTTGAATGGCAACAACTAATAATTATATTCCTTCAAATTCTGTGAATACTTTTGGATGTAGGTCTTTGAATCCTATGATTATTCTACCGTCCTTGTCCAATTTAACTGGATATGTCTCGATGGATCTTCCCACGTGGTTAGGAGAAACAACTTTTCCATCAAGTAAATTAATTCTCCAGTTGTGCCAAGGGCATTTTACACAAGGCACTCTATTTCTCCCCACCATGAAATCCTCAATGTCACCTTGTTCTAAAGGTCCGCCTTTAAGTAGACATGGGGTCGTATTAGTTATTCAATGCTTTGTCATTACGTAAATAATTAACTTACTCTGATGAGGACACAGGCGGTCTATTGCGAAGATACGCATGCCATACCTGAATAGTGCAATTTTTGAATAGTTACACACAACGGAGGCATTTCTTCCCAAGCAAAGGATATGATTTTCACTTCGGTTCCGTCGCCAGTCGCTCAATCTTGCTTCATAGTCATGTTTATGTGAACATGGCTTAGCCTTCCAGTCGTGCAACTCTGAAAAATAAAACTGCACAATTAAAAACAGGTATAATTACACGTTTTTATCTATAGTGGGTCAAAATTTAACCGTAAAAAAATTTTTCCGTGGGAAGATAGAAAGTATCCCCGTCAAACAGCATCTCAATGTATTTCTCCATCGGTAAAAAATGAGTAGGAAAAAAATGTACAAAATCAAGTGTTAAATTGGCGGGAAAAGCGATTATAACTAGTTTTTACGTAATTTTAGAATTCGGAAATGGTGCGTAATAATGGATAATAGCCGGACATATTTAATAACCTCGAAATTGATTCCCTTTTAATTTCTAAATCGAAAATAGTCCCAAAACGAAAAGTGGTTTAAAGGGGAAATTTCATTAATAAATCAATTGTAGATATAATTTAAAGGACAAAATAGTTATATATAAAATTAAATTACTTATAATAGTAGATTAGAGGCAACGTCATTGTTTGTATACATTATTATTTCAAAATATTTTGAGCGATAATATAGAGTTGGGTGGGACATAGTAGAATAGGATTCATTTTCGTAGTAATCATTTCCTATTCGATTAAGAATTTCGATAGAACTCCAGTTGTGTCTTGTAAAAGCTTTAACGATTTAAATTCATCAGATTATTATAGAATACCAAATTGAATAATATAAACTGTGTATAAGGAAGACCGATTGGTGTTAAACGAAGTTGGATAATATAAAACGCTACACTCGGCCGAAAGAAGGCGTGGAAAGCGCGTCGTTCGTTTCTTTTCAGCAGTTTATTATGAGAGGACAGTTTGGCGCGAGAGCTGCTTTACAAACTCTGTGATATGTCGCTGTAGCAAGTATGTCGGTAAGTGCTTTCTCTCTCTTGTACGCCATAGAAATAATAGCCCTTAATTGTAACGAAGCCAATTTTTTTACAATGAATTGTTTAAATGATTACATAATGTTGGTTAAAATAGGATAGAAAGGGAATAGAGACAGTTATCTGGATAACAAGCGTAAAAATTTAATCACTAGATAGCTAAGAATAGCTAGTTATACTTTTTCAGGGTAAATAGATTTTTCTGTTAGTTGTCTTCAAGAATTTATTAACTCTCTAGCATTACTCTTTTTGGCAGCAATATCTGATGTTTATATATCTTCACCACTCTATTTTGCTCTTTTTTTTTTTTTTACTACCCTTCATTCTTTTTATCTATGCTTAAACAAACAAACCCATAGCGTCTTTTATCACTCAGTATTTACGCAATCTATACGCTTTTAAACGACAAAAAAGAGGAAAAGTAGCAATATAACGAGTGAGTGGCATGGAAAGAATGAAAAAATAAGACTAAAGCATTTATACGGCTTTACGTCAACGATTACAGTGAACTTAGATTTGGATCGATATGACTAAAATTGCAATATTTAATAGAATAAAAAAATCTTTATTATAGATAAACACAGAGAAGAGATCGTCAAGATGGGTCTGTCCAAATGACAGGCAATTAGCTCTAAGGGCGCAGCTAGGCGCGGGTTGGTCAATGCATGCCGCTGATCAGAAGCAATCGTCTACCATTTCTGAAGACGAACACGCACAAATTATGCGAGTGATAGAGAAAGCGAACAATCTGGATAACTCTGAAGCCCTTCGGGTCGGAAAACTCGTAGATAGACTAGATAATATAAAGAGGAGTGCAATGGGTAACGGTTCGAACGAGTGCATCCTGTGTGCTCAGACCTTTGGTATACTATCTTCGGCGACTGCTATTGTCTGCATTGATTGTAAAAAGAACGTCTGCACAGAATGCTGTATAAATTTACAAAATGGTAATAAACAGTCGAAAAAGAATGTTAAAGTATATCTATGTAAAATTTGTGCTGAATCGAGGGAACTCTGGAAAAGATCTGGAGCGTGGTTCTTTAAAAGTATACCTAATTATGTTTTGCCACCACCCAAAAAAACGGAATCTCGGCGAGGAAGGTCGTGGCGCCCAATTACGTCTACAAATGAAGAAACATCAAACTCTGATAAAGGTAAATAAAAACCGTCTCGATTAATTAGTACAATCTATAGTTTGTCAACCAGAGGGTAGATTGTCTTTCGATATTTATCGACTCTCACTTAATAGCTAGGTTAAATCCAGCGTGAAAATTCAGTTGATATAATGCGTTAGTGACAAGAACGGTCCGAGCTGGGAACGTTTTATAGAACAAACTATACTCAGTGTTTGCATAGGGTAAATTCACCATATGAGATTTGTGTTCGTGCATTTCAGGAGCGATTCTACAGGGAAAGAAACGATCAAGATAATAATGTTCACCTCGTGCGTAAATTGTTGTATCGACATTTCAATATTTTTTCTTCGCAAATTTCTTCTTTTCTTTTTTCTTTAATTTCTTTTATTTTTAGCTTTTCCCTTTTTTTAATAGAAAAATTGAATTATAAATTTATATATCTTAATTATTAAGGAAAAGAAAAAACAAACGACTGACGGATTATAATAACTAGATTTCGTATTAGGAAAAGGGGAGGGTATATTACCAGAATATGAGGTTTGCCGATTAAGTCAGTCGGTTCGACTGCACTTCACTCACCTTTTCACGTGTACTCAACAACGGATAAGTTGACTTTACACGCTCTATGTAATCTTTTCGCCTTTATCTTGAAAATAATTTTCCGATGGTCTATTTAAAAAAAATATATCATTCATAAAAATCAGTCATCGCACACTAGTTGAATCTTTTACAAAGCTTTTTTTTATGAATATGTCCCGAAATGGTCGTTTTTCTTCTTCATTAGACACAACATAGTTTCTGTACTTGATTTATTTTTATTCTTGTTATTTGTGTCTGCTGCTGCATTTTTTTTCTTAGGTATATATTGTCTGTTTATACTACTGGATAAGGAGAATTATATATGCTGTATATAGCACGGAGTGGAAAGATTTATTAAGCCTATAGAGTGCTAAAAAATTTTATGTGACTGTGATACAACATTATTTCCTTATATGTATATTATTCACGTACGGAAATATTTACAAACTATTTAGTCTTAATACAATGACTGTAAAGGGAGCAGTCTCCTTTTTTAAGGAAATCATTTACGATTATCGAATGAAGAGAACCCTTGTAGGGCGTCCATAAGCGTACACCATCGATTAATAATCCTCTAGCGTTTAGTTTTTGCAGTGTTTGTAAAAGTTCCCCCCTACCCTCACCCTGCCTCCCAACCTCTTAAACGTAATAAGTTTTTAAGAGTAAGCTGCATGAAGCCCCATACTTGTTTTACCTCTCCTCATTCCCTTCCCTGTCTTCTAGTCTAGCGTAGTGTTTTAGGAATTAATTTGATATATATCTTTAAGATTCAATTAATTCGTTCCAACATGTTGACTTAAAAATAAAACGTGATAAAGAGGTAAGTTAAAACCTTGCGAATCTCTCTATTACAGAACGTGTAACGAATTAACGGATAAATATGACTTTTGACACGTTTATTTTTACACTTACTTTCTATGCAGTAGGTAAAGAAAAAAATGATTACGTCATAGTAAAACAAATAAGAAGAGAAAGATCCGAAGATAGCGACGATGGTAATAAAAAATAATAAAGCAACTATTCATCCAATAAATTTTTTTTTTATTTCTTTGTTTATTTTTGTTTGTTTACATTTGGGTTTATTTCGTTAATTATAGATGACGATGACTTTGACGAAGTGGATAAAACGGAAAGCGCGAAGAGCTTCAAAGTTGATGCAGAATTTGAGACTAATGGTTCCACGACAACTGCTGTCTCTAATCAACAGCAAAGTCTTGCGTCGCTAACATCCGATTATGTTACGGAATCGAATCAATCGTCGCCGTCGGCTTCCAAAGGGAACGAATCTAGAAGATCCGTAACATCTGTTTGCAGTAGTGAGTCACCTCCAAGCACTGAATCTGGAAAAACTGCTTCCGACTTGTCTTCGTTACATTCATTAAACGAGTCATCGGGATCCTCGGGCACTATTGAACTATCATTGGGTTATAACCCTTCGAGAAAATGTTTTACTTGTCACGTGATAGCTGCATATAATTTAAGGGCGATTGCTGATATTTACGCGGTTCTGAAACTTGAGCCTAACTTTTCCAAAGTTGTCACGCATAGGAGTAGCGTACAAAAGAGAACACTTAATCCCAGATGGAACGAAATGTTTCAATTTCAAGAAATTGGTAGAAACGATCTGGATAAACGTTTTTTAGAGATACATCTCTTTGACCAGAATGCTGCAGCCTCTTCGAATTTTATCGGTCAAGCGTCTATTGCCCTCAAGGATATTCGTCACGAGAAGCAACAAGTTTACAAGCTCAAGTTATCTGATCGTAAATTTTCAGTGCCTAAATCAGAACGATTTCTGCCCCATAGAGGAGAGATTGAAATTGTTTTGACTTATAAAAAAGAGCCAAAAGCCCAATTAATCATAAGAATTATACAATGCCGACATTTAGTTGCTATGGATAAAAATGGTCTTTCAGATCCATATGTTAAACTGTAAGTATTCTACTATATATCATTGTTTTTCCCTCTCCAAGTAATTTTCTTTTATCACAAAATAACGATATAATATTTCACTTATAGCTACTTAAAGAAGAGAGGCGACCGGGATAAAAAAAGCAAGCATAAAACATCGATTAAGAAGAAAACATTGAATCCGGTTTATGATGAAGAGTTCCGATATTATGACTCTAAAGGGGAAGAACTCTTTAAAAAGTCTTTAGAGGTTACAGTATGGGATCACGACTTAGGATCCTATAACGATTTCATAGGATGTATTAATTTTGGTCAGGATACTTGTAAAGATACACGTGACCACTGGATGATGGCTTTCGAAAATCCAAATATGGAGATAAAAAAATGGCATATTCTGCAGCCAAAAAGTTAATATGATTTATTGTTGGTGCTTGTACAAGTTATTCAGGATAATTTGTCTTCTTTCTTCGTCCATCGTTCCCTTGGAAAAGGGAGGAAATACATTTTTCAAGTGTCTTCAGTCTCTCGATCAATTAATCTAACTATCATTCTTAAACGCTCGGGTAGATAGTTTAAAAATACAATACACAATATAAAGTATATATTAATATATCTATATTGTATATACTGTATATATATATCTATATATATGTATATATACACTTGCAACGGCAGCTTATCGTGTGTAAAGTAATAAATTTATAGGGCCTGGTTACCACTGCTGCCAGCATACATAGTTAATGTCACGTGGTAACACTTATTTGTCTGTATAATTGTCGTCTAGCAAGGATATTTCAACAAGATGAGTGTTCCTAGCAGCAGATCATTAAGTTTTTCTTTAGAATTTCCTTTTTTGCCAACTATTAAATTTTCAGAATTTTTATAGGCTAAACTCAAGGTTTTTCAGCACATTAGCATTTGTGTTTTTATAAGTGATATATGCATATACACAGGTAGGATAGATATATGTTTAACTATTAAGAGATATTTTATATACTCTCAATTCTATTCTGTTCCAGCCTGAGGCTATATAAAAAATAATACTTAGAGAACTACAGATGTCGCTGAAGCTGAATATTAATAGGGAAACATTTTTATATTGTATGTTTTGTTTGCGAAAAGTATCTACAATTAGCTTTGATGGATTTAAAAACTTTTATCAATGGGAACCTCTAAGTGAACAACGCACTTCCTCTTTCCCACTGTTTTTTCAATCAATGACCTAAGGAGCTAAGAGGGTATCATAAAAGAGGATTTCTTAAGAGATAACTTTAGGGATGGGAATTTATACAGAGTATGGTGGTGATACGTTGTTGATTCACCACTTTTGTGGTTCTGAGTCTAATATACTAATGGTTACAGAATTCATTTTCACATTTAAAACTGATTATCAAGAAATAAATGACCTTTACTTGCAAAAATAACCCAACTATGGCTAGAAAACGCTAATTAACCAGTATTACGTAAGCAGATCTCCTTAATACGCTATCTTAATGGATTTTCTCTTTAAATGATTATTAATGAATTTACTATTATGATGAATTTTTCAGGTAAACACTGTGTATTGAAAAAGAGCAATAATTCGTTTACACTATACCTTAAACGATTCTTATCATTCACTTGTCATCTATCACATGGCCAAGTAGATGATTTGTCTTATTTCCTTCTCCTTTCTCTTATTCTCTCTTTCTCTCTGCCACGCACAAACACATACATACATACACGCACATTTTCATATCAACCTAAATTTCTTTATACATTTACACCCTAATTATTTTACTTTGAAACCAAAGGTTTTACCCACAACTAATATTAAAACCGCTTTTAAAGGTTCCTTCCTTAAAATACTATTCGCGGAAAGCATACAAGCCATTATGAATTGAAAGTAAAGAAACTACTTAACAATCTAATTATAATATCTAAGATTAGGGCCATTATCCACAGGTTTGAGCCTAGTTAACTCTTTCTTTCCCTTTTTTTATTTCTCTTCTATTCACAGACGAATTTTTTTTTTTGATAAAGCAACGAGAAAGAATCCATAGAGAGATATATATGTAAAACTATTACTAGCTTTCAGGATTGCTTTCAGCTACTTTAGTAGTATCATTCAACGATTAGCCAGAAAGAGTTTTACAGGTATAGGTCCTCTTGCATCAAATCTAATTGCAGAATTCTGTAATTCTCTTATTAATTTACTTTTATTGAGATGATTAGAACAATTTAAATATAAATTTTTTTCTTTGCTATAATAACTAAATAATCTGAGCAATATATCATTAAAGGCGTTATAATTGCTGATTATCGATAATAATGGTAGCGTTACAAAAGATAGGATATATCTCATAAAAAAAAGAAAAACAAGGCCACTCTTTTAGGAGGAAGGCCTGTTTAAGATGAAAAGCGTAGAGACAATTTGAAGACATAATCAAGTATTTTAAAAGGGTGGGAAGGGGTAGTTTCACCCAACCATCTTAAGGCTGCTCAATTAGGTTATTACTCCGAAATTACTATCGTAACTAATTTCTTAAAAGGCCTATTAAAATCTCTTGCTCCCTCTCTATTTTTTTCAGAGATTTAAAGGATGCTAAAACATCTTCCTTTTCCTTATATTATTATTAGTTAGTTAGTTAGTTAGTTAGACAGTTAGTTAGTATTCCCATTATATTCATAGTATAGTAAGTCGTGAAAATGTCAAGGAAGTATTGATGGCTAGACTCTTAAGAAGTTCACTGGGTGTAATTTGGTTCCCTGACGAAGATGCTTTGGAGTTCATGCAACAAGTTTATTTAGTTAACATCTGCGGGTAATAATAGAGCACTATTAATAGGGGTTACGGGGAAGGGGCGAGGGGGGAGAGTAAATGTTGTTTTGTGAAATACCTTTTACGAATAAGGACGCTATTAAGCACATATTTCAACAAGTTTTTCAAACTATGACAGATTGGTGAGGACTATTGATCAAACTTTAGCTTTCCAAATAAGCTTGGAAAATATTATGAAGTGTCTCAGACCTTAAGTCGACGTATTTCGAGGACTTTAAAATAGTACCAAGCCTGTATTTAGTAGGGTTGGTATATTGCATACAAACAGGAAAATCTATAGAGAATATAATGAAAGCAATTAGGGAAAAGCTTGCCCAAATCCATGAATTAAGATTAACAAACAGCATCAAAGAGCCATTTGGTTTATTAACGTGTTTCTCTTCTCTTTCTTCGCCGTCTCTCTTTCCATATTCAATATAAAATTGCCTATCGCTCCAATACATCTACTGGATGAAAATATCTGTAAAGAGAGTGAGAGAGATTTGAGCTTAGAGGAAAATGGTGCTTGACAATAAATATTCCCCAAAGAGATAGCTAATGATATTTAAAGTTCTGTAAACATTTCCAATTAGACACGGTCTAACAAATTAGCGGAAATTATATTAAATATGGAAAAACACTATTTATTATGTTAAGGAATTCAGTGGCTAGATTTTTAGAAAATATAGAAGTAGCTGTCTCCGAGAACAGTATAGAAACAACAATTTTCATTTTGCAGTCTCATTTTTCGCTGATATATCATTCACACTGTCGAGTTTGTTTTTTTCCTCTCATTTTTTTCCTGTTTTGTCAATGAATATAAATAATATTCCGTTTCTTTTATAGTTATAATTATATCCTTATAGTTATTTATTGCTCCATTACTTATTTATCGTTTGATAAAGATTCTGTTGAAGAATTTTTCCTCGCGCGCGACAATAGATTGATGCATCAAGATATATCCTTGAAGGTAGTCTTTAAAGGTCGAATAAATTTAAGTAGGCTTTCTTGACAATCTTAAATACGAATCGGGTAACAAGAAAAACCAATAAACCACCATCAATAACGTATTCTCTTCTAATAGATATTTAATGTCAATAGCCATTCTCTATCCAACGTCCTTTTATTATTCTCAAATTCTTCAGTTGATGAATTTGAAACAAACGATTCCTTCTAAATGAGTTCATCAATCAAACTAAGTACGAAAAATCATTAATCTGTATTAAATCTTCACACGTGTTTTTCAATTTGAAATCAATATTTTAATTTAAATAAACAATACCTTACTCTACCATTTTTTTCCCATACGTTCTTCCTTCCCATCTTCCCTCAACTCTTGTCAACGCTTTTCAGTTCTTACCAATAAAGTAAGAAGATCAACAGTCTTCAAGTCATCTTATTGATCAAGTTAATACTATTTATAGGGAAATTCTATAGTTATTTAGCATCTATTATAAGGACTTAAAAGTGTAATTTGACTTTCAAAGTATTCTCTTTTCTTCAAGAAACAAGAACGAAAAAGGATTATCGTATATCTTGTAAATCTATATCTCTCTATTTATAAACAACGGATAAAGAATTTAAAATAATATATATTTACGGCTGATTACATTCCACCAATGAGATTAACAATTCCTAATTTGGGCTAAGAAAAGTCAATGCAATTTATTTAGATGATTAATGTTTCTTTCTTTCTTCTTTTTGGATGTTCCACGTTCTATTTATTAAAAATAAGATATAGTTTTTATTTGATAAAGCCATTAAACATATTTAATATGAATAGTGAATGAATCCCTTTGATGTTGAAAGTTGTTTCGGTCCAGTACATCAGGAGAAATCGATCGTTAACACAATCATACAGAAAAAAAATTATGAGAATGACACTATCTTTATTGAAATGTCATACTTGTTACTATTCAATGGATAAGTTAATTTAACGATTATTATCTATTATCATCATTTATCGTTAATTATTAAGGTTAGATTTGACATTATTCTTCTGATCTTCAGGTAAAAGAAATTCATCTCTCTTCTACTATTATAGTCAGTTTTAGGAAGTCCAACGGAAAAAAATCATTGAGTAGTTATACAAAAAAGAATATACTCAAAGGGGATGGGAGGAAATATTCGTAGTTTTTTTCCCTCATAATTAACGACATGTATAGAAGTCGCCACCAGTCGTACAAAAAAAAAACTCAAACTTGTGTAGCTAGCTACTAAATGGTTCCTCCATTGGCTTAGAATTAATTATTCAACTATCGATGTTGAGTTTATAATTCATAGAAATCATTCAGGAAATCAATTAACTTTGATGCAGATTTTCCTATAATCCTAAAGGAGTATAATGAAACATTCCTTAGAACCGTTCGTAAAAAGATTAAGAACAAGACAAACTAACGCTTTCTTGTAAGTCAGAAAAAATACATATATATATATATATATATATATTATAGCCGTAAATATATTTTTGAAAAAGTAGCCCGAGAAAAGGCTTCGATTTCTCATAGTAATATCTATAGTGTAATGAAAAACTAGTTTTTAATCAGCGCCATTTTATGTGGTTATTCCGAAATGATTTTTCAGTATTTATTACAAGAACTAATTTTCGGATTATACAAAATTACTAAACGCTATTCAACGTTTCGCTCTTAGTTTGTATTGATAGCGTTAACGAAATCAACAACTTAGTCGAACGAATTACAGAATACGAAAGAGTGCGACGAGCTCTCTGGATTTGACAGCTTTTCTCGCCCTACATCTTTATATTATACGACTAAACGAAATCTTACTCTATATAAAATGGACAAATAAACTTAAAGCATTGTACTATAAACGCCAGACGCCGCCTCCCTACCTCCCATCAGACGATTATGAAATTATCATTAAAATCTTGAATGAGTTATATTATCAAAGATTCCAAATGGTCTTGACAATCAGGTAGTTAGACTTCTGAGGGTGGCCTGTTAAAGTAAAGGAAAAATATAGCTAGTTCCTTAGTCGACGTTTATTAGTAAATCATCAACGAATGTTGATTGAATGACGGTTGTATGAGATAGAGGACTATAAGGGAGGATATGGGAACTTGCGAAAAATTCAAATTTAAAAATGCTGGCTATTAATTCTATTTATAAAACTCATCAATGTTAGTACACTCTCAGGGCTCTAGAGACCAAAACAGATATAATGACACTTCTCTCTCTATCTGCGTTCTAATTAAAACATATTTGATAGGAGATTGGAAATGAGAATCAATTAGAAGAGTCTATCTCAAAAGAGAAACTCCTAATTTTTCACTTCTCTCGATTATTATCTGAAGATTATATTATCTAAAAATGTGCTAATGCAAAATTCTCTCCCTTCCCTAGGTTGTTTAACCCAAAAAACATAAACATTATTATCTTTAAAAGAAAAGGATAATGTCTTTGTTATATATGATATTCAGTCAATCCTAAATCATGTAAAATTCTTTGATATTGAGTCTTATCGACCAGGTATAGCGGAAGAAAATTATAGAGTCGTCTTCTCGTCTAGAAACAGGGTTTCTAACCGCTTTGATCGGAGATTTTAAAATTCGCTACGACTTCTTGTGACCTCATAACGGGCTGCCGAGTTCATTTGTGGTTTTTATAAAGGGTTCATAAACTCATTGGCCCAATCACATGATTTAGGGTGCAAGCAATATATAAAAGCCAATTTAATTCTCTAGGGAATACTGGGCTACCAAGTAGAAGTCATCCAGAAACATCATTGATACTTGTTAGAATCAAAAAATTTTACATAGTACATCTATTAATATGCTACTGCATTTGGTAGGTTTTGACTATTTCAACGTTATGGCGTACAGTTTACTTGCGCAAAGTCCCATTTGCCAGATAGGGCATAAATGTTGCTATTATCGGAGGAAGTTATTAATATGGCAGTGCTCTTTAGGAGCGCGAAGACGTTTTTTCTCGAAGATGCTCAGTTAATGTATATTCTTTTTTTTAAAAATTCTATATTTTTAAGCCAACAAGGAAGAATCAGATCCTAATTTAGATTACTGCCTGTATACTCCTTCAAGTAATTAAATCTTTAAATTTTACTGTACACTCCACTGGAGATGCGCGTTTTTTTATTAAATAAGTTGAAAATAATTTTCTAATTTTCCTATTTTGTAAAGCTTGTGTAAAATTACGCTTGCAGGGGCTAAATTTAAAGCCAATAGCTCTTCAGAATAGCTTAGACTTTGGCCTATTGGAATAGTAACTTTGATCATTCTAATAGCATTACTATTTAGACTTATTAAGAAAATTAAATATTAAATTAGAACGATTTTATATACGATTGTTGCAAATCAAAACAAAGATAAGCATCAAATTCTTATCAGATCTGATAAAGTAACTTCGTTTAATCCTTTTCCTCAGTTTAAAATACTAAAGTCTAAATGACAATTAGAAAAAAAAAATAAAACAACATACAATATATGAAATATAAACATAAAATTCTTTGACTAATCAAAATAGCCGCCAGATCCAATAGCTACAGATTCCTCTGATCCAATTGGCATATAGTCGAGAATCCACATTAAGTCGGTAAGAACAACTATAAGAAATTGGAAAAAAATTTGCTAAGAATACAACTTTAACGTATTTGAAAAGGATAACAAACGTAATTCTTTCGGCTTTAATGTTGTATAAATTGGTGAACAAGTTGAATTACATGGTTCGCGTGGTGTTAATCGAAATTTATTTTCACCCTTTAGTTGCGCAATCCAAACCATAGGCAAATTTATATCGGCTGGCTTAAACTTGGCGGTTGTGTAGCGGGAGGAGATTAGAAGCCAATTTGTTTCGCCCCCTTCGACCATGGATGGCATAAAGTATGGTCTTTGATAGAATGTTCGTAGTTTTTTTGCTGCTTGCTTATCGCAATTTTCCCTTTAAATAGAGAATGAGATTATTAATAATCTGTTTAATTGAAAAGCATTAATTATACATACCAATGAGCGTACCAATTTGTTATATGATTATTTGATGCCAATTCCAGGAGTTTTGGGAGATTACCCCTTTTCATCCGAACATTACTAGCATACATGCAAGGTGGAGCAGATTTTAATTCTTCTTCTTTTTCAAAAATTTGCCTTAAAAAGTTAATATTATAAAGAGATACTGCTGGCCAAGTGTTATCAACAGCATCGGTCACAATAAGTGGTCTATCTTGCTTTAAGAAATTTTCAGCTACCAAAGCTGAACTAATATTGGACAATCTGGGAATTAGCTTGATATTTTCGCATAATTCGCAATCTTCATTCGTTAAGGTTCTAATTTCATGAAAAGGATTTGGAATAAGGCATTCATCCATGTAAAATGACGACCATCCGTTATACTGTACTGTCTGTAAAAGGGCATTTGAAGTTAATCAGCCAATTTAACGCTCGAATACTTACATAGATGAATATTGTCTTCGCTGCCCAATAATAGGATCGTTTGATGAATTCAATATGACTTAGGGCGTAAATAATAAAGAATAATATGAGCAGAATTGAACAATATCTTTTCCAAGCTCTCCAGCTCCATTTTCTTTGTAGTTTCAGCAACGATCCAGCCTGTTTCTGGATATCTTGATCGGTTAATCCTTTCTCCCGGCTTTTCTTTAATAGTTCTTCTATTTTATTGCTTATTTCACGACGCTTCTCATCCATCCGTCTTCACTCCTAGCCGTCGTCTGCTATTAGAGGTTTAACTTCCAAACAGAACTTCAGATGGCGCAACCAGTCATCAATGAGTTAATTTCCTTAAATTAACCATAATTACGAACAATTGTCGTTTTGTTCTACCTCAATCGATAGAATAGTCATAAAGTTTGATGTTTAATGTCATATTGATTATTTATATTTTCATAGCTGATACTCCTCTGTAAACATAATAATTTTCATAATAAAAAAAAAACAATCCACTTCGTCTGGTGCACGTAGGAAAGGAATTGAAGTAGAACATTTCGTATTCCACCTGGAGTCATCTCTTATCATATATTAACAGCCAAACACCAATTATTCATAAATTTCTCTCTGCTCTATTCTATTTTTCGCTGTTCAAATGTTTATTAGTCTGTAATTTTGAAATAGGAAGTCGACTCTCTTCCTTTAAAGCAAAAACTAGAACAATATCTATCTTAGAGCGATTTATTTCACTATTTCAATGAAAATTCTTTCTTAAATTACCAGTAGGCCTACGTTTGTCAAGGGAATCTAACTAAAGGAAAGAATGGGAGTTCCTAAAGAAAAAACAAAAAATACTAAAGTAAATTCTTTTTTATCTCCCCCTACCTTCTGCTGCGCTGTTTCTATGGAAAAGGTGGAAGAGTGCTTAGTAATAGGATAAGGTTTGAACTACATTTAACCTCCAACTAAGTACTGTTGATTTATTTAAAATACGCTAGGCTGTTTTTCTTCAAATTGTATCCTTGTGCCCTAATTTCTACAAGCTAAATTAGAGGAATCGAATTCTAATTAAATCAGTAGACATCTCTATAAATAGTATAAAATTTGTCCTTATATTCTTTTCAATATTTAATTTTATTGTGTTGGCCTGTTTTCGCTTGACAAACAAGCTTTTTTTATTAAAATGTATATTATGGTAGTGGTAATAAAAACAAGGCGAAGAAAGAATATACTAATTCTTTAAGTATAACGGCAAAAAATAATGGATATAGTAATAAAATTACGTATAGCCTAATAGCATTTGTCATAGTAGTTGGAGTGTTTAAACTTACCCTAGGGGTCAAGAGGTTAACGGGTTTACTAAATTTATTTCTTACTTTTGTGCAATTGTTCTCATTTACAAAAGGAATATATAAATATCCGCTTATGTCGTATATGGGATATATCAGTAATTCGTTGTTAGGCTATAACTCCTACTTAAACATTGCTTGTCTGGTTTTAAGTTTCGGACAATGATGAATGAAGGATTTTGAGACGTGTTTATGTTTTTTTAGTACTATAATTATTTACATTCTTTAGAACTAGTAATTTCGCACTGTAGGTGGTGGTTATTACTTATCACTTAGGTTTACATTTTCCAGCTGTTTTAATGTCATACAGAACTTTATACGAAATAAGGCGTATTCCTAGAACCATTATATTAATTTAGTCTAAAGAGGACGAGAGAAAATTATTCGTAATAAGGCCTGCTTCAGCTCTTTACATTTTTATAAGAGAAGGTCATCCAAAAGATAAATTACCTAAGATGATTAATAATCGCAGGTGTGTGAATATTTCAACAGTAAATCAACTGCAATGGGCGCCACGAGTGGGATAAAAATATCGTCTAGGGAGACACTAAGGGACGAATAATTAATTATCTTAATTAAAATAAGAAAAATTCTATAGTTATATTTATATTCAGCGTTTAACTGCCTGAATAAAATCCTCCTTTACTCTCCAATGCTGTAATGTTCTAGACGTCTAAAGAAAGAAAACGTCAATAATTCAGTCCTTCACCCTAGTGACGCTCTCATGGCGGCCAAATATAGTATAAAAAAGTAATTGCTCTTTTTTTAATTTATGCCTAGTTGTAACCGACCAGATCTAATAAAGATTTTTTTAGCTGGATAAAAACGAATAATGTTTTATCATTATCATTATCCAATAAATAACAACTCAATTGATGAACAAATCATATACAGTATAAGCTAAGTTTTCAAAGAGTTTATTATAAAGGAAATATACTGAGTATATAACATAAGTATACTGTTAAGGTTTATATACATACATATATATATATATATATATATATATATATATATATATGTATATATACAGATGTTTAATATTTAAGTAAATTTTAAGCATGTTATATATAAATTATAAAACAGGCGTACTAACTCCGCGATTATCAAACCAATACGTAATTAACTAAGCACACGTTTTTTTCAAGCATAAGCGAATTACGTACGTTGCAAGAATAAGTACAAGCATGGCACAACACACGTTTTCGACATCGAAAAGAATGGGGAACCAAGGTTTTGGCTTTAGTTAACAACATTCAGCGTCTTCTTAACGTTATAGTGATGCTCTACTAATACAACTTTCCTTCTATCATACAAGTGACTTTTCTTACATAATATCATGTAACATTTTTTTCGTTTACATTTTATATTCATAAATAGATAAAAATAAATAGAGAATAAATATATACGTATACATGTGTGGGCTATACACACGGATATACATATGTATTTAGAAAAGCGTTGAGGATAAAATATAGGATATAGGAGACGAAGTATATCGATTGTGTACAGCTGTAAACTTTAGTAAATTATCTATGAGTAAGCTTTTGAAGATGTTCTTTTTCTTATTTTTAAATAATGGTTGCTATTGAGTTTTTACAGCTGGTTTTTGCCATATAACAATGAACGTAAAAATAGAAACTTAAAAGGAGTATTAACTATAATCTCATAACTTCTACGAACACTTAAATATAAAAAAGGACAGTAAAACAAAAATACAAAGAGAACGTGGAAAGAAGCAGAAAAATATAATTTGATTATTAAAAGTGTAGGAATGTGAGTTCGCTATTGATTCTTTGGAAAGAAACCCTGTAGAAAAAAAAAGATATATACCAATTATATATTTATTTGAAAATAGATATTTTTTGACTGGTATAAAAAGCTGCAGCAATGGAATGCCATTAATCAGGCATCTGTCGCTTAAAAACATATGTTTAAAACGAGGTTAGCTACTGCATCACGTGCATTTTCTATAAATAAACAAATCGTAGCAATATTCAACTCAGATGTTGAAGAAACTATAGAAAAACATATAAAGAAATACGAACTTAATCATTTCCAGAACTCTTTCCTTTTCTAACAGTATCATAAAATTCTTATCTCGTGAGGAGCGACAAAATAGTCACCATTAAAAGTATATGAGCTGCAATTGATGCGCTTCCGCTGTTAACGTTTCCTGAAAATTTTAAAAAGTTTATAAAGAACAATCGAATTGAGAATCATCGGACAATACAAATATAAAGAAGGTAATCATAATAGAAAAGGTTTTCTCAAATTATTTCTCAAAAAGTTAATAACCAAAATCAATAAGAAAAGTACTATTGAGCCATTTACAATTCACATAAAAAAGCGGCTTCGGCATTTTGTAAATCATTTTATGGAAATTGACAAGAATTATATTGACAAAAAAAATAAGAAAATATAATCATGCAAAATTATGCTCATCACTGTAGTTATAAGCTTTGTATCCATCACGTTTTTTTGCCGTTGCAAGAATCGTATTAATTACGACATCGCAAGAGCCAGATACCTTAAAAACAATCGGCTAGAGACACTCATTTTATAAAGTATACTTTCTGTGCTGCAATAATGTTTACTTGACATATTCCTGTATATATATATATACTGTATATATATATACAGTATATGTATATTATATTAATATCAACGTAATAGAAAATATTACATTTCAAACTCTGTAAGATATAACTCGAAACTACTATTGAATATAACTTTATATTTGAAAGGGTGTTTGATAAGAGCTCATACATCTTGTTGTTCTAATTGATTTCACGGCAATTATCAACGTATTAAATATTACTCGCCTTGTTTTTCCTCTTTATCTATCTTTATCTAAAAAAAAACAGTATTTGACAGGTTTTTTTCCTATTATTAACTATATATCATTTCTATTCATAGTTTGTAACATATTTTATCGACTTGGATAATAAATCAGACACTTGAATTTATCTTATATTGAGTAAAAAATGTTTCTCTCTTTTATGTTATGATCACCTATTATTAGATACAGAATTAATATTCTCTAAATGCAATTATTTAGAATAATTGGTAGTAGTCTGCTTACTTGATGCATATTTTGTATAATTTGTAAATTACTACGAATATCCCAATCGATATTCCCTCGTAAAAATCACTTATTTTATTATTCGTTTTTTTTATGTGCATAACATGTTTTTTTTTGCTGCAGGGAATTAATCATATGTATATTGTATATCACAAAACTGCTCCTTCTCTATTTGATCCTTTGGGTAATTAAGCTTTAACCATAAATGAAAATAAATAAGCTATTTTTACTCTGCCACAAAAATATCTAAAACAACAAATTTACAAGTGTAAGAAATAATATTTAATTATGTTAACTAGTGCACGGCATATGATATTTTTATTAAATTAAGTCTATATTTCATCAAATATTAAATAAACTCGAGAAAGATTTATAAACGATATAAAAAAAGTAATATATTTCTTTTCGATTTTTGTCTTTCCTGATATATAAATTAGTCTCTGATTCTATATATTTTAAACTTTAATTGAAAAATTTTAGTCATTAAAGTAAAATTATTTGTAGATCACACGCTAAGATCAATCTGTCATTGTAATTTAGAAGAATGAAATAGTAAAATAAATAGGACATTGTGTAGAAAGGGAATCGCTTTAAATCTACAGTTGGTATTTTTCTGGTACCTCCTTTATCAGAAAATTTATTCGAATTACACCATTGAAATGTATAAATATAGGTCAGGTCAGGATATATATATATATAATAATAATAATAGGACTATATCTTCTGACCATAGATATATAAATACGCTAGAGAAAAAAGTGAAATATTTTCTCTCAGTATTTTATTTAGAACATCTGGCGAGACATCGCAATCATTCAAGTTTAATATATTAATAAATATTACAACAAATCATCTAGTTGTGCACTTGACAAAAATTTACTTTATACATCTAAAAGCATTGAAATGTTACGTTGTCTTTGTGAAACAGAAAATCAGATTGTTATCTATAATATTATTAGACTTTTATCCTAGATTTTACAGTTTAATTGACTAGATTTCTTCCTGTCTTAGCAAGTTGTTATATTAAGTTTGTCTCCTTGTCTCAGAGGAGGAAGAAAAAGCTAATTAATAAAGCCGTAAGACCGCAAAACATACGACTATGAAGCGTCAGATCGTTTGCCTTACCACTATGGTTGTAGTTGCCCTTATCGGTCGATTTTTCTGTTGTATCTTCTGCAAAAATTTGTATTGGCACTAAAATGTAAGCCCGGTTGCTATCGACTCATTCACTCGATGATATATTGGTGAAAATGACCTCGTCATTACTCCACACAATGATTTTAATGTTAATTTTACTTAATTTTTCGCAAAGTAGAAGCATCACAATAAAGTAAAATAAATTACTGATGCATGCATTCAAAATGGTTAGTAAAGTAGGTAAAGTAATATTTGAAATGAAAAACAGAAGCCTAGTAGAAAAAAAAATACCTATACCGACATAAATGTATGATATAAAAAGTATAAACATGAGAGACTTACCTGCCCATGAAATAGAAATTTCTTTTTCATTCGAACCATGCTCATTTTCTGCCTTCAATTTTAAATCCAAGCTTTCCAAAAAGCTTACATCAAATTCATTTGTAGATAAGACCAGTTCAAGCTTGTATTCATCATCGATCTTAGATGATTCAACGGTTATTGTGGTATTGTCTACAATCACCGTTTTATTTAAGGGATGCAATTCGAATTCTTCATTAACAGACCATTTCCAATCTTCCGTAAGAGGATTCATGTAAATACTACAAGAAATATTAAACGGTCCAGATGAGGATTTCTTGATGTGAGTATAATCTTGACATTCAAATTCCGGCTTGCTAACAATTTTCAACGTGCGATGAATGATATCAGATTCGCTTTCAAACTTCTTGGCTGCTGCCTTCAGTCTAATACTTCCCTGGTTATCCGTCAACTTAAAATCACTAAATTTTGCCGTGTATGTGTAATAACAAATGGTATGTTGATAAATCACATCTATTTTACTCTTATCGCATTCGACATCAGGACCATCCCATTTCACAGGGCTCTCTTTTTCATGTTCTCCACCATCAAATGTTATGATTGGTTTTTCTTCTGTTTTCAAAGATACTTTGTATTGAAGCCTTTTAGTTTTATCCGATTTTAATACAATAATTGGGTCTTCACTCTCCTTCTCCAGTTCTTTTTCCACAGTTTCGTTTATGTTTTGAGTAATTTCTTTTAATTCAGTCGATTCTATCGGTAAGTATGGTATTACTAGTTTAGTCTTTATATAGGTGTTTGGAGATATTCCGCCCGTTGACGGTCTACAAGCAAATTCACCCATATCATTGGGTCCTATGTCAGTCATTGTAAAACGAAGATATCTTCCATAACCTTTCTCTGCGTATGATTTGTAATTCACAGGATAAAAGTATCTGTTCTTCGTAAATTCTGTTGGTGGAGATTCGGCGGAGTTGAGATGACCTCCGAGAAACTTATACTCAGAATCTCCGTTATCCTTTTCGAATTTTTTGAATAAACTAATTTTCATTTGCTTTTTTGGCTCATCAACGCTGCATACCAGCGTAATATTGCCACCCTTCTTCAACTGTTGCAATTCTTCTTTACTCTTACTGGCGTACAACCCCACACTAGGATAAACTGGAAAAGTTCCAAAAAAAAAAAAAAATCAATATGGAAGATGGCGCGCAATATTTTGTTACTTACATTTGCCAACTGGACTGTTGACTGTATAATCGATTCTCCCTATTAGATGTAATTTGAAATCCTCATCTTCACGCGTGTCTGATGACTGAACAGATATAACAAATAAGCATATCCATAGTAAAGTGATAAGAGCCCTCATTATCGTTTAGTTGTAGCGTCACTTTCAAATTCTAACCGTTATTTAACAATTCCTTGACTCTTTATTGAAGAGAATTGAGCTTCAAATTTTCATTCACCAATAGTTATATCCAAAGTATTATGAAAACGTAAATGCACTGAAATCGGCAAGAATATGAATTACCCAACGTTTATTCTTCTATTTGCTATTATGTTAAATATATTTGTAAAAGCGCCATCTGCAAACTATCGATTCCCGCCGGGGTACTACTAAAAATGGGAACGCATGCACGTTCTTTGAAAAGAATCTTCCCCCAGCAGTTCGCGGAAATTACAAAACGAATCCTCTGAATTAAAGAAATTTTTGCTAAATTCGCTAATATTTTTAAAATAAGAGTATCAATTTTTGTATAAGCATATCTAATAGATGTTTTTTTTTTAAATGGCATTTCCCTTCTCGGAAAATTTGACTCATATTTTATAATAATCAGAATTAAAATAGAGCCCACTACCAATTTAACACAATCTTCGCCTTTTTTCTACATCTATGCTGTAACAGTTAATTAAGAAAACAGGATTTTCCAGAAAATAAAGAAATTTTTTAGAAATTTCCTTGCTTTTCAAATCTTACGAAATCGCTAAGAATTTATCATTAAAGTAAAAATTTAAAGACAACTATCTAAAACGTAATACTTCTAGATAAATTATAAATAAAGAATATCTGTTTTAGCCTTCGAATAAGCTCAATGCATACCGTGGGATAAATTCGTTGAAGGAGATGAACTCACTCTTTCCCAGACTTAGACTGATCATTCTCTTTGGATTAAGGTGACATAGAGGTCGCTCTATTAGGCATGGCCTGTAAATTATCCGCTTTTCTGCAAAATTTATACACAACTTGCGGTAAGAATTTATACATATTAAAATATTATTATAAATTGTTGTATTTTTTTAAGAAAAAATTATATTGCTATTTGTACACTATTAAATTTTCTTAATTGTTCAATCTTTTGAGCGATAATAAAACTATTTTTCTCATTAGGGAGAAGCTCTACCGCTCTTTCTTGCACAGTAAGTCTAATCAATTAAAAATATATTGCTTATATTAAATTGATCGTCCAACGCTACTAGATCACACGCCAGCCCTTTCGTCATTTGTCATATACCGCTGTAAACTATGCTGCACCACCGAAAGCGCCGGGTGGCAAAAAATCGTATCAGCGTGATAAACCTCACTTGAACGTGGGAACAATTGGACATGTTGATCATGGAAAAACAACTTTAACAGCAGCTATTACCAAAGTTCTCTCAGAGGACAAGAAAGCTAGCTTTTTAAAATATGAGGACATTGATAAAGCTCCCGAGGAGAAAGCTCGAGGAATTACTATTAATGCTGCAATAGTCGAATATGAAACAGAGAATAGACACTACGGACACGTAGATTGTCCTGGTCATGCTGACTATATTAAAAATATGATAACCGGTAATTTTTTAATACTACCTGAAAGATATTACTTAAACGAGATAAATATCATTTCTTGTTCATAATTGTGACAGGTACGGCTCAGATGGATGGTGCTATTCTGGTCGTTGCCGCTACTGATGGTACTATGCCTCAGACAAGAGAACATTTAATCTTAGCGAAGCAAATTGGAATCACCAACATTGTTGTCTTTATTAATAAAGCAGATGTTGCGGATGATGAAGAAATGTTAGAATTAGTAGAAATGGAAATCCGAGAATTATTGACAGAATTTGGTTTTGATGGAGACAATACCCCAATTATTCCCGGGTCTGCTTTATGCGCTCTTGAAGGAAATCGACCAGAAATTGGCAGTGAAGCTATCAAAAAACTATTAAATGCCGTTGACACTTATATTCCCCAACCCAGTCGATCGCTCGATGAACCATTTGTTCTACCTGTAGAACAAGTTTTTTCAATCTCTGGTAGAGGAACAGTAGTTACGGGTAAACTTGAGCAAGGCATAATTAGAAAAGGAGATGAAGCTGTAATTATGGGCCATGGAAAAACAATAAAAACAACAGTAACTGGTATTGAAATGTTTCGTAAGCTATTGGACAAAGCTGAAGCAGGGGATCAAGTTGGAGCCCTGCTTCGTGGTCTTAAAAGAGACGACATCAGGCGTGGTCAAGTACTTGCGAAACCAGGCGCAGTTGAAATGTATAACCATTTCAGCGCTCAAGTTTATTTACTTGGAAAAGATGAAGGAGGTCGAGGAAAGCCTTTCCTCAACCATTATCAGGCTCAGCTATTCTGTAAAACCTGGGATGCACCAGCTATTTTTATGCTGCCAGAAGAAAAAGACATTCTTATGCCTGGAGAGGATGCGCTTGTTAACTTTATCATGAGAAAAAGTATGGTTTTGAATAAAGGTGAGTTTTATAATGTTTTATTAAAATTTCATAGAAATTCAAAGAAGCATATTTAATAATTGAACCTTAAAAAAAGGTATGCGATTTACCATGAGAGATGGTCAGCACACTCTTGGATATGGCGTAGTTGCCGGTTTAAATGAGGATTACAACATTGAAGGTTACGACCTAGAGAGGAAAAAAGAAAAGAAAGAGAAAAAGAAAGCCGAAGCAGCAGATATGTAATATAAACTCAAACTGGTTTAATGAAATGTTATTTGTACCTAGAGAGAAAAATAGACATTTTTAAATTACGTGTGCTTGTAACACAGATATCAAATCAATAGTTTAAAACTTTTATCTCGCTGACAAATCTCTTCCAAACATTAGATAATTCTCTGTTCTTCAAACGGCTTCTTATTAAAAGATTCAAATGAATAAAATCTAAGATAACAATTTTTATCTAGCGGCAAATCCATCGGTAAACAGTTATTAGTTAGAATTATTGAATAAATTGGTATTTGTCTTAATTAGTATTGAATCAAGGTAATTAAAAGAATCACTCTTATTACTATTCTAGCCAATTATTACGCAATTATTAATATTGCTTGTAGTGTCAAATTGAAATGATAGTATTTCAAATTTCAAATTTACCTCCAAACAAAACTGGTAAAAAAAGGTGGAGTAAAACTCAATAGCAACATCCGGTGACTAATTGACCACCAAAATATTAGCATTAGTTGCCGTTAAGGGTTTGGAAATCCACTAGATAATCAGATAAAATATAAATTAATTAATAGGTTTATAAAACTTCAGTGTAAGGCGTACAAATAATGTCTGATGAGACTGAAATAGAAAACAAAATGTACGAGAGTATGGGCCCACCGACTCCTTTTCTTCCTTTTGGAGAGAATAATGAAGACGTTGGAGAGGATAATAAAGTCAATGTGACGGTAGAATATTGCCCTTTGTGTTTAGGAACGAAAAGAGCGTTATATTGCATGGAATGTATAAAAAAAGGCAATTTCACGCACTCTAAGAAAAAACCTTCGAATAAAAGAACAGAGACGTAATAAAATATGATATTTCTTTAACTGAAATTAGATTGAACATTCAGATTGAATCAAAATTTTTGTAGATATCAGGAAAAGGCGAAAAAATTACAAAAACAACTATATAATCGAGATAAACTAAAAAAACGGTATATTTTATAATTTTAAATATAAACATTTTTTTCTATAAATTAATATTCTTATTTTTCTTAGAATAGCAGAAAAATTAGCACAGAATGAAAGTAGAAAAAAAAAGGTTAATAACTCTATTTGTGTATAAAAACTATATATTTTAACATTTATTCATTAATTTTTTTTCATCATGAATATAATTAGCAATTGGCAATAATCGAAACTAAACGACATTTGAATGTTCTCCAAAATGGTTTAGAAATTGCTACTAATAAATGCGACGAACGTTAGTTTTTCAAAATATAATGTTAATGATAAAATAAGAATTTAAGAAAATATTTTCAGTTGAAAAAGCGATAAAAATCTATCGAGAGAAGGCTAATATTACTGATAGGATATTGGCCAAACACAAAGTGAAGTATAAGGAAATGGTAAACAATTTGAAAGCTCATAAAGAATCACATGACAAAACCTTGAAGTTAAAAGAGATATGGGAAAAGGTTGCTTTGGAAAGAAGAGAGCGTGTTCAGGAACTTGTCGAATATATTTTCCCTATTACTGAAGAGAAAGTGGCTGATATAAGCGATGAAGAAGACGAGGAAGATCCCATTACGGCAGAATTACGAGACGCTAGACATGCCACTCTTATTCATGGAAAGTGGATTCATGATAGTGCTTCTGAGAATATTTATCGAGTTGTAGATGCCCCAATGCCAGGCATTTGTCAATCAGATATAGCATCTCTTTTGGCTAATATTTCTGTAGAAAAGACACCAATTCTAAAGCCCAAAAATTCTCAATCATACGGAGTTGCCGCTGCATTTACTTATCTCGGGCAATTAATTGCCTCTCTATCAGCCATCTTGGACGTACCTCTTCCAGAAGGTTTTGCAAATCAAAGTCTCAGTATGGCCGTGGCGCTTTTATCGTCATCCGAACCATCTTCCAATCTCTTTATAATGGCTGCCATATGCGTAAATCGATGTGCACTTTTATTAGCTTCATCTCAACTTGTTCCGTCCGATTCCATTAGAGCTCGACATGCTGTTCATAATGTCATAGCTACTCTAAAAAGTCCAGATCTCGGAAGAATCGGTCATTTCGAAATTACAGAGAGACTTGTCTGCAGTGTCGACGGTCAATTAATATTTGACAACATTGATATGCCTAATTGGTTGATATCGGAGACAATTGACAGCGAGGAAGATGATGCAGATGAAAATTGGGAACAAGTTCCTATTTCTCTACCAGACGACGGTCAATTAGTATTAACAAGAAATCCATCCGAATCAGGAGCATTTGCAGTCATGTCTTCGGCTGTAGCATCGCTATTTACAAACGTTTCAACTCAAACTCAAACGAAATGAACAATAAAAACAAATAAAACTGTATTTCAATTACAACAATATTAAAATGAGCCTTATAATTTTTTTGGTTCTTTTTTTTTGATACGTTAAATTTGCAATCGCCTCTCCTATCTGTTTGTTTTTATAAATACTAATTAAATGTATAAAAAAAGTAAATAAAATGAAAGAATATATATATATAAGGTTTACAACACTTAATTTTTTTCTATTTAATAATTTCAATTCCTACAAGACGTAACGAATTTTTTTTATCACATTCAACATCTGCTTAAAAATTGGGATAAACCCTGAAAAGAAGCAGAGTACTATTCCATGAAAGTTTTTATGGAAATAATAGAATCAAGCGAGCGGGAAACTTTTTGCATGATTATTTTGTATGGTGGAAAGAAATGAAAAATTAATCTGTGTTTCGTATTTTTCCAGAGTGAGCCATGAAATAAAAAATAATCTGAGAAATGGAGAACGCTTTTATAACTTGAATGATTGAATCATACAGTTTTAAAATTTCCTAGAGGCGACAAAGGCAGAAAAGTGTTGGTATAAAGATGCCTACAGCCGCAAGAATAGGTAGCATCATTGAGCCTGTGTCCTCACTAGCGTATGGATCTTGAACCTTGGGTCCCGATGGATTTCTCCTCTTGGCTAATTTAGGTTCTTCAACCTCCTCCTCTTCCTCGTCTTCCTCTCTCGTTTGCTTTTCTCTCCCAGGAAGTGGTGGTAATACTGGAATATCTGTTAAACGGATATTAATACAAAGCTCTATTGAATTTTCATACAGTTGAGACTTACCTTCCATCAATCCTCGCATAATGATTATCGCGTTAATTTTGGGGTTATCTCTCTCCGACTATTGATTTTAAATATCTAAATGAAATTTATGAATTAGCAATTAATTTAAATTATCAAACCTTGGCGAATTCTACAGCAAGCGAGCCACCATAAGCTGAGGATTCATCTCTAACTTTCAGTTTATTTTTACTAATTTCAAATGGGATGTATTCATCGTGAGCAATGCCTCGTCCTACTTTGGCAAATATATCCAGACCTTCCACTACTGTATGATCGTTGTTCAGAATAACATCGAAGACCTGATAGTGCATAGTTTAAACTTTAAATATCATATTATTTTAGAGATAAAGAATGATAATCTACCTTCTGATTAGGAGCAGTAAACCATACTTCGGAAAATTTCAATATCAAGACATAGTGTCCGTCGGCGTTTATGGGAATCTCATATCGAAATGAGTCTGTATGATATCTCTCAGTTTGATATATGATCTGATCCTGTTGTGGTATCCTATGTATTACTAAGTTACGTCCATAGTCGGAGGCAGTTCCCAAATTGAGAGGATCGCGTTGGTATTTAATCCCATGGCTATCTACATGGGATTCACCACCACAATTTACTGCATAAATCACTTCTCCAAGGCAGTTATATGCTGGTATACATAATAAAAACATAAAACCAATTAACTTATTCTTCATTGCGATACTGATTATCTGTATTGCAAGGTATGCTGACAGGAATCGCTTAGCCTTCTAATAACCGGCATGTAATCGTAACAACCGGAAGCTTAGGATTTTCCCCAAGTTGATGACACGTCATCAAGCAATAATTTCAACAGTATTAAAGAGTATCTTTTTTTTCAAGTACAATCAATGTAATTTTTTTGTCCAAACGAAGATTTACGAAGAGTACGAAACAAACTACAATCACGACATACTACAATTTTTATTCTAGAGATTTTTTTTGTCTTATTGTTATTCTGTTAGATTTATATAACTAATCATATATCACAGAAATCATTCTCTGAATAAGCATTTATGATTTTAATAGACCACTTGTAACTTTTTTGTGTCTAAATTAGTTGCATTTTAAAATTTAATTTATAAAAAATCTCAACTATTATATTATTCCGGCTGGTGCTTTTTTTTCGTAATGGAATTTCATTTAAAAATGGTTGTTTTTACACTTGTTATGTTGAATTTTGAATTTAAAGCCTGTAATTTCACAGGATAACAGAAAATATGGAAGCATGTCCTCAGTTGATTGGAATTCTCAACAAAGGGTGTTGTTTCTTCAGACACAGCATGCTGAAACTTTAAAAGAGCTCCACAGCGAAATAACGAAATTACAAAAGAGGTGTTCAGGTAATATACAACAATAGCTACATGTTTCGTTTGTAAATCTCTAAAACTTTAACAGAATTAACATTCGAGTTGGCAATGAAATCAACAAGTACATCCCAAGAAGGTATAAAATATACACTTTCTTCATTAATCTGAAGATACTAATCAATCATTCAAACAGATTCTCTATCAGTAGAAGTATCACAACTCAAGAAAACTTTAGCCGATCGGAATACCTATATTAATCGTCTCGAGACAGAAATCAAACAAGATCGCCTCAACTGGAAGAATTTAGAGAATGAATTTCGTGATACAATTCGAAAATATAAATTAGAATTGGAAAATCGAGAAAAAACTGCCCAAGAATTGAGATTACTCCTTCAAAAAAAGTCTGATGAACTAGTTTCTATGACGATGAAAAAAGAACCACGAAGTCCAATAATGCCATCTCCCCCTGTAACAGGAAATCGAAGAAGATTAAGTATTGATTCTAGGAGCGAAAGGGAATGGATGAAAAGTAGTTATGTTCCTGACCCTAAACCTTTCCTGCAGCGAAAAGAGAAATTAGCAAACGTAAGATGCCTTCCAAAATCTGCTCAAACAGTTTTACCGCCTATAGCAAAAAGAAATGAAACAAAACCGTCCACAAGCCCATCCAATTCAGCCAGAAAATGACAAATTTTTTTTCTCAACAAAGTTTATTTTTAACAAAATATCATTCTTTACTTAAATTCAAGTAAAGTTAATAAACGTTAAATTTTTATAAAATTTTTCCAACTTCTTCGAAATACGAACCAAACAATTTTGTACCTTCAATATAGTTAAATCTGCCGATTTTTTCATTTTGCGAGTGAGCACCATCGTCCGATTGCCCAATCGGTAGAAGCATAACGTTCTTTCCAGTAACGTCTTGTAGAGTGAGAGTTACAGGTATGCTTCCTCCTTCACGAGTTAAATCTGGTTCAACACCATAAACCCTTTGCACGGCATGGCGACCTTGATATAAATATGATTGCAATATAGAAAGGTTTAATTTATATTGAATTTTACAAAGCCTACCTGCTTGGAAGTGCTTATGCCTAAAATCTGAAACCCATGGTTTCCCTGAACCGGTCATAGTAATTTTCAATTTATTAGGACTCTTTCTTTGAGCAAAAACATTTTCAATATGAGCTTTTACAAGCTTTTCAACTTCGTCAGGTTCCATATTGGGAACGATTCTAATGGAAAATTTGCCGGTAACTTTTCTCGGTATGACTGTCTTTGAACCAGGAGCATCAAAAGCACCTTCTATGCCATGCAAAGACAACGCGGGATAGCGCCATCTGTACATAAGAACTTCGGCCTTTTTACTTTGCACTAATCTGCCATGTTTAATATCTTCTCGGTAATCTTCCATGTCAAAATCAATGTTTTCATACAATTTTCGTTCTTCGTCGGTCAATGGTGCAACACTATCATATATTCCAGGGATAAGTATTTTCGCTTTAGTATCAACCAAAGTGTTCATGATAGCAGTCAAATCAGTCAATGCTTCGTGTACGGAGCCTCCGAAACTTCCAGAGTGTAAATCTTTTGAAGAACATTCGACCTGTTTAAAAAAAAATAATGGTGTCAACGTCTTGTAATCTTATCTTTACCTAAATAAGAAACATACTTCAACAAAGAAATAACAAATTCCACGGAGACCGTAGGTAAGGCATGGTTTCTTCTTACCAAGCCAATAATTGTCAGAAATGCATACATAGTCAACGTCCTGAATAAATTTTGACTCAGCACGAGCATATAAAAGTCTATCGAGACCCTCCGAATTGGACTCTTCCATTCCTTCATAAACGAAACGAAGATTGACTGGCAGCTCTCGACCAATAGCCTGATAAGCTTCAATGCAATGCAAGCAGCATAAGACAGGTCCTTTATCATCAGTCGAACCTCTTCCGTATAATTTACCATTTACTTCGGTCAATTCGAACGGTTCGGTATCCCATCCATCACTCTTTTTCGCCGGTTGAACATCTAAATGTCCGTAAATAAGAATTGTTTTTTTCTTGGGGTCGTCACCGTATTTCCCCAAAATAACTGGTGGTAGTGGAATTGTTTCCCCTTCAAGTTTTTGCATACCAATATCAGCTATCTCAACTTCAATTCCGAGAGACCTCATTTTCTCAGCGGTATGGTTAACCATACGAACGACTTCGTCTCTCTTCTCCGCATGAGCACTAACGCTCTGAATAGCAACCGCTTCACGTAAATTCTCGACGAACTTGTCGGCATTCTTATCAATATACCTTGAAAATAAAAATAAAATTGTTTCAATTATTGTTTACTGTAACAGTGTCTGTTCGCTTTTTGAGATAATGACTCAAAATTATTTTTTACAGTTGATACAAATTCACTGTAATTAGTCTTTAATAGTAATATTATTCTATTATCTTGTAGAGGTAAAACTTACGAGAATAGTTTAGGGATGAAGTCAGTCATGTTGTATTCAGTTGTCAAGTTGAGACTTCAACAGGTTAAAGATTTTGACACTTGTTCAACGAGTGCTGAACTAGAAAGAATATGTAACTTAGATAATTTGTATAAAACCAGATTTTTTCGCATATTAGACTGGTTCCGTTTACCTTATAAAAACCGGAAGTTGTGGCAGAAGAAACTGAAGTCATCCAAGAGATGGGGAGGATTGCAAAAAAGCTGATTTTCTCCTATCCTTCTCCGTCCGTTGGCACAAAATATGGACGGTCGGAGGAGAAAAATCGAAAATGAATGGAGGTACAGTGAAAAAGGAAAATGATAATTTGCTAGACGAGGGTTTAATTGATTTTTGTGACGAAAAAGCTGCGTTAGCGGCCTCTGACTTCGCTCGAAACATCTCGCAGTACTTTTCTCAGCACCCTCTGCAATCTTCGATCTGCACAGCAAGCCAATGTGTCGAAACATTTGTTCAGCAATTTTCCAATCATTTCTACGCTGAAGTTGATCGACACGGCTTACACAACAGGAAAGATTTCATAGCTGGTAGCCCACCTCTACGTCCGCTTCCACCCCACCGATCTGTTTCGGAAAATTTTGAGCCTATTCCGTTGAATGAGGACTCTGATTCCAGTATTCTCGTACCAGTTCTACAGAGATCAAATTCAACTGAAGCTCTACAGGATTATGAGACGAGTGACACTTCTCCGATTTTGTCACATACGGCTCCCCACTCGCCGAAGCCTCACAAATCTTTCTTGCGTCATTTCTCTTTAAGAGGTCTTCGAACTCATGTCCGCCCTCTGCGTCAGCTATTTAAACTCAATACAGTAGCGCATGAATCCTGTTCAGCTGACGATAGCGAAGATGCTTATGCCGTTCCTGCCGGAAATGGACTACACAAAGAGGGGGTTGTCCATCAATTAATTGGCGAGGATAAAAATGGCAAATCAAAGTGGGTTAAATGTCGGATGCTCCTTGTTCGAACCCATGGTGGCTATATGCTCGAATTTTATACACCACCGAAATCATCAAGGCCTAAGAGTGGTATATTCTGTCTACTTATTACGGAAGCTAGAGAAACTACCGCCCTCGAGCTACCTGACAGAGAAAACACATTCGTTCTAAAGGTTATTTTACATTTTCTTTCTCAATTTTTCCAGACTAGTATTAAAATAAAAAGTAGTACGGGTGATTTATGTTATTATTATATATTTATATAATTATAATTCCCTCAAATAATCAACTTGGAAAATTTATCACTAGGCGGCTAATAACTTGGAATACGTGCTGGAGGCGAGTGACAGCAACGATATGAAAGCCTGGTTAGATTCAATTAGGAAATGCGTTCGCAGTTTAAATCCACCGTAAGTGTTGCCCATCTAAGTTCTTTCTTTTAAAAGTTATACTGTAAAAGAACGTTTTAGGCGAGTCAATTCACCACCTGAAGCTAGTCAACACAACAGTTTATTTGCATCATCTAATTCATCGTCTGAAGCTGCCATTTCCAGGCGTCGTTCGTCTTGTGGAAGCGATTGCGCGATGCCTCCAGCCCTACCACCGAGGCCTTGTTCTGCTTCACCTTCTGCTCAAGAGCAAGGCGCTGAATCCTTTTCACCTCCTCGCCATAATTTCTTAACGGCATCCGAACAAGGAACTGTCTGTATGCTGAGACTTTATCCATGGTTCCATGGAACGTTAACTAGGTCAAGAGCGGCTTATCTGGTTCTAACCAACGCCACAAGAGGTCATGGGCAGTTCTTAGTGAGGCAAAGTGAAACGAGAAGAGGAGAATATGTATTAACGTTTAATTTTGAAGGTCGAGCTAAGCATTTAAGAATGACTGTAAATGGAGAGGGAGAATGTCGCGTTCAGCATCTCTGGTTCCAGAGTATATTTGATATGCTGGAGTTTTTTAGATCTCACCCAATACCATTAGAAAGCGGTGGAAATTCTGATGTAAAATTAAATGAGTTTATAATATCAGCCAGTGCTATTGTGCGTCCTCAATCGTCTTTTAATGCATCACCATCAAGATTAACTAATTTAGATGCTCATCGTCCGCCTGCTAGAGAACAACTAATACCAACTCTAACTCATGGAGGATCGGTTAGAGTTCGTACAGCATCCATGGAGAATTTAATGTTTGTACCTCGTGCTGTCGACAACCCCTATTCGTTCGTATAGGCGGGTTTTATTTTTCAGTCAACAAAAAATTCTTCTTACGCTTGTGCCAAACTGCAATCTCATTTATTCGTGAGAACGAAAATATAATATAGATAAAAAATATACATTTTGTTCAAACAATATATATATATATATATATATATTGTTGGAATAAATAGACATGCGCATTTATTTTTTATCTGTATAACCTACAAATTTATTTATTTATAATCTACTGTACATTTTATATGTACCGCAAAATTCACTGATGAAATAATATTGACCTGATGATAGGATATATTGAAAGTTTTCTTTAATATATATGTATATATATATATAAATATACTCATCTGCACGAATGTTTATCAATCAATAATAGCATGTTTATAAAATGTATATGCATTTTGTTTTACATTTTCGCGAATGATTTATAGTGTTTTTTTTATGTTTTACTGATTATCTATGTATTATCTATATTTCTAACTTAAAAATCAACAATGTTTCTTATATATACTCACACACACACATACATACATACACACGCATATATAATAGCACATTCATACCTTCACGAAAAACAAAAAGAACAGTAATGGATTATCATAAGCAAAAACTTGTATTTAAATACTCGCTAAAGTTGCGTTTTTTCTCTCTTTTTTTTTGAATTGTACCTCCTTTTTTTAAAGTGAATTTTCCTTAGTTAAATTATGTATATTTCAAATATTTGTAATTTCTTTTTACAATTTGACCGATGCTCATTTTGCCCGCGAGTGACTTTTGTATATTTTTTTAGTGATAATGCTTTGTTGTAAGAGAAACGAGTAATTTTACTGCAGCTTTCGTCAACAGAATATATATATATGTATATGTATATATATAATTATATGTATATACTCAATATGGAAAGTATATACATGCAAAATTTGATTGTATGTATATATTTATGTCTGAATGAATATGATTGCGAATATTTATATTAAGAAATTAATTTTGAATTGTCATATTTGCTTGGTTGTTACTGTTTTTGTTGTAAAATGTCATTGACCATGAAATAAACTCGCTGTTTTAGCTATAATTAAACTCTTTATTCTTCCTTTTTTTGGAATTTATCAAGCTTTCCTGTTTATCAATTAGATTGAAACTTTTTTGGTATTAATTTATACGAAAAGAACCATATATTTGCTTATCGCTTATCTATTCTATAGTTCAATCACTAGCCTAACTCATTATAACAACGGGCGATAGTTTATTGTTGAGCTAACTATGTAATGAGGAAAGTACATTAGTTAAATACAATTAATAACCTCATCATTTTCCGGTATAGGTCGTCATGGGAAAGAAAGAAATTCGCTTTATCTGGAATGTCCATTATATTAGCCTTGGCTGCTTGTATAATTGGATTAACATTTGGATTGCGAATTGGACCTAAAAAAGATGGTGGATCTCCTGTTGATCCTACTGGGCCTCCCTCGGCTTATGGCGAGTATAAATCGGCAATTGTTGCCAGTGATACAAAAGCTTGCTCAACGGTCGGAAAGTAAGAATAAAGAAGAAAAGACAAGCTTATTAATTAAACAACTTTTACTATCTTGCCCTTAACCTTTAGAAATATCTTGTCAAAGGGAGGTTCGGCGACTGATTCGGCTATAGCAACAATGTTTTGTGTTGGAGTTGTACAACCACACAGTTCGGGTATTGGTGGAGGTCACTTTATAACAATATTTGATAGGTCTATTATCAACCTCTCTGTGTAACATATGACTATAGACATTGATTTAAACGAATTGTAGACGAAAGAACAGCCTGCCAGACTCTGCTCCTGTCCTTCAATCCATTCTTTCAAGAGAACGAGCTCCCGGTGATTCTGACAGGGACATGTTTGTTAACAAAACTGAATTGGCAAAAAAAGGTATTCCTTATAAGTATCTTTACAAGATTTAAAAACGTTGTGTGATCTTTCAATTAACATTAGGCGGGTTAGCTATTGCGGTTCCCGGAGAGGTAAAAGGGTTTTATACCGCCTGGGAGGAATTTGGTAAATTACCTTGGAAAGATTTGGTTCAGCCCACCATCGATATGTTGAATGAGGGCGTGGTCGTCGAGTCAAACTTAGCCAGGGTATTAAGGAATAATGAGTTGAGAATCCGTTTAAATCCAGGTTTAAGGTTTGCTAATATAATCTTTAAAAAGTATTTTCAACTTTATCATTATTAACTATGTACAGTGAATTATTTATCAAGCAAAACGATGAGATTATGAAATTCGGTGATAGATATAAAAATGATAAGTTAAAGACTACACTAGAAAAGATAAGTGTAAATCCGTATGATTTCTATAATGGAACTCTTGCGGCAGAAATAGTTGCAGATATACAGGATGCAGGTAAAGAGTAATAGAAATGATGATACGTCCAGTAGACATAACATACGTATTTCTTTATCCTCTTTTCTTTTCCAGCGGGTATTGTAAAGCTTTCAGATTTAAGTTCCTACACTTCGAAGAAGAAACAACCAATACACTTAAGACTGCCAGAGTCTCGTTTAAATATCCATGGTCCTAATCCACCTTCCAGCGGCGTTATATATCAATATATCCTAAATATTTTGGATGGGTATAAATTTAAAAAAGAGGATTTGGAAAGTGAAACTTCAAAAGCCAACGTTTATCATAAAATAGTGGAAGCTTTTAAATTTGCTTACGCAAAACGATCTAATCTTGGAGATGAAGACTTTGTCGACGTACAACAACTAATTCGTAACCTAACATCATCGGATTACGCAGCGTATATTAGATCTCGTATAACTGATGACAGAACTCATCCTATTTCTTATTATGAACCAGATTTTGACATTGTTAATGATTCTGGTACGGCTCATGTATCGATTATTTATAGAGACACTGCAGTAGGGTTGACTTCTACTATCAATTTATTGTAAGAGATAATAGATAAGTATGATGAAAGAAGAGAGGAAAGCATTGAATTTTTTTTTTATCCTTTAAAAGCTTCGGGTCTGACGTTGTTGGAGATAGAACCGGTATTATTTTTAACGATGAAATGGATGATTTCTCAACTCCAGGAACAACAAATAGTTTCGGAGTTCCAGCTTCGCCAAATAATTATATTGTCCCTGGTAAAATGCCAATGTCATCTATGTGCCCTGCCATAATTCTTAATGACGATAGAGAAGTTGTTTATGTAACTGGAGCTTCTGGCGGCACTCGTATAACAACCGCCGTTGCCTGGGTACGATTAGTTTCACTTTTTCTAAAACTGCTCTTGTACTAATAACATTCTTTTTCCCCTTATCATTTTATCTCCCTCTCTATAAGACTACTCTGCATTCATTATGGTTCGAGAAGCGTATTGATCATTCCCTAGACGCACCTAGACTACATCACCAACTCGTCCCAAACGAAGTTGTACTAGAGAGAGATGTTTCAAGCGAAATTCAAAGAAGTCTAGAAGAGAAAGGGCATATTGCTAGGTTGCTTCAAGGAAGACAGGGCGTTGTTCAAGGAGCTCATAAGATTTGTAAAGATATCGACAAAAATTGTATAACTGGTGCCTCTGACGGAAGAAAAGGCGGTGTTCCAGACGGCTTTTAAACGTGAATCATGCCTAAATACATGTACTGTATAAATAGTAAAAAGATATAAGATGTATAATAATTTCTATTCTATTATTATTGTTATTATTATTACTATGCTTTAAAGCCTAACTGAATAACCAAACAATTTATAATCCAATTCATATAAAGAACTAATTGTATCTATAAGAGGTTTACCAATTTGGTTGATTTCTTTATTGAGTTTCTCCGTCCTCCGTCGTCGGACAATGGCTATGGCTTTCGATTCGTCTTTCGGGAGTTTACCTAAGGCCATCGAGAGAAGAATTTCATCGACATTACGCCAATTCATTTTCTGCGTTCTCTTAGGTTTTAAAGTATTTCCTTCAACAATACCTTGATTTATAAAGTAGCGCCATCTGTTTTTGATGAATAAATCTAATGATTCGCAATCTTCGGGAACTAATCTCTTTCGTATTGGCTCTTCAAGATATAATGATTTCTCTATTGAAGAGTTAACTTTAGGAGCAAACATTTTTGGTCCAGTTAATCCTACATTATGTAATACATTATCCAAGTCTTCTTGATTTTCTATTTTCCCAATGACGTCATATTGTACGTTACAAGGATCGCAAATGAGAGATATCGGCCACCAAATTCCATTAGGACGCAGCGACGTCGTCACGTGGTTTATTACAAAACGAAGAAATTCCTCAAAAGTAATATCATTGCCGCATACAGTTTCGTTTTTATACTTTGGTCTTTTAGTAGCTATCGATATACCGTACGATTTAAAGAACCATGGATTAGGATTGACTAATTTCGAATTATAAGCAGACCAAAGTCTAGATAGAGGTTCCCTTCCGAAAAGTATTTTCTTATGAGTGTAAAATTTTTGATCTCTTTCTTGCTGCTGAAATCTAAATAGATGAACTGGTCTAGGAAAAATGTCATTCTCAATTGCGGTCTTATTAGGTTCATGAGCCTTATTCCATAATTTATTAAAAGTGTAACTAGCTATTCTAGGAACTGAGCAATGAATAATCTTAACTCGGTCGTAGACATTCATCTTTCTATTATAAAGCTGAGATTTTGGTCGCCGTTTGGCGCAATGACTCCTCAACTGTTTTGGTTTAAGAACGCCCTTCCCGTAATGATAATTGGTGACTTCAACTTTTGAAAAATTTAAAAGCGATGGCAACGAGTGAACCCTCTGAATTATAGGTTTGAATTTGTGGGTAATTGGTTTTTCAACTGTTTCGATAGCTGGTCGATCCTTTAAATTATATGATTTTAGTAAATGATCATGCAACATTTTCTTACTCCCGATATCAGCAACTGATTCGCGATTATCAAATTCTCCAATATCGAATTCCAAAGCTTCTTCATAATCATATTCACTTCTGGAAAGCTATAATTTTCAGTTAAGAATAGAAAACCATCAGAATAAAATATTGGCTTTTTTCATCTCAAATATCAAGAAATTCTTTTAAAAGTGAGAGATAAGCTAATCTATTGAAAATTCATTTCAGTTTTTATCACTTACCATAAAGTCTCCTAACCAATCTAAAGGAATACCGCATAGGACGAAATTTATAGAAAATAACGACACAAGAAGAATAATAATACCCCTCAAACCCCTTCCCTTGCGAAGCCAAAATCTTCTTAATTTTAAATTTAACATTACTTTCGGGCAGTTAGCGAGAGAGAAACGGTAATAACGTATACATTACTCAAAATTAGGCTTAATTTTTATCATTATATATGACATTCGCTCATTTTTTATCCCAACCTTAAGATGTATTTATTGACCAGTGGCGACGTCTAACTGTAATACGGAATGGGAATAGGCTTAGTTCACTAAGTACGAAGATCATTGAAACATTAGCTTCAAACAAACAATCTAAAAACGATTTATTATTCTGATGTATAAAAATGAAATCAACGCATTAACTTAGTTACACAGCTGTATTGTTTATATTTAAATAAACAAATTTATATACTTATACATAGAGTACTATGCACATATATGTATAATTACAGCAATATCAACATAAAATACAGGTTATGTAATAACCTAGTTGTATATTAATTTCCGTTATTGGTCTCGTAATCAACAAAGTAGAACATACTGTGCGGAAAATATTCCAGGTGCTCTTTATAAAACTTTTACCCGATGTGTTGTATATCATTTATTTATAACTTAGACAGCCACCCCCAATCCCTACCTACCTACATCCTCACCTCTCTCTCTCTCTCTCTCTCTACTCTTATTCCTTAATAGAAAAGAAAAGAAGAAAAACAAAGTGTTGTTTGTATTAGAAGATACGAATTGATTTGAATAAAAACACATAAAGCTACAAATTTAAAAAGAATCGTTTCTTCATCGTCTCTTTTCACTTTTTAGTTTATTTGTTTGTTTTTTTTATTCGCTCCTCCATTTTATCCTTTCAAGACAGATAAATCTCCGAATTATTATTTCAAATTCATGAATATACACACACACACACGCACGCAAGTAAAGAATAAAAAAAAAAATACAACCAAGAGACGCTCGAAACGTTGTAGACGGGGCGACTAGATATTAAAAAAAAAAAATGAAAGATGACGAGTATAAATATAAAAAAAGAACAATTAAAATGATCTTTCCGTTAGGCATATTGTAAAATCGACAGCACCATTTAGCATCTTCTCATTCAATTTGATTAACTTCCGCTACAACGTTGATTGTACTGGAGGCAACAGGTGCTTCATATCCAGCACCTATCATTGGATCATACTTTATTCCATGGCTTTGCAGGAGCATTGTAAGTTTATCGATGTAATTGTCCTGCATTTCGCTGTATTTGCGGTATTTGCTTAGTTCCTCTTCCACTACGCATTTAGCTGCCCTTTCGCGAGCAACACGGCGTTCGGCGTTGATTTTTACAGACATTATTACACCGTTCAGTATTCTTGATACTCGCCACAATCTTAGTACAATGATTAAACCTATTCCAGCCTGTACACCTTCACTATTAGCAAAGATTATATCTAATGTAAAGCATATAACTACGACGAAAGCATCGAACAGTTCCATCTTCATTTTGAATAAGTCTAATCTTAGGGCATATAACTTGAAAAGGACTTCGATAACGAATAAACTGAGAATCGATAGAGATATGTAATGGAATATTTTTGGCAGTGTATCATCCGCAGCATTTTTATCTTGTGTCTGAACTTCTAGGAATCTGAGATCGAGTAATAATTCAGCAATAACTACCAAACAATCGAGTATAACGAGACTTATAACAACTATTTGGAACTGGGTGCTCAAAACGATTCGTGTTGTCTTATGACGGCAACTTCTCGGTGCTCTCTCATATTCTGAACTGGTAGAAAAACTAGAAGAGTCATCCTTCTCTATCACTCTCTCGCAATCATCCGTCAGTTTACGGAAACCCTCCATCCGCATCTGATTAGTTAAATTACAATTCAATTAGACGCATATCGTATATTGTAAAATACTAAATACCTGAACCATTATATTTCTCTCGAAATGAAACTTGTCCGTTCGCACAGAGTTTTGCAATCGATCTCTCCTCTTCCAACCTTAAAATCCTTTTGCGCATGCGCGAGTAATCGATTCCGAAACTTATCGCGACTAAGGATCGATTTTTCCCTACACAAACGCCATCTAGCGATCGCCCACGTTCCACTATAAGATATACTATTACCTATAGAAAAAAATATCACGTCTTATTTAATTCTATCTATCCACAAGGCCAATCACCTATGCGCTAATTTTAATTATAGTAGTAGATAAAGATTAACTTAAAGAGAAAACTTTCCCTTTCTTTGCCCCACAAATAAATTAAAGAGACGAATTTCTACAAAAAACAACAATTTAGAAAGTTTACATAACAATCGAACTTTCTATTTTTGTATTGTTTAAAATATTTTCGAAAGTTAGAACAAAAGAAAATAGATTGCGATAAAACAGAAAAGAAAGAAACATTCTGTAGTATTTGCTCTTTCTTTCTTTCTCTCTCTCTCTCTCTCTCTCTCATTCCTTTCTTTTCTATATATTTATTTAGTTTATCTGTAATAGAGGCGATATATTAAACTTTATACCTTAAATATATTTATATAGACAGAAAAAAGCTTGTTGAAAATTAAAATTTAACTTTATTTTTAAAGGTTGAAATTGTATTTAGCACAACTTTTTGCATGATAAATTGATAGCATTCTGTCATAATACAATTTGCGCTTACTCTCTCTAACCAGAGCTATCTAAATCTCTCCTTCCCCCTCTCTCTCTCTCTGTCTTTTCTTATCTTTCTCCATCTGTGTCTACTTCGCTATCTGACTCAAAAATTATATCAAATATCAGAATAAGATTCTCTATTCTGTCTATAGGATGAATTGAAATGGTACTAATGAACTAAAATGATATTTACTATATCTTTACCAATTGTGTTAAATTGCTATTTAGATGAAAGTATAACATAAAGAGTAATATATATATATACATTATTCAGAGGAATGTACAGTATGCCGTGTAAATTTATATGAAATGAGATAGATGTATTTTTTCATTATATAAGAAAAAGTTTGTCATAAACAACTTCAAAAATATAACATTTATCCGATAGGTGAACATTAACTATAAAAACATCATTTTCTCTTATGCAGTATTAACACGAAATATAACAATTATTGAACCTTTTAAAAGCTGCTACATAGGAAACAATATTATTTCTTAAATTATTAATACTATATGTACATTCATATATTCTATTGAAATCTCTCTCTTTCACTCTCCTCTTTCAAAATTATTTATCAAAATTTAAATGCAACAATTTGTTACTTTTAACATGTTTTTTTTATTAAAAAAAAAGTCAATTATAATTTTATTAGATTAAACAGTTTTTTCTTAATATGCTTTTTAATTATTGTAATTTTTTTCTTAAAAAAAAAAACTCAATTTATTACGCAGAAAAAAATAGAGTGAGAGATCAAGAGAGAGAGAGAAAGAAACAAACCATGAAGAAGTATGCTGAGATTATCTTTGATGATTATTCTTTTTATTACTTATTTTAGTGTGGAAAATGCAAATTACATATAAAAATATATTAGAAAATTGTATATTGACTATTAAAAAGAAGTACTGGAAATTGTTAGCTTGGAAAGAGAGAAAGAAGAAAGAATGTTAATGATATATTCTTAATCTTTTCGTCCTCTTAAATCGAGTGGTTGCAACAATCGTTAGTAATTTGAATGATACGATGATAATATCCCTCTAATTCTGTGACAATTTTACCCTCTTACTTCGTTTCACCATCTCTACAGTATTAACATTGCTTAATATTCATTTTAAATTGCTGTTTTATGCCTTATTTTCTATTAATGCATACAATAATTATATAAATTTTGCCTATAAAATTGATTAATTTTTCCTCTACTCTTCATGAAAAGAATCTATAATTTTAGGCACAAATTTTAAGAGAGAAATAGTCAACCTCTTCATAGAAGACTCATTCTGTTTATCTTGCTCTCAGTTGAACCAGGCCTACGAATATCAATATTATCAAGATTTTGTTTTCATTAACAAATATATATATAGAGAGAGAATTTAGTATATTTTATTATATAGAGAAAGAGATAAGAAGATAGATAGAAGACGGGAATGTGAGATGTAGTAAAATATACGTAATAGTAATGAATATATATACAGTATTAAACAACTTGTAATGGAATAAGAACACTTTAATACTCTTGTATAGTAGTGATATTGCAATTTTATCTTTTATCTATAAAACTTGAATAGCTCTTATTTTCAATTGAATAAATATCCGAGAGATTTAAATTGATTAGTCTTGCAATTCTAATGATATTCTTGTTCCGTTTTTTCCTTCCGTTTCCTTTTCCTGAATATTTTTATTAATTTACTCCTTTCCTAGAAAAATCTAGTAGCTTTTTAACGAGCTAACTTGTATTTTTTTCTTCAAAAATCCTATTTTCTTTAAAAGAGGAAAAGTATATTGAAATAGGGATAAATGGGATTTATTCATCTATTATAAGCAATCTATGATATGTCAAGTCGTTGGTTATTGAATATTCTGTATAGAGTTTTCTAACCAATGCTTTAAGCAGTATTATCTATTAGAACGCATATATATATATATATACAATAATAGTAATAAAAAAACTAATTTTAGCATCACTAATTGATTTTAAAAGAGCAATATCAAATGAAGATTTATCTGTCAACAGGATAAGGTGTTTCCTATATATGCATATATAAAGGAAGTACAAGTTATTTTTTATTTATTTATCTCTTTTCATTTACCAAACAATTGTAACTAAAATTAACAATATGTTATTGTCTTTAAAACGCTACAGGTTGTTAAAATATACAGTGTTAGGCATAAATTAATCGGCTTTTGTCGGTTAATTAAAATATTTAGAGGATTTTTACAGAAAAAAATAAGTACCAGATAAAACACAGTGAGGGCGAGTACATTGGTAGTTATTTAATTTATTTAATACTCTTCTTATCTATTATATAAAAGTGTAAATCTTCTGATGTTATCCTATTCTTTTTATGGCCATAACATTTTCAAGTACGGAATAAAAGCATACGTTGAATTGAAAATTAGTATTATTTTGAATTTCCCGCGAAAAAAATTATTCTTATTATCTCCAGTTTCCGGAAGTTCTATGGTTTCCTAAATTCTGAAAAAGGAAATGGAGTGAAACAATCAAGTTTTTCTTTAAAATGCTCCGTTGAGCCGTAGAAAATGCATAGATTCATCGATTATTTTGTCGTAATAGGATACGATTATAATTCTGACGGTTTGTTACCTTGATCCTTATAATGCTCAATATCATATCTACTTCTAATAGACTATTTTCGCTTGTGTCATATATTTCGTTTCCAAGTCTTTTTTTATTTTAGATGCATTTTCACCCTCGTGATTAACTAAAAGTTAAATTAAAGAAAAATTTGACTTTCTATTCTTACATAAAGTGATATTAAGACGAATTAAGTCATTGATTTACGTTTAGACACTAATTAACAATTTATCATTATATCTATTCACTGGAAAAAATGATATCTTTCGGACTAAGCTTCTAGTAAAACTTATCTGGAAATAGTAATCTTTATATGTAGGTAAACTTTCAAAGAATAATCTTTTTCAATTTTAGAAGCTATGTATGTAAAAGAATTTCTTGTCTTGTTAAATCTTGACTTCCGTCAAAAAATCGAATATGCATGGAATTGATTGTGTGCTTATTTGTTTTAATGATATTCTTGCCAGATATCATTTATTAAATTAAATTGTCTTTAATTAATAAAGGCGGCAAGGGAAAGATACTTCAAAAATTCCCTAAAGAGGATTGGAAAGATTATGCATTGCCACAAGCTCTTGATCAATTTTGCCAGCCTGGAGGATGGTCGATCAGTTCAACAAGGCATCAGCCGTCATTTTGTCATGCTGTTTTGACAGATTCCGAGAGAAGTATGCTATATTTAATGAATAATAAGTGTTAAAAACGTATATCTATATACATTTGGGTTTTATATGCTTCCCTAGATATACACTACTGTGCGTCGTTAACTTTTTTCGAAGATTTGCCCGAAACACAACAGCGGCAAAATGATGATTCACTTCAGTCAACAGAGGAGAACAATAGTTGCAAACAGACGCTTTATGTTCCGAAATCTTTGATGATTGTTTCTTCACACAACTATATTAAAAATTTTAAAGATTGTCTTCGATTATTTTATATGGCTTTTACGGAACCAGATTTTTCCAATCGTTGGACATTGGAACTTATGGTAGCTAATTTAGTAGGAAAAATTATGGTCCCTAAACCCGGTGGTTTACTCGTTCAATATCAATTAACATCAGATGATAGACAATTTTTACCAGCACCTTACTCTGGTATAATGTGTACAACAACGGAGTGTTACTCGCTTTTTAGACAGTTAGGTTGGTAACTTGGATTCAAATTTATTGTTATACACCTTAAATTTATATATATATATATATATAAATTACTTCAGGAATATATAATGTGCTTACTCTATTCTCTGCCGTACTGACTGATGAAAAGATATTATTTCATTCTACAAGTTATAATCGATTAACTGAAGCTGGCCAAGCACTTATTTCTTTGTTATATCCGTTAAAGCATAGGTATTAATCAAAAAAAATTAAATAGCTGTTTTTATTATTACTATTATTTCTTTCCTTAAAAATAATTAAAAAAAAAAAGAATGTAAATAACAAACGAAATTTTTCTATTTCAGTTTCGTTTACGCGCCAATTCTACCGTTAATTATGATCGAAGTGCTTTCGAGTCCTACGCCGTTCGTTTGTGGTATTCACTCTGATTTCTTGCCTGATTACAGCGAATTGCCTAACGTTATTGTCGTACATCTCGACTATGGAACGCTATTTATACCAGAAAATATTCATGTGAATTCAATACCAAGTAGAATGCTCAATCGCGTTCGACAGTCTCTTCAATTAGTTTGTATTTTTAATTATGAATAATATATCATTTAAATGTAATTATTATTATTACGATTATTATAGATTTTAACTCCTGAATTATTCTCTGCTGATAATGCATTTATATTTAACGAAACACCGACCAAGCTATCAGAAAGGGATGCATGTTTACAAGTAAAGATAACAACTGCTTTCTTTTTCTTAGATTACCAAATTTTTCGTTTCATTTTCTTTAGGATAAGATGATAAGAGCTGTGTTCATTCGATTTTTTGCTGAACTATTTCTTGGTTATAGATCTTGTCTGTTAACATCACGCATATATCCGAAAACGTTTATTCATTTTGATAAGGTACTTTTGTTCAAATGATAAAAAAGATGAAGTGCACACAATACGTTGAACAACCCTTTCATTCTCTTTTTGTTGTTTTTTCTTTCTTTGTTATAGGCCAAATTTTTAGGACAAAGTGATATGATGGATGAAAAATTTACATTACAAATTTTGGAGTGCATGTCGTTCAGCATTTTTATTGAGGAGAGGGGTTTGCCTTTCAGGGAGTTGGATATCTTTGATGAGGTTTATGCAAATATTGCAAGGCAATTAATAAAAGAAGCATCAAATCTTGAAGTCATGATGCAACATATCACTGATTTAGCTGCTTTAATACCTTTTAAGGTTTTATAATATTTATTCAACTAACGCAAATAAATTAAATAATAAACTAAATATTAATTAATAGGAAATAGAACACGAAAAATTTAAAAACCCGCCAAAAATGCCAAAATTAAAAGAGGAAGCGCTTGATAGAATTCATCAACCACATTTTCCTGAATTAGATGAAAATAAAATATATGAAGTAATAAATAATCAAGAACTACCACCGAAAAGGTATGTCAAGTAGGCTCTTATCTTAATGTAAATAATTGAATAACTATTTAAAAGAATGAGGAAAATATATTATTTACTGTACATACAGTGTATATAACTGTATATTGTATAAATATATACAGTATATATATATATATTATTTTCTGAAGTTATATACACGTTCCATATCTTTATGCTATATGGAAAATTAGTCGACTGATTGTGTGTAAACTAGAAGTAGAAGAATTTATATATTTTCTCCTCTTTAATTATTATTTTCTCTTTTAGCTTTCTTTTCTCAGTACATAATAAGATATATTTGTTGACAAACAGGAATTCGGAAATGGAACAGAAACCTCGATTAAGAGTTGTTCCGATGGGATATAGCTATACGGATTTAAAAAAGAGTTTAGGTTACGTTTCTCATGTTGAAAAAGGCTTGGAAGTTTTAAGATCCTGTATTACTTTCGCCTTTGAAAATAAAGTATCTGATGCTCTAAAAGTATTAAATGCTGTTAAAGCCATGCTGAAAGATCACGAAGCCCGAGTTTGCCTAGTTAATGTATTATCTTCCTATGTAACTGCTACAACAATTGAACTTCAAGCTCAACAATTTCGTATTGTTGTCGAATTGTTAGAGTCAGCTTTAAGTAACGATTCTATAACTGACGAATTCGGTATTGCCCATAGCATTCTACCCATATCAAATAATATATGTAAGGTGAGCGTCTGCTAATTTATAATTTTGATTTGTATATGTTATTTATCTGTTTCTTTAAAATACATTTTTTTTCCCAACACATTTTAGACGTTAAGTGATGGTGCAAAAGTTTTCGCTTATTATTATCTTCAAAAATATGCTGTTTGGTCAAATATAAAATTTTGGATAAATTCATATTTTAGAGATGTTGACAAAGATATTTATAGAGTTTATGCCTCCGACTCGGATAGCGATATGAGTGTGGATACGATAAAGACGAAAAAATATTTATACAACGACTCCTACGGTCCTTCTAATGATATTCATTGTTTGAGCGTTACAGCCGAAGAGTTACGAAACATGGCTAATGGATCGAATATTTCTGATGAGGAAATGAATACAAATATTAAAAAGGAGAACCAAGCTAATTTTTCTCAAATTACTTTATATATGAATTTTATATGTAATATGAGAATAGATGCCCGAAGCACTGATACATGTAAAGTACGGAAAGGAGGAAGAGAGGAAATCGAATCGAGTATTCTTACAGGAAGTTTTGCCGAAGAACACGACGACTATGATACTGATACAAATACAAATGAGAACGATAAATTAGTAGACGTTCATTATATAGAAAGGTTTCTTGAGAAGTTTATCGATCATATTGTACACAATTGTATGTTGGAACAATCGAAAGCTAAAGAGATGAAAGAACTAATAGAAGATACTGTTAAAGAAAGGGTTAGCGCTATTCAAGCGACGCCGCATATTTTCGACGACATAGAAAAGCCGGTAAAAGTCAACGAGCCCTACATCCTACCCGGAGAAGTTATGTATAGAACTAGTCTAAGAGCTTATCTATTACCAGATGGTAGACTAGAAGGGTCTGATGTTTTAGTAAATAGACAACGTTCAAAGGCTACTCATTCACCCGTAGCGTCAGACTTTAATCAAGAAGAAAGTGGATTTGTATATCTTCCAGCAGACGGTGCGGTATTCCTAACGAACTACCGTGTAATATTTACTGGCTTCCCATTAAATCCCTACGCCAGAGAAATGGCTGTATATCGTTCTTTTCCTATTAGTTCTCTCGTGAAAGAAAAACGTTTAACTAATGTTCTAGTTAACGATAATATTACAATGGCGGAAGGATGGCAATTAAGATCATTTACCTTCGAAGTAAATATCTTTAAATATCATACATATAACTATAAATAGTTTTATATAATTTATATATTAGATATTTATTTTTAACGAATATTATTATTCCTGTAAAGCCATCTATACTATTTTTTATATTTTAGCTGATACGTTTAGCCTTTCATAATGACGTTCTTACCGAGAAGATAAAATCAATGAGAGAACAATTATTGAGAACGAGATATCCTCAAAACGTTCATTGTACTTTTGCTTATAATGGTGCCGTACAATTACCAATAGTACCTTCAATGCATAAACATAAGGAAAAGAATAGTACATTAAAGTAAACTTTTTTTTTTTAATTCAGTTAAATGATTTTTATACGTTTCTATTTTACGTTTTCAGTTTAAAGTCAATGTGGAAGAAGACATTAGGTAATTTCTCATCTCACTCAAATAAGAAGACTATTACCTTATCGTCAACTTCTTCTCCAACGTTTACCGCAAGAGGTAGTGGTTTCGACACTGAAGAAAGCTCCACTTTTAACGCCGATGAAAAAATGTATGAGCAACTTATATGGAAGGATACCAGGAGCGTAGATAAGCTCTGTGAAAGATATCATGTGATTGATTGGGAAGAACAAAATTTATACAGCCTAAAAATTGATGATAAAGAAAAAAGTAATGAATTTAGAGCAACCTGGATTAATTCGGAATATAAATTATGTAAAAGCTATCCATCCGTTTTTCTTGTGCCATGCGCATACACTGACGATGGTCTACAAAAGTTATCTAAATGCTACAGACATAATCGGTAAGGGTTCAATATGGCTTTGCCAAATGATTATTTGATAAGAAATACATCAATTTTATGTTTCTTTTTTCAAGTGTACCAGTTGTTACATGGAGACATCAGTCGAATAAATCTGTATTGCTGCGCAGTAGTGCCTTCCACGGTCGAGGATTTCTGAGCATGTTTAAATATAATCATCCAACTGGTTTGTCAAATGGAAATTTATTTATTTATTCATTATATACTATTTGATATATTTAATGGTATACTTTCTCATAATTTAGGTTCATCGTCCGAATCAACGACCTTCGAACAAGAGCAGGAGCGTTTCCTATCAATTATCATTGATTTAACACCACCGATTGGTAATTCTAAACATTGTGATTCCATAAGTGGCTTGGATGCTTACATGCGTGATATAACCTCTTCTTATACAACTACTGCTGGTGATTTGTCTAGCAGCGGTTATCATGGTGCTACTAAAGCCCTGTTCGGCAAAGCCAGTAGAGTTAAATGTAAGCTTATTTTAATCTTTCGCTAAACTAACCAATTTTTCTATAATTGTTATATCGATTGAATTTGTAATTCTGCTTCCTTCTATTTTTTTTAACACTTTCGAAGTGATTTAGACCTTATAATTTTTCCATATTTATTTACATTTTTTTTTTTGTATTATTGTATTGTATTGAATCGTTTCTGTGTGCAGCCGTTCTCAAAGGTCTTCCTAGTAAGCAACGGTTTTCGAAAATACCGTCGCCGTTTGGATCATTGTCAAGTAAGAAATATTTAATTTAAAAACAAAGCAAAAAAAAAACCAAATCACAATAATTCTTTTTTTTTAAATACGTCACTAAGCTTGCTTTTTGACGCAGCATCTTTTATTTATTATTTAAAAAAAAAAGCGAACAAATAAGTTCATCAACAAAAACAAAAAAAACAGTAAAGAAAGAAAATAAAAGTTAAAGAGATGAGATTTTTTTCTTTTAAAAAACACTTTTTCTTCTTTATACTATCTATTTTTTTTCTTTTCTCTCTCTTTCTCTTTTATATTTTTTCTCTATCATATTCATTATATCTATTATGATTATTATATTCTTTTTATGTTATACTTTTTTTATTCATTTTTTTAAAGAGTTATTTCTTTTTTATGCTTTGTCTATAGGCTTAAACAATACCGGAAGTTTAAGTGACATTTTTTACTTCCATGACGGTAATTATCTGATTCTCCCTCAAACAATAGAAAACAAACAGTTAGTTAAAAAACATGATAGAATAAAGGCGTAGCCTAGTCAGTAACTTAATAAGAGAAACATATCAGTTAAAGAGAAACAGCAATTACAAATCTTTATTTTTTTAATCGCTCCTTTCAATCTTGCATATTTCATCTTTTCTCTATCAGTAGTTTGATTTTAAAAGATTTACTTATGACGATAGAAGAAATAAGGATAAACCAGTTAAATTAGGCATTGTTTTGATAGTTCCTAGTTAATAATGGCAAGTAACTCAATAATTTTTAATACGTTCTCGCCAATAGATCTCTTAGCAATTTGAATTGGTTTTTATCTAGGGTTATATAAATCAGTGGTGATATAATACCTTCGCAAGAAAAGGTTGCTGTTTGTTTAACTGTAAAATGAAAAGAATTTGTAGAGATTATTGCTTGATCAGTTTTAAGATAGAGATAGTGTTTTAATATCACCCAATTTGTTGACACACAGTATCGTCATAGACTGAGATTACGATATAATTGATTAAAAATAATTAATCGTATAAAAAATAATAATACTGGAACGATTCATAACACTGAAACAGGGTTATCCTTATTCCTTCTATTATACGTATGTATATATACTTTATATATATATATATATATATATATATATATATATACTTTCACTTCAGCCTTAATTTAAAAAGTAGTCTCTCAACAATTATATTAAACATTTTATATTATATTTATGCCTTATTTTCTCTTACCTTTATGCATTAAAAAAAGTTCAATATGAATGTTCTTAAGGCTTTTTAAAATTTATGATAGTTCGCTTTCATCTAGATTAATTTGACATAAAATTTGCTTTAAGCCAATGAATGCGTCTCTTTTGAAGAATTTTTAATATTTTCCACTTTTTAAACAAAAACAAAACAAAATTTATGAAAAAAAGAATATATTATTAACGAATTACGTTCTAATAATATAATAGAAACTAGAGATACTTTGAAAAGACGTACTAAGGCGGATGATGTTCGCCAAACGAGGAGCAACTCCTTTACAAACGACGATAAACCAATTTTTAGGACCAAAATGATGGACAAATGTAGTACCCTATCCTCAGGGGGTGAGACCTTTTGTTTTGTCCCATTGTATAAATGACTTTTTTTGTTTTAAATTTTCAATCAGTTTTATTATTTTTTTTTGAATAGGTCTTTTTTTTTCATGAATGCTTTTTTTTAACATCGTTCTTTTTATGTATATTCACACCTCTTTGTTTCTAATCGCTCATCAAGCAATATATAAATTTATATATAAAACCATATATACTATATACTTTTCCTTTTAAGATAATTTGCTAGTAAAGGATTATCAACTAAAATTTTATATTGTTTAATTGATCTACAGCAGTTGGAAGCAGACCGACAACGATGAGTGAAACTTCTGAGAATCGGAATGGTTCTACTCTCTCAGAAGATGGCAACGAAGACGTTAGATTATACGTTTTCTGTGATAGAAATCAAACGAAAGGATTAAAGATGGATTTATATAGCGAGAGATTAAGAAAATGTGCTTTCATTTCAGTGGATTATAATACTGTTAGAAACGTTAGATTTAGCATGAAGCAATTGATGAAGGCGTGCGCTCCTAGTTCATTACCCAAGACTATACACGATACTTATCAGAGTGATAAAAGATTTTTAACAAACATTGAAAACTCTCAGTGGTTGGCTCAAGTATCGAAAGTCCTAAAAGTAAGCGGAGCTATCGTGGATCTAATCGATCTACGAGGGGCGTCCGTTATGACTGCTCTAGAAGATGGTAGAGACGCTACAGCGCAGATATCAGCTTTAGCTCAATTATGCTTAGATAGTCGTTATAGAACAATAAATGGATTTAAATTACTTATAGAAAAAGAATGGCTAGGTTTTGGTCACGAATTTTCAAAGAGGATGAAACAATTCGACTATTGGAAGGATTCGGAATTAGTGCCATTCTTTTTGCAATGGTTAGATAGCGTTCATCAAGTTCTTCAACAATGTCCATGTGCATTTGAATTTAATGACTATTATCTAAAATTTCTAGCCTACCACGTTAGTTCAAATAGGTTCAGAACGTTTATGTTAAACAACGAATACGAGCGTTTAATTAATGGATTCTTTTGTAATTTCAACGATAAGAGTCTTTTTAAAGGAAATGGCAATAATAGTTCTACTTATTCTCCGACTCATGATTCTCCTGGTTCTTCTAGCGAAGAGACGATACCTTCTGTTTGGGACTATATTGATGCTCATCAAAATATGGGACCCTATTTTATGAATTTCAACTACGTAAAGGAGAGCGATCAAGCCGTATTACGACCATGCTCAGATATCAGCTCATTGGAAATATGGGATTATTATATAGATATTAATTTTCATCACGAATCGCTATTCGATTTAGAAATTGTCAAAAATCAATTGAAAATTACGGAAAATATCCATCAAACAAAACATAAAAGGGTCGTAAATGCTTCCTACGATAATTCAAACTTTACGCTTCCCGCCCAATTTACCTCTTCATTAAATGATGTTGAAAGATATGATAAATACCTTTTAGACGATGGATCTAAATTAAATAATTCACCAGGCGTTTGGCAACAGGAATGGAATAGTTTAAAAATAGATGATATTCAAAAGTTGAAGCTTACGCAGCAATTTAGACTGAACGAAGAAGAAGCTTTGACTATTCATAAACGAATGACTTTAAATGTAATTAAAGGCTCTAAAACAACAAAAGACGGAAGTTTTCATGAATTTGAAAGTTGCCCATCTGCAAGACATAATACTTGCGCATCTTGTAATGGAACACTTACCAATAATTCAACGTTTAAAAGTCAAAAACCTCTACAATGCATCCATTGCGGTATTTATTGTCACGAAAAATGCTCAAACAGTTTTGAGAATGTTTTCTGTCCAAAACATCCGAACAATTACGTTTCCGAAAAAGAATCATCAGATACAGATAAACAAAACGGATCAGATTCCCAGACATCCGACAGTTTAAGTACTCTAAAAGCCGAGAAAACTCTGACTGTTCCGTTTAGATCGTCTAATAAATCGAATGTTACTCACGAGGGTTATCTCTTTAAGAAGAATCATAATTCCATCTTAAGAGGATGGAAAGCTAGATGGTTTATACTCGATTCTAATAAACACGAGGTTAGTTTGTGTAACATTGATTTGATTTAGTTTTATGCCAATTGATCTATTTACAAAAATATACAGCTTAGATACTACGATAGTAAGGAAGATAATAAGGAAAAGGGGAAGATAGAACTTGTTGATGTAAATTACGTTGATATGTTGAAAGCTAAACTAAATTCTCAAACTATAGAAGACGATTATAAAACTTTTGAGGTTCATTTAAATATTTAACGAAATCACTGTAAAGAGTTATCTATTTTATTTTTTTTTGTTATTATAGATAAGAACTCATAAAAGAACATACTACTTGAGTGCTCTTGAACCTACTGCTGCTAAGGAATGGGTCGACCATATTAACAATTACATTCAAGGTTGAAACTTATCTAGTCCCCGCTCTCTATCTCTCAACAATAGAAACAAAACAAAACAAACAATTTGTTCTGCAGACAATTTGATTTAAGTTATTTAATAAAAGAAAACAAACAAACAAAATATGAAAAGATGGCAAACAAACAACTTAACAAAAAACGATGGCGATTAACGAACTTAACTTTTAATTAAAATTTGACTCTTTTTTTGTGTTCATTGTATACTAGTCATAATTTTTGTATGCATAATTATAACTATATAAATTGTAACATATTCTTTGCAATAATAGGTGAAAGGTTAAATAAAAGGCAATAATATGCATATATGTCAAAAAAAAATGCATATATATGAACCCGAAGTTTTTGCCTTTTGTCTCTTTTTTTTAATTTATATTTTAATGTTATTCTTCAATATTTTGCCCAGTATTAGTATTGTATTTTTTTTTAAAGGTTGTCTGTTCGTTCGTCAAGATTCAATAATATGCAAAACAAACAAAAAAAACTTATTTTCCTCCTCCCCCTCCCCCTTCACCCCAATTCTGTTCGCTTGTAAGAGAAAATGATTAACAAAATAGTCTCGTAATTATTTTAACGAGTCATTCGTAAATTTATACTTATGTATGGAATTACTACAAATACCATAGATAGTTTTATTCCGTACCTTTTTCTTTTGAGATGTGCTTTTTTTTCTCAAGTTTCTCAGAAATACATTAAAAAGTTTATTCTACGCCAGTAGGCTAGCTCCGTAGACTATTTTTAGTTCGACCAGAGCGCATTTGCAGTAGAGCTATGGCCGGAGTAACAGCAATGACCGTTCAATTAAATAGAATGGATAGAGTCTCTCCTTGGGGATTTAGATTACAAGGAGGGCGAGATTTTCGAATGGCTTTATCTGTAAAGAAGGTATATAAGCTTGTATCCTTTACGTTTTAATATACTAATTCCCTTTTTAAAGTCCTTTCCCAAAAAATCCCTACTTTATATTTGTAAGGGAGTAAGAATCATTACAGGTTGAACCTAGATCTCCCGCCGACGGCCAGTTACATAGCGGTGACGCTATATTAGCTATTGACGGATATGATGCTTCTCAAATGACTCACGCCCAAGCTCAGCAAATGATACGCAATTCCGGGAATACTTTGCAGCTTACAGTTAATAAGTATGCGAGAAATTTCATAGTTTTTTATTAGATAAAAATTGTATTAATAACAAATATCTATTTATTAATCAAAAGGGGACTCTTTCAAAGTCTGAAACCAACTGGTCCTATCAAATTCTCTCCTGCAGCCGCCTATGGATATAGTCACGGACACAGTACTTTCTAATCAAAACATTGTTTTGGCTAGGAAGGTATTTTGGTTCTCCTTGCGTGAAAGGAACTTGTGGTTCTTTTTTTATTGAAAAGCGAAAATTGTTAAAAATAGTTTAGACGAAATTTGCAGAAGCTTCTTTAAGTGTCGAAAAAAATCATTCTTGTAAATTAAGATGGATTTAAAAAAATAATAATAATAAGAATTAAACTATTTCCGGAAGAGCAATTAAAAATTTTTCTATTGGAAAAATTGTGTTTGATGATCATAGGTTTCACTCTTTCTATCTTCAACGTCTTGGTCACTATCATCCGTATCATCGCTATCTCTTGTCAACGGTGTTGAATTTGTTGAATTACGTTCAAGACTATTACTAGACTGATTTCTTTTTGAGAAACAATTGAAGCATACTCTTAAAGGCTTCTTCCTGTCTTGAGAAACAATTAACTCTTTATATTTAGAACAAGTCCCGCAAAATATCTTTCCACATTTTCTACAATGATGTCTTCTATTGAAAGTTGTAAAATTTACTTGGCATCCAAAACACTCCGTAGTTTTATTGTCGGGAACCCATACAGGACTTTCTTCCAGCGAATCATCGTCATGATGGTTTGGCTCTTTACTTAATAAATCTTTCACACACTGAGAAATATGGCTCATCCATTCACTTTTCTCAGTAGCCGTTGCTGCAAAGACTGTAAAAGATTTCTGTGCAGATTTTATTTGCCAAGCATTTTGCAGTTCGAAACTGTCTGCAATTGGGACTACTTTCACAGTCCTTAAGGGAATAATCTTTTTCTGGTTATACTAGAGGAAAAAAGAACATTTTATTAAAAAAAATATCCCACGATTATCAAGTTATATCGCCTTACTCTTTTCTTTTGTTGTATTATATTTGCATAAACAAGGATATCATTGAATAAGAAGAATTGTCTCGCTTTTGGTTTCTTCCGACACACCTTCGTCAATACGCCCTCTCCAATTAAAATTCTATTTTCCTTGTATAACTTCTATGTTAAGTCATTTAAGTCGATTAAGTTGATATTAGAGAGAGTGATCTGATCCAAAATTTATACTTACTTCTCCAGACTGGAAAGCCGCGTCAACGAGCTCAATTCGACTTTTATTAGCTTGAGCGTCAACTAATAGTGATTAAAAAATGTAATAAATCAGCTTTTAAACGGTTTTTATGGTTAAAATAAATTTCAATAGCTGAATTACTCATTGTAAAATGTTAGTACTAAAATGATTGATATGGTAAATTCAGCATCTAATTGTTAAACATATGATTTTAAGTATGATCAGCATCTTTTTCGACAATAGACAGTTGAATGAGCCTACCTCGAATATCCATGGGTTATCAGAATAAGGTTTTTTGATGTTTTAGGGTTGGAAATTTGAAATCAACGCAATAATTTTAGACCTGACGGAACTTCACGGTATATATATATATATATATATATATATATGTTTAATTATACAGTCACCAGTTTAGCAATTTTGTTAAAGTGGTTTCTATTCGAATTGGAAATTAGTAGTCAATTTTGGGAGTACCCTCGTAACCATATAGTATTTGCTGAACAATTTACCGCCTTTAAGAGCTAATTTTAGAAAATATGTTTGCAAGTATACAAAAAAAAACTGCTTCTATATTGATAAATGAAAGTCTAGGTTTAATTGTTACACATTAAATTTTGTATAGAACTTTTTAGAGGCGAGTCTTTATATTGTTCTACAAAGAACATTCTAAAAAGTTTCACTAAAAATAATCCCTCTTTCTTGTTTTTTGATAAATCTTGAATTTGAGCTAAAAGGGAAAATATTTGAATTTTTTATAATTCATCATTTCATTTTGAATATTTAAAAAACAAACTTTCAAATGACAAAAATAATACTATAAGGGAAAACGATGGCAAAGGTTGAAAACACTAATGAACAATCAGAAGAAATCTTTGACGAAATATTACCTCTCGATTCGTCATTAAGTTGGTTACGATATAGATTAAATAATGACTTTACGATAAAATTACGAAATTGGTTTGATAAACAATTTTTATTAATAATTCCCTTTCACATTGAAGTGACTAATTTCAGTTTGGTGATACCGAAACTTGCAAGTATTCCCGAGAATGAAGAACTAAACATCGTAGAGGCAAAAAAAAAGGAGACTGAGCTACTAAATCAGTTTGATAACAATCATATTGTAATTATTTCTATGTCTACAATAATTTACATCACTTGATAGAGAAATTTTTTTTAGCTTAATGAAAGAAATGAAAAACAACTGTGTTTCGTTCCAATTAGATGCAAAAAGAAATTAATGACAGCTAAACCGAAACTTAGAGTGGTAAATAAGCCTAAACATTTACTAAAATATTCATATATAAAAGCAAAAACATTACATGTTTTTGAAGTTTTGACTTGAAATTGTAGAGTGAAAACAATTTCAATTCAATTTTAAAAAATTCTTTTCATCCGTTAAATTCATAAAACAGGACCACTCTTAAAGTCTTCAAAAACAGATTATTTATCTTTCATTATGTTATGAAAGCTAGAAGCTTGAGCAGTTCACTTTAAATTTCGTCATATGAAAACTTCTTCTCATGTTATGAATACTTGAAAACACCTTTAAATATCTCTCAACAGAAGAGATTTTAGAGTCTTAATAGAATAGCTGTAATAATAAATGTAAAATTTATGTATATATACATATATATATTTAGTTATATAAAACTGCACATTCAAACTTTTAACCTCCTGGGAAATACCAAAAAAATGACGTCACCTAAAAAAAAGCGGCCACACTAATGGAATTCCCAAAGAACTCTTAAAGAAAACAAACATGGCGGATTTTGTCGATAGTCTCAATCAATTGTAGGATATCTACCGTTATGTTTTTATACCTGTAAACTCTCAGTCAAATTTTGCATCGATCATACAATGTCTGTCTATATGTAAGTCTGCGCAATATAAAATTCTGGTATTTTTACTAAAATTAACTTTTATGAAGAAGTTAGAAGAGTTTTGATATGAGAGATACTGAAAATTTATGGGATGGAGAGTCAAGAATGTATGGTATTGAAAATCCTGCATTTAATACGTCGTTACGCCTTGCTAAATCAGAAGTAAATTAATCTTTTTTCAAAGTACATTTATACACTTTTAAAAACTGTAATTAATTATTTCAGAGTACCAATAGCACTGCTAGTTTAGCCTCTTCATCAAGTGAGCAGGAACAATTAGTTTTCAAGTACGTACAGCGGAGTGAGGATTCTGTGAAAAAAGGAGATTGGCAAAATGCCGTTCGTCATTATTCTAGAGCAATATCTCTCGATCCGCGGAATCATATTTTATATAGTAACCGTTCAGCAGCATATCTACATTTAGGTAACGGGAAAGCTGCTTTAGAAGACGCTTTAACTGCTCGTAACCTTCAACCTTGTTGGGCTAAAGCCCATGCTAGAGAAGCAGCTGCTTTAGAAAAATTAGGAAGAACTTTAGATGCTGTTGCAGCTCATGCAGATGCCGTTTCCTTGGATCCATCTTCAAATAACCTTCTGGATTCTTTAATTTGCTATATTCAAAACTGCGAGTTGGTGAAAAAGTTTATTGATTTAGATTTTCGTCAATTAGACGAAATCGGATTATCTCAAAGCGCCAGTGTTGTATTGGCTTTGATTGGTCAACGATTGGTATCATGCAAACAATACCCATATGCTATAAGGATCCTAGAGGCTGCTTTACGTGTCAAGACTTCGTCTCTCAGGTTACGATCGTCAATATTTTCAACTTTGGCTAGAGCTCATTACAGTGTCGGAGAGTTGGAAAAGGCTATTGTTTGTATGCAGCAAGATTGCGCTGCATCCGCTGCATTGCATCATATTGATGGTCAATTTAGGGCCTATTCAAACTTAGGGGTGGCATTTTACAAAAAGGGACAATATTCAGACGCCATAGATGCTTACAAAAACGTTCTTTCGCTGGCAACTCGTGTGAAACAACATCGAATGGCTTTGCACGCTTTATCCAATTTGGGATATTTGTATACGGCCAAAATGGAATTTGCTGATGCGATAGCGGCTCATAGACAAGCCATATTAGTTGCTAGAACAATTAAAGATAGGCACCAAGAGGCGAAGGAAATGGGGAATGTCGGAACCGTTTTCCTTGTAATTGGTGATTGCAGGGCCGCTTTGGCTTGCCATTCGCATCACCTTTTGGCTGCAAGAAACTTAAAAGATAAATTTGAAGAAGCACGAGCATATTCTAATATGGGAGCCGCTCGTCACCGTCAAAAACGCTATGAAGATGCACTTTCACTTTATACTGATGCACTAAATATTGCTCAAGACCTAGAAAATATACCACTCCAATTAAAAGCGTATGACGGCCTGGGTTTGGCCGCCCGTTGTTCGGCACAATTAGCAGCAGCCCAAAAATATCACGAGAAACAACTGGATTTAGCCCTTAACAGCCGACAAAAATCAGCTGAGGCAAGAGCCTGTTCGAACTTAGGCATTCTGTTCTCTTTACTAAATGAGCATGAGGCTGCTCTTAAATTGCACTCATCTCATGCTAGAATAGCGCTAAAGTTGGGAGATAAAGGGTCTGAATGTCAAGCTATGTTCAACATGGCAAATTGCCTCTATAATCTAGGTCAACTTGAAAAGGCTACGAGTCTGTACGAAAAAGTTTTAACAACATCTCGCAAACTTCACGATAAACATATTGAAAGCAATTGCCATTGTCACATTGCCCAAAGCTACGAAAGTTTACGAATGTATCAACGAGCCGCCGAACACTTTGAACTGTCAATTAAACTGTGTTGTGAATTGAAAGATTGCGTTGGTGAAGCCAAATCGGCTAATCTTCTTGCCCGATTACATTCCTCAACCGGTCATCTAACTGCCTGCCCTCCACTCTATGAACGCTGTGTTGCCCTCTGGCAACAGGCCAATGAACCCATAGCTGAGGCGAATGCCTGGAAAACATTGGCCGAATGCCATACAGCAATGTGTGATTTTGAAAAGGCCTCGGAATATTTAGGTAAAGCTTTGTCTCTTGCTAGAGCTTCCAGTGACATATCAACAGTTTGTGGTGTGTATTGTTCATTATCGGCTTTAAAACGGAATGAAGGTAAACTGGATGAGAGTCTGGAATATGCTGAAAAAGCTTTCGAGATCGCAAAATCCAGTGTCAATCTTCGTTGTTTGTATATTGTTCAAAAGGCTTTGGGTGAGAGTTTCTCCGCTAGAGAGGACTATGATTCAGCAGTGAGAATTTTTCATCAGCTTGTTAACACAACTAAATCTGTTGGTGATAAAAAATTAGAGTGCGAAGCTTTGTCTCTTTTGGGTGCTAACTATAAAAACATGATACAAATTGATAAATCATTGAATATTCATAAGGAAGAATTGAGATTAGCTCAGGAATTGAATGATTTAAAATTTATATGTACAGCCAATTCCAGATTAGGAGATGTCCTTTTAACATTAGATGAATTTCCTAAAGCTTTGACTTATTTTGAAGAGCAGGCTGAAAAAGCAAGAATTATAGGCGATTTCCATTCGGAAGCTACAGCCTACGGAAATATGGCCATCTGCAGAATGAATATGGGTCAAATAACCGAAACAATTAACCTTTTGGAAGATCAGATAAATACCTTAGACAAATTACCGTGTGCTCATATGATACCGACCATTTTATTGGAGAATGCTCAGGCGTATTTGAAATTAGGCGATTGCTACGAGAATTTGGATGATTTCGACGAAGCCATTAAATCTTATGAAAAAAATCTAGCTTTGGCTATAAATGCAAAGTCTGCTCTTCACCAAAGTAATGCCTATAGAAAGCTTGGAAACGCTCATAGAGCAGTTGGAAACTTACACCAAGCTTTAGTGTGCTTTGAGAAACGTTTGGTGTTAGCTCACGAGTATGACGATGTGCGAACAAAAGGGACGGCTTGTGGTGAATTGGGCTGCCTTCATTCACTTCTCGGTAATTTAGATCAAGCAGTTTCATATTTGGAACAACAGCTAAGAATCGCTAAAAGTGAAAACGATTTAAATTTAGAAGCTGATGCAGCTTGCGGTTTAGGTGGTGTTTTCCAGCAAATGGGAGTTTACGAAAAGGCGTTGGAGTATCATGAACTTGACTTATCTCTGGCTAAAATTATCGAGAATTCGGCTGCTCAATGCCGCGCATTTGGTAATCTAGGATTAGCCAACGAATCTCTTGGTCAGCTAGAAAAGGCTTTTGAGCATCAGCAAAAGCATTTGAACTGTGCTAGTGCAATGAATGATGGTGTTGCTCAAACTCTCGCCTTATCCAGTCTTGGTAGAATTCAATACGCTTTAGGAAAACACGATTCTGCTATTGATTATTTAAGAAAAGGTTTAGATATTGCTCAGGAATTGGGAAGGACAGCTGATCAGGCCAAAATTCATCATCGTCTCGGCCTTGCTCTGTTCGCCAGAGGTACTCTTACCGATGCCCTACACCACTTAAGTACTGCTACCGAATTACTAGACGATATCAGAAGAGATTCCCAATTAGCAAATGAATATCGATTATCATTGTTCGATTTACAAACAGCGGCACTTCATGCTCAATTACGAGTTCTGGTTGCTCTAAATAGAATTGACGATGCTCTCGTATTGGCTGAGCAAGCTAGGACCAGAGCTCTTATTGAATTAATGTTAGAGAGGCAAGGAAATATTTCGGACATGGTTCCAATTATCGATGTAGATATAGTTAGAAATGCCGTTGTCGAACACGGAAGGCATATTGTTTATATGGCATTAGCTGCGGGATTCTTACACGTGTGGCTGCTTTCACCAAAGAACGGCAGCGTATTGAATTTTTTTCAAATTGACTTAAATGAATTAGAAAGTACCGACAATGACGAAAGTCAAAGTATGAGGAGTGCAGGAGCCGCCTCTCTTTTGGATCAATATATTAGCCAAGCAAGGAATTCGCTTGGGGTCGATTCTCATATACCGCTATTTTCCTCAGCAAGATCATCTATGAGATTAGGAGGAAGAGATATCGGTAGCGATGATGATGACGATGACGATAAGCCATCAGACTTTCTCCGATTATTGCGACGCAGTCATATATCTAACAAGAGCGTATACAGTCGTATATCAACAAGCTCCAAAAGATCATTTACCAGTCTTTTGTCCATCAATTCCAATAATTCTTGCCCCTTCGTTTCTCTCTATAATTTATTCTTTTCAAAACTTGACGATTCTCTGAAAAAGGCCGAAGAAGAATGTCATTTAACACTCGTTTTACAGGCCGATTTATACTTAGTTCCATGGCCCCTGTTGAGACCTGGTCCAGAATCTCCATATTTATTTGAAAGATTTTCTCTTTTGATCGCACCGTCATTACGGGCTCTTACAAGAAATACTGGTTTAGCTCCATCTTGCGGCGGTTTAGTGATAGGTCCACCTTCACCCGTACCACCTCCGTGGTATATGATGACAAGAGAAGCTGATGATGAAGCTAGAATGGTATCAGATATAATGGGATGGAGATGTATGTCTGCGGGCAATGCGACAAAACAGGCAGTAATAAAAGCTATAACTGGAGCCGAAGTTTTACATTTTGTTGTCCATGTCTCTTGGCGTTTATCGGCCATTATTTTGGCTGTTGACTCTCGCATGCAGCTAAACGAGGATTCCATTTTACCATCTTCAATTTTAACAGCCAGCGATTTATTAGATATTAAATTGAGGGCTAAATTAGTAGTTCTATCAACAGCTTACTCGCAAGATAGAGGTTCCACAATAAGTGCCGATGGACTCTTGGCTGTTACTAGAGCGTTTTTGGCGGCAGGAGCTAGTACAGTTTTGGTGTCTCTATGGCCGGTACCTGGTATTGCTAGTAGGGGAATGATGAAAGCACTATACGGTGAATTAATTCAAGGAATTCCAATAACTCAGGCTCTTTCTCAATCGCAAAAAATACTAAAACATTCCCCTGGTACAAGTCACGCTTCGAATTGGGCGGGATGGATTATTGTTGGCGTAGACAACCCCACACTATCGTCACATACGGCTTTACTTGCCGATGCACTTGCATGTATGCTTAAATCTGCTGTTTCAACTAACACTCCAAAAAGGGAGGCAATGAGAGTAGTTCTTCATTTGGTGGAAAAATCTTTACAAAGAATGAATCATGGTGAAAAACGCGCAATGTATACGCCAGTAAGTACACTTCAACAAAGAATTGGTCAAGAAGGAGGTGGATGGAAAGAACTTTTATCTTCTGTTGGATTCAGACTTGAAATGCAACAGCAAGCTGTTTATTTTTTTCCGTCAGTTGATCCCGGACAGCGATTGGCTAGATGTTCAGCTGCTCTTCAGGCCTTATTGGCTCTCCCGGCTCTCACTTTAGTCGCTTTGTCAAAGCTACTCGATAATCCAGTGGCCGCTCGGGAATTGCACCAGCTGCTTCGAAGTATTGATCGTCCCTCTTCGTCAACCCTCTCGTTAAAATTGCACGTCCATATATGGAGAGCAGAGGGATGTCATGAATTACTTGCTTCTTTAGGGTTTGATCTAATTGATGTGAAAGGAGAAGAAGTGTCTGTTAGAGCAAGTAGACAAGCCACCAGAAGGATGCTTCAATTAACAGTTCATGCATTAGCTGCTCTTTTTGACACTGCTCCAAGCCATCTATCATTAGACTCTTCAAGTAGCATAGATTCCCCTCCTTCATCTCCCTCCTCTCCTTTATCAGCTTTACGACGTCCAAAAGTATCGAATATACCCGATTCAACAGATAGTGAACAAGAAGAAATGCACTCAAAAGTTAATTCAGGCAGGCTGCCATCATTTGTTACCTCATCCCCGAATCATAAGCCAAATAGCGGTCCGTTTATGCCATTAAATACCAGCGGGACGTCCGGATTCCAGCCGATTAACGCACACATAAAAACAGATGAAGAAGACGAATCGAATCTCTTTTCCTATCCTAAATATTTAGACTTTCACTCGAAACTTCGACCATCAGTTGACAATTATACAGACACAAATTTCAACGTCGAAAGTGAACTGAAAAATAACGAATCTTACGATGGAGCAACTTTTTGCTGAAAAAAGAGATTACGCGCCAAATTTTTTTATTCAATTGTTTGTAAAAGAAACTCTTTGATATTTTGTAAAACAAAATGAGATTATACTTTTTTTATTTTGCTATACTCTGCATTTTTTTAAAACAAGACATATCCAATTATGGAATATTTTTGTGATACATTTTCCCATTCCAAAATATACATTTTGCAAAATGTTCCTTTTCTTGTAAATACGAAAATAAGTAGTAAAAAAAAATCAAATGGATCTCAACAAAGACGATCAACCGGGTGTTTCAAAAGAATCTAGCCCGAATTCCGAACCGAATAGCTCTTTAAATGGTAAATCGGAAACTAAGAAGATCGTTGCATCTAAAAAGACTGATAAATTACCCCCGCTACTCAAATCCAGATTAAAAAATACGGTGGAGGAGGTTGCTAACCTATTATCGCCCATTAACATTGTCGACGATAATCGAATAACAATCAGGAATTTATCACATCGTGTGAATCAAGATCATTTAAACGAAATTTTTGGAAAGTATGGGCCAATCGCAAATATTGACTTAAAGGAAGAATTTGCTGTGATAGAATACGAGACATTTGAAAATTCTCAAGAAGCAATAAAAAAGATGGATCAGGGATTTATCGACAGTAAACAGATTCTAGTTGAACCGTATTCCAGCGAAAAACAAGAAGAAATTGTTTTAAATCTATAGAACGTTGCGATACTCATAATTCGACTTTAAACTAGTGAACATGTATTAAAAGTTTCTTGGCATAGTTAAAAATGTACAATTGTCAAAAAGACTAGTTTAATAGCAAGTTGTTGTGTTTTAAAATAATATTAATCTAAAAATAGTGGATTTGCTAAAAAAATAAACTCTTGCAAGCTAGCTACTGTCCGATAAGAAAGGCTTCTTTTTTGACTGGGTAAAGCGCAGTTTCTGTTTTCACGAACCAACATTTTACGTTTCCTCGATAAGTCAAAAGGGCTTCAAAGGGTCTATTATTCATAACAACGACACCTACCCTTTGGCCACTTTGTACAGGTTCGTGAACATTTTGATAATTTCTTTTTACGTGTCCTAGAATTCCTCCTACGTGTTTGGTTAACCTTCGGTCAGGGATTCCGACATCTAAATGCTTTACTCCAAAGGCATGACTGCCTAGTTTAATTTCAACTTCTAAATCATCAGGATATTCGCCAGTTTGTATTGTTATTGCTTTTGTAGCTTGATCATATACCATTAGGATATCGCCAATTGTCAAGGCTCCTTCTTCTCCGTTAAATAACATAGACGTCTGTCTTACTCCATTAGTATCAACAACCACAGAGTTGCTAGGACTTTTCACGATCACTTTATGGAAGTAAAAGTCATCTAATAAAGTAGCCGAAACAGACCATCCTGCAGCAGTATCATTCAGTAAAATGTAACTGTCTCCAGATTGTCCAAATAGATCAAAGCAAAGGGGCTTCAATGCAGTTGTATCTGGCCAAACAATAATATGAGGATCATCTGTAATTTCTGATGATGTACACTTGCAGGGCATGCAGGTCATGTCATTAGTTGGATTATAATCGTTATACGATATTACATTTTCCGAGCCATCAAATTCAGATACAGCTTTAACGGAAACACATATCATCAAGTCTTTCCTTTTACAATCTTCTTGAGTCAGAGTCACCGTATAACGGGTTATAGAAACCCCTCTTGTTGTGCCGGCAAATAAGGTGGCTCCTTCCAGAGTTGCTTCATCAGCTTTTGGTTTACTGTTTGATTCAAGTGGGAAAACATATAATCGGTAGAAGAAGTTCTTCGAAGGAGGATTTTTTGGATATCCGATATCCTGATCACCAATATTCGCAATATCGGCAACAACCTCGACAATACTACCATCAGGTACAATTTCATAAGTTGTTTTTCCAGTCTCCTTTACTCTTAAATTGCTTATCATTACGTCCACTTTAGAAGTTTCGCATTCTATATCCATACACGCTAAATCATTAGCAGTATTTGGATCAATATAAGCAATAAAAGTTTCCGAATTTTTCAATACTCTAGCGGCTTTAGTGCAAACGCATATTTTATCACCACAATACGACTTGGAAAATTTAATTGTTCGCTTAAGGCTAGCAGTTCTAGTTTGACCAACGTTCAAGGTAATATCGGATTCACTAGATGATACTTTGGGCCAAGCATTTCCAATACTTCCATCCAATCCTAACAATCCAACATGAAAAGCGAAATTGTCGGAAAGAGGCGATTGCGGATACGGTATGTTATCTCTTCCAAGATTCTTCAAATTTACTATTAAATTCAAAGTAACGGAATCACCATTATTTGCATTGATGAAATATTTTGTTTCTTTAGAGTGCATTCTCAATGCAGATGTTTCAACATCAGCATAAACATCCTTAGAATCATCATATTTACATTCGATATCAATACAAGCCAAATCATTTTTCGTATTCGGATCAATATAAGAGACAAATGTCTCTGAATTTTGTAGTTGTCTCGCCGGTTTGGTACATAAACAAATTGTGTCTCCGCAAAACGACTTAGAGAATTTTACTTTTCGCAATAATGCAACTGTCCTCGTTTGATCCACGTCCAACTGCATATCAGAGTCTGGTGAATCAACTCTGGGCCATGAATTTCCAATAGTACCGTCAAAGCCCAAAATTCCAAGACGAAAGACAAAATTTTCAGTTAGAGGAGATGTAGGGAAATCAATATCGTCTGGACCCAAATTTCTTAAGTTTGCTCTTAAGTTAAAGTTAATAAATTGTCCATTTTCAGGATTAACAATTTCAAAGCGTTGATTTCCAGATTCCATTCTCAAATTCGAAGTTTCTACATCCGACTGAACGTCAATAATTGGATCAAGCTCACAGGAAATATCCATACATGCCAAATCATTCTCTGTGTTCGGATCAACGTACGCAGCTCGATTTTTACCATCAATAAACAGTTTGGTCGATTTAGTACAAAGGCAGATTTTATCACCGCAAAATGATTTCGAAAATTTTACTTTTCTAGTCATCGTCACAGTTCTTGATTCACCGCGATCCAAGCTTATATCAGTATCGGATGAAGAAACTTTTGGCCACGAGTTACCAACTGTTCCATCGAGTCCAAAAATTCCAACTCTAAATACAAAGTTGTCAGAGAATGGCGAAGTTGGAGAGTCAATGTCATCAGGTCCCAAATTTCTGAGTCTGGCTCTTAATTCGATAGTAATTGTATCTCCATTTTCGGCAGACATTCCATAAACAATTTCATTATTCATTGTTCTCAATTGCGATGTTTCAACATCAGCATTTGTCAAAGGATTTGGTTGTGGACAAACGATATTCATGCAAGCCAGATCGTTGGCAGTATTCGGATCGATATAAGCGATATGAGTTTTACTGTTTTTCAAGATTCGGGCAGCTTTGTTGCAGAAACAAATTTTATCGCCGCATAGGCTCTTTGAAAATTTGATCTTTCGCGACATTCTTATAACTCTGCGTTGTCCGTCATTCAATGATATATCTGTATCAGAAGAAGACACCTTTGGCCAACTATTACCAATTGAGCCATCGGCGCCAAGAATTCCGACTCTGAAAACAAAGTTATCATTCAATGGAGACTGTGGAGAGTTGATGTCGTCTGGTCCAAGATTATCAAGTTCAGATCTAAATTCAAGAGTGAGCGTTTCGCCGTTGTTGGCTGTAATCTCGTAGTCATTTCGATTGCTACCAGTTCGTAAGTAATTTACTCTAACATCAGCCATTGGGGTTGAGTCACTATCGCATTCGATTAACATACAAGCCAAATCGTTTCCTGTGTTTGGATCTACGTAGGCAACTTCATTCTTTCCATTAGAGAAGACTTTCTTAGGTTTGACGCACAAACAAATTCTATCTCCGCACATTGATTTAGAGAATTTTATTTTCCTTGTCATGTATACGGTTCGCGATTGGCCGTGATTGAGACTGATGTCGGTATCAGCAGAACTGGCCTTGGGCCAAGTGTTTCCAATTTGTCCGTCGAAACCCAAAATTCCAACAAGGAAAACAAAGTTTTCCGAAAAAGGACTTTGAGGAGAGTCAATATCACTGTCTCCAAGATTTCGTAATCTTGCCTTAAGGTTAAGAGTAACGCTATCACCGTTATCAGCATCAATTTTGTAGACATTGTCATCATTTTTAGTTCGAAGATTAGAAACTTCAACGTCGGAAACCCCAACAAGATTTTCACCATCACAAACAAGCTTCATACAGGCCAAGTTATTTGCAGTATTGGGATCTATATAAGCTACATAACTTTTTGAATTTTTAAACATTCTCGTTGCTTTTACGCAAAGACATATTTGATCGCCGCAAAGTGATTTAGAAAATTTAATTTTTCTAGTCATCTTGACTTCTCTCATTTGTTGATTATTAAGCGTTATGTCTTTCTCAGACGAAGACGCTTCAGGCCAAACATTGGCTGATGTTCCATCAAGACCAAGTAGACCAACACGAAAAGAAAAATTTTCAGTCAACGGAGATTTGGGATATCCAATATCTTTATCGCCGAGATTCTTAAGTCTGGCTTTCAATTCAAGTGTAACTGTTTCACCATTATTGGCGTTAACTTGATATTCAAAATCACTACTGAAAGTTCTCAGGTCGACAGCTTCAACATCTGACAAACCATTATCGCAGACAATATTCATACAAACTGCATCGTTGCTCGTATTTGGATCGTTATATGCAATGTAGGTTTTACCATTTCTAAATACTCTTGAACTCTTGACACAGAGACAGATTTTGTCGCCACATAACGATTTCGAGAATTTAATTTTTCTTGACATGTAGAAAGTTTTGTGTTGACCTTCGTTCAGACTGGCTTTGGTGTTTGACGACACTTTGGGCCAGTTGCCTGCCGATGATCCGTCTAAACCTACTATACCAACTTGCAAGACGAAATTATCGGTCAGAGGAGACTGTGGTGAACCAATATCGCCTTGCCCCAAATTTTTCAATCTTGCTTTCAAATCAAGTGAAACTATTTCGCCATTATTGGCATTTATCACATATTCATTATCATCGTTGAATCTCTGCAAGTTAGATGCCATTACATCAGTAAGCCCGTCGGTTTTCGAGCACTTAATTTTCATGCAGGCCAAATTGTTACTGGTGTCTGGATCCGTATATGCAATATAAGTCATTCCATTAACAAATTTTCTCATGGCTTTAACGCACAAACAGATTGTATCACCACATAACGACTTGGAGAAAGTAATATCACGTTTGAAGGAAACTGTCTTGGATTGGCCATTGTTTAGAGATATATCGGTATCTGAAGAGAGTGCTTCAGGCCAAACATTTCCAATAGTACCATCAAGGCCAAGTATTCCAACGCGAAATACAAAATTTTCCGATAATGGATTTGTCGGAGAAGATACATCACCATCTCCCAGATTTGTGAGTGTTGCTTTCCAGTTAAGGGTAACTTTATCACCATTATCGGCGCTTATTTCGTATTCATTTTCATTATCTACAGTTCTTAAGTTTGAAGCTTTAACATCTGAATCAGTTTGAATATTATCAGCTTCGCATACGATATCCATACAATCCAAATCATTGTTTGTATTGAGATCAGTATAAGCCAAATGTGTTTTTCCACTCGAAAAGTGACGTTCAGCTTTGACGCAAGCACAAACTTTTGAGTTACATAACGATTTCTTAAATGTAATATGACGATAAAGAGAAATAGTCTTTGTTTGTTTGTTATATAAGGTTGTACTACTATCACCGGAAGATGCCTTGGGCCATGTATTTCCGATTGATCCATCTAATTTCAAAAGTCCAAGTCTAATATCGAAATTATGGTTTAGTGGAGCTTTTGGAGAATCAATATTTTCTGTTCCATGATTTTTAAGGTTGACTTTAAATTCCAATTTAATATTTTGACCTTCATCAGCATTTATATTATATTTAACACCATCAGTCTTTGTCCTCAGATTTGACACTTGTACATCAGATACACCTGAGGGTGATAAAATACTAGTTAAGAGATATTTCTTATAATAATAAGATAAGTTTTACCTGTAGCAGGAGCAGAATTGCAAGTTACTTTAATACAAGCTAAATCATTCTCCGTGTTTTGATCCTTGTAAGCGATATAAGTTTTATCTTTAAAAACTCTTGTAGCTTTCACGCATAGACAGAGAAAATCATCGCAAAGAGATTTTTTGTACATGACTCGTCTTTTAAGCTCAATAGTCTTAGATTCTCCATTTTTTAGTGTTATATCGCTGTCGGACGACGCCGCTTCCGGCCATGTATTACCAACTGAACCGTCCACCTTTAGAAACTGTTAATGGTAACATACAGATTAATAATATTAAATATAAACTTTTAACCAATAGATAACTTACTCCGGCAAGAAGTTCAAAATTATCAGTAAGCGGCAAAGATGGTGTCAATATATCGTCATTTCCTAAATTCTTTAAATCTGCCTTAAGTTCAAATGTCAGGTATTCACCTTCGTTCGCATTTACGTTGTAAGTATTCTTTTCATCAGACGTTCTCAAGTTCGAAACCTTCACGTCTGCTATTGTATCTTTTAAGGGGAAAAAATAAAAAGATACATTATTAATAAACAATTCGAATAAAGTCAAAAAAAAGAGAAAGAGAGAGAATAGAATGGAAATATTCATGCAGAATAAGAACGTATTAGAAACAAAAAGTATATATATTTACCAGCTAACAATCCCGATAAGAAGCTTAAAATTAAAGCCAAAAACAGCCCTCGCAGTGCCATTTTTTTGCTTGATTTAAAACTTTATTTGAAGAAAATTCTTCTCTTAATTTAACATTTACTTGAAATATCGAGCATTTAGTAAATAACTAACAAAATCCTGGGTATTTATACAAAGTTGAGTGTTCTTAACAGTTTGTCGAGTTTGATAGTTTTTATGTTGAAGTTGTACTAGCTTAATTAAATACTTTAGGTCTTTCAAAATGGCTTCTAAAAGTTAAGTTATAAGTAATATCATTTGTTTCAAATTGATAGTGTACGCGTTCAAGTGAGTAGTGTCACTGAAAGTTACTCAAATTTTTTAGCATCTAAACAGCTCGAACAATCATCGGCTTAGAAATAGAACGAAAATTTTCTAAAAATAGTTTGATTAGAAAAAAAGTAACGCATTTGAAATTATCTAGACGCCTACGTAATCGTAAATATGAATAAGACGAACACCAGACAGTTTGAACTGTAAAATACTCTAGTTTGACGCATTAATTAATTATACGTTCTTATGAGTGTCGCATCGCCTTTGCTATATAAACAGCGAACGCTCATTCGAGAGACGCTACGGCCTAAGTATCTTCTACGAGGTAAGTTTTCCGTGCTATATTTATCCTTTTCAGTAGAGAAAGATAGGTGTTAGAAAGGAAAAAACCAAAGTGCCAAAAAGAAATTGGCAAATTTTACTCTGGAGATTCTACATTTTATCTAATTATTCAATAAATGAATTTAATTGAGCTCTTCTCTTTCTCCAAGATTTATTTCCATTCTTTCAGAAACGCTCGCCAAATGAAAAGTATCCTGTTTATCTTCGCCGCTCTCCTAATAGGCGTTCTCTTCGCGGATAAAACGAAGGAAGAGGCGCTAGGGTAAGACAATTTTATTCCCTAAAATCTACATAAATATATAGATATACATCAAAGATTTTATATATATATATATATTGTGTATAATGTATACGTGAGAATTAGTAGAGAATGACTGATGAAGGTATTAATGACGTCAGTTTTGCCCCTTATCTTTCTTTATACAACTCGAGCGGCAACTTGCGATAGATGTTGTAAGGCTTCATTACATGTTCATTTTCTACTGTTTTTTTTTTCTTCCTTATCGACAACCTTAAAAACTGTCGGTAAAAGCATCAGAGTTTACGGAGTAATTAAGTTCATTGAACGATCTTTTCATTTGTTTATTCCGTATTCTTTTTTTATCCTATCAATGTGTATCTATCCCCTATTCAGTTTTCCGGTTTCAATTAGTTTATAATTATGTAAATCTTAGATACAATTCGCATTGTATAAATATATTTTGTCAAATAAATAGTGCACTTAAACAAATGGACGAAAGTCGAAGAGGAATCGGAGCACTCCGTATGGTTATGGACGAAATCGAAACGGATATATCAAGACAAAAGTACGTGTTTTTCCAATATATATATATATATATGTATATATTTATATACATAGGATAATAGTTTAATCTTCTTCTCTTTCTCTCTTCTCTTAATGATAAATTCTTATTCAAACATTAATATATTTGTATAAAAATGTATAATTTAAATGCATAAATTAAAGGAAGGTGGGGAAATTAGATAATAAATATACAATAGAAGTGTAAATCATTTAGGAGAAATCCGTGTCACATCGGCTTGGGCAATACTTACCAATGCGCATTAGCTACCTTGGAAAATGAACCAGGCGTCAATGTAAACGGTCCAAATTCGCCAGGCAAAAGAAGGTTTTTAAACAATAGCCAAAACCCCTAGACAAAAATTTTCATCCTTCCTTCCAACTCAAAATGATACAAATATTTTTTTTTAATATATACATATAAAAGGAGGAACAGAAATGAAGTTTATATTATTTAAATAAGCTATCTTCATTTCCTTTCCTCTCAACATATTCTTAATGATTTATTATACATATAGAGAGATTCGATGATCATGTCCCTTTCCCTTACAAAAATATAAATTCTTTCCTTATCCAATATTGTAAAAATATTCCATTGACATTTTCCCTTACTTATTCTATTCTACTCTATCTATCTATCTATTTCTCTTTCTCTCTTTTTCTTCTTCTTCCCCTTCTTCTTCTTCTTCTTCTTCCCAGTAATTAATTTTATAAGTATACAAGATTTATGTTTATATTCGGAGATTGAAAAAATGAAAAAAATATTGATTATGGGACAGGAAAAGGATAATAAAAAAAAATTATTAATGTATATATATATATATAAAAATATATATACATAGTGTATAGATTGTATAGAATTTTTATCTAGTTAGTTAGATATTGTCTCTTATCCATAAGGAAAATAATTGCTTGTTTTACTCATCTTTTCTTATTGGGCAGCGAAAAAATTTCTACCGTTAAGAGAAAGCAAAAAGCATTAGGCCTTATCCGGAAATTATTATCAGAGATGGATAACGATTTAATAAGCGAACAGTAAGTTATTACTTGTTTATGTTTAAACAGAGTTGATTGATATATACTAATATATATATATATATATATATATATAATATATACTGTGTATTTATACAAAGTAGATCTCTTATATATATATATATATATATATACTACTACTACAATAGTAATATACAGTATATTGTATAGTAATCAACTTATCGGAAAAAGTTAATAAAAATCAAATAGGTTTTATTGGCAGATCTTTATACAAAAAAAGAGTTTTTTTCTAAATAGAAAACGTACGTGTGTAGTAAATTTGGGAGGACATTGTTCAACGGAGCATGCAGCCGCTGTTGCCCAACAATGGCATTATTTAAATAGTGCGATGAGCCCTGGTAGGAAACGAAGAGATACAAGAATGTTCAAGAAACTTGTTGACGGCTCAGTAAGTATTTTCTCATATTTTAAACTCTCCCCTATCCTCCCTCCTAGCTCCCTTTCCCCATTCTTCACACCCCTTCACCATTCATCAAACTTTCCCTGTAAATAAGCAACTTTATATTGGCCATTTACTTTTTTTTTATAACATTTTATCCCTCCCCTCCCCCCTCACCTATTTAAATTATTTGCATTTATTGTACCTTGTTGTTTTACACCTGCTTTCTTTTCAGCTCATACGAGAGGTTGATTGAAAGGAAAACAAAAGACATCTTCAAATATTTATAAATCTTTTCCTGTCAAAAAGAAAAAAAAGAATAAAATTTGTATTGTAGATGGCGATAGGACTTGTCTTTAGTGTTTTATTAAGAGAGAAAAGCCTTTAGGTATTCTAGACGGGTATAAAATTGAAAAAAAGAACTTGAATCGTTTTTCAAGGGCCATCCATCAAAAAAAGAGTCTGTAGTTCCAAACGAACATCTTGAATGAATGAATAGACTCTAGTCTATTTAGTGACCGGTGTCACAAAGGACACGTGAGAAAGGTCAAGTTAGTTAAATAACGAAAATCTGAAGAATCGTCTATATTAGCGGGAGGAAATAGAATGGGAAAGGAGAGAAATTTCAGTTCAATTATTGAAGTTCAATAGAAATTATATAATAAGTAATTAGGGAGATAGTGGCTATTCACTAAAAATTTACTACTTTAATAAGGTATGAGACCCCCTAGATAGAGAGAATTACGTAATAGAAGAATGATCTACTTCGTAGTATATCTCTCAGCTGGCGTGCATTTGAACAGAATTCAGAAAGAAATAGCATATGAATAAAAGCAAAGCCCATTATAAACAACATTTGCCAGGGTCTTTACCGACTTCCTGCTAATACAATCCAGTAAGAAAGCTTCTAGCAGAATACAATCGAAACCTTTTTTATGAACGTTCCAAAATTGGGTGTACAAATTGTAGACCAAATATTCTTTATGAATACCTTATAAAGTTCCTCTAGTCTCTTTTTTATATATTAATAGATATATTGTATATAGAGGGGAAGGGTTGGAGAATGAGATGACGGATTGAAAAAAATATTTGGTATAGGGGATAGTTTGGAAAAATCAATGTAATCTGGCGCAAAAAATAATTCAAATGTCCAATAGCCGCGATTCTTACTATAATACGAAATCGATTCCGAAACGTTAATCAAAGCGCACGAAAACGGTCAATTAATAGGGATTAGGCCGTAGAAGAAAAAAAAAGGGCTTTTCGAAATCAATACGCCATACTCCAAAGGGTTCCTTTCTTTCCTTCTCTCCCGCCTTCGAATAGCACAGTTTTGAACATAGGACGACGAAAGAAAGTCAGCTAGCCCGTAAAATTCGTAAATAATACAACGATAGCCCATAAGCGCAGGTGCTGTATATTTTGGAGTGGTTAATGTGTACGCTCTTGAACACTTCAAAAGATTCCGACTGAACCGATAGACGGCGTTGTTAAAAATAAATTTCGTCGGTCCGCTATTCTTGTTTTCATATATCGACCAGATTGAACGCGGCCGTCGCACAGACAAGTGGCGAAATTGTACGCTGACCGTTCAGGTGTCCTATTCACCTGGTCTTATAGGCGTTCTCTATTGAAAGGATTACGAAAGATGGAGGATGATAGTAGTAGATTATGCGTTCGGATAGGAAACGCAGATAAATGGATAACTGGCTTAACGAAGAGAACGACATGTGATGACGTTATATACGCTCTGTTGAAACATACGAAGAAGGACGGCGATGATTTATGGTCCTATTCAATGTTTGAAAGGTGGAGGGGAGTTGAGAGACAATTGAGTGGTAGAACAAAAGTTTTAAAGGTATGGAGAGCTTGGGGCGATCAGAGGCATTCAGTGAAATTATACGTTAGAAAGAGGAGTTCATATAGTAGTTCAAAACGTCATAAACGACGGCAACCACTTCAAGTTCATAGAGTTGTTGGCCGCATAATAGAACAAGAGAAGCAAATACAAGATCAAATGGAGCGTTTGGAACGTCTCGACAATCAAATAGATAAATACGAGACGAGATCTCATCTGAAAAGAATGCAAGAAGACGGTAACAACTACGTTCAAAACTCGTATTGGAGATCTTCGTCGTCGTCCTCTGACGAACGTGGCGATTGCCTCTTTCCCTGTATAAAGTCGGCCGATTTACAAGCCTACGAACGAATGTGTGACAGTTTAATAAAATTACAAAAGCGAATCGATAATGAACAATCAAAATTTGAAAATTTGGCCACCAGCGTCCTAAACGAAAACCTGCATTATCAATTAGAAAAATGTTGTAGTTTGAATAGTGAGCAAGCACGTCAATTAGAAGATGTCGAATCGAATTTATCTTTTTATTCTGAAGAGTTAAGTAGGAAAAAGAGTTTCTTAAGAATTTTAGAAGAAGAATTGAACCGAGATAACAAATCAGCAGATAACGATTCAGATACAGGCTTAAGCTCTTTACATAGCGACGCCGAAACGACCCCAAATATTCGCCCCCTCTTAGAGACGCTTGTCTGAATAGTATTGTTGTACTATATAATAAGTTCACTACCTCAAGTCTCTTTTATACAAGAATTTACGGTATATGGTGCTATAATAGGGTACATGTTAGTGGGTATTTTTCTTCTTTTTTTAGTTAAATACGCGATAAATGTGATCATGCATAATCAGCATAATAGAATATAAATACACCTGTTTTACATAAACGAAATAGTAGTTTATATTATCGTTGGCTGATTGAAACGTGCCGATTTCAATACTTTTTTTTTTTACACGATAAACGGCATAGAATATTTTATAAAAAAAGAAAAAGAAAGACAGAATAAAATAAAGAAAAACAATATTTACAAAAGACCGCCATTACCGTTAATATTTGGGGTTAAAATATATTAAGAGTCAGATAGTGAGGAGGATGAATCTGATAGTTCTGACCTTGGCGTTGTTCGGGTAAGCGCACGAACTTTCGAGACGAAGTCCTAAAAGGGAATAAGTAAAGTACGTTTATCTCTCTTGTACGTGTCACGTCACGATATATAACAACTTACGGGCGACCGCGAACTTGGGCGTTTTGTATGCCTTTGCCTGCTATAACTTGATCTGTATGAATGTAATGAATCAATTTATAAGAAAGCTTTTATAATAGTTGCGTGTCACCTCAGTTTTATACCTTTTGTATTTTTTGTCGTCGCTGCATTGGTCGAGTTCCAATAACGGACTGAATTGTTAATGCGATAAATAAACCTTAATTAACTATTTAAAGTTTATTCAAAAGCTTACCTAGATTTCCGTTTCACTATGGACGAAGACGGCGAACCAATACCTTCTATTGGTTTATCATCGTCATCTTTTGTAACCTGTAATGCTCCCGATTTGACCATTGTTGCAAACAATGCTGCTTTCTTCTTTCTTTCGGCTTGTACTAGTTTTTCTTTATTTTTTTCAGCAACCTTTATCAAATTATAAGTAAACATTTGATAAAAATATTAATAAACATTGGCAATAAAAAATTTAACAAGCTCAATTCTCTTACTCGTTTTTCTTTTACCTTTTCTCTTGCTACCTGCATTAATTTAGCCGCAACCTTCTCTCTCGCCAATTGCAAATGTGCGTTTCTCTTGGCTACTTCCGGATCGATAGTTACTGGAGGTGGCGGCGGAGGAGGAGGTGGTGGAGGTGGCACGGGTTGTTTATCCTCCTCAGTTTTCTTAATTGAAAAACTAACAGCTTGCGGCGGAGCTAAATAGTAAATTGATCAGAATTATTACATAAAGTTAAATTGCCTTAAGGCGCCTATTTTATCCTTACTGTAAACAGTAGGCGGTGCTTCGGTTTCGATAGCGTTTAACTGCGCTTCGTAACCTTTGGGATCTTTGCCCTGTTGCTGTTGAAAAGAAGATAACATTTTATAAAAATATATCAATTTTTTAAGCATTGATCCTTATTATAAATAATATACTACTACTATACTACTATTATAAAGCATAAAAGAAAGAGTGAATTAATTTCCTTACCGTTAAATGCCATTCTCTTTTGAAAATAAAATACGAGTGGTGAGGATGATTGGTTGTCAAGAAACTAAATTTTTCCTCTTTTTTTCGGCGAACATTTATTTCAAAATGTGGACCATTCTTTGCAACATATTCAGCCATTTTATCTATAACCACTTGGACATTTGGTGGAGGTAATTTCAAGTCAGTTGTCTCACGTTGAGGGTTTGGTCCAGTAATTGGATTCGGTGAATTATTTTGTGAACGAACTGCTTCGGACGACTTTTGTCTGTGGAATAAAAAGAAAAGAACAAAATAAGCAAGATTTTAACAAACGAATCCATCGATTAGATATATATACATATATATATATATATATATTATATGAGGATTGTCAAGCATCAGTAAAAACATCTATATTTTTCAATATACTCATTCCTGAAAATTTGTTACTAGTACATATTATACGTATAAAATTACTAATTTCAAACCTGTGATATTAAAAACCTTTTTACACGTACGTAAAATTTCGATCAGACCGAGATGACCGTCGTTAATGACTTTCGTAGCTGAGCAGCTATACATTTCATCAGAATAGATTGTCAAGTTAAATGTTAAATGTCAACGAACAATCTCCAAAACTTCCCAAAAAGTAACACTTACTCTTCATAATTTTCTATTTGGTCGTCTCTTTTCTCCAGGTTTTTACCCAACGAATTCAGTAGCTTCGCGTATGGTGTATCGTTTATATTTAGGGCAGGTAAGTTCTTTCTTATCACTGATAGGATATTATCTTCCACTTTCGGTTTCGTCTTTGGAGCGAGAGAAGGATGCAGGTAGCAGTCGTCGTCATCGTCATCGTTCGATTCTTCACCGTCACTTTGCTTTTTTGCCTTTTTAATTGGTGGGAAATAACGACCAGACTTCATGGTTCTAATTAAAATTTGATAATAAGGAAATAAAGCATTTGCTGATTCAAGAAATTCAAATTCAGGTTTATTCTTTTGTTTGGTTCTTATCATTATTTCCATTTGGGGGCCGTGTTCTGCCACAAATTGGGCAGTTTTTTCAATAATGATATGTTCTTTTAATTTTCGAGGCTATAAATAGAAAATTGTTTTATTAAAGGTTTCCCTTCAACGCGATAAAATTGCACTAACAAGAGTTGTTGTTGAGGGAAAATCCATTTGTGGGGCGGGAACAAAATCTTCGTCCTCCTCTTCAGCAGCTTTAGCTTCATCATCATTTTCTTTTATCTGATCTGGACTTTTATAAGTAAAACCAACAGCAGCATATGTTTGGCCTTCGTCATTTAGACGTTTTTGCTTTTCCTCTGAAAAAAAAAGCCATTCGTCATCTTCTTTTCTCACTAAACGGATCATTTGTAATACCTTCCTGAATTTCTTGCTCATTGACGTCAACGTGCAGTTCTAGAAATCTTTCCCGTTCGCATTGCTCCTCAATGTTTCGTTCTTCCTGCGTTAAGGTTAAGTCCTTAGTAATCTTATCAGCGTCATAATCGCATAAATCCATTAAATATCCTCTTCCATCGTGCCTAAAGGTCCGGGTAAAGCGTGATTACTCTTTATAAAAGTCATCTAATAACAGATTTACCTATCTATTAAGAGTGTTTCATCCCCGTTCCAAGGAACTAGAAAATGTCCGGCTTCTATCATTTGTGCTTTCTCGTCGTCTCGAAACATTTTACACTGATATCCAAATACAAATAAATCTTCATATTTTTCCTTCTCTTCTTGAAGTTTTTCTGCATTCTTTTGTAAATTTCTTAGTTTTCCAGCTGCCATAAAATAGACGTTTTTTTCTTGTTTTGAACGCCAAGTTTATATGTGTACCGACATGGTAGGTTAATAGACTGGTGTCTTTTCCTTCAATAAAATTGTATAAGAATATCTACGCCATATGTGCAAAATCAATTATGGAACACCGAACCACATCTAACGTCAAAGTAATAGTGCCATCTTTATGAGGATTCTAGAATTTAAAATGTAATCATTTTAAAGTAATTAAGAAAAGAGGCCATTATAGAATAAGACGACAATCTCTTTATACGCGAAATCCTTATATGAAACCGTGAATAGATAAAAGTTTATTCCCTTAATACTTCAAAGCAGATTTTTCTCAATGAAAAACAAATATATTTAGAGTACAACTGAAAAAACAACAACATCAAAACATAACAGTTTAAAATTGTTCAATGATTATGTCTGCTTTTTAAGAATCTATTTTTCGTCATAGCGTCGTAAAGAAATGATAATCGATTTACCTTTGCAAAAGATATCTATTTCGTTATTTCTGTTTATGTAACGCTCATTAATTTAGTTGAGCGAACCTTTGAATAACGGACTAATTTGCTAAAGGAGATTTAATCACGTATTATTTACTATATAAAGTGAAGTTTATTAAGTGGATATTATTACCATTAGCTTAAATGTGGTATTTATAGAAATTAATTTCGAATTAATAACTTTTAATCTTAACTACTTTTTTTTATTTTCATATAAAAAAGCTTCTAAATAACTATAAAGTAATAAAACGAGGACGATTTCACAATGGTTCTACGAGTTTTAAGCATTTTTATTGAATAATTAATTTGTATATACAGGTATGCGAAGCGCCATCTACCTGACAGATTATAATATACCGGATCGATGATGATTGAATATCTTTAAAGCGTCTGCTCAGCTTGAATTGTGAGATGAAATAGATAAATTGATAATAAGAAGTAAGTATCTAACCGTTGATATTTCGCTTTAGGATAGTCTAGTGTAAATAATTGTATTCAAATCACAAACCAAACAGCATATATCCCACGAGACGGCGTTCATTAATTGCTTTGTATTAAACGCACATAGAGAATTGATAAAGTGTACTGTTCGCTTTGTTAATATATAATAAAGAAAGTATAAAGACGTATTTGTAGATGGCTATAGCTATCTATGTAACGGTGTAATAGGAAGTTTCATTTTTAGTCATGCATCTGAAATTGCAAAATTAAGCCTATATTGTAATATTGCTCTTTATATATTTTCTCTCTGTTTTTTTTTTTTACTTTTTAGATAAGATACAACATTAGCGTTTGGCAGGTGAGATTATTTCAATATATCTAAATATTTACTAAAATTGAACTATATTCTGTTTTCCTTTTGATTTGAATGAACTTAACAATAGTTAAATTCTTCTTTCATCTTGCATATAGGCCTACAGATACGTACGTGTATAGATTACATTGCCCCTGATTAGTATTGATTTTAAATACAGATTCAGCTAAAACCGAACATGAACATCGAACAATTGTTAACTTGCAACGAAACACAGTTTATTAAAATGATTAATAACGTTGAACAGCAAGTAAGCTTTTATTGAAGTTTTTATTGTATTTTTTTAATACATAGTTTGAACTTTTAAAACAATCTTTTTTATATAGTTTTGCTTGTTTATGTGCATGCTTGTAATATTCGTGTGTATGTGTGTATGTTTTATACATATATTTATGCTTATCTTCTTTTCATTGTCCTACAATTCTACCGCCTCCTTCTCATTCCTATCTACATTTATTACTGCTATCTACTTTGCATCTGTATTTTATACAACTGTACTACTCATTTTGTCATCAAAAAATATTTTATAGAAAATGATGCCGATAGTAGAATTGTTCCAAGAAGAAATGGAAAAGCAACAGAATCTATTTGATATTTTGGAAGAGGAATTGCAGGCATGCTGCAATGATGAGGAAAAAGAAAAGATTAGAGATAAAATGAATGAATGTCAAGATCGTTTAACCGTACTTATCAAAAGGAATTTAAGATGCTTGAACATGGTATGTACAAATAAGAAAGAATGTGAAAGAGTAAAATCATCTTTCTATTTCTCTTAATAATCTTTTCAAAAAAAAAAGAAACAAAAAAGTATAAATAATATTTTTCTTCATTGTAGTTGTAAATATACGCAATAAGCGTATATATTTATATGACTATAATTCTAAAGAACGGACGCCATCTTTATTTTTTGTTCTTTTTTTTTATGGTTAGATTTTTTTTTTATATATTTATTACTCACTCTTTTATTCCAATTGTTGTCTATAGGAAGAAAATGGTTTTAAGAGTAAAGACCATAAACACGAAAATAATGGAACTAGTCATACAAATAATTCTAATATAGAGGCAAAAAAAAAATATAAAGTTCACCTACCTGGTAAAGATAAATTTTGTTTTGTTTCGTTTAATTTGTTTAATTGATTTTAATTTTATAAACATAGACAAACATTTGTAAATTTGTATGTTTATAAACAATTTATTGAATATTAACAGATGGATTAACGAAACCTTCAATATTGAAAGATATTTATTTTTCTCGTTCGGAAAATGATGAATTAGTTGAGGAGAGAATCACTTTAAAAAATTGGAATCCAGTTTGTTTATTATTTTCTTTTTTCAAATAGAAATAATTCAAAGGATAATAATGCTTGCGATACTATATATTTTTTTTTCCTTTCAATTTATAAACAGGTACTGTTACTGAAGGATTTATATAAGATTGAATTGAAAAAAGATGTAAGCTTCTCTGTTCTCTTCTTTTATTATGTTTCTTTTTCTTCTTCTTCTTCTTCTTGTGTTCACTATTAATAATAAATAATAATAATAATAATAACATACGTCCGCAGGAAATTTTCAACGATTCAGATGAAAAAATTGAAAAATTTGAAGGATGGATTGAGAAATTGCCAATTAATTTTATAAAACCGACTAAATTAAAAAAATGGTGTAAACGTTTTATTACTATTGACGAAGGACAATTACAGTACTACGAGGTTTTTATTATTATATAAATTAATTATCTTTTTTTTTGTTCATTTACTATTCTTTGTCTTCTTCTTCTTCCTTTTCTTCTTCTAGCCTGGAGAAGAGATTTTAGAAGTAAGTTTATATTTATTTTCATATTGAAATGTCAACTAATAAAAAGAGTATTTTATGAAAATTTTCTTTTAGACGAAATATTCGAGAATGTCGCCTAATGAAACGTTCTTAATAGTTGGCGGTTCAATAGATGAGTTAGGAGATTTTCAATTGGGATTAAACGACAATGTAAATGAATAATTGTACAACTGATTTAATTGATATGAATATTTGTAATTTGTATCTTCCTATTTTCATAAATTAGAGGGGACGATATCTTGTTTTGAAATGTTCTGATGAAAAAGATTATGAAAATTGGAGGAGGAATATCATGTCACATAGATCTTACGTTCCGCCCTCTTCGGCCGTTCGACCGTATTTAGACATGCCGTGTACACCGGATAAGGTATAATATAAATTAATCTGAGGAAATTTTTTTTTTATTATTAAAAGCTTAAATATTTACAGAAAGTTTTAATAGTTGATATTGGCAGTTGTTCAATTCGAGCTGGTCGTCTAAAAACTGACCGTACGTTTATAAATAACTTAATAGATACTTTTTTTTTTATCTATTATATACTGTATATATCATATAACATCCATAATATACTGTATATAAATATACAGTATATATGTTTTTTTGTTTTTGCAGTGTTTTTAATTATCTTTCTCTTTTTAGCAACGTTGCCAGAATTATTTATACCTTGCGTTGCTGCTTGCAATCGAGATAATAAAAAAACTGTTTATGGGTTTGATGCTTTTAAGCCTGAAGTTCGAGCCAATTCGGATTTCGTGCAACCAATTAAATTATCAAGGACCGTTGATAAGGTTAGAATAAATATAACTAATATAGTGACCTTTTTTTATAAAAAAAATCCTTTTTATATATCTAATATCTTCGCCTTTTCCTTTTCACTATCTATTAATTTTACTTTCTTCTTCTTTTTCTCTCTAATATAGTATACATTCGATTTGGATGTTCTACTTCCTCTTTTGGATTATATTTGCGATCAATTGAAAATCATATCGGCTGAATACTGGGTTAGTTAGTTTTACTAATAATACTATATATTACTGTATATTAATATATAATATAATTAGATTTTTTCAAGTGTTAAATTTATTATTCTAAAATACAGCTGTTGCTTAGTCTACCGTCAACGTCAAACAATCAAGTTTTAGAGAAATTTATCGATTACGTATTAACTAAAATGAAGATGAAAGGGATTAATATTTGTAATGAGTCGATGCTTTGTCTTTATGCTCACGATTCACATACGGGAATAGTGTTAGATTGTGGTGATCGTATTCAAATAGCTCCGTTTACCGATGGTTAATTTAACATATTATTACCGTTATGGCTACATTAGCCAAAAACGCCTTTTAATATTTTCATTCTCCATTTTATATCGTTTTCTCCATTAAAACAGGCTATATTGTAGAAGAAGCTATAAGGAGATTACCTTATGGAGGTCAGGCCGTAGCGCAATCTTTAAATGCGGACCTCACGCAATCCGAAAATTCTTATAGATTGTTTACTCCCGTTGAATATAATATTGTCAGATATGTTATGGAAAGAAGTTGCTACATTTCAAAAAATTATAAAGAAGAAACTCTGAAATTAAAAAACAATCCCGATAGTATAAAAATAAATTTAAATTTGGAAAAGTTTAATGTGACTTCCGGAGCTTGCCAGTAAGTTACATCGCCTTAATTAGCCTTCAGATTAACAAAAGCAGAAAAAAAATCAACTTAAAAACGACCTTGCCATTAACTCTCCAACAAATATCTTATAACCTTGTAAATTGACAAATTTCGTTTTATATTCTTTCCCCTTAACGAGTTCACTTGTCTACACTAAACGAAGGAGATAAGGAAAAACTACTATGGTTTTTAGGTGAATGATATAATCGTTTTTTTTTACATAGGACAATTTGCCATGATATTGGACGTTTTAGAGCACCTGAAGGCTTATTTAATACGGAATTATGGGGTCTAGATGTTCCATCTCTACATAAACTTATCAAAGAATCTGTTTCAAAGTGTCCTTTGGATATAAGAAGGCGCATGTGGCAGTTAGTTTCTTATTGTCATTCTATATCGATTTTTTGTGATACCGTTCTATTTTTTCATTTTTATAGAAGTATCTTTTTGAATGGTGGATTAACTACTATGCCAGGTTTTGTAGAACGTCTTCAAGCAGAACTTTGCAAGATCGTCCCGCCGTCTGTTGCCGTTCAAGTAAGAACTAAATATATACAGTAGCTAGTTTGTATGTTTGTATTTTTTTTATTATTCATTGTAGATTCACGCATCACCTAACCGCTATCATACATCATATATTGGTGCATGTATTCTTGCCTCTTTAGTCGCCTTCCAGTCAGCCGGTATATCTCAGGAAGAGTGGAGAAAAAATAGAGCTACCAGCCTCAAAAAAGTTACTAAGTTTTAATTGATTACTTATATTTGGTCTCTTTGTTGGAAATAAAATAACTTAAGAAGTTTTCATAAACAGTTTATAAAAAATAAATATATTTGAATTCACTTATATTTGATTCAATCCTTTTGTAATCAATGATAATTAAGAGTTTTCTTTCAGTTTGTTAGAAAAGAATAATAAATTTTGTATTAATTAATTCGAAAGTCAATTTATATTTAATTAAAGAACCAAGAAAGAAGATCAGGAATAGTATCATTTAATTAAAATTTTGCACTCCCAGAGTAGGAATAAATACTTTATCTATAAACGGATTATGTGTTTTTTTTCAGTTGGCATTATTGCTCGTAAACAAATACATGCACAAGGATAGCTCATAAATAATTTATAACGTTTACTTTTCCCATTTTCTATGAAGAGATGACAGACTATATACTTACAGAGCAATAGGCTTATCTTCCATATCATTTTATCCGTACTTTAATTGGTCTTATCTTCCTATTCCATTATCAAATTGTTTCCATGTGTATAAATATATACACAGCGATAATGTTTTCCCTCCTCCTAAAAGGAAATTGCCCGAAAGAGATAATAATTATAACAGCAAAAAGGAAAGAAATACTATATAAAGAAGATAATAAAATAATTAAATAACATCTATTTATTAGTAAATTCCAGTTGAAATTTTGGAACCATACCATAAAATTTTCAAATTCATAAACAAAGAACAAACAAGAAGGGAAGAAGTAAACGTTCTAGTTTAAATCTTGTAAAATACACGGGTTAAAGGTAATTAGCACTTATAAATAGGATCAATAAAATTATAAACAAATTAAAACATCCAAAATACATAAGAAAAGTTAAATAGCTATAACTTGAGCAGAATAACGCTAATAAAACAAGAAAGTAAAAGGCTAGAAAAAACTTGTTAGCACATAATCTGAGAGAGAACCTTGGTCCATTCTTGAGAACAGATTTTTGATAATCGCTAGCACGATTTATTGTCGAGTGATTTAAAACATCTAGGCCAACTGGTTCTAGTGTAAGAAATCGCCATAATGGATTAAATATATGACGGTCCGATCGAAGGTAGTTGAGAAGAGGACGTAGTTCGAAAGATAAAAAGAATGATAATGATAGGAGGAAGCGTACCATCCAATAAAACTCATTTGGCTTTATATCTTGTATGTCACGAGGAAGGATAGAAGTTCTAAGTGGAGGTGAAAAAGTGGGTATTTTTCTTTCTTCTTCCATTTCAGCTTCAGATAAAATATTCGGTATTTCTCTCTAACAAAGGTGAAAAGAAAAACGTAATTTCACAAGATTATCTCTAAAAATGTTTGAAGCGTACATCAAAGTATTTGCAATACTGAATTAGTGTATATTTACGAAATGAATCAAAGGTTTCATTTCCACTAATTATATCGCAAGAGAGAAAGGTTGATCTATCGGCAAGGCTATAATCATTTAAAAACCAGGTTTCCTGTCGGGGAAATGAAAATGAATAGTAAATTCAAATAAAAAGAGAAACAAATTATTATAACGATAAATAGAAAAAAGGCTGGAGGATGTTAAAAAAAATGAATACGTCTATTTAAAACTTTACTATGTTTAATGCTTTCCATCGATTTTTTTGCTTGTCAATGTTACAATAGGCATGAACGATATTCTGTAACAGTTCTCCAACGACGTCTTCATTATAAATAAGAGGTTTTATTTCTCTACTTATAACGTCATATTTAACTTCTGTCTCTTCCAATTCTATAGAAATAATATATTTTTCATATATTTAATTAAAGATTCTAAAAGAAAAAAAAATAATCAACTTACTATCAAAGTATTCATCTATAAATTTTCTACAACCGATTAATACTTCTACCACTCTATAGAAACCGTGAGCAACAACAGGATCCATTAAATTTACGCTGAGTAAAGACCTTAATAAAATATCGATTGTTTTCGTGTACAACCCAATATGTAAATGAATAAAATTCTTCCACTCGGACCCAATTTCCGATGGTCTTGAAAGTCTCGCTCCATTTTCATCAGACATGTAACGCCAAGGTTGAACAATGGACCACCATAATTCCATACACAATCTCAAGTGCATTATATCCGACCAATTCTCAAGAGATTTATGCAAAGAAGGCGTTAGTGCTTCATAAAAATCAGCTTGTAAAGATAATCTGTATCGGGTTGTGGGTGGAAAAATTTTATTTTTATAGTATCGTTAAGTGAAAGAAATTGGAACAAAGGTGATCTACAGAACATCAATAGAAATAAAAAATAAACTAACCTACTACTAACATCCAATGCATTTGCATTATTAACGTAGAGATGTAGCCATTTAACAATCATTAAGTAAATACGAAAATCCTTTCCAATAAATATATATTCGTCAATATAAATAAAATCAACCATCTATTATAATTTATTTTGATTAGTTAAAAACGACATTATGTTATTGAAATTAAGTTTACTTACTGTCCCATTGCGATTCTATATATGAAGAGAAAGAAAAACAAGGATTTAGTTCATATAAGAGGAATAGTAATAAGCAAAAAAATATTGACTATAGACCGTTGTTAAAAGTACAGTTTTTCATGGATGTATTGTATATAGTCTAAGAAGTATAGAGATCTAACACTAGCTAACTATATAGCTTTCAAATGTAAAGGTAGCAGTTTAGTCAACGATTAAGATAATGAAATGGAAGAAAAGAGAACAAATTACGAAGAAAGAGGAAAAAAATAGAGTATAAAGCATAAAAAGCGAATGTAAAAGATCTTTGTTATTGAAAATACTACTAATTCGTTATTTCATAAAAAGCTACTTACAATCTGTAAGTAAAGATTTCCCTGCTCTTTTTCCTGTTCATTGTCATTATACACGATCTCTCGGTAACAATACACATAGATGAATATCTAAGCGAAAAGAAAACTTATTGTAAAATCCTTATTGTCTTTATGAAAAAAAAATGCTTTATATATATTTATATATTGCCATTTTACAATACAAACTTCGAGAAAATTCTTGCCAATTTCACTAATTAGATTTAGTAACTTTTCCTGGTCGTCTAAAACAGCTTTGTCTTCACTAATTATAAAAAGAATAAAATAAAATGTATAAATAAATAGATATCTCTTAATTAAGAACTTAAGTTAAGAAAAATAGCAACGTACAACGTAAGTCTATATTTTGATTTTCCTTGTTCGATAGATTTGAATATTTCTGAATTTGATATGTTCAACGGCATAAAGTAATCTAAATATGAACTAAATAGATCAAGATATAATTTTCCTCTTGTAGATGGTGCCTGGTAAGATAATATTAAAAAATATTAATAAAATGAAATTCAAAGAAAGTTGTAATAAATTTATATTATTTACATAAAAAAAATTTAAATTTAAAGATAATTAAATTGTATTACTAACCACCTGATTCCTGATTTTCATCATGAGTGAAAAATAATGATGGAAAAAGAAGCTAAGAGGATCTGAAAAGATAAAAAAAGAATATTAAGCTTAACAATAGCTTTTATAAAAAGAAAAAGAATTTGTAACCAGTTTTGATCTCATTAGTTCCAATATTGATATGTTGCAAGTAGACAGTCGTCTTTTTCTTCTATTGAAAAATATTATTGTTAAATATCTCAAGAGGACAGTTTAGGATAAAATATGTTCTTACGCAGAATACTTTTAAGGCCAAACTTTGCCTGAGTATAGTGGATATTGCGAAACACTTTATAAATGTTAGTAGCGGTCCATCAATATCTAAAAGACTTTTGGCTGAGGGTACTTCATTATCAGATATTGTGTCCAAACTAATATCCGAGAAAACTAAATGTATAATATCCTGATAGACAGCTCGTATATCCTAAAGATATATTGATCTTAAATGGGTTAAAACTTTAACAAATAGTAAGTCTTACCAAATTATCCCAACTCTTTAGTAGATTGTGGACTATAGATACTTTTTCGGCGAAGCTTTCTTTGATAAGCAGCTCAGAACGAATTCGCTGAATTGTAAAAAATATTCGAATATGGTGAGCGATAATGCATAAATCAGTTGCACGAAACACCTGTACATCGTATAAACTTGCTCACCTTAAAGGCTTCTTTAACGTGAATATGAGAAAGATCATATCTATGAGAAAATGATAAATTTGATAATCCTTGCTGCATATTGCAGCTGGGCGATTTTAAACATTCAGTTAACCGGATATTTGGAGCTAGATTTGAGATGGTAGTGTCCGAGTAGTCGGAAATGGTAAGCAGCCGAAGCGCCATCGGTTTCGTGCAGCGAAAACTGGTGTCAGGAATATTTTAACAAAAACACCCCAAACGTTGGAGATAGTAAAAGCTTCAAAAAAGTTGGTTTCTTTTCTTTTATTCTCTTTATAGACTGTAGTTATTTAGTAGGTCTATACCTCTTTGTAATGTAATTACAACGGAAAAAGATTAAATTTTCATCGCGATTAACATTTTTTTGTCTGTAGAATATTTGTACAGATCGGTTAAAAATAGTGCAAAATTTCCTCGTTAAGAACTTCTTTAGATATTTTTTTTAAATAAGAAAGATTCATTCAACATGGTTATTAACTCATTGACTAGAGACCAAAAGAAGAGAATATGAATAAATGGAATATATGTATCTATATATATGTAAATGTATATATATAGAAACATCATGAGGAAGAATAGCAGCTAAAGCTGGTTGGATAAATAAGCTAATTTACACTTAGGATGCGAAGTGATATAGAAATATTTTTCTTTCCAGTTACGAAATCAATACGAAAAGCTTAGGGGTTTAAACGTGACATACAAGGATTAGGAGAAAAAAATCGTACAAAATCCCATTTCGTCCTCTTCAAATCTATATATTTACCTGCTGGATGCTATTTTACATTAATACTAGACTAAAAAGACTGGGGGTTTTATCGATCGTATATGTGTCATTGTTTAAAAGTAAAGAGAAAAGGGGAACGGGTGAGAGAGAGAGGGGAGGGGGGATTCACAGTTGCTAGAAAAATTAACGAGATATCGTGTGGCGTCGCGGCATAATTAACCCCGTATTTCTCCCGTACAAACTAAGAAGCCTGGTAAACGTGCGCCAAACTCAATTTTCCAAGTGCTTTACGCCCTTCTACATTGTTGTTTGCTCTCTTTCCACCCTTTTCCGATTAATAACGTTATCGATCGTTTGGCAGAGAAATGCATCTTTCAACCTCTCTTATAGAGTTATAAAACAACGATTATCAGTCGATTTACCGCCCAAAAAAAAAAAAAAAATGTCCAATTTAAACTTTATTATCAATTTCCTGTTGACTATAGCTGTGTCTTTGTTAATTGATCATTTTTAAAAATGTTTATTGTTTTCCAGGTTTGTTTTCATGTTTATTTAATTTATATTAATGAAATATTTAAACAGTCGCTGTAACCTTAATGTATATCATAAATTTTACACAGAGTTTTTCCATAAGCTCTTCTGAGAGGACCGAGCGACAGCTAGTAATTAAATAATAGTTTGTCGATATACATTTATTCGGCTGACTTTTTTTTCTCTTTCCCTTTATACCGCATATATATATTGTTACAGCTATATACATAAGATACAATTTAAAGTGTATCCAATCTAAATGGCAAGCCTACTACGTCTTTATTATATTGTATAGGTACATTTGTATAAGTTTACAAATTGAAACACGCAGATAGTTTGATATATCGGCTGTATTTAACTTTAGAATTAGATCGGGATATGTTTTTTTTTCTTTTTTTTATATCATTTTCCGTTTTTTTTTCCTATTTATATAATTTATGTTTCTCGCAGACGCAGGATGAAGTAAAGATGCGTCTAAGCACGCAACGGTTACTTATCTATGGTATTTTATGCGTTTTGATAACCATATTATTGTATTCCTGGTTCTCTCCTTGTAATGATGATACCGTAAGGAGCCGAATGGTGAGAGCAGATGCAGGCAAAGTGGAGGTGGCTGATGGAACAAAAAAATACACTTATTCTAGAGAAACGCCGATTATTTTTATTGGCGGTGTTCCGCGTTCTGGGACAACACTTATGAGAGCCATGCTAGACGCCCATCCCGATATACGTTGTGGTGAAGAGACTAGGGTAATACCGAGACTATTGGGGATGAGGAGCCAATGGTCAAAATCGGCTAAAGAATCGAAGAGGCTAATGGAAGCCGGCCTTACGGATCAGGTTATCGATTCAGCCTTATCCGCTTTCATTTTAGAGATAGTAGCCAGACATGGCGATGCTGCACCAAAGCTCTGCAATAAAGATCCTTTTACTCTTAAATCTGCCTTCTATCTCTCAAAATTGTTTCCTAATTCTAAGTTTTTATTGATGGTAAGAGATGGTAGAGCGGTTGTACATTCAATTATCAAGAGACACGTGACAATTTCCGGTTTTGACCTGCACGATCACGGGCAATGTTTGTCTCGGTGGAATGATGCAGTTGAAACGATGATGACTCAATGTTCCAAGGTCGGTGCTGAACGATGCCTGGTTGTTCATTACGAGCAGCTTGTTTTACATCCGGAGAAAATGATGAAAAAAGTTTTGGCATTTTTAGACGTCGAATGGACCACCGACGTTCTTCATCACGAACGTTTCGTAGGGAAAAAGGGCGGAATCTCTTTATCTAAGTAAGTACACCCTACAGTCAATGTTAATATAAATGAGTCAAAATAAAAGAGAAAATAGTGTGGAACCTAATAGCTAGACGGAAAATTGAAACTTTTTTAAGTTAGTCGTTTCACGATAATTCGTGACTATTTCAGAACTGAGCGTTCCACGGATCAAGTTATTAAGCCAGTGAACTTGGACGCCTTAACAAGTTGGGTTGAAGAATTTCCTATAAACGTCCGGCGGAAAGCGGCATCGTTGGCTCCAATGCTTAGTAAATTGGGTTATGACCCTACAAAATTTCCACCCAATTACGGAAAACCAGACTCTAAAGTTGCTCAAAATACGGATGAAGTTCACAGACAGGCCGCCTACTGGAAAAAACGCGCTGATATGTTTGTAAAGGGCGAAGCAAACCTTACTGGTAGCCCAAGTTAACACCACTAGATGGCGTATCATCGATACCTGTAATTCTTTCATCTCGTCTTACGTAACAGCAAACCCAATGATTTTAATGCTTTTTTTCTTAAGACTTCGCCATTATAGACCTAAACAAAGGTTTTACTGCATAAACTGTCTTTTTGCTTTAGTTTGTTTTTTATTTATTGTTATATTACCCCTCTCTTCGTCTTTTTACATCTAAACAGAAAAACTTTTTTTTACTTTCTTATCCTATTTTTGGTTCTTTCTTTTGGCATTTTTCTTTGTTAAATTAATATGTTTAGTAGGATTATTTTTTGTTTTGCCTGTTTGTTAAACAGCTGTTTATTGTATATTAAAATGAAGAAATGATATTTACAGTATTTGTTAATATCGGGCAGATAAGGGAAGAAGAGATATAAAAGCAATAGTAACAACAATAACAACATCAATAATAATGATGATGATAATAATAATAATAATAATAATAGTAATAATAGGGAATATATGAACAAATACTAACAACTGGAAAGAGAATGAATAATAGTAATAATGATACTGATTATAAAAGTCGTGTTCGTTACCTATAATGATATTAGGAAATGTAATTTTATGAATTAAATTGTGAAAAGATTATTATAGTCTAACATCTGTGATCTGTGAGGTTAACAATCTTCAAAATGATTTAATATAAATTGGAAATTGAACAAGGAAGAGAGAAAGAAGATATCGAATATTATATCTACTCTTTTTCATAAGGAAAAATATACAATCCTATCGAAAAGGAGTCATTTATTTGTTAATCTTCTTTCAATTTTCTCTTTTTTAATAATACAAAACTAAATTAATAAAATGAAAAAATAATGAATTTTTAATTATCTTGTAGTAGTTTATAATTAAGGTTTTTTATGTAAGCTAATATACTAGATGAGAAGATGTCCACTAGGTTAAGAAACAGAAGGAGATGAAGAATGAAAATCTTGTATATCTTCCATTTTTTTCCTAGATGATAAATAATAAGTTTTTACATTATAAACTGTTTAAAAGCTATTAAAATCCTCTAAGAAAGGAAATAGAATGACTAGAATGGAAAGTAATTTTTGTTGTTGTACGCTGTTAATTGGGAAACAAAGTAAAAGGGAGAAAAGCGACGCCCGTGGCGCGGCAAATTTTCAAACGTGACTACACCGAGAAGTGCTCCGTTTGCGGGCGTTATAGTAAAAAACGCTTCAACGACAGCGACAGTCTATTAGAATATGGCGCAACGGGCAGTGCTAATCGTTTGGAGTTTAACAGAATGTTTAATTTTAACTGGTTTTCTAACAAGACCAAATATCCTAATCGACATATTGGATAAGCAGGAGTTCTTTCATACATCGTGCAAAGATAATAGGACATCGTGCGACGAGCAGATTTCATCGGTTAAGCAATGTGTATATTTAAGTACTGCAATTAGTTGGGTTCTTATGCTACCGGTTGGCTTCTTCTACGACAAATTTGGAACCCTTTTAACAAGAGTTATGATTATGTAAGCATTAATTAATAAATAAGAACGTGTAAATATAGTATAATCTATTAAAATAACATTATAAACCAATGAAAATCAACAAGAAATATAGTGTACAACCCTAGGAATCACTGGATGATTACCCTTTTTTTTAAAAATATTCTAAGCCACCTTTAGTTGGATAAAGTTGCTCATTATCTAAGTAATCATCTTATAAAAATTTCCATTTTCTATCATATAGTTCGTAATCAATTTTTATCATTTTTTCTCTTTTATTTTATTAATTTTCTATAAGACTTAACTTTACTTTGGTAAATTATAAAGTAAGACTGAAATAAGTGCCTATTTTGCTTTAGTATTAATTCATCAAATTTTTTAAGGTATTATTTATAACTTAATAGCTTAAATACAATATATATATATGTATATATATACAATATACATATTTATATATAAAAGTCTATAAATTAATACCAGTTTATAAAATTTACTTGGGCTCTTATTATAAGTAAAAATTATAATTTTTTTGCAGGATTGTTTGTTTTTTTAAAAAAAAAAGAAAGAAAATTTTTTTTATTTTTTTATTTTATTCTTTTTCCAGATTTATATTTACAACTGCAATGCTGACACTGGCTTTTACTCACGTTTGTACGGTTCTTTATATATATTTTACCTGTCTTTTTTTTATTGTTATAACTCAGTAATATTTACTTTCATTCTATACATTTTACTATTTCTTTTAAATGTAGATCATTCATGGCTGTTGTATATATCTTGCGTACTGATTGGAATATGTGGCTCTAGCGTGGCTGTTACAAATGTTCAAACAGCGAATCTATTCGTCAATCATAGGAACCTTCTACTAGTGACTCTAGTTAGTTGTTCGAAATTGACGTCCGCCCTTCTTCCGTTATTACTCAAGGTTTCTGCTCTAATTAACAAAGATTAAGCATTATTTCTTTTATCTTATTTTTAGTACACCAGCGATCAACAAGTGAAAATACAATCGTCTTTTATGTTCCTAACAATTCTCATATTACCTTTGCTCATTGGAACAATTGCTTTCCTACCAAAGCGGGTGATTCCTTGGCCATTACCGGAAGGATATAATTTAAATAGGCCGGAGACGCTCCATCAGTTCGTCGTTGGCAGGAGGAACGAGACTGACGCCCCATCCTTAATAAAATCATTAAAAAATCCCCTATTCGCTTATCAGATTCTCTGGTACGTTCTACTATGCCTAAGGATCATCTATTTCCGTAATTATTTGGCAACGCAAGACCGCCCAACCGGTAATTGTCTACATATTATAATACCATGGTAACCGTATTCTAATACACTTTACAGAAATCAACGTGACAGACAAGTTGTCTACGTTTCTCTGTTCGCTAATCGCACCGGCTTTTGGAGCCCTTCTCGACAGAGCTTCTACGTTTTCAGATTCCATCAAAAAATTCATTCTATGCTATAGTTTTATACTGCTTTTATCTTCCCTACAATCCGCCTTGTCTGTTCTAAATCAAACTTTGATAGCAGCTTGCGTAGTCGACAACCTATTACAAGCGTCTCTTTATGGAACTAACGCCGCCTTCATGGCTAATTTCTTTCCTCATAAACATTTCGGTACTCTTTTAGGCTTTACCTGGGCTTTAGAAGGTTGTCTCTGGCTTACTTATAAAGCTGAACTACGTTACGTAAATTACGTTACGTACGGTTGTATTATTGGAGCATCTGCTTTTCCCGTTCTTATGTATTTCAACGGTAATCGTCGCCAAAGAAACGATACGGAAGGATGTGATATCGATGAAGCAGCTAACGAAGAGACGAAGATGTGAAAAGGGCAATGTCAAATGTTGTATTCTACAGATTTATAAAGAAATAAAACGAAACGGAAATTAATTAATTTTCTCTCAAACTGGAATTTGTTTTCTCTTTTTACTATCTTTCGATATATTCTCTTATATCTGCCAATCACGTAGTTTCTCTTTTTTCTTCATTGTCTAGTACCCTTACTACTTTTTCTTCATCTTCTCTTTTTCTCTTTTTTCAACTATTTATCAATATTTTGCACATTTGCTGTCTATCTTCCTCTTTCTATCTAATTCTTTAATTTCTCTTTATATCTTATTATCTTGTTGCGAGTAACTTCTTTGTTTTCTATTTGAATTTATCATTTTATTAGAATAATCATTATTACAATGGAGCTTCAACAAAAGATAGCGAAAGAAAAAGAAAATAGAAAATTGCCATTAGAAAGTACACGGCGTGTTTTTCTTTAATAAAAAACAGAAAGAAATAATGTATAAAAGTCAAGTTGTATCGAGCCTGATAACACGCAACTTATTCGCATCTACTAAGATACAAGCAGCTTCATTAGAACCTCCGCAATAATAACTAGAAGAGAACACCGTTAACAGTCTGGCGCTATATTGCACCTGGAATCCAGCTTCTTTTACTTCGTGAGCTCTTATTACATGAGAAAATCCATTCTTTTCAAGAAAGCTTTTCAAAGCTCCTAAATTCCAGAAATTCCCCGCTCCCCTACGAGTGTTTGGCGCGAATCCTTCATTCTTTTCAAAAGCTTCCTTAACATAATCGTTCATTAGTTCCGATGATTCGGGTATTGGATCACTCCACATTAAATCCCATGCCAATAGACTATCTTCTTCGGGATTAGACAGGGGGCAAGGTATATTATTTATGGCTTCCATTCCTAAATAATTCTGACCGTCCATAAGTAATTTGGTCGATGGTATACCACCGTGTACGCAAAATATTTTATCATCAACAACAGCAGCAATGGGCATAACGTCAAAACACCTATTTATCTTTTCCCAAATCATAGAGCCATCTTTCTCTCCAAACATGTCAATGCATTGTCTAAATTGAAAAAGAAACAAAAGGAGAGATAAATTAGATATAGGTCGCTTGGGGAAAGAATAAAAAATGAATAAAAACAAACAACTTGGCTAAATATACACTTACGAATGAAAATTAAATTGCTTCTGAACATCGCGCACCTCGTGATTTCCTCGTAATAGAAATACCTTGTGGGGGGCGAGCAATTTCTGAGCGAACAAATACGACACAACCTAGTCAGAAGAAAGATAATTAGAAAGGATATTTATATACTAGAAGGAAATTCCCCCTCCTCCCCACCTATGCTTGCCTCTTCATCATTTAAAACAGACAAGAAGAAGACGAAGAAGAGGGAAAAAGCATTTTGTCTCTAAATAGATTAAAATAAAAAAATTACCTCAATTCCATGGTCTCCTCTATCTACGTAATCACCTAAAAATAGGTAATTGGCAGGTGTAAGCATTGGTCCCATACGCCACAAAGATTTCTCGAAGCAAATTAAATCTCCAAAATTTCCATGAATATCACCTTTTTTTTAGTTTGTAGTTTGTTTTTTAGTAAAAAAAAAACAAAGAAAAAGTTTAAAAATATGCTTTTGTTTTTTGCCATTAAAGAAAGAAGGAAAAAAAAAAAGTAGGGTAGAAGAGAGAAAAAAAAGAGAACGTAAAAAAGCGTCTAAATCAATAATCGTGAGATATATAAACAGTAAGCGTACCTAGAATAAAAGTCGGCGGTTTCACTTTCAATAAACGAGGCTCTTCCTTTAATTTTTCGTAAACTTGATCGGTTAAGGCTGACAAACATTTACATAATCCATCCGATTGTACTTTACCCCAGCTCATTGATTTCTATAGTTGAAGAGAGGAGGAAGGGGAAAAAAAGATTAACAATAAGTAATTAAATAATATATTGTTATATTACTGTCTTTATTGCTATTTAATTAAATTAAATACCTAGAAAATAGATAAATATGGAAATAATAAAGAATGGAACCTTGACTAATTCGCCACCAGAATTTTTCGACTGACGTTCAAAATATCTAAGCCCGTTTAGCATCTCGTTTGCGTGAGATTTCTAAAATTAGACATAAAAGTAACAAACAAAGAGTTTTTATAATCTTCTTTTCTATATGATATATCCTTACCGAATTGAAACAATCGACGCTCTGCATTCTATGAAATCTACTTGTATCTCCTTCTAAATCTAATTCGTTTGTATCAGAAACGGCGCAAGTACCTGAAATAAATAAGAAAAAAGAAAAAATTATCTTTGTCTTTTTTTTTTTTAAAAAGAAAATATGATAAAAATTCAATTTCAAGATAATTAACATAAAAAGAAAAAAAACCTGTTAAGTCCCATATTGAATTAACGTCTGAAAAACCTCCACCCCTTTTTACTCTCACGGAATGCGTCGCTAATTCGTAGCCTCTATCAGGCTTCTTAATTGCCATTTGCTTGGGAACGCTATGAGGAACTTTAAAGTCGAACGATTCCATAGACTCTTTTTTGTTTTCAAGTAATAAAAGGTTATGATAATGTTATACTGTCGTTGTTATTAATAATTAAAAACCTGGTATAGTGCATTCCATGTCATTCGACCTAAGACGTTTATACGAGGGTTTAGAGTTAGTTTCAGGTTTATCTACTGATGTCATAACGGGAAAAGGCAATCGATAAATAGTTGATGTGCCTCTAAACTTTAATAAGCCAACTGATTCTAGAAAATTTTGCAGAGTTAATTGATCGTTTAGCCAAATAAACGATTTAGCCCCGTTTATTGCATCCTCGTCGACTTCTTTGGCATTTAAACTAGTCATTTTCGCCCTTCGGATATCGTGGACAATTTTCCGAAAATCTTCTCTGGTAAGGTTCATTTCATCGGCTCTTCTATAATAATCAAACATATGTCTACATCGTATCTCTGCAGGCAATCCTCCGTGTGGAGTACTAGGTTCCATAGATGCTAAACCTTGTAGAACATTTTTAAAGGTTAAACGCCCAAATCGTAGTGAGTCAAACGACCTATATAAAAATATATATATATAAATACTGTATATAAGAAAAGAAATAATTTATGTATGATTATACGATTATAACAGCACTAAATTCTCAATATATATAATTTACCGAAAGTACGAATCAAAGTTCTCTTTAATGCCTTTTGTTCTCATATAATTTTCGAACGTAATCTTGTCCATCGCCTCTGCTGGCGATGTAAATTTGAAAAATTCGTTACAGAGTTGCTCCTGATCTAGAAGCGTGATATTACGTTAATAGCGTCTATAATATGTTCTAAAGAAAGCTTATTTATTTATAATTGATATCCAGACCTTGAGTTGATATCTTTGCGGCATATATTAATTCGGCAGCAGGATTTGTTTGAGATGTATTAATAACGTTTGTATCTACTATAAAATCAGCAGTTTCCTCCATCGACTTATAAGTACCAGAGTATTCTCCACCTACGCAAAGAAAAGTAGTGTGTTTTTTTATTATTATCTGATTTTTTTGCTTTATTACTAACGTAAACGTTGCAATTCATGAAGTGGTTGACGGTCTAAAAGTTTCTCACAGTCGTATAGTTTGTCTAAATCGGACAAATCAGCCCACTTACATTCTTTCTGCTAAAGGGGAAATGATTGTAAATAATGGTAATATATTATAAATTGTAATATATTGGAAAATAAGCTATAGTACATTTTTTGCTTTTCCCACTAAAAATGTTCTAATTGGCTGAGCAAGAAATAAATAATGTTGTTGAGTTGTTGCATTTCCGACTTTGAGACTTCTGACCTTTAGTAGTTTGTTCAAATAGATCTGAGTTCCAGCGATCTATAAATATTAAATAAACAGAAAATATGTCTGAATAGTTTGTAAAATGAATGTATTCAAAGTTTTCTTTCTGCATAGGTTCATCTATACTTAGTTACCTCTGTCGCAATTTTTATGGCTGATTGTTTAATGGACTCACTATTACTGACAATTCCTGAAATGAACCACCAACCACGATCTGAATACTTTTGCAATAGTATCTGCTCCAATGGATTATCATCTTCACTTTCGGCTGGAACACATATTGAAACGGTTATTTGAATTTCATTCATTTCTCGAAAATAGACGTTTTTTACATAACTTCAGGCAAAACATATATACTAATTACCAGTTTTCACCCACGCGCTGTTGCTAAGAAACAGTTATAGTTAGTTTAATTGTACCTAAAAAGTATTTTAAAAGGCTCTTCTATAAGAAAACAAAACAATTTTCTTTAGAAGAAAGAAATAAAATATAAATGCCATCACCCTATCAAATTTTATTTGAAATTAGCAAGTACTAAGAATAATTATTGCAAAACTAATACGTCTGCCCTCTCTATAGAAAGAAAAATAAAAGTATTGAAGAGTTTTCTGCTAAATTTTTGTCATTTTTCAATAAAATACAGGTTATATTTATCGATAGAGAACTCGTAGTAATTTCTTCTAAAAGGCAACTTAAACAATGGCGAATATCTCACCCAACAAGGCGACACTACATAAAAGGGACATTATCAGTAAAGAATGCTATCCTTACGATAGGTTCCCAATTCATTGTTTCCTTAAAAGATCCAAATTCGTTCGTATAGTTTATATATTTTAACATTATTTTCAATATTTCATTGTTATACTTCGTTCTAAGAACCATTTAACTTCGAAGTCTATACTCCATCTAGAAATGGAAAATTTAAGTTTTATGAATGATTTTGTTATGTATGCTCTTTCAAACTGTAGTGGAGAAGGGGTAAATATCTTTATAATATTATTTCTTTCTTTCAATCAATCAATCACTCATTTCGAATTTCTACAGTTTGAATTTTATTTATCATCATCTTCATTTAACGGCTATAGATTCACCGATTGGTTAATTTATTGGCTATCTAGACATTTGTCGAAGAAGAGTATGGTTTGTTTACTTCTATTTAAAATAAAACCATTATTTTGATATACATGGGGGATTGCTTATAGAATCATACGAAAATATCCAATATACCTATAACGTCTGGAGGAATATTCAACCTCAATACAACTGAACTTGTTTGTGAATGATTAAGAATTTATCGCTGGAATATTAACAACATTATTTTTTTAAAGCAATTTCCTGCATCTTCTTGCTTTTCAATTCCCGAAAAATGTTTCAATTTTATCAATACTCTTAAATCTCTTAATCCCTATATTGATAGGTGTCTATTAAAAGAAGAAAATTGCAGAAATGAGTCAATTGGTTGGCAATTTATTCCCATAAGATGTTTATATAATTGTTATTTTTTGAAATTTATAGCGTCACTTGAAAATTATAATAAACATATTTTGGATACTACTAAAATGGTTATTGTACATTTTGAGAAATTGTACCCTGAATCGCAGACAAAATGTCATCCATTTAAAAGGATGAGTTTCATTGACATTTTAACAGATAATTATCACGTTTCGACATCATCTCCAATGAAATTTTTGAAATGCGATTCGTATTTCTTATACGAATGCTTTGAAGTGAGTTCATCCTTTTTATCAATACTATAAAACGTCTCTATTAATCCTTATTGTTCCTTTCTATAGGAATTCTATCCACTATTCTACTGTGAGAAATCGGTAGCAATAGTTCCTTGCACTACTTTAGAAGGAAATCAAAGTGTACTAGCCAGTCATTTCTGTGATATCGCTATCTCATTTATTTTAAACGTAAGCGCTTTTACCTTTAAAAAAGAATTAATTAGCGTCTAATTGATTATTTAAAAAACAAAAGGTCTTAAAACCGTTAAATGTCCATGGAATTCTCTTCGTATGCATAGGAAAGGAAGATAAAACTTTAATAAGCAGTTTCAATAGTTATCTATTGAAAAAGAAGAATGATTTAGCAAATTTGATTGGTGAACAAATGAAGTTTGTCTCTATCTTATATATATATATATATATATTAATTATACAAAAATTATATTCTGATTAAATGTTAAAAGAGTAGAAGTTCTTGAAAAATTGGACCAAGCTGGACAAAATAGAGTGCATCATCTAGTTGCTCTCCACGAAATATTATCATTGTGCATTGAGAAGAAAAGTATTGATATATTATTCCTTCAAGATGTTAACAGATCGGTATTTACAATAATAATCATTGGTATATATCGGTTTAAAAAGATTATATATATAATAGGCTATATATAAATCTGCTGACAAACTCCACAAAATAATTATATCAAATTGCGAGTGGCTAAAGGTGTGTATGACCTACTTAAAAGTGATAATAATTAAAAAAACAACCGAAATTTTGTTCATAGTACGGTAGTCCAGCTATTAATGAATTTAAAAAAAGTATTAGTAGTATGAAGAATGTACTAGCACATCCTTCAGAAATTGTTACAAACATTCCTCCGAGTATTATGAGTTCTGGTAACGTCTGAATATATTTTTGTATTTCTTCACTCAAGTGAAAATAATTCAATTTCTTTTTATCTTAGCTGCCAAAAATCTGACCCCTTACCTGGTGAACGATGATACGAGAAAGAAGCACAAATCCCTTTTGGAAAGTTTAGAAGAATCGTATTCCGAAGATATATTTGTAAAGATTGTTTAATAATATTTAAATGATAATTTTTTAATATGGACTTTTATCATTTGCAGTCGGAAAAGGCAACAAGTAGATATTCTAATATTGTACAATCGTTGATGCGTTTTCCCTATTCGACTGCACTGGAATTTCTACATATTACAGTAAACTTTTGTGCTTAAAAAAAAAATAGAAGCCCTTTGTAAATTGCTAAAAATTTTCAGGGAGATATAATAAGTTATAGAGAGGTTCTAAGAGAAACTAAAAGATATGTCACAAAGCCATCAAAATTGATTAATAAAATGAATGAGATGGGAGAAAACCTGACAAAAGCTGATGAAATTTGTGACTATTATTTGCCTTTTCTAGATAAAGGAACATCGTATTACGATTCCGGCCATCTTATAGCATCAGAATTAAAATGCTGTCCAGTTGTAAGATTCATATTTGAATTTTTATTTTGCAATTTCCATATGCAAATTTAATTCTTCTGTACAGGATCTCCAAGAAATGGGATTGGGACTAAGGATAGTAAAGCAGACTTTCATTTTACCTCATTGCCTAAATCGTTATACGAATAGAGAAGTACGAGCAATACTTATAAAAGGAGAAAATCTACGAGATCATAAATAACTTAGGTTTATCAACAGTTACAATCGCCTAACTCAGATCAAGCCTCCATTGCGTACAAGTTTGTGCATGGAATTGATAACTCCCTCTCATGGCGAATTATTCAAATGTTCTTTCTAGTATATTATCATGCAAAGTCGTACTTTGTTGCGAAATTATATTGCAATTTAATTATTATTCAATGCGGAACTTCAGAGTTATCCGTCCACGTAGAAAGTTAGTATAAAAAAACAAAGTTGTAAAAGAAAAATGACTGATATAAATACTAATTATTCCATTACTATAGATAATGAAATAATTATAATTTGTTCCACTGTAAGAACTGATGATAGTCATCTCTATTTGGCCAATTTTCTAGTAGAAGCTTGCTCTATTGCAGAGTATATTTTACATCTTGGGAAAGTCTATTATCAAGTTATTATTATCATATATTCATAGATATATATTTTTTATTATATATTGAAAAAAATCACATATAAATCTGTCAATTTTTTTACCTTTCTTTAATCAAGAAAGAAGAAATTCACGAATGGAATGGAAAAGATGACAAACAAAAGTTTAATGAATTCAGTAAAAGATAATTGATAAATTATTTTCTCTCTTTATCTCTTTTCTTTCTTCATATCCTAATACTATTTTTTTTTTATAAAAAAGGAAATAACTTTGTTATTAGATTGGAACATGAGTTTATTGACGTTGAGAAGCAAAGTAATCTATTTAAAAAGAGAATGATTTGGGTAATTTAATCTTTTTATTAAAAAAAAATAATTAACAATCTTGTGTTTTTTTTAATAAAAAAAAAACAAAGCTTTTTCACAAAACTGTAAATCCAACTTCCTTCGAAGAGGTTCCATTTTGCGAAGATGTACCTGAAAATAGAAATGAAAGAAAATTATCTAAATGCCGTACCAATACTACTGAGTTTAATAGAAAAAACCAATTATTATACTGGAAAATGAATGTTACAAACTTTAACCGAATCGAAATACCAGCAAACTGCGATATATTAATAGCGTATAAACAAAATTAAATTTTGCTATTGTTTATCAATCTAATTAATCTTATTTTTTTATAGGTCACAAAAGTATGTAACTATGTCTTTATGTCTTTCCTTTTATATTTACTATTTTATAAAATTATTATCTAAAAAGAATGGATCCTACTACTATAGCAGTAAAAGAGAAAAAGAAGAAGACTATAGATGATAATACAAATATTCATTATTTAGAATTGAGCATAAAAGACACTGTAGTACCGATTGTTTTAAGATCTGAATCAAGAATTATGATAAAAATGAAGGAAATAGGATATTGTACATCGGTAAGTAGGGGAAATGAATTTTTCTGTAAAACAAAATAATGCAACTCTAATATCCTATATGTACATTTGTTGAAAGGAAAAAACTGTTTCAAGATTACTTATTTATGCTGATGAAGTACTCATTCATAGAGATATCATACCAGTAACTGATTACAACGTGAAAATTACTCCAAAAGAAGATTATCCGACTATTAACTTGGATTTTGCACCTGTACATTTTATTCTTGATACATTATATCTTTTCTTTCCTCATTTTTCTTTTCATTTAATTAATTTACTCATTTTTCCTTCGATTTGCCTCCCTTCTAAGACTATCGAATACGATAAAGGATCCTTACTTAAGGTTGGCATGAAATTTGAGGGCTGGGACGTAGAGACTCGTCAGACACGTGTCGCTTCTATAGGTTTAATTGTTCGAATTGTTTTAATAGAGTTTTATAATTACCAATTTATCATATTGTAGCGGCTATTGACCCATTCGAAAATCAGATTTTAGTTCACTTTGACAGAATGCATGATTACAGTTTCTGGATTGATGCATCGGAATCGATACATATCTATCCCGTTGGTTGGACTGAAGAGAATGAAGATAAAAAAACAAATTCTAATAGACTACAACCTCCCCAAGATTATGACTCTTCAACATTTAATTGGACAGATTACCTGGAGTATCTTAATAAAACTGCAATACCAAAAGCTTGGTTTGATAAGGTAATATATAATTTGTATATAAAATTTACAATAAAGAAAACTTTACTTACCAAAAGCGAGACAATAATTCAAAAGATATTTGTCCAGCAATCATCAATTTTCCAAAAGAATTCGACTATAAAATAATGAACGACGGTAGATTTTATCACCTTAATTAGCTAACTAATCAACTAACTAGAACATATTTTTCTACAGCACTCTTTACAAGCGCTTGTAAACTGATATTGGAGAATACAAGAAAACTTAGTGGAATAATGAAAACTCCGACTGGATCCCGTCAATGGATCCTAAATACAAATGTGCCTTTAACGAGAACAAAATGCTTTCGATTGAAAGATATAGAAGAGTCGAAGATTAATTTTGCGTACTTACTTTGCGAAGGAAGTAGACCAGCCGATATGCATATATTTACTAACTTGGAAAGAGAAATTAAAGATATATCGGAAGAGAATATGCTCTTATTTAAAAAGTTTACGATATGCCAATTAGCAAGGATATTACAAAATGTTAAAGATCAAAGAAAAGCGAGAAATTATTCAAAAATAGCATCTTTATATTTTTATTTTTGCTATTTGGTTAAGACGCATCAATTAGACGACATTGCCGAATTTGGAAAGACTTCTAAAACAACTAAAAGTCTTTGTAAATTTATTGATAAATATTTCGAACAGTCGGAATATTTTAAAGATAGGAATGGAAAATCTTCTATAGCATGTTCATATCATAAAAAGAGATCGCAAGCTCGTGATGAAGGTAGTTTTTGCGAACAAATAGTTTCCTCGCTAATTGAAGTGTTAGACACCATAAACTCCAGCAACGTTAAATTGTTTTTAAGCTGGCCCGATAGGTTTGATTGTCTTGTTATATATTATATAAACTATATAATAGTCTATATTACAGAATTAATGGAATATCCAGTATTGATGTAGATGGGATAGAAGATATACCGAAACATTTAGGATATATATATAAATGTATGTTCTTGACGAATTTAACAATAGAAAATTGTGGAATTAAGGAAATAGGAGACGAAATTATTCACCTTTCGAATACATTAGAGACAATATCACTTTCTGGGAATCCTATTGTGAAAATGTCTGATAATTTTTACAAATTACGCGGTCTTCAACGGATAAATGTGTCTAATACGAAAATAACGAATCTTTCTAGGCAGTTTCTTGAATTCAATGCCTTACGAGATCTTAACGTTTCTGATAATTATTTGGACGAGTTTCCCAGCTTTCTAAGCAAACTGACATCTTTAATACACTTAAACGTATCCGGTAAAGAGATATATCCTTTTCGAGAGAAGCAGGCTTTAACGAAAAAGGATTTTGAAAATTATTTATTGAGCTTAAATGAACATTGCGTTAATATTCCCAATGTTAGACGTGTCTTTGAAGAGAAGATAATAAATAAAGAATACATAGAAGGAGAACAAATTGAAGAACTTCACGCCCAAATATTTAAGGAAATGCCTCATATTAGAAAATTTCCAGAGATTGACGACAACAGCTTTCAACGATTAGAAACGCTATTGTTAATGAATCAGAATTTGTTATCTATAGATCCGTCTATTGTTAAGATAAGTCGGCTAAAGCGTATAGACCTTAGCAATAATCCATGTTTGGAGGAAGTACCAGCTATTAGCACTAACGAATTAAGATCAATATCATTAAAAGGCTGCGGTTCTTTGAAAACTCCTCCAAAGGAAATAGTAGCTAAGGGGCATTTTGCTGTTTTAGGATACCTTAAACGACTCTCTAAAGGTTCAGTAGTTTGTCGAAGAACTAAACTAATGTTAGTGGGTCTAGGAGGAGCTGGAAAGACCAGTTTGATGAAATCACTTATTTCCGAACAACCCACCAAAACACCTCCTGACGTTACTGACGGTATTGATATCGTTAATTGGGATGTAGGATCGTTAGTCTATTCTCTTTGGGATTTTGCTGGTCAAACTGTTTATTATAACACACATCAATACTTTTTATCAAATAGAGCCATATATATCCTAGCGTGGAATGTTCGCCTGGGACACGAACACTCCGGTTTAAAGTTCTGGCTTAGTTCTATTGAATGCCATGCTCCAAAGACACCGGTTTTAGTTGTTGGAACTCATATCGACGAAGTAAGAAACATTTTAAGATATTCTTTAAAAGTTTAAATTCGAACCTTTATAGATATATACTGTATATATATATATTAATACATTCCTATTTTTCAAGGTTGAAAAATCAGAATTACCGGAAATCGAACTACAAAGACGTTATACTCAGATTAAAGGATTTTATTACGTATCGTCGTTAACTAATATTGGAATTGATGAACTACGAAACGATTTAATTCAAATAACATTGAAACAAAAATATATGGACGAAAAGATACCAAAGATATGGTTAGACTTTGAGGAGATCCTACTAAAGTAGATTTTCTAATACTGTATTCCTATTAGTGGTGTTAAGCTAATAATTGTTATTTAGATACAGAAATTCCAATTGTAACGTGCTAGAATTTTCAACGATTGCTAAAGTAGCAGAAGAGAAATGCCATATCAGCCGAAGTGAACTAGTACAATGTATTGAATTTTTACACGAATTGGGAGCAATACAATACTTCAATAACGAATTCCTAAAGAATAGAATTGTAGTTAATCCCCAATGGATTGTTGATGTAATGGCTTGTGTTGTTTCTGTTAAATTAAGCCCCATTGTTGATGGTAAATTCTATCATAAAGATATACGGTCAATTTGGAAAGATGACCAATTTCCAGAAGATATGCTCAGCTGGTTGTTAAAATTAACTGAAGAATTTGATTTAACATTTTGCCTTAAGCAGGATAAAGCTAACCTGGTACCTTGTTTACTACCTGAAAGAGAACCGGAAGTAAGTAAATTCCATTTGAAATATTATATATACATTCACTGATATCATCTTTTTCTTATAGTTTGAATGGAAAAATCTGATTGAATCGGACGATGAAATCGAAATGAAAATGATATATAAGTTTGATTATCTACCATCCGGTCTATTTAATAGAGCCCAAGTAAGACTACATCAATTCTGCGATGAGTCGCTTATATGGAGAAAAGGAATGTTATTGAATAAGAATATACATAGAGCTTTAATGAAACAATTAAAGTAAGCATCAAATTACTCTTCCAACTCTCTTTAGAAACTTAATGCTGCGCATAAATTCTCTAGCGATACTACTGTTCTCGTTCGAGCTCAAGGATTAAAGCCCGACAATGTTCTATTTTTAGTTCATGAAGTTTTTGAAACGTTAATTGCAGAATCATTTAGCGGTGTGAGATACGATTATAGCATACCTTGTCCAGAGTGTCTTCGATACGTAATTAATTTCTCTTGTTATTGTTTAAAACTAAATACTTTAATACTAATCCTTCGCTGTTTAATAGTTTAGTGCCGATCCTTCAATGATACCGGGTCAAAGGATTCGAAAAGCAATTGCTCTTAAAGTACCATTTCTGCAATGCGTTGAAAATTTCCATACTATGTCGATAACTCAACTAAGATCTGCTCTACCTCCTGAAAATTCGGAAGATTTCGATATTCAACTGCAAAAAAGCGTTAATGAATTGCGTAATATCAAATCAAACCTTTGTTTGAGTATTATCATTATGTACTCGGAATCGGATTTACCAAAATCCGGCTTAGAATATACAGTAGTCGGTTTACCTATGTTACAGAGAGACCTGAAAAATAAAGGATACGATACGTATGTTAATCAAAACAATTTTTTATTATAGAGTGTATAAATCTATTTATCTATTTAAAATAGTAAAACAATTAATGATATGGATAATCTGTCTATGGAAGAGATGATTAGTACTATAAAGGAGTCTCAGGTTTAAAAAAAATTTGTAGTTTATAAAATAGAACACGAGAACGCTAATTAAAGAAAAATGTTCCATTTTTTGCAGATTGTTTTGGTACTAATTAGCGATGCTTTCGTAAAAAATCAAACAACAAAAAATTTATTCATATACATTAAAAAATTTCTTAATAAGAGAACTCAGTTAATTCTTACTAATGATGATAAAGAATGGAAAAGCGACTTCGAAGTCGGACCTCTTTGCGCCGATGATGTTTTTATATCGATGAATAGTATTGATAAATATCAGCTTAGATTTCAAGATTTAATCGATAATATTTCAAAACATGAAACTTTGAGTCGTGTTAGTATTCTCTCTTTTCCACCTTTTTATTCCGCTATTAAAATAATTCTTCTCTTTTATAGACTGATTGGCCACCCTGTTTTATTAGCTATTGTTGGTCTAATTCTTTATCAGCAATCGCTAAGGGAACAAAATCCACCGACAAGAGTAAAGGACTAGTTGATCCTAGAGACTTAAAAGATGTTCTTGAAAAGAATGATATTAAATGTTGGATGGACGTTGAGCAAGTTGGTCAATCGGGTTTATTTCAAGATATTGCAGAAGGTTTAAAACACGCTCGAGTGGTTGTTGTATGCGTATCCGACGAGGTATGATTACAATTATTTTGTCAGCAGATATATATAAATTATGCTGTATATTGTATCTAGTACGTTAACTCCCGAAACTGCCAAATGGAATTTCGTTTTGCCGCTATTACATTAAGACTACCAATTATTTTCGCTGTAGTAGGTACCGGTCAGGATTGGGTTCGCTCAGAAGTTTGTATTAACCTTGTTGATTACCTTATTATATATATGATATAAAATATAATTCAATCATTTAGATTGGAATGATATCGTTAAATCATTCAAGAGTTAATCTACAATCACCTAATTATGATTTGAACGATGTTGCTGAGCTAGTTAAACCACATTTAGACAATTTTGACGATATTAAGAATAAAGAAATTGCTCTAAAAGAGAAAATTGATCAAAGAGCTTACAAAGAGATATTAGAATTGGCTCAAAGGAAATTATTGCGTCAAGTTATTGGTTTAGCTAATAAAATCAACGTTGGCTATTTACCTCATTTACCAATTTTAGATTTTGAATGCGATCAAGATTCTAAGATAAAAAACTATCAATTTGTCTTTCTTTGTGAACACGAAGAAGGTTGGCATATTCCTAATGAAAAAGCTTCGAAACAATGGGACATGAGTCCTGGTACATCGGATGAAAATGAAAACTTAAAGCTATGGTCTCCCTATTTAGCTAGAATCTTTGCCATTCTAAAGTTCACATCCATTGAACTCTCGATACTAAAATTCAGTATTGGTCAAGAAATTGTTAACGGGTTAATTGAAAAATCAGTTCAAGCAGAAGATATTAGCGATTCCAGTTTCGAAAAGGCCTACACGCAAATTATGAATTCTCTAAACGAACTGGTAGACATATTCCTGAATGAGGATAGCTGTTTAGCTAGATGCTATACAGGCAGTGGAAAAATACTTTGGCTTTGTAAAGAACATCAGAATCTTCCAAGAATAACTAAATTAGAACTAGAAGAAGGGGACAAAGGACGGGCGTTAAATTCCGTAGAATCCGATAGAGATCAGAGATTTGCTGATCGAGTTAAAATGGCTAACAAAGTAGGTGCAGAGAAGAGCGTACAGTTGAGAGGAAAATTTATAGGTGCTCAAGTGGCCGCTGATTCTGCTGTCAAGTTAAATAAGATGAAAGAAGCTGATGTAGCTAAAAATATTGAAAAATCAGATTCAACAATTGATATAGCTGAAACTGCTAAAACTGTTATTGGACAATCTATAGCAAAAGAAAAACAAACCAGTAGAGCCTGCGTTATCACTTGATACGAGAGTATAAATTACAAAGAAAATAATCTATTACAAATTTTTTTAAATCGCTGGTAGACTAATATTTCACGGTCGAATATTTTTGATGTTTTGCTACAGTTTTTACAATAACTGTTCATTTAATCCTGCTGTAAACTTTATATTACCGGCCTTTCTTCACAGTCCATAAAGAGAATTAATTAAAGGTATACGTAAACTTCACAGTCCCTTGAATAATTTTTAATAGTAGAGAAGACAATACTAATTAATTGTCATTAGCTACATATTTTTTCCATCAGTAAACAAACCTGCCATTGTAATGACATCTATCTCCTTTCAGTTTTATCGTGTATTACAAAAAAAACTAACCTTTTTCAAAATTATCATTCTATTTAAAAAATGAAAAATAGGAATATAGATGGCGTTCAATATTTCATTGAGTACAAATAAGATTTTTTAGTACTAATTAATTAATTTAATGTCAAATTTTCAACACTCAATTGGGACAGGTGGATTAGTCCAGTGCTCATAGCTCCTGTCCGCACTCTCGCGGCATTTAAAGCCCGGGATCGAAGCTGGTTAAATCCAGCGAAAATAATTAAAATATAACAGTTTGCACAAAATTATCTCCAAGGCCAAACCGTCTTGGAAGAGCTTGTAAATAATAACAAAATGCAAAAGGAAACGTTAAATGTTGTACATAGAAAAAATTGTAAATAAAGGCACACAAAAAGTACCTAAAGAGAACAAATGTAAATATTGTAAATAAGGGTTGAATAAACCCATTTTGCTAAAATATTCACCTTAATTTTTCATCTTATAAATAATTTGGTTATTGTTTTATTCCTAACATATACAATACATATACTGTATATATACTATATGTATACGTTCTTTTCGTGACGTCATAACATTACGCCTTACAATTTTTTTCATTCTTTTCAAAAAATTTTAAAAAACTGATACTAATATTATGTTTAATTCTCGGTTTATTTAAGCATAAAAAAGCTTTTTTTTTTGCTGTAAACTACTTTTAGATACTTTTTAATTAGTCTAGAAAAAAAGGTAGACTGACGCCATCTGGTATTTGAATTATTGACACACCCAACCCCCCTTCCCAACAGTACATAGTTGTTCCAGTCCACGTAAAATCTCGTCTTTTAACGTGCATGGAACTGTTGTTAAAACATGTGACGTTATTTAGGCAAAAATGACGGTAAAGCATTTATTCTATCTATGAAATAAGTATTGATAAGTTACCTAGTTTTTAGATGCATGTTTAAAATTTCTTACAGCTTCTGAGTTATCTGCATTTTAGTTTTTATTACAAAAAGGAATTCCTATGTATAATAAACTTTTTCGTCAGTCAGGAAATTGGGGAATTTTCTTCCACTAAAAGCAAACGTCAAGAATATAATAAAAACCTACAATTTACTTTACAAGAGTAATAATATAGTTCGGAAGAGGAAGAGTGGAGCAGAACAAAATGGAGTACTTTTTTTTGCCGCCAAATTGTTGACAACAACCAACTGCTACAAAATTTAAATAAGCCCTACATATGAACTCGAATTTGGCCTGATAAGTCAAAAAATAATTCATCTCAATAACAAATTTTCAAAAGATTATCTATGCAATTTTTTCAGAAAAAGAAAAAAGGGACAATTCAGGAAAGCTACGCATTTTTTGCAACATAAAGTCAGAAGTCAACATGAAAAAGAGAAGAAGAGTTAGGAGGACAGTAAATTCAAATTCGATTAAGATGAATATCAATTAAGAGAATATCAAGTCAAAAATGATTTATGCATTTTGTCTTAAATTTATTTTTTAAAAGTTTTTTCTATAAAAAATTTTTTTTATTTTTTTTTATTTTTCCTTTTTCAATTATGTTTTTTATTATTCTTTCTATTTTTATTTTTAATATTTTTATTTTTCGATTTTTTTATATTTTACTTATATTTTCTTTTATCGTTTATCGTTCATGCAATATCAATATATATATATATTTAATTAACGTTTATCATATTCCGTGCTTTGAACATGTTTTTCTAATAATTGTTTACATTCACATTTACAGTACACTTAACATTTAATGAGTATCAGTTAATGACAATTGTAGTTTCTTTCGTGTCTATCTTTACCCAGAATTAATCCAATGTTTTGTAAACTCGTCCCTTTTGCCCAATACAATCTGATTACTTCCAAAGTTTTTTTAACGTCCATTTTTACCAACTGGCGGGTTTCGAACCCGTTACCATAGATGGTGCGGCCGGGAGCTCCTAACGCTATGCCAGTCCTCAACGGCCCAAATAACAGTTCTTAAAACTTGCTATTGAAACGCACTTTTAACAAAACTAACTATACATCAAATACTACATGGCGCCATCTGTGATGTAACAATTTGATAAGATTTCGGAAGATTTTAGTACAAGAAGTAACCCAATCAATAACAAAATCATCTTACATTGGAGAGAATAGGGAATTTCTCTTTCTCTGTCCAATTATATTAAATTTGGAGATTCTTTCGCAAATTTTCAATATAGAACTTTAGATGGCGCCAAGTGCTTTTTTTTGTGTTAGAAACTAATTAGACTCAAGGTAAATCTGAGTTTTAGTAACACACTTTCGGGGTCGCCGGCTTGGGCGCATACGAGGAAGCCAAGGCGATTGTACCCTCGCATCCGTTCGGTAAGATACTGTTCAGGGTTCGAACACACTTAGCGCCCCAACAAACTTCTTTTTTTTTTTTTTTTTTTTCTTTTATATTCTTATTTCAATTTATCTGCGTCTCCTTGATTTATTTTGTTTTTATATTTATTTTATTATTATTACTATTATCGGTATTATTATGATTTTGAATAAAACACGAAACCCAACTATTTTTCAAGTACAAAATAGAAAATTTTATAATTCAAAGCGGTAATTTAATTTGTGATATTAAAAATTAAATCTCTTTAAGAAGATTAAGATGATGTTTTCTTGAAATAATATTTAAGATCAACTAGACAGCGCCCTCTATAAACGAAGCATTACGCAAAGACATCACTTCCGTTCCTAGAAGCAAGATAGAAAACATTCGAAAAAAAGAATAAATCTTAAAGGTGATAGAGTTTGGCTTTTTTCTTTGTTTTTCTCTTCTCAACTTTGATTAAAACTCATAAAAAACGTATTAAGTATACATTGAAATTCTTAGTAACTACTCAACAGATTGACTGCTATAAAAAGGAGAAAGCGAAAATTTTCATTATTCGCCATATTGAACTTGGAACAATGAATACCAAAAGGAAAATAATAGTTTTAGACCCTGTTCTTGAGGTGCAAGAAGATGAAAAACAGCCAACTTCTTCGACTAGTTCAAAGTCGGATTCCGGGTCCGGCTCTCCGGCTAGTATGACCAGCCCTTACGAAAATAAAGCAACTCCAACCAGGCCGCCTACACTTTCAACGTCAAAAAAACGTAAATTATCCAATAATTTGAAGAGCAGCTTAAAGCGTCTGAGAGAAACGGTTGGAAAGTATCCAAAACGTATAACTTGGGAAGAAGAGCCAAAAAGTCACTTTTCGCAGTCGGCTAGAAAAAACGTTACGTTTGACCCTTATCTGGACGAACCTGTAGTAGAACGAAAATCAAAAGGAGATTCTAATACTGATAAGAAGAAGACTATAAGTCTCAACATTATGCAGAATCTGGAGCCGAGCAAACACGAAAGATACATTGATTATTTGGATGAAGATGAGTCTTGGCCGTTCTAGGTAACTGTCTATGTTTGATTATGTTATTATTAAAGTCTATAGTTTATTAGTTGTCTATCTTATTGAATTTAAATTCTCATTTATTCCTTTATCATTTATTTTTATATCTAAGTTTTGTTATTTTTTGAATGTTTTATATTATTTCAATTATGATTGTAAAAGTGTATATTATATATACATGTGCTATATTTTATTATCATATTAATATTCAATAGTATAATCGTGATAGGATCCTGTTTTTTTATAAAAATAAATTTATTTATCCTTTATCAAAATAGGTGTAAATTGCGGGCTCTTTCAAGGATGTTGATTTTTTTTTTACACCAAAGGCTGATCCGTGTCTTCTTTATCTTATATTTTTAGAAGTTCTATTCCATCTTATGATTTTTAGTTCTTTTTTAGCTATATTCTTAAAAGAACTTACGCCAATCAACCGGCTAGTCTAGATACTTTAAACTACTCTCTATCTAACAGGTTGATATGCTTTTCTATTAGTTTATCTTTGTTTGTTCCAAAAACATTTTTCTTTTTACTTCATCATCTGATTTACTTCAAGGTCTGTAACATCATTTTCTCTCCTTGAATAAGTTCTTATAGTTTTCATTAAGAATGGCATGCTAGATTTTAGGAACGTTTATCCTAACATCATATTATCGTCCTTAAAATTAATTCCATAAACGAATGTTTCGCTTCGAATATTAAATGGTTTTTAAACAAGAAATCCACTTACGTTGAATACATTTCGCTTAAATTCTTAAAGAGGATAACAAATAGCTCAGGTATTAAAGACCCATAAGATTATTGTAATCTGACTAGATATCTTATTGAATAATATTAGTATAATCATACTAATTATAATATGTATCTTTTTGTATTTCAAAGAAATTCATAACAATAAAATTTGTGTCATTAAAGAAATAAACACTAATTAGAGTGCCTTATTCTCTAAGTATTGCAAGTATTGTAGATATTTCTATGTGATGGTTGTTTGTCGTATCCATGCAATCATTTGTGATTACATTAAAAGAGTAATTTGTATGAGTTATTTATTGATGGTAAACTAGACAGAATTACATTATTAGGCATGCCCGACTTTTCGTCTTTCGATTACCGGACAAAAGCTCCTGAACCATCATCTTCTTAGGAGTTTCGATGGATTGATTAGAATCAGTATTCCCTCTTGATTCCAATTTCTTTTCGTTTCTTTTCTCTAAATAGTTGGCGCCTTCAACTGCTATTTCGGCTCCTTTAAATTTTCCACGGATTTCAACGCTTTTTCTCCTATCTTTTATTTTATCTAGTATACCAATTGAAAATTGTTCATCTTTTGTCTGAATGGGAGTTTGTTCTTGAATAACTTCTTTGTTATCTATCAAATTTACACGTAGTTGTTTCTGATGTATATTACAAAGCCAGGCTAATTTTCCATTAGTCATTTGACATTTAGAAAGAGGTTCAACCGCAGTTCTTTTAGGCTGATTTTTTGCCTCCATATTATTTATAGACGTTAATAACGAATTATAGCAGCTCTCAACGTCCAGCTCTTTATTCTCTTCGAATACGGATTTGGCGTAATTCAACGCTTTACCAACCATAGCGTCTCCCTCTTGCGTATTGAGAATGAGTAGAGGAATTGCTGTTTGTTTCAATATTAAATACAATTTGGCAAGGTAACCACACCATTTTCTAAACGTATCATCAACTTCGTTACTTTGCCAGTCGATAACCCATTCAATTTTATTGTTTTCCGGTGGAATGTGCCATCCCTAAATAGGTAAATGAAACGATATTAGGCGGAGATTATCCAATGATAGAAATAAGCTTACCTCATCGTATTCGCACAAGAAAAAGAAACAATATCCCACTATGTCATTGTCCTTTGAGTCGTTTGAATTCCTTTTTAAAAAGTCAATTACTGGTAGACGAGGTAGTTTTCCCTGACAGAAGACTTTGTCAAAAGAGGATAAATATCTAACAAACTTCCTTTCAGTCAGTTCTAATAGTTCACTAAATTCTTTCTTTTTTGATATAGTGTTATTGGATGATGATTTCTTTGGTTTATCTTCTTTGTTCTCTATGTAACCCTTAATCAATTCAATTATCTTTTTAGTATCTTCTTCCAAAGAAATCATATCGAATTTAGGATAATCTAATCCAAGCATCCCGACTTCAGATTTAATCCATCCCAAACCACTTCCAACAATAACGATAATAACTGGTAAACGTAAAGTTAGAGCTGCAAAACGAAATTCCATAATGCAGTTTTTCGATGTGACGTACTCTTCCGATACGCATGCAATCACAACTTTAGCCATTTTGAGACCTTCCGCAATATCCTGATAAAGACCAGCTTGACCAACTTGTTCAATATCCATCCAACATCTAATTCCGGCTTCTTCGAGTTTTGTTTTTAAATCCCTGGGATCAATCCTGCCAAGAGCGGATTCTATCAATTTCGTTCCTTTTTTTACAGCCTGTCTAGAGTTGCTCCACGAGTAGCTGATGAAACAATGAGGTTGAGCCTGCCTTTTTTCGCAATCGTATTCTTTACAAATAGATTTCCTCAAATCTTTCATTTTTGTATCAAAATTCTTAAACTCTTTCATATTAACATAAACCTGAAAATACAAGAAGAGATCGTAAAAAATTGATTCAAGTCGATAAAAATAACAACAGCATCAGAGCACAAAATTCCAATATCGGGATCCTTTTTCCAATTTTCATTGTTATCAATTAAGACTAATCGTATCTTAGCATCAAATTGTTTCTTTGCGTAAAGGAAAAGCTGTTTACAAGTTTCATTACAGACAAATTTATGAGTCATGAAAACCATAATAGTATCCGATTGTTTTAACGACATAATCGTCTCTTCAACTTGATTTTCTGATTCTTCGTTGTAGCTCGATCTTTGAAGATTAAATTAAAGGATGATAAGAAAGTCATTTAAAAAAAATTTTACGTACACAGACACTTCGGTATCTTCCAAATTTTCTTGTATCATCTCCGGAGTTACAATATCTCCAGATTCGGCAGTAGTTTTATAATCTTCCAAACAATAAAGAATAGCAAGATTATTTTTAATAGATGATTTCATCTTTTTAAGATCTCTTAATGAGCTTTGTAGTTGAGAGTCAAAATCTTCATTATTTTCTGGAGGTAACATATCTAGAGGGAAAGATAATTCAACAGGATTAAATGATAATTTCATTTATCAGCTATTTTAATAATTTTACTTTGTAGTTGATTTAAGGATAAGGTATGAAAATTATCATAACATTGCATAAATGGTATCTTGAAATCTAAGGCTCTTCGAATTCTCGTAGACGGTAGCATAGATGGTTCGGATAATCCGTGACGTACGCATTCACTACAAGGAACGTGATAATCGTATTTTACTCCGACAAAAGATTCTGCAATTAGGTTTTCGAATACTTCGTGAACCATAAACAAAATATTCTCTGGTCGTGGTCCTCGAACTTCAACCAAAACCGTTGATTTGCTATAATCGATAGTTGTAAATATTTTACATCATTTCTATTCATTAAAATGTCGATTATATTGTTACAAACTCTGTTTTTTTAATAAATCCTCTATGGATATTTTTCCTTAGAAGAGAGCCGTCTTTCCATAGTTTCAATTCATCACTGTATTGATGGAGCCTTACTTGAGCTCTATTAAAAAGTCCGGATGGAAGATAATCGAAATTGTAAATCATTTTCGTTTGAACTTCTTGTTCGCCCAAGGTATCTCCTTCCCAGAAAGTCTTTATAAGCAAATAAGTCCATTTATATAGTATATATAAAAAAAAAACTATAAATGGCCTACTTCAGTATCAATTGATGGAAGGAGACAAGGAATTAAATTAGCCGATCCTGATTTTAAGGGAAATGATAAATCAAATTCTTCCGTTAATCTAATAAGCCAATAGTGCAGTTCGGATGGATAAATATTGGTAGGCCATACTTTATTTAGGTCACAATGCAACAGTTTTCCATTCTTCAAACGTAAAATTCATAATTAAATAGTCATTATCGAAAAGGAAATTCTCTAATAGACCTACTTTTACGGCATTATCATGAACGGAAATGACGCAAGCCATCACATCGACAATCCATTGAGGATTGATGACTACTTTATCCTTTAGAAATTCATTTTCAAAATGTTGTAGGGTTCCCAACTCGTGTAACAAACGAATCGCTTGAAACGTCTTAATTAAATCGAAGAAAGAGAGAGAGAGAGAGAGAGAGAGATAGAGGGAAATAGATGATAAATTAATAATTTGGAATTACTAACTAGTTGGAATTTACCTCAAATTTATCATTAAATCCAAACATTGCCCCAAAACCAATAACTTCTTCCAACGAGAGAAGACTGGTAAAGACTCTGTATCTATTATAAAAGATAACGAAATGGCAAAAGATTACATATGAATTTTTCAATTCAAAATCCAATTTACTCAATGATTTTATTCTCAAAATCCAACCAAATTTTAGGTATCTTTTCATTCATGTATTGCTGTTGTAGTGTAACTTCAACCATATTATCAACAAGTGTATTCACACCCTTTAGTAAAGGTTATATATATATATATATTGTATATACTTGTAAAGATGGTACAATAAATCTACATACTTGACCTGTTTTTGATGAAACGTAATGGAATCCTTTGATTTGAGGATATCGTCTTTGAAGATGATGGATAGTTAATTCAGCTTTCTCAACCTAAGAGAGAATTGTTTTATTGTAAAATACGGCGGAGTGGATAAAATTAAAAATGAACTATACTTCGTCTATATGAGAGCCCACAACAAAAATTGGAGCTTTCGGAGCATGACATTCAATAGAACTTAACCAAAATTCAAGACCAGCGTGCTCATGGCCTAGCCGACAATTCCATAGGAGAAAATAAACAGCTCTATTCGAAAGGAAAAATTGATGGGTGTTATAATAAACTGTTTGTCCGGCAAAATCCCAAATTGAATATTCAACTGATTGAACAAGCCACTTCTTTATTGTAATTCCATCAGTAACTGTTGTATTTATAGTATCATGACGATCGTCATCAGATTTCTCTTTCATCATTCTATTGATAAGGCTGGTTTTCCCCGCACCTCCCAAACCTACCAACATTAATTTTGTTCTTCTACATTGAGTTGAACCTTGTAATAGTCTTCTCATATAACCCTGAATAAATTTTAGACCTTTTACTACAATTTCTCTTGGAGGTGTTTTTAGTGCAGGGCAATTCTTCAATCGCAAGATTTCTATTGGAAGATGGCAAATTTCGGCGCTAACCTCCTCAAGAACAAAATTATTGGATAGATCTAAGATTTTCAAGGAAACCAAATATTTAATACTGCTGTCCAAGACTTGAAAACTTTGATATTGCAATTCCAAAACAGTTAAGCTTTGACAAATCGTATTGTCTTTACACATATTAAATTTTAAATTTGAAATTCTGGGTAATTTAGAATATAATCCAGAGCAAAACAGCTCCATCTCTTCCGTTGTCCATGAGTTACTATTCTGTAAAGCGGTTTCTTTAATCAATTCCTCCAAAGCATTATTATCCAAATTGAACTTGTTAAGATGCTTCCAATGTTGATGTGCTAATTGTCTAACATCATCCGTCAAGATTGATTTATTGATTCTATCCGGCATATAACCAAAAGCGTTAAATTTGAGTGTAATCAGATTTGATAGACGAAAGATGACCAATGGAAATATACTAAAAACGTTATATGATATAATTAAGACCTCTAAATTATTTAGTTCAGCCAATTCGTCGGGCAGAGAATTTATAGGTAGGGAAGATAAATTTAAATATGTTAATCGCTTAAATGCACAAATTATCATTGGAAATGCTTTTAAAGCAGAGCACTCTGTCACTTCTAAGTGTGAAATTGTTGGTGCTAATGAAATTAGCTCTTGTGGTATATCTTCTATATCGATACCATGCAATTTTAACGCTGTTATTGAGCTATTAACAAACGTAGTTAACTCTTCCTTTGGTATATCCACAACTTTCTGATTTAAAGAATGATGAAAATTACAAATTATCTTTCGTTCACCTATCTTTATGTATTTTCGTTCGTTTGAGAAATAGGAAAAGCATTTTCTCCATTTTTCACTTGGGGATTCTTCAGACTTATCAATTTTCTTTGTTGTAGATAAACATTTTATAATCAAAAATGAAAAATAGAATAATAGCTGAGCCATTTCACAAGTACAATCTCTCTATTTGGACGAGGAGAATATTTTGATAAAATACGCATCAATTATTTTATCTAATATTACGAAACTTACCATTTCATGATCTTCAAACTTCCAATTAGAAAACACTATAAACGATAAATTTTCCATTTGGGGACTATATTCTTGAGTCTGACCTGCACTTTTAATGATATGCTTGGTACGATGATTATTGTCCTCTGATTCGTAGCAGAAGGCATACGGTATTAGCGTTTTACTTTTTATTATATCCGATAGAAAGGGTAAACATGTATCTCTCAGTTCATTCCTCATTAGAAAACCAATTGGATATTGAGCTACTGTTATTAAATCTTTAATACTTCGAGAAAGACGCCCCTTTTTCTCAATGAAGTCTGTTTATGGAGTAAAAAAACAAATAGAGATTCAAATGAGCATAATCTATTTATTTACCAACCCCTAGCTAGATTTTTATTTTCTGAATAAGGTTGCGCAACCAACTCGGTAAATCGTTTGTTTATATCCGGTTCACTTAATTTCTTAATAACTTCTTTAGGAATTTGTTCGAACGCCATACACTTGATGAACTCTTCCCAATCAAGTTCTCTATCAGTAGTATCTTTTTGTTATAAATAAAAATCAATACGGCATTTCATTTTGATGAAAGATTAATAATAATAATAAATTGTATACCTATAAAGATATTTTTGCAGTATTCTTTTAATATCAGCAACGACAGTGATTTTAAATCTACCCATTTGAATTGTTCTTTAAGCCAACAATGGCTTATTTTAAGCTCTTTTTTATCATAACAGATATCACCTATAAAAATTAAATAAGATAGAAAGCATTTAAAAAGGGATTGTATTATTCGTACATATCGTAGCAATAGTAGCCTTAATAGATTTATCTTCTTTCTCAGCCATTACTTGAAACTTTTGTCCAACCGCAATTTTATTTGGGGCTAATTCGTAGTTAATCTTCTACAAAACGAATATATAAAAGAAAACAGAATAAGTAAGATTTAGTTAAGTTAAACGAAGAGAAATACTTACTGGAGCAAAAGTAAAATCTATATCGCTATTCGCAGCCAAATCCTCTCTAGTTTGTATAATCAATTGATAATAATCTTTAGGAACGTCTATACAATCAGTAACTACATTATCAAGAGAAATTTTCATTTCAATTTCGTCACTATTCACGTGGAAATGATTTTTCGGATGATGTTTATATAATAATTGAATCTTTAAAAATGATAATTCGGCATAATACATTTTCCTTTGTATTCTTTCTCGATTATTCTTCCAAGATATTTCGTATCCATGATTTACAGTGTCGAATAGAAACTGTACCGTATTCCTAGAGTAAGATAAAATTTTGTTTATAGGGATAAGATGAAAAATTTATTCAAACCATACATTTCTGATCTGAAAAGAAAAGAGCAATTAATTATTGATTTGAAATAAAATCCCATCGCCAACAACCCTTCGACCCTACCATCCCTGCCTTATTAGAATTACTATACATACATTAGAAGTATACTGTGTTTAACAGTTATTGGTCTTATTTTGAATGTATGGAAAAATAGCGGATCCATTAATGTTTTACAAAAGTATTTCTTTATTTTATAATCTTTGTTGGGATTAATATTCATTGTTCTCAAAGTAAACTTTGAATTTTCTTCATCAGTAAAGTATATATCATCCATAGAAGATGGATTAAGTTCCTTACACATTTTCCAAATTAAATGCGTTCTTAATGAATTCTCTTCTCTTACATCTTTAAACGATGTATAAAATACTTTAAAGTTATTAACTGTCAAATGAAGAATTAGGTAAAGATTGAATGAAGAATAGGATTTATTTTAGATATACAAACAAAACGATAAGTTCTTCTCATCATCATAGTTTAGTTCGCTGCCCCATGGACTATCTAGTGTTCTCTTATAAGAATAATAATAATAATTTAATTATAATCGATAAAGAAAAGTTTCACTCTTCTCACCTTGTAATATATTGACGACCTGTAAAATGCAAATTCAATAATTGTTGCTATTTCAAATAAAAAGCCAGCTATTAATGATGGCGCCTCTGGGAAGTCAAGAGTAGAACATATTACTTCTACATCAGAATTTCCCTCAAAAGAAATGCAAGTTTCTACTGGACCATCATGAAGAACAATTCTTCCCTTTCTGAGCTGAACCAGGTAACCAAATGGATGCCCAATTTTGTACACTGAGGTAACCAAGTACAACAATAATCTGTGTAGTTCATCTGTATAAAGTTGACTGCAAATATGATAGTTCAGAATGACTGAGGTAGCTTCCTTTAAATTCTATACATGTATATAGAGATATGCATAGAAAAATGAAAAACATCTTAGTATTTAAGTACGAAAACAAACTTTGCAATTTTCATACGCAGCTTCCGGTTCGGGTAAATCGTTTGAAAGGACACAGCAATTTGGAGATAAATCTAATACTAATCCCAATTGACAAAAAATATTCTTATTCAAATTAATTTCTTTCCTAGTCTAATAAAATGGAATTGAAATTTATTATAATCATGTTAATTTAGTAAGGAAACAATTTAGGATAAGAACCAATAGATGACTGCTTTCAGCAAACGCTTTTGTCATATTCGTACAAATTGGAGTATCCTTTGTTAAGAAGTAATACTCTCCTTTAAGATCATCTTGACATGGCTTGGAGTTTGCTTTAAGGGTTTCGAGAACTTTCGACAACCACTGTCGGCAGACAATGTGATAATCTTCATAGAAAAGTGACTTTACGAGCAAAATGAGACCCTGATTGACAAAAATTCCCTAAAAGAAGAGAACATTAAAAAACTATGAAATTACGATCTTGTCGAGAAATTGCACAGCCTTGAAGTAGGGAAACCGATACATCGCCATAGCAATATCTGTACTGTATGTATTATCCAAAGCTATTTCATTATACTGAAATCTAAAATCTAGGATATCTCGACGGATAATCCTCCTTGAATTAATAGCAGGTGCGTCTAGGTATGAATTATAATTCTATTATAAATCACATATAAACATTTTATGCCTATTACCTTGGCCAAATGAATCAACTGGAATAGTTTTAACAATTTCGTCTAGTGAAATAAACTCACTCTTTGTCTTTGTCATCTTCGCAAGTTTATCTCGTAACGACTCAACATTAGGGCATGTAGTCTTTAAATATTTAAGGTACAAATAAATAAGACTAAAGGCTATAATAATAATAAATTAAATCGAATACCTTGAGATATCCTCTAGAAGAAGTTAAATTAACCGCCAAATTGGAAATCACTGTTGATAATGACTTTGAAGAACTTAAGTCCTTATTTCAAATATACTATATAATAGAGTAAAAGAATTATTTTAGTACGAAATACCTTTTGAAAATTTATCAACTGAGGCTGAAGATTTGAGTAGGAATAAAGCTCATTTTGGCTTAAAACCTCAGACAGAGCCAAATAATTATGTAAATTACGTTGATCTTTGAAATCCATATTTGCCAAATGATCTAATCTATACATTTAAAGGATTGCTTGAATAAAGTTTTTAATTAATTATCAATTCATTACGTTATCCGCCGTATTACGTTTTGCATTTCCTCTCTTCTTCCTTTTAACTTCTCTGATATTGAATTAACTTTTTTTGGTGCATTGCGATCAATTTGTAGTTCTTCTTCATTACTAGAATCATCACTTAACTCTGCATCACTATTTTCTTTCACCTGTTCTTCAACAAGGACTGCGGTAGGTATATTACTTTTTTCTAGAACCTCCCAGAAATTAATCAAGGGGAAATGTCGCGGAAGTAATTTCTTAAATGAAAAAAAGGGAAGAGATGAAATCTATTATAATAGGATGTTAATATTATACTTTGGTTATCATATATTCTACGATATTGCTACAAGCATCGATAATTCTGTTCTGATCAAAATTTTTACATATCGGTACTATTATCAAACATTTATCAGTAGATATTAGAGGTAGGAATTCCTGGAATGGGTAAGAAACAAGAATTTTAATATGTAATATATGAAAAGTATATCCTCAACCTCGGAACATTCGTAATAAATGGCCGAGTCTATTTCGAAAGAGCGAAATGAATCGAAATCTTGAAATTTAATTTCAGACTTCAAAAGATAATGTTTTAGGTCAAATCTAGGCCATTTTCTTTCCTCAAACGGTCCTTCATACATTGATCTAAAGTGTACAATGACAATTTTTTTCTCCCTCACAGATCGTTTTTTGTGAGAAGCAGTAAGATCTTTTATAAAAGAAAAAATAAACGGAAGAGTTTGTCATTAATCGCTGAAGTTTAAAAAAAGTTTTCGATTTCTTCGTACCGTATCGTTTCGTTTCGCTTTTTATTGTAACTAATTCCAGAGGATCAACATATGGGTCAAGAGATCTCATATTTACGGTAAATTTTAGCATTTCTCGACTGGGAATAGCTACAGCATCTAAATTCAGATACTGTTGAAATAAATGATAAAATTAAATTGTATAATTGAATGAATATCTAACCTTGTTTTTACTCCAAGTCGAAGGACTTCTCATTATGGAACTAAGTTCGAAAAGGGTCCAGGAAGCTAGCTTTTCGCAGTTTGAAAGGTGAATCTAGAAAATAATTAGATTAAATTTAAGAAAAACAATATCAATTTTCTAACATTTGCTATCAACATTTTTGAATTATTCTTCACTATCCAATAAATAGCCCAATCAGTTAATGAACTACAGCCATGTAGTTTAAGTTCAGTTAATTTCGTATTTGCCTGTTACAAGAAAATATTTGTTTTAAATAAGAAAAGCATACCAGTTAGATAATAAGTTTTACTTGTGATTCTTCATCGTTTGGGAGTGCATAATAGAAGAATAAATCGTTTATAGTTGAAAGATTCGTCACGTTGACTGTGGTAAAACTCATCCTCAATAGTGAAGTAGTTCTAAGCAAATTCTTGAGAAAAAGATAAATATAAGATTTGAATTGATTTTTCGCAGAGACTACTACTCGACTTACATGTGGATTTTCGCTTAAAATTGCGTGAATACACACTTTCGATGACGAAAATATAACAGGGTTTGTTAGCAAACTATCAGTTATTTCTGCTGCTGCAAACTCCTCTGGTTGTTTCGAAGGAAGTGTCGAAAATTTTTGTGGTGTAATTCGTGTTTTAAGAACACCGTGTTGTTTAATCCCTTTTGATTTCGTTTTATCTTTTTTTACTGCTTCTTCGGGAGTAGCAAGTATTACATTTTCACCTTCTTCAGTCGGTTTGTTACTTTCCTTTTCTTCAACAGATTGTTGTGTATTTGCACCTTCATCTTCTTCGGAAGGTTTGTTCGCTTCCTCAGGAACAGTTTCCTTTTTCTGATTTGAATCTTCTTCGGAAGGTTTGTTCGCTTCCTCAGGAACAATTTCCTTTTTCTGATTTGAATCTTCTTTGGAAGGTTTGTTCGCTTCCTCAGGAACAATTTCCTTTTCCTGATTTGAATCTTCTTTTGCCGATTCAATACCTTCAGCCTCCAATTTATCGGTAGTAGGAGGAGCAGGACCTTCTGATGCATCCATTCTTATATTTATAGTATGGTTTTTAAGGTATTCCAAAAAACACTGACTTTAATCCAAGAAAGGAGTAATTACAATAAAAAAACAAGATAAATTGCTTCAGCAGAATCTATAAAAATATGGTTTCGATGTATTTTTTTTTAATTGCTTATATTCTTAAACCATTCTATACAATTTACAATACGCAATATCATTTTCCATCATTTGTATTATATAATAATGTATCAACTGTGGAAAAACAACAAAATTTAGATTCTATTAATATACTTTAACAGTGAAAATAGCTGTGTGAGGCCATTAACCAGGCTAGTTACCCTTAGTAACATACAATAGATATTGAACGTAGCAGTTCATATATTTCGTATGTGCAGTTTATAAATGTATATATATTAGTGTTTATAGGAAATTACTGCTGATTGAATTGAAGAAAAGTACATATTATAGTTATTTACAGATTAGGATAGGTTGAAGGATGAGCGTACTTTCCAATCTAATCCCTAAACATTACCCCTATTCGCCTAAGTCGTAATATCAATAACTTTCCTTTACAATATTAGCTATAACATTTACGCCGATCCATATTTCTTGTATTTGTTAAGATCAAAAATAAGTAAATTTCATAAATATTTATTTAAATCTTTCAAAAAGTATTCAAATCATGAAAGAAATAGGATAATTAGCAAAATAGTAAATACTGGTGTTGGTGGCGCCATCTAGCTAGTTGCCCAGTGCCAATATCATTCGCATTTCACATCATATAATGCAAGTTTCAACTCCGTCTAAGACGTTGCCCCTTGATCTCTCTTTAGGAAGTCCAAAAGTCAGTCCAATAAAATCCTGCTCTATAGGATCCAGCTTGAAGACTGAAAGAGACATGGAAGAAAGTAGAATAGATTTTAAGGTAGAAGACAGGGAAGAGAAGAACATATTCAAGACGACGAGAGAAGTTGATGAGAAGGAGAGAAATTCTTTTCTACGTCCCCTAGATCCAGTCTATGGAGGAATTGACGATCCAACGAAAACAGATAAAGACGACTTACCTCTCCAAAAGTTATTTCAATTGGTTCAGCGGGTTAGTGTTTTCTTCGAATCGGGTTCTGACCCGTATAAAATTGATAGCAAGACTCATCAGTCTAAAAGACAAACCTATCAAAAGATCCCTTTAGACGTCGTTTCGTCGACCGATCCTCAGGGTTTACGATACACCTCCAGAAGAAACGAGAAACGGATTCGTAAGCATCACGAAAATTTTCCGGACGATTCTCCATACAGATGTCCCTATTGCAGCAAGGAATACGAATGGAAGAGTTCTGTCCGTCATCATATAGAAGTTGTTCATCATAAGATGAACGAAAAAGAGGAAAATCTAATAGATCCTCCTCAATGATACTGTGTGGAAAAAAAGAAACAAAAGTGTCCAATATTTATTATTGTTTTGCAGAAGGCCTACAGCTGTTATTTGTCCTATTTTATTTATAAGGAAATTGTTACAGTATTTTTCATTAGTTCTTTAGAATAAATGTGTAAATTTACCACAATCGTTTCTTTATCACCTTATCAGCGACTTGCGCGCTTGATAAATGGATTTCGTATCATTAACTGACCAGTTGATCATCTGCAGGTCCGCGCATAAGTGCTACAATCATTATAATGTTATCAAATGACACGTAATATTTTCTTGAGTATGTTGAAGTGTGTGACCTGTTGAAAGATTTTTTCTTTCCTATCGATTCTTCTGCATGAATAAAGTTTAGTTGTTAAAAATCAATTATCTAATATTTAAATGATTTGTAGAGATTTTTATCCAATTGCTTATCCTCTCCCCTCCCCCCTCCCCCCCACCAACAGCGAATTTTATTATACAAAATCACACAAACAAACACTATTTCGTTCTCTCCGCCTATTTTTTCTGTGTCTCTTGCTCTTTTTCTTTTCCTAATTCTCTCCCCATCGCTGTCGCTCATCTCCCAAAGATTTATCTTTTCCCTAAGAACATTTTCTACGGCTTTATCTTCTGAGTAATTAGCTCTCTCCAGTGGTACTTCCGTTCCTTTGAATTCTTTTCTTTGCACCTATCTTACCAACAGCTTGATCTTTTCCGGATCTATCCATCATTTTTTTGTTTATCCAAAATTTTTCCTAGCCGTTAAATAACTTTTTAAGGTTTATTTTCTCGTCAAAGACTTTTATTTTACGACCATATTAGGATTTTTGTAAAATTAAATCAAAAAAGAAAGATTGCTTTTTTTGGGAAAGTATCACTTTCGAGCATTCTGAAATTTATTGAAGTTCGGAAGGATTTATGATTGTTCTAATGGGGCGAAACTTTCATCGTCGAATATTTGTTAATTCTAGATCAAAGCGTACAATGGAACCTTTTCGCTCTAAGGATACACGGTACATTAACACCTCAATTGTCAGATGGCGCTAAGATAAAACTGTAGATGACGTTACGATAAAAGTGGAGGCGGTATATTCTTAAAATTTAATTGTTTAATTTAACTTTATTAAGGTATTATATGGATTATGAAGCATATATAAGACTAAATTTATCAAGTATTTTATCGGATTATTCTTATAATAGTGTTTAAATAATAGGATTAATGCAAGATTATCAATTTAACCAAACCGTTAGGTAACTTATATTATCACTCTTTTCGGGGTTATATTTCGGGCGTGTAAGCCTTATTAAAGATTAAAATAGATCATTGTTTATTGTTGTAGAATATACATGTAACTTTAATTCTAATTATTTTAGAAATGGATACTTCTATATTAAAATTTTGTTCTTTTTTCCAAGAGAATGTTCTCTGTTTTTTTTTAAAAATTCTCCTCCAATCATCCGAGTTAATCATTTTTAATTTTGATTTATATATAAAAAAAATTTCCTGGATTAGAGCATTCATTCTGGATATCTTCGTTCCTCTTCAATTCGTTAAATTTATAGCAGTTAAATGACGTGAAAACTATGATAGATTTTGATAAATGATTTAGGAAAATAGGGTAATTTCTTAATCAATAAGATAATCTTTAAATCTTTATCGTCCAACTAGGCACAAGTTTTTTATGTGAATATGATATATATAACAAAAAAAGATATATTCGCATCACTCTAAAGTAGAATACTTGGAAATTACACTATTTTATTATAATCGCTAGGTCAGTGAAGTTTTTATCAGTCTTTTAATACATTAACCTGTTGAGTATTTCTATGTGATAATTTTCATCTCGAAAGAGTGGAAAAACCTTATCTCTTTTATGAAACTTGTTAAAATAATTTATCCTTAGGGAATCGAAGAGCTTTCGACCTGTTCCGCGATTTATTTATACTGCCATAGGTTTAGTTATAAATGGCATGATGTATAAATGGGACAAGTCCAACTAATAATAAATTACCAGGATAGAAACATAATCTTAGAAATTAGATTATTATTAATTTAAAGCGTATTGAAGACAATTGTTGTGCATTTTATTCATATTATATTGTAATACATTAAGACAAATAGTGACATTTGCTTAAAAAAAAGGTCATATTATTTCAATAAAATTTACTCTGATTTTAGCTTTGAAATGAGACAAAGTGTTCTTCAGAAAGAAGATCATAGATGAGAAGAGTGTACAATATTTTTTTTTATTGCGGCATCATACAGTTCTGATGTCTCTGTGATATCATTTCTAATAATATATTGCATATGTATACCTGTAGTATTTCACAATATACGTTTTGATATACCATCAGTATATCTGTTCATTGATACTTTCAATTTGTTTTTTATTTGTTTGTACTTGTTGTCATTTAAAGATTTACATCTCTTCTATTTCTTATATGATCTTGTATTTGGATTAAATATCTATTAGAGAATGAGAAAACTTGTCTCGTAGCTATTATTGTCTTAAAATAGCAAAATAATAATTTTTTATCTCTTTTTTTTCTAAAATAACCTTTTTTCCAAAAGTAGACTAAACGTTAAGAATAATTTTTAAAATACAAGCAAAATAGTAGAAATATTAAATCATTTAAAAGAAATTAAATACATATTGATTGATGCTTCTTGTCTTCGTTTTCTTCATCTTACGTTTAACTTTTTATATATTAAACGCAGAAAAATGTTTTCATCATTATTAACTGCAACAGCAGAAAACACGGATATCGGATCCGAATGAAGAAGCTTCGATAACGGTAGCAGAGGGAGGCCACCACGTGCATCAGACTCATATGAAGTTGAATACAATACAACAAATTTGCTAGTAGAGAAGTATTTATCTGGATAGGATAGTCATCTACCGTTGATCTACACAGGTAGAATATAATTATATAGGCTTATTTTGGGCGATGACGAAGGATACAAGAGTATTTTGCCAATAGCTCAACATTCTCGCTATAAATAGATTTTTGATTGAGTTGGGCTTGAGATAAATTATGACCTAAATCTGTTAAATGCCTATCTAAATTTCCGAATACAATTTCATGAGGAGAGACGTTTTTACCATTTATTATCCTTTTATTAATAGCATCTTGAACTAGAAACAATATTTGTAACCATATCTGTTCACCTCTCATCTCTTTAATAATACTAATGATTTCGTTACAGACTTCATTCGTCTTTCTTTCAATAATTCTGTTTTTATCAACTCTAATCCTTACTAGAGATATTCCTAATATCCCTAAGAATTTGTCGAGTTCCATAGGATTAATATCTACATAACAGCCGAGAAGTACCCTCTTTGGCACACCAAAAGTTGAGAAATATTTTTCAAGCAAAATCGGAGCTATTTCCGATACTTCTAAACTTTTTATTGAATAAAGACTTGAAAATTGAGAAAAAAGATCAATCACTACTAAAATATACTTATAACCATCCGCTGTATAATTCATTGGACCAATAAAGCCTATTCCAATCAATTCGAAAAGGTCAATCGGGGAGGCAACTGCATCTGATAAACCAGATTCGCGAAACAATTGATAATTATGACGATATATATCACGAGAAATATCTTTTGAAATTTTACATTGGATTTCTTTATCCTCTTTTGACTTTTTATGGAAATTAGTCTCTAAATCAATAAAATGATTGAATCTACCTTCGAAAAAAGTCTGAGCAATTTCACTCAAATTCACCCTTTCTTGAGAGTTTGGTACATGGCGTATGGTGAAATCAAACTGAGATAGGATACTTGTCCATTTGTTTTCTATACGACTATCTGAACGTTCTCTAAAAATTCGAGATATATTATAAATATCGGTATACAAATAGAACGGACATTTGTTTAAGTAATTCTGAAATCTTTGTATTCCCCAACAGGCCGCTAAGCTTTCTCTTTGATACAAACTATATTTGCTCTCTCTATGGCTAAGGGTCTTCGACGCATAACAAATAGAGAATAATTTCATTTTTCCATCTTCGTCATCCCTAAACTCTTGTTTCAATACAGCACTAAGAGATATTTCCGAGCATGTAGTCATCAAATGAAATCTTTTATCAAAATCAGGAAATTTAAGAGTTGGACAGTTGAGAATCCTCTCTTTTAGAATATGAAAATTTAGTTTGGCTTCTGGTGACCAAACAAGACGAGCTGTTTCAACGTGATTTTTAATAAGACCATACAAAGGTGAAGAAATTTCGGCAAAATCTTTAATAAACTTACGATAGTAACCGCAAATACCGATTGAACTTATCAAAGTACTGTGAGATTTGGGTAACTTAACCCTACGAATCAATTCAAGTCTATCTCTGTCCATTTCTATTCCATCAACGCTAATCATATGCCCTAAAAATTTTACATACGGCTTGGCAAACTCACATTTAGATGACTTAATCTTTAATTTAAATTCGTCTAGCCTACGAAATAGCCTTTCTAGCGCTATTAAATGATCTGAAACATTTTTGCTAAATACGATAATGTTACCGAGAAAATTTAAGCAGAAATCTCTCATATCGCCCAATACAAACTCATTCATCAAATACATGAAATATGCTGCGGCATTTGTCAAACCGTAGGGCATTCTATTGAACTCAAAAAGGCCAAAAGGCGTTAAAAAAGCCGTTTTAGGTTTATCCATTTCCCTTATTTTAACATGATGATAAGAGCTTGCCAAATGAATAATTGAGAAAATCTTATTCCCTCCTAAATGATCGAAAAGATCCTCTGGAGAGGGTAGAGGATATTTATCTCTTACAGTCATTTTGTTCAATCGGCTAAAATCAATACACATAAGTGTCGTAAAGCCTTTCCTTCTAATAAATGCTAGACGAGATGCCCACTGAGATCGACTAGGCCTAACTATACCTGCTTTTACTAATTGTTTTATATGTTCTTTGCATTCTCTTTTCTTTCTGCCGTTCATATAATGGGGAATTTCTCGAAAAGCTAGAGCACCTTCTTTTAAGGTTATTTTCATTGGAGGAAAATCTGTATCACCAACGTCGTATTGACCTTTCGAAAAAACTGTCGAATACCTACGCATAATATACCAGAATTTTTGCTCGTCACTTGAGTTTAATACCTCTAAACCTATTCTTAGAGGAGGCAAAGATATCGAATTATCAATCGGCTGTGGGTTTATATAACTTACTCCCGAAATAAAGGGTGAATCGTCATCTGATCTAACTGACATGGGTATCGTTGCATTATCAATTACTAAAACACCGTTGGAAAAATCTAGAGTAACTCCATATTTTTCCAAGAAATCCAGACCAAGTATGCAAGGCAAATGAGTTTGTTGTCGAATAAGAAACGTGTGACCTACGAGATAACCGTTCAATTGTAGAATTATGAATATTTCACCTAAACTGTTCATTTCATTCGCCGTTTCAATTTCCTCCACTTTCAGACTATCTTGCCTAATTCTCTCCTCGTAACCAAGACGTCTAACAATGTCTATTGATACATAGGAAAGAGGAGATGAGCTCAAGATCTTAACGTTAAACTGAACATTTTGGCAAGATCCTCTTATCATATTATACGCTGAATCAATGCTAATATTTGAAGGAGAGCTATCTGTTAAACTAACTGTTTCTTCTCTACTAGATTCTGCTCTACCGTATACTCGTTCACCAGAGTCTGACTCACCTCGAGCGTCAGCCCAATCTTCATCAAATGCCACCGAGTCCCTTTCAGACGAGTTCTCAAATTTGCCATTATGCTCTGCCATAGCCAGTAATATTTACTATTTTTCTTGCTCTTTCTTCAATTTTCTTAACCAAAATTCTAAAATCCAAGAGACGAATAAGTCAGCTCTTTAAAGGGTCTCCTTTTATCTCTTGAACTCTTCAGTACAAATTCCAATAATCTTCTGATGTACAAATGCAAGTATTACTTTTATAATTGATAGTTGAAGCGACCTCTAGATGTTTTCTTAGCCAGTAGACAAAATATTGCTTTTATCTTTTCTTTTTGACATAAAAAAGAAATATTGAGTGTAAAGCTAGGAAATAACTCTTAGTTTTTCACTATTGCTATTTTAAGCAGGTCAGAAGGTATACTATAAACCATTGTTCATAGAAAAATCTCTCTGTTCTCCGCTAACATTTCCATTAAATGTTGAAAAGAGAGAGAAAATTGAATTTCAAGATATTACATTAGGCTTATACTCAAATAGATAATTTATAGCAAAAAAGAAGGAAAGAGAGAGAGAGAGTTACATCATCGACAATACGCTGTATTAAATTATCTTAAGCAGTAAATCTTATGTTTGTCTACTTCTCAACTAGGCCTATTAATTATGTAAAATAATCCTCAAAGAAAAAAGAGAAAAGAAAAGGAACATGTAAAATGGACGGAAAAATTGTTCTTTTTTTTTCTTTTTACACAATTTATACAATTAATCTTATATCTTGAACGATTTTACGAACTTCGAATAAAAGATCTATAAGTCATTCTCCTACTTTACATCTCTCTCTCTCTGTTTGCTAATTAATTTCAGACTTAATGAATTACTGAAAATAGACTAATAATCTTTCTCAAACGCTTAGAAAAATATAGTAATAAGAAAGATGTTATTAATGCGACAAAACAACAAACTTCCCTTGTTTATTGTTATTCTTAATATTTATTCAAAGAGTAACTTTTCATTATTTTTTTTTTTGACGTTGATCTTTAACCTCTTTCAACGATTAGCCATTGTTCTCACTGTTAACTACCACGTGATAGGAGATCTCATTTGTAACAATAAATTGTATAGAATATATTGTATATTACATTGCATATAAGAAATCTTAACAGTTCACTAATCCCCAATAAACACAAAAAAATCAAATTGCTTAATACACCTGCCGATTTTTACTTTATTAATTTGTGTAAAGTTGTTACGTAACAATGACTAAATGAATTGTTAAAAGTGTAGTGACTGTCAACTTTTTATCTTCCGTTATGTACTAGCAAAAAAAAAGAGATCAGTAAACAAATAGTAGAACATAAAAAAATAAACAAGCTCAACTATTCCCCACGGTGCTTATCCTTGAACAAATTAATCTTAACGTATGATAGAAAGGTTAAAGGAGAGGAAAGGAAAGGAAAGAAACGTAAATTCATCTTCAATAGCAATAGAAATTGTTTTAGTGGTCTCTAGACTGAAATTTTTAGTTATTATTTTTCTATAGGCGCTCTTCTTTCTCTGATTATCATCTCTTCTCCACACTCAATATCTATTTCTTAAAATTACTCATTTTACATAAAGTAGAAGCGTTTATAAGAGTATTATATTTAAAAGGAATTTGGTAAAGTTGTGTTATCCTTTTAATATTTTATCTTTCTTTCCTTAAACTATTCCGAAAGTATTCTTAGCAATCTTAGTGCGTACTCTACGGTTAATTTTACGATCTTTTGTAGGAAGCCATCTCCAACAGACTCTCGGAAACGGCGAAGAGGTCCTTAACCTCTCCCTCTCTCCCGCTTTAAACTTTAAGTTTAAACATTTTTTTACTTTTATTTTTCAACATCTAAGATTACTTCCAGAAGGAATCCAAGGCCGTGATAACTTGGATTTAAGTACAACGATATGATATTGTTCTTCATTTCATTTTCGGAAGCCTATTATAATCTAATTTCGATATTAATTATTATCTTAATAACTTGAGAGGTCAAAAATATTTCCATCTCTCAAATGAAGATCCTAAATTTAATGAAATTGTTCTGAATGTGCATACATAATCATGAAAAGCACATGGAGGGTATAGGCTGCAAGTCAATGTTAATTTTTTAAACTATTATCGTCTGTATTGAGCAAAAAAGTTTCAAATTTTGACAAATATGTCAATTAAAATGAATAGGCAGCGCTATCTTGACTTTAAATTAGTTTGAACGAAGTAAAATGAAATATTAGTTTGACAATATGGCGGCATACACGTGTTTTTTGTTTTGGATGAAATTTGGTCAAAAACAAGCGAAATTTGATTTTTAAAATTATGCAACTGCTGAATAATAAGCAAAAGAAACTTTTGGAAGTTTCAAAAAATAAAATATATGTATTTTGATAAATTGACCTAATTTGTATTAGTAAAACTATAACGAACTTAAAAAAAATGCAGAGATAATAGGCCAATTTAGCATAAAAAATTGAGTAGTGTTACGCTTTTTGTAAAAAAGTATATAAGGAGTAGGCGAAATCACGTAAATTATTTGTGAATACGCCGTATAACAATGAGTTTGAAAAAGTTATTGTCAAAGTTAGTAATTGGGACTACCTGGGTGCTATCCCCAAAAAGTTCTTACTTTATTTTGTTTACTAGTAATATCTATAGTATTAGCTTGTAGAATATAAGTTTTCGTTTTTTTTTTCTAGTAACTTTGAAGTGCCTGGTATAAAGATTTTACATATTAATGATGTACCAACTTACGTAAAAAGAAGAAGGTCGGTGCCTAGAAAAAGTCACTTTAAAACATTATCTACCGAGGAAGGTAACTTTCAGTTTATTTTTTTTATGTCATTACGCTATGTTTTTTTATTGTTTAACAGGCGCCGCGTCATGGCGTGGTAAAAAACGTAATAGGCCAAAGAAAAAGCCCCCGGAAACGGTGCAACAAGGGACGGCAACAAATTCAGCAACATCTAAGGCTAAAGGCAAGTAATTATTAAGTATTTTATGAACTTATGATAATTTCTTTTTCTGAACAGGCAACATGGTTGGCCTACCACGTGGTAACGCGGATTCTACTCAATCAACTACCACAGCACCAAATAACGTACCAAAAGTTGTAGAAAGACTTGAAAACATTGTTGCAGAAGATTTAAGGGTGCCTAGCGTTAAAGGTAAAAATTAAATATTTTATTGATGAAGCATTATTAACTTTAACTTTAAAAAAAGTCGAAAACGCATTCTTTTTCAAATTATACAATATAATTAATATAATTTGTTTTTTTTATTACAGCGGCAAGCAAGCTTCACGATAAAGAACCTAATGATAGACCAAATAACCAAGGAAAATCTAGTAATTCGGTTACGGAACAAGCGACTGTTAACGCAATAGGCAAGCTTTGGCAATTGCTTTTCATTGAAAATTATCTCATCTATTTGATTTTACAGCGTTCGGAGGGCCATGTTCTACAGCAGGTCAAAACAAAGAAGTGAAAAAGCAACAAAAACCCCTAAGATCGATTCTAAAAAGAGCCAAACCGAATATTACATGCAAGCATTTTCAAATTATTCAGTACAATTATATAATTTTTACTTTTTATTACAGCAACCGAATTACCATGTAGTAATGTAGATAACAGTGAAGAAAAACGTAGTGACCCAACTATAACAACACCTGTACACTATATTACAGGTAAGCACTCGAAATTTATCAACTATTTCATATAACTATTTTATACAAACTAAATAATATTTTTATAATACAGTAGTCCAAGCACCGCGTTGTACGGGAGATTTCTATAAACAGCGACAAAAATTGCCGATGAGCGGAGGAAAACCAAACGCCCCGATTAGATTCTTACACAGAATAGGCAAGTGCTTACTAATTATTTCAAGTAATAGTACAATTTGAACTTTTTTATAGTGAATCCATTACTAGTCTGTAGTACATCTGCAAACGAACATTGCCTTGAAAACTCTTACAAATTACAAATTAATCATGGCAAACGAAGGGTATCATGGGCAGTACCATTGGCAAATTTTTCGACAGGTAAATATTTACCAGTTTTTCATGTTTATCTCATGATGTTTTTTTTTATATCAAATTACAATTCTTTAATGCAGATCTAAACGAACGTACTGATAAAGGACCAAACAATATACCGGACAGAACTGGAAAACCTAATGAATCGACTACCATGACAACGGGACCACACACCGTAGGCAAGTATTTACAAATTATTACAAGCAACTATCTTTACTTAATATTTCCTAATATAGTTATCACCGTATCCGATTTAAACGAAGGTCCAAATGTACCCTCTAATATAAAGTCTAACAATGCATCAAATAGAACAGAGAGGCTTGATAAACAGATTGCTACAGGCAAATATTTACATATTATTAAAAGTCAATTACATAACCTATATTTTACAGTGCCGGCTTCTAATGCAGATCTAAATGAACATGATAGTAATGCTCCCAACAATATACCAAACAGACCAGGAATTCTTGATAAACCAGTTGCAAATAATGCGACACCTTACGCTACAAGTAAGTATTTAAACATTATTTCAAACAATTACGTAATCTTGTCTTTTTCATACAGTAGTCGAATTTAAACGTGACACAATTTCAAATGAACATGTACCTAGTACACCTACAGCTAATAAATTAGCATCAAATGCTTTGTGTAAGTATTTACAAATTAATATTTGCAGCTATGTGGTATTGTTTTCAATATAGTGCTTCGAAGACCATGTTGTGAAAAACCTAAAATTGGATCTCATAATCTGGATGGATCTATGGATTTACTTTCACAAGCAATGGCAATCTGTTCCATAGGTTAGCATTTACAAATTGCTTCGTACAACTGTATAATATTTATTTTTATGTTTTAGTACCCTCGGATGAAGAAGCCGATGGGTACGAGGCTGGTAATGAAGACCTGCCAAGGGAGCAGATTGCAGGAACAGATGAAGTTAATCCTAGGAGTAAGTACTTGTAAATTATTTCATACAATTATATTATCTATTCTTTTGCGCTACAGCCATCCAGATTATGAGATCCAAACCCGATTCAAACAGATATTCTAATGGGGAAACGAACAGTACATCACAGAATCAGACCCAAAGAGAATCCAGTTCTTCAACCACCCGAAACGTGTCTACTAATGTTTTGTGTAAGTATCTACAAAATAGTTTGAATAACTACATGAACTTACTTTTGTATTACAGTATCCAAAATAGCACATTTTATAGCAAAACAGTGCAGACGTGGGTCGAATGAACTGGAAAGAACTATTGCCAAAAACATAAGCAAGTGTTTACTAGTTAATTTATACAAGTGCATAATCATTCTTTTGTGATACAGTACTGCAGATGGCGTATTTTGTAGCAAGTAGAAACATATCCAACAAAACGAACAATAGACAAGAAAATATTTCGAATACAACATGCAAGTATTTACAAGTTATTTCAAATAATTATACAATCGTTCGTTTTTATTACAGTTGCTCAATTAGTAAATTATATCGAAAATCAAAAAATGCGTGCTAATAGTATTTCGAACGAGCAAGGACAACCAAATCAGCCAAGTCAAAATATAATGGCTAATGTTAAATGTAGGTATTTAAAAATTGTTTCATACAACTATATTATCTTTCTTTTGTAATGCAACCAGCCGAAGTGGTAAATCAAAAAGAAACTTCAAATAGGAATACGCCTAATGGACCAAAACGACCAAATACTGAAACAGCAACTGCCAATGCTACCCGTAGGTATTTACTGATTATATCGAAACAATTGTACAACTTTTCTCTTATCATTCGATAAGGTCAAAACACACTTTCTAAAGAGCCAAAAATCCAGGCCAGTCAAAATACGCCAATTACAGAACCAATGACGCCTAATAATGATATGGGTATGGGCAAGTATTCACTTATTGTTTCTTACAATAATTTGATCTTTTCTTTATTTAATAGTTAAAATCTCTTGCTCTGATTTAAACACAAAGGAACTACTCTATGAAAGTCCCAACGATTTACTAAATAGCCAAGATGAGACTGCCGAAAAAAGACACGATCTGAGGTCTGATGAAACTGAGTAAGTTTTATTTTATACATTTGCCAAAAATAAGCAAATATTAGAAATGTAATCTATAAGAAGGAAGGAAAAATTATTGATAAATTATTTTATATAATATCTTAACTAAATTGCTAATGCTTTTACAGGATCGAGAGCGAAACAGGAGTAATTGGCCAAGTTCAGGTTGTCGAGAGAATATCAAATAGAGGGGATAAAGAACAGAACCCAACAAATTCTCTCGAGAAAAATGCCAAAACGCCTATAAGTAATGAGAAAAAAGAAATTCGAAACCAACTAGAAAAGCGATCCCGTCAAGTGTTGATATCAGAAAATGAAGAAAAAGATTGTAGAGTTTTGGAAGGAGCTGAAGGCCGGAGACAGCAAATTTTGGAAAAACAATTAAAACGAATAAAGAAAGAGATAAAACGACTTAAAAAAAAGCAATACGTGCGGAAGGAGGAAGACAGATGTCAATTGATGCAAACAGTAGAAAACGATAAAAAACAACAGATACATGAAAAGGAGAGTGTTGATCATCATATAGACAGAGGTTCAAAACGGGAAGAAGTAAATCGTCAACAAATAAAACTAGAGGAAGAGAAAGAAAGCACTCTTGAACAGAGAGAAGGAGGGCGAAGTGATATAGAGTATGCGCGAAGAATGATTTTGATAGAAAAATTACGGGAACCAGAACACACAAGTCAAAATCAAAACGGAGAAAAGGGCAAGGTCCAAAGAAACACAGACCCTGGAGCTTTTGCTAAATACTTGGAAGAGATGAAAGCCTCCAAAGAGAAAAAGATAGAAAAAGTACGCGATGCAAAACGTAGAAGCTTACTAAAGCAAAAGGAGGAATACATGAGGCGCCAACAAATCGTAAAAGAACAACTTCTGCGTCGTGAAAAAGAAAATCCTGAACTAATGCAAAAAGAAAGAAGCTGTTCTATACACATGGCAGAGATGGAAAATCAGCGAAAACTGAGACAGAAAGAAAGAGATCGTAAGAGGAAATCTGATGAAAAAGTCCCAGCTGAAGTAGAACTTAATGCAAAATTCAGGTGCTTACGAAATACAAAGGGAGAAAACATTGGTCGCCAACAAATGGAAAATGATCAACAGCTATGTCCTGAGCATAAAAAACTAAATCAAAAACACTTTGACGCAGAAGAGAGCGACAAGCAAAAGTACCCTGAACGGGCAAAATCTGACGAGATAAGCGAACAGGAGCTTCATGACGTAGCAGACGGCGATGAAGAGTATCCTGATCGAGCAAAGTCTGACAAAATAAGCGAACAAGAAAATCATGATCTGGCAGAGAGTAATGATCAGAGCGATGAAGAATATACTGATCGAGCAAAATCTGGTAAACAGAGCGCACAAGAATATCATGACGCGTCAGAGACTGATGATCAAAGTGACGAAGAATATCTTGAACAAGCAAAATCTGACGAGATAAGCGAAGAAGAAAATCATGATCTGGTAGAGAGTGATGATCAAAGCGATGAAGAATATCTTGAACAAGCAAAATCTGACGAGATAGACGAAGAAAATCATGATCTGGCAGAAACTGATGATCAGAGCGATGAAGAATATACTAATCGAGCAAAATCTGGTGAGCAGAGCGCACAAGAACACCATATCGTGTCAGAGACTGATGATCAAAGTGATGAAGAATATCTTGAACAAGTAAAATCTGACGAGATAAGCGAAGAAGAAAATCATGATCTGGCAGAGAGTGATGATCAAAATGATGAAGAATATCTTGAACAAGCAAAATCTGGCGAGATAAGCAAAGAAGAAAATCATGATCTGGTAGAGACTGATGATCAAAATGATGAAGAATATCTTGAACAAGCAAAATCTGGCGAGATAAGCAAAGAAGAAAATCATGATCTGGTAGAGACTGATGATCAAAGCGATGAAGAATATCCTGAACGAGCAAAATCTGGCGAGATAGACGAAGAAAATCATGATCTGGTAGAGACTGATGATCAAAGCGATGAAGAATATCCTGAACGAGCAAAATCTGGCGAGATAAGCGAACAAGAAATTTATATGGCAGAGAGTGACGATCGAAGCAACGAAAATCATTTTGAACGAGCAAAATTTGGTGAGCATAAAAAAACAGAATATCCTGAGCTAGCAAAATTGGATGAGCAAAGAGATAAAGTACATATTGGAGTAGGAATATTTGACGAATATATTAAAACAGAACCTCATGACGTAGAAGAGAGCGATGATCAAAGCGAGAAACAATATCGTAAACGTGCAAAATTTGATAACCAAATCGATGAAGAATATCCTGTACTAGCAAAACTTCCCAAATCTAGCAAACCAGCAAACCATTACGGAACGCAAACGGATGAGCAGAGCGAGAAAGTATTTCCTGGAACAGCAATAACTGACCAAAGCAGTAATCAGGAGCATCGTCGCATGGCAAAGGGCAATGAGCAAAAGGAGAAAAAATGTCATGGACTAGCAGAATTTGCTAGATTTAAGCAATATCAAATAGATCGCATTAAAGAGAGAGAGGAGCAAAGTCAGAAAGAATATTCTATACGAGCAAAACTTGCGGCACAAAGAGAGAAAGAAAAACTTGGACTAACAAGAATTGACCAAAGCAGTAATCAAGAACATCGTCACATGGCAAAGAGCGATGAGCAAAAGGAAAAAGAACATCCTGAACTAGACAGATTTGGCAGATTTCAAAAATATCAACTGCATCGCATAAAAATGTCTGATGACGAAAGTCAGAAAGATTATCGTGTTCGAACAAAACTTGCAGCACAAAGAGAGAAAGAAAAACTTGGACTAACAAGAATTGACCAAAGCAGTAATCAAGAACATCCTCACGTGGCAAAAAGCGATGAGAGAAAGGAGAAAGAACATCTCGGACTAGAAAAATTTGGCAGATTTCAAAAATATCAACTGCATCGCATAAAAATGTCTGATGACGAAAGTCAGAAAGAATATTCAGTACAGGCAAAACATGCAGCACAAAGAGAGAAAGAAAATCCGGGACCAGCAAGAACTGCCCAAAGAAGTAATCAGAAACATCGTCACATGGCAAAGAGTAATGAGCAAAAGGAGAAGAAATATCATGAACAAGCAGAATTTGCTAGATTTAAGCAATATCAGCTGAATCGCATGAAAGAAAGAGAGAAGCAAAATCAGAAAGAATACTCTGTACGAGAAAAACTTGCCGCACAAAGAGAGAAAGCAAATCCTGGACCAGCAAGAATTGATCAGTGCAGTAATCAAGAACTTCGAAACGTGGCAAAGAGTAATGAGCAAACGGAAAAAGAACATCCTGGACTAGCAAGATTTTCCAGATTTCAAAAATATCAACTACATCGCATAAAAATGTCTGATGACGAAAGTCAGAAAGAATATTGTGTTCGAGCAAAACTTGCAGCACAAAGAGAGAAAGAAAATCCTGGACCAGAAAGAACAGACCAAAGTAGTAATCAGGAACATCGTCACATGGCAAAGAGCGATGAGCAAAAGAAAAAAGAACATCCTGGATTAGCAGAATTTGCTAGATCTAAGCAATATCAAATACATCGCATGAAAGAGAGGGAGAAGCAAAATCAGAAAGAATATTCTGTTCTAGCACAACCTGCCACGCAAAGAGAGAAAGAAAATCCTGGACCAGCAAGAATTGACCTATGCAGTAATCAGGAACATTATCACGTGACGGAGAATGATGAGCAAAAGGAGAAAGAACATCCTGGACTAGAAAGATTTGGCAGATTTCAAAAATATCAACTGCATCGCATAAAAATGTCTGATGACGAAAGTCAGAAAGATTATCGTGTTCGAACAAAACTTGCAGCACAAAGAGAGAAAGAAAAACTTGGACTAACAAGAATTGACCAAAGCAGTAAACAAGAACATCGTCACATGGCAAAGAGCGATGAGCAAAAGGAAAAAGAACATCCTGAACTAGACAGATTTGGCAGATTTCAAAAATATCAACTGCATCGCATAAAAATGTCTGATGACGAAAGTCAGAAAGAATATTCAGTACAGGCAAAACATGCAGCACAAAGAGAGAAAGAAAATCCGGGACCAGTAAGAACTGCCCAAAGCAGTAATCAGGAACATCGTCACATGGCAAAGAGTAATGAACAACAGGAGAAAGAATATCCTAGACAAACGAGATTTTCCAGATTTAACAAATATGATCATCATTGCGTGAGAGAAAGTGATGAGCAAAGTCGGCCAAAATATCCTGTACGAGCAAGGTTTGCCGAGGAAATACGAAAACAATATCTTAAACCAACTACTTATGACCCATTCAATAATCAAGAACTTCGTAATGTGGCAGAGAGCGATGGGCAAAGGCGGAATGAATATCCTGGAGAAGCAAGATTTGACCAATTCATGAATCAAGAACACCGTCATATAGGAGAGAACCATGAGCAAAAGGAGAAAGAACATCCTGGACTAGCAAGATTTTCCAGATTTAGTAAACAACTACATCGTTACGAAGCTCAGAGCGATGAGCAAACGCAGAGAGAATATTCTGCACGAGCAAAATTGATTGAGCAAAGAGATAAAGTGCATCTTGGAGTAGGAAGATTTGCGAAATACATTAAAAAGGAACCCAGTGACGTAATAGATAGCGATGAGCAAAGTGAGAAACAATATCGTAAATGTGAAAAATTTGATGAGCAAATCGATGAAGAGTGTCCTAGAGCAGGAAGATTTAGCCAATTCACGAATCCAGAAAATCGTCACGTAGTAGAGAGGGAGGAGCAAAGCGAGAAAGAATATTGTGAACGTTCAAAATTTGATGAAGAAAGCGATGAAGAATATCCTGTACTAGCCAGATTTTCCTTCAATGTTGAGTGAAGAGGAAATAGAGCCTAAGAGTTTGTTTTAAAGAGAAGCAGAAGACAAATCATTGTCGGAGTGAACAACAGAATACCAGCGAACATGAGAGAAAAATATCTGAATGTACTGCTTTACTGTGAGGTTATTTGAGTTGAGATTTTCTTTTTAAACAAGTGCCATAAAATCCATAATTTTTAAAGTCTTTTTTTTTAGATTTTAGAAGAGCCAACCGAGAATATTTGCAGACTAAACTTCGCTTCTGAACCAAGAGAAATGAAAGAGAAAGTACTTCACTATGTAGAACATAATTTTCCGAAGTTTTTGAAGAAGTCTACTGAAGCGAAGAAAAGAATGTTAAAACTATATATCAAGCTTTTATTGAATACACATCCTAAAAGTACAGCCGAAGGCTGAACTATGGAAAGTGATCGAAAGAGGAATGCCTCTTATTTGACTTACAATAGCAGTACTAACCAGAATGTAAACGATAGAAGGCCAAAGCCCATAATCTTTGTCCTCCGTGATATTTTACTATTTGTTTGGGGTATAGTTGCTTAACTAAATAGCTTTTTAGAGTAAACTTTTGTCGTTAAATAATATTGTAAATGACTATAATTGTACTAATTCTGTAACTATAATCTCAAGATATTATATTATTGCGATTATTATATTACCGATCTCTGCATGTATATCATTCTACCAATACACTAATTTTTTGTTCTAATTTTTATTAGTTCTAATTGAAAAGTTGTTCGTTTAGACGCGAATACAGGAAAGATAAAACTAGTCCTACCAAATGTACAATTCTCAGACACCGCTGTTATTTCTATACCTACAATGATGATCTAGTTAATAGAATTTTTTAAACGATGGCAATGTACAAGAAAGCAGTCTTTGTTAGAAAAAAAATGTTATTCATCTAATACCGTTAAGATAAATGATAGTGCTTAATTAATTCCTTCATTTTCACGCATAGACAAGAGATTATCGTACAAATGAAAATAGGATGATAACATGCTGTCCGTTTAATTAAACTAATTTAAGAAATTGTCTTAAGATATTAATTTAGTTTTTAGTGATGAAAAACTTTTATGCCTTATTATCCAGTCTTCATTTGATAGATACCTATCGACGGTATTATGTCGATATCCCATTGAGACTCGAAACTAATGTTTGTCAAACAAGTACGAAATGTTGTGGTCATATTCAATCCGTCAGATTTTTATTTATTGTTAATAAAGAAAGTCAACAAAACAGACGTCTATTATCTTTTGTTTAGCCGGTATTTACACACAAAGTTCAAATAAAATCGGAGGATGAACGCTGAAAAGTTATCATCATCTCCTGTGGGCTAATACGCCAGTGCAACAACCCTAAACGTTTTAAAATTATAACTTTACTACTTAAAGACAGATGGCGCAACATGATATTAAAAATATTGATAGGATTGATAAAGAATAGATTTGAAAAGTAACAGAAAATTGAACATTAATTGTGACTAATTGCTTAAGAAGCGCATATCGCCCGTACTGTTCATGTATATCTTCAATAAAGTTATTCTGGTAGAAACCGATTTTTTCAAATATTTAATTGTATTGTTAGAAATTAGATCAATAAACTTGATCATTTTGTCATTTTATTCTCTTCCCTTTTACAACAGCGGTTTCACTCTCTTCCTAACTTGTCAAATAATTTCCGCCTAATCGAACGGTGGATCGAGTCTCGCCGTAGTTTTTTGGTCGATGAATTATGATCGAAAGAAAAGAGAAGGAGAGAGATAGGGAGTTGTTATATTCATATCTTAATAAAGCCTAATCCGTTTATAGGCCTTTTAACTGTTATTTTTTTAATTAGAGAATTATGAACATTCGCTTTCCAATCTAAAAAAACCCAAAAGATGTAATTTTTTTTGCATAGCTAAACCGCAAGAGAATAGTCACGTGATATTATGTTAAAAAATAGAGTGGCCAGAGTGAATAAAAACGAAAGAGGGAAGTTGGTAGAAGAGAGACAGAGAGAGAAAATGAGTAATGTGTTTTGAAGTTTTATGTATTTATTTGACCTTTTTAAACAAAAATCATTAAACTGTATATTTTTACTTCACTAATATCTTATCAAGCATGGCAACAACGTCTCTAAGAGATTGCAATAAATCAGTCGCAACTTCCTTGTCCTCAATAACCGTTTCCATCTTTTTGCAAAATTTATCGAGGCCTGCCTCCGTATTCGCTTTATTGGCTTCTCTTTTACGTTGGCATTGTCTTTTGCTGTATTCCTTGACCCTCAATTTTCTTCGCAGCTTTCGCGTGCCTTCCAGTCTATATTCGCGCCTTCTTTCCGCGTTCTGCCTCTCTTCAGCTTCACGAAGCATCCTTATCGCATTCTCGACTTTTAACTGTTGGCTATAGAAGCGAGTCCTTGGAGGAATCCTAGGATTCGTTCGCAGATAAGTTCTCTTTGTTGGATTCGTTGGAGCCTGGGCCATTGCCGATGTTCGAATAAACTAAAACCAGAGTTCAACCAACAGTAACTGCTCAATTATTCCAACTCTACATCTACAAAGTTAATTTTACTCAAATTGAATTGTAATCATCACACCAAATTTGGATGATAGATATAGGCTTATCAAATAACTTTAATATTCATAATATTGCAAATAGGTTTACCGTTAACCTATCTAAATTTTCAAAACTATCTTTCAATAACTAAAACAAGGAAGGAACGGGAAAGTCTTTTTTTTTTACAATAGAAGGCAAGCTTGACTTCTTAATCGACTCTGTTTCGTTATTAGATTAGCAACTTTACTTTTCTTTGTACAGAGAGGATTCTCTTCATCTGCCTCATCGTCATCATTAACAGTTGTATTACTTTCAACTTCTAAAGTCCTCTTTAATTCACAATTCTCATCAATATTTTCGAGTATATCTTCGTAGTACTTGTCGGTTTTACCCACTGTTGCCAAGATCATATCTGTCTCCAAAACGTTAACTCGCGGTTGTTTCTGATGATAAGAACAAAGCCAAGAGATATCGCCATTCCCAATTTGACACTTTTTTAAATAGGCATCTTCTGTTCTAAAATAACTCTGAATTTCCGTCTCATTAAGGTATTCTATCATTGAAATATACGATGTTGAGAGCTGATCTACTGACAAAGACGACATTTCGTTAAACTTATCGACAAGTGAATTTCCTATATTCGAATTTAAAGCTACTAAAGGAATATCGGTTTCCTTTAGAAGAGTATAAACTCTTGCAAGATAAGGTGACCAAGTCTTTATTATTTCAGTAGTTTTTTCATCGTCAGGTGAAACATTCCATTTTAAAGATTTGAAATTTTCCGGAAGATGCCATCCTTCGTCACATTCACATAGAAATACGAATCTATATCCCAATACTGTATCATTTTCTGATCCTTCTTCCAAGTCTAAAATAGGAAGGTGTGGTAGACTTCTAATGTTAAAGTGACTATGAATAAACAAGAAATTCTTTAGAAACTTTCTCTCTGCCAACTCAAGTAGTTCGTTTAGCTTAATTTTGTTATTAGATTCGTCTATATTTGTTTCACTTATATTATCTTCTTTTTCTTCGTCTTCTTCAAATTTCACATGTTCTTTAACAAACTTTAAAATTTCATTATCATTGTCTTCACAATATTGCAAATCCACTTTTTGATAATCCATCGATAGCATTCCTATCTCGGATCTCATCCAATTTAGACCCGTTCCCACAACTGCAATAATGATTGGCAATCGAAGAGTCATTGCTGCGAAACGAAATTCCATTTGGCAATTTTTCGAAGTAACGTATTCGTCGGAGACGCATGCAATGACTACTTTTGCACTCTTTAAACCTTCTGTAATATCTTGAATCAGTCCAGTCTGACCAACCTGTTCAATATCCATCCAACAGCTAATACCTTCTCCTTCTAGTAGTTTCTTGATGCGGCGAGGGTCAACCTTCCCAATAGCTCCTTCTTTACGTTTCGTACCCTTTTCAACTGCCTCTTCAGAATTGCTCCAACAATAGCTGATAAAACAAGAGGCGGTCTTTCTTTTCTTGGTGCGATAGCTCTTTGACAGAGAGGAGAGAGAGCACATCAAATCTACCAGCTTGCTTTTCACATTTTGTGGATTTTGCATGTTGATATACAACTATAAGGCAAAAGAATAGGATAAGATAAGATTAGAATTACTTTATGGATATAATGTATATAGTATTTGAAATCCTACGTCATCTGCGCAGAGCATTCCGACGTCGCTATCTTTTTTCCAGTTGTCACTTTTCTCCATGAGAACAATTTGAGTTTTTACTTTTAATTGTTTTTTTGAATATAGAAAAAGTTCTTTGCAAATTCGGCTTTTGAGAAAATGATCCGACATCAAAAATAGAATATCTTTAGCTTCTTTCAATGTTAAAATTGTATTCTGAATATTCGACTCGCAGCTTTCGTCCACCATTTTGCTGTATCAGTAAAATACGAAAAAGTATTAATTGCAAATGTTATCCGACTGCAAAACTAACATTGAGACTCCGGAATTCTTGATTTCATTTGATATAATTTTGAATGTATTTTCAAACGTCTGATTGTTTAAATCTTTCGATGAGAATAAGAATACAACGTATGTATCGAACTGTGAACGTAGCTTTCTTAGATTTCTTACATCATTTTCCAAATGGAAATCGAAATCGCTTGTCGTTTCTGGAGGAAGCATTCCTGTTCGTCGAAAGGAAACACAATTGCGCATTGGAGAATAATCTTAATCAAGCAATTCCTTTATTTATTTATACCTTTGAGTTCAGTAATAGAAAGTGTATGGAAATTATCGGTACATTGGAGGAAAGGAATTTTCAAATCTATAGCCCTTTTTATTCTTGTGTAGGGTATAAGGCAAGGGTCTGTTGAACCCTGATGAATACATTCTTTACAGGAGATATAGCAGTCGTATTTCACTCCGACGAATGTTTCTTGGATAAGATTTTTGAATATATCATAAACAAGGAAAAGAATATTTTCCGGTTGAGGTCCTCGTGCATCAATAATCACAGTATTTTTACTACCGACAGTATGAATAAACTGATTTAGGCTAAAATCTATTTATACTTACTCTGTTTGCTTTAAAACTCCTCTATGGCGATTTTTCACAAGAAACGAACCATTTTTCCACATGTTTGCATCATCGCTGAACTGATATAGACGAACCTGAGCTCTATTGCACAATCCTGTTGGTAGATAGTCAAAGCGAAATACCATCTTTGCACGCGTCTCGTTCTCACCAATTTTCTCATGAAAGAACGTTTTTATCTCCTAAAGATTATGTAAAATGTAATATAGATGAAGCGTTGAAAACAATATGAGAAGTTAATGAAAGATTTTATATCCTACCTTAGGTTCTTCAATCTTTAATAAACATGGGATTATACTTGCAGGTTCATTTTTAATTGGAAATGTCAAATCAAATTCCTCAGTTAGTCTTAATAACCAAATATGTAATTCTTCCGGATATATGCTAGGTGACCAAATTTTATTAAGATCTTTATGCATCAATTTACCTTCCTAAGAAATAAAAACACGTAAAAAAAATATTGTTATTGAGTCAATTTGACAAACTATTATTGAAGTTTCGTGAACTGATATAAGACAAGCCATCACGTCAATAATCCACTGAGAATTAATAATAATCTTAGATTTGAGGAATTCATTTTGAAAATGTTGAATTGATCCTAATTCGTGTAAGAATTCGGTTGCTTGAAAGATCTATATAAAGAAATATAATGATATTTAATTTTTCTATCATCTTTATCTACCTCGGAAATGTCATTTATTCCGCATTCATTTGCATATTGACACACAGTTTCCCATGATAGAAGATTTTTAAATGACTTTTCACTATTGTAACAAAGAATAGTTAAATTATCATAGAAAGATACGGAAGAGAATATCTTACCTGAGCATCTTTTGTTCGAAATTTAGATAAGCTAACGGAATCTTTTCATCCATGTACTTTTCTTTCAATGTTTCAGTTATCAAATCATCAACTAATTTGTCAATACCCTTTTTTTTTAAAAAGAAAACTTAGATAGGAAATTAGCTATATTTAATAGATTTCTCTTTAAAATTATACCTGTCCAGTGAATGAGGAAACTAAATGAAAGCTCGATATTTGAGGAAATAATCTCTGTAACTCTTTCATTGGAAGATCAGTTTTCTCTACCTGTTTATTAGAGTAGTTTAAATAATGTCTCTTTGTGATTCTATCCAATTACCTTGTCAATTTGTGTGCCAACAATAAAAATGGGAGCATTCGGTGCGTGACAAGCTATTGAACTCAACCAGAATTTCAATCCTGAATGTTCGTAACCACTTCTCATGTTCCACAATAGAAAATATATTGCCCTATTCGTTAGGAAAAATTGATGAGTATTATAATATACTTCTTGCCCTGCGAAATCCCATATTGAATATTCTATCGAGTTAATTTTCCATGTTTTAATATCAATTCCATCTGTAACATCTGGTAATGTTTCTTCCGATTCTGTATCTTCTTCCGATTGTGTCATTTTGCGAATTAAACTAGTTTTACCGGCTCCTCCAAGTCCAACAAGCATCAGTTTTGTCCTTCTACACTCAACTGATCCTTCATGCAGTCTTCTCATATAGCTCATTATCGCAGGGAGTCCCTTATTTACAATTTCTCTCGGTGGAGTTTTCAGAGATGGACAGCCGTCTAAATTCAAAGTGTGTATTGGTAATTTACATATTGCATGGTCGATTTCCTCAAGGAGAAGATTGTAAGACAGATTTAAAGATTTTAAATGTCTCAAGTATTTTACATTATAATCCAAAGTTTTAAAAGCTTGATTTGATAAGTTTAAAGTTTCCAATTTACTCAATGAAAATGAATTATCAAGTTGTTTCAAAGGGGCAGAAGTCATATGGGGAAGCCTTTCGTACATCTTTGCAGAGAAATATGCCTTCTCATCGGGAAGTTTCGTTTGTGTTTTGTTATCCTTTACGCTTTCCTTAAATATTGTTTTCAAACATTCCTCGTCAAGGCCAATAGAGGAGTAGAGCTTTGTCTTTCCCTTAGCTATGCATTCTCTATCTAATAGGTTCTGATAGTCCATTGTTTGAATAGAGATTGAGCTCAAGTGTAAAATCTTCAAGTTGTACAATTGAAAAATTACTTTTGGAAAATCTTTGAGAATGTTATCATTAAATATCATTGAGATAAGCTGAGTTAAAAGTGAAAGTTCTTTCGGTAACGTTGGTATCGGATTACCACTAATATCGAGTTCACGTAGAAACTTTAATGTAGTAATCTCTATTGGAAATTCTTCAAGTGAATTTTCAATTAATGTTAATGATAACAAATATTTGGACGATTTTGAAATAATATCTTGTAGTTTATCATCGAATTTTGAGAATGAATAGAGCCATAAACTATTATCGGATGTTTCTTGAACATTAAACGATTCAAGTGATTTATCTTTGGAATGCAAATCACACAATTCCGTTTGAATATGCAGTTGTTCTTCCAATTCAGATTCGCATTTTTCAAGAAGCTATAATAAAAAATAATTAGGCTATTTTTATTAAATAATCTTTAAATGTATATTCTATTGTTACTTGTTTAAAAGTAGTGCCTGTTAAGTTTCCAATATATCCAGTTTCAATGGCCAATAAGCAGAAATAGTCTATGAGTTGAACAAACCAAGGTAACGAATAGAATGGGTGAAAGCTTTCTGAAAACTTGAATGACAGATTTTTTCTTTAAAAAATAAAAGTATGAAAAAAAATTACGTTATTTACTTACCATAGTTTTCTGGTTTAAGATCTTTGAAATCTGAATCATTATGATTATCTTAAGTGGTTTATTAACGGGAAATAGCTCTTTTGACGAACTGCGTATTATATGCATCTGGGGAGTTTTAGAGAAGCGAGTACCGATATCGCAAACTGGATAAATAGTTGCGTATTTAAAATTTATGATATCCTTAAGCAGTAGAGGTCTTTCCCTTAACTCATTTGGAATTAATAATCTTCCTTCCAATTGGCTACTTATCTTATTACTCATATTATCAAGATAATCAATCTCAAACAACTCCTGATGATAATCGAAGTTATCTGAAGGAAAATGAATATGATGAATAATATTTAACAAACACGTTACAAATATAATATAAATCAATTACAAAATTCTTGAAAGATTCCTTTCGTCCTTTCATTTAGTACAGTAGGCCTAAACAATGAAAAATCTTTAGCGTTTAGTAGGCGTTCAACTAGAGATTGAGAAACAATTGGCTTATTTAAATATTTTGAATGTTCATTCACTGTTGGATCATTTGTGAAATTTAATAAAATCGATTGAAATTCATCAACACTTTTCCATGTTGGAGATGAATGATTGTTCTCCGTTATCAGGATTTCATTGTCAGTAACATCGGCTATAAAGTACATGTTACTATTCGATTTGAATAATTCCCCAGGATAAATGAAATCATTGTTTGAAATATCCAAAATATGTTTCTATAAGTTAAAAATAGATTTACAAAAAAGAAGATGATAATATATATATATAATCAAAATACTAAACTGGATAATATGTCAAGTCAATATCAACTAATGTATTATTATACGACATTTTGCATCTTTTATTCCAGATATTTATCTTATCTATTAATATATCGTCCAAATACAATCTTAAAAGACAGACGTTATTCTATAATGATAAAGAAACATTAGAATTGTGTATATATAATCAACTATTAAATTATTAAAAAACTTACATCGGACGTCTCTTCAAATTCTATTCTAAAGGAAGAGTAGTTTAATAGAAAGAATTTCTTCTCTCTTCTATTACCATAATCATCGATATAACTATAAGAATTCTGATTCATATAGAAAACTCGTTCAATTTCTTCACTGAAAATTTATATATAAAAAGATTGTTTTTTATTGAAAGAACAATGAAAACGTATAGTTTCTCACTTCTCGTATCTGAAAAGGAAGAAAGTATGTAAAATAAGTAAAATATAAAAGGTTCATTAGAAAATATTAAACCTACTCGATTAGAAAGAAAGGATCCGACGAATTACGAATGCATATACAATTAGAAATTGTAACGGAATGACAAAATATTGGAGAATCCATAACTGGTAATTGAGTTAAATTATTTAATATTTTAACTGTAAGATCTTGTAAGAAGGTTGGATTCATTTCTTTATTTAATCGCCTTAATAGCGAATTTCTATTTATAATTCCCAATTTAGTTGAATTTTCAACAGGATGCTTTACGAACATTATATTGAAGCTATCAACTAATTTCATATTTAAATGGATTAAACTGTTGAGCTATTATAATATGATAAAAACTTACAAAATTCTTTGTTTTTAACTTTGTTATCGGCTTCATTGTTCCATGATGCATCAATTGATCTCTAAGAATTTTAATCTTTTAAATATTGGTCCCAAAATTACTTTAAATATACGTTTACCTTATAAAAAGTTGAGCATTTATAAAGTGAATATTCAACTATTGTTGAAATCTCTTTGCAAATTGGACCAAGTAGGGAAGCAGCTTCGTCTACTTTCAAAGTCCTACAGCAGATTGAAATATTTAATTCATCAATTTTAACGTCAACTTCTACAGGACCAAAATGAAAAATGATTCTCTTCTGACAAAGCTCAATAAAGTGAACACAAATGTATTCCATTTGATAAATTGTTTGTAGGTAACGAATAATCGTTGAATTTAAGAAACCGTTTATTTTTGTTTCTACTTGATACTCTATTACAACTTCAGATAATCCTTGGAGATGCTTTATACATTTTAAGTAAGACAATGTTAAGAAATATATAAATTTTACGTAGCGTAACGCGTTACCTCATCGTCATAGTTGTCCTTTAAAGAAGTCTTAGGTAAGTTAAGTACAAACGTACTTGCATCGTTAGGCAATCTCAACACAAGTCCAATATCTCTCATTATATCAAATACTTCTGATACCTAATTGGAAACAAGCCTTTCTTATCGTTCTATAGTCTCTTGTTTTCTTATAATAAAAACCTCATTTACGAGTGGATTTTTTATTGATAAAAAATTTAACGGAGTATTCTCACAGATTAACGTCTCTTTTCTTAAAAAATACAACCAACTGAGAGTATTATCGCCACACAATACTAAAGAGGAACATAACTTTTCGATAAACTTTGAAACCCATATTGGATCCACTATAAAAACATCTCCAGTTTGAAATGATTGAACAACAATAATAATTCCCTATGGAAAAAAAAAACTATCGAATTAAATCCTGTTACCGAAAGACTTAATATAAATAAACTAAACTATTTCATGAAGAAATTTCACAGTTTTGAAATAAGGAAATCTATGAAGTTGTAACTGCTTCTTTTCAAATTCTATTACTGGATTTAATTCAGTCAACTGTTGCAAAATTATCAACATATCCTTTTAAATTTTTATGAAAAACAATTAATACCAACGTATTTGAAAGACATATCTTCTTCTAAAGGATCAAGCAAATCTTTAGCGGCAGTTTTCGATGAGATATTCTTGTTGTCCACTATTAAATAATAATTGGATATAGGATAATTATGGAGAGAGATCTATTCAAACCTTTCAGTATTGTCACAAGATCTGTAATGTCATTAAGTGATATGAAACCCTCGTGCTTTGAAAACGCTTTCTTTAAGTTTAGGCTAAACTCTTCAACTATTGAACTACTATACTGAAGAACGAAAAGATTTTACTAAACCATTTCTTTTAAATAAATTTCTATTACTCACATTTAGAGAGGCATCCATCTCTTTTGCTTTATCAAAGCTCTTTTCAATTTCCTTCCAAAGCTAAAAAAAACAAAACAGAAAATCATCTCATCGTCGTCGATTTTATTAAATCTTTTCATGTTATTCTTAACCTCTTTATTCCCTATCTTCTTTGAGTCTATAAATTTCCAATTCTTTTCCCCATTCTCCGCCATTTTTCTTAATAATTCCCACAGTCCAATTAGGTTGTGTAGATTATTCTGATCATTGAATTCCATGTTGGATAATTCGTCGGCGCTATTAAAGAATCAAAGAATCATTAGATGAAGGTTGCAGATAAAGGTTTGTAGTTGTTTTCGTTTACCTCGTCAATTTCTCTATCAATTTTCCTAGGCTTTCTACCTTTGAATTGATGAGAGAATGAATTTTCTCATCCAACAATTTCTCATCGATTTTTGACTGTTGAAATCCTAAAAATAGCACATAAGGCTTCCAATTTGGTTTCAAATTCTGAAATATTTCAAAAATTATCCTCCAAACGTTTTCTCGCTTCTCATCTCTACTCATTTATCTTTGCTCTAAACAAAATGAAATATCTCACTTTTTGCAGAATTGATATGATAACGTCGAAAAAGAAGTTTGATGTTACGTCTCCATCTCCATTCACGTTGAATGGAACGATAATGGAGGATCTTTGAGCGGAGATAAGCGAAGAGTATTCCTGTGGAATAGTGAAATAAATAGAGGAAAATTGAAACTACTAGAGAGGAGGATGAAGAGGATCAATTACTTCAAATAAATCATAAAAGATCCAATCGCCATGAGTAAAAACTTGAAATGGATTTGTAGTTGTTTCCATTTTAGAAGAAAGTAGCAAAGATTGAAAATTTAGTCGCTTCTTCTCATTTTCTTTTTCATACATTGGCTTCATATGAAAAATTATCGCTTTTTTAGTTTTAACTATTGTATTCCTGTACTTTGGTAAATCATCTGTAGTTTTAAGACATAAAATTATATTGATTGTGGTGGAATTTCGTTAAAAAGTTCTATTTTACCTGAATTCGCACTCTTTTGAAAATTTAGAGGATCCAAAAAAGGATTCAAAGATCTAAAAAATGCGGTATATTTGGGCCATTCACCGTCAGGAATCGATATAACCTCCTTTGCCTTTTTAATAGTTAAGATAAACAGAATAATAAGAAAGGCTAATTGATTAAACCTTAATTTGGGTAGAGGGCGAAATTTTTAAAATGAAATCTAATATTGATGATGATAAGCCTTTATTTTCTGAGATATGTTGCTGAAAAATGAATGAAATGATAGAGGAAATCTGATTTACTAGTAATTTTTGTAATCTTACAAATACTGTACTATTTGTACTAATTTTTCCAATCCAATAAATACTCCAATCATCAATGGCTGAACACTTTTGTATTTTCGCTTCATTGACATTAAACTTTTTCTTATTGAATAGAAAAAACTATTGAAACGATAAGAGAGATGGTTTGCCTACTTACAAAGTATTTTTCGTCCGTAGCATGATGGCATTTAATATAGAATAATGCGAAAAATAGATTATTTAAATATTGAATATTATCAAAATCTATAAGACAGTTGACAACTTTATTTGAATATTCTCCCAAAGGATTCTGTTATTGACATTATAAAACAATTTGAATAAAGTTTAAAGATATAAGATAAAAAATATTTACCAATTTCGATTTAGAAAATATACAATGTAAAGGTATTCGATTTCTTGGGAAAAAGTTATAATTATGAATGAATGAGTTATTTAGAACAATTGATACTGTTTCATTAAATCTAAATGCTGAAAAGAAATTTTATGTGAAAACAGATGGAAATTTTGAAATTAGATTATACCTCTTTTACTCTTTTTTCCATATCCTGTATTAATTATTATGAAACTTGTTAAGTGTTAATATTAACTAATTTAAGAAGACGAACCTGAAAATTTACTAGCTTCTTTCTGAGGGGATGATGATAATATGCTTACACTTTTTGCACCTTTACTCATATCTCTTGACAAATATTGTTATCCTTTCAAGTAGAAACAGACTGAACTGAGCTTTAGTGTTCAATTAAAAAATAAATTTATATTATTGATATTGTATTTAATAATAATACTAGAAAAAATGTAGTACTTCTATTGAGCGATAACTAAGGGGTCTAACAACTTTACCAGGGAGACATGATCAATATCTTTCGCAATAAAATTGGTTGTGTTCTATATTATAAGCAATTTACGAATATTCTTTCATCTTGTTTATATATGGCACATAGCTTCTCCTTTAAAAATATCTTGATATTTAGTACTGTCCATATACTCATCGTACACTGTTATTGCCCTGTCTCCATTCCTTTTTATGCAGGTCCAGATGGATATATGGCATATTTTTACAGAAACTCTTCCGTTTTGTTGCATCGCTTGATTCAAAGCCTGGTTTGCTAGTTGCTATTTGTCCTTTTAGCCCATTCCTCCTTAAAAAAAGTTTTGCACGTGGATATGAAGATCCTGTCTCTGAATCCCGATTCTTGAAGTACATTTCGTGCCTTCAGAAAAGAATGCTTTCTTGAAATATTTCACAGGATCCTCTCTTCTTTTACAGATTAAATTCTGGGAGTTGAAAGCTCTGATAAACTGACAGTGCTGTATTTGTGTTTTTTTACCTCTTGAAAATTGAAATAATTCCTCGCATGTATTCATCGTTATAGATGGGCTGTCGGCGAACAACTTGTCGGCTAGCGTATTGACGGCACGCACATCATTGAGAGAATAAAGTAGCTCTGGGTCGAAGTCATTTATGTTAGGCAATTGAGTAGCTAGGTCAAAGTAGTGGACATTGTGAATAGTTTCCAGGTTTATCATACAGTCCCAATAAAAAGTCTCTGACAGTGTTGTTCTCAAAGGGAAAAATGCAAATTATTAAACCAACAGGATATGTTTCATTATCATTTTTCGTTTAGAATAAAGGATAAGACATTTATAAACCGAATTTATAGATAGATTAATAAAATGATTTGCTTAAACTTTCTATATAATCTGTGAAAATAGAAAAAAATTCATCTTTTATTATTAATTTTCAAATCATCCAAATTTTTTGGGTATTTGTTCATATACCCTTTTCTTGATCACTATCCAAAGACTTTCGATAATATTCAGATCTGTACTGTGGGCAGGTCAATCTTTAAGGTATTTAATTTTATTTTTTCTAAAGAAGGCTTCGAAATATTTGATGTATCCTGCTTCATCTTGCTGAAAGACGTTTTGCCTGTTGTATATTGGCAATAAATGGTTTTTCAATGTCTCTGAATCTATTGATTAATTGCAAAATGCTATAGCGCTGGAACCATCATATTTTATGACTACATATCATTATCTTACAGTTCTTTGCTTTGAAACTTTTTCTAGTATTTATAGGTTTTTATTTATCCTCCTTTCTACATCTGACTCCGACCTTTTGTCTTGGATACGATACCAGTCAAATGTCGTTTCATTCGAAAAAGCGTAGCTTTGAGGCTCATCCTCATTTTCCAACTTGGTATAGCCCTCTTTTATTTAATTCAAGCATTTTCTACCCCATTTCAAGGCTTTTCTTCTCCATAACGAAATATTCTCGAACTTTTTCGTTTTATGATCGTTTAACACCACTCAGGAACAGTCAACAAGTCAGAAACTTTTTCTCCTCTATGTTAGTGAAAATTTGTAAATAAAAATTACTTTAAAGTAAGAAAAATTGCTGTAATGAGTTCTATCTATAATTCGGTTGTATAAATACCTTATTCTTTTTTCTAAATGAAAAAAGATAATTAAGCAAGTCTGTTAGTTAAATAATTCACTTTTTCCACTGTAAGAACAAACCTGTCAGAGACATTCTATTCGAGCTGTATTTCAATTTACCAAATTTGTAGTTACATCGGCGGTAGTTTGAAATAAAGGAGTTCGATAACAACCGAGAGGGAGGTTAATGTAAGCAGATTTCTTATTTGCTGAATAATTTCCAGGGTCCATGATTGGGACTATATTGTCCGATGAGTAGATCAACTTGACCCCTAGGTAATGCTTGCTAAGTATAATGTGAATTAATATACTGTTTATAGCAAATTCATTGCTATCGGTGGTAGAGAGTCTACTACGTACGCATTAATGTCGTAGTTTTTACCCAAGTGAGGAAGAATGACTTTTACTTTCTCAGTTTGAATGGTGGTAGAAGTACCTGATACTGGAACTTGAACCTTTGAAGCATAAATAGGTTTAATTTCATTGTTGACATCAGACTGATTCATATTTACAGAAAAGGTTGATTTAGGTGTTGTTGAATCTTTATGATGTAAAGAAGTATCATATGGTTGATGACACTTTTTGCAATTAAATTCGGATAGGCAATAGTCGCTTGTATGTCCACAACACACCCAATTACAGCAACTGTTCAGCAGCTGAACTAATTGCTTTCTCCTTTCAAAGTTTATGTTTATATGTTATGGGCAAGAAAAGGTGCAGTTCTGTTGATGATTCGTTCTAAGGCTGTTCCTCCAGCTAATGAGGTATTGCTGTAGACATATTTCGAATCCTAGATCTTGAAAGCTATTTTTATTAGCATAATCGTTGTTCATGTTGCGGAATTGACGAGTGTGTACTTCTTCCGAAATCCAACAGAAATAACGGTTTTATAAAGATATTGCAAGTTAGTAGCATTGAACCTTTCAAATGGATCAATTCTTTTGTTTCTTTGAAAATCAGTTCGTGTGGTAAGTTCGTACGTTGTAGAGTCGGTTTTGGTTTGTTTATTAGTAATAAATGACGCTCTGTGCTCTTCTTTGTTTTGAAAATTTCCAAAAAAATGTTCAATGTTCGAAGATCCGCCATCTTGTTCTTTGACCGTTGAGACATGTTCCATCTATTACAATTATTTTTGTAACCTTTCTTCAAATTTATTTCTTTGCTCCTTCAATTTATCATCGAGAGTTGATGATTATGTCCTATTGACCATTTCAGTTGTGCTTTCCATTTCAGTCGGACGGTTGGTGCAGTTGGCCATTTAAATTTTACTCTTTCTTCCGATTATTTTATTCAATTTCACTTATACTTTAACTTATTCAATTTAAAAAAAAAGACAGAAAAAAAGTGTGACAATAGTCTGCCAAACTCTTTCTCCCGTTCCTTTATACTATTGTTATTATTTATTTGTTCTACTTCTTGTATCTTCTCCAATAAATGATTAAGTAAATTTCATACACTTTCTGTTTCAAATAAAATCGTCAATTTTCAATAGAGTTAAGTTCTGGTAAATATGGAGGCTAATCAACTTGTTTAATCTCATTTTCTTGGACGATAGCTGTAGTTACATTGGTAATGTATGGTGATGCATTTTCCTGCTGCCAGATGAAGTTCTCGCCAAATTTTTACCTCAACATTGGAATAATTTTTCCCTGGATAAACCCAGAGTAGATTTCTCCAGAGACATTAGAAGGAAGTCTTTTGATGAAAACTTCATCATCTGAAGATATACACCCCTACACCATCATTCCAGAGTCTTGATCTATCATCTAACTGGCAAGTTAGTAGGTGATCTGGACCATCTAGGGAAAACCTATATTCATTAGTAAAGACTACTCTATTGTTATCAATTTGCTGTTGAATCCATCCACCTACTGGAGCTACTTTGTATTTTTAGCCCTTGTTGACAGGCAAACTCTAAGAATATCTAGATTTTACAAAGATTCTAATCTGCCATTTTGTTCTCCTTTGAAGATCGTTGAGCAATTCGGTGTAGGATTTTATATTGAATTGTTGGCGTTCTTTGGTGCCTATCGCCGTATCTTTTATTGAGATTTTCGTAAATTTGATGAGATCACAGGGTGACACTTTTGCAATTCTCATTTTATGTGGAGAATAGGGAGAGCTAAGCTTCCAAGATAGGTATTTCACGTATGATTGCCTTCTAAACTGTCGACCTAGTGTTCGATATAGTTTTCGTAATGTCAGAGCTGAGTCTGATATGGCCGTTTTTGGCATGAGGTCATTGGTACTACTTGTACTGCGCGAAAATGTATTCATGTAACTACTAGTAGGTATACTATATCCCCCTACAGTTCGGCAGATGGGCTCATAAAATCTATTGCACACAGTCTTGAAATAGGCTGATAAATTCTCCATTACGGAATTCAGGTAGATTTGCCATTCGTAAAGTTGTCTTTTTGTGGTTCTTTATTACGCATAATTTACATTTTTTTATAACCTTTTGTTTTATTCCAGTTGATGCATATATAAGATGTAAACTCTCTGCTTACTTCATCCAAATAGTTTGGAGAGATGCATGATTGTTATTATCGTGTATATATTCGATGATTCTAGTATGGTGAGCGTTTACAATAATCTTTCTTGTCTCTCGTGATTTGGATAGCCTTTCCATAGGAATAGTGCTTTGAACAATTTTATATAGATATCGTTGTGCAATGTCTTGTTCGGCGGTGATTAGCTTTGTGTCTTTAGAAGGTTTATTGACTCATAGACGAGAGTTGGTATTAAATCTTAAAATCCAGGCCATGGTATGACGCATCTTTGGCCAGCTCCATTTATAGCGAATGTGAAATCCGCTATTACTAGGTTATTTCTTACATTTAAATGATTTATTTCAATATTTCTAGTGCCGTTTTGTCATAGAATGCTCAGTGTCCCTGTGGGGTAAATTGACTTGAATTTCATCGGATAATGGATAATAAAGAAGCTTGCTTAACAGTACAATCTAGAGCAGTAAGGGCTACAAAAAAAGGTGAGCTTGTGGCACCGAAAAAATATGGAGGATTATCACAGCAGATAAAATATTACCCTTCTGTTGATAATGCCATGGTGGGAGATGTAAAATTTAACCTCATCATGTGGCACTGGTCGGACATAATTATGGGCAAACAATGTTTGAATACCTTTAATATATTCATCATTGTAAATGGATTGTCAACGGATGGTTTGTAATCGAGCTCTCGCCTTGAAACGGTTATTCTGAAGTACTTTGAGGTCATATTTAAAAGGAGTAGAGGGAAAGTCCAATAGTCATTCGACGGTTGCGTATAGTTTTCCAGTAAGTCAGCAGCACGAATATCTTGCGAAAAAAACGTGGTGGGCCTGAAACGACCTATGTCCGGCAATTGGAAAACTTGATCGAAGTTATGGACATTACGGCTAGTTTCAGTATATACTATGCTGCAATTCACCATATTTGTAGAATCGATTACGTTTGGGATGGTGTGAGGTATAGGAGTTCGATACCAGCCCAGAGGAAATTTAACATAGGCAAACTTCTTATTTCGGAACATCCATAGTGGGAATTGTATTGTCCGATGAGTAGGTCAACTCGACCACAAGGTATTTCTTGTTCGGTGTAAAGGGAATTAATATATATTGCAGGTTAGCCTGCCATCGGTGGTAAGAAATCTACCACTTACGCTTTAGCGTCGTAAGCTTTACCAAAGTGATGAAAATTGACCTTTACCTTCTTAGTTTGAATGATTTTATTTGACTATCAATAGTAGGTAACGTTCTCTCATCTCATTTTCCAAGTTCGGCCATCTTGTTCTTTGATCGTTGTGATATGTTAGAGTTATGACCATCGACTACATACAGTACCGGCGGAAAGATATGATTTTATATTTAGTAGTATTTTCCTTATCATTCTAGGGAGAAAAAAATGTTTTTAAAAAAAGTACGTTGTATATTCTAATGTTTCAATATATAGTATATGAGTCCTTGGTATTTAGTACACCTGCCAGCCTTCTATTTATTGAAAAATACAAGTACCTCCTCCTGTATATGTTTTTGTCGTAACAATTATAACTAAATATGAATAATTATTTCTATTTTCAAGTATGTTCTTAATATCTCTGAGACTGTTCTCTTAATGTGTGCTTCTTCAACGGTTTCATCCCATTCAACACTATGGAATTCAGATATTAAAAGTATGACAGTGTACCTTATTTGGTTCGATGAAGCCGATAATGTTGTAAATACGACAATAAGGCCGTTCCTCCTCGCAGGTAGTGAGGCATTGCGTAGACATATTTCAAATTTATCTTTATTAGCATCATCGTTATTCACGAGTATAAACTTCTTCCGTCGTCCAACGGTTTACAATCAAACATTTCTTTAAAATTCATCTTTGAACACTTCCAACAGTTCCTCCTCCTTATTTCTTAGCTCACGTATCATCATTCTCTTTTTTTCATATAACCCATATTGACTCAATAATATTGCTGGCCATGGCTGTAATGTTTTCATGCTTTTTCTTTTATTTTTCCAATTCTGATTCCCCAATTTTCTTTTGTCTTTACAGATCTCCTCTTGAATAATGCTGGTTTATAATATCTGACGGGCTCTCTACTTGGGGTTTGATTTGGATGTCATAGTAATTTGCTTTTCCGTCTTTCGTGTCACAATCCAATGACTGCTTGGATTATCTTTTATATTTTTTAAGTTTTAAACAGCGGTTAGGGAACATTTAAGACTTCTAACGTTTTTGAAGATGATTTAAAAGAGAAATTCTTATAGCTTCTGATAGTTTTAATTTTCTTAACAGCTAGACTACGCATGCGCATTTAAATAAATGATTTTAAAATCCGGTAAAAAGTGAAACTACTCAATGCTGTAAATTTGACATGAGCAGGATGAAAAGGATTGTAAAGAGACTTAAAAAAAACAAGGAAAGGGTAACAGCAGCAAAGATTTTAAAGGAATTAGATGTGAGCCTTAAAACAATTCAGAGGGAGCTGAAAAGATAACATTTGAAATATAAAAAAGTAAGATAAAAAGTTAATCTGACAAAGAAGGATTGTAAAAGAAGAAAAGATTCCTATCTTAAAAAGACGCCTCTGGAAAATCCTTTTCCGCTTCCGCCATGAGTGGAGTTTGTATCATCCCTTCTCAGCTACTCAAATCGACGTCAATATTGCAAGAGTGGATCACGTTTTCCAACTGCTAAAGGCACAGGATCCCTCCATCTCTCATCAATTACTAGCCGATTACCTGAATGGTTCAGTAATCGATCCATTCACCTCTTCCTCATCCACCGCCCAATCCGTGATCTCGGTGACTCGTTCTGCATCTGCCCACATACGAAAAACAATAAACGTCGAATGGCACCTGTCAGATATCCTAACACTACAAATCACGGCAAACGTCAGTAAGGTGTAGCGCCGAAATCAACCGCAATTTCCGTCATGAAATCAGAACGAATTGATCGGAGCGAAGACGAAAGGTATTTACAACTTCTGACTGTGAATATTATACACCTCCACGAGCCTTTTTCAATACTACGTGGTGCAGTAACAGAGCTGAGAGTACGTGAGTTTTGCACAGTTGACAGAACAGGGAAGATCCTTCCAGGACTCCTCTCTACACCCAGTCTCCAATCATTTCACTTATACCCGCTCCTTCCTGAGGTATAGGGACTATCGCTTAATATACAAAGCTAGGCTCAGTGTCCGTCAGATCAAAGCCGTCAAATCTCGATTCGACAACCGCACTAGACCAGACTGCAGGAGATGTCATTTCCAGGCAGGGTCGGAACACCGAAGAAAAAAGAGTGCGTACTTTACCATTTGTAGTGGGATCCTTGCGAGCATGGTCGCTCATCAACCCCAAAGTATTCCAAGCGTTGGGGATCGGTTTTGGGTACAGAAAATTTTTAAATCTAGACTGGTCTAGAGTAATTTTTAAAAATTAAGCTAGATTCTTACGGAGTGGACCAGGTGATCTTCGGACACGGAAAAATGATGGGTTAGAAAAAATATGGGCAGGGGTGGAGTAATCGTTCGGGGGCTAATAAGATCAGATGGGGTATTTTAACTTTGAAAGATTATTGAAAAGTAAAATACTGTGACTTGTAGTTGTATTGTTGTACAAGATGTTCTTCCTGTTGTAAAAGAAATATCAGTTAAAATGAGGCCGTAAGACGTATAGTTTCCAATGAAGATTGGCGGTTTCTTTTTAGATTTGAAGCAAGTAGCAGTGATTTAATGATCCCAAACAGCCGCTTTATAATTTCCATTTTATGTTTTTTGTAATATCTGTCGAACTATGTTTAGTTCTGCTAATTGGTTTCATGAAATCCATGTCGCAGTCTTGGAATGGACTAATAAATTATCCTTTCAATAATAGTACAAGAATAGTTCGTATTTACGGAGAAGGTTGGTTTAGGTGTTGCCGAAGTTCTGGGCGTTGATCTCTGCTTTGTTTTGGTTAGTCATTCTCGTTTCCATTGTATTGTTCTGGACGGTCATTTCTACAAACCTTTCCTCGAATTTATTTCTTTGCTCCTCAAATTTATCATCAAGGGTTGATGATTCGGTCGTGTTGACCGTTTTAGTTTTGGTTTCCAATTGATTTGGACGGTTGGCGCCATTGGCCATTTGAATTTTACTCTTTTCCCGGTATTACTTTATTCAATTTCACTTATACCTTAAATTGTAACAACTACAACCAAATTTTATTTGATATTTGTAATTACCTAACTGAATCGTTAATCATTTAAAGTAGCTACGGTATGAATGAATACCGCCCAAGGAATGACTTAAGGCAAAGTTTGAATATTAAAAAGTAAAGTCTATACATAAAATAGTATAGACGATAACCATAACACTGGCTGAAGGAAGGGGAACGGAAAGAGATTCATTCGGGATCATACGGTATTATATTTCTGGCATCCTTTTCTAATTTAATGTGTCCGAAATACTATGTATCTCATATGTACGTTCCGATATTTGTCGAGTTATGTAACCAAGCTGGAATTTGTACATTGCTTGCTGGTCTAGGTATAGTACTAAGTCGTCTATCTATAGATTTGGTTTGTTGTGGTCTTTTTGCCCTTTTGTCATTTTTTGGAATGGTTCAGGACAACATTTCATGTTCAATTGTTGACATTTTTTAATAATTGTCGCCGGGTTATATTCGTTATCCTTTATTGGTAGTTTTGACAATTTAATGAAGTGAATTTGTTTTCGGCCATTCCCACTTGTACATAAAAAGTTGAAATTCAATCATCAGTGTTTCTGCCGTCATGAAGTGATTGGTACTATCTTATATTGCTCTTGATCGTAGATAGGTAACTATTAACAAGTATACTTTGCTACTGTGGGTTCGGCAAATCAGCCCTATGACATCTGTAGCGCAGTCTTGGAATTCTCCGGTACGGGAATCTGGTAGATTAACCATTTGTAAAATTGTTTTCTTTGCGAGACATAGTTCGCATCTCTTCAATACCTTCTTTATTTCGATCGATGGGCATATAAGATGAAGGGTCTCGGACAACCTCATCCAGACTACTCGGAGAGATAATAATTATTGCAACCTATAAACTCGATATCGATAGCTAATGAGGTATTGCCGTAGACATATTTCGAATCCTAGATCTTGAAAGCTATTTTTATTAGCATAATCGTTGTTCATGTTGCGGAATTGACGAGTGTGTACTTCTTCCGAAATCCAACAGAAATAACGGTTTTATAAAGATATTGCAAGTTAGTAGCATTGAACCTTTCAAATGGATCAATTCTTTTGTTTCTTTGAAAATCAGTTCGTGTGGTAAGTTCGTACGTTGTAGAGTCGGTTTTGGTTTGTTTATTAGTAATAAATGACGCTCTGTGCTCTTCTTTGTTTTGAAAATTTCCAAAAAAATGTTCAATGTTCGAAGATCCGCCATCTTGTTCTTTGACCGTTGAGACATGTTCCATCTATTACAATTATTTTTGTAACCTTTCTTCAAATTTATTTCTTTGCTCCTTCAATTTATCATCGAGAGTTGATGATTATGTCCTATTGACCATTTCAGTCGGACGGTTGGTGTCGTTGATGATTCAGTATTCAGCTGGTATTATTATTTACTTTATTGGTAATAATTTATAGTAACTAGTATATGGATGGGTATCGTAAAGAGAATAAAAAATGACTTAAGCCAAGTTAAATAGTATAAAAGTTAGAGTTAAGCGTAATGCTAGACTTGGAAACGTGTAAGGTAAGGAATTATATCTCTGGCGTCTATCTATTTTCCTGTGATCGGTGTATATCTCATATATGCGTTCCAATATTAGTTGGGTAATATATCCAAGTTTAAAGTTGTACATTGGTTGTTGGCACAGACATAATACAAGGTCGATTGTAGATTTGGTTGATACTGATCTTCCCGTTATTTGGTTCTCTTTTGCATGTCGTTAAATAATTCCATACAGGATTTCGAGTTCAGTTGTTGTCACTCTTAGTAATAGCTGCAAGATTATATTCAACGTTTTTATTGATAGCATGATTAGTTTGATGAAGCCAATAGATGATACGGTCATCGGTTCGCCTAGATCATCAATCGCGAAACTTGTGGGGCGATGATTAATTTGGTTTTCTATAGCCGACAATGTGAGGTGCATAGTTTCTCATTTTGACAGTTAATTTTTCTTTAATTCCGACGTGAATATCACTTTTTTTATGAATCCGATGAGTCGATCAACAATGCCCGTTTTATGTGGAGAATAGGGAGAGCTAAACTTCCAATATAAGTTTTTGACATTGGATTGTTTCTTATTGTGACTTTCCAAGGTTTAATTCTTTATTATACATAGTTTGCATCTTTTTAAGACCTTTTTTATTTCTATAGTCGCATATAGAAGGTGTAGATTCTCTAACTTCATACAAATAGTTCAAAGGGGTGTGCATGATTTATGTTATAATGGATGTATTCAATAACTTTAGTAATAATAGATTGACGAGCATCCACGATAATCTTTTTTTGTCTCTCGCAATTTATCCAATCTAGGAACTGCTTTTACTGATAAGAAAATAGTTTTATATGGTTTTATGAAGTTTGATGCCCTTATTGCTGCTGTCAATTCTGCTCGCGGAATGGATGCTCTAGGAGAAGAGCAGAGACGGGACGCCTCGGCATATATGTAAATTGCGTGGGGAAGTGGAATCTTTCTATTAATTGAATAGTTTCCGGAAATTTCTGCTGTTGTATTATACTAGGTGTTCTAACAGCACGAATATCATTGATAGAACGGGGTGGATCTGAGTCGAAGTCGTCTATGTCAATTGAATAACAGGGTCGATGTGATGGACATTGTAACTGGTTACCGGGTATACTATTTTGCAATTTACCATATTTATAGTTTCGTCACAGGCAAAGGGACTCAAAACCAACCAAGGGCATGTTTAACAGAGGTAAATTTCTAGTTCTTTATAGTTTTAAGGGTCCGAGATAGGAACTGCTTTTACTGATAAGAAAGTCAACTTGACCACTGGGTAGTGCCTGTTCAGTATGGTGTAGGTTAATGTATATTGCAGGCTGACTTGCCATTGGTGATAAAGAATCTACTACGTATGTATTAACGTCATATTCCTTTCCTAAGTGAGGTAAAATAACTTTTACTTCTCAGTGAGAAAGCTTGAATTCGTTGTTGGCGTAATATATGACAATAAGCTATTGTTCAAAAACTTATACTGAAGAAACTAGTATGGAATACGATGACTCTCATAGTAGACAACTATCCCACATGAATTTTGACCATTACGATGAGAGAAATATAAGAACGAATGGATTACGCATGAATAATTTTTCCAATTCTATGGATTGTCAAATGACAAACGAGACCATTGAATCACAATCTTGCAACTCTACAGTTGTTTCCAAGAACTTCAATTTGCCAGACGATTTAAGTAAAATTTTTGCTAGACCTGGATGCAATACAGGAACGTTTCCTAATGCTTCTAAGAAAAGTAAGAAGACAAATTTACCTAAACCAATAGGTTTAGCTACGAATACTGAATCCCTTCCTAGTGATTATTGTCTTTCTCAACGAACCACATTCAGTTAGCATTTATTACATAAAATTTATTATAGAAATCTTTAACGAAAGCAGAAAAGACAATTGAAACTCCTAAAAAACAAATTCAAATTTTAAGTTTGCTTTTTTCAGGGGACTTGTCGAAATTTCGAAGTCGCGTCTTAATTGCCTACGACTCTTCTGATAAAAAGAATATTGGTAAGATAACAAATATTGCATGTTGGCTTATAAAAAACAAGTTTAGGGTTGAATTTGATGATTTTAAACAAGACTTAGTAAAAGAAAATCGAGATTGTTGGATGTGGAATGTTTATAAACAGGTAAATTTCATTTTCAATAGTTTCGTACAACTGTTCTTTTCAATTCTTAATCTTTGATCACTTGTTTTTTTTAGGCTCCGTTTGTATTACTATGCATGACTCCATCATTTGAGAGGAATATACTAGAAGGAAAGGATACCTCTGTACAGAAAATATGGAATGATATTGAGGAGAGATTAAAAAAAGATCCATCAAATAGAGAAGGAAATTCAATCGTCCCGTTGTTAATATCGCCAACAAAACGAGTTCCACCCATCTTAAAAACAATTATAAATGGAAAGATGATTGGCAGAGCCTATCATTCTTTCTATCAGCCTCATATAAACTCCCAATAAATAAAGATAGTAAATCTTATTCGATTCCATAGAATCTACCGAGCTAAAACACAGAGAATATAGCAGATGTATATAGTAAAAGTGCGGATCAGATCATTTTTCAATTTTTATTATTATTATTTTTTATTTTTAATTGTTGCTCAATTTTTTTATCAACTATATTGAAAAGAAGATAAAGGGAAGGGAATAGAAAAGCATGAAAGTTTCTTTTCAGAGCTAATTTAACTATAGATATATATATAAGAAAAACAAACGATTAAACAAAAAAAGAAACATTTTAACATTTCCATTTGGATAATTTTTTTTCTAAATATTTAATATTTCTCTTTTTTTCCATCTTTTTTTTCAGAGACAAAAGTTAACTACACCGTTTTATCTTTCGATATCAGTTTACAAGTAGAGCAAAAGACGTATGCGTAATTTGTTTGTAAATTATTGTTAAAAATGCTTTATATGAGAAATTGTTAACTTACTCGACGACGTTCATCTTTCGGGTTTCAAAACCAATAATAGGATCTATGAGCATACTTGTGGCTAGGTCGTCATTGAGGCATAGATCTTTTAAACTCATATGAGTTTTATGATGTATTCTCATGTTGTCTTCGTCGTCGGTTTGTGATCTAAAAATGAAAAAAACACATTTCAACTGCCGCCATGCGTTTTTTAGTCGCTAAAATGTCGCCTCGATAAGTTCATTTTCTTGCAAACAAAATATTTCATGTCATAGATAAATAATTAAAAAAATTACGAATCGTCCGTAAAAGCAAAATTTGCCACTTTGGCTGTAGAATAAAGGGCCTTTCTTCGGCGTTTTTTCATGATAATAGGCGTCAAGTTAACTACTTTACAAGCGTTTCCACACGTGCTCTAACAGATTATTGAAATAGTACTCAACTATAAGCAATACTTTTCGTAATTTTTTTAGATTTAAATTTTTCAAAACTATTGAATATAAAACAATTATTTATAAATTATTAATTAAAAACTTGTCAAAATCTTCGTACTTTGTGTCAAGACACAACACATGCTCGACTAGTTTTTCGTTCTGTTGTGAATTCATTTGATTTTGCATTTAACTCTATATTTTCTTCCACAAAAGATTCAGAATGACCAACTATTTCAGCGGTATTTTCATTTACCACACTTGTTTCTTTTTTATCTTCTAAAAAGTTCTCTAACATATCTTCATAATATTTATCAAAAATGTTAGAAGAATCCATATTTACGTTACCGTCTAGTACTCTAACTCTAGGCTGTTTTTGATGCTTAGCACATAACCACATTTTATTTCCAAATCCCATCTGACACTTTTTCAAATAAGCTTCATTCGAACAAAAGTATGCCTGATTTGTTTCGTCATTTGCCTTTTCAATTAAGGATATGTAGGCTTTTGAAAATTGGTCATTATCTGACTCCTCAAATAGAGAACAACTATTAGTAATTTTTTCAAGCAGAGTACTTCCTATATTCGAATTTAAAGCTACTAAAGGAATATCGGTTTCCTTTAGAAGAGTATAAACTCTTGCAAGATAAGGTGACCAAGTCTTTATTATTTCAGTAGTTTTTTCATCGTCAGGTGAAACATTCCATTTTAAAGATTTGAAATTTTCCGGAAGATGCCATCCTTCGTCACATTCACATAGAAATACGAATCTATATCCCAATACTGTATCATTTTCTGATCCTTCTTCCAAGTCTAAAATAGGAAGGTGTGGTAAACCTCTAACACTATGATGATCGTGAATAGAAAGTACATTCTTTAGAAATTTCCTCTGTATTAGTTCTAGTAATTCAATTAACTTGATTTTGGTATTAGATTCGTCTATATTTGTTTCGCTTATATTATCTTCTTTTTCTTCGTCTTCTTCAAATTTCACATGTTCTTTAACAAACTTTAAAATTTCATTATCATTGTCTTCACAATATTGCAAATCCACTTTTTGATAATCCATCGATAGCATTCCTATCTCGGATCTCATCCAATTTAGACCCGTTCCCACAACTGCAATAATGATTGGCAATCGAAGAGTCATTGCTGCGAAACGAAATTCCATTTGGCAATTTTTCGAAGTAACGTATTCGTCGGAGACGCATGCAATGACTACTTTTGCACTCTTTAAACCTTCTGTAATATCTTGAATCAGTCCAGTCTGACCAACCTGTTCAATATCCATCCAACAGCTAATACCTTCTCCTTCTAGTAGTTTCTTGATGCGGCGAGGGTCAACCTTCCCAATAGCTCCTTCTTTACGTTTCGTACCCTTTTCAACTGCCTCTTCAGAATTGCTCCAACAATAGCTGATAAAACAAGAGGCGGTCTTTCTTTTCTTGGCGCGATAGCTCTTTGACAGAGAGGAAAGAGAGCACATCAAATCTACCAGCTTGCTTTTCACATTTTGTGGATTTTGCATGTTGATATACAACTATAAGGCAAAAGAATAGGATAAGATAAGATCAGAATTACTTTATGGATATAATGTATATAGTATTTGAAATCCTACGTCATCTGCGCAGAGCATTCCGACGTCGCTATCTTTCTTCCAGTTGTCACTTTTCTCCATGAGAACAATTTGAGTTTTTACTTTTAATTGTTTTTTTGAATATAGAAAAAGTTCTTTGCAAATTCGGCTTTTGAGAAAATGATCCGACATCAAAAATAGAATATCTTTAGCTTCTTTCAATGTTAAAATTGTATTCTGAATATTCGACTCGCAGCTTTCGTCCACCATTTTGCTGTATCAGTAAAATACGAAAAAGTATTAATTGCAAATGTTATCCGACTGCAAAACTAACATTGAGACTCCGGAATTCTTGATTTCATTTGATATAATTTTGAATGTATTTTCAAACGTCTGATTGTTTAAATCTTTCGATGAGAATAAGAATACAACGTATGTATCGAACTGTGAACGTAGCTTTCTTAGATTTCTTACATCATTTTCCAAATGGAAATCGAAATCGCTTGTCGTTTCTGGAGGAAGCATTCCTGTTCGTCGAAAGGAAACACAATTGCGCATTGGAGAATAATCTTAATCAAGCAATTCCTTTATTTATTTATTACCTTTGAGTTCAGTAATAGAAAGTGTGTGGAAATTATCGGTACATTGGAGGAAAGGAATTTTCAAATCTATAGCCCTTTTTATTCTTGTGTAGGGTATAAGGCAAGGGTCTGTTGAACCCTGATGAATACATTCTTTACAGGAGATATAGCAGTCGTATTTCACTCCGACGAATGTTTCTTGGATAAGATTTTTGAATATATCATAAACAAGGAAAAGTATATTATCTGGTTGAGGTCCTCGTGCATCTATAACTATTGTATGCTCACTATGGGAGATAATATTTATCAGTTAATGGTTTTTATTGTTAGAAATTGTTATACATACTCATTTTTCAATAAAACTCCTCTATGGCGATTTTTCACAAGAAACGAACCATTTTTCCACATGTTTGTATCATCACTGAACTGATAGAGACGAACCTGAGCTCTGTTACATAAACCTGAGGGGAGATAGTCAAAATTGAAAACCATTTTTGTTCGAATTTCGTTGTCTGACAGCTGGCTTTTAAAGAATTGTTCCAAGGACTAAAGGATTGCAAGAGTAAAGCGCTATACTATAAGTATAATTATTTCGGATAAATTTTACCGTTGGTTCATCTATTGTTAGTAAACATGGAATCAGGCTCGCTTTTTCACCTTTGAGTGGAAACGTTAAATCAAACTCTTCTGTTAGTTTTAGAAGCCATGTATGTAGTTCTTCCTGATATTTCTCCTTTGGCCATATCCTCTTGAAATCTTGATGCAGTAGTTTTCCGTCCTATAAGAAATAATTTATTTTGTTTTTTTTTTCATAAATTCATTCATTTATTCTCACTTTAATGGTATTTTGTCGAACTGATATAAGACAAGCCATCACATCAATAATCCATTGAGGGTTAATAATAATTTTAGATTTAAGAAACTCATTTTGAAAATGTTGAATTGATCCTAATTCGTGTAAGAATTCAGTGGCTTGAAAAATCTGCAAAAATTCAAAAAGTTGTCTAAAATCTATAAAAGGATTATTTATAGATAATTACCTCCCATGTATCAATTATTCCACATTCGTTTGCAAGTTTACAAACTTTGTCTATGTCTAACAAGTTATCTGCATTTTTCTTGTTTTTTTCACTGTATGAGATACATTTTTTTTAAAGGATGAAAATTTCAATTGCATAACTTACTTAATGAGTTTCTTTTCAAATTCCAGATATGCAACAGGTATTTTCTCATCCATATACTTTTCCTTTATTGTTTCAGTAATTAAATCATTAATCAATTCTTGAATACCCTTATATTGAAAAATTCGTTATAGAGCATACAATGTTTCAGTTTGACTCCATACCTGTCCACTAATGGTAGAAACATAATGGAATCCTGAAATTTGTGGAAATGATTCTTTCAAGTCTTCAACAGGAAGTTCAGATATTTCCACCTGTTGTAATTTGATATTTAATAACAGTACATTACATTATAGAAGAAAATTTTGAAATAAATATCTATTCTACCAACCTCATCGACGTGCGAGCCTATAATGAAAATAGGGGATTTTGGCGCGTGACAGGCTATTGAACTCAACCAGAATTTCAATCCTGAATGTTCGTAACCACTTCTCATGTTCCACAATAGAAAATATATTGCCCTATTCGTTAGGAAAAATTGATGAGTATTATAATATACTTCTTGCCCTGCGAAATCCCATATTGAATATTCTATCGAGTTAATTTTCCATGTTTTAATATCAATTCCATCTGTAACATCTGGTAATGTTTCTTCCGATTCTGTATCTTCTTCCGATTGTGTCATTTTGCGAATTAAACTAGTTTTACCGGCTCCTCCAAGTCCAACTAGCATCAGTTTTGTCCTTCTACACTCAACTGATCCTTCATGTAATCTTCTCATATAGCCCATAATAACCGCCTCTCCTTTGCTAGCAATTTCTCTTGGTGGTGTTTTTAGCGAAGGACAGCCATTTAATTTCAATGTTCGAATAGGTAAGTAGCATATCTCCGGATTGATCTCCTCAAGGACTAAGTTGTGCGATAGATCCAAGAATCTTAAACTTTTCAGAAATTTAATACCACCATCTAAAACTTTAAATGACTGGTACGATAAATCTAAGTGAGTAAGCTTTCCTATAGAAATTTCATTCTTTAACTGAGAAAGAGGAGAGGAAGTCATATGAGGTATTTTTTTATAGAGTTTAGCACAAAATGCTGCTTTTTCATCAGCATCATAGATATAAGTAGTATTCTTTATGGCACAACTTGAAAACAAAGATTCTAAATCTTTCATTGTAAGATTAATAGCAGAAAAAATTCCTTCATACTCTTCTCGATAATCGCTGAGGGTCTTTAAGGTTACGTTTCCTTTTATTGAAGGATAGTGAAAAGAATTCAGGAAACAAGATTTTAGATTGTAAAGTTTGAAGATAACACTCGGAAATTCTCTGAAAATATTATTTTTCACTGATAATTTCTCCAAGTGCACTAAGTTTGATAGCTCGTCCGGTAATTGATTAATTGGCATTCCATCAATATCAAGTCTAATAAGATATTTCAGTTTAGTTATGCTTTGAGGAAATTCAGTTAAGGAACTTTTTTCAATTGTTATTGTCAATAAAGTTTGGACTGATTTATGGAACGATTGATAAAATTGCTCGTTTACATTTGATAGCGTTAAAAAGAGTAGCGTGTCATCCGAAATTGTTTTCCAAACACTACTTGAACTAACATTAGGTGAGTTTACTTTAACATGCAAATCACAAGCTTTTACATCAAGTTGAAATTGGTCTTTCATATTCGTTTCAATGGTTTTCAACATCTATGAAATGATTTATAAGAATAAAACTAATTAAATTTGAATAAAATTATACCATTTCAATATTATCTTCTGATAAATTTTTCGTATATCCAGTATTCAGTGCCAAAATACAGAAATAACTTTTCAATTGAGCGAACAAAGGTAAGAGAAAGGAAAAGTAGAAATCTTCTGATACCTGAACGAAACAAGATTATTAAACAAAATCATTGAAGAATTCAGCATAAACAATTACAATCATATCTGGACTTAGGAAACGAGCTATGTTTAACATCATAATTTTTTTCATTGTATCTGATGTAATTGGTAGTTTTCTTGGAAATTTTTGCATTATATGTTTCATCGGCTGTTTTGCAAAATCTGAACTATCGGAGCATATTGGGTATAGAGATGCCGACTTTAAGTCCACCATATTCTTTAGTAATGGAGGAATATTTTCTAGTTGATTGGGAATTAGAAAAGATCCTCTTATCAACTTTTCTGGAGAGTTATTCTTGATGTATGATAAGAAAGGTTTCAAGTTCATATTCAGATAGTCTTAAAATTAAACTTCAGTATTATACAGTATAACAAAATACGAAAATTGATGTTCAATTAAATCTTACATTGTTTAGAAATTTTGTCGTAAGTTCTCTCATTTAATACCTCGGGTTGAAATAATGAGAAACTATCGGCTGTCTTTAATTTTTCAATGAGACTTGGAGAGGCAAAAGGCCTATTTAGAAAAATGGAAATTTTCTGTGCAAGTTCTGAACTTTCTGGGAAAAACAAACAAATATTACAAAGAAACAGATAATAGAAATTCAAGTTAAATAACTAACTTGAAGCATCTTGTACTAAGGCTTTAAAACTGTCAAAGTCAACCCAATCGGGATATTTATCTGTGTTGTACTTAATCAAAATTTGATTTTCCTTTACATCAACTATTTATAGAATATGAAAGTATATTATCATCTATTAAAGATTAAAACGTTCCAAAGAGCACTTACTAATATAAATTTGTCTCTTTTTCGAAATGAAGATCATTCCGGGCATTAATTTTTCAGTTGAAGACTTGAACTGTCTATCCTTTAAGTAAAAGATAAAAATTTAGTCCCTAAAACAAAAAATCACTTATATTTTTTTACTGGAAAGTATGTAAAGTCAATCGATGTGAGCTTATGATTCAAGTAAATACTGTATTCCATATTTTCAATAGATATCCTTTCCAGAAGGATCTTGTTCAAATATATCATTAAATTTAATTTAGAAGTCTGTTTTTAATAAACAAATGCATTATTTTAAAAGTTAAAACCAATGTAAATAGATCAGAAAATACTGACAGTGCGAAGAAATACCGGAAATTTGAATTTAATTTCCAGTGTAGAATACTTCCGAAGACATAATTTCCTTTTAGTATATTCTCCAGAGCCAGTTTGAAATGAATACGAATCTTTTCGAATTGAGAAAATCGTCTCATCACTAAAGGAGTTAGAGGTTAGTTAAAAGAGATATATCCAACAATAAATTTATTATATACCCTTCTTTTCTGTAAAAAAGAAAAACAAGGGAAAATTAATTATGAACAAGATTTCATTAACATCAAAACATTTACTCAATTTTAAAAAACTCTTTCTCATCGACACCTTCAATATTTGAAAAGGATATAGAATTAATATTTGATAAGTAAAGCTTTCTTGGAAATGATATTAAGTTTCCATATCTTCTTGTTTTAGTTTGAGTAAACTCTTCAGAAAATGACGGTTTCAATTCCTTATACATTTGGGTAATCAATGTATATCTATCAAATGATCGTATTTCCATTGATTCAAACAGTTTTTCGTTTCCTTGACTAATAAAATTATTATCGACTGTTCAAAGTTAAATATTAAGAAAATATTAATGCCCTTTTTATAAAGTTGGATAAAACGTACAAAAATCCGAATTTTCTTTCTGTTCATTTGGTTTCTTGCCCCAAGGAGTAGTCAATATTTTCTAATTGAAATTTAATTTTAATATTCTATTTTTAGATATCATATTTTATCTTACCGAATAGAATACTGAAGATTTGAACAAAGCGTACTCTATCAATAAAGAAATTTCAGCTGAGATTATAGCTAAAAGCGAAGGAGCTTCATCAACATCTAAGGTTCTTGATAAAAGCAAAATATTTGACTCGTCGAAATGAATGTCCACTTCAACTGGTCCAGAATGGAAAATAACTCTCTTTTGAGATAATTCAATAAAAGTAACAATTCCCAGTTTTATTTCATAAACTGCATGAATTAAATAAGTAATCATGGAGCTAACCGATCCGGTGAAGTTTGTTTCGCATTTATAGCAGATGTCTATTTGCGTTAATCCTTCAACATCCTACAAATTGAATGATAAACATTTATGTTTTGTAAAGTTGCATTAAAACCTTATTATATTCTTCTCTCCTCGATATACTTGGTAAATTATGACAAAATATAACAACATCGTTCGACAATCCTAGTACAACGCCAATATCTTTTAGAATTTCCAAACCGTTTTTAATCTGAAAGTAATTATTTATTATTGACTTATACTTTTCATTTTATTCAAAACAACAAATGGATTCTTTATATTGGAAAAATAGCTTTGCGCATTTTCACAGATGATCGTCTCTCTTTGTAAAAAATATAGCCATGCTTGAACATCATCATTACAATGAATGGATGACGAATTCAATTTATGAAAAGCTTTTGATAACCACTTAGGATCAACTATTATCCAATCGTCTCTTTTAAAACGCTTGAAAAGAATAACTTCTCCCTTGAAAAATATTTCCTATACAATTAAACCCTAAAAGTACATTGAACTTACTATGGAATGTAGAAATTTTAAAGCTTTAAAATAAGGAAATCTGTGAACTTTAATTTGCTTCTTCTCAAATTCATCTTCATCATTGAAACCTTTCAGCTATTGAGAAACACATGTAATCGATATTTCACGCAACAAAAACATTTTATATAAATACATAATCGACTGACGATTCTTCCAAACGGGCAACTTCAAAAGTTTTAAACTTTTCCGGGGGAATCCTTAAATCCTTAAATACAGCGGCATGCTTTTCAATCACCTCTAAAGTTTCTGTATTACGTAGAATTTTCTCTTAATATATATCTTTTGCAAGAGAAGAAATCTATTATTACCATTTAATAGATCATCTAAGGAAATGATGTCTATAATATCATTCAGTGGTATAAAACCTTCATGATTAACGAAAACATCTTTCATTTTCTCCTTAAATTTTCCTACTGCTAAACTTTCATACTAAAAAAAAAATAACTGTTTAACATTTAGTCCATATAACATTTATCACATTTTATCATACATTTAGAGAGGCATCCATCTCTTTTGCTTTATCAAAGCTCTTTTCAATTTCCTTCCAAAGCTAAAAAAAACAAAACAGAAAATCATCTCATCGTCGTCGATTTTATTAAATCTTTTCATGTTATTCTTAACCTCTTTATTCCCTATCTTCTTTGAGTCTATAAATTTCCAATTCTTTTCCCCATTCTCCGCCATTTTTCTTAATAATTCCCACAGTCCAATTAGGTTGTGTAGATTATTCTGATCATTGAATTCCATGTTGGATAATTCGTCGGCGCTATTAAAGAATCAAAGAATCATTAGATGAAGGTTGCAGATAAAGGTTTGTAGTTGTTTTCGTTTACCTCGTCAATTTCTCTATCAATTTTCCTAGGCTTTCTACCTTTGAATTGATGAGAGAATGAATTTTCTCATCCAACAATTTCTCATCGATTTTTGACTGTTGAAATCCTAAAAATAGCACATAAGGCTTCCAATTTGGTTTCAAATTCTGAAATATTTCAAAAATTATCCTCCAAACGTTTTCTCGCTTCTCATCTCTACTCATTTATCTTTGCTCTAAACAAAATGAAATATCTCACTTTTTGCAGAATTGATATGATAACGTCGAAAAAGAAGTTTGATGTTACGTCTCCATCTCCATTCACGTTGAATGGAACGATAATGGAGGATCTTTGAGCGGAGATAAGCGAAGAGTATTCCTGTGGAATAGTGAAATAAATAGAGGAAAATTGAAACTACTAGAGAGGAGGATGAAGAGGATCAATTACTTCAAATAAATCATAAAAGATCCAATCGCCATGAGTAAAAACTTGAAATGGATTTGTAGTTGTTTCCATTTTAGAAGAAAGTAGCAAAGATTGAAAATTTAGTCGCTTCTTCTCATTTTCTTTTTCATACATTGGCTTCATATGAAAAATTATCGCTTTTTTAGTTTTAACAAAGGCAATTTTGTTTGGAGATAATTCAACTGTGTAAAATATAATACTGTAACTATTTATGAATATAACAATAATAATTCTAAATTCTTAGTTACTCAATTTTTGATGCTGTGGAAGAAATGGATCAAGAAATGGATCAATTATTTTCAAATGTTCTTCCTTAGATTCGTTTTTAGACGTAGGTATACATGTAGTCTGATTTATCTGTTTTCACAAATTATTGTTTCAATAAGAATAATAGCATCAACTTTATTTACAGAAATATATTTTTTCATATTTCTAAAGATTTTTCTATTTTTAATAAAATCAATGCTCCAAGAAGACAAACTGTTGTTGTTATCTAGTGATACCTTTGAAGGAATATCAAAAAAAAATATTTATTAATATTAAAAGATATAGACTAATGTTATTTTTTACCGATTTAATACTTATCGAGAATTCATTTATCCAATAAATACTCCAATCTGTTATATTCGAACAATTCTTTAGTCGTAGTACAATTTTAGAAAGTTTTAGCTATTTTCAAAATTATCAATTAGTATAGTACAGAATTGTAGCCATATTATTACGTTAGATTTATCTGACGGTGTCTGCTTGCTCAAATATAGTAATGCAAAAAAACAATCATTTAAAGAAGACATATTTTCGAATTTCAACGATAGTGTCATTTCTGATGAAAGGCTTTTCAAAGGATTCTGAATGTTTATATAACATGTTTTATAAACCAAATATATAATAATAATTGTCATACCATATAAGACGTCGAAACAAGACAGTGTAAAGGTATTTTATTTCTTGGAAAGTAATTTAGTTTATTTAAATTGACGACATTTAATTTCTCTAAATCACTTGTCAAGTCTTCAAGTGAACGAAGTTGAGAATATGAAAACACCATTAACTTAGTTTGATACAATTTAACTATAGGAGAACATACCTGTTTTTTCTACCATCATATCCATTTGCTCTTCAACTTAATATATAGTTTATTATATAACAAAGAGTGAATAAAAAAATAAATTAACTCTTACCAAAAAGATCATCCACATTATCATTATCATTTGGAGGTGCATTTGAGATGTCAAAGCTATCGTCCATATTCTCATTCGCCTGAGAATTAATAAAAAAATCGCTAAAGATGTCAGAGCTATCGTATATTGAGTCTTCATCGCTTAGATCTGTTGAGGACTGTAATCCCAATATTGTTTGTTGTTGCTGTTGTAGAATTCCTTGACTGTTTTGCTGAAGTGCTTGAGGTGGTGGAAGCAGTATGTCCCCCAGTTGTTGCCTGTTTTGCTGAACTGCTGGAGATGATGACACCACTATGTTTCCTAATCGTCGCCTATTTTGTGTCTGCTGTGGCGTAATTCCACTCTGCATTTCTGTATTTTGTACTGCTTGATGTGGCAGCAAAAAATTTAGCTCATCTATATTTTCGTCAAGTTGCTGCTGCTCCTGTTCCGGTATTGGTGGTGTAATTTCGTTATACATTTCTGTATTTTGCGCTGCTTGATGTGGCAGCAAAAAATTCAGTTCATCTATATTTTCGTCAAGAGTTAAAACTCTCTTTTCTTCAGAATTTTCGTCACTCATACTTTATAATTATCAATTATCGTTATATTCCTAAAGAAAATCCATTATAAATAGTTTAAAGTTGTCAATACGAATATATTTTTAAAATAATATTTTCTTTTGAAGCATCATATTATAATAATAGAAATATTATACAACGATGATTTTGATTTTCCGAGAACTTTTCCTATAGATTTAATATTTATACTTATTCTACAGATTCAATACTTATTGGAAAAAGTAAAACATTCAGCATAGCAACTGAAAATGGCGGGATAATAACTACCAGATTATTTAGTTCACTTAATTAATTAATTATAGTAATAAAATCATAATTATATAATTTATAGTACTATATGTTAATAGTTACATTTAGATGTGAATGCACTTTTCAAAGCTACTTTTTACACAATTAAATCGATTTTTTTGGAGACATCATCAACGATTAGATCTTAATAATAAACTTTTCATATTTTCTTTATATTTGACTGGAAATAAATAGTGTTCAATATCATACGTCTCCTTTTTGTAGGCATGCGCAAACTAATTGATTTTTCCTAAACGACCATGTGTTTATGAGCTTTATACCTACATTATCGTCCTCAAATAACCGCCAACTGAATGTTTAGGCCTAATTTATAATTAAATCATATTTATAAGATGAATTTATTAAATTATTAGTTTCATCAATTTTAAATGCAAAAATTGTGATTTTATATGTCAATTATATAATATTTTCATAATAACTCGAGAAACATTTCTATAAGTTAATAATAGTCTTATTCTATTTTAAATAAACAGGAAATTATTTCGAATAAGGAAGTCTTGTCTCTCAAACATCTAATTAATTCAAATGAAATAGTGAAACGGACAATAAACATTCAAAAAGTTCAATTTTTAATGAAGCTGCCAATTTATCAACTGCCACTTACCTCCTTCATTTTGTCTACAATTACCAATACAACTGTACATCTTTCATTGATTTAACAGCAATAGCTGTATTGTTTGTAAAGCCAACCTTTAATTGGAGATATGTTTCATTCGATGATCAAAGATCAAGGATCTCTTCAAGTTGCAAACAACGAGATCTTATATAGATATTATTAAATCGCAAAACGATAGAAAATACTAATGCGTAATATATCTTTTATTTAAGTAAATGAAGCGAAAGAAAACACCATATATCCCTTTAATCATTAATCACTATGTATAAAATCAAACTAACGTTGCAGATGAGCTGCGATAGACATAACTAAATATAGAAACTTAAACTCAACAAGTTGAACAAGCACAATTAATAAGTTAAAATTGCACTATGGATTATCTATTTAATAGTCTAACAGCTCTCCGTTGCCTGAAATCACATTCGAAAGTCTATCTCTAAAGGACAGTACAAATAATTTGCAATGATCCTCGTTGAGTGACTCCCAAGCCTCGAAGATAGCTTGCTTTAGGTCATCTGTAGACTTGAACTTTCTTCCGTTTCTGTAAACGCACTTTGCCAACATTCCCCAGTACTTTTCGGCCAGGTTGAGATCAGGAGATTTCAGAGGCCAAGAAATTCTGGAGATTTCCTTCTCCATCAGATACTGCTTTGTCAGTCTTGACCTCAGTGGGGTATCGCTTCCGTGCAGAAAAATGAAATCATCTCCGTATAGACGGTGTGCTGCTGGAAGAAACTGGTCTTCAAAAAGTTCTATATACTTATCTGCTTTCTTTGTACGATTAACAACAATAAGGGGGAGTAGTCCTTTATAAGACACACCTCCCCATATTAGTACTGAAGATGATCCTGCACGCTTTCTCGAAAACATTGGGTCATTAGTTCTGAGGTCATGCCAGAAAAAGCCAATTCCATCAGGACCGTCCAAATTAAAACGCTTTTGACCCATAAAAATAACTCTATCCCATCTTTGAAACGCTAAAAGTTCTTTACAAAATTTGACTCTGTTCCGATGGTCTTTTGAACATAGCGAGGGCTTAACATTGACAACAAGGGTTTTCTGTTTCTCCTCATTTAGAACCCTTTGAATGGTCCTTAAGCTCCCATCTAACTTATATTGTTCCTTCAATTGAGCAGCCGTCTTTTTAGTATTAATGGAAGCCCTTATAATTTCCAAAACGTTTTCGCCATGAATCTTTTTACGACCGCATCTCTTCTGATTTTCTTCATAGTGAGGATTTTTCAGAAACCTTAATATAGTCGAATGGTGACGATTAATTTGTACTGCAATTTGTCTTGCTGAAGAGCGTGACTTATTTAGCTTTATAGCTAACTGTTCACGAGAGGATAATCTCGCTCCACGTGCCATGTTAATTTACTAAGTGCACACTACGCATTTCCTATTAAATACCTAGTACCTAGCACAGCTGTGAAAACTACTCAGTCGATTAGGCCAATTTATGATACTTCGCTTTGAGGTAAATACAAGTGAATAGTACAAAAATCTAATAGGCCTAATTGTTTTTAAGAGTACATTGTTTATCATTTGAAACTGGAGACCGTTAGGTTGGTTCCATTCCAACCGTCAAACGGAACCTCTAATTATTAACTTTAAACCAGAAAGGATAGATTCGTAAATAAAAAAAAATATCCAACTGCAAAAGAGATTTCAAGACCGAAAAAGCCGTAAAATTAGCAAATGATCTAAAATTATTTAGATTCAAGGAGAAAAGAAAAATGAGAGAGAGAGAGTATGATGATACGACGATGACGCAAGGACAAAAACACATTGAGCATGAATCTTGGCCTTTTTTATTTAACGGCAAAAAGATCAACTCCTTTCTTTTTATAAAACTAAAAAGTTTGAGACGTGTAACGTCATTTTTCCCCTTAGGCGTCTACTATTAAGAGCTAGGAGAATATATTATTCTTCAAAATATCTTTGACGCTAGAAAAAACAAACTGTACAAACTATCCCAACACATGTGATATACACATTAACACATAGACATAATTATTTATCATCAAACTATTAATAATAATTTATTAAGATGTTTGTCTTTTAAATATTTTGTTTGCTTGTTTTCCAATAGAGGGAGTTTTTGTTTTTACAGTTGAATTTCATATATGTTATGTACATTATACCGATTTAAAAGTCTACCCTATAGGATTAATCGTGCATAAAACTTTCACTGAAATTCAAACATCTATCAGTTGATGTTCACTTGAGGGCGAAATTTTGCCGAGGTAAAATGTCTTCAGCAATATTTTTTTTTCATTTAACAATTTTCAAAAATAATTTTGCAGTTTTTTCTATTTTTTTATTTTATCGACTTTTAAGATTAATATATAATGGAAATTCTATTTTTAATAGTTTCTTTTTATATTCATCTTTTCATTTTCCGTCTAAGAGAAACGTTTAATCTTTTGGCAAAAAAAAACCGTTTTTTTTGAATTTTCGAACGTTGAAAGTTACTTTTTTTTAAAAGTTTTTGACCTTTTTTATGGTCATTTTTGTAGTAATTTCATAGTTTTTCATTTAACAATAGACGCCACGTTTTTTCCTTTTCGGAAAAAGTAGATTTATACTTAGAAAAATTGACATTACTCAACGACTCTTTTTCCCCCTCATTATAGGGTATTAAAGCGCGAAAGTTGACCAGCTACGTTGGACGTTCAAATAGATTGAATCATGAGCAATTCGGAAATTGAATATCTGGCCGAGGTTCACAGACGAATGAAGAAGAAAAAGACGAATTCCTTACTTACTCCGAGTGAATATTTCATTATTGTTGAACGATTCAATACTCTAAGAGAGAATCCAAATGCGACAAAAATAAAATCGGACGATTCGATAATGAAACGATACGAGCTTAGAGAAGTTAAAGACGAAGAGGACGATGAAATCAAGCAAATGTTATTTAAAAAAGGTACTACTTTGAAAATAATGACTTCGGACAAGCTGTATCAAACACTTATGGACCTTCACATCGAAACCGGCCATAAAGGAAGAGACTTTCTTCGTAGAGCCGTTGCGGACAAGTACGCTAACATTACATCAGAATGTATGCAGTTATTCCTTGATATGTGTCAAGTCTGTCGAAGCGGTAAGCAGACTAACTTAAGTGAGGTTAAGTCTAGTATGGTAATGGAAAAAGTGAGACAGTCTCGCGGCTACTTTACATTTTTGGACAAACACCGCGAACAAATCAAAGATTATAAATACATACTTGTGTACCAAGATTTTGCAACTCGATTCGTTATGATACGTCCACTAGCCCAGATATCGTCGTTCGAAGTAGCTAAAAGATTGATAGAGCATTTTACTGACAAGGGTTCGCCAATTGTTTTGGAAAGTAATGTTGAAAATTCGTTCCTTACCCGCGTAACCGACCATCTCTTTAAGATGTGGCCCCAATGCAACGTTCTAACTGGTAGAACTAAGTCAGGCTTAATTCTTAACGCAATGGAGGATACTATAGCGGAAATTCATCGCTACATGTATAGCTGGATGAAAATGAAAAGTGATTTTACTGATAATTGGGTTGAAGGTTTAAAGTATATTCAATGGGAAATCAACTCTTCGTTTAATCATAGTAAGATTTTTTTCAACTAATAGATAAGAGTTTTATTAATATATCCGTTTTTGTTGAACAGGTATTGGATGTTCGCCTTGCGAAGCAGCTTTCGATACGAAACCGTTCATGGGCAGCGCTTGCTTAAATTTACCAGCTAAGGTTGCGGCGAGAGTCTACAATGAGGATCAGCTCGAAACTTATCTTAGATTGAGAACTATTCCGAAAGGCGAAGGTCGAAAAGTAAGCATAACCTCGGCAAAGTTTATTTGCTCGAGATGCTTCACTACTTACGAAAGTTCGACTTACAATCCGGAAACGTGTTTGACTTGTAAAATCAACGAAGGAGTCGAGATGGGAGATTCATCAAAAAGAGCTCTTGAACCATTGGATGCCAGAAGTATGGAACTATTTGAAAAGAAATCGAGAACAAGCAAGGATGGTGAAAATAAAGAAAATAAGATTCGTACCGTTTCCGAGCTATTTTTCACCATCTAAAAGAAGAAAAGGCGTGACGATGACGGAGCAACATGCCTGTTTTTTTTATGTACTGTGTGTTTACCTGCTGTTCAGTTGTAGTATCATACTAGTCTCATTTTTGTGCTGATTTTTTTTTTCACTTTTGCGATCTGCATACGAAAATACTTGATGAAAATAAAAAGTGTTATTTACTATCTGTTCTTTTGTTTATGTTTTGTGTGTTTGTCCGTCAATACGATTGTTGCTGTTCTTTTTTTTCTGTCTTCGTTCGAAATGTTATGGTTAAAAACATTCGTTTTTTTGTGCCTATGGCTTATTTGTTTAAAAAAAAAACCTTGTCATCCTGTTTTTTATGTTGTTTTTTTTTTGCTGTTTTTTTCTTACCATATGGTATATTTTATAAATACAGCTACACTGTTGAAAGGTTAAATGTACGTTATTATACATATATAAACGATCAACATAGGTATTAGAGGTAGCGATGTAATATTAACCTTTTTGGCTATTTTTCCTGTCTGACACGTTATACTCGCTAGATACTTGATTATGTAAGATGAATTTGGTTCATCAGTAACTTATTCAAACTCTATTGTTGAGATTAAGTAATGCACAGGAGTTTGTCAAGTGCTAAATTGTTAACAGACATTTCAAATATAAACTTTTGGCAAGGTAGACGTTTTTAATACGAATTTGTCCAGGTTGAAGTCTATTAACGACCACGTCAATGAGCATGTATACATATGAGCATATATAACAAATTTCAGTCTTGTTCTAAACGAGGAAGGAAACGCAGCTTAGATTTCTCATTTTCATGATGAACCCTAATAGCTATCAAAAAGTTTCAGAAAAACCTGATAACGATTCAGGATCTACGGATTCTGACATATCTTTAGAAGATATGTACTCGTTAACAGATAATGGAGTCAGTATTTATAAAATGATTTTACCAATTTATACTAACGTCTATTCCTATTTCAGAACGTCAACAATTCTTCTAAAGGACAAGGCAAGAAAAATAGAGCTTCGCCTTTTCCAACATTATCGGGTGGACCATCGTATCAAGACATTTTCAACATAGATATTCTACAAAGCCAAATAGAACATTTACGTCTGAAATTTATATTAACTAGAAACAAACTAAGGGCTGAGGTTAAGTTCCTAAGTAATCTAGAAGAACATATAGATTCATTACAGAAAGAGATGGGCAAAAAATAATCGTCAGAATATTTCTATTCTTCGAAAATGCTATTGTAATTTTATTTTTTTCGCATTCTGAGAATTAAATAAAAAAAACAACAAAAAATTTTAAAAACTGGTAAATTTCTCAATTTTTCACTTTCCTTCAAAAGTCTAACGTTTATATACTAAATGGGCCGTCAACTAGAAAAACTTTGGCTAACTTAATTTTGTAGGGCTCTGTGCATTGCTATCATCTTCCTTTCTGATCACTCTCCTATTTTATTCGAGGAGAATCGTCTGATACTTGTAGCATCGTATGACCGTATACAATAGTCTTCACAGCTATTTATATAACACTTATAACTAACCCCATTCTTCTCATATTATTACAAGAACATCGACTCGAATAAAATACTCAATATAAAGTAAAGTGACTTCAACGGCATCGGTGATATTACTAGACTCTTTTTTTTGCGCATTCTGTTGATGAACTATTGCTCTTCTATAATATCTTAAGACGAAGTTCGCACTAAGATATTACTCTTCTTTTCTCCATGAAAATGAGAAGAGGGATATTATTGTGTCAAAATATTTTCCACTCATTATCATTTAGACGGACGTGAAGTGAGGTATGATCGAGAGCTGTTGGAGAAGGAGTTCACTAGGCTTCTAAGACAAATTCGGATGATAAAGGATGAAAGGGAAAATTGATCGCCGGCATTGTTTCTGCTGAGAGATACATTTTGATTTTTGTATTGAATGATCTTATCGTTGAAAAGTTTACGTATTTTGTTTGATTATTAATAAACAATAGCGCTCAGTCAGGGAGACGATCGAATGTATCCTTATGATGTTACTAACACTGATTCTCTTCTAATCAGCGAAGTACGATGGAATACGACCTAATTATAATAATTTGGGAAGAACTGGGGAACAAATTTTCAATCCTTTTCTTTTCTGGAACAAAAATACGGCAGTTAATATGAGGAAAAGAAATATCTAAATGGAAAATAACATAGACTGAATTGCAGAAGTATTAGATTTTGCTGATGAGAGGAGCATAATTTCTTCTATCTACAAAAAACTTTTTAACAAGAGAAAACATTGTTATTAAATGCAGTTTTCATCATTCGAGAACGAAAAAAAACAGTAAAACTCATAATACGCACAAAAGTGTAATTCCTTTGATTAGATATAAAGACTGTATGAGAAAGAAGAAGGCAAAAAAGTCAAAAGAATGTTGCAAGAACATATGAAAGAGAGGAGAGTTGATAGTTGAAGAAAAAAAAGAAAAAAAGAATACGGCACCCAGTGTTCCCAGGCGGTCTCCCATCCAAGTACTGACTGGGCCGTACGTCATTTAACTTCGGTGATCGGACGAGAACCGGTGCTTGTAACGTCGTATGGCCGTATACAATTGACTACTTAAATTTGCACTATTTATACAATAACTATTTTTAACCTTCTTTACTTTAAATCTGTCTAACAATATAATGGAATATCGTTGTCGTAGTCTACAAATGGGAGCATATATTAAAACGTGATAGGTATTGCGTTTCATGACTATTGGTTTTCCATTCACGGAGCATCATCATACGATTTAGCATCATCATCAATCTTTTCGACAAGAACGATATAGTTATCGCCAGAGTCAAAACCTAGATAGTGGCTGATCTAACATTGGCTTTTGAACAAAGGCCATAGTTTATTGAAGATGTGCAGAGGAAGAAGATGGAAAAGTATTGGGATATCGTTCTTGTCGAAAAGATTGATGATGATGCTATGTCGTCGAAGAATTCCGATAGAGTGATAAAGATGGTGTCGGATGACCCCACTGACGTCGTCTCACTACTAACGAAGGCATATAAACTCTGCTGGGCATCTTACAAGTCTACACGAGAATACTCATGGAATGCTAGACTTTACAATGTTCTAATCGTATTGTACCGGCACACAGGGTCGGTAAGAGGCACTTGCCTAATATAATTAACATAGGAGAAGTTACTCCAATAGAATCAGAAAAAGACACCAACAGCGGAGATACGATATGGAAACAGTAATGTCAAGCAAATTGAAAGTGACTCTTAACTCTTTGTTTAATTGTACTATTTCTCATATTTTCTTAATTATAAGTAAGAAATGCTTACGTTTTTGTCTTAAACTTTTACTCACTCCAACTTCACTCGATTTTCTCCAACTTGTCGATCTATGTGATAACGATAATCAAGCGAAAGATTAATATTATATACATTTCTTTCCGTATTTTTCGTGGAGTGAAGAAGAGTAATATCACATTGATAACTAAGGTGAAAGATATTGTAGGACGTCGATAAAAGTTCCCTCAAAGAATACGCATATTGTAGATCATAGTAATGCCATCTATAGTTTTTAAGTCGTTTTTCTGGTTTTTTGAGTATTTTAACGAAGTCGATACTCTTTTAAGGATATGAAGAAAAAATGGTAGATATAGGTGTTGTATAAATAGCGCAAATCTAAGTAGACTATTGTATACGGCCATACGACGTTACAAGCACCGGTTCTCGTCCGATCACCGAAGTTAAATGACGTACGGCCCAGTCAGTACTTGGATGGGAGACCGCCTGGGAACACTGGGTGCCGTATTCTTTTTATCTTTTTTTTCTTCTCTTTCTCTCAATTTTTCTTCCTTTCCTATAAAATGAAATATTTACGAGAGGTCTTCGAATGTTTTCTTTATGATTCAACGAGAAAACCATGTCATTAACATTTTTTGACATGAATTGAAAGAAGAGATTTTGTGTCTATTGGACTTAATGCTATATTTGATACATGAACCTTAACATAGGCTACCTTATTGTATACGGCCATCTGACGTTACAAACACCGGTTCTCGTCCGATCACCGAAGTTAAATGACGTACAGCCCAGTCAGTACTTGAGTAGGAGACTTTCTGGGAACACTGGGTGCCGTATTCTTTTTATCTTCTTTTATATTCCGTTTATTTTTCAACTAAAGTTCAACGTTATTTTCATTTTATTTTTGATTATTAAAGATTGAATTTACTTTCAATCTTAGAATATTCGAAAAGTTGCAGATCTTCTCATTCGTGTTTGTAATCTTTTCGCAATGATTTTCGCAAACTTTGCTGATTTTTCGTTGACTTTATTAATTCTGTCACATCTTTATCGTCAATATGAATATGAGTACTAAAAATGAATTAGAGGATAAAAACTAAAGACAACAACAGGGAATGAATGACTGAGAAAGGAAAAAAGAGAAAAAAGAATAAGGCACCACAGGAAAAAGACAGATGGTGGAAAGAAAGTAGAAGAAAAAAATGAAAAAGAATACGGCACCCAGTGTTCCCAGGCGGTCTCCCATCCAAGTACTGACTGGGCCGTACGTCATTTAACTTCGGTGATCGGACGAGAACCGGTGCTTGTAACGTCGTATGGCCGTATACAATTGACTACTTAGATTTGCGCTATTTATACGACATCTATATTTAATTATATTCACCCCAAGTCGTTTACGTTTCCTTTGAATTGTATATTGCAGTAATCGCTCAATGTTTATTATACTAGTTTATTTAGCAAATAAAGATTACTCTTTTTTCGTATAAATATGCAAATGCAATCATATTAAGTTATCGAACAAAGTCATATCATAAAGACTAGGTACCGTATTTTTTTTTCTTTTTTTCCTCTCTATTCTCCTCTTGACTCTCTATCCGACTAGTACAAATGGTTGAAACTCTGTTATACGGTCAAACGATGTGTTCTTTTTGTTTTTTTCTTTCTTCTTGAGCTCTCTTAAAATTTCACAAGCGTCTTCTCAGATTTTTACTTGAAATAGAAGAGTGATAAACTCAAGCAAGTTAGGCTAATGATGATTGAAAGGTGAAATGTTGCTGCCATTTGCAGACGAAAACAACGATGTTTCACTATATTGTTAAAAAGATTTAAGAGATTGAAGGTTAAATATATCTGTTGTATAAATAGCGTAAAGTTAAGCACAGTGTTGTATAGGTGCTGTATAAATAGTGCATAGTTAAGTAGTCAATTGTATACGGCCATACGACGTTACAAGCACCGGTTCTCGTCCGATCACCGAAGTTAAATGACGTACGGCCCAGTCAGTACTTGGATGGGAGACCGCCTGGGAACACTGGGTGCCGTATTCTTTTTCTTTTTTTTCTTCTGTTTTCCTTCCGTTCCCTGTCTTTTTCTTCTTAATCTTAATTTTTTATCCACGACCAATCATTTTGATTTCATTTTCTTTTTCCGCCAGTCTTTCTTCATGCTCTTTAAGCCATACATTTTTGCGAGATGACAGAAAGAGGAGACTTTTTAAAAGATGTTGAAGGAAATAATTTTCGTTCATCTATTGAAGTTGTCTGTTGTATAACTCAGCGTGTATTTCTATGTAAGACATTTGGTATTGCTCATATATGTAATTGAGCGATAGTTGTTTTTTTCCTTCATTATATTTGATTTGCATTACACTACTGTATTTTCGGCGTTTACGCTGTTTCGAGAATCGATGCTCAAGTACTGATGCTTGTGATGTGTATCCTTTTACATATATATATATTTGCTTCTAATTTTCGCTTTGCTGGCGAAATCGAATGAAAATATTGTTGTCAAAAAGGGATGTTAAACTGAGATTCTGATTTGAAAAAATGCGTGTTATGATGAGGAATTGTTATCAAGTAAATATTATAGTAAACCACTTTGTGTTTTAACGCCAAAGTATAACAAGAGTTTCTTCCTTTGTTTCTCTTAAAAAGATTTGTTGACCGCACTTTTTCATCACTATTAAATAATCAGTGAGAAGTGTCAATGACTTTACCTTAACGTTATAGAATAGTAGATAATTGGTTAATAATACCCTCTATAGTATGGTTGAAATAAATATTAGGATTTGTAAGGTTAAGAATCCATTGGATAAATGGCCCAAAAATTGACGTGGAGTGAATATGATTTTTTAAAACTAAATAACATAACCAAACTTGGAAATTTAATAAAGAGGGAAGTGCTAAAGTAAACTTAGTTTTCAAAGACGATATCAATAAAATAATTATAGTACCATGATAATGTAGGATTTAGGGCAACTAAATTTAG